ACAACAACAACAACAACAACAACAACAACAACAACAACAACAACCAGAAGAGACAACATCAGCTCCGACGATACGGGCATGTCACACGGCGCTTACCTATTATCCTTGTCTCCTAGCTCGATCGCACACCGACCATCTCGTCGCCGTTTGACGTACAAGTCCATTTTTCTCTTCTTGGGATCACGAGTGCTCTTGTTTGGTCTAGTCTGGTCCTTCGTCCGAATAAGCCCGGGTCTTCGTCCGTCTGACCACATCCGCCTGGCTGACCTCATCGAAAAAGTATCGGCTTTGGCGGGAAGGGATATAGGACGATGGATATAGGAGAAAATCATGGATGATGCCGACGACGATGCCGACGCTGACGATCTTGAAATTTCTTTCACGGGAGTCTTTGGGGACTTAGGTCTTGAGCATACATCCTCACACATGTTACCGCCTCGTGATGTCTCGTACAGTCGTGAGGTTTTTGGTGAGATGTAGGGCTTTCGTCTCGCCTTCGATGCTCAGTTTCAGGGTTCTAGTGTGACGGATGATCACATTGCCTCCTGCTGCGTCCCTCTCAAGTATAATTGTTGACACGACATACGTTCGTTTATCGTACGCGAGATGTAAGGAGTGGGAAACGATTAGCTGTGGTGCATGTGCATGTATTGGACTGTGGCAGTGCGGGCTGAATTGGTGATCGAGAGAGTCTCCTGGCCGATGCTTCAATATGCACGATTTAGAGACCTTTATCAGTCTTAATAGCCCCCTGATGGCCCGATGGTCTCACATCTGATAAAGGATAGCTAGCCTCCTCGTCGTCCCCGCTTCTCCCGCAGCTCTCAGGTCGAACTCTCCACACGCGTCAGCCTCGACTCATTCTCCGGATTTCCAATGATCCCGAAAATCCGACGACCCGTCGGCATTGGACGCGCAGACGACTCCAATGTCACCTCCCCGTCTAGCGTGCCGATCGAATCCTACATTGAATCGGCGAAGACGCGATCCCATGGAAATCGTCATCCAGGAAGAACCTATCCTTCACGGCAACTTCGGGACTTTTCCTCCATATCTCCATGCGTCGTTCGGGTCATAGGCAGGAATGGTCGCGGCCGTGGTGGAGAACGCCACGATGCCCGCCACCGCCTGGGTCTGGGTCTGGATGGATGACGATCAATATGGCTGAATCCTGAATACTAGCTTCGGAGCAATCAACATATATATACAGCTGAGACAAGATGCCAGTCCTGTTAGATCGTCAAGACAGTTCTTTCTCAATCAGTCACCCACGACGATACAGATACGCATTCTGATTAGACGTATACACATATCGTACAGCCATTCTTACCCACCATGCCTCACGCAGAGACACCAGCTGAGGCGTCTGGAGTCCGACCATTGAACATACTCATCGCCGGTGCTGGGATCGGAGGTCTCGCCGCTGCGGTTGGTCTCCGTCAGCAAGGCCATCATGTCACATTATTCGAAAAGTCCCGCCTGAACAAGGAAATCGGCGCCGCCATGTTCATCGCGCCGAACTGCTGTGGAATCCTCCACCACTGGGGGATCGATCCCGTCGAAAACGGCAGCGTGGAATTGCACGGGATGAACATGCACGACGCCGCCGGAAATCTTCGAAACAGCCTCGATACCCGCGAAGCCTACAAACACGTCCCGCACACCTGGGAGATGATGCACCGCGCCCACGTCCACAACGCCCTCAAGCAGAAGGCCCTCTCGCCCGAAGGCCCCGGCGCACCCGCCTCGCTGCACGTCCACTCGGAGATCCTCAGCGCCGACCCGACCAACGCCACCATCACCACGGCCGACGGGCGGGTCCACCAGGGCGACCTCATCATCGGCGCCGACGGCGTGCACTCGAAGATCCGCAACTCCATCCCGGGGTGCACGCAGCAACCGTTCGACTCCGGCAAGAACGCCTTCCGGTCACTGATCCCCATGTCGAAGATCGCCGCCGACCCCGTCGCCTCGTCCATCCTCAAGGACGCCGACCACTACTTCCAGCTGTGGGCCGGGCCCGACCGCTCCGTCGTCATGTACCCCTGCGCCAGCAACACGCAGATGAACGTCGCGCTCGTGCACCCCAGCCCGCGGACCGACCGCCCGCACGACGCCGCCGACCACTGGCAGCGGCCGGCGAGCAAAGCCGAGATGCTGGAGGTCGCGCGGGACTTCGACCCCCGCGTGCTGGCGGTGTTGGAGCTGGCGGACGAGGCCGAGCTGAAGCGCTGGACGTTGCTGGACCTGGAGAAAGTGCCGCGCTTCACGCACGAGCGGTTGGTGCTCGTGGGCGACGCCGCGCACCCTTTCCTGCCCTGTAAGTCACGCAGACATCTCTCCCCTCCTCCTCCCCTCCGATCGACCGAGACCCCAACTGACCAATGCATTTCTTCCCTCCAGACCAAGGCCAAGGCGGCGCCCAAGCCATCGAAGACGGCGCCTCCATCGCCGCCGTGCTGCCCGCGGGCACCCGACCCAGCGATCTCCCCTCGCGCCTGGAGATCTACGAGGCCCAGCGCTACCACCGCGCCCATCGCATCCAGGACATGACGCGACACATGGGCAAGGACTACGTCCCCGGGGCGCAACCCCCGAACTATCACGAGTTCATGGAGTATAACATCAACCACGACGAGTGGATCGCCAGTCGGGAGGCGTTGAGGAGGAAGAAGGAGGAGGCTGTCGAGGCGGAGGAGGGGGGGAAGAGGAGGATTAATGGGGCGGAGGTCATCGCTGCGGCGGCGTAGACGTTGACGAGGCTGATTTTGATTCTTTTTGGGGAGCGGGCGCGAGACTTTTGTTTGTTTTTCTTTCGGTGTTTCCGAGGGGGGTCTTTTCTTTCCCCTGTGCATGATCGGATATCTGGGATATCACGGGAGTTTTTCATTGTTCTGTTTCCGTTCTGTTTCTCTCTCTCTCCCTTTTCCGAAGAGGGGATATGATCCCGGATGCAACAAATTGGGATTCGTTTGTCTGTCTGTCTGTCTTTCCGTCTGTCCTTCCCGCCACCACCTTCTCGGTCGGCAGGCATGTGTGTGTTTCCTCAGCAGGTCCTCCGCTCTCTCGCCGTCTCTTCAATCGAAAGAAAGAAAAAAACACCAGAGAAAGACATCTACGTCGATTCAGAAGGGCCGAGGCCTCTTGCCGTGCGTGTGTTTCCCCCTCGCCTCTTTTCTCAAAAGAGCATCGTGATTTTTCGGAAAAGCAAAAAAAGGAGAATTGATTTGGAAGGAGAAGAAGGAAGCAAGTAAATAAAAATTACATAAATCGCTAGTGGAAAGTAAGTAAGTATCATCGGACCTCTTTCGGCGTGGAGCACCCCTTTTCCGAAACGAATCGACACCCGTCACGGGTGGGTCCCCGATGGGGCCGAAGACATCCCAGCCTGGGGGCACGGTGAGAGAGAAGTGTAGTCCGGAGGAGAGACGAAACGAGATGTTCGGCCAGAGCCATCTCTCGGTTTTGGCTTGGCGGTTCGTTTTTTTGTTTCTCTCTCCTTGTCGATCTCACCTTTCCGTCCGGCTATACCGCGCGCAATTACAGGGAGGGCTAAACCAACCCGTCCTTTCCTCGAGAAGGCCAAGCCTGTCGCCTCCGCCCGCCAGGAGAGGTATCCGGCTCGGCCATGGGGGCCCGATCCGATCGTTATAGCTCTGCTTGCATATCTGTGTTGCCTCTGCCCAATCTCGGCCGAGATGGTCGAGGGGAGGAAGGAATCGCTCCGAGAAATTCTGCCATCTGTCCAGTGGGCTGCTCAAGCGACGTTGCTTTGGGAGAGAGGTTCATCCCCTCATCGCTCTCCACCAGTCAGTTTGCACTGGGCTGTACAGCCATGTTCGGGTGCTGTATCGCCGTGGAATGGATCGTGACACGAGCTCGGCATGCGAGGTCTCGAAGGCCGGGGATGCCGGATCATCGGTGTTTTTCTGTGGGCACCACGGACCTGAGTCCGCAACCACTGGTCCGCTCGGACATCGGAGTGCCGGATGCAATCGGGCCGATAAGGCAGGAAATTCCCGCCAGTGTGTGTTGGGGGGAGACCAAAAATCTCCCGGGGAAAGGTTTTCCGTTTTCTAGAGATCGACCTTATGCCTTTCGGAATGAAGTCAATTTCTCGAACAGTGATCGCTCGGTTTTCAACCTTCCCGGCCTTCCATACAACCGACAGCGACGGCGGCGCCGAAGATCGAGCTCTCCGGCGCGACCGCCAGGGTCACGGTGCCGGGTGCAGCACCGCAGAGGTCGTCGAGGTAGCGCTGGCAGCGATCGCGGTAGCCGGGGTACTGTTCGGCGATGGTGCCATGGCAGGCGACGGAGATGTGCTGGTCGGCGGAGGATCTCGACCGAGCGCTGGCGGAGGAAGATTTGACGGACTCGTTGTCGGCGTGGGCGTCGATGCTCTGTTGGAAGTCGTCTTCGCTCTGGGTGCGGATGCGCCACAGGGCGTGCAGGGCGGTGGCGAGGTAGGCGGCGGCGCGATGGGTAACGAGGCGGGTGATGGAGCGGACGAAGCGCCAGTCGGCGGTGCTGGGCGATGATGCGGCGGTGCTGGTGGCCGGCGTCGAGGCGGCGTCGGCGATCGGGTGGGCTTCGAGGAAAGCAGCGGCTGCCTTCTCCAATCCGGCAGCGGACGAGTCGGCTTCGAAGGCGGCTAGGTTACGCGTGTCCAGGGTGTACGCTTCGTCCAGACCGGACGGGATGCGTCCTGCAAACAGACCTGCATTGGCGATGGCATCGAGCAGGATCAGTCGGACGATCTCGCCGAGGTAGCGACCGGTGGTGAGATATTCCAAAGGCTGAAAGTCGGGCAGACGGTGTTGCGCGTTGAGGTCGTCATCCCATCCAGTGGTCGGCAGGGCCTCACGGCCGAGCATGCTCAACTCTGTGTTGACCAGGACATGTGTGGCGGCAGCGAACCAACTCTCCGGACGGGTGCCGAATTTCTCTGCGCCCAATGCATGCACGGGGAGGAACACACAGGCGTTCGTACCGGTGCCAAGGATAAGCGACATGCGCGTGGTGGGATCCCGATACGTCTGCGCGAGCAACGTGGCGGCGCCGTCGTTGACGATCGCCCGCATCTCCACAGGCAGACCCCGGCGGGTACATGCACGCATGATGAGTTCACTCAAATCCTGCCCCTCTACGCCGTGCGTCGCGCAGAAGCCCTTTCCCATGGCAAGCAACTTGCCCGATCTCGGAGATGTCTGTTCCACAGGGAACGACCACGCCAAGCCCATAGGCAACGGCGATGTGGGAGTCACGCCGTCCACGGGGATATGACCGTGTTCCAACAACATCTCTTCTATCCGCGCCGCCATCCAATCGAAAAAGGCCTCGCCCTGGAGTTTCCGAATCTTTTCGTTGATGTCGAATTTGCGCGTGCGACGGATCTCCATGCCGTCGTCGGAACCGCCGTCGTCGCCATCTCGTCCTTTGCCGTCGAGTCGAATGAGCGCGACGCGTAATGTTGAGCCTCCAACGTCGAGAGCGAGAAAGTCTCCACGCTCCTCACCGGTCGGTAGGGTGTGTTGATATGAGGGCAGCATGGAGATGTCGGACTCGGCAAGACGCTCGCGGCATTCTGTCTGAATTTGCTGAGAAAAGGATAGCAATCGATCTCGGTCGAGTGGCGCCTCGAATTGTGTTCGGACATCGGCGAGGAAAGCATCCAGTGTCTTTTGGTGTGAAGGGGATTGCTCAGCGGCAACGTCTTGTTGAGGTTGGTGCTGAGCCGGGCTGGAGGGGATCGAGACGGTTGTACATTGTGATTGCGAAGGCGAGTGTTGAATGCGCTGGCGTTTGGGCGCTGGCTGACCTGAGGACGACGAGGGTGATGTGGTTGCGTATGGCGAACATTGCTTGTGCAATGCCCTCACCATGGATTGAATCATTACACTCATCCTCGTCAGGAACAGAAGTGAGGAGTCGGCGAGGGAGTGTAAAAGGGAATGAAGTCCAAGGGTCCCTCTCCCTAAGGCGTTGTTCGCGTTGACCTGGTGGGGGGGCTGCCAGCCAGCCAGCCTAGGCAACGCCGAACTGTTGTTGATGTTGTTTTTGTATATGTTGCTTGTTGGTGAGCACACCGTTGAGGATGTTTTCCGCGTCGTGAGATGTCAATCAGCAACGCAGAAGCAATTCAATGATATATGTGGCAATAAAGCGAGCGTGCACAAACGAGCGTGCGGGCGTGCGTGCGTGCGAAGAGTGTAGGGGATTGATCGACGGCTGCTGGATTGAAGGATACGGTAGGTGGTAATGGTGCAATCGGATACGACGTAGATCACGGGAACTGGGAAGGATTGGCGGGCGGGCGGGCGAAAGCCAGGAGTGAGCAGTAGTGGTAATGGTAATGGTAGTGGTAGTAGGAGTCGCAGTAGTGGTAGTGGTAGTGATAGTAGTGGTAGCAATAGTAGTAGTAGTGGTAGTAGCAAATGGAGCTCCGCCCAGTCAGCTTGTCCCTCGGGATTCTTGGGCGAGAGTCGGAGACGTGCTGCTTGCAGGCAGACTGTGTGATATTTCCGAGGATATGTATTAGAGAGGAGCGGAAGTCGAAGTACAACAAGAAGGACGACGACGACAACGATTACCGCAACGACGGAAACGAAGCGCGAGAGGAGAAATTAAGGCAGCAGGTGGACAGGGTGACCAGGGTGACAGCGCGCGCGTGTGTAGATTCCGATACGTATGTGGTGGTGGTGGTGGTAGTATATACTGCGGTGGTGTATACAGTCCAGTACTACAATAACTACCTAGGTCCTTGGAGGCAGGATAGTGATGATACTGTGGGTGGTGAGGAAATCTGATGAGGGAGGAATGGAATGGGTGGTTGATGTAACGCGCCGCGGACGGGTGAGAGAGAGCAGCAACACACGATGTAGCAATGTACTGTCCTGTCCTGTCCTGTCCGTCCGTCCATCGTTTCACCACCACCAACCGACCTGGCTTTCCCCATCGTCAGCAAAACTCCCACCTGCCCTGATCGCTTCTCCACCACAGATCGGAGCAATACGCGGCGGGCTTATTACGATGTCATGCAAACGAAGTTCTTCTTCATTGCGGCGCATGCTCGCACCTCGCTCCAGCGATGGTGGGTCCGATGTTGAGGCGGAGGGAGGCAGCAAAGAGGCACAGTCCCATACCAGAGATAGGTGGCATCATCATGAACTGGTGAGCTGAGCTGAGCCGGTTGCTTGATGATTCCCACCTATCCAGCAACCGGCGATGATGGTTATTGCTGGAGGCATCGTTCTGTCTCCCCGCCGGATGCGGCGCAGAGGATTGGATGGGGCATACCAACAAAGGAAAGCGCAACGTCGTTTCGTGGCACGACCCGGTCGTCACAACATCCATAAGACCACACGGCTTCTCAGTTCTCTCGGCTCGGTCGAAAACACACCATTGGAGGCGATCGCGGAGAGGCAATAATAATCAGACGAACACTGCAGGGGCACTGGAGTTCCTCGCCCAGGAGCGCGCGCGGACGAATGACTGACTGGACGGACGTAGCACGTTCGCAACGGGTGGACCCTCGTTTTCCGCCTCGCATGTCATACTTTCCCGCTAGATCATCACGAACTAAAATGGTGCTGCTGTGCTGCTCCTGTGATTATACGGTAGTGCAGTCCGCGAAAGCCAAAAGAACGAGACCTTCCAATGGCTGGCTGGCTGGCTGGGGAGGACCTGTCCTTGCAACGTTTAGTGTCCACGATCGGGTTGATGGTTTGCTGGGTCGAAGCGGACATCAGAGGGCGCGTTGCTCCAGCGTCACGCCGAAGACCTCGTTCGTCCTACACCCTGGGCCTCCGCCGTTCGGCGACAACCGTCATGACGACGGACCGAACGGAGTGGACGCCTGGTGATGACCATTGGCTCTCGTTGCATTCATATCCTCGGGGTTTCGCACATCATAGATCAGGTCAAGCGCATCATCAGCGAGATGTGGCCACGGGAGTGCAATGGACAGCTCGCGATGTGCATCCGGAGATAAGCAGTCAGTGAACATACCACAATGGGAAAGTGGAACGAAAAAGATTCTCTCTCTCGCGCGCGCGCACGCGAAGGATCTCCCGTCGGTGGATCACCATTCGTTATGTGCGGTTGGCTTTTTTGTTTCGCTGTTGCGGGCGGATTGGCGAATGGTCGTGCGCTCGGGTGATTGGTTGGGCGGACCGGCGGGTCGTGAAGGAGGGAAAAATACCACGCTGCTATGCAACGACAGGTGGAACTGTGGTATGTCGACGTGTGGATGTCATATGCAGGTCGAAACGTCTGTAGGGTCACAGGCGGCGGCGGCGGCGCGGATGGACGGGCGGGCGGTTGCAGTAGTCGGGGAGCACCTTTCTGCTGTCGACCGTGCTACTGTATGTACAGTAGTCGTTTGGGACGGGTTGTTCCACCGGGATATATCAGCGCGTATAATAATAAACAGCTGTCGAGAAGAAGTTCACGATAATAAGCGTTCCCGTCTGCTGAAACTGTTCAAAGAAGTCGGCGAGGGACACAATCACCAAGGTGCCTATGAAGAGGGATGAAACAAGAACACTCCCCGATTATAAGTTCCACCTCGGGACTCATCTCAGTCCAGTCAGAGACCATGTGCCTTCTTCCGACAGTAGAAGACATATCCATATCTGCTGGGCTACAGTACATTCCATATTGCGCCTCATCACACGCCGCAAAACTGCAGTAGTTTTCGTTTCCAATTCGCATGATCGATCCCCGTCATCGGCGCGCCGAGGATCGCTACGGGCTCAGGCAGAGGAGCCAGAGCAGTCTCCCTCAACGTCCACGCCGCAATTGCGCGACGATTTCCATCGTCGTTGGCAGGTGAGGGACTTGCTCGACAGCCACGCAACGTGATACCTGTTCCGCCAACGTTCCTCTCCCATCACACCCGACCGGAATGCAGTGGTTTCCCTCTTCGCATGAGCGTGAGTGACTTCCCTCCTCTCGAACCGTGCGGATTCCGATCTCGAGGAGAAATACCAGAGATCTCCCGACCGAAGCGGAGGGAGAGGTGCAACGGTGCCTGCGCGCCGCCGCGAGAAATCGAACATGTAACCTCGCGAGGTCCACGATGCTCCTGTGTGGTTGTATGTGGTGGAGTCGAACGAGGGAACAATGACCCACCCGCGATTACATTCCTTGTCACCTCGGACGGATGCTTGCCTTTCGGGGTACAGATCGTGATATTCCGAAGTGCCAAATACCGCTTCGTTGCGTTCACGCCCGAGGCCAGAGAATCTGGTAAATAAAGGCCGGTCGTCGTTGGCGTGGTCATCATCAACGTGACAGTGACCTATAGTCCGACCGGCACTGTTGTTCCTAGCATCTCGCGATACATAGGGATCATGCTCTGCCGTCGCTACGCCTTCGTCCCTCGTGATATCGAAGTCATCCGCTCTCCGGTTTGCTCAAGATCACCTTTTCTCGGTCGGTCAAGGAGATTTCGTTACATATCTGAACTACAGCCTCTGTTTAAATTTAATTATAAAACACCCCGAACGGCCGCCTCCTATTGAATTTCCCCGAATCGAATCGAAGATCCGTCGCTGTCATCGTCGTCTCGATCGCTGGGTGAAATTACGACGGCGAACGGTGTGCTGACTGACGCCGGGAAGGTTGCTCGCTGATGTTGCATTCCGGGGGGGAGGGGGACGGCAGTGGGCGTTGTTTCGCGCGCGTCGCTGGGTGAGGTTACAGTCCAGTGGTACCCGCCCTGCCGCCGCCGCCGCCGACGACGCCTTCAATGGTTTTGACCCCTGCGGGTGGGACACGTGGGCTCCACAGTCGTAATCATCATTCCTTCTTTTCTTTTCCTTTCCCTCCTCTCGTTGTTGTGGCTGCTGTTTTTTGTCGCGAAGAGCTGCCTGGAGGCGTCGAGTATCGGCCCGGGAATGTGGTAGTGGCGTCTACAGATGTGTATTGTGGCATTGTTGGGGGGGCTACATGCCGATAATCGGCCGTGAGATGCTCTTTTGCTGATTTTGATTGAAGGCTTTGGTTTCATTCCGATTTGATTTGCTGTGCTGCTGTCGCGGGTATCCGACACGTTTGAGGTTCTGATGAGGCAACCAGGCAACGTTGTGGATGAAATGCAGACGAGACTGCGTGAGAGTTCGATATCGCAGCCATTTCACCCCGTCAAATGTCTCTCAGAGCTCTCTTCGAAGATGACTGCGGACTGCAGCACACAGTCGGCAGTGTGGGCCATCTTCACACCTGAAACCGTGACACGGATTCGCTGCTGTTGCTTAGCTTTTATAAGTTGAGGTATGTAGGTACAGTACTGTTTTCACGTCGCGTTTACACGAAAATATTTGCGCGCGTCGTGGTCGATTATTGCTCCTTGTGTGCGTATTGTAGAGAGGTACGGTACTCAACAACGCGCAACAATGATACTTCCACTCCAGGGCTGCGAACGAGTCCGTGGTGAAGCGGCGGGCCGCCAAAACACCTCACCATCACACGACGCCAGCATTCCACACTCCTCTCGCGAACCACCCTGTGCGGGGATGGACTCGATTTCTTAAGAGCGCCCAACAATGACATACAAATCCATGTGACTGTAAAAAAATGCAGAAACCTCGAATCTGTTGCGTCGCCGTCTTCCACCGGGGCGCGCTCTCCCTCGGCGCCGAAAACAGGCAGAATCTCGGCGAAGCAATCTACCACTGGGCGATCCTCATCCGACCCAAGGACATCTCCCACCTGAAAGAGAGCATCGTCGTCGACGCGACGGATGGCGTCCGCCAAGACCCCGTCACAGACAAAGATCTGAATCCCACGCACGAATGGTTCTTCCGCGTGCGAGAGGGGTTCGATCCGCTTGCGACGGCGAATTTCCTGGGAGCGGTCAACATCGGGACTTTACCTCGGGCGCCGTCGATCGCGAGGATCAGGGAGATGTTGGAAGGTTTGCCGCTGCCGCGGAAGGATCGGAGACCTTTTGAGAATTGCGTGAGCTGGGCGAAGCAGGCGATCGTCATGATGCAGATGGCGGAGCTGGTAGATTCGAGGCCTGTCGATGAGATCATGGCTGCGGGGATGGCGTTGGGAGGTAGGATTATTGCCAATGGCTTGCCGCAGGTCGAGGAGGAGCGGTTCCCGGGATTGCCGTCGAGGAAGAAGTCTGGTGGTGGGACTCTGCTGGGACGGATCAAGGGGTTGATCAAATCCACGCATCAACCTGATGAATCGAGTTCGGAGAAGGCCGAACAGGTGGATGCTTCAGGTCGACATGGTTCCGCGTAGCTCTCGTGAATGGGATCGACATATCGGTCTTGGTCGGTCTACAACGAAGTTGAGAATGGTCTCACGCGGGACATATGCTTTCGTTGCGTCGTACGTATTGGGATATAGTACATGGGACATCAGATACTGTGCTTATGTTTGAAGGTAATCTTCTTTAAATGGCACCCATCTGGCGGATACGCCTGCTGAGTGACGAGACATGATTGTTAGTGTCTTGACACAAATGACCGGGTCCCAATCCGAACAGCCACGATCTCGTGTCTGGGATTAGTCTCGTCCTCTTGGTCTGAACGTAAGCAGTCCGAATAGCTTGGAGACCACGTCCCGTACCCCGGATCATCCAGTGCATGCCTTCGCCATTCGACGGATCATGGATATGACACGGAGCAATCAAGTCAACGCGTTACATGCCATGGCATCGCGATGACTGTGGCGTTTATTCTGCTAGTGGCATCGACCGGCATGGACGCGCAGGAAGCTGTATGATAAAACCCATACTCGATCGCAGCTCTACCCGCCATGTGGCCAAACTTAGCCCCGGGAAATGACTTGAACATGGCATCCGGCAACGCCTGGCAACAGGAAACAATGATTGGATCTGCGGCCAGCGTACAAACACAGAAGCTGCGCCATCAGTGGCCTGTTTCTAGACGAAGCAAGTGTTTCACGTACGCAAAACGCCGCAGCGCATCGCGGATTCTTGCAGAGCTTCATACGTTCTTACATCCTGTAGAAGAACGTGCCGACGTAGTCCGAGCTCGCCATCACACGAAGGCAGGTTCCCTGCTTGTCTGAATGGCATCATCGTGATAGAGCACGCGGCGCTCAACTCCATCAGAAGCTCGATGATGTGTGTCGTCTGTTGTGTTTCCGATAGAGCCACTCATTGCTGGCAGGTAGATCAGATTTTGCTGTGAATTAATGTCTCACGCATTCATCGACCCTTGAAATATTCTCTGAACCAGGCTGTCGCGCTTAATCTGCAGGCGTAGCGGTGTTGTATTTGTCGCCAGCGCTCTTGAAGAGCTCTTCTTGGGCGCGAATTAACTCCTCTGCGGTCATGCCGCTAGCATCGATCTTGTTCTGTTTACGTTCACGGTTCTGCAAGTTTGATTTATGTCAGCCACCGAACATTCCATGACTTCCCTTCCAGTATCAACAGTATCAAATTCCGACATTCACTTACCGCAGCTTGGCTCTTGAATTGGTCCACCACTCTCAACAACTCTGGCACATATTCTGCAAAACCAAGCTCCTCAAGGGCTTTCGTGACATGTTCCGAGGCGATGGTCTTCTTGGCTTCCTTCTCGGCGATCTCATTCGCCTCGGCGCTGATCATGGTGATGAACTCCACGCAGCATTCTATGAGCAAGTCGCGGGTCTCTTTGGCGAAACTCATGGAATTGCCGTTGGTACCGCCGAGTGAAGGATTGGTGGAGAGAACTTCGGTAATGATCTTTCCCACCGTGGCTATGAGGACTAAGCATGGTGCGTAAAGGTTACGTGAGAAATAAAAGGCATACCTTTCGGCAAAGACAAATCATCGTTGCCTGTGACGAACCATGTCAGCGGGGTTTTTGGTCGAGATGCGATGCGTCTGTCTAACATACCTCCGAATTCTTTGTCCGACATGCTGCGAGTGAGTTTAGTATATATCAGATCTTAGACTTCCTCATCCGCTGTCTTCACTACGACAAAGGTGGTTGTTGCTTTAAGCTGCGCGAAGAGCTATCAACATTTTCTCGGGTTGAATTACTTCATCAGACCGATGAGGTCGTCGCGCTCAGCACTGCCGATGTGGTCTGTGCGGCCCGCGGTGCTCGCGCGTCCGCAGCTCTTTGCGAAAATTCGAAGCGGACAATTCTTCGATCTCTTCTCTCTCTCCAACAATCATCACACATTCAGGTACGTTTACGATTTCTTCCAGTTCACTCTTCCCCAACACCATTTCGATGATGAGATGTTGTCGCCCCTATCATAGCGCAAAATGCAAGACATTTTGTGCGTGGTGATTGACCGTGCCGCCAAAGCACTGGCTGAAAAACGAAAAACCACCAATCTCCATATCACGATTCCAGATCTCTGGCGATACAGTGTCTAATCATTGAATAGTGTTCAGGTCGAGATACAGGCGACTCTTCCGTCAACTAGACGGGAACGGCTCGTGTTTATAGCATGTTATCGTAGACGAATCAATTCCTTCATTTCACCGACTTTGCGTTTCATTTTGATCTAACCACTTCGCTCTTCTCCGACACACATTCACATCATCGTCGAGCATCTGCCGGTCATTATGAAGTGAACGCCAGGTAGCTCATCAAAACCAACATCGCCTGCTCATAACTATGGTAAGTCTTGCTCTACCATCTTTCCTCATTACATGATGTGCACAAACATTCCATGCTAAACCTGAAGGCTTCGCGCCGGATGTTGAACAAAATGTATGCTTTTCATCTTTCAACTGATTTCACACCCTCCTACACAATCTTCGAAGCTTTGATACATCTGGGTGGTCACTAATGCTTCGACAGAACGTAAAGCTCTCTTGAATCGTGTCAAGTCTTTGTCATGGCGAGCAATCCGATGCAGTACTCCGAACCTCGCAACGCCATCAGCCTTGATACTGCTTCAACTCCTCTGCGTTCCAATTGAGAAATTGTCCACTGAGCTCCGGGGTCCCGTCGAGTGCCAGCTTTGCGATGACATGCCCTGGCTGTTCCGGCTTGAGTAAAGTTCCAGAGGTCTTGAGTTCCGCAAACTTGGCAGCATCTCCGGCATCCATGAAACCGTTGTGCTTTTCGCGAATGTCTCGTTGCATCTCTGTATCGACCGTACCAGGACGAATGGCGACACTCGTGATCTGCTTCTCCTCGGTGGCGAGCGTCTTGGCGAGGTGGTTGACCGCTGCCTTAGATGACCCATAAGCTCCCCATGTTGAATAACCGTTCGTCGCAGCCCCGGAGGACGTGAGGATGATGCGACCGTGGGTATCGCGAAGAGCAGGGATAGCAGCCTTGGCGAGGGCGACGTAGGAGAAGAAGTTTACATCATATGCCGCGCGCCAGTCTTCTATCGTGCTGTCTGCGATTCTTCTCACGGGGTCCAGAACGCCATGGTTGATAATGACAGCATCGAGCCGGTTCCATCGCTTTGTGGCTTGGTCCACAGCTCGTGCGCCCAGAGTGAAGTCGGCGAGGTCACCGGTCAATACATCGACTTGATCGTTTGGGTATTGCTTCTCGAGTTCCCGCAATGGAGCTTCGCTGCGTGCGACTACCACGACTTTGTGGGCGTTCTTGAGTAGATAATGTGCCACTGCGAGACCAATGCCTCGCGAAGCGCCGGTCACGATGATTACTTTTGAGTTTGCCGCCATCTTGTTGTGTTTGGGCTATATTTGAGATCGACTTGCTGATATAAAGAAGTCAATTTAATTAACTTCTAGTCTGCGAAAATGACGTCGGAAGAATGAGCGTGTATCACACGACGGCAGCAGAAAAGCCCTGAGAGATTTGGCGTGTGCCCCGCTGTTCTGCGTCGATGATGTGATGGCAATTAGAGAATCGATCTTCCTATATCACACTGAGCTCATTCTGCTTTGTCCTTCTATCACACACGTCGTGAAGAATACTGCGAACGATACCTTTCGTGGTTAACTTCACCCATACGCTATACTTGACAGTGGAGAACAGCAGAAGCTACATCGGCATGGCCTCCCCGACGTTTTCTGTACACTTCATTTCTCGTTCAACAGATCCCCAATTTCGTCCAACAGTGACACGGTCTCCGCTGGGTTCGCGATCCACGCCGTAGTCGCAGCCAGTCTAGCCTTGAAATCATTCGCGCCGGCACTCAGGAATTGATCGCCGACATGCAACGATCTTCCGCCATCAATGCCGCCAAAATATCTTTGACATGCCATGACACCCCAACTTTTATCTCCAATGTCAACGAAGATGTCGTTTCCGCCATTGAAAGCACAGAAGGGAATCCTCTTTCCGGCGTCGGATAGCTCGAGGATCCGCTGGGTGACGAGCACAGTCTCCTCGAGTTGTTCACGAGCAAGTCGAACGCCGGCTGGTGGATAGATGCCCACGGCACGGGTCTTGCGCAGGACAGAAACGGGTAAATTGAGGTAGGTCACACAGCTTCGAAGGGCAGACTCTGCCACGTCTAGCAGTGCAGTGATGTTCTCTTCCGTCCAAGTCTTCATCTCAGGAAGTTGCCATTCTTCAAGTGGGACGGATCTGAGTTTTGACGCTTCACTGGGATCAAAGGTGAAGCAAAAGTTGCTCTCGCCTCCCATAACGACAAGCTTGTGTGCCTCAACTCCGGCGTCTGCGAGTGCATCTAGTAGTCCGTACAGTCGTTGATAATATTTCTCTGCCTCCGTATACCCAGCAGCTGTCACGATTCCGATACGTGCCCCGTTTTTGATGAGATCCAAAATACGGGAAATAACAGGATTTTCAGGTGTCAGGGAGTCGCCATCGTCATACAAGGTGACGTCTCCATCGAATGTCACAAGCTCAAGTCGGCTGCTTCGTACCAGTGACATGACCTGAGCAGAATTGAGGATCAATCTGACATCGTTGAAACTCGGCGCGACAAAGCGGCGTGAGCTAATGTGTCGGCGTGAATCCTGCCATTTAAACGCATCGGCCAACGGGAGAGGCGTGAAGAAGTTGCCGATTGATGGCACCAACAGCTTCAGCTTTGATGTCGGCTGACCGGGTTTGTTTTGATGTGTGATGTGGTCTGCTATGAGAGCTTCGACGTCCACCATGATCTGTGCGTAGCGCTCGTGGGCATTCGCTGCCATTGCGGCGACACCAGGTTTGTCATCTTCGTGGATGTTTGTAGGTTGTGAGAGGAGGACAAAAGGCACAGCGAGAAGTCCTTTGATCCATTCGATCTATGTAGAGGATCAGTATCATTGTCCGATTGACATGGGAGAGTCGGAGAATCGCCACTCACAAATTGATCACGGCGGTGAGTCTATTGCTAGATCAAAATCGACGATCAGAAGGTGTTCTCACGATCGACGTGTGCAGAAGACCTCAACGACAGACCTTTAAAGCGTCTGTTCATCTTCACTTAGCAAGTACGCATGGCGAAAAACATCAAGCTCTTAAAACAAATGTAGTTGTTTCGTTGACTCACATTCTACACGATATCGGGTGGTCATTGTCGGTGTAGGGCCTCGTTGGAGTTCGATCTTGAGTTGGAGTTACAGAGCTATGTGGACTAGAAGGCTTCAGGCGACCAGGGTACGGTCTCGTGGCGAATGAATTGCTGAATGAATGTCACCGCTTGGGATATGCACTGTATATATGTATGTTTGGAGCCGAACGTGTCTGTCCAGACAACGTCTGAGTTGAGCAGCAAGGGTTCCAACCAAACCCTGATTGAAGCCAGCAGCGTGTCACATGCGAACAGCATTGATGTGGGGCTAGTCTTGCTTCTCCAAGTAGCGGGATTACAACATGTCATGATTCGACCCAGTGACGGCACAGACAACGCTGTTGTACGCATCCCTTCAGTCGGCGGAAGCGCTTGAAATGAGAGACGAACGGAGGTGAGAATGCTTGACAAAGCGTGTCTCTATCCAGCTCGATTCCGCTTCTTTGTGATTGCAGCACCAAATGGCTAGTGGAGCATGGCCTGTTGAGGCACAGTACAATAAGTCCAGCGCTGGCAGAGAGATAGACATTGCTGCGGGATCGAAAATGCTGGTTACGTAGGTTCATGGCTGTCAACCTTGGAACCTTGAAATTTCAACCCTTTGGAAAACCCTCCGGCGATGCCTCAAGTTGATTTGCACGTCGATGTTCTTTCGACAGTCTCGTAGCATGATATTCTGAGGTTGATCCAGATCGTTTTGCAAGCACAATCAAGCTCCTGGCCACGAAGGTGTTCCAAGTTCGCCATTCTAGGTGTGCCGAATATCGTTTGAGATTGACTCCGTAAGTACGCAAAGGGAACCGACTCCTCCGAGGCAAATAAGATCAAAAATTGGCCCCGCTGTTCTTTGAGAGCAAATCATGGCCACAAGCGAGATCTCCGTCACTACAGAGCACGATGAGCCTCGACCAGAAGAACCACGACGCAACGCTTATCACCGGAATAAAGACCACCGCCTGCGGAGATTGCTCACGATGGAGACATCTCTCGCAAAGAACATTCACAAGTGTAACCCACAGACAGATTCGCCCATCTGGAGACTTCCACAGGAGATTCGCGACATGGTGTGTGGTTCAACATTTTCTTTGTCTTCTGGTTTGCTATCACGCTTCCTCATTTAGAACGGCTTATGCAAACGACTCACAAATGTGGCCTCCTTGGCATCTACGTAGATCTTCCCACTCATCACGGCCCAGTACGAAGACACGTCACAAGCGTATGAAAACTACGAAAATTGGTATCGGCCCGATCATCGAGGGCCATTGAGGTCAGATACAAGCATCTTGCAAACTTGCCGCCGGGCCTGGTTAGAGACGAATGCGCTACCGATGCAGCAAGCTGTGCATCTTTTCTGGCACCATACCAACATTCAAGACGCGAAACATGACAGGCTTCCTGGCAGGTGGTGGCAAGAGTTTGGTTCGCGCTTGACGCATCTGAATATCGAAAACATTCAGAGAATCCATCTCATGTTCCCGGTGCATAACATGCATCAGGTCTTCGAGAGAGAGAACAGTGTCGCGAACATGGTAAGATACGTCAAGCCGAAGATATTCAGGGTCACGAATCGGTATCATGATTGGCCCGCCTCGGACTGGAGAGATGGGTCGTATCGTACCACGGTCTGTGAAAGACAGGTAAGACGTCAGATCACCATGCTGCTAGATGCGTGTTCCGTTCATGTAAAGAAATTTCAGCTTGCTCTGGAAGTCCTTCCTCGTGAACGGGAGGGGTACGCAGCATTTTTTGGCACGATTCGGCGATTGAAGAAGAAGTTGGAGATGACGAGGCATTCGTATGACGCCGATCCCGTCGTGTCGTACCTCTGCGTGGTCGATGAGCCCCGTTCTTGGCGATGGCGCCGTCGCCGGTCGACGAATCGCTTCGACAAGAATGACAAGGTGACTGAGTCAAAAATCGAGCTTCGCGTTCTTGAATTGGAGTGGATACGAGTGTGCGAGGTCGCGGAGTCGCTACTTAACACGAAGGCGAACATCATCACAGAAGCCGCGCTCCATATTTCAAGTTCGCATATGTTTGCCCAGCCAAGCGGCGTTGCCGAACGCAAGGAATCCGGTACCGCTCAGAAGGTGCTCTTGTGGCAACAACGCCATGTCCAGCAGCATTCACAGAAGCTTCACAACGCCCATGAAGCGCAATGTCGGAAACTGTTTACCAGGTAGCTTGTGGAGTTTGAGACCGGTGTGAGCTTCAGCGAGTACACGCCGGAAGGATCTTTGTTGTGTAGTGTTGAAGATTAATGTGAGACATCCTATGGAATATATTCCTAAGCTCATGGTGCCAACGCGGGCGACTCAATGTGCAAGGGTTTTACCCAAACCCTAATCGATATCAGCATTGTCACATGCGAACTGCGTTGACGTAGGGCTAAAGTTCGTTCATCTAAACTGGAGCAGCTAATATAAATCAATCTCATTATATGAAGCACACATGAAGCACGTACTAGAAGTGTTGTCTTTCATGCACAAAGCGCACTGCTCCATCTGATTGGTGGGTATCGATGCAGTCATGAATGACCCGACGCAGCCACTCACATTGCGCCCGTGGCCGCGCGATGGCACGAATACAACGGCACTACAAGATGTCCTAGCACGAGTCAATCTGGAACGAGGACACTTCCGAAACATCAATGAAGCATCACTACAAGAAGAGATTGCGGCAGAGGGAGGACTCGAGTCGTCGGAGAGTGACGATGAAGAAGATGAAGAGGATGACGACGGAGGGCAAGAGATGAAGCAGAGCAAGGCCATGTCACGTGAAGACCTATACAGGATGAAGCACGAAATGCTTGCATTTGTGGCACAGGCGGAGCAAGATGTTCTAAAGTCCTTGGATTTCGTGTCATTGCTGGAGTCTGCGCAAAACCCAAATGGCGGAGTGACAGTGTCGCAGGTGCTGAAACAAAATGTTCCCCTTGGCTCGTTGGGTACGGATGTCTGGCATCGCATGCCTGAAGACAAGCCTCGTCAGGCGCAAGAAGCACTCATAGCGACAAGCGTACGGTTGCAAGGGCTTCAAAAGAGCGCGGACACTTTGCTGGCTGCAGCGACTCGTCTAGAGGATAATGCACGACAGGAGACAAAGTACTGGGAAGAAATTTTGGCTATCGCCGACAAAGGTTGGAGTGTCAGCCGGATCCGACAGCGATCACATATGCTTGGAGTTCATTTTGGATTCAATGGAAGCCTACCGATATTTGCCCGAAGAGATCTTGCAGCTCTTGTCACCAATCCGGACGGTGACATCACGCTGGAACGGGGAATAGGCACAAAGCCTACGGCGCTACGAGTCATGATCAGTAGAGATGGCAAGACTATCGGAGCCTCCAGACTACCAGTGGTTCCGAAACAGAACGACACGAATCTTGATACCCGGATTCGTTATGCGAGAGATAGTCTCTATGACGAAGAATTAAACCATGAGTTAATACAAGAGAGCCGCAATTTGGCATCAATGGGTGTCAAGCTCGAAGGCTCCCGGATATGTTTCTATGCGTCCTCTGTGCCGTCCCCGCAACAGTTACAGATATCCTTCGAGCTCTTATCGCTCGACAAGAATAATAGCCTGGGATCGGACGTCACTGACGAACAGGATATTTTGGCCGAATCTATTTTGCTGGGTGCGAAACTTCTTCTGAGTCAAGCTCATCGCGAGCGCTTGAAAGGAAAAGCGCGGGTTCCCAAACCGCTATCCGAGAAGAAGGATGAACCACCACAGTACCCAATCTTAAAGCCGTTGGTGTGGTTATTCCGCCATTCGTCCTGCATCGAGACCCTCAATGGAAAATTGCAGGCGGTCGAGGCACTGCTCAAAAGGGCTTCGGTTCAGTCCACACTTGAGAGATTGAAGATGTCGTTTCCACAATTATCGCATGCTACGAGTGCAGAGTCATTGATCGGCATTGCATTGCAACCTCTGCAGAGCACTGCCAAATTTCAGATCACCGAGGTTGGCCTTCCCGCGGTTGAAATCAACATTAGAACACATCTTCAATTTTCCACAGGCACTTTATTTTCGATCTCCGGGCCGGATGGAATCGTCGCCAACGATTGTACAGATATGACTCAGCTCATTGAGATTTTCGACAGCGTGTTGGCTGGCCTCTTGGTACGCTCACTTGCTTCACAGCTTGGCACAGAGTGGAGAAGTCAAGTGCGGACCTCGCAAGTATGCCGAATCCTCCAGGATGCCGATTCCACTCGTGTGGCTGAGATCAAGCTCCATGTGGATAGCAAGGCTCAAACACTGAGCCTCAGCTCTTATAACGATCGCGTAGTGTGGAGTGGAGTTTCTACAGATACCTCGAATCAGCAGACATTCATCGAAGCTGCCGAGACATTGGCTGGCGCAGTGGCGTAGGATACTGCTGTTGAGGTCGCCCAATGCTAGCTTGATGAGTTGTTCGCATCCAACACGCCTCAGGAATCGTCGCCGAGGAGAGTTGCATCTGGACAGTGACAAGATTTTGTAGATGAAGACATCATTGGTTGGAAAAAGTTGGTCAAATTCAGTCCATCCGGGATCAACGCTCGAAAGCGGATAATTGTGCGCCCCCACCACCGATCTATATAACGCCTTCCTCGAAGGGAAAATATCACAAAACAGGGCCGTGCAAGGCCAACTCCAAAGCTCCAGAAACTCCAAGAAGAATCTTTCCATAAAGCATCGCTCACATTATAGTATCGTCGAGAATGGTATCACTTCCGAATCTGATGGCACGCATCAATTGGCGATCAAGGACATATCCAATGGCCGTGGTGGAAGTCCATTTGCACCTCTCTTGCTCTTTGGGAGAGAACCCATCCGGGCCTTCTTGGGTTGGGCCTGAATAGAGGCGATGAGTTCTTCGGCCCCAAAGGCTGGAGTCATGATCGACAGACGCCGCTTGTTACGCTTGGGCATCTCATCAGCCTCGCGGATGGTAGTCAATTGCGTAGGTGCGTGGGCGGGAGTGTCATAAAGCCTGCAAGGTCGGTCATGTTAACATTGATCCTCAAATTAACCTTTGGAAGCATTCAAGTCTTACCAGTCATGGCTGCTCACAGGTGACAACCATTCCAGGACGCGTCGCTGCGGGTCGACAGAAACCTGCTCGAGGAGCTGGGGCTCGACGATGTCATCAAGCGAGGTTCCCTGAGAAGGCGGAGCAGCTCCGAAGTGCTCGCGGACACTGATGTACCACTGCTTGACCTCATCCGGGGTCGATCCGAATTGAGCGATGGTCAAAAGGCACTGCTGCACGTCCTGTCGAGATGTTAGAAGCACACTTCATCTTTTTCAAAGTGATGATCTGATCACGTACCACAGGAATGCTGGAGACCTGAGTGTACAGGTTGAACTGGTCGAAGATCTGTGCGCCGTCCATGATGATGATAATGTCGAGTTGGAGCTTGATTTGCTTAATGTGCCTGTTTCAAAGCCATCATGGAAACATCGAGGCTTTATATCTATCGAAGTCTCCGCCATCATCGACTTGGACACATACACCGCGCTTGATCTCTACTCCGCAATATGACAAGAAGATGATACCTTTGTCGTATCGTTGTTATGGAGACAGTACGAAACACCGGTGGAGTATCCAATGTCTAGCAAGTGCAACAATGGCCGCATTGCACGAGCAACCCAGGCATTCTGAGCATTCGGATGTCCTTAGCAGCTTCTCAGCCTCAGCAAGATTTCCTAACCCATGCGCGGCAATACTAGCGACGTCAGGGAAATCGTCATATCTGCCGCCCAAGGACATGGTCAAGTGTTCAATGAGGGCAAGTCTCGCATGTTTCGAATGTCCAAGGCATCGTTTGATCAATGTCTGACGCCAGGCGATAAGGCAGCGGATATGCCCTGCGGGAAAACAAATCAATATGTGGTCTCTCGGAATGACTATTGGAATTGCGTACACATGTTTCCGAGGCGGGTTCATTGCCCATCAGCTGTGTCCAAGCGCATCGACGAAGCGCCAGCCGCGAGGATGTTTTGCAAATCGACATCTCAAACACAGATCGTGACAGAATTCAATCAGCACTGTGTCAACGATAGTGACAAATCCTGGGCATTGGAGAAATTGCCTACGACTTGTCGGCGGGCCGCTGTCTGTGCACAGAGCCGATCAGCAGGAAGAGGCACAGCGAGCTTCAGGTTATTGATAGTATCATCTTCGGGAGACGAAACGTGATCGTGATTCTAGCCTGCGCCGTAGGCCTGAAGCCTCAGGCGGATTCGAAACTGTTAGGTGACTGATCAAGCAAAGCCGTAGGAGCGACAAGCAATGGGCCATTTGCGGCCGCATTTGATACAGGTACACCTGTCCGCTACGATTGCACAATGGACTCGCCAGGTTGCATTACATTTTGTGGCACGACATGGTTCTCGGGATACCCTGCATCACACAGATTCAGGTACGCGAGGTCTTTGACCAACCAGGCGCTTTCTCCGAAGCGCCCCCATACGTGTTAGTCCTGCGGCCAGGACACCATGCTCTGGGCCGCAGCAGACTATCCACCATTTCACGTGAACTTTCTGCGGCCGAGGTCACCACACGGCGGGACGTCGCAGAAATGTTTTTCGCACTACGCGGTTGTGGCCCCAACACAAGCTTTGCAACATCCCGTCCGCAGCAAATGTGCTTGCACGATCTGCAAACGCGGTCGCGCGAGCGTTCAACTCAAGCAAACCCAATGCTGCGCTAACCAGCTTCAGGCGCGTATTTTGCAAAACCCGTCGAAACGGCTCGTGAAATGACCAGGTGGGACGTGGCACAAGCATGAAAGACGAGGTTGAATGCTCGTCTTGATTTTTGTCCCGTGGGACTCTCTCTATGACGAAAGTACGCCGGAGGACCCACCGCTGAATAATCACATCGCCTCGCAAAATGCGCCCGCAAAAATCCTCAACCCTGAAGATGCCTAAAAAACGCCTTCCAAAAATAGATCAATGCAATCCTAATAACAACCACGCGCACATGTTGGTCTTCCTTCAAGCCGCATTTGTGGTAAGCAATTCCGAGATCTGGATCACTGTTGCTTTCCCAGCAGGCTTGATGGTCATAATTTCCGCAACCTTCTCCGATGCAGCCGTGTCGCTGATGGAGTACATGGTGCTCTGAGAATAGTAGCTGGCGTTGTCGTCTTCGCTGACACCGTTGGTCCGTCGAGTCTTTCCCCACGATGACCCCGATAACGAGGAGCTCGAAGAGGATGTGTGACCCGCTTGCAGCAATGGTGGGGTCTGCTGGATCTCCGATGCATTGTACGGCCACTCCAGCGCTGTGAGTCGGTTGTCCGCCACTGGCGTCGCCAGCTGAATGCGCAGTGAATTTCTGTCTTGCTCTTTTTGCAGCTGGCCTTTCACCGGTCCGAGCGGAAAATAAGGCGAGCCGTATCTGCGGCTCTTCTTGACGTTCGAATCGATTTTCAAATCCACCGGGAGATAAATGCGGACGGTCTCATCGAATGAGGCGATGTGCGGGATGGAGGGCAGCGGGCGTTCGAGGTTGGCAGGTAATGGGGCCGGTTGTGTCTCGGCGGCCGTCGATGACCAAGCTGCCTTGCAGACCAACCCGAGGCGTTCGCAATTATTGCAAATCGGTTTGGTCTCGTCACATTTCTTCCGTCGAGCACGGCATGTCAAGCAGCCGGTTTTGCATCGGGTAAATTTGCGCTTTGGCTTCGTGAGGCCTCCGGTCATGGTCTCTAGGGCGAGACTTGAAGCTTGGTAGCTAGAGCTGCGAGCGGGATGTTTCTGGACCTTGGCATCGAGAGCTGTGGGTCGAGGTAGAGGGAGTGGTGCATTCACCGCACCTGTTGGTGATTCCCTGCGAGTCGTTAGCGATCGTCGCTGTAGTCTTGCCGTTCCGAACATGCTCACCACCATCCTCGATGGATTTCAAATGAGGCAGCAGCACTCTTCTTGGGTTGCTGTCTGCTGTCGACCCGCGGTGGGATCACTCCTGGAACGAAAGGCATCTCTTCGGATTTCGCTGTAACTTCTGACAAGGAAACTGCTATGAGGATCTGCGAACAGAATTACAAAATTGACATTTCTACGAATACGGAGATGCTATCGACTTTGACAACCTGATCTCGATCAATCGACTATTCCACCGAGCCGGTTTTCTCCAACAAGCCAGATGGCAACATGTCGTTGACTATCTGTTTCATCCGGGACGAGATGTTGAGCCATGTTGTTGTTGTTATTCCCGCGCTCAGTATCTCAGTCCATTTCGAAACACCAATGACTGAGCCGATGATATGGAACTCCCTCGACATGTGCATTGACTTCCTGTGGCACGTAGGCGCAGTAGACGCAGGCCGTTAGGATTGCAGACGGCGAACCCTCGGCCACACCAAGCTGTATCTCCTCCAGATAGGGCTGTGCCTCATCAGATGCACGCGGGACAGAGCGATACTGTATGCGCATCAGCAGTACATTGTCGATACTGCACGACTCGACATCCATGCGGATTTACGCAGGCCTGCCTTTTCGTCCGAAAGAAGGTTCGTTCCGCGCGGCCTGACATTCGACCTACCCAGGTACCCGCCGGTTCTGCACCAAAAGCGGCCGCTCCCGTCCCGTCTGCTGCGGCTCTGACAATAGCGTCGATTTCCAAAAATAATCCATCTAGCATGGTCGGGAGGTATTTTGCTGCCATTTTGCTTTCTCGCACGGGCATTTTGGTTATCACTCTCCGCGCCTAACAAATGTTGGACGGACAATCACTTCCACATCGATGCCGCGCGGACGGGTTTCACGGCGGCAAGACTCGGAGGAGGCACGGCCTGGATGGGCGAGGCAAACTGGAGTGCGCGATGGTGACACGGGACGACCAATTGGACCTCGATCAAATCTCGCATCGAGTGTGTGGCATCTGATTGCGGGGCCGAAACTGCAGCTTCGTGAGCTTCATGCGTGTCATGGTATGCGGATGTAAGTATCATGTAGCAATGGCGCAAGTAAGCAGCACGCCTTGGCCGAAGTCAGCAACATTCTGGGCACTCATTGGCGGTCCATCAGCGATGGATTTCCTTTGGTAGCTGTATCGACAATCGCCGTGCATAAGGCCAGTCGGGGAAAAAACAAGACTGAGGGCCAATGCTGGTGCAATCTTGAAACAAGATCCCGTGGCTTAGGAGCGCGGGACTAATGCGGCGGTGCTCATGTCTGACCTCGAGGGTGTCGGGATATTTCCACTCACATCACAAAGTTTATTTCGGGGTCCGGGACCCAAGGTTGGAGTGGCGTCAGCAGCCATGGACCGTGAGACGACTCTTCTCTCTCGCAGAGTTATGCTGTTTGCAGACATGCATCTTGACTAGTGCCAACACTTGAGCCAATGCAACGGCCTAGCCCTGGGAAGCGTGCTATCAAGATTCTGAAACATGCGGCCTGTTCACCATGGTTATGCCTCGCGCGCGAGGCATTACAAGTAGCCGCGACATCTCCGCCATTTCAACAGGCTCAATCACAACAAGTTTCAAACCTCTCAAACACTACTACACTGAGCAATACAACCATTCACTGAGCATTCTTTCATCATGGACTCTCTCTTTGCCATGGACCAATACTACTCTTCCACTTCCATTACCTCCATTGAGGACACCGATCCCAAGTTTGAGCTTGAATCGTACGAGACCGTCCTCCCTTCTTCCGAGGTCGATGCCTGCTCCACCAAGACCAGCTCGCCTGACCCAAAGTCTTCCCCGAGTGAGCGTGCCGCTTCGGACACCTCTGCTTCCCCTCGCGACACTCAGACCTGGAACAACAGCAACCGCCGACGAAAGCGCCACGAGGAGATCCACCGCCCATACGTCTGCGGCTGGGACGGCTGCAACAAAGCCTATGGCCGCCTCAACCACCTCAACACTCACATCGCCATCCACCGTCACGGACAAAGACGCACCGGCATGGACTTCCCCGCTGCATCCCGCAAGAAGGCCCCCCGCACTCCTGTCCCCGAGATCCCCTGCGAGCAGCCCGCTCTCTCCTCAAGCTCCTCCTCGCGCTCCTCCCTCTCCGGCACATCACCGATGGGCACCTCATGCTCCGACGAGCCCTTCAACTTCTGCACCCCGCTCGAGTGGTCGACGCCTTTCTTCGAGGGCTGCGAGCAAGCGACCAACGAGACGCCCATGATCGCCAATAACTTCACATACCTCGAGGCGACCAAGATGCGCCAGGAGCACGACCGCAACCAGACCTTGACGCGCGTCAAGACCCTCGAGCAGGAGCGCAACGCCGTCGCCGAGGAACTCTCCCGCCTCGACCAGCGCATCCTCAGCGAGCGACACGCCTTTGCCTGCAGCCAACAGAACCTCGAGCGCACCCTCGACGAGATGAGCCAATGGCGATACCCCCAAGGCGACGAGTCGATGTGGTTCCAATGAACGCATCATCCATCTCTCGCACCCACGCTCGCTTTATCACTGCGTCAGGCACGCGAGGCGGGCATGATGACTCTCACGGTCGTTACGGATTTCCTTGAATCTTATTATCTTTGGCACAAAAAACGGCGCATGGTTCGGGAGTGGAGCACTACTGGTTTGGTGTTGGTGTTTTTGGCGAAGACGAAATGGTCTTCATGGTTGGGCGGCTTTCAATTGTTCATGATTTTTACCCACAACGGTGCATTGCATGTATACCACGACATCTCTATAGAGCCCTACTGGCTGGGCCTTGATTTATTTACTCGTTTGTGTTTTGTGAGCCCTCGACGGAGGCGACACACAGATACTACTATAGAAGCAGCCTTTCCTTTTATCAGGAAGAGGAATCGCAAACATGATCACTCATACATTCATTCATCGATTGACCCAATTGTCTCCCAGTGTCTTTCAATCACCTCAATGTCCTTCCAATCCTGCCCTTCCTTTCCCATTCAGAATCGCGCGTCGTTGCAGGGCATTGCATTGCGCATGGCACGCTGCGCGCTTTGTCAATGTGCGCAATTCCCCCGTAAATTCCATTCCTTCCTTCCTCCCTTCCGTCCCTGCCACCGACCGTGCCTGCTTACACTCCAATTCATTCCAGCTGCACTGTACTGCACTCAGACACTTTCTTATCATCACTTCGCAGGACAGTGCAGAATACGCGACATAGGGCACAGGGTCTCCAGGATACAGTAGGTGTGCGCGTGAGTTGCGACCGATCCTCGCAATGCGATCCGCAGGGAACCACCATCGCCACTCATTCATCCAACGTGGTGGCGGTGGTGGGTAGGGAGGTCGTCGCCGTCTTCGTTACTACTACTACTGTGTCTGTCTATCACCTCGGATTTTGTTCGTCCAACCGAATTGTTGGCCCCACCTCTCCTCCCAATTTCAATGGGGGACCTGAATGCGGCGTGCAACAGCCCACCGGCCGGCGTCGAGACTTGCCGTCTCTGCCTGGATTCATCATCATCACTCACCACCTCCCGCTGGACGTCCCCCCAACGTTCGCTCGGTTTCCGTTACGAGAAGATCCGCGCGTGGTTTTACCCGTTTGTGAGAAATGCGGCGTTTTTCGAAGACGAGGAAGAAAAAAGTATATATATACACACATATGCTGTTTATTATTACATGTTGTGTGATTGACTCTGCATGGTGGTGATGGAAAGGGTGCGGGAGAAAAGTTCGCGACGTTTTGGCCCCCCAAAAACTCGGTATCCATCGCTGCTCCTGCTCTGCTATCTACTCTTCTCTGTATGCGGTGCGTATGTGTGTGTGCCGGCCTGGCGATCTACATATAGAAATCTATCGCAAATTACAGTATTATTACGCACAGTATTCCTGAATTCCCTGTACTGTACCTGCGCAAGCGAGAGATCTCACTCGCTCCCTTCCTTCCTTCCTTCCTCTATGTATCTATCTTTGCGACATGCAGCTATGCATGAGTAATCCTACATCCCTCTGACTGAGGACGTGACGTTCCCTTTCGCCTGCCCGTGGCTGCGAGTGAGGCCCGCTCGTTTGCTCGAGCAGCAACGGCAACAGACGGGAACCGGTGTACGCTCCGCACAATTGCCTGCTCGTGGAAGGACGTCTCGAATCCCTATCTTCAGGTTCGAAAAAAGAGCGTGTGCGTGCATGCGCGGGCGGGCGGGCCAGGCCTGATTGTCAGCGTGGCGGGTGCTGTAATTCCTATTTTGCCTGGAAATCCCTTGCGCGATTGCGCATTGCGCACGCCCACCGCACAGCACAGCAGGCAGGCAAGGCACGCAATGCACGCAATGCACGCGCACGCATGGGCAATAACCAACGGGAACGGGGGCGGGACTCCTGCTGTGATTTACATGCCGTCCACGGGTTCGAAGTATTCCCCGACGACAGGTCGCGTTGCAATCAATGTGGATGGAGCGATAGGAGATTCTTCCCGAAATGCCGGGTGGTCGCATATCGTCCAGTCACTCCAGTGTCACTCCAGTGCGGCACAGCACACCGTTGCAGCGATGATCATGATGGTGACAATCGCAATAATAACGGAGGACAATCAGCGACTGGGGAGGGGTATTGTTGGTGGAGGAGATGGAGGAGGAGGATGAGGAATACAATCTGGACGGGTCTTGTCTGTGCGGCTCTGACTCTGGCTCTGACCCTCTCTCTCTGCCTCTCTGCCTCCATCCCATCACTCTGCCTGTCTCCATGTATACAATCAGCACATGTTGGTGTGGATGTGATCCCTGACCCCGGGAAATTGTCGTTCGCAAAACTCAATTGCTGCCGCCGTTTGCTGCGGCCAGATAGCAGGAGGACACTCGGACATTTGTGTTATGGGACAATAAATAGCATCATGATCCTTTCCGTGCCCAACCGTCGCTCGCATTGACCTCGTTGCGGGAGAGAAGAAAAAAAAAGGGTGTGCGATGCCAACTAAAGTAGAGCCGCATCGGGAAAGCGACAAGGTACAGGTAGCTAGTAAATGTTACCAAGAGGAGGGCGAGAGAATTGGGAGAACACACCCTTCACATCATTCTCCACCATCTACGGCGGCGGCGGCGGCTCCGACACTGTTGATGAGAGAAGGAGGAGGGGTGGGCACTTTGGCCCCCAGGTCTTGCGCTTTCTTCTCGCCCGTTCCCCATCCACCTGGCACCCAAACACACACAGCCCCAATCTTCAACCTGCGTCTGGCGCTTGCTTCTTCTTCATCATTCATTCGTCGTCCTTGATCTTGATGACAGATCTCAGATCTTCCAGGGTACATGGACATGTCCATACATATTTTCGCGACATATACGGTACTGTTCTGTCTGACAACCAATGCCTCTCCGCCCGGAAGGCCAGGGTCAAAGTACTGTGCTGTATAGTAGTAAGCCTTCCGGTCCATGGCCATCAGCAACAGTAAGACCAACCAGCCCACGTGCAGCCAACCACCTGCCTGTTTAGGTGAGAAATATAACAAATTCACCACTGTAAGCTTCCACGCCACATGGGGAATCCTTACCCTATCTGGGCCGGATTCGACCAGAAATGACCACAAATATAACTAACTTCCGACGAGAGACCAACATCGCGACCACCACCACCACCTCTCGAGACGCGCCTCGAATAGTTCCCGCAACGAACACACTTGTCGACCCAGCCCACCATTCACCATCACCGCACACCATCTTGTGTTCTCGCGTCGCGAGGATCACTCGTCAAGCTTCGCCTACTGCACTGCGCCGCGCTGGCGTCCGCGAACGGGGTCCCAGGGCGCGCGGGAGCCAGTCAATCACGCACTCACCACGCTCTCCCTGCGCGCCAATCCACGTCCCAGACCATGCCCTTCCCTCTTCCCTTCCTCCGCCTCATTCCTCATCCTCATCCTCATCGTCAGTCGCCCGCTCAGTCCACCTGGGCCCACGGACCCGGCCTGGGTTCTGTCGTCCCGTCCGCTCCTGTCCTGTGCCGCTCCCGCCCATTCGCGCTCTCCTCGTGCGCCCTGAACGACAACAACGAGCAACAGGAAATGCAGTCCCAACGGCAGGACGGCCATGAGCCATAATGCATCATCGATGGTGTGATTTCTTCGCCATTTGCCTCTCAAAGCCTGCGGAATTTCTTGCTCGGCGGAAGTTTCAAACGACGCGGTCCGAACCTACATGGGCGTTGCATCGCGAGCACTCGGCGGCTATGTGCGTCCAGAGCCCATGCAGGTGGGTGGTGATGATCAATGTCGTGCCGCAACGTTGCGGCTGCTACTGCTGCTGCCTTTGCTACTGTCACCGTCACGACTAATGCAAATATTGCCGTTGTGATGGCTTTGGCGGTCTTCCCGAGATGCTGACTTATTTCCGTCTTACATATCTGCTCCTCACACGACGGGGGCAAAAAAAGGTAAGATGAGGAAACTCCAACACACGTCCCTCCATCACGTTCTTCGCTGCTTATCTCGGCGAAATGTAAAGAACAACAGTGCAAACCTCCCTCGGCGCGCGCCATGTAGCAATACGCTCTCGGTCCCCGCACGTGTCATCACCACCTCGCCTCATCTGCGCATATCTCGCGGGTTTCTTCTATCGCCCGGGTCGGGATTCAGCAAGGATGACTGAACGATTGTTGGTGGCGAATAGTCCTCGGCGCCCTCTAACTAGGCCCACGTTCGCGCGGACGGGGGCCAGAAAACCCCTCCAAATCCTCACCTGATGGGAGACCAACCGTACAAGAATTCTTTTTTCGTACCTCGCGCGAGATGGTCTTTGTTTGACCCTGTCGCCCTCGCGACAAGCGCGAAAAGTTCCGGCCGGTCTACGATGGACTCGAGACGAAAGCGAAACATGCCGGAAGCAAGACCCAGGCTTCTCGCTTGACGGGACTTGTCCGGGATGCGAGGTGTTCCCTTCTCTCCTCCAAGTGCGCCCCTCTCTGACTGGATCATGAGACGGGGCTGATTATTCTCACTACTCGTTCAGACCGGCGGGTGTAGCACTCTCGCCAGACCGGCGTTCTTTTTTTCTGGACAGGTAATCGTCGTGTGTTCCAGTGAAAGGTGGACTCTACTGGCGCATGAGTACTGACGTTGCTGCTGTCGCTACTGTCGTTCGTGGTTTGTGTTGTCGCTGCCCGTCTTCGTCGTCGTCGCTTTCGCATTTGTCGATACTGTTTCTGTGTTGGTGATCGTCCTTTTGGATTCCTCTCTTGATCGTCTTGCGCTCTCACGATATCCCTGTTTGCATTGCATCATGGCGAACCTCACTCTGAGGGCGGATCTTGCTTTCTGCCCACCGCCTTTCTTCAATGCTGCGAACTTCACAAGTGGTGGTGGTTGTAAGTAACCTGGAAAACAGACCAAGCATCCAAAAGGTCGACGTCGAACGTGTGCACTGACGACTCGCGATTCCCAGATCTCCCGGGTCGATATTGTAACCCAAAGGGCTACTTCGACGGGAGCGATTTACAGTGTTGCCTGCCCTGTCCAGCGACGGATTGGGTCTACGCAGATACCTTCAAGCAGTCCATATCGGCATCGCAATGGCTGAACGTCGCGGGCATCGTCCTCCTGACCTTTCTCCTCTTCTCGCAAATCGTCCTGCCGCCGCAGAATCGGAGCAATTACCTCGGAATTTGCCTGACGGCCGCAGCACTCACCATGTCGATCGGCTTCGTGATCCCGCTGGCGAGCAAATCGGGCCAATGCTACGATCCCATCACCCCGCACGATATGTGGTCGTCGAGGGCATGTTTCGTCACGGGCGCTCTGGTCATCGACGGGACGCTCTCGGTGCTCAGTTGGATCCTGGTGCGAGCCATCTCCATGCATCTCCAAGTCTGCTGGAACGTCGTGCCCGGGGCGCGCTTCTTCTGGGGCGCGCAGGTCGCAGCCTGGGGACTCCCGATCCTCTTTGCGAACTTGACGCTCTACCTCAGCGGCGTGAGTTATCGCTTCGGCAACGTCTGCTACCTCAACCACGAACACTCGCTGGTGTTCTGGACGCCGATGATGATCATCGGAGGCACCGCCTTCCTCCTCCAGATCTGCACCTTCCTCTACTGCGCCCGCGTCTACCTCTCGACCGCGCGGCGCGGGGAGACGGCGACGACCAACGGCTCCGCTCTTGAGGATCTCCGCTCGAACTACATCCCCAACGTCTACCGGCGCATCCGCGCCGTGTGCGTGCTACAGTGGCGGAGCATGGCCCTCGTCAGCGTCGTCCTGCTCGAGCTCTCGCTCTTCTCCATCCTGATCTTCTTCCTCGACCGCGTGCAGCAGTTCCTGCGGGCCTTCCCGCAGCAGGTCGTGCCGTGGGTCCTGTGCATCATGCAGCACCCGACGGACAAGTTCCAGTGCACGCACCTGATGGGCGGCATCATCGTGCGGGAGTCCCTCCCCGACGCGGCCATCATCCTGTTTTCGCTCGTGGGCATCGTCGTCTTCTTGCTGCTCGTCCCGCCTTCCCTCTTCGTCGCCTGGCGCGCATTCTTCTCTCCTTCTTCCTCCGCAGCTGCCACCGCGCGGGCGCCCGCCATCCGATCTTCACATACCTTCCCTCCGACCAACAGCCACAGCCGTCCGACGAGCAAAATGCCGCCCCCGCCCCGCCGCCACACCGACTTTCCACCCGCCTCCTCCAACGAAGGCGGCAGAAGCAGTCTCACGCGCCCTGCACCCTCACACCACAACCGCAGCTGGTCCTCCACCAGCACTGATTCCACCAACACCACCTCCTCCTCCACCTTCTCAACATTTAAGCAGAAACATCACGTCCGCACGAAGACGAAATCCTCCCTCATCTCGGACACCAGCAGCATGACGGACATCTGCCTGGACACGAGGATCGTCGAGGAGAGGGAGGTCCAGGCGAGGGAGTTGCAGAGCCCGTCGGGCCCGCGGAGCGTGTTCGATTGGAACTCATCGCCGGTGTCAAGGAGGGGCCATTATCCCTGGTCGACGTCCTCGAGGCGGTGATGGCGATTTCCACGAGACTGTGATGCATGATGATGATATGCATGATGACGATGATGATGGTTACGGGAGGAGGAGGTCCGTTTTGTGTCTCTCTGTTTGCATTGCGTTGTATGACATTTTGAGCGTTTTAGACTAGAATAATAGAGTTCCTTGAGGAAGCATGATAGCCGGGCTTCATTGGCCCACCGACGAACGAAGAATGAAAGCTCATGGGTTTCGACATTCTGTCCTTTCCAGCGACACCCTCTTCCGGAGAATGCTGAAGCTTGACGTCCTGCCTGTCATCTTGTCTCAAGGGTGCCTCTTTCCCTCCTCTGGGTTGACCTTGATTTGTGGCAGTGTACGAGTCAGGCCGTGCGTCACGTGTCTAAGATCCTCGGTCGACTCCATCCTCTGTAACCCGAGAAATGTCCTGGACGGTGTCGTGGTTTTCATTACCACCTGGGCGTCCAGGGAGAAGGAGCGGAATAACCCTAGCCCACCGGGCTTGGCCCAACCCAAACCCTAACCACACAACCACCCGTGGACCCGTCTTCTCCCAGACACCCCCGCGACGGCGGCGGCGGCGAAACATCTCTGAGAAAGTCTCCCACCCACCGCTTCCCCACCATGACGTAGCACTGTGCATCCGCGAGAGAGCTTCTTCTTTTTTCGCAGAGCCGCATATATTCCAAGGCTTATTGCCTTTTCGAGTGCCCTCCGGAGTGTGTTTGTTTGCCCAGGTGGCGGCGGCGGCGGTGGTTGTTTATATCACGGCGCTCTCATACTGTACTCCAATGGCCGACGGGTCATCTCCGAGTTTGTCGGGCAGGAGAGAAGCAATACTGTACTGTACTGTGTGCTGTACTGTGATCCAGTAGGACAAATCCAGCAGGGCAAATCCAGCAGGGCAAATCCCGGAGGACAGCTGAGGCGACACAGTACGACAAATCCAGGCGATCGGCATCTGGTGCGGGACATGTCTTAGAGGAGAAGAAGAACGAGCGCGCGCATACTAGTTATTAGACCCTCTCAGACCCCGTGGAGAGACACGAGAGACACCAGAGACACGAGAGATGCCATGCTACCCGGGCGTGTGTCGGGCAGGGCTGATGAACGAAACGAGGCTTTCACGCATTCTATAGTGTATGCTGCGCTGTGCGGTAGTGGTGGACCGTGTTATCATCGACGCGGGAATTGTGGATCCCCCCCAAGACGCTTCGACGTAGATCATCGTTCGAAAGAGTTAAGTGAGAGCGTCCACCAGTATGTGTGAGAGAAAAAGGGTACAGTTCGCCGCAGTGGAGTGCTACAGCTGCTTGGTGATATGCGGTGAGGGCGGCGAATTTCCTCCTTCTCCTCCAGGTCTCCCTCTCTCGTTACGCTCGTCTCAACCATTGGGAGCTTGGCTCTTCGACGAGACCATTATTAATAACTTCTTCACTGTCTGTTCACCATCCACGTCGCAACCTCTTCTTTGTCTCCTCACATCACTTCCGTACATCTTCTCTTCCTTCTCATTCCTCTTCCTCCAATCTCCTCCACCAGACTTGCTTTGGATAGGATAGCCTCAGAAGATCCATTGTCGGTCCCATACCTGGAAATCATATCTGGTCTCACCGTCTTCATAATTACTCTTTTTTTTTCTTTTCAAAATCTGCGCAAATAGAGTGCCGCCACAAGCAAATCAAACCCGCAGCTGAGGCAACTTCAAAGGAGCGCCTCACATACTCTTCAAGGACCACTTGAAACACCCTCACATCCGCCATCATGTCGACCCATCACTCCTCCATGCCGTACCGCAGGCCATCGCGCCAGCAATCCCGGCAGATGTCCGTGGACCCGCACAACGAGCTCAACGTTGAGAAGAACCACTACATTGGTATCGATGTCGGAACCGGTAGCGCACGAGCCTGTATCATGAACGAGAAGGGAGACATCATCGGTCTGGCCAGCGAGAACATCGGTCTGTGGCAACCCGAGACGGGCTGGTACGAGCAGTCCACGACCAACATCTGGCGCTGCATTTGCACGTCTATCCAGCGCGCCGTCACCCAGGCCAACATCGACCCGAACACGGTCCGCGGCATTGGTTTCGACGCCACCTGCTCCCTGGCGGTTTTCCACACCGACACCGATGAGCCCGTCTCGGTGACGGGGCCGAAGTTCAACAACGCTGACGGCAACGACCGGAACGTCATCCTCTGGCTCGACCACCGACCCGTCGAGGAGACCAAGAAGATCAACGCGACGGATCACAACCTGCTCCGCTATGTCGGAGGTCAGATGAGCATTGAGATGGAAATCCCCAAGGTCCTGTGGTTGAAGAACAACATGCCGAAAGAGCTGTTCGACAAGTGCAAGTTCTACGATCTGGCGGATGCGCTCACCCACATGGCCACCGGCAGCGAGACGAGGAGTTTCTGCTCGGTGGTCTGCAAGCAGGGATATGTCCCCGTCGGGGTCGACGGCAGCGTCAAGGGCTGGCAAGAGGATTTCCTGACCGAGATCGGTCTGGAGGATCTATGCGAGGACAACTTCAAGCGTATGGGCGGAGTCAACGGCGTGGTAATGACAATCTTTTCATTTGGGTGATTTCTTTTTTCCAAAAGCACGAACTAATGCGATTTTCTACAGAACGGCACATACTTGACAGCGGGCGAGCTGATTGGAACTCTTTCCGAAAAGGCCGCCGACGACATGGGTCTCGTCCCGGGTATCGCCATCGGTAGCGGTGTCATCGATGCGTACGCCGGATGGATCGGTACCGTGGGCGCCAAGGTCCACCTCCGCGGTGACAGCATCTCTTCCGCCAACCCGCGCAACCACGTCACCCAGGCGTTCACCCGTCTGGCCGCCGTGGCGGGAACCTCAACCTGCCATCTCGCCATGTCCGAGAAGCCCGTCTTCGTCAATGGCGTGTGGGGCCCATACCGGGATGCCCTCATCCCCGGCTACTGGGTCGGCGAAGGAGGCCAGTCCGCCACGGGCGAGCTCCTCAAGCACGTCGTCGAGACCCACCCGGCCTTCCAGGAAGCCATGTCGGTGGCGGAATCCTTCAACGCCAACATCTACGACTACCTCAACGAGCACCTGAACGAGATGATGGAGAAGCAGAACGCGCCGGCCATCTCCTACCTCGGCCGCCACTTCTTCTTCTACGGCGACCTCTTCGGCAACCGGTCCCCCGTCGCGGACCCGGACATGCGTGGCTCCTGCATCGGCCTGTCCTCGGACAAGTCCATCGACGGCCTCGCCCTGCACTACTACGGCACCATGGAGTTCATCGCGCTGCAGACCCACCAGATCGTCTCGGCCATGAACTCGGCCGGCCACGTGCTCAGCTCGATCTTCATGTCCGGCAGCCAGTGCCAGAACCCGGTGCTGATGAGCCTGATCGCCAACGCCTGCAACATGCCCGTGCTGATCCCGCGCTACGTCCACGCCGCCGTCGTCCACGGCGCCGCCATGCTCGGCGCGAAGGCCGCCTCCACCGACCCCAAGGACGGCACCTCCCAACCCCTCTGGGAGATCATGGACAAGATGTCCAAGCCCGGCCGCGCCGTCTACCCGGACAAGGACGACGCCGAGCGCAAGCTCCTCGCCGCCAAGTACGAGGTCTTCCTCAAGCAGTGCCACGAGCAGAAGGTCTACCGCGAGAAGATCGACGCCGTCGTCCAGGGGTGGGAGCGGTGAACGCGAGCACCTTTCCCTCTTCTCTTTCGTCGATGAATCCCCTTCTTTTCCTCTCTTTTGTGTAGTCCTTAATGATGAATGAACGAATGAACGAAATCGAAATCGGAATCGGAGTCGAAACCACGGCACTCTTCTCTTCTCTTTTGATCACTCCGTCCGGTTTCCCATGAGCATCCCTCCCAACGCCATTGGATCTCCTTCCCTTTCCCTTTCCATGCCTTGGCATCTTCTCCGCGATCTTCAATCCATATACGCGGTTCCCGTGGGGCATGACTGTGAATTCTCGATGTTGGCGGATCCTCGGGTGATATTTCGGTAGTTCGATCTTCCGGTGACATTTTGGATATTCGAATCAACTGGCGACATCTTGTCATTATTCAATGACGGAGAACAAGTAAGTCGTGTGAAGACGGAACCACACGAGAAGTGTTTGTTTGCCAGAGCCGCTGTTTTTGGAATCGACGGCTGCATATGGAGGTACCCATATCACATCATTTCTTATTACAGTATCAGTTTCTCCGCCCGCCTCTCACATCCTACCTCATTGCAACCAACACCTCCCTCATGGACTATGTTGCCAGCGTGGTGATTTTCTCGACGCCATCACTCAGGATACACCATCCTCCGACTGACGCCTCCATCGACCACGACCTCCGATCCCGTAACCCCCTCGGCATCGACGAGGTACTCCACCGCCCTGAGCACATCCTCCACTCTGCCCACCCGCCCCGTCAGATGCCAAGCGTGATCCTCTTCCGTCAGACCCTCCTCCCAGGCCGTCCCGTTTTCATCCGCGGAGGAATTCTCATTGCCGACGTGGATCCATCCGGGCAGGATGGTGTTGACCCGGATCCGTCTCGTCTTCTTCGAGGGCGATTCGTTCAGACTGACGCTGAGCGCGTGCGAGAGACCTAGCAGGCCTGCTTTGCTCGCGGCGTAGGACTCGCTATGGGCTTCGCTCTGGTGGGCGCGGGTCGAGGAGATGTTGATGATACTACTGCTGCTGCTGTTGCTGCTAGCGCTGCTGTCATCATCTGTGTGGGGCTGCCGGAGCATGCCCAGACAAGCCCTCGTCATGAGGACCGTCCCGGTGAGGTTCGTCTCGAGCGTGGCATTCCACACTTCCAGGAATTCGTCGTCTTCGAGTTTGGCTCCGCCGACGCCTGCGGTGTAGCCCGCGTTGTTGATCAGGACGTCGAGTTTCCCGCCCGGGAAGAAGCTCTTTGCGGAGGAGACGGCGGTGGTGATCTCGGTGGATGAACGGAGATTGCAGAGGTGGATTTCGAAGTTGGTGCCGCGCGTGAAGGTGCGGCTGAGGAGGGTGGCCGTGTGGGAGAGTTCGCTGGTGTTGGAGTCCAGGAGCAAGACTCTGTGGCCCTTTTGGAGCAGGAGACGGGAAAGGCCTCGGCCGATGCCTCGGGCGGCGCCGGTTATGATGAATGCCTTTGGAGAGATTGCGGCGGTCATGGTCGATGAGAGGGCAGTCTTGGGTTATAGGTGTACTTATAGTTGTACTCGTCCAGCATGGAGCAGCTAAGTATCTGCTATCGTCCTTTCTTTTGACCCCAGATCGATCTTGGGCGACCTTGTCCTGATGAGAGTATTGATGCCCCTTTTCTCGCTAGCAACAGACTTGATGTTCAGCTGCTTATGATGATCGTTCGAAAGGCTCGGTTCGATTCCCATGTTCAATGAGATCGGAGCTCGAGGAGGCATTTCTAGATGTTTGCGTGGAAATGACGTCAGGGTCCCGAATCGCGTGCACCTGAACGAGTGCACACTACCGCTGATGGATTCGATGCAATCCAGATCTCATCGATCTCAATGCTCCAACGTCGGGTCCTGCTCGATGGATATATCTCAAGCAGAAGGACGTCAGGCATAGGGAACATGCGCTGCTGCTTCCAGACTCGGGGTAACATTTAACCTGACAGACATGATCGCCAGGCACGCCCGTTTGACGAACCGTGGGAACGGCTGGAGAACATTTCCACAGCGCTGGTAATTATATACGTACCATACGCAGAATGACGATATCTACCGACTTTGAGTCTTCAACGAAGCCGCCTTTCATATGCGAGGTGTGATACTGTTTCGTCTTGACTCGTATCAGAATCAGAGCCGAGCCCGTAATTCCCTTGTCCGACTCGTCGTCTGAACCGGAGTTCCTTCCTGCCCGATTCATCGCAGGTAAGACATATATCGTCGATGCCGCAGGAATGGGCTTCCCAGGAGACCCAGCTATCCGGTGAAGACCTGTAGTAAAATGACGGAGACATGGCTCCGGCGGCTTCATCTCCGCTTCTCTGCGATGCCAGCTACGGCGGGAGTCTTTCAGACAGGTCTCGCAGAACCTTGCCTTCACTCCAATCCTCTCGCGAACGAGGCGGAAGTGATGTATCAATATTTAAGCGGATGGTTTGATTACCTCAGGGACATGTTCTGTCTCCATGCATCCCATCCCATCCCTCCCTCCTCCCACCAGCCACCTCGACCCTCCTACGGCACGACTTTCCCAGAACATGATGATTTGGAATCTTGCACATGCATCGCATCGGATCGTGCTTGGATCTGGCATTGACGCCCATGTCGATGCATGTCCCATCACCACGGGCATCGTTCGTCTGCGAAATATCACAGAAGCAGAGAATGACGCCGTCGCGTAATATTCTCAAGTGATTTGGAATTCCGATATATCGAATTCGAACGGTGTGCTGATGATCATGCAGACGGCGATAAACATCAAACATTGATTGAACCCGTGGCTATCACTGCCACAGAGCACCATCGCCGCCAAGCTGTCTCCCATCATCATCATATCGTCGATGATCATCGTAGTAAAAATCACGATCGAAAGGTCGCATGCGAGTCATCCGGTCTAGCAGCAGAGAAACAAAAAGGTCTCGCGAACGCCCACCGCGATCTTGGGCCAAACGTTCCGACACGTTCTTCCCAACAGGGATTTCCCGATCGTCCCGCCTTCGCTGCGCACCCGCAAGCCACACCAGCTGCACGTCGTCCAACGTTCATGCCTCTACCCGGCCGACTTCTCGACTCATCACGAAGGGGATTTGAAATGCGAAAAAAACCTTAGGCTGGCGGCATCACACTCCGTCTGATCCGTGGGCAACGTGGGCGTCATGTCGTGCGCCACCGTCCTACCACGCCACAGCATGAGGCCTTCAATGCGAGTCTTGGAGAGGTCTGGAAGTCGTACAAGAAGGCTCTGGATCCTCGACGGTAAGGTCGATAACCTTTTCCTTCACCCATCTCCCTTCTGCCTCGTACAGGACTTTGCTGCAGTACCTCTCTGCTCGGCTCTGCTCCATATCCTACGTAGCATCACTTCTCCACCCCCAAGTCGAGTTCACCAAACATGCGGGTGTGTTCATCGATCCTGACGGCCATTGCACTGGCGACCTCCCTACCCGCTGCCTTGGGTGCTCCACTGTTGGACCTCGATCTATCGCTGGGATTCAATGAAGGTTACACCGTCGCTCCATCCAGAGGAACCCGGACGCGTTGCGTCACCGGCACCATCACCATCAATGCCACCACGACCAAGAACATCCGCTACAACTTCGACATGCCAGAGAACCAAACGGTGATCACCAACACATTCCTGAAATACATCACTCCGGGTGGCGTCTTCCAACGCCGCGTCACAGTCGACGAGCAAGCTGTAGGTGGCACCTATTCGATCGGTGCGACGTTATGCGTCCCAGCTGAAGGCACATCACCGATCGGTGTCCAAATCGCCACACACGGCGTCGGCTTCGATCGCAGCTACTGGGACTTTGCACCCGGCTATTCCTACGTCGACACCGCAGCGCAATACGGCTACGCGACCTTCTTCTACGACCGCCTGGGCGTAGGGACCTCCTCCAAGCCCGACGGCATCCAGATCGTGCAGGCGCCGCTCGAGACCGCCATCCTGCACCAACTCGTCGGCCAGCTCCGCAGCGGCGGCTTCAACCGGCAACGGTTCAACAAAATCGTCGGCGTCGGCCACTCCTTCGGCTCGATCCTGACGCAGGCCGTCGCGGCCAGCCACCCGAACGACTTCGACGCCCTGGTGCTGACGGGCTTCGGGACCGACGGGAGCGGCGTGCCGGCCTTCCTCGCGAGCCAGAACTTCGAAATCGCCTCGCAGAACCAACCCTTCCACTTCCGCGGCCTGTCCAACGCCTACGTGCTGGCCGGCAGCGCGACCTCGGTGCAGTACGGCTTCTTCCGCGCGCCGAACTACGACAACGTCATCTTCGACGCCGCCGTCGCCGCCCGATCGACCGCCACCCTGGGCGAGTTCTTCTCGCTGTTCGCCGTCACGGGCCCCGCGGCGAACTACACCAAGCCCGTCGCCGTCGTCAACGGCCAGAACGATTTCCCCTTCTGTCAGAACAACTGCTCTGCGCCGGTGGACCAGGCCCAGCTGGTCTTCCCCCGGCTGTTCCCGGCTCTGCCCGTCGAGAAGCAGTTTGCCTATCTCGCGCCGGGCACGGGGCATGCGTTGAATCTGCATTATACGGCGCAGAATGCGTTTGTCAAGATCCAGGAGTTTCTGAAGGGGAGGGTTTGAGAAAAAAATAAAATGTGTGATGGGTATTAGGGTGATGGTCGTGGGGGGGAATTGGGTTGTGTAGATGTTTTCGTTTTTGCTTCTGGTCTTGATGATGGTTGGGATTGGGGAGTGGTTTCCTTTTTGGCTTCGCGTTTATTACCCCTGTGGAGGAAAATAGATAGTACCGTACATCTCGTATCGAACATGAATCATGGTGACATGCCCTTCACCTTATCTGCTTACAATTCTTCGAAGCGAGATCATGCCTCCGACCGCCACGAGCATTTAGCTTCTATGCTGAGATCTCACGGATCATAAGCGGTACTTATTGCATGCGATCCTGGGGACTTTCTCGCTAAGCCATAAAGATAGGGGTTGGCAACCACCAAGTGAATTCGAGAAACACGGTAGTTGATTACACTGCGACGTCTCGATGCCGAACACAGATATCATACATGACCAGAAGAGAACGACCAAGCCCCAGGATCGATCTCAGTGCAACACAGTCAAAGCCCCATCCCAGCAAAAGCGTTGAGAAACATATTATCGACAGCAACCCTCCGTCCGCCCCCATTCACCACCGGCCTCCAGAAGCCGCAACTGCCATGGCTACATTCCAAGTGCAGTCCGCCCGGGTGGAGAGGATGCCGTACGCCCGCGAGGCGTAACCTGCTCGGGAAGCCGCAATAGCAAGCTGCGTTGTTGGCGAAGATGCCGCGATGATCTCGCCAGGTGCAGAATTTGTCGCAGAGATTGCATCGGGTGAAAGGGCGATAGGCGTTGCCGTTGGGGTTCCATGGATTGCAGGTGAGGTCCGTCAGGAAATTGTTGGTGCCGCAGCGCTGGCAGCGAGCGCCTGGGCGATGAGCTTGCACGGTTGTGAAGTGGAATGACATGTCGTTGATTTGTGAGCTCTTCTTGGAATTATATCAGATCGGATGGATGAGTTGAGCCAATCAATTTCTTGGGGCTGTTGATATGCCTTTCCTGATTTATGATGATTCGTGGTCGCTGATGTACTGAATGAAACCCCCTGATATGAACCGTCTGTTGGAAGCAGAAGATATGTCGAAGCACAGAGAATGCTCCTCGTGAGCCACATACATGTGAACCGCGATGAGCGTTTCGTTCCCAGATATGGAAAGATACAGAACTCTATAGATCAATCTATAGCTTCCAGCTGACCGGCGGAACGAATGATGTGCTGAGGTCCTGCTGAGGTCCTGCATGCTCATGCATGCTCATGCATGATCAGGCGGCCTCACATGAAGCAAGTCGTCACCACCAATCGCAGGGAGGTTTCTTCGGCTCCGAGCTATGACTTGCGGGAAAGTTTGACCTTGATTGATGCGTTCGCTTTTAGGATGACGATTGAGGTAGGTTCGCGAGAATAGCGTGCTCATGATGGTAGAGACTTGATCAGCAACACCGGTCGCATGTTATCAGACAGACATTGGCTGGTTAATGCAGCTGTGCCACACCGAGCTTCGAGGATTTCGCAGTTACCTACTCATTGCAATCGATCAAAACGACTAAATTGCAAGATTCATGGGATATAAGATTTACAGATGGCTCAATCTTCAAGCCTCTTCCAATGCCTGGGAGCGATATCGATGCAAGTTGTCCTAATCATCCAAACCCTTGACATTCCAGAGATCGATTCCGAGAGCGAAAAGATCCGCGACGCAATAGCAAAGCGGTACATTGATTCAAGTCTTGCCGACATTGAGGAGATGGAAGAAGTCCTCGCGGCGGTAACGATCGGCCTCGAAGCAGCCCAGAAAGCATTCCGTCACCGTGGAGGTCCCGCATTTCTCCACACCGCGCATGCCCATACACGAATGACCCGCCTCCATGATCACCGCGACTCCCTGAGCCTTCAACACATCCATGACGGCTTGTGCGACTTGAAACGTCAGACGCTCTTGGACTTGGAGCCGGCGAGCAAACATGTTAGCGATGCGCGGCAATTTGGACAGGCCGATGACCTTGTTCGATGGCACGTAGCCAATGTGCATCTGCCCCATCAGCTTTGTGCTTGTCCGTGAGGGATGGAGTATTATCGTCCTACCTTGCCTGTGAACGGAAGAATGTGGTGCTCGCACAAGCTCGAGATGGTGATGTCTCGGACAAGGACGATCTGGTTGTGAGCTTCGTCGAACAAGGCGCGGTTGACTATTGTGTCGATGTCCTCCCGATATCCCACTGTGAGATCGAGCAAAGCTTTGGCGTATCGAGTTGGAGTCGATAGAAGACCTTCACGATCTGGATTCTCGCCAATGCATCCAAGCAAAAACTTAACCGCACCAGCCATACTCTGGATTTGTTCATCCATGACTGGCGTCGAATTGGAGGGACAAGCTCCGTTTTGGTCTTCAGGTGCGTTATCAGCTTCTCCAGATCATTCGGGCTTGTCATTGGATTGAGTCAACGTACTGCAAGACGCGAGGCGAGTCGTTTCTAGGCTGTCCTCGTTGCCATCCGCATTCATCTTCTGATAGTCGTCGTTCCTTTTCGGAGTCGTTTTCGTCATCTTGCTCATGCTTGAAATGGGTCGTCAAGAATTTCTGACGTCGTAGCTCTTGCTGAAAGGTAGGATCAGACTAAGCAAGGTCTGGTCATGTCAAACAAGAAAATAAGATGTGACGGGGTCGCCCTTAGAAACAGCGCTCTGCATCTCTTCCTTCAATCAACGTATAGTAGTAATGAGTAAGAATATTTCACGGGGGATCTACCAGCACGTCTGCAGCTCGGGGTCGGTGCATCGAGCCTTTCACAGCACCATCCCTGCAAGACCGTCGAGGATGCATACGCAAGATGCAGCCACAAAGTGATAGCCACCGGGTGAGTTTGATGTTGCACAACAACACTTCTCGCTAGCGAACTTAGGGAGTCGCCAAGGATACATGGGTGGCCGCGGCGATCGTGCTGAGCTCAGTAGGTGTTCGTTGCATATATACCTCCTCCAAACATTCTTCACGCTCTGCTACGCTCTGTTGATACAGCAGAAGTCTTCGTATGATCTGGATTCGTCTCCACAACTCCGATCATGGCTACCACTCTCGCAGAACTCGAAAAAGCTCTAAAGAGTGAGTTCGCAAAACAATCATTCACAATATCCGCCTCATTGTCAGATGCACAATATAGCGATGGATTTCAAGTGGTGTCGGCCTCACCAAAGGACGGGATCTATGCGGACTTCGTTCTACCTCGACTCGAATCGATACTCACGTCGAATTCGTGCTCCATCGAAGGACTCTCGATTTTGGAAATCGGACCTGGTCCAGAAAGCGTGTTGACGTGCCTTCCTCATCATCTGAGAAAGGCTGTCAAGAAGTATACCGCATACGAGCCAAATCATGTCTTCGCTGAGAAACTCAAAACCTCGCTCGACCTGTCAAGTTGTCGGGAAAACCTGTTTCCGAGTTTAAAGAGCGCAGCTGTCGTTCACGAGTTCAAGTTTCATCCGGAAGTCAAAAGAACGAACGATGTTCTGCAAAGTGAGGATACATCGTTCGACATTATCCTTTTCTGTCATAGTCTTTATGGCTTGAAGCCCCAATCCGAATACATCAAAAAAGCCATCAGCATGCTGTCCGATCGATCCAAGGATAGTCTCGTGGTCGTCTTCCATCGCGAAGGGGTTCTTGAGCTCGGAGATCTCGTCTGCCACCAAGTGGTGAATCATCCACTTGGTATGGTTAGTGTGACAGATCGCGATGATGCTCTGGACAACTTTGCCCAATTCATCGCTGGTTGCAAGGCACCTGATGTGAACGAAAATCACGATGTGTGCACAGCATGGCGTCAGATCTGCCGTGAACATGGTCTGCGGAACCAGGCACACCCAGACGTGATTATGTTCTCTTCGCCTGATGCGTTATTCACCTTCAACCGAGGAGCACTGGCCTTACCTGAATTACTCGATGTGGTCCCTCAAGCACCATCCGACTATGTCGTCAAAAACCGTGAAGCTCGCGTTTATCGCCCCGCCGCCATCGTCAGGCCTACTTCCATCACCCATGTTCAAGAGTGCGTCCGATGGGCTTTGAGACACAAGTTATCTCTGACCGTCATCGGCGGAGGGCACAGTGGACAGTGCTTGCGGCCGAACGTCGTTGCGGTCAATATGAGCGCTTTCAAAGAGATTTATATCTGGCGAGATCAAACAAGTACACCGAATGAACTTGTTGTTGCTGGCGCCGGCTGTACTTCTGGCGATATCATTGGATACACGTTGGCTGCGGGTCTGACCGTACCTCTAGGCTCACGGCCAAGCGTCGGCGCTGGACTCTGGCTGCAAGGCGGGCTCGGTCATCTTGCACGTCTGTATGGGCTCTCATGCGACTCCATCGTTGGCGCCGTGGTCGTGAGTGTTTTGTCTGGGGAGATTTGGTGCATCGGACACGTTCCAAACGAATTCTTCCCAGATGCAGCAGTCACGCCGAAGGATGAGTCGAGCCTACTGTGGGCGACGAAAGGAGCTGGAACCAATTTCGGCATCGTTACGAGTGTCGTGTTCAAACCCTGTGAAAGTCCATCATACTTGATCCGAAATTGGATTCTTCCCGTAAATGACAGCTCGGAGTTGAAACTCAGATTGCAGGATTTCGAAGATAACGTTGTGAATAAATTGGCCCGAGACTGTTCGGCAGACGCCTATCTCTTCTGGGAAAACGACGCGTTGCAACTCGGAATTGCTTTCTGCGAGATCTTCAAAGCTGGGCGCACTCCGCTTGAAACAACACGAGTTGCGCAGTCGATCATTTCTGTGCTTGGACCGGAGTACAAAACTCAAAGCGTTGACAGTGTTGGCCTCTTTGACACCGAAATGTACATGTCACAACTCCATGGCGGTCACGGAGGCGGCAAGACCTCTTCGTTCAAGCGCTGCGTTTTTTTGCAAAACATCGGCGACAAAGAGGTGGCATTAAGGTTTGCAGCAGCTGTGCAGTCACGACCATTCGAGCTGTGTTACCTCCACCTACTGCATGGTGGTGGGGCAACTGGTGATATCCCTGCAGAAGGCACAGCTTTCGGCTGTCGTGACTGGAACTTTGCCTGTATAATTACAGGGGTATGGCCTCGCGGAAAGGATGGTGGTAAGCTAGCTCGGAGGGTCATGCAGTGGGTTTACGATGTCGCGTACGATCTGTTGCCTGAAAGCAATGGCGCATATGGAGCTGATCTCGGGCCTGATCCGCGGGATGCTGTGCTGGCTGCTCATGCTTTTGGGCCGAATGCAGCAAAGCTTTCCGGCTTGAAGTTGGGAATGGATCCTGGCAATGTGCTGGCATTTGCATGCCCCTTTCACACTGAAGGGGGGCGGATCGACATGGGTGGCCGCTGAGCAATTGCTGAAGTTGAACTTCTTGTGTAACTATTGACTTGACTTGCATACAATTGACCAAGCTTTGAATTCAACCTAGCATGTGTATCAGGTACACCGGTGAAAGGTCGCAAATCGGGACAAACTTGCTACAGCCCAATGGAATTCGAGTGCTACGTGCAAGAGGCAGGGCGACTCAGGGTTTCAAATCGAACATTTTATGTTGCCATGTCGTGAGAGCGAGATGCCTACACTCCCAACCCCATGCTCCTCGAATGCATGCCACAACGATGATCAGACTCATCATTCTCTTCACGGGCGAGAGCTGTGCCGGCAAAGACTTCACAGCGTCGATCTGTGAGTCTGTTTTCTCTACACACAATGGCGGGCGCCTGAATGTACGAGTCGTCAGCATCAGCGACACCTTCAAACGGCGATACGCCAAAGCTACAGGTGCTGACCTCGGCCGACTTCTCAACGATCGCTTGTACAAGGAGGAGCATCGACCAGCGTTGACCCACTACTTCAAGCAAGAATTGAAGCACTCTCCTGACTTGCACGAGCAGACTTTCATGGATGTGGTGGGTAGTGCTCGCGACGCCGATGTCATCCTGATCACGGGACTGAGAGAAGAAGCACCCGTCGCGAGTTATGCTCACCTGGTGCCATACACGAAGCTCGTGGAGGTCCATGTGAAGGCCAGCGAGCACCTGCGGAGAGCTCGGAAAGAGTGCAATGAGTCGCACACGGATTGCAAATCATTCAGCCAATGCGAGAAGGACCACATACCTGGGGGAGCTCTGATCTTCTACAATAACGCCCCTGGAGGCTATTCCGCCGAGTATTTCTGCAAGAAGCGTCTTCTTTGCTTCATCGACGAAGCTCTCCAGCGACTGGCTGGGATGGTGGCTACCATCGAGGACTGGCCAAAGCCAGACCTCCAATTTCGCCATGTCCTCGGTATTGCTGAGGCCCAGGGCGGACTCGAACTCTGCACCTCATTGATGGCGACTCGCCTGTTCAACAACGGGAGCATGATCGATGTCATCGCCTGCTGCGAGAGTGGCGGTTTCGTCTTCGCAGGAGCTTTAGCTCAGAAGATAGGCGCTCGGCTGGCGATCCTCCGCAAAGCTGGGAAATTGCCTCCACCGGTCGTATCGGTTCGCAAGCCTGCGTCGTACATCTCCTCGCTGGCAGATCGACCTCCTGGGAGAACAGATATAGAGATGGGCGCGAGCGTGGTGTCACAGGGCAGCAAAGTGTTGATCGTGGATGACCTTCTGGCGACGGGAACAACGCTTTGCGCCATGCTTTCTCTGCTGATGACCGCCGGGATCGCGCTGGAAGACATTCAAGTGGCGGTCGTGGTCGAGCTGCCGTATCACGGTGGGCGGAAATACCTCCATGAGCAAGGTTTCGGTAGAGTTGCAGTGGACAGCCTTCTGGTGTTCGAAGGACAATAGCCTCGACATGTGTGAGCGACGATCAGATTGGGTCGCTTCTTGGGATGAAGCCTTGTTCCTGTACGATCAGAATGTACTTGTATTCGAAACTGTGATAAGTCATTGTCGTTTATCGCTCAAGCTGTTCGACCATTCCACGCGTGATGCAGCCCCACGCCGAGCTCGGAACGCCCCGCGAGCGTTCCACGGGCATCATGAATCACCGCCCTCGTGGTCAGCCGCGACGGACTCCGATCACGATAACAACATGATCTTGCAAGATAACCTCCATCCGGATCTCTCATAGGACACCTTAAACATATAGAGAAATACTAAAATCGCTTTGAGAGCCCATCCGAACCTCTCGGAGAAGGTGCACGAAGCCATGGACGACCTCCTCTTCGGCATACCGATACCTGAAGCTATCTTATCAGATCTGACTGCATCTCCGAACACATCACGACCATCACCACCAACGACATCACCTTCGCCGCCGCCGGACCACAATGCACGACTCCGAGAGGGTCGGATATACAGTCGCCAGTTCATCCTCACATATCAACCTGTGATCCTATTCATCGTGATCCTGGTCTCGATCCAACGATGCAGCACCGGCTGGCTTCGGCGTCGGAGGAGACGGCAGCGGCGGCAATACAAGGGAGATGCAGGGATATGGAAAGATCCAAGAACGCCGAAGAATGACGAGATACAAGTGGCATCATCTTCTTCCTCTTCTTCGTCGAGCTCGACGAGCGCCCCATCCCAAACTCCACGAAGTCTCCAAGCGAAGGAACACGACGACGACGACGACGAAAGCAGTCCGCTGCTGCAAGAACCCAGCACCAGCCCCCTCAAGCAGCGCTCGCGAGCTTCCCAAGCCACCTCCTACCTGCGCTCCCTGCTCCTGCACCAACCGGGACCCCTGCCCATCGTCGCGCGCCCGATGCCGTCCAACGGCATGAGCCTCTTCATCCTCGCGCTGCTCGGCCTGAACACGCTCTACCTCGTGCACGACAGCACCGGCGATTTGACGCTCGTCGCGGACCGCGCCGGCCTGCTCTTCGCGGCGAACCTGCCGTGGCTGTACGTCCTGGGCGCGAAGAACCAGCCGGTGAAGGCGCTGACGGGGCACTCCTACGAGAACCTGAATGTGCTGCACCGGCGGCTGGGCGAGTGGATGTGTTTCCTGGCGCTGGGGCATTTCGCGGGGTTCGTGGCGGGGTGGTATCGGGTGCTGCGGCCGCTGGGGATCTCCTTTGTGCATTTCGTGACGATCCCGGCGGTGGCGTTCGGGCTGGGGGCGTGGGTGTGTTACGAGGGGTTGTACTTCACGAGCCTGGCGGGCTTCCGGAGGGGGTGGTATGAGGTGTTTCTGGGCACGCATGTGGTTCTACAGGTGGTGGCACTGGGATGCCTGTGGATGCATTTTCATTTCGCGAGGGGGTATATAGGGGTTGCATTATTAGTCTATGTGGTGGACAGGCTGGTCTATCGGATAGGGGGGAAGACGAGGGCGTTCGAGGCCGATTTGACGGTTCTGGAGGACGGCGAGACGACGCTTGTTTCGGTGAATTGGAGTCTACCTCCAACCACCACCACCTCCTCCTCTGCGATGCGGCAGCGCATCTGGGTGCGGAATATGCGACACGGCTGGCAACCTTCCGCGCACGTCTTCATCACGCTCCCCCATCTCTCGCGCGGGCACCGCTTCCAAGCGCATCCCATGACCATCGCGTCCGCCGCACCTCCCTCCTCCTCCTCCTCGTCGGATCAAAGACACGCATGGCTCAACCTCATCGTGCGGGCCCAGGGCGGGTTCTCGCGGGACCTGCTGCATCACGCGCGCGCGAACCCGCGGACGAAGGTCCTGCTGGACGGGCCCTACGGCTCGCTGCACGCGCTGGAGATGCTGCGGGACAGCGACAAGGCGGTGGTGATCGCGGGCGGGTCCGGGATCGCGGTGGCGTATCCGGTGGTTTGGGCGCTGCTGCATCCGGAGGATTCCGGCGGTGGTGTCGATGACGACGCTGAGAGGCAGATCGCGCGGGACGATCGGAGAGAAATCACGCTCGTGTGGATCGTTCAGGATGCTTCGCATCTCTCCTGGCTGGATGCCGCGCGGCTGGAGGAGTTGTCGGCGAAAGGCGCGAAGGTCGTGGTTCCCCCGCCGACGAGGAAGAGTGGGCGGCCGGATGTGAGAGGCTTGCTGAGGGGAGCCGTTGCGGAGGACGCGGATGGCGATGGGTGGTCATCATCAGTGGGTGTCGTGGTCTCAGGACCAGATGGGCTGAACCGGTCGGTGCGGAACTTCTGCGCGGAGATGGTGCGCGAAGGGCTGGATGTGTGTGTCGAGGTGGAGAAGTTCGGGTGGTGAGGGATGAGCAGATCAGTTGAAGACTTGCCAAAATCTCGATCGCGATTAGATGGTTGCCCGATGGGTAGGACGAAGGTCAAATGGTTCATGAATCCAACGTCGGAGATGTTCATCCTCCGATCTCTCCCAGAATCCTCTTCAACTCCTGCAACCTAACCGGTTTAGTGAGGAACATACTCATACCCGCTTTGAACGCATCCTGTCTGGCCTTTTCGCTGCCCAGGCCACTCAATCCGATGATCGTCGCGGGCGGCTGGACACGATGACGTTTCTCCAGAGCGCGGATCCGGCGGGTGGCTTCGTAGCCATCCATCTGGGGCATGTTGATGTCCATGAGGATGACGCGGGGTCGGGGGTTTTCGGTGGGTTGAGAAGATGAGGAGGTGGATGACGGAGAGGATGGGCCGTCTGGAACGGTGTGGGGTGAGACGGAGGACGACCGGTCTGGCGATGTGGAAGATGTCGAGGTGGATCGTTGCGGAGGTGGGCAGGTCGAGGTGTAGAGGTCGACGGCTTGTTGGCCGTCCGTAGCGACGAGTTTGCGGTAGCCGGAGCGTTCAGCGAAAGTGGAGAGGATTTTCATGTTGACCGCCTGATGATGATTAGCATGTATACCATGTGATGTCGGCAGGTCCATATATAGATCTGTTTCGAGAAAACTTACATTGTCATCTACAAGCAGCAGCGACAATCCACCCTCATCGTGACCGCCGCTACTGCCGGTTGAAGCTCCAGTCTTCCCGTTCTTCTCCATCTTCAACGCGTCGTGTTCGCCTGACGGACCTCTGTGATGTGGCAATCGGAAAGAACGGGCTTCGTACGATGGCCGAGGCGAATTGGAAGGATTCCTGCCAGAAGCCTTGACACGATAAAAGGGTCTCCTGAAAGGTTTATTGGACGAGCTCGAGCCAGGCCTCGAGCCATCGCTGAGGTCCGCCTCTCTGGCACGTGAAGCGCTCCTCAATGTCGCATTATCGGCGCGCAAGGACACTGCGGGTGTGTCGCTCTTGGTCAGGGACTGCACGCATGCAGTGACGGCGCGTTTCAAGCGGCAGGGTCCGACGGGTTGTAGGATCAACTCGACGTGCCCGGACGTGATGCGGAGGAGTTCGGCTTTGGTGAGGGTCCTCGCGGAGATGACGCTGTTGCAGATGATGACGAGCGGGGTTTTGCTCAGGCTGGGCGGTTCGTTCTGGGCAGAATCTGGAAGTGCCTCCAGGTGAACCAATTCATCTCTGAGACGAGTCTCGGTGATGACATTGACCCCGAAACCTCCATGACTGACCCTCGAGCATGGCGAATGGGGGATGTCCAGGCGTGTGAGCATGTCATCGACGCTGGTGTTGAGAAGCTGCTGGGCAAGAATCTCCCGGCCGGTTTTCTGGTCATCAGGAGATGGATTTGACGCATCGACTTCTGCGCCAACGATGCCCACGACGAGATCTTCTGCGAACTCCGGCTCTGATGATTCCGGTGTTGCTGAAGAGTCGGAGGAAGCGGAATCCGTGGAATTCTTGCGGCACGAATCTAACGGAATCTTGAGGGTGAAGGTCGAGCCCTGTCCCTTTTCACTTCGCACATCGATATTACCGCCCCATTCGCGGACGATTTTGGAGACGAGATTCAAACCCAGACCCGTACCCTCGACAAAGCTGTTCTCCTGGGTGAAGGCGGTGAAGAGGTGGTTGTCGAGGAAGTCGCGGCTCATACCGCAGCCAGTATCCGAGACTTCCAGAGTGGCGACAAAGCTGCCGTCACCGTTCCTCTCCGCTCGCAATGTGACACGGACATGGCCGTTGTTGGTGTATTTGAGGGCATTGCTGACGAGATTGATGCACACCCGTTTCCACGCTCCCAAATTGACGGTACATCGCCAGTCGAAGTTGCTGTCGATGTCAAGAATGACTGCCACTTTTCGTTCGAGGATGACGTCTCGAGCTCGACCGAAGCAGAAAGAATATAACGCTGCCTCGACTACCTCCTCGGTGATGCGGTCAAGGTTGACATCGGTGTCGCGGACGGCATCTGCTTCAGCGGTCTCGAGGGAGCCCTTGGAAGCCATGGACATGGCCATCCTCGAGCTCGCTTTCGTGACCGATGAGGTACCCGATTTGGACATCTGGTTGATGCCGCTGTAATCCAACAAGTGATCAATGACGTCGAGCAGAGTACGACTGCACACTTCGACTTGTGAGATGAGATCCGAGCTGGACAACAGAGGGTCGTTCGGCGCAGCATTGAGAAGCTCCACGCTCCCCAGGATACCGTGCAGTGGAGAGCGCAGCTCATGGGAGATGGTCGAAATGAAATCCGACTTGGCGCGATCCGAACGCGTCGCCTCCAAGCGCTGCAATTCAGCGAGAATCACATCGCAGAAGGCGGTGACATATTTCAGGTCGAACTCTTCGGAGAAATGTCTGAAAGGCGAACTCGTCCAGGAGAAGCTTGCGGCGGACCATCTCTGGGAGGTGTGATCCCACATGCCCACGAAGCACACGCTACGTGCGTTGGGGAAGAGACGGAGCATCTCACGGCGATCGTCCTTCCGGCTCGCGCGCTTGAACTGCGAAGACTGCATGGTGTTGCCCTCGACGGGCACCGCCGGGTCGAGTTCGCCGGTCTCCGATGATGAGCCTTCCCGATCCGACCCCGTCGAGGAAGGGCTGTCCCATCGCTCGTATGTGTCGAAGAACCAGATCTTACCGTTCCGGTAGCGCTGGAGCAAACGGCGCAGGAGCTTCTGCGGGACCTGGACGGGCTCTGACTGCGACGACGAGGCGAATATGTTGCACATCTCCACGGGCGATCCCTCCATGATGGAGTTCGGGTTCAGCTGACGCGAGGCCCCAGCTTCGCTCTCCGGGGTGCCGGGCCCACTGTGTTCTGAAGAGGTGGCAGATGTGGGCGAGGTTCCGCGAGTACCGAAGCGAGCGTCGAGGAACTGGACCCCGTCGACGTTGAGCGCCTCCCTGACCAGCTTCGCCGCGCGCAAGAAGGTGGCTTCGATATCCGCCGAGGCGGAGTCTTCGATCGACTTGTTCTTACTGGAGCTTCTGCTCGAGGCGGGCCGGCGGTCAGATTGTACGCCAGTGATGGAGTCTTTGTGGACGCGCTTGTTCAGAGGGACTCGGCTCGACGAGCTGGGACTCGGCGACATCTCGACGATCTTGCCGGGCTGGTCTTCGGTCCGTAGGAAGGATTCAGTGCTTTTCGATGTTGCCATCAGTGTTGCGAATGAGTGGCTCGGACCCTGTGGGCGCTCCTGCTCCACGTAATCCCTCAGGTCGGAGTCCCCATCGATGAAAGCTCCCAGGCCCGCGATCATCTTCGTCCCCAATTGGTGTTCCGCCGCGGCGCGCAGCATCTCGAGGTGGATGGACACCGTGCTTGACATTTCCGCCAGGAAGGTGGTCTCGGACGCGGTGAGGCCATGTCGCGGTTTGTCGTCGAGGACGCAGTACGCGCCGATGTTGATTCCGTTGGGAGTCGTGATCGGAACGCCGGCGTAGAATCTCGCGCGCGGGCCACCGGTGACGAACGCGCTCTCGCGAAACTCGGGGTCTTTGGCCAGGTCGTTGACGACGTAGGCGACCTTGCTGTCAATGCGGCGCACGTCGAAGTTCTGAGGGAGCGTCGGCGGGAGGAGGACGGTATATTCGCAGACGGAGACGCCCCTCGGCATGACCGTGTGTCCCAAACATAACGCATCCGCCGGGTCCTCGCAAGTGCCGGTCCGGATGTTGGTCGTCTTCGTGGCCTCGGCGAGCACGTAGGAGTGTTTCGAGTCGAAGAAGAACATGAGCGCCCTCCGCACGTTCAGCCTCAAGGCCCCCAACTGACAGAAGGCGGTGAGGGCCGGGTCCGGGCTAGGGGATGTGAGGTGTTGTGCGATGGAGACGTCCGTCTTCATGTCACAGAAGTGCGGATCATGCTGGCCGAGTTCCCGCAGTGGGCGGTAGTATCTGTAGAATTCCCTCTCGCGATCATTCTCATCTTGCGATGTCCGGCATCCATCGAGCTCCTCATCGGCCTCGCGGATCGACAAGGTCGACATGTGTGTGAGAGTGGCGGTGTTGGTGGAGAAGCGTGGTGAGGGTCCAGGCCATCCGTGGTCGTTCGGAGTTGTACTGTAGGTTGATGCGGACGTTTCAATTCAAGTCCAGCATATCAGGCTGGCGGGTATAGTCGAAAGTGTGGTGGTGTTGCAAAGCATGTTGAGGCGAGGTGAGGCGAGGTGAGGTGTTTCGCGACGAGGTTCTTGCGTATTCGTGGATGTCGGAAGGTCGACACGGAGAGGAGAGGACGGGTTGTGCATGAGATTTCGCAGCAGTGAGGAATAACAATAAGGGTGGTTGAAGTGGCAGTGGCAGTAGCGGTGGTAGTAGTCGCAGGCTGGCCAACCCGTCGCGGGTCAGGATGTCCTGCCATGATCTGAACCAAACCGCCTGCACCACACCTGTGCAGCTGGCTTCCACCACCACGACGCGACGCTACAGTCCACGGGCATGGCAGATGGCCGTCTGCGAACGTTTTGTGTGGGTGAATTGATCGCTTGCACTAGACTGCCATCCGACAGAGGAACAGACAGAGAGACGGCGGACCAGAATTGCCAGCAATCGGCGATGGACCTCCGCTGACGTGTGTGTGTGGTGTGACGCTATGGCGGGCGGGTTGGTCTCGGCAGCACACGCGCAGTCGTCCAGTAGAAAGTTGTTGATGGTGAACTGGTGAGCAAGCCACTTTTGCCTATGCGGGTCAAGCCCACTGGGTAATGTAATCATCAGCTTGTCTACGCGGGTCAAGCCTAACAATGGGCGGGAACTCCAGCTAGGGATCAGCTAGGGATCAATATCATCATTATTGTCCATGCGCCGGCGGTTCAGATCAAGCGATTCAAGCCACCACCACCGCCCTCCGCCCTCCGATCGACGATCACAAGCCCGCGGTTAGATCATCACAAGGGTTCGTGGCACGGGCAGGAGGCCATGACGATCCATCTTGATACCGTATGCCAGATGCTGTGATGATGATGATGATGATGATGATGATGATGATGATGCAGTAGTAGTAGTAGTGGTGGTGGTGGTGGTGGTGGTGGTGGTGGTGGTGGTAGTATTCCAGGAGTCGGTCATCGTCGACCACGAGATCATCGAAACTACGGGGCCGCCTCTCTCTCTCTCTCTCTCTCTCTCTCTCTCTCTCTCTGTTCCTCTCTCTTCCTCTCTCTCATGGTTGATCTTCGGCATGCCCGTATCCATATTCCTACTGGTGAACAACCACCACAAGATTAATGAGAAACATCGTTCCCCTGGGGCACCTGTGTCGAGGGGAACCCACTGGGAACAACAACAACAACAACAACGTCGTGCGCACTCGAAACGGCGTCAGATCGGGATCGGAAGTCCCAATGTCGATCGTCAGTCAGGTCGGCAATTGTCATATGTAATAATGATATTCTATGCACCCCGGTCTTTTCGATGGGATTTAGAGTTCATTTCCTTGTCGCATTGCATCACAAAGAGATCAGCCTTTGTTATTTCCTTCTCGCTGCTGTACTAGGCATGACGATCATCGTGAAGGCTGCTGCCGTGTCAGATGTATGGATTGTGACATGAGTGGGCCTGATAGACGTTGCTGCTCTCTCCAGCACGCGCCGGTCGAGATGCTCCGTGAACACACCTGGGCACACATACCAGCCCTGGAGGTGCCCAGGTGGGTCGATATAACAGGCTCAACGGGGGGAGGGCCTGGCAGCCGACCCGCGACAAATGACCCGCCCGTTTCGTCACATGGGGGAGGAAATCAGAGCCCCTCAGTCACCACCTTCCTCCCTCAGGCAGGAAACATCTCCCATCTGATCTCATCACCCTCGTCCAAAACACGGCACGATACGATACAGTACAGTCCACGTCCACACGGCGATGATCGTGTCTCGCGATCGGACAGTCACCGACGACTGCAGCATGATCTGTGCACGCATGGATCGAGGGAGAGAGGGAGAGAGTTCACGGGGCTTGACCAACCACAAGCCCGCCCGGGCGAGGCTATCCCGCCCTTCGTCAGCGTGCGCGCGCGCTTGGCCGATTGTCGTTGCTCGTCAAACACTCGTCATAGAACGCTCGACGGCGATACTGTGTGTAGGTTGGAGTTGCGCGTGGTCTGTCCGGCATCTTCGTGCGCGGATTCATGCGGATAGAGATCTCCCATTCTCCCACTCACCGTCAAATAAATGCGATCGAAGTGAGATGATCTCTGCCCGCCCATCGTACAGTCCAGTCCAGTCGAGGGCAGGACGGTGCACACATATGCATGTGTCGAACAGCAGGCGATCCACCTCGTCCGTTTCGGGGAAGTGCTCTTCCCGGCATGGTCGATGGAAACCAAACCACGTTCCGGCGAAACCGTCGCCCGTGATATAAGTAGCACTTGAGAGAGGATGTTTCGTCATCACGATACGTCCTCATGGATATATCTCCACGGGAGCATGTCGATGGTGACTAAGCACAACGACGACGAGATGTAATTGGAAATGGGTGATGAAAGTAAGTTTACTGACACTGCCCGACGGAACCTCACATTGGCAGATCACTCCCATGGTCGTTCTCCATCAATCATCAAAAGACACACAGTCACCTGATGTTCTCGTCTCCCGGTCTACATAAGCAAACCATTCATCATCATCATCTTCATCATCATCATCATCATCATCATCATCATCATCATTATTCACCAGGACACCCGTGGACATCTGCGCGCATGTACAACCGCCCGGCTCGGTGCATCTCACACATAGTTTCACATGATGATCTGGGCAACCATGAAATCCAGGAAAGTCTCCCGACGCCGACCGCGTCCACGAGATCCATGCCATTCACCACACAGGCACCCGCAGGTTTCGGGACGAGACCGGCCAGAACAACCCGTTGAAAACATGGGTGCCAAAATATGCAGATTGCGAGGGAAGGGTTCCCGCCGAAACGCCACCCTTTCATACTTACCTAGGTACAGTACGATAATACAGGATCGGAGTCGAGGCCCCTCCACGCCATAAACCGTCGACCCTTCCTGTCTCGTTTTGTCACTGCGGGAACGGGCAGAAACTTGAGATGTACGTCGAATGTCTCCTGGGCACCTGAGGAAGTGCCCACCTGCGCACGTAGATAGGAGTGATGGATTGGCGAGGGCGACATATACCGTTTCGCCGTTTACATGATTTTTCTTTCTGATGACGTGGCTGAAACGACACATAACGGTGCGGCTCTCGCTGCGGTCTCGTGAGAAAGCGACATCTATGATGAGAGAATTGGGTTGTTTCCAGGAACAGCGGCAGCATCAGCGCTTTCTCTATCCAAATACACCATAATCTCTCTCGTTGAAATGATGCAACAGAAGACGGATAATGACAGAGAGAGCGAAGAGTTCGGGAATATCTCGGCGAGGACTTCTACGTGTACTTATTATTCACCACGGCCCAGGTGGTAAGTATCGTCGGACTGATGCCGGGAGAGAGAGAGGAAAAGAGAGAAGGACAAAAACACGCCATCCCTGTTCCGGGCTTCTCCTCCAGCCGCATCATCCTGACGACATCTGTGCCGCTGCTCCTTCTCTTCTCTCCTCTTCCCGAGTGGACATCTCCCGATCATGTCTCCTTCGGGGCAAGTCCGGGATGCGCGCATCATGATCCTATCAATGTATACGTGCAGGTGTCCATCTTGTCGATGGCAAGTAGAGGCGTCGACGGAGGATGAATGATCGGTGAGGAGGTCGGAGAGGAGGAGCGACGATGTTTGGGGATGGATGGCTCACTTCGACTGCACGTGCGGTTTACGCGCGCTTCTTCGCCGTGTAATGACCTGGCTGCAGACCTCGACGTCGAAGGACCATCCTGGCCGGCAAGGAACCTGAGGATTGGTTCGGCTGGCGAAGAGCATATCCATCTGTATTCGCTTATGTTGTGCAAATCGTTTCGGGGACTTTCTACTCCGGGCGACCTCATGTTCGACCGCCCGCGTACGACACCTGTTTGCTGACAGAGCGGGGATTATCGCGACTTCTGCGGGATGCTGATGACATTGCACGATTGTTGTCTTACGGCCAGTCCCGCTCCATCACATCACAGATCGCGGCACCTGTAGAGCGTTTCCTTTCTGATGACCTTGCTTTGACACTTGCACCACCGAACGTGGCACGCATCGTCGGCTTCAGGACGGTACCCCGACGGGTTAGAAGACCATGAAGCCCGTCACCAGGTTTGATCTTCCCGTTACGGGATGTTCAGGCAAACGCGATCTCAACTTCGCCGCTTTTGCCATTCCCGACGAGCGTGTTGTCGACCTATCTATTATGCTTATGACTCGGCAGATGGTCATTCCCACGTGGGAGCGAGTCTCACTTGAGCTCAAGCGCGGTTCCATTCAATCATCCTTCGTCATAGAGTCAAAAGTCTGAAAAAACCTCGACCTCGGGCGATCAAGAAGCACTTCTCACGCATAAGCATTTCTAGTATGCGTCAGCGTCAATGGATGAGGCATTCCTTCACCTGTCCTGGCTTTCACGTATGACCAGGAGGACGAGAGGTGAGGTTTGCCCTGATCGGATAGGGAACTGCGCTTTCTGGCTCATGTTCAACAAATTTCATTACGCGTGACAAATATACCATCAAGGGTGGCAATGACGACGACTCCCGTCGACAGGCGTGCAACGTTAGCATCATAATGTCGTGGTTGCTTGTGTTCGGCGGACTGCCGGATAGTGCTGACGAACAGGCGTCACTGTCGTCACCTGAAATCCTCGACAGGGGGTTCTTCAGAACTGACCGCTATATATTGATTTCAGCAGGAACACATTGGACAGAATGCTTCTCGTTCCCTCCTCTCACAACTTCACCATCAGCTGATATCTCAAATCAATAGTCGGCACTCAAGATGTTGACCAAGTTGACCTTGGCGTCTGCTTTGCTCGGCGTTCACGCCGCTGCTTTCCCAGCACCTCAGGAGAATGCCGTAAGCGTCCTCCGAGATGCTCTTCCATCCGGATATGGTTCTTCAAGCACCAAGTCCAGTGCGGGCACTGCTGCGTCGACGGGCAATGCCAGCAACCAGAGGGGCAACCTGCCCGGCTACACCAACGCGGATGCACCATTCGGTTCATACACTCCCAGCCCGATCACTGCCGTGCCCACCAGCTTTGGCCTCAATTCTGCCGTCCCTGCCATATTCACCACGGCACCAAATGGCACCCAGTCAGGCGCTGCTGCCCCTCAGCGAAGTTCTTTGCCGACCGGTCCAACGAGCCACGGTCCCTTTACTGGACTACCAACCACTGTTGGTGCCGTCTCCACGACCGTGATCGCCGCCTCCATTCCAACTCTCCCTCCGAATCCAACCGCGACATACTACAACACCAATGGCACCCCCCAGAAGCCTCAGCCAGCGCCGTACGTGCCAGCCGGAGGTCTCGGCACGAATGGCTCTCTGCCGCGATACATGGTGGAGAGTGATTTCGACTACGAGTCCATCCAGTTGGGTCTCTACCAGGAATGGATCGAGTTGGATCTCTTCAACAACGGCCTCGCGATCTTCTCCGAGGAGGACTTCTTAGCCGCCGGTCTCACCGCCGAAGACCGATCCCTGATCGCCTTCATGGCGCAGCAGGAGCAGGGCCACGCCACCCTGCTCTCCAACATGCTCGGCCACACCGCCGTCCCCCAATGCACCTACGACTACCCCTTCAAGAACGTGCGCGAATTCGTCGACTTCAACCAGATCCTCACCCGCTGGGGCGAATCCGGCGTCTGGGGTTTCATCAACCACCTCGACTCGCGGGAGGTCGGACAGCTCCTCGCGCAATCCATCGCGACCGAAGCCCGCCAGCAGATGATCTTCCGACAGATGAGCGGCCTGCACCCGATGCCCGTCTGGTTCGAAACCGGCATCCCCCAATCCTGGGCCTGGACCTTCCTCGCGCCCTACATCAGCAGCTGCCCCGCCAACACCACGCGACTCGCGTGGCAGAACTTCCCGGCGCTGCACGTCGCCAACCAGGCCAACATCAACCGCGTCAGCCCCAACGACACCGCGGACTGGGAACGCGCGGACAACCGCACCTCCAGCCCGGCGACCCTGCCCGCCCAGAACGCAAGCTGCCTCAACCTGAACGTCACCGGCCACGGCTGCGGTCCCGCCATCGCACGCAACCGCTCCGAGCCGCTCTCCTTACCGGGCAAACAGGTCCGCTTCCTCTGGGACACGCCCGGGGCGCCCGTCGGGCCCAACAACAGCTACATCACGAGCTCGGCCGCGGGGCCCCCGCGGTTCGTCGCCTGGGTCGCCCAGCTCAACCTCACCTACACGCCGCTGACCGTCACGGGCCCGAACCAGGGCTACACCTATCAGCCCGCCGGGGAGGTCTACGCGGGCGGCCAGGGGATCGTGAACGACACCATGTTCGTGGCGCTGACGGATTCGGATCTGTTCCTGACGCCGTTCAACCTGAGCATGATCAACCCGCATGTGGTCGCGCTGGGCGTCTACCAGGCTGGTTGAAGGCGTCATGTGGATCCCGGGGCGAGAAAGATGAAGTGGACGATAATTATAACGCGAGTCAAATGGGATAATGTATGTACATAACGAAGGAATGGATGGAAATGACAAGATTATGGCAACGAGAACAATCTCCCACGCCCGCATATACATCAATGCTCTGCTCCCTGTTTGTTCGATCGCGCCAACAGAGAAATGTCGTTAGATGTATAGAGGTTATCCCCCTCCCCTCACCTCGACGCACGTCCAGGGCCCTTTTGCTATGGGTTCAGGCAAGGAATCGAGGATCGAGGAGTGCGGAGAAGCTATCATCGGCTTACTCATGCACAGCAAAACAATTCCACTTCATCACGTCACAGACGAACATCGGGCCCCCGTACGAAGAGAGACAGCCTGCGGGACTTGAAACGGAGAAGAAGAAAAAAAACAGTCCGCGCTTGCAAATTACGTTATGGGAGGGAAAAGATATAACCGCGGCCGGTAGAATTTCGGAAAAGAACCCCCAGAGATTTGTGTCTTGTTTCCACGCGCCCCGTTCTAAACACGGCAGTCCGACAAGTCATGTCCCACCGCAGCACAGGAAAACTCGACGTTCGGATGACGCCCAAATGGCAAGTTCGCGTCTAGATGCCCAGGGTGAACTCGACGCCGACGTCGATGTCGCGAGCTGTAGGAAAGGAAGTCATGTTAGTGAAATGATCAGATGAATAAGGACGTGATGAGAGAAGGGGGTAATTCGGACGACTTACCGATCTTGACGACCTTGCTGAACTGCACGCTCTTCTCCGCCGCAGTCTGCAGGTCATCGATGCTGAAGATCTTGAGGCCGCTCTCGTTGATCAGCTTGTGTGCCTGCTCGCCGTTGGTGCCCTGTAGTCGGGCGATGATCGGGATGCGCAGGTTCATGCTCTCGACGACGGAGATCAGGCCCTTGGCGATGGCGTCGCAGCGCACGATTCCGCCGAAGATGTTGACGAAAATGGCGGTGACCTTGGGGTCGCTGGTGATCAGGTCGAAGGCTTGCTTGATCGCCTCCGGGGTGGCTCCTCCGCCGACGTCGAGGAAGTTGGCGGGTGAGCCGCCGTTGAGCTTGATGATGTCCATGGTCGCCATGGCGAGACCGGCTCCGTTGACCAAGCAGCCGATGTCTCCATCAAGCTTGATGAAGTTGAGTCCGGCTTCGCCAGCCTTGACCTCGTCCGCGTCTTCCTGCGAGGGATCGCGCCAGTCGAAGACCTCCTTTTGACGGAACTCGGCGTTATCGTCGAAGTTGAGCTTGGCGTCCATGCACAGAACCTTGTGGTCGGACGTCTCGCTGAGGGGGTTGATCTCAATCTGGGTGGCATCCTTCTCCATGAACACCTTGTACAGCTTCTGAATGGTGGAAACGGCATCGGGGATGCATTGCTTGCTGAAACCAAGGTCGGTGGCGATCTTAGTGGCCATCTCGTCGGTCACACCAATGTTGATGTCAACCTTGGTGGTGAGAATGGCTTCCGGGGTCTCCTTGGCGACGGTCTCGATATCCATACCACCCTGGCTTGAGGCGACGATGACCGGTCCTTGTGTCGCACGGTCCATGAGGATGGCAAGGTAGAATTCCCGACGTGCGTACTCGCGCTCGACGATGTAGACGCTGTTGCAGATCCGTCCGCGCTCACCGGTTTGCTTGGTGATGAGCTTGTGACCGATCATCTGTTCGGCGAGGACGGAGGCCTCACGCGGGCTGTAGACGACTCGGACACCGCCCTTGAAACCATTGTCGAAGTGACCTTTTCCTCGTCCTCCTGCCAAAACCTGTGCTTTGACCACCATGTCCTCACCACCGATGCTGTTGGCGACCTGTTCGGCCTCCTTGGCGTTGTGTGCTACATTTCCCTTTGGTACGCCGATTCCGTATGACTCTAATAGCTGTGCAGATCGGTATTCGTGAACGGCGAGATTGCGACGCTGGGTTTGTTGCTGTTCTACATGTGAGCTCTGGTGTGCTGATAGTGTTGATAAGATGACGACTTACGCTAGCACTTTTCAGCGCAGATGTGAATTGCCGGCCGCTTGATCTCGCGAGTTTAAACATGTTGTGCAGATGGGAGAGATCGGGCGATATATGACAGGGAGGTCGGTTGTCAAAGAACGGGATGTGTGTATATCACACGTTGTACTGAAGATGGCAGGGTATGTTACGAAGGGCCTAGGGAGCTGAGCTTCGGAGGTTGCTTCTTGCGGACTTGTCCGGATCTCCAACCTCAGGCATAGACAGCTGTCGCTTCAAAGTAATCTATGCACCCACGTTTTTTTCCTTCAAGACGTGGGAGTGCCACCATGTCAAGCAAACGTGCGCGTCCAGATCCGATTGCTGAAGAAGAAGCAGCTGATCTAGATCTCTATGCTGGACGATTAGGATTTGCAGGTGCAAGCTTCAAAAATGAATTCCGATCTGCCTGGCAGCAGTCGCCAGACACGCCGAGTGTTGGTCTTCGCAATGAGACGGCTGATGAAGGAGTGAATGCTGGACTCGATGAAGAGGCTGGTGTCGGTGTGATATCCCAGACGTTGAAGAGTGACAGCGACATCAACAACTTCTTACATCAAAAATCGCGACCTGTAAATGAGAAATTACTCGAACAACTGCTCGGCAGCAAAGGCGCCCGGGCCAAAAAGAAGGAGATTGATGCTGCCAGAGTCACAGCGGCGTCAAAACCCCTGCCATTGAAGAAACCATTTTCTTCTGCAAAGCCACAGGACGATAGCTCCGATGAAGAAGGAGGTCGAGCCTCAGCGATCACTTCAAAGCGTGGAGGTCGCGTCGCCTCTGAGCCTACTCGCAAAGCACCTGCAGGCGATACAGGAGAACAGGGAAACGATGCACGATCTATCTCAAAACTACCGCCAGGCGCTGACCGCGACGCTGATGATGCAGACGAGGCTGACACCAGACCAATAGTGACTTCGAAACCTGTCAAGAGAAAGGCAACTGGAGGATATCTGGATGAACTACTGGCAGCAAAAGCGTCGAAGAAGAACAAGAAGACGAAATCGGGGGGCACAAACGTCGATGCTCGCTGAGGGTCTTACAGATGATACCCAGAAATCTACTTTGCCGTCACTCTCTTTGCGGGAGTCACCCGTCCATGCTTGTGCATACAACTGCAGCAGTGGGATGGATCTATCTTCTGCCAGTAGAGTTACGCATATTCCGAAGCGCACTTGAGGATGTTATGATGCGCACCTGGATGACGCTGCATTGCCAAGGGAACTGTCTACTTGCAGCAAGCCCATGTCCGCATGTAGCAGTCGGATGAATGGCCGCAGACCTCAGATATATGGCAAGTACCATTCAAACTTCGCTGTCTTCGGGTGACTCCGATTGTGTCTGGAAGACTATTTGGCAAGTGTGCACCGCTGATGAGCTTTGCACAAGCTTTGCACAATGGCTGTAGTAAACACTCCCTCTGAAGTGCGAAAATCATTGATTGCGATGACGAACCGAGGACTGGCATGGAGCATACTCTCAAATCAACTTGGTACTTTGGGAGTCAGAGAGCGACACAGATCGAACCTATGCTTGCCCAAACCCTAACGCCAAACTGCGCATGATCGTCGAGAAGTCAATATCAGACAAACGATCAAAATGACTTCTGTTAATCTTTCTTGAGATCGCTTTTCCATTCTTATCTAGGTACTTAGTAGAAAATTCCGAGGATAGCTCTAAGAACTAATCAAATCGCTTGGATGCATATGACTGCTTCGATTTGACTGAGCGGCCAACAAGATGCGCGGCTAAATCCAACGATGAGTGCAAGACTCCTGCTTCTGAAGTTCGCGGAGGGAGACAACGTCATGACGTCCAATTAAGCGAATATCCGTACTGCGCTCCGGCTCCGGACTGGCCAACTCATGACATGAGTGTGCCCATCGCAAAGTACATTGTTGCTGTGCCACAGAGTCAGTTCGCCCTGGAAATGGCGGGGTCCCCACACGAAATGATGGATTGCATCATTGTCGACGTGGTTCAAAAGTTAATGAGTATGCATTCATGGAGCTTGCCACGACTGGATGGATATAAGTTGGTTACATCAAACATCTTTTCTAGCGATCATTTCGAAATCGATGCAACTTTGCATTGCAAGGTAATACATCAACAGCAATTTGGATCCCAAACTCCCTGATCCTTGCAGACACGATGGCGGCACCAATCATTTCATTCGACTACGGTAAACATCCATCCCTAGCGGTCATCCCATATTTCGTCTGTGTCAGCACGATCTGATGTGTAATTCCAGACAATTCGCCATATGGCCAGAAGGTCAAACTTCTGCTGGCATCATTGGGCGTCGATTTCAAGAGGAACGATCAGCCCTTTACAATGCCGCGACCTAGCTTGGAAGCCTTGGGTATCACTTACAGGCGCATTCCCCTCTTGGCCATCGGCAAAGACATCTACGCTGACACATCCCTCATCATCGATGTCATTACTTCGCAGCTGGGAAAGATCCCCACCAGTCCTGCGGACAAGGCGTACGAGTCGTGGGCCAACGCCACCTTCATAGACTCTCTGGGTCTACTCCCACAGCAAGTGCTCTCGCCGGAGTTCAAGAAGGATCGCGAGAGCATCTTCCCATTCGTGAGTCGTCCTGATATCGCAACCCTTCGACCAAGCGCACTTGCAGCGGTCAAAGGTCGCTTGCTACACGCTGAGCGTCAGTTCCTCGCCAATTCCGAGGGTCCGTTCATAGGGGGTTCCGATATCTCTTTGGCCGACATTCACGTCGCCTGGGTACTCAAGATGTTACTTGGGCTTGGTATCGGCAAGGAGCCGGGTTTCGGACAAGATAAATTTCCAAAAGTATACAAGCTTGTTGAGAGCTTACCAACTTTCAACCCGCCAGTGCTGAGCGACGAAGAAGCTCACAAGATCATCCGTGGCGCGAGCTATACTTCGCAAGGAGCGAAGGGAGTCTCCCTCGATGAACCCACTGGCTTGGAGGTCGGCACGCCAGTCAGCGTCGAGGGCTTTGAGTGAGTTTTGTCCATTTCCTTCCGCGAGCATGCAGTAACGCTGACATTGTGTGTACTGTAGCACCGAGCCTGGCGCGCACCCGCAATTTGGCACGCTCGTTGCTGCGGATCATCGCGAGGTTGTGATTGAGATCAAGGATGGAGTACATTTGCACTTCCCACGCATCGGCTATATTGTGCGTGCTCAGTAAGCACGGTCAGTAGATCTCACGGGTTGCCAATCACTTGGTGGTCTAGAATAGTGGCTTAAATATCAATAAGTTGATTTCGAGGAAGTGTGTTTTCTTTGCAACCCCACTTGTCGTACTCTTGACCAAGACTCACTCTTCTCACATGGACGGTGAAGTGCGGCGTGCGGAGGAGGATGCGGCATTGGCGTGCATGCTCGGAATTCGAGGTACAGTATATCCTAGAGTACCTCTCCGGGAAACAGCTCAAGGACCTTCAGCCACACGCCAGCAATTTTCAATGCCACCGATCTCCATTGGTCGTCCGTTTTGGTTTTGGGCGGCGTATATTATCTACTTTCCAAGGTTGCTTCCTTGCATTGCGAGTGCGGCATCGGGAGGTGCCACCTCTAACCATGATGAGATGTCCATTGCAGTTGGATGTGGAATCAAGCTCGCGTATCATCCGGAGTAACACTCGGAGTCGACCATGAGCTGGGTCCTCCGTAGAAAGCGCGCCCTTGCATGCCCGCCGAATGCTATTCAGCAGCTGCATAGAAGCGGCCTTGACTCGATGTCTCACCGCAACCACAAGGCAGAAGTGGTTTGGGAACGAACCGTGCACGCGACTAGTGGCGGGCCATGATAAGCGCAATCGGCGAAGATCGGCTTACCACCTGGGCACTGAGGGCTCAACAAAGAACGTGCTTGGTGAAGCAGCAAACAGCAGCAGAAGAAGGGTCCGACCTCGATGTCCGAATCTTTTCAAACTACCACAAGTCGCCGCACGCTAAACTGCACCACTTTTCCGCCCAGATCAGAGCAAACATTCTTCTCTCAAGCACAACATTGTCCCTGCGAGAAACACGGTGCGTTGCGATTTGCATCGACAGATTCCCCAGAACTACCGCCTCTGGTCCTTCACTTCATCGAGCGGAGCTTCGTGGCAACCGCCTTACAAAATGTCGGCTGCGCGATCAGCTGCCGCGCTTCGGCTTCGAGCACAATGGCTCGCGACACATCGTCCTTTGTCCAAGCAATGTCTCGTTGCCAGCCGTGCGAGACCGACATCGACTGTGTGTCTGCTTCAGAACAAAGTCCGCAGCGATGTCCGTACATTCTACTCCAGTGGCGCGGCCGATACGCCCTCTGTGCCCAATCTCACCAATGCCTCGATCTACGAACCCCTCGATACCTTTTCGCGCAGACACATCGGGCCGAGCGCCGAGACGACGGAGCAGATGCTTCAGGTTCTTGACCCTCCGGTCAAATCACTGGATGAATTCGTGAAGCAGGTCTTGCCCTCAACCATCCTGTCAAGCAAGAATATCAAAATCGAGGGCCCTGTCCCAGAGTCCGGATCGGTCGCCACCAGCGAGGGCGGATACTCAGAAAGCCAATTACTTTCAAGGTTGAAGGTCATTGCCGGAGAGAACAAGGTCTACAAGAGCTACATCGGATGTGGATATGCTGGAACCCGAGTGCCCGAGGTCATCAAGCGCAATATTCTTGAGAATCCTGCATGGTACACGAGCTACACTCCATACCAGCCAGAGATCAGTCAAGGAAGATTGGAGTCATTGTTGAACTTCCAGACCATGGTCTCCGACCTGACTGGCCTGAACATGGCCAATGCCTCGGTCCTGGATGAGCCTACCGCCGCCGCAGAGGCCATGACCTTGTCCATGAACGCTATGCCAGCTGCTCGCCTGAAGCGCCCGAACAAGACCTACATTGTTTCACATCTCTGCCACCCGCAGACTATCGCAGTTCTCGACAGTCGTGCCGAGGGCTTCGGCATCAAAATCAAGGTTGCGGATATCATGGCGGATAACAGCAAAGTTGTAGACGAGGTTGGAGAAGATTTGATTGGAGTTCTCGCACAATACCCCAATACGCTCGGAGGTGTTGAGGACTACCGATCGCTCGCCGACAAGGTGCACGCGCTCAAGGGAACATTCGCAGTCGGCACAGATCTGCTCGCGCTTACACTTTTGACCCCACCTGGAGAGTTCGGCGCAGATGTCGCTTTTGGCAACGCTCAGCGATTTGGCGTGCCGCTCGGTTTTGGTGGACCTCACGCAGCATTCTTCGCTGTGAGCGAGAAGCACAAGCGGAAGATCCCCGGTCGCCTGATCGGTCTGTCCAAGGATCGTCTAGGCCACAAGGCTGCTCGTCTGGCACTTCAGACCCGTGAACAGCACATCCGTCGCGAGAAGGCCACTAGCAACATTTGCACGGCGCAGGCGCTCCTCGCCAATATGAGTGCCATGTACGCCATCTACCACGGTCCCACTGGGCTCAAGCGAATTGCAGAGAAGGTCGCCAAGATGGCGCAGGTTCTCGCCAAGGGGTTGGAAGAGGCAGGACTCGAAGTTCGACAGCCTGTTGCCTTTGACACTGTCGTTGTCAAGAAGCAGGGCGCTTCGCTCTTCGCCACCAAGACCGCACAGAACTTCCTCACCAACTTCCGTGTCGTCGATGACGAGCACATCGGTATCACCATCGACGAGACCGTTGGCAAGAAGCAAATCGAAGAGATCTTCAGAGCATTCACCACTGATGTTGTCGATGTCAATGCCTTGGCCCAAGGTGTTGAGGCGACAGGCAGCGTACCCGAGTCTCTGCGACGAACGTCGAGCTACCTTACCCACCCCGTCTTCAACCAGTACCACTCCGAGACCGAGCTTCTTCGCTACATTTACCACCTGCAGTCCAAGGATCTTTCCCTCGTCCACTCTATGATCCCTCTCGGTTCCTGCACGATGAAATTGAACGCTACCACAGAGATGGTCCCGGTCTCGTGGCCAGAGTTCTCCAACATTCACCCCTTTGCACCCAGCGATCAGACTCTCGGTTACGCACAGCTCATCAAGGAGCTTGAGGAGGATCTCGCCGAGATCACCGGTTTCCACTCTGTTTCCCTACAGCCCAACTCCGGTGCGCAGGGTGAATTTGCTGGTCTTCGTGTCATCCGGAAATACCAGGAAGAGCAGCCAGGCAAGAAGCGTGACATCTGCTTGATTCCCGTCTCTGCTCACGGCACCAACCCTGCATCTGCCGCCATGGCAGGTATGCGCGTCGTCACGATCAAATGTGAGACCGGCACTGGTAACCTTGACATGAAAGATCTCAAGGACAAGTGTGAAAAGTACAGCGAGGAACTCGGCGCCATCATGATCACCTACCCTTCGACGTTCGGTGTCTTCGAGCCTAACGTCAAAGAGGCTTGCGACTTGGTTCACCAACATGGTGGTCAGGTCTACATGGACGGAGCCAACATGAATGCTCAAATTGGTCTTTGTTCACCTGGTGAGATTGGTGCTGACGTCTGTCATCTCAACTTGCACAAGACTTTCTGCATTCCTCACGGTGGCGGTGGACCAGGTGTTGGACCCATCGGTGTCGCTGAGCACCTTGCACCTTTCCTTCCGGGCCACCCTCTCGTCAAGAACGTCGGCGGCTCAAAGGCCATCGCACCTATTTCAGGAGCTCCATGGGGATCTGCCAGCATCTTGCCCATCAGCTGGGCCTACATCAAGATGATGGGCGCCCGCGGATTGACCCACGCCACCAAGATCACCCTGCTCAACGCCAACTACATTCTCTCCCGACTGAAGCCTCACTACCCGATCCTCTACACCAACGAAAACGGCCGCTGCGCCCACGAGTTCATCCTCGACACACGTAAATTCCAGGAGACCGCCGGCATCGGCGCCATCGACATCGCCAAGCGTCTCCAAGATTACGGGTTCCACGCTCCCACCATGTCATGGCCTGTCGCCAACACTTTGATGATTGAGCCCACCGAGTCCGAAGGCAAGTTTGAGCTCGACCGCTTCTGTGACGCGCTCATCTCCATCCGCCACGAGATCGCCGACATTGAGAACGGCAAGCAGCCCCGCGAGGGCAACGTCCTCCGCATGTCGCCCCACAGCATGAAAGACCTCATCCTCAGTGAGTGGGACCGCCCATACAGCCGCGAGAAGGCGGCGTATCCGCTCGAGTATTTGAAGGAGAAGAAGTTCTGGCCGAGTGTCACCCGGCTGGATGACACTTATGGTGACACGAATCTGTTCTGCAGGTAAGTTTCCCTTTCTTTCGTACGAAAAGAAGGAATGAATGACTAATGCGATTTTCTCGCAGCTGTGCTCCCGTCGAAACCATCGAAGGCCTCACCGGCGTCGCCGCTCCTCTGCCGACATAATCTTTCCGCACGCAACAAAATCGAATTTCACAAACCCTTATTTCTTCGTCATTATGCTCGTCTTCAACATGGATGGGTCGGACAGTCATCGTGCGGGACACCACAATTCCCCTGTGGATGATCATCTCCGGCTCAAGGGCTGCTGAACTCGAGTTCGTAATTCAACAAGAGCGTTCAAGCGTGGCGTTATAGATTTTGTTTTTGGCCAGACATGTGGCTTATTTGTTGCCCTCTGTGGAACGGAGGATGCGCGACCAGGTGGAGTGCGCGAGAGGTTGGGGCGTGGCTGGGCGTTTATATTGTATCTAACTATGAAGCTACCACTACTTTCAACACAGCCGATGGACATCGTTGTTCAACCCTTGTTGTCCGATGATCCCAGAGAGCGACGGTGTTCTGCTAGATGCCGTTTCTGAACGGCTTCTCGAATGTTCTCGGATGATAGAGGGATTCATTTCTCATCAAAGATTTCAGAATGACCCATTGTTCCACAGAAACACCTCTGCAAATGATCAGTGGTCAGCGCTTGAATATAACGAATCCATCTACCGTCGCCAGGGCAGGTGATGCCGTGTGTCTCGCCTGACTGCTCTCAGGCGCGTGGATCTTCGGGCTTTGGGCGATGAAGATTCGCCGTGTTTCTTTGTTTCGGCGTCCGCGTGTCGTTCCCAGCTGCTGCAGGTTTGTCACAGTCATCCTCCTCCGGCTCCTTTGCACCGAACATGGAATGGTTGCGGGGCAAGAAGGGCCGAAAAAGCCAAACCCCGGATTTCCAATGGAAGCGAGATGTCGGTTGCGCGTGGCGCCCGATGACGTCCTTTTATTAATACAGTACAATTCATACAGCCATCGTGACGATTGTTGGTCACAGATACATACACTGTGCGATACATTCATTTTATATCTCTGGTGTATTGCCTTTACGAGACATCTCATTCCTGTTCAAATAGCCGTGCATCTTGATTGCTGTTCATGAAAGGATCGTGACATTTCCCATCAACCGTCTTTGCTTCGTTGGTCTCCTTTCGCGAATACTTTGAACTGCGGTCGGGCTTCGCGGTTTGGCGCAACGCGCTCATCATCGAGGTAGGCGACAAGCGGAATCTGGTCTTGACTGATTTTTGTTGCAGAGATGTTCAATCATAACGATCATCTTCAACGGAATGCTGACCGGACTTAACAGATCACAACAGCAAGATGCTTCGTCAATGGGCATCGGTCGCTGTTGCTCTTGGTACTCTAATCGATATCACCACCGCGCATACGTACGAGACGCGGTTTAACGGCACAACCTGGGACGATGATAATTGGCGCATCATCACCACAAATTTAGACCAAGGCCATTACCAATCGCGTATGTCCTTGGCCAACGGATATCTCGGAATCAATGTTGCTGCCGTCGGACCTTTCTTCGAGGTCGATACGCCTGTAGCCGGTGATAATATTAACGGTTGGCCGCTGTTCAGTCGTCGACAGACTTTCGCGACTGTAGCCGGATTCTATGATTCTCAACCTACAACCGAGGGCACGAATTTCGAATGGCTGAATCAATATGGTGGGGAGAGTGTCATTAGCGGTGTGCCGCATTGGAGTGGTCTCTACATTCAGGTTGGAAACCGTATCCTGAATGCCAGCGTCCCTGCACGGGAAATATCCAAGTTTCAGTCTACTTTAGACCACAAGCATGGCATTCTGTCATGGAAATACGATTGGACACCATCCGGCGCGAACGCCACGATTGCCGTGGAATACGAGATCTTCGTGCACAAGCTATATGTCAATCAAGCTGCCGTTCAGCTGAAGTTGACCTCGCAGACTAACATCAATGTCACCGTCATCGATGTTCTTGATGGCGATTGCGCAGTCAGATCTGGACTGGTTGAAAAGGGATATGATGCTAAGTCACCAATCATCTTTTCAGCCGTGCGACCAAACGGAGTCAACACTGAGTTCTATGTTCATTCGGTTCTCGCAGCAGATGATTCTTGCCATTCCAGTAACCGTCGCGAGTATAAGCTGCCATCCGTCATTGGTGGCAACAGCTCTTCAATCGCGCAAGCGATTGACGTTGTTTTGCAACCGAAGCAGACCTCCAAAATTCACAAATTCATCGGTGGCGCATCAAGTACCGCTTTCAGCCATGCAAAGGCAGTGTCGCGCAGATCAGCCCTCCAAGCAGCTCATTCCGGATACAAATCTCTTCGTGCATGTCACCGCGCAGAGTGGCAAAGTATTTTCGCCGAAGACAGCGTCGACAACTTCCGAACTGCGAACGGTACCATTCCTGCTGACACGAATTTGATCGAGCTTCAGATCACGGCGATTACCAATCCTTTCCATCTGCTACAGAACACAATTGGCTCTAACGCGATTGCCGCCGCCGGAAACATCACTCACCTTGATGTCAACAGCATCAGTGTCTGTGGACTCGGGAGTGATTGCTACGCTGGTTTGATTTTCTGGGATGCTGAGGTCTGGATGGCTCCTGGCTTGGTGGTCGCTTTTCCACAAGCGGCCAAACAGATTGCTAGTTATCGAGTTGAGAAATTTCCGCAGGCGCAGCGAAACGTCAAGACGGCATACCAGTCAAGCCAGAACCAGACAGGAAAGTTCTCTCCGAACGGAGCCGTTTATCCCTGGACGAGTGGTGGCTTTGGCAATTGCACTGGCACCGGACCTTGCTTTGATTACGAATACCACATTAACGGTGACATCGGGCTAGAGATTTACAACTATTACGCCGTTACTGGAGATACCGACTATTTCCGCCAGCAACTGTTCCCGATTTACGATGCTGTCGCGCAGTTCTATGTTGACTTGGTCACATACAACTATACATCTAAGATGTACGATCTTTACAATGCCACAGATCCGGATGAGTACGCCAACTTCCAGACCAATGTTGGATTCACAATGGTCTTGATGCGCACACATGTCAACACGGCTAACACTCTGCGATCGCGCTTCGGCTTACAGCCAAACGACACCTGGACGCAGGTCGCAAACTCGATCACGATCCCGGTGGACGAATCAGCTAATATCATCCTCGAGTATGCTGCGATGAATGGCAGCATTAGTGTCAAGCAAGCCGATGTTGTACTTGTTGATGACTTTCTCGACTTTCCCAATCCTTACTCATTGAGCAATTTGGATTACTACGCAGGGAAACAGTCCTTGAATGGCCCGGGAATGACATACGGCGTGTTCAGCATCGTGGCGAACGAAGTCAGTCCTTCAGGATGCTCTTCCTATACTTATGACCTCTACGGATCGCAGCCGTACATTCGCGGCCCCTGGTTTCAGTACAGCGAGCAACTGCTTGACAACTTCGAAGCCAATGGCGGTACTCATCCGGCTTATCCTTTCTTGACCGGTATGGGCGGCGCCAATCGCGTCGCAGTCTTCGGATATCTCGGTTTGCGACTGATGCTCGAAAGCTTGAATGTCGATCCTTCACTGCCACCGCAGATTTCTCAATTGACGTACCGCACAATCTACTGGCAAGGATGGCCAATCAAAGCCCGCTCAAACCAGACACATACCACTTTGACGCGTCTCTCGCATCCATTGTCGACCGCAAATTCCACCTTTGCTACATACGCCATTCCCGTCACCATTGGTCTACACGGCGACGCACCTCCACTTTCTCTCCCACCCAACGGCGCCATCACTGTCACCAACCGCGGCATCGGCAAGATCAAAACCGCCCCCGGCAACATAGCTCAATGTCTCCCCGTGACATCGACTCAGGAGATCGTGCCAGGCCAGTTCGCTCTCAGCGCCGTCGACGGTGCCGCCAGCACCAAGTGGCAACCTCTCCACGCCAACATCACCGCCAGCGTCACAGTACAACTCTCACAACCCTTCATCCCCATCACTAGCATCCTCTTCGACTGGGCTCAAGCCCCACCCCAAAGCTACCGCGTCACCTTCCACAACCTCTCCGACACCACCATCGTGCCGCCACTACTCGTAGCGAGCTCAGATAACATCGCCATTAGTAATCCCTACAATGCGGCGATGGCGGCGGCAGTGGTTCCGTACATGTCTAACACGACCAATGTCACCCTTGCGAAACCGGTGTGGAGTGCAAGATATGCGACGTTGGAGATTCTTGGGACGCAGGCTGGGCAGGGAGTCACGGTTGGTGCATCGGTGGCAGAGTGGTCGCTCATTGCGGGTCAGTGAGGTTTTCATGCGGAATTCTGGATTTGAGTGGGGATTTGTGTTGATGAGTAACTAATGATGATTATGGTGGCTGTGAGGAGGAGGACTGATGATTGAATTGTATAGCTTCGTTTCCAGAAAAGTACGTTCATGAATGAGAGATTGGTGCTTCCATAGCGAGATCGAAGTACTTCATGTTCATACGTTGTGGTCAGGAACCCCCAGAACATCAATTCAACCACAATGATGCTCGGTCATTGTAATAGTATTGATCTGTCGATCAACCAGTGTGTTTTATTCTGATGAAGCTGTGACGAGACAAATTGTCGGACGTGAGAATGGCTTGTGAAAGTCTGACGTCATGAAGATTCCAAGTTGGTGAGTGGGCCGCGGCTCCTGCCCTGACAGCTTCATTTCCATGATAATAAGTCATTCATTCATTCATTCATTCATCCATCCATCGAAAGCTACATCCTCATCCCGCATCTCCTGGGTCCGGCTACATCAGGCGTCTTCTTATTTGCGCCCACGAAGACGTCGACAATGCCTTGCTGAACACCCGGCTTGTGAGGAATTATGCGTGCAGCCTTCAGCTTGGGGCGGATCTGCCTCAACGCCAGCAGCATCCCAGCGCGACCACAAATCCTCCGACACATCCAATATAGCATTCACAGCGGTCGAGGGAAGCGCGGCTTCCAAAGTATTTTCGCCAATGCTCGCCATACGTTTCGCGGTGCGCCTGCGCCCGTCAAGGGTGGTTCGGCACTGCTTGCGGCATTGACCCCGGCTGCGTTTGTGAAGATCGCCATGGAGGATGACGACGAGGAGGACCATGATGGACGGACACATGAGGAGCTTATGTTGGAAATGTCGCGCCGGGAATTGGCGGAGCAAGTCCCCAAAAGACTTCAGAATTCGAAGAAATACCGCCTCGGGATCTGGCGGTTTGTCACGACATGGATCGTCGAGCCGATTGCGACGGGATTCCGGTTCCTACACTTGGTCTTCATTTTCGTGCCTGTCATTCTCACGGTCCCGGTGATCTGGTTTGGGCCTAAGCAACCTGAGCGGGATGATGAGCGGAGTGGTACTCTTTGGTGGTATGGCTTCTTGGTCGCATCGATGGAGCGCGCTGGCGCGGCCTTCATCAAACTGGGTCAATGGGCTGCAAGTCGAACGGATATCTTTCCTACGGAGATGTGCTCAATCATGTCATCGCTACACTCGAACGCTCCAGCACATTCACTTGCAGTGTCGAAGAAGACAATCGAGCGGGCGTTCGGAATGCCATTTGAAGACATCTTTGACGAGTTTCAAGAGAAGCCGCTGGGTGTTGGTGCTATCGCGCAAGTGTACAAAGCGAAACTTAAACCGAACCTTGCGGTCGAAGACGCCGATGAGGCTGATACCCCTCAGACTTTGACCGAGCGAGCGAGGAAGACTGTCGACCCACTACTAAAGAGCAGCCCACAGCGAGTGCCATCCAGCTACGTGGCGATCAAGGTTCTACATCCAAACATCGAACGGATCGTGCGCCGTGATTTGCGCATCATGGGATTCTTCGCAAGCCTCATAAATGCTATTCCGACGATGGAGTGGCTATCCTTCCCCGACGAAGTTGAACAATTCGGCGAAATGATGCGACTGCAGTTAGATTTACGCATTGAATCGGCAAACCTCATCCTCTTCCGCAAGAACTTTCGCAACCGGACCACAGCATGGTTTCCTTATCCGTACAGCAGCTATACCACCAGGCAAGTTCTCGTAGAGGAGTTCGCGACTGGAATTCCACTTGAACACTTCTTGCAAAATGGCGGAGGCGTCTTTCAGAAGGAAATTGCCGACGAAGGATTAGATGCATTTATGCACATGTTGCTTATTGACAACTTCATTCACGCCGATCTGCATCCCGGAAACATCATGGTTCGCTTCTATGAGCCTGCAACGATACAGTCTCACACCAAACTCAACCTCCACCTCCGCCCAAAACCCAAGTCCAACCCTGAGGATTCCAAGGATGTAACCGAAGAAGTACTAGAGCGTCTTCGCCCTCATCGCCATGATAAAGAGAAGTGGACCAGCACCCTGGCTCAAATCGACCACGAAGGTTATCGACCCCAACTCATTTTCATCGACACCGGCCTCGTCACCGAGCTCAACGACGTCAACCGCAACAACTTCCTCGACCTCTTCAAAGCCATCGCTGAATTCGACGGCTACAAAGCCGGACGACTCATGGTTGAACGCTGCCGACAACCCGACGCCGTGCTAGACAAGGAGGTATTTGCATTACGCATGCAGCATCTTGTGCTGGGCGTCAAGAGCAACACCTTCTCGCTCGGAAACATCCAAATCGGCGATATTCTGAATGAAGTCCTGAGCATGGTCCGTGGCCACCACGTGCGGCTCGAGGGTGACTTCGTCAATGTCGTGTTGTCGATTCTGCTCCTGGAGGGCATTGGTCGGAGCCTCAACCCGGATCTGGATCTTTTCTCAGGGTCAGTGATTTACGATTTCTTCTTTTCAAATCAATTCTCCGACGAGTAGCGAAAGCTACTGACGCTCTGGTTCGCCTGCGCTATGCCACGGGCTTGCCGTTCTGCCTTTGAGATACCCCATATGCGATGCTTCATACGATAAATGATCTTATTACACGCATTCATTTCACTCAATCAATTTTCCCATTTATTTCACCTAGAATCTTTCAATGTGTTCATCTGCTGACATCATTATCTCTACAGAGCACTCCCGATCCTCCGCCAACTCGGTGCACAGAGCAGTTCCTCGATCTTGAAATCCGGCGACCTCTCCATGGTGAAAGTCTGGGCAGGACTTGAAGCGAGGAAATTCTTGCAGGCGAGCATTGAGAGCGTGGAGGCTTGCGTCAAATATGATCAGTTGTCGCCGAACTTTTAGATGAATGTTGCAAATGCTATATTGAGTAACGATGAATCAAACACGATGTATATTGAAAGGGTGGAATGCAACCTTGGAGGTTGTAGTTGTCCCGTGGGTGTGTAGATATTCCCTCCAGTGTAAACATATCTCCACAATTGTATCTGTTCCACGACTTCGGTACGTTAAAGCAATGTCGTTGTATCTACCAGCGCTGGCACTAAATCTCAAGTGTAGCCGCATCGCGTGCGAAGTCCGACGCCACGATTTGAGTTTTCGACAAGCTTCGGAAAATCTAGATCCTACCCACGATCTGCAGGGCTGCAGCTGCAAGCCGCACAGCAGTGTATAATAAGACACGGCCATGGCCTCAGTCAAGACCGTCGCGGTGGTGTCATTGGAATTCTACTGCGCATCGCGGTAGATTCCCATCATTAGTTCCACCATGGCCTCTAACGATCCTGGCCTCGCCACCGTCGCCGCGCCAGCAGAAGACCCGCTGAAAGGCGCCGTGGTGAACACGTCCTCCAACACCAGCGAACGCCCCGCCTCATCAGCAGAAGAAACAGTAGCGACAGAGGAGGTCATCGCGCCCGACCAATTCGACGAGCGCTACACGACCACGCGGAACGAAACCTGGGCCTACTACAGCTACTACATCGGAAACAACGGCCTCAGCCTCTTCAATTTCGCGCCGACCGCCGCCCAGAATCTCCTCTACCAACACGCCGAAGCCATCGGCGGCCCAGACAACACCATCGTGAACTTCGCCGGCGCCGACCGCACTATCAACGGCATCATCCTACTCTGCAACGGAATCAGCTTTGCGATTCAAGCGGTGCTCTTCCTCATCATCGGCGCCTATGCCGACTTCGGCACTTTCCGACCGAATATCCTCATTGGCCTCAGCCTGGTGGCGTGGGGAATCGGGTTTGGCTGGTTGGGTGTGCACGAGGAGCCGCTGTGGCAACATGGTCTGGGACTGTATATTGTCGGCTTGATCGCCTATCAGCTCTGTCTGACGTACTGGACGGCGGCGTTCCCTGGTCTGGCGCGCAACACGCCGGAGATGCGCGCCATGGCGGAGAAGTTCGAGGACGGCGCGTGCTCTCGGGATGAGTATAATCATGCTGATAGTATGAAGCGGAATGAATTGTCCAATGTGGCGTTCTATGTCCAGAGTGTGGCGGAATTGGTCATTTTGGCGGTGATCGTCGGGGTGATGTTTGGGTTGAATGTCAATGATAGTGTCGAGGCGAATAATTACGGGCTTAGTGTTCTGATTGCGTTTGCTTCCGGAGTGTGGATTCTTGTCGCGCTGCCGTGGTTTTGGCTAGAGAAGAGAAGACCTGGGCAGGACCCGGGAATGAACATTGTGGTTGCTGGTCTGTGGCAGTTGCGGAATGCCATGACACAGGTTTGGCAATTGCGACAGAGCCTGTTCTATCTCATTGGTGAGTCCGGATTCACGGAATAGAGACGATCAACGAATCGCGAGTTGCTGACACGGACGACAGGATACTTCCTCCTCGGCGACTCACTTAACACCACAGTCACCGTTATTGGAACCTTGCAGAGCGAGATCGTTGCGTACAACACTTTGCAGTTGACCTATCTCCTCATCGTGGGCATTGCTGCACAAGCGGTGGGCATCTGGAGTTTTTGGAACGTTCAGAAGCGCTATCAGCTCTCCACCAAGACCATGTTCAATGTGGTGGCCGTAGGGATCATTGTTCTCGACGGCTGGGGCATGATCGGCAACTGGACCGATAAATTTGGTAAGACTTCCTCGGTGGGTTCATGAACATCAGACGATACACACCGCTAACGATACCAGGCTTCCACCAAGCATGGGAACTCTGGGTCTATCAGGCCTTCTACGGCCTCTTCGTCTGCCCGTGGTACACGTACTCTCAGACGATGATATCTGAAGTCACTCCGCGTGGCAAGGAGTTCCTCTTCTTCAGTTTGTTCTCAATCATTGGCAAGACTTCGTCTTTCATCGGGCCCTTTGTGACCAGCGCCATTATCGTGGACGCCGACAACAACAACTCTGCGGCGTTCTACTTCTTGTTCGCGCTCAGCTTGGTGAGCTTCCTCTTCATGCTGTTCTTCGTGGATGTCAAGCAGAGTCGCGTGGAGCAGGCGGAGTTTCTGGAGAGAGAAAGAATCGCGAAGCTGAAGCTGCGAGGAGACTCGGAGGAGTCGATATGATGGGACTACAACACGCATATATGACGAGACGCATGAATTTAATGACTTCTGAGATGCTCATAATCGTGACAGCGTGGGAAACTTCAATGACTTCGAACGATTGATCGTTCACCTCAAGCACTGCCTTTCGCTTTGGCCATTGGTCCCCAGTTCTCGCGCGGGTTCATCTGATAGCGCACCAGCCGCTTCCCAGGCTTGTCCCGTCCAAGAGCTTCGTCAAACACAATGATGAGCTTCTGAACATCAGTATCTGAACCAGACTTGGCCCCGGCCGGCTTTGCGGCTGCCTGTGCCGAAGCGTTCTCCGTGACAATCACAGGGGTCTGTTCTCTAGATTTATCTTCGCTCGTGGCATTTTCAATCGCAGCTACCGCTGGCGTCTCGGCGCTTTCCTCTCCAGCCTTGCTGGCCTCGCTCTCGTCGTTCTTGAGTTTTCGACTGGCCTGGAGGATATTCCAACCCGCACTCTTCTCGCGAAGTGCGCCTTCTCGGATCGGACTATGTTGCCGCACCCACTCCCTCATAATCTCCCAGATCACCGTCCAAGGAGCGTCAGTCTTGATACTGCCGGGCTGACAGTGACTACGCGTAACTCTATAGCCTAGATATCGTATTGCTCCACGAATGGCGGCATCAGATGGCGCCTGACAGTGGAGGACTTTAGACAGGGTTGAAGGGTTGAAGAAGAAGGGTGAGTGGTCGATAGTTTCGGGAGGAACAATCGGGACGAGATCGGTGGGTGGGGCCGAAGTTTCACCATTCTGAGGAGCTGATGGTTTTGTGAATTGTGTTACGCGATCGTTGACGATCAATTCCTCCAGTGCTGTACGTAGCATTCCCTCCATGCGAAGCTTGGTCTGGTAAATCTCTGGGTCGGCATCTTGAAGATCGTCGAGCATCTTCTCGACAAATGCGGCGTTATGAATAGGCCCTGCCCACATCGGTCCTGCGACGTGAGTCTTATTGTTGCAGTGCCGGCAGACTTGATCACATCCGGGAGCTTGTGCGATCGAATATTTGAAGAAAGGCGTACCATTGGCGCTGGACTGCTTGGTGGCTCGTCCTAAACGCTGAGTCGTCCATGCTCCGCATCCGGCGTCACAGCCATAAACGACCATGGTCTTGCTCGCCAAGAACTTGACTTCTACAGGACTCTTGCGCACACGAATGAATGTTCGAGCGTAGTAATCAATATTGAGTGACAGCAGAGGCTCAATGGCGATGCCGTATTTCGCCGCTGCGGTGGCCACAGAATTGATGATCAATCGTAAACCGCCTTCGTGCATGTGATTTCCTTTGATAGGCATCCCTCCATAGAGCGAGTACGTCTTCTCTGAGTATCCACAAGACGCAAACACACCAGAATCAGTACATGTAACGCACAGTAGACCTCCGTCGCTCAATGCTTGCAGAGCGGCGTCAAGAAAAGGAGCTGCCGTGCCATAGGGATCCAGATCGATGACTTCGTATTTTCTGTAAATGTGATTCGGGCCGTGGGCGTCCGGCGTCGGATATGCAACACGGTACATGTGTCCAATGGCATCTCCAACGTTAGGATGAATGACCCCTTCGAGATCATTGTGAGTGACGTTCAGACCCATCGCTTTGATCGCATTAGGGTTCATGTCATTTGCAACCACATTCGTTACAAATGGGATCTCTTTGGCGTAGCGGAGAGCTCGTAATCCGGTTGCCGAAAGCGCATCGAGTATGCGGAATCGTGGGCCTTTTGTCGTATCTGCCGTCGTTGCCGTCGTCGTCGCCACTGCCACACCCCCATCATCGTCCGAAGTTTCCTTCTGTGTTGCTTGCGCCTGGGGCGTATCTTTGACCTGCTTCTCGCCAACAGTTCCTGTCATTGGGACGTCGACTCCCGCAACGCTGGTCGTGGCCGTCTCTGGCACACCAGCATCGCCTTCAGCATCGACCTTCAACGACTTCGAAGGATCACTCGCGCCGTCCTCTTGGGCCAAACCATTCTTCAACTGATCAAATTTTCGTTTCTTCGAATTCTTCCTCGGATTAACCTTCGCTTTGCCTCGTTCATCCCGACTCCTCTTCCTCGCCAACCAATCCTCGCCATAGGCCTTGATCGCTAGCACACTAATGTCCCGATTGAATTGCTGGATAGGGTTGTAAAAGACATTTTGGCGTTTCAGCTCGGCTTCCTCAGCTGTAGGTGATCGATCTGTTAGACTATGCGACCGCTTGTGTTCGGCGCGGGATGCTCACCTGCCTTTGCCGTCTTCGCTTTGGGTTCGGTCGAGAGTTGGGTTTCGGGTGGAATCAAGATGTAGGCAAGACCTTCTCGAACGGTCGAATATGTTGCTCCGTCATGCGACACTAGCTGTCCCACAGCGGGAACGCTCTTCAAAGGCACAGTTGACATTTTGCGATGCGAACAAATTGCGAGGAATGGTTGCTGCAGTTGATAGATGCCAGACCGGCTACCGGCTGTGGAGCATTGAATTATCAGGGATGCGGCTCGAAGGGAACGCATGCGCGGTTACTACTTGTTCAAGGTAATTCTCAAGCACTGACACTGGTCGCAGAACTTCTGTATACGAAGAATTTCCATCTGGAGAATATTCATCCAGAGAGACGTGACGCGCGAAATTGGTGCACGGACCATTTTCGTAAACTTTCGTACTGTATAGAGGGAGAACGCATATTTTACACACACGTATTCCAATGCCCATCCATATTCAGACAACCATCCGCTGGAGGGCTCTTGTGCATAGCCATCATTATCACTCGCTCACAGTATCGCTTTTGCGACTATCTGCGAGCAGGCGCTCCATGATGGGCCCAATGATCGCCTTGTCCAGACCCAGGTTGAGAAGCTCGCCAACTTTGACTGTCGTCCCTTGCGACGATTCCAAGATCTTCCAGATCGCTTCCTTCTGGTGAACGTGGACTTGATAATCCCTCAGCAAGTCACTCAAGGTCGCCATGTGGTCAATACGCTGTAATTGAGTGTCGGGATCTAAAGCAATCACGGTCTTGATGGTCGCTCTGTTTGACGAAGCGGGAACTCTCACAATGACACTTGCTGGGTTTCCCTCGGTCTCAAGGAGATCGGATCTTGTAGTTGTAAGCTCACCGTCGATGAATACCTTGATGGTGTTAGTTCGAGCTGCAATGAATCGGAAAGTCCAGTTCATGGCCCTGCCTTCGCAGGAAAGCTGGCCTTTCGATTGATTCCAAATAAACTTGGTCGAGTAGTGGGTAGAATGTGCTGCCGCGCCCGCAGCATCGTCGACTCTGTCCTCGAGAAGCTCGAAATGGCCATCCTGGCCAACGACAACAAGAAGTTCAATCTCTGTGGGATTCTTGCATCCATTGCTTGGCACCAACGCCGCGTCCAAAGGCACGATCGATCCAGCTGGAAGAAGGACGGGAACGTCATTCAGACCACGGTAAAGATTGAGCTTCCGGTTCCCGTCATACACGATGCCTGTGAAGATGTCTACGTGTCTGCCTGGCGGTACCCAGGCCTTGACCTCTGCTAGATTTGTTCTCGGATCCCGGGGAGAGACGACAGGTGCCACGACCATCGAGGGCCCAAAGTAGTACTGGTTTGGGAATTGATACGCAACGTCAGCGTCGGGATGACTCCAGTATAAAGGCTGTACGAATGGCAATGAAGAATCTGCAGCACTGATCGAATATATATAAGGGACAAGGCGATGACGGAATCGCATTATATCTTTCATTGCTGACATGGACTCATCGCGGTAGAGCCATGGTTCTTTCGACATCCAACGAGTGTTTGCCGAGTGCAATCGTAGAATCGGTGAGAATGCGCCATATTGTACCCATCGGGCTGTGCACTCGTCGTCGCGGAATCCAGGCAGATGCCCGCCGATGTCATGGCTCCACCACCCATAACCGATGTTCGAAGCAGTCGCTGTAAACTCGGGCTGGAATTTGAGCGAGTCCCACGTTGCAAAGCTGTCACCAGAGAATCCGACCGGATAACGATGACTGCCTGGCCCAGCATAACGCGAGAATACCAAGGGCAGAGAGCTTGGAATTGCTTTCTTCGTGTCGAGGAATTGGAAGTGATTGAGTAGCCAGAGCGGATCTAATCCAGGTATACGTGTGTTCGAGCCTTGCTGCCAATCGACCCACCAGAAGTCACAGCCTTTCTTCTCCAAGCTGCGATGCACAACATTGAAGAAAGCATGCATGAAAGTCGGCGAGGTCGGGTCGAAAGGTACTGGGTCTTTGTTGCTCGTGTCGTGGCCGAGGACCTTGGACACTTCTTCATAAATTTCCTCGTGGGAAGCGATTCCGGCATGAGGGTGGTCATTCAAGGTAATCTTCAGATCCATGTCATGCAGCGCTTTGGCGAATTCTTCCGGCTTAGGAAACAAGTCCGTGTTCCAGCTATACCCTGTCCAGCCTGCATGTGATACGAAATCTTCCTTGACCCAGTGCCAGTCCATATCGATGACCGCGACCGAAAGAGGAACGTCATTGTCTTTGAACTTTTTCATCAGGTTGATGTACTCATCTTGAGTATAGGCGTGGTATCTACTCCACCAATTACCCAGAGACCATCGTGGTACTGAGGGCTGTGGGCCTGAGATGGCATAGAACGACCTCATTGCGCCTTTGTAGTCGTTGCCAAAGCTGAAAAGATAGCCATCGATCCGATCGCCGGTTCGTCTAGGCGTCACGAAGCCTAGCTCATCGAACAACATCGATGTCGAGTCATCGATGGTTGAGAATCCATCTCGTGAGAGTACTCCCGTACCCATGTCACATCGTCCGTCGATACCATCGAGCGTCCTGGCGGTGCCGCCCAGATTCGATCCTTCGAGATTATCACCGAAACGCCAAGATGCACCCCAATCCTTGAGCTTGCTCGAGAATTCGACGAATAGACCTCCCGGCGAGAATCGTTTCTTGTCATACGTGAGGCGGATCAAGGGCGTAATGATGATCAAAGTATCATCCGTGTCCTGAACGCGAAATGTGGGTGTAGGAAATTTGCGAAAGAGGGCGAAGGTTGAAGGACGATCTTCGAATTGGCCATCTTCGGCCCATTCGTATCTTAATACATGCTCGTTGAGGACCGTGAACCGGTACTGTGGGCCAGAGATGACGGACTTGGGGTTAGGAAGTGGGTCGTTGGCGAACTTATATTCCTCCATTCTCCTGGGATTGTTCAAGTCAAATCACTATGGATATGGACTTGCGACAATGGTGTTGGAATTCCAAGAAGTCTGCAGCTCGATCACAATAACTTATTATTGGAATTCATCCTATGTGAAGCTACATAGGGTAATCATATGTCAGGAAATTGCTGTTGCACGGAATGTGCTCTAAGACGGGCAGGAATTGCTCGTATACCGCCTCGCAGTTGACCGCTTGCGTTGGGAGGTGGGGGATCCCAATGCGTCAGCTTTGGTGGCGACTGCCAACACATTGAACCAGAGGGAAAACACATCTCATGCACCGAATGTAATACTTTATTACACCCTCGTTTGCCGACTTCCATGTGATCATCGTGCATTCTTACAGACTCGAAACCCCCCTTCCAACAGATACAACAAGCTGGCCCCGCCGTCATCTGCAAGGCTCAATTGCGTCCAAGTCAGATGTTCTCGATCATCGCCTAATATTAAAAGGAAACATCGCGATCAAGGTGAGATAGATGCGATGATCGTCGGCGGATTGACACCAATGAGTGCACAGTTCGAGACGATACCACCCGTGACTGTCCAACTTCCCAGAGGCGAGACAAGATTCGCGAGTCCTGTACCTTGGTCGGAAACAACAAACAGCTTGGAGCCCAGCGATGTGTCGACATAGTTGCATGCGACGAGATAGTAGATTGCGCCATTCGTATCCAGAGCGACGACCAAGTTGGACGAGCCAACCTTGACACCTGCCAGTCCAACAACCAGGGCAGTCCTGGGGAAAGAATATTGGTCGCCGAGGCGGATGCGTGAGGCGTTGAGGTTATTAATCTCTGGCGTATAGACGTGCAGAAAGCGGCCAGAAAAGTCGCTACCCCAGACACCGCTGTTGGCCATCCACAGACCTGACGGACTGCCGAGGTCAACGGGCTCGAAGTAGATGTTGCCATCAGTGCCGGCGGAAAGCTGGCCGGAGCGGTCATTGAGAGGCAATGTTTGGTAAATGTTACCGTCTTCGTCTGGGAGTGGTGGCGAGTAGTTGGAGTTATTACCGGATGGACCGACGGGTGGGTACGTGTCGATGTACGACTGTAGAGCGGCACCTTTGTCCTCGGCATCGTCGCGAGCAGTCTGATTGGCGAGAAATTGCTGCACGAGTAGATCGAGATCACTGTCATCGGGTGGAGCGCGTACCGAGCCATCGGCATTGTAATAGTCCAAGTTGTCTGGGTTGGGTGTGTTCGCATCGTCCTCATTGACTCCACCGACCGTCTGATCGAGCTGCACATTGTTGTCCTCTTGACGGGTCTCGATCGCGCGCGTAGAGAGTGTCCCACCAGCGACGATGCTGAAGTTATCATAGAATGTGATGTCCTGTTCATAGTTGCATGCAACAGCTCCAATCTCAAAGGTGGCCAATGTGCCCGTCGCAGAGAAGACCCCGGTGTAGTGTTTCCATGTGCCGATAGCATCGTAGTCGGAGAGATCGCGTGTGCCGAAGATGCCTTGATTCGCAGTCCCATCTGTGTAGTACAAAGTTCCATATATGTATACATCTCCTTGATTCTGATCGAACATGTAATCGAAGGAGAACGTGTACGTTTGGCCCGGGCAGAATCTCAAGCCATCTTGCCGGAACCACATTGAGCTGTAGGGGTTGGAGTAATCGCTGTATCGCGTTTGATGCGCAGCGATAGCTCCACTCGACACATCGAACGTGTCTTGTGGACTAGCTGCATTTAGATACCACGGCGCAAGCGAGTTGCTGTCGAAATTGCCATTCTGCAATAAATTGCCCGAGACAGGAGTACAGGAGTCGGGAGCAGTCTTCTGCGGACTCGCAGACGGGTTGGAAGGACCTGTCGGGGTGTTCCTCTCCATACTGACGCAGCCGCCAGCGACAGGTAGCTCGACCTCGAAGAGCTTGAATGTATTCTTCTTCTCGATTACATCGATGCTCAATTTGTTGTGTAACGACACATTCCATGCAACGCCACGACAAAGATCTTTGTTGAAAGAGGCATCAGACGTGCCACTAGAAGTACCACTTGAAGAGTTCGATGTACCACTTGCGCTGGCAGCGAACTGCAACTTGGCTTCAATTTCCAAGGAAGTGGTGTCCACAATGGAGACTGCCTTCTTTGAGAATTTCCCATTGAGGACGTCGAGTCCAAAAGCAACGCCGATAGGCAATTCAAAGACTATACCAGCAGATACGGCACCATGCACATCGATGCCACCGCCAACTGTGGGCTTCCAATTCTTGCTGAAGCTTTTGCTCCGGTCAAGGTAATCCGTGTGAGTCTGCGCATTTCGGAAGGAGACATTGCCCTGGAAGAGTAATTGACCCATCGCCTTTGTCTCCAGCGAGGCTCCGGCCTGAACGACTAGGATGGGCCCAAGGGCGAGGATCTTCGGAATGCCGAGTCCTGGTAATGGAGTAGTGTATAGAGTCTTCTTTCCAAGTTCAAAGATCTTTACGGCCAGAGCGTCGATTCCGATTCCTAGATTTAAGTCGAGATCGCCATTCTGGTCAAGAGTGGCACTGTAGATGCCATTGCGGTTGAATCCTATCGAACCTGTGGTCTTGAATCTCCCATTGAAACCACACTTTACACAATAAACGGCAATGTGTGATATGTCGTCGTAATCGCCGGGCAGCAGATTCACTGGTTTCTTGGAGGCGGCTACTTTTTCTCTGCCTTTCCAGACATGAATGAGCTTGGAAGGTCCCCAAGGTGAGCTTTCTCGGCCACCCCATGTCCAGCTCATGGGAATTGTCAAGCTAACACTCGGATGGCCCTCAATGAGGGCAACAACAAATTTGGCAATGCTCTTGGCAGCACTGACGATCTTTCCGGGGAGCGAGGCGACGATCTTGGCTGCGGAAGATACTGCATTCTGCACCCTGCTGACGACAGATTTGGCAAGAGATTTGACAGCGGCAGCAAGCGTAAAATGGCCGGTAAATTTAATTTTGCGCTTGTTCAGCGGAGGTGAAGTCAAGTCTCCAGGATTGTAGAATGGATCCAAGCTCGCGCCAGGGGCTATGACTGCCCAGGTATCAGCAAAGTTGTCATCGTCGAAGCTGTAGTATCCCAAAGCGTCGTCCAGAATCTGATCAAAGGTGGGTCCGCAGGTGGCTGCCGGCATTCCACTAAGAGTCGATGTGGTCAATGGGCCACACTGTGTAGCTGAGGCTGTCGAAGTCGTTGAGTTCACAGACGCCACAACACCAGTTGTCGAGTTCGTGGGAGAGGTCACCGTTGTCAAAGCTGATGCCACTGTGGAGGTCTTGGACGTAGCAGGAATGGTTGTCAAAGGAGTACTCGAAGATGATTTGGACATATAGGAGGACGTCATCACGGATGTAGAGATTGTCTTGACACTTGAGGATGGGGAAGTTTTGGTCGTGATGGTGGTGGACGTCGTCTTTGGAGTGCTAGACGAACTTCGAGTAGTAGTGTATGTTTGCGCTCTAGCCTTGATCGCACGATGCTGGAGAGGTAGGTGCGTGACTTCGCCAAATTCGAGGAGTGCGTCTGTCACAGCTGGTCAGCAGGGAACAATCAAATGCTCCTCAGTCGACACCTATACCTTCCATGATATCCTCCAGCTCCATGTGATCACCTCTCAATGTGAGGCCGAGGGTTGTTTCGTCAAACACCAAGCCATAGGCGCGGAAATAGGTGTGATGACTCCCATCGGAGTACGAGGCCTGACCTGAGGTCAGCAAGACATTCTCTACAGAAACTCATAGAAGTTGCATGTCTTACACAGCCGTCGTCCGATGTTATGACGACCATCTCATGATGCTGCGCCCATTCCTCGCGGACGAACTCGAAATATTCATGCGAGTGGAAATTCACCGACATGGAGCCTCCATCACATGTGACTGATTGGTAGCTCTCCAAAGCGTGATCAAGAATCAAGGTTGGAACTGTGAATTGAAGCTTGAGCCTCGCGGCAGTCCCTGAGGGTGCTTTGCCTGTAGAAAAGGCCAATGTCAGACTCAAGTGTCGCCGTGCTCACGCCCCACAGTGCGAGGCTTGGTTCAAATGAACACTTACCTGCACCTTGTCCTGCAGAATAATACAGCTCGCCTTGATGTGATAAAGCAAGCGACTCCTTGCGACCATGACCATCGGTTGGAATCAGAGGGAAGAGTATGTTTTGTCCTTGGTTGATGATCTGTTGCGGCGTGGGAAAGTCAAGCTCGGCGAGAAGTGCATCTTCGTCTACAGCTGAAGTAGAACGATAAGGCGAGGCAGAGACTAATTTGATGACCGCCAGGGCAGCAGTCAAGATCTTTGCGGGCCTCATGGTCATGGTAGGACACCCAAAGCCGACACGAAGAAATCGTGTTCACCTGGATAAATTTGTCTTAGAACTGCGGGACAACACTGGGATTTTTCATCAGATGTATTGCTTATTATATACATCATCCCATTCGAACTCAGATAATCGCTTGTATCCCGGGCTTCATCGGGTGTCGTTCCAACGCATTGACCCTCTCAATGATCTCGATACCATGAGCAGGCAGCAGTGAGCCCTCCAGGAGATTCGTTAATGGCCATGCCACCTGGACAGCGATGCATTCCAAGATGTACATGTACATGCAAGCATAAGCTGACCTGAGGGTCAAGCACTAGGCGTGGAGAGGCAGTCGGGGCTCAACGCCATGAACCGGAGATTGGCGAAGAATCGTTTTCTTGTTGCAAGAGGAGGGAATCAAGGGTTCTTCCAAATGGTCACCTACGCATAAGCTTTTCTAGAGTTATTGACAGGTACGTTAGTAGATCTGGGGTGCATTCGACCTTTCCCGGCCTGACTTATTGTCGGTTTGAGCTGCCACAAACGTGGCGCCACCGGCGGTGTCCCCGAAGGTGGCGTGGACTCTGCGTGGTGCACGTGGGGGGCCGCTTCTACATGCTAAAGACCAGTCATGACTGCTTTGCATCACTTTGTGCTTGTACAATGTTTGACTTGTCGATGGGTTCAACCTGGTGTGGTTCGCATGGTGAGACAGCAGATGTATATTATTCCTGTTGTCCGATGTGAAGTGGCTTTTGTCCGGAGGTCTAGCCCTTTTCATGCCATGAAACTCAATGCCAAGAGAATAGCGCAAATTTAGTGCGCCGCTATTGTGCCTCAGAAACGAACTGCCACGGAGGTCCGTTTAGCAAACATTACCTAAATGTACTGTACATCATTCGGTTATACATCTGAAACCTGCCTGCGCTCGCGCATATCGCAAGTCACATGTTCGAGGTCATGATGTTCGGATGCACTCCAACTGAACTCACACTCGAGAATAGCGCTGTGTCGAGATCTCAAGATCCTCCTTGAAGTGCAATCGAAGTACGAGGCATCAGGACCCACCGAAGCGACTGTCTGGTGAACAATTTTAACAACGCCGAAGAACTATTTGATATTGAATGGCTTAATTTTAGGATTTGAAATATTATAAAGACGGGATAGGATCTCGAAACCCACAGAAGTCTGAATCTGAGTCGCCGGGCGTCGAAAGACGATCATGGTGTCTTGTTGTGGTGCTGCTGTGCTTCACCGCCGGCTCGCACTTGGTTCATGCCGCACCAGAAACGTACACTTTCAGCCCAGATCTCTTGGCATCATGCTTGTCTCCAAGGACGTAGCTTAGCTGCGGGCAAATCACGAACAAGCAATACATCCAGCGCACATCTACCTTAGCCCAGAGAACGTGATATTCTTGGCGGCTTCAATCATCATGCGACGCATACATAGCCGAGGGGTGGTAGGCTCGATGTACTGTCAAGATCCCCCGGAAATCCCCATGAGGCGTTCTAGAACGTACAGAAACACATGCAAGGGTTGGATGACCACATGGCCGTGCATGCGCCAACACTGGTCGTAAACATCGGATGCACATCGGGCTACGATCGGACGCATCAGCTACTCTATTCGGGACCTCAAGTCATTGACTCTGTCGATGGATTCTTCATGATGAGAGATTTCGCGCCTTGGGTGTACCGGCTGTGGGTGCAAGCGCCGGAAAACATATTAGACAGCAGTTTGCCTGAATCTAATATTCCAGTTCCAAGTGTCAAGAATCTGCTCCGTTCGACTAGCTATTATATTTCACTCACTTTCGTCATTGCTCGATTGCTGAACTTGCGTCTTCATCAGCCATGCTTGTGACGATATTCTTTGTCGCCTGGGCGTCCGCAGCCTTGGCCGATTCCGTCACTAGCCAAACCGGTGAGTACAATGACCACAGGAGAACCTTGAATTGTTTTCAAACTCATCAATGCTTCTTTAGTATGCACGACCAAGTATGGAAGATCCTCCATCAACCGAGTGTCTACGGTCTACACGCGAAATCCAACTACGACCGTCTTTCGAGTGTATCAGACAAGCACCTCTACGCGAACAATCACTCCAGCACCAGTGACAACGACGACTACCGTCACAAGCACATCAACCAGGATCGTCAATACCCAATCAACCGATATAGCCACCGCCACATCTACCTCGACGCAAGTTGACACCGCTGTCACCACCACGACGTCCACATCCACTGGTGAGTTGTACATACCATCGTTATACTTGGAACGTGATGACTGACTGGATTAATAAAGTCACCACTGTCACGACGAGTACGTCCGCCAGTACTACTACTGTTCCCACCGCGGCTGGGTTCACCGCCGTAGCTCTGCAGGGTGACTATGTTGCAAAGCGTACGCCGGTCGCGCGCCTCGAAGGCCAGGGGCGTCGTGAGCGAGACGCACAGCTCGAGCTTGAAGCTCGCGAAGCCCAAGCTGCGATTGAGCGCCGTGCTAGCGCGAAGACCAGAATGCTGATGCCTGCCGCCACTGCCACGACCGCTCCTTCTCAATATCCCTCAGCAGTGACTTGTGGTGTGTCCACTTCGTGGTACATTACTTTCACTTCGACTACATCCACGACCACGACCATTGCTCCCGTGACTGCGACTGCAACATCCACGGCGAGCACCAGCGTTGATTCAACAAGTACCTTGGCCCCGACGACCATCACGACCACAACCACTGCCTCGGCCACCACCACAACTACGACTACCGTTTCCACCAGCACCACAACCGTAAGTTCTTCGGTCCTTTGAGACTCTTCGGCGACAATCCCTCTGACACGTATCAAAATAGACCTCAACGCGTACAGCCGTCGTTCCACAATCGACATACTACGCCCAATGCGGCTCGAACAACCTCGTCAACCATGTCCACGGCGGCATTCCCGTCGCCATTCTCTCCTACAGCAGCGCTTTCTCTCTCGAGTCCCAGGTGAGTCCGACTTGCTCGACCGTTTGTGTATAAATGAGCACCTCGCTGACGATTTGAACCACCATAGCCTATGAATGACTCGACCGGATACGGATGCTGTGCCCTCTGCGCCTCCATGGACAACTGCGCCGGCTTCGGACAACATCCTTCGGGTACTTGCTATTACATCCTCACTCAGGGGCAGTGCGATGGTAGCCAAACTTACGGCGATGCATACCACTACTACGGGAGCACAACATCGCCGTACTTCTACACCGTTGGCAATGGTGCGTGTGGTCGACTTGGTGCAGTTTCGGGTCCGGTGGCATCTGCGTGAACAGAATTCATGTAGGCAGCCTTTGAAATTGCGAACGTGTAGTTCGTGATCGAACGTGCAATGACAATATTATCAACGAATCCGTTCGCCCGTAGACCGACCGCATAGACATCACTTCACCGTTCTTCTATGCATTCGGGCCTTGATCGTCCGCACCAGTCACTTCAGCTTTCAATGTGGTCGCATACACGCTTTCCACGCGAAACGTGTAAAATTTGTTGATTGAGCACTTCCTCATCTTCGACGTGTTTGACGAGATGCGTGTGCGAGCCCTGGTGTTAAAATGCTTGACTGCTGCCGCGCGAAGCATCAGTTACTACATGTTGCATTATAATGTTCGCTCGACGCGTTGATAGAGTCCTCCCTGGGAACGAGCGAACTCGACGCACATCTTCTCTTCACCAGCTTGCTTGGCCCTTCAAGTCAAGCCATCGTCCCGGCTTCTGGATGCGTTTCGGGGTCGCGCTCGGGCCTGAATTTTAATAGGGTTGGTATTGGGGTTGATGCAATGATGATAAGGGTTTGGGTTATTACTTCCGCACGACTCAATCATTGTTGAAGATGTGTCGTTGCTATTGTGTTCCTGTATGATATCACTCTACGGTATGTTGATCTTTGCGCTGCAGTCGCGATAGACTTATTATGGATGGCGGCCTTTTTCAGGGAGCATTGGTTGGACATTGCCAAAGGTGTGAAGAAGGGAACGACAGGCGAATTCGCTTCGGTGGACGATCCACAGACTCATTCGCAATGCTCCACCTCAAAGCCTCCGAGAACGCATCAGTGTGCATTCTCGTCCGTGGCCGCGCTCTTTGCGGCGTTGGTCCTCTACACATTGTGCACACTTCGACGGAATACAGGACTATTCAGTTTACATAATGTGGTGAGCATTGAACCTCGTATATCGAACGTCCCTCGGGACGCTCCATCCTCATCCCAATCCCAATTCACAAGTCTGTTTGCTTATGCACAGGCCGTGTTGCGTGATTTCTGGTGAAAGAGCTCAAAGACTTGGATAGCAATTCGATCGTGATCAAGTATCATAGCGCAACAAAATGTTGGCCAAAGTTTGAAACGGCCGATAAAATGAGCTGTCAGTCATTGTACAGGACAATCCTCGCGTCTGGTGCAAATAAGCTTAGCGGAAAGACCCGTCGTGGTTGTCCGAAAAGGCTGCTGGCAGGTGAGCTCGAGATGATGTGGGCAAGTCCGTGCGTAGACCGCGCGCGTCCGTCAAATTCTTAGGGTTTCCAGCAACAACACCTCCTGTTCATCTCTTTCATCCACTTTTCCGTGCGACACGTACTGGGTCTCGCATCACATCCGACACGCGCATTCGACATCAGCGTTGCCCAGTCATCACATCGCATCACATCATCGCTTGTCATCTCATCACTACCGCACGATCTTCCATGGCGAAGAAGAGCGCCGCACCGCCGGCTGCGGCGACGACGCGACGACCAGGCTCCTCGCGTAGAGCAGCCAGTCGGAGTGTCAGCGTCGAACCACAGGCCAAACGCGCTCCTGGTCGACCCAAAAAGGAGCCCGCTGCAGAAGATTCAACGCGCGAGTCTCGTCGCAATGTTGTTCTCGCAGGCGAAGACCAAGGTTCGTGTCGCTTGTTCCTTGTGAATTTTCCCTCAGGCCGTCAGATCCAGATATAGAGGGCTTTGATGTCGTGTCGCATCCGTAGATGATCGTACCATTACTGTTCCACGGTCTTGGACGGACGCGACATGGCATTCATGTCTTCAAAACAACCAGGAATTTGCACAGTTGGCAGGGTTAGGGTGAGGGTTAGGGTATCCCCCGATTTTTAACCCGAGTGAACATACTGATGGACGAAGTTCTTGATGTTGTGTTGCTGTTTCCACGTCTTTGAATGTGAATGGAAGGCTGACTCTAGCTGTGCAGAGCTGCCGACTGTCAACGAAAACGAAAACGAGGTTGACCAACACCAAGATGACCGAGATGACCTCGCCGCTCCCGTCGAAGCCGGTGAACCAGTTCTCTCTGACGACGATGACCTTGAGGGGACACGTCACAGTCGCCTGTCGGGTATATCTGGGACAACTGCAAAAACCTCATTTACGCAGGAGGAAGCAGACCGACTGGAGCCGGCCGAGATTTTGGAAGATTTGCCAGACCTGGCCGGCGCATCTGAAAAGCTTATCCGCTTTTTGCTTCCACGCGGATCGGAGACTCCACGATCATCGCTCAAGTCGATCGATTCTAAGAGATACGATAAATTGATCACCGCCGTGCTCTTACACAAGCCAAGCTTTGGAACGCTTCCATATATCTCGCCTAGAGCGATCCTACGCGCTCTTTTTGATGAACCTGACATTGAGCAGGTCTCACAGAGCCCACAGAGCATTATTTACCGTGTCAATCTCGTGGAAATGATGAACGTGCTGCTAGTCAAGTGCCCTCCAGATGACTTGACTGCATCATACGATTCCCTACAGATCCTCGATCGTGCCTTTCCGACATCGATCGCGGGAGGAGAATGCCCCCCTCAGGCACTGAGCCTGTGGTGTGCCATCGCCACACAGATGGCAATCGCCAGACTTGAGGTCAATGCGCAAAGGCCTGCTGAATTCCTCCCCTTGCAAGCCATTCGGGACTCATTCTTCGACGAAGATGGTAACTTCAAACACACAGAAACCCTAGGCGTATCCCTCATGAGCGATGCCGAACGTGGTCTTGCGTTGGACATGGTATACAACGTCTGCAACACCCTTTCCGCACCGTTCCAAGGCGAAGGTGGCGATGACTTGGAAAGTGGTATATTAGAACTGAAGAGTCAATTCAAATGGGAACAGCTACTTGACAATGCCTTAGCGTACTACGACGTGCGCAAGGCCCAGCTCGATCAGCAAATTGACGCTGCAGGCGATGTGTCCACTATCGTGGATGCTATCAATGGAGAGTTACAGCGTAGATCAGATCTGAAGCGAAGCGCACAGATGAAGCAAGAAATCATTGCGACGCAGAACAAGCCGAGAAAGAGCTTCATGAACACCGCGACAGTGGCCATGCTTCGACAGAAAGAGGCTGCGCTTCAACAGCAACAGCGGCAGCAGGCTGCTCCGGTAGCAAACATGGTGGCTGGACCACCGATGTCGTCCAATGACAATTTACCCCGAGCCAGCTCTGGTACTTTGCCAAAAGGCGCGAAGAAGCGATCTTTGCTGGATCGACAGGAAGGAGCTCAGCTGATCAACTTTACTCAGACGCAAGACGAGTTTAGCCAGCAGGATGACGGCGGCAACAGTGGAGCGCAAGCGGTTCTATTGAGTTCCTCGCATGGCGAAAAGCGCCGCGTACAAGACCTTGAGGATGACGAAGAGGGCGCTTTCGACCCGACACAAGACAAAGGCTTTGAAGACAAAGGATATGTAGCAGAGGCGCGCGAGATTGCAGCCGCAAACAAGCGTCGTCGTCTCAATGCTCCCGAAAGCAGTGCTTCTGGCCCGCCATACTCCTCGTATTCCAATACTGGGGACGCTATTGCACCTCCAGAATCCCCCGAGCCAATCCACCACAATCCCGAATCCGTCCCAATCACATCGATTTACCCACCACCTGCATCTGCCGCCGCCGCGACACCAATTTATGCCAGCGATCAACTCCACGAAGCTCTTCTCGCTGCGAGCCAGCTTCCACGTAAGAACCCTGGGTCCTCCTTCCCCACCATCAGTGAATCGCTTGAGACTCTTGCCGAGGATCCCAGCAGCACCCAGTACTCTCGTGGCATCATCATCGCCAAACAAAATCGTGCCGCGCTGCCAAAGAAGGTGCAAGTGCGACGCCCATGGACGAGTGACGAGGAAAATGCCCTCATCGAGCTCATCACAACACATTGCAGCGAGGGCATTAGTTGGTCTGCGCTCAAGTCCCTGGACACCCAGCGCGGCGACACGGCGCAGCTCTCTACCCGGAGCGCCGAGGACATGCGCTTCAAGGCCAGAAATATGAGAGTGACTATGATGCTGTGAGTATTGATGATTTCCCTTCGCATCCATTCATGCCTCGTTCTTACTTCATGTCGTACTGACTAATATTCTTTCAGTGCTCGTGTCGGCCTGCCCGAGAATTGGGACAAGGTAATCCTCGACAAGAAAGCCATCGTCAAGCTTGCGTCGGCGGGCATTCGGCTGGAACAAGATCCCATCCGTAATGTTCGTCGAAACATCCCACCCGAGGCTCCCCAGGCCGAGGCTCCCCAGGCCACGGCTGAGGAGGCGGTCTAGGAAAAGTTCGAGTTTCCTTGCTCTATGGCGCCTGGAACTTTCCACATCATTCAGGCTCTTCTGCTCCTGATCTATTCTTCTTCTTTCGTTCATCCTGATGTACAAAGCGCGGGTGGTTCTTCATGTAAGGCCAGACTCCTGGCGGAAAAGTCTTGCTTCGGTGATGCAGATCGTTGCACACATTCTGTACAGAGCACGTCCTAATGGCACTTCTTTCCTTTATGGTGACTTGATTTCTCTCATCGACAGTCTGGAGTATACCATATTACAAAATCGTGGATGTCTTCCTTCAGTGAAAAGCCACCGAACTCCTGTCGGAGCACTAATCAGCGACTACGGCTTGAACAAGTGGCGAAATTTGGAATACATGAGAGAGCCGTGCGCTATAGATACAAAAGACAGCTCACCCCGAGCTGTGAGTTGAGAAAGAGGATCTTCTGTCAAGTGCAAAATCTTACAGAACCTGAGACCCCCATTAATGCCTAGTCCGATGGCCGTATTTTTCCAATCCTAGAGCAGATCATGAAACTGCGAGAATCCCGAAAGAACTTGTTATACACGACCGATGGCGTCTCAATGCCGCTGCTGCGTCTTCTCGAAGCTTTCTAGCACGCTCTGCGCGACCGCATTGACAGGCTTCGAGGACGACTGCGAGGACTCTTTTGAGCCCTCGGATTCACTCGGCGCGCCTATCCGCTGCGACATGGTCTTTGCCTGGGCCTGGCCGACGTTTCCGTAGACAGACATGGCGGTGGCGATCATCGATCCGATGTCGCCGACGTTTCCTGGCACGACCACGCTGGTGCCCTCCTTGGCCAGCTTGGCGAAGGCGTCGACGTACTTCTCTGCGACGGAGAGCGAGACTGCGCCTTGAGCGGCTTGCTTGCCTTCTGCGAGGCTCTTCGCAACAGCGTCGATTCCGGCAGCGGTTGCTTTCGCTTTGAGGAGGATGGCTTCGGCTTCACCGGAGGCGGTGTTGATTTGTTCGGCTTTGAGAGCTTCGGAGGCGAGGATGACGGATTGCTTTCGTCCTTCGGCGATGTTGATGGCTGACTGTCGCTGTCCTTCTGATTCGAGGATCTCGGCGCGCTTGCTCCGCTCGGCGGTCACCTGACGGTGCATGGCCTCGACGACGGGCGCTGGCGCGTGGATGTCCCGAATCTCGTATCTGAGACACCGGATACCCCAGTCTGCGGCGGCCTCGTTGATGGCTTGCGTAATGTTTGTGTTCAAGGTTGCGCGCTCCTTCAGGACGTGGTCCAAAGTGAGTTGACCAATCTCGCTACGCATGGTCGTCTGCGCAAGCTGCGAGATGGCATACTCGGCGTCCTCAACCCCATAGCTGGCCTTGAACGGGTCAAAGACACGTGTGTAGAGGATACCGTCAAGGTCCAAGGTTACGTTGTCCGCCGTGATCGCACTCTGCGAGGGTATCTCCATAGCGTTCTCCTTCAAGCTCTTGACATATGCGATTCGATCAATGCCTGGGATTAGCAAGGCGATACCAGGTTCGAGCACCCTCTGGAATTTGCCCATCCGTTCGACCACCCATGCAGTTTGTTGCGGGACGAATTTGATGATGGTGTTGATAGGGAGCGAGGGGCGCTGAAAATACGAGCTTTGCCCTCCACCTGGCGGGAAGCGAAAAAGATTGTTGTCGTTCTGGGAGGGCGATGAGTTCGATCGGGACGTCGTAAAGGCTGCCTTTTGCGCTGCAAGGACAATCTGAGGATAACGAGAATTGCGTATGGCGGCCACAGAGCGACGCGACAGAGCCGGACGCGAGACGGCGAGCAGAGACATGGCTGCGTCAAGGCTTCTTGCAGTGCGCGCCATGATGATGCCTTGTTCCTTTCAACGGCCAGAGGAGCAGAGATGAAGTGTCTCGTGAGCTCTGTTTCCGCGATGATCTAATAAATTCCGCTGCCGATGACTCGTGCACAGTGATGCGGCAACAACGATGGTCTGTGCACTACTCCGGCCATATCATTCGTATTCCTTTCACCTCCATCTCTGTCGATTACAACCGCGGATCGATATGACAACATCAGCGAAATGATAAGTTTTGGCAAGTACGGGCGATGAAGGACCTGAGAACAATCATAAATCGCATGGAATGTAGCGTGAACACTCCAAGCCATTCCAAGGTTGATACATGCTTCACTAAGCCACAGTCCCACAGTATCTTCGGAACATTGCGACCACCGTGAGAGTTCTCACGATTCTCAGACATCCGTCGTCTCTGTTTTCTCGTAGCTAAAATGAACGCATGCGTTTTCCACCAAGCCTAGGCTGGCAATCGTGTCCTCACCCTCAACACGCTCGCGATGTCCCTCGACTTGGATCTGTGGAAGCAGAGATTGCTCAGGCAGCAAACTCAGTGCAAGCCGAATGCGCCTGACGAGGTGAATTATCTTCATCGTCGGGACCACCTGCACTGTGCACTCAGGGTGATCGCCTTATTACATGTTACGTCAGCCCCAAGTCATTGCACATGACGCGTATAGAATCAAGGACTCACTGGATTTCACCAACACATGGTAGGGCGCCTGGCTGGTCCCTCTGAGCTGTCGCTTTTCTTCAGCTTGATATAGCTTCTCAACGCGCCTCTCAGTCTCAAGCTGTTCGAGCTTGACTTTCAGGATAACCTCGTGGAGGTGCTTCTCGCTACTCTTCGCGAAGGCTTCGGCACTCAGTCGCATCGCCCGCATTTCGGTTTTCAATCCATGATTCTCATCCTCAAGTTGACTCATTTTATTCTTGAGCGGTGTGATTTCTGGTGACCAGGTCATATTGTGTCCATTGGAAATCTCGTTGCTGTATGTCTTTGCGTCATGCTGCACCACCGCGGGTGCTGCTTCGGGCTTGGGCATAACGCTGTCTCGCCGCTCACGTTGCACTGTGACCATGTCATTCGATTCTTTTGATCCATGCTCTGCAGGCGGTTTTGCGCGTGTTAGATCTTCGACCGCACGTTGAACTCGGATCGTGTCGACTTCGCGCGGGCTTGTGCCCTGCGGAAGCCGTTGCTCATTGCTCTCCTTCTCTGGCTGCTTCGCAGCAATCTTGTCAAACACGAGCTCTTTGCCTGCAACAGGTTTGGTCGATGGTGCGATATTCTCCGAGCGCTTACGGACGTGTGGGGGAGTTCCCACGGCATGACCAGAGGAAGGGTGTGGGTTTGCCTCTCGTGCTTGGCTCGAGAAGTTTTGCCACGAGTTGCTGCTGTTATCTCCGTCATGCTTTGGAATCGTGCTGAAATCAAAGACATGCAATGGAGACGCGTTTTTTGGCGGTGAAGTCAGCGTCGGCGCAGGTGTTGCGGCAGGTCTGAGGACATGGGCAGCAACACGCACGGCAGTCCGAGACGCCACAGGTGCAGCGCTTCGAGTCACCACAGGTGCAGCACGAGGCAATACAGGCGCAGCATTTCGAAGTACTACAGGCCGATCGTGTAGATGGCGCTCCACGCCTTGCTTGTTTTTGTTGGACTTGCTAAGTTCCCGTGCAGCCTAGATTTTGAGTCAGCTTGCCCAGTCACCTCGAACGACCGACCCGTCACTTACAGCCAGTTGTTCTGGAGTTCCACGGAGCAACGGTCCCTTGTACTCTGATGTCTCGCTGTCCATTTGTGACGACGGAGCCACGCCCTGTGAAGAGGTATGTGATGGCAGAGGAGATGAACGACGCGTATAATTGTTTGTGACAAGAGGTGAAGGCAGTGAGAATGACGCGTAACCTTCGTTGGAATTTGTTGTGATGCTTGATGTAGAGGCAATCGACCCCTGCTGGCGACTCATAGATGCATTTGATAGGCCCAATGCTGATGACGGTGAAGCTTGAGAGCCTTTCCTGCCTTGAAGTTGGGCAACAAATGTGAGTAACTTCGCACGATCATCGCTTGACTGAGATGTCATGATGCGTGAACTGTACAGGTGATGGATTGAGGCTCAGAGATAGGACGATGATGCTGTAGTGAAAGTAGGTTTCTGCTGATGCTGGAGCATCGACTAAAAGACCAGACCGATGTGAAGGAGAAGAAGTCAAATTCACCAGCTGCTTGTGCGAGAAGAATTCCCAGATTGAGTCTTGACATGTGCTTCGAGCATCTATGAAATGGAGCCTGGAGCCCACATTCACTGTCACTTGGGGAAAGACCTAGAACACCCGCACCTTCCAATGTCGACACCTCCTGTATCGCGCAACCGGATGTCCATCAACGACTGCACAACGACCTTGGAATGCATACGGACCTATCCATGGAACCAATAATGTATTGCGTCTACCCAGGCGCTCATGACAGAAACATCGCGACTCCTTCAATCTTCTTCAATCGTCATGTCACCAAAGCCCATAACGTTGCAGAGCATCGACAGACAATAGCGAACTCAGCGACATTTGCTGATCTGATCCCGTTTGAATGATACTCGCCATGGCGCGTCTAATGTTGAAGGATGTCGTGCATGTGACAGCCAAACGGCTTGCCCAGGATCGTGTCGACCAGTGTCCGCATTGGCCCAAAGCGAAGTGCTCATCACCTATCAATGCCATTGTCATGCTCGAATCATGATCAGTGACCACTGTTCGCAACCCTACCTGCTCGCGCCACTCCTGCTTGTCAGACCCGAAGTCTCGATGAATCTTGCGAATCAAGACCGATCGCCCTGCCATCACTTCAACGAATGCAAATTTGCAGATCTTGCGGATCAGTGATCACGTCAGCATGGCCAGGTCTTTATGGATGTACTTAATACGATGCCTTTGTGATCAAGCATATCGTGATTGAAACTGTATCGCCTTGACCGCATACGACCGGTAGGTTGGACTGGTGCCGCAAAGCGGACTTCAAACAATCTTGCGTCTACTGTCTTGCGGCGGTCTACGCTCTACTCGACAAGCTTGGTCTTTCATGGGGCCTTTGGTCAACGATTGACGGTCTCTAGAGCTTGTCATTTCTTACTCAGGCTGAAAGGTCTGGCCATCGCCCTGAAGTTCTTTGTGAATGCTGACAACAACACGTTGCCGACTCGATATAATCCTCAAATCGACGTCTGAACAACGTTAGAGCGTCACGAAGCAGAAGCCGGACGAGCGAATCCTGACTTATGCCCATTAGATTTCCTCCCTGTGACGGAGGCGATGTAGATGACAACAGGTGACACATCTGTATGCACAGTGATCAAGTTTTGACGCCATGGACTTCGTGCCGCTAAAGGGAGGCGTGCCACCAGGTCGCGAACAATGCCGCCACTCCCTGTAAAAGCCGCACACGCCGCCGCCGCCCGCTACAAGGGCGCATGGCAGCAAAAGGGCGGCTGAAGAGGGCTTGCGATCTGCAGATGTTCTGGACATCCCGCGGCGCCCACCGCGCTGCATGCAATGCAGTCATTCCTTCCTCATCGTCCCCGATGTGTAATGCGTGCTCACGAACATATCTCATAGAATGTAGAGAGGTGATCGAGATCTGGGACACACGCCTCGAAAGACGCCCGCAACATCTAGATGTAGATCCTTTCCGCTTCGGGGCCTTCAAAAGGGTTTGTTGAACGCGACTGGGGCGAAGAGTGTGAGATTCGATCATCCTGGACGCGACGCGGCGTTTTCTTCTCCCTGTTCGCGACACATGTGTACAGCAATACGGAGTACAACCACGGCAGATCAACCAAATCTCTAGGACAATAAATGTACAAGGACCCGACCAATTCTTAATATCTTTGCCTCCCTCTTTGATAATAATAATTAGAAGTATAGTATGCAAGATAGCAGAATCATCTCGTCAGCTACACCTTGACAGCTGGAGGGCTGAACGTTAGTTCGGATGAAATTGGATGTTAGAAAAGCCCTAGAAAGTCTGTACACAGGTGGTATTATTAGGCATTCATCTCAATGTACAATAATATGGGTCCCAGGTACGATAGAGGTATTTGATCGACGGTGGCTCGACCTTGCATCTAGTCTATAAAGATGCGAATGCCGTTTGATCCATTTCGCAAAGAACAGCGCATCACCATCTCAGGAAGTCGAAAGCCATGTCGTTGTCATCTACGCGTCTCCTTCTCCTCCTGGCCGCCGTCGCTGCAAACGTGGCCCAGGCACAAGTAGGCCCGCAAGCCGAACTTCTGCCCGCATGTATTGTACGTGTATCCAAGCAAGCCAATCCTAAACCACACCCATCCTGGAATCCCAAAACCTATATGCTGTTCACTTGTCGCGAGATATTCTCAGACAATGGACAGACCGAGGACAATGTCAGATAATAGAGGCTAACATGTAGACCCCTTTCATTTGGAAAATGATTACAGAAAGCCTGCGATCCCGCGGCCATCGCCTCCGTGAACTGCACGAATCCCGACCAATACTGCCACTGTGTCCAGCAGACAGGCATCATCGCAAATATCACGCCTTGCGCAAATGCGCGATGCGGAAACCCGAGTCAAGATCTCTACAGTAAGTTCCCTCGAAAAACCCATGCTTTCCCTTTTCGTTCGACTCTTGGTCGGGTCCAGAGGATCACGTAGGCTGATGAATGTCGCATTTTCGCGGTATCTCGTTGGATAGCTTTCACGACGTTGTTTGGAGACGTTTGTTCGAAATTCAACATCACTGTTCCGGTCGTCGGGAGTAATTCTTCCGCGAACGGGACGAATGTGACATTTGTCCCGCCAAGTTCGACGCCGACGCCGACGATTGTGCCTTCGAAAGGCGGAGCGGCGGCAAGTCTGCTGACGAAGGGGGATGGAAAGGCAGTGACGATCTTTGGGGTCTTTGTAGCGGCATGTTGCTTCTATGGATTAGGTCTTTGAGAGGTTGTAAAATCCAAGCACGGTGCGTGCTTGTTACGATCATGAAATCATGAAGAAGTCAATTCCTTCAATGTGAATTCCACTGCCCGAGCGACTTCCACGCCTCCACGCCAGAGATCATGTGTGCCGGACAATTCTAGGACTCTCGCCTTGCGAGCCCCTGAATCGTGGAAGTTCTGTCCCTGGAGGGATTGCAGAATGAGATCTGCTTGCTGCCATTCCACAAGCTCATCGTCACGGGAGTGCGCAATGACTACCAGTTTTCCTGTCGGCCACGAAGCATTCAGATCCGCTGATGTCGGGCTGACAGATCGCCAGACCGCCTCGTCTGATCGAAATGCGCTCGTGACGAAAGTGCGATAGTAGGGAATCTCGCGATTATGCTCGACTAGTGCGGGGAGATCATAGATTCCTTCGATAGCGAGAATCGCTAGAGGTGAAACTATCTTATTACTAAGATTTGTGGCCCTCCATTGGCGATCCATCGCAACTTGAAACGCCAGCGTTGCTCCGCACGAGTGTCCGACGAGGATGTATCGCTCGCCGAATAGGTAAGTCTGTTGCACATGGGCGAGAGCGGCTAGGACGTCTTGGATATGATCTGGATGGACGGCATGTCGTGATGGATCATCTGGGTCGGGAATTTTGATGCTGTGCGGTGCGAGGCGGTAATTGATGGACGCAAAGCCTGCGATTTGTTCTATGTTTTGTGATTGTAAGAGAACCTCTTGGGCTGGATTGAAAGTAGTTGCGTCTTGGTCAGGGTCGCACCATGCCCCGCCGTGGATGTAGATGATCCATAGCCTCTTCTCAAGAGACTCTGGCGATGGCGGACGAGGGAGGCAGACTTGGTACGTGTTCAGGGCCGAGTGCGGTGCATATCTCACGTCCGTCTCAAATTTGGGCCAGGTCCCCATCATATCAATGGGCTTCTCGTTGATGTCCTGTCTTTAAATCTCTGGTCGAAATCGCATCGCGACACAGCATTACTCCAAGATGCTCGCTCTGGCAGCCATACTAGCAGCCACTCCTTCCCACCTAGGTACGCTCGTTTACGAAGACAGGCTAAGCGGGTTCCGGACTAATGATTTGTTCGCTGATCAGGCACACAAACACACAAGCATTCCAAGGCTGTTCGTCGGCGTTTGCAGGCTCATCCGCTGTGGCCGAGATCAACCCGGAACCTTGGCCGCCATGAATGATTCCGATATCCGATGCTGCACGAAGCCATCTGCAGCATGATGTAACGCGCACGCGAGATTGTCGAATATCTAGGTCATACTAGGTCATGAGAAGCCCCGGGGCCATTATGAGGGTTCACGTAGGCGGTGGAGGGCGAGAATTTCTAAGCGACGGTGACTGCTCCCTCCATGATTGCCCCACCATGTCTCCTTCGTCTGGGCGGCACAGATATCGCACGAGCACACTCACCAATTTGTTGCCTGCCGAGTTGCGATTCCGATGCAGCACCCGCATGATCCGAGTAGCAATTCCATCGCGTCAAACACTACAAGACTCGGCTGCTGCGAAGATCGTATCCGTCCTGTGGGCCGTACAATTTTTCGTCGCGAATTGAGCCGTGACGTCAGTTTGCGACCGGGTGGAGACACGACATGAGCCCAACCTCCCGTGAATAGCGATGAGATCTTGACCCCGCAGCTGCTTGCAATTCCACGCACAGGTCGCTGCTGGCTCGTGCCGTCCAATTTATGCGCCTCCCTCCATGCAAGTGTGTTTCGCATGTCCTCCAGCTCCTTCCCTTCTGGTGAGAAGGCGACGCTTGGCTGAGCAGCACAAATCGTCTGTTGGCGGCGGCCCATCATCACATTACTCTCCCTGTGTGCATTCCACCCTCCTCCGCATGTGAATAATAACCTTGGAATAATCCATGGATCGTTACAACGCCGTGTTCAGGAACTTGGCCAGGCAACTTTTATAGACTTTCCTACATTAAAGCAACGTGGGCCTCGCCTATGTTTCATCCCTCCATTTCAACACCGTAACACTATCTCGCGCCCTTCCTCAAACCCGTGCGCACACGTATAGTCTATAACTCAAACCACCTGCAACGAATTCAGCCATCAACGTCCATTTATCATTATTACCAACTGGCTCCCTTCTCACATCTTCTTCTCCTCCTTGCTGCGCCTTCCGCCTTTTGCTGCAACCAATCAGGGTTCATTGTGGCGTAGATCATTCACGATCAAGCTCATCCTTGCCAAGGGAGGCCCAACATTCGAAGGCTCCATATATTCTTCCGAAACACTAGGCGCCCTGAGAACTCAATCTTCAACACTTCCTGGGCTCTTTTGCGCCTTTCACTTTTGACCTACTGTCTGAATATACGACTCTTCTTCCCCATCTTTTCCTCGACAGCCTCCATCAATCAGTGACAATATCGGCTACAACCATGAGTGAATACGACGAGCCTCGTCGTTACCGAAGTGTTAGTTGTTACGCGATACCCGTCATTTACCGTGTCGCAATAGCTCACATGTCAACAGGTGCGCACACGGGTCCGTGATCGGGACGAGCCCGACTACGTGCGCGAAGAGACCTATATCGAACGTGGAAAAGCCGTGCGCGGCAACGAAATTGCCTTTCGTGGACGTGACGACAGCGTTGAAGAGATTCCACGTCACTTCCCTCCGCCATTACGTGAATACGAACGTTCATTCCGGCGAGAAGACGACCGCCGCACTCGCAGTGCCGGAGGACGTCGCTACGAGGACGACTACGAAGATGATCGCTACACCGAGTACACCAAGTCAAGTCACAGACGCGATCGAGACCGTCGAAGCCATCGCGATGATCGCACCTACTATAGCGACGAATCCCGCTCTCCACCTCGGGATCGTGATCGGCCCCAGACCGGAGTTGATAAGCTGGTAGAAAGTCTTGGACTCGGTGCGCTGGTCGGCGGAATTCTCGGAAAAGACAAGGAGAAGGAGAAGAGTAGAGACCGAGATCGATCACCTTATTCCGCTCGCTCTGGCCGCTCTCGTTCTCGCGGTCCTAGAAGTCGCCGCAGTTCGTCGTCGAGAAGCCGGGGTGGTCCTCAGACAGAACGCAAATGGGCCCAAGCTGCTCAAGCCGCCCTGATCGCCGGTGCAGTCGAGGCCTTCCGAAGTCGTAAGGAGCCTGGCCCTTGGGGCGGAGAAAAGGGCAAGCGCATTGCAACTGCCGCCATAGGCGCCGGTGGTTTCGATCGCATCCTGGACCGCGACCCAGAAAAGAAGTCCAAACGTCATCTCGCTGAAGCTGTCGTGGGTGGTCTTGCTGTCAACCGGCTTGCAAATGGTCCTCGCTCTAAGTCTCGTGGCCCTGATGCACGCAACTTCTCGCCTGACTCTCGCCGATCGCGCAGCCGTAGCCGCAGCGGACTGAGCATTCGCTCACGCAGCCGCAGCGTCATCGATCGATTCCGAGGACGTTCGGAATCGCGTGGCCGTGCACGATCGGTTGAAGGAGAGGAGAAGAAATCCACGACCGACACCATCAAAGGCGTTCTCGCTGGTGGCGCCGCAGCGGTAGGTGCCAAAGCAATCTATGATCGAGTTCGATCAAAGTCTCGCAAGCGACGCTCGCCTTCGAACTCTAGTGCAGACTCGTACGTCCCTTCCCGCAATCGTCGCCGAGACGGCCGTCGCTCACCACCTTCAGATACACGCGGTACTCGCCAGATAGACGGAGCTACCGATCGCGATCGCGGTCTCGATCGCGGTATTAGTCGCGCTGGGAGCGCCAACAACGACGGCACCAACAATCGCGCGTTGGTCGGAGCTGCTGGCGCCGGCGCAGCAGCCGGTGCAATCGGCTCCCGCGACAGGAAGAAATTGGACGAGTTGGATGATGGAAATGACAGTAGTAGCACAACTGACATGGAAAACAAGCGTAAGAAAATGAAAGGCAAAGAACTCATTACGGCCGGTCTCGCCACCATCGCCACCATTCACGCCGCCCACGGCGTCTACTCTAGCATGGAAGCCCACGAGAAACGCCACAAGCTCGTCGCCGAAGGTGAGATGACCCCTGAAGAAGCTCGCAAGAAACAAACCAAAGCCTGGATCCAAGACGCCGCCGCCGTCGGTATTGCTGCGCTGGGTATCAAGGGAGCCTTTTCGGAATGGAAAGAGATGAAGGAACAACGGTCCGAAATCCGCGAAATCGAAGAGCGCAAACGCCTCCGCCGCAAAAAGGTCCGGGAGCGCCAGAGGCAAGAGGAACGCGAGCGCCACGAACGTATGATGGCTATCATGGAAAAGAACCCTCAACTCGCCATGAACTACCAGATGATGCAGCATAGCGGCATGCCGGGAATGACTCAGGCGGCACTGAATGCTGCTCCTTCACCTGGTGGTCTTGGTGGGCCTCCTATGCGAGTGGACAACAGCGGGAACCCCTATGCATAGATCGCAGGACGAGGGAGTCGTGGTTGATGTGTTGATGCTTTTCCAGCGTTGTTGTCCCTTTTCTTCCTTACTTCTCCGCCGCGCAGTCATCTCCCCTTTGGAGATTGATCCGATGGCATGATGTCACGTTACGGCCTCCTATTATCCTGTCATGTCTATCACGATGGCGTTTGTTGCCATGCTACTAGCGGGGACGGGAGCAAGTTGCGAGGGAGTCTGGCGTTTTTCTCACCCCATTCTGTTTGCTTCAAACCCCACGAGTTTTAAAACTGGAGGTTTCGGAATCTTTTGACCACGGCAGATCTTCTTCTTTTTCTACGAATGATGATCAATGACTTCCACTTTCTGCTTCGAACATCTACCCCTGTGAGGTTTCGCCCACGTCGTATAGCAGTCTTCACGAGACTACTCCGAAACGTCCTACCATGCCACGCTTTCCCTTCCACTTCAGAAAACATCGTCAATTCCCCCCTACCCGCTCCGCAAGCACACCTCTTCGCCGGTGCGCCCGACTTTCCCTCGCGGAGGACTCCTGTACGAACAAAATTCTGATTTGCGCCGCGTTGATCCCAGCGCTGCTCAGCACCGCCGTCTCCCTACCAGCCCAGGCCGCGCATTTTCGCTTTCCTCGACCCCATTTCGATTCGTCGCAACCCAGAGATTGCTCGTCGCTGGCCTCCTTTTCGGTGGAGCATGCCAGGACGCCCCACGTGATGGAATTTCTTTTCCGTGTCTGGTGAGTCAGTCCCCTGTTCTTCACCGCCTCATTTGCGACATCGGCAGGCTGGAGACGATTCGGAAGTCTCTCTCGCGATGACTTTTGGAGTTGGGCGATGTCTCATGATACACAGCGGGGAATCGATTTATCTTGGGAAAAAAATGTTTCCGGTTGCGCGACAGTATCTGCTGCTCTCTCTCTCTGTGTGTGTCTCTCTCTTTCCTCTGCAAGGACGGGGCGAGCCATGGGCCAGAAGACGTAACGCTGGTTTCGCGGGTCTACGAGATCTGCGTCGAGGGAAGCAGATTTTCGGAAGTTCCCCACACCTCGGGGCCGGAAAGAGTGGGAGAGGGAGATAAAACAAAGCACTTTTGGACCGATCGGACCGGATTCGCAACGTCCGATGTTCTCTCAAACTGGGACCTCCCTGGTCTGGTCGTTGACATGGAATTTTGGAGGAGTTCCGCCCTGATGTGAGGAGTTTATTTGATGTGAGATGTGTTCGTCATTTGGTCTTCTCTCCGTTGATGATCGTCGTCGGTCGTCGTGGTGCTGGAGAGGGCTTTGGCTTGGACGGTGAAGAGGGCGGAGATAAGGATGGCGGGAGATGAATTTGTCCAGAGGAGGGCTGATAGGACCATAAGGTGAAAACGTCCATGGTTTATTCTCTATCTTGAGAGCGTTTGGGTTGTCTTGTTCTATTGGTAATTCGGAACTCTCGCGCGAATGGGTTGTGATCAAAAACACCTGGATTTTCGTCCTTGATGTGATTGCAACTCGATCGTGTAGTGTGTCGGAGAGCTATATGAGATCAAGGCGCAGGGGAAGACGTATGATGATAAGTATACGCAGGAGCGAGGAGCAAAATATATGTATTCTTTGTCCTCATGCCTCCTCCATCCGCTTACATATATTCGCTGATGACATATATTCTCTCATCTGCGACACCGCAAGCTACGAGCACGCACGCACGCACGCACGCACTACATTACTACTCCGAGACGAACGAATCATCGCCGGACAACTAATGAAACTAATAGCTCTCGAGTCGAAGAGCACACACTACCCATGTGCCTAGTCGCCCACCCTGGCACGCCCAAATTCTGTGTGAAGTGACTGCGATCCCCAGCCCGAACGGAAAGCCGTCCTGCCGATCGAGAGGGCACGAAGCTGGGCGAGAGAGAACCCACGCGCTGGTGCGCCCGCCCGCTTTCGTCAGATGGCGTGCTTTCTTTGGGAGGATTTGCAAGCAAGCGAGCAAGCGAGCACCACCTCGTTCTCCCTTTCCTCCGTTCGCTGCAAGCCCTTTCAAAGAGATCTATAGAACCGCACACAAGTTCCGCTAAGGATGGAGAACGGTAAGATGGGCAACACGACTACATCGCTACCATGGCAATCATGCTAAGTGGAAGAGCTGGTCCAACTTACCTTGAACGTGCGAAGGAAAGTGAGATCCGACCAGGCGAGACATCCGGGCTGGCTGGCAGGTAGGAAGGCAGGCCAAAGTCCAGAACAGCCGACCGGACCTCCCGCCCAGCCAGGGTTCAAATCTGGCTATTTCCGGCCGGCCCCGCGACGCCCGCCGCCCAACACCGTCATCGCCCATCGAAATTGTTCCACGTGTGCCATGGGTGAGGCATCGTCCAGATCTGATCGGGATCGGATTCCTGCAATAAAACAACCACAGGCAGGATCGTTACCACATGGGTAGGGAGCAGGGAAAGGGGATCCCGATCCTCATCGCCAGATCTCTCTCCTCGATCCATCTGCTGTACCCATGGAAATAATCTCCCTGCTGCGCTCGGGTGGGGTGGGTGTGTGTACCCGTGGTTGTTTCCACCATGCACACACCCGCCGCGGAGAAGAGATCGATCGAGAGGCGTGGAGAGGGCAGGCACATGGTCCGCCATGGGACTTGCAAACGGCGACCGGACTGAGCGGCGGCGCCTGTGTGATGAGCGCATCGTGTACTGTTGGGACGATTCGAGCCGGCTGAGCGTTCGATCCTGTGCTCGATAGGATTATAGATTGCATGTCCCTATTCCTCGTTCACACATGGCTGCATATCCGCCGGAGAGGTGAGTGAGGGAGGCCTAGGAGCGACCGCTCACGTGGATGGGCCGCTAGTGGGTTGTCTTGGACATTGTCTCAGAGCCAGCCGGTCTTTCTCCCACGAGGGATCTTGGTCCTCTGTCCGGAGCTTCCTCGGACGAGGAGGGTCAGGGGCGAAAGGCATGTCCAATGCCCGGCTTTGACAGCAGTAGAGAGAGAAGAGAAAGAAGGGGGAAAGCGACCAGTGCTCGTCCAGAACATTTTTCCATAGCTTCATCATATCCTCATTATGTAACTCCACAACATCCAAACCATATCCAAACCAAATGCCTCCTCACATGACCGTGCAGATCTTGATCCCGCAGCACTGTATCGACTCCTGCTGTTGTTGCTGCTGCTGCCCACCCATTTGCATCTGCTGCTGCGGGTGCCCGGGCTGTCCCCCGTATTGCATCTGCTGCTGGTTCTGCGGCTGGCCGGGGTAGCCACCGTGTTGCCCACCGCCGTACTGCGGACCATTGCCGAGCGGATACGCGGTCTGATAGTGCGGCTGGCCGTAGTTCTGATGCTGCGGCTCGTGGTGCTGCTGGTAATCGAACGCGGGCATCTGCGCCTGGCCGCCCTGCAGGTTGATGAACATGCGCCCTTCGTTCTGCTCCGTGTTGTACTGCAGGCCCAGCTCCCGGCAGACCTGCTCGACGCGGGGCTTGATCTTCTGGATGTGGCCGGGCGAGTGGTTTCCCTTGCCGACGATGACGTGGAGGTGGGACTGGCCGGTCTGCTGGGCGTAGCGGATGCGCTGCTCGAGGATCTCCTCGGCTTCTTCGACGAACTGCCCGTGGAGGTCGATGGTGTCGCCGGGGACCTTGCCGACCGCGTTGTTCTCCCGGAAGATGAACTCCGAGGCCTGTTTGTTGTATTGGTCGGCTTTGGCGGCGTGTTGCTTGCCCTGCTCGCTTAGGCGGTGGGCTTCGCCGCCGTCGCCGCGCTGGTAGGCTTGTTGGGATTCGGCGGCGAAGTGTTGCTGTTGACCCTTCTCTTTCCGGGCGAGGTCGCGCAAGCGGTCGTATTCCCGCTCGGCGTCGGACGAAGGGCCATGGTTGAAGGCTGGGTTTTGGTTTTCAAGTCAACATCTCGCGAGGTTTTCGAGAGGTTGGAGGAAGCTTACCACCACCGCCAAGTCGGGTCCCTCCTTGATACATGTCTCCGTGATCTAGCTATGTGAATATATGTCTAGCGGAAGAATAAGAGCGAGTGGATGCTAGTCGGTGAGTCTGTGTACGAGTCTCGAATAAACTAATGCCAATGCTGTTCAGGAACAGCACTAGGATGGCAGAGCTGCGAGCGCATTTGGCCGGATTCGGCAAGCGCATTTCTCGCTACCACGTGATGGCGTCACAGTTCGCATAAAATGAGAGTTTCATTAGCGGCTGAGGCAGCATTAAATGCGAGCCTAGATAGATACTCTCTCCTGTCAGAGATCAACACCTCTATCCTGTAGAACCACCATGTCCAGAGACCATGCTTCCGGAAAGCTCAAATCCACGCGCATAAGCATCAAAAGCTTCCAGCGCCCTCACGATCTAACACGGTTCGGCCCAAACATCTCCTTCGCGAAACCGTCGCGGCCTTCATGAACCGTGATCCTCTCCGCAGCCTTGACGAGGTCGTAATTCATCCCACTCGTGACCACACTGTCCTTTCTATATTCAGGGTGCTCCCGGACGAAATGCCGGATCCATTTGGCCGCCGTCCAGAGCGAGCCGTTCGCGCGTCCGCGGATAAGCGCGAGGTAGCGCGCCAGGGCGCATTTCGTCTCGACGTCGACGTTGACGGTGTCGAGGTAGGATTCCACCAGGGGGATGAGGCCGGGGAAGCCGCCGGGGGCGTGCTGGCCGTTCATGATTTCGTCGACGGTCATGAGTTCGTATTCGTCTTCGACGGGGCCTACGGGTGTCGGTGGGCGACTGATGGGTCGGATTCGAGGAGAGTTGGGGCCCGAGGGAGGAGCGGACGAGTTGGCAGATCGCGGTTGGCGTTTGGGTAAGGGGTTCTTGCGGAAGTGGAATTTGTCGTTCAGGACGGCATCGCGTCGGTGAGCGGTCTCCATGTTCTCGGTCGTGCGAGGGATGGGGATGTAGAAGTTGAGATCGAAGCTGAGAATTGCGCGGGTGATGAGTACGAGGAAGACCGAGAAGGCTGCGTTCTCAAAGTCGGTGATTTGAATCTCCATCGGTCGGAATTCGACGCGCCAGCCAATGTCATTGCCTGTCGGCGGTGGCTTGAACCGCATATGCTGCCAGTTCGTGCTCTGTAGGTTTTCGAAGTGGTCGGTCTTGGTCAGGTCGAGCTCCTTGAGGTCTTCTGCGAACACGACGATCGGATCGCGGATGAAGAGATGGGCAAAGTGCGTTGCGAGGAGATCATCCATGCCGCCCTCCATGAGGCGCGCTTTGAGCTGTTCATCCACTACGAGATCCGGGTCTAAGTATTCGCGCCGTAGACGGGGATCCTCAGAGATGTATGTGCTGTTGCTCGCATATCGAGACTTCGGAATTCGCCATCGGTCATTCTGTAACGGCTTCTCTCCGAGCTCCTCGGGGGTTCGATCGTCCACAGCGCCGCTGATCTGGTTCCATCGTACATCGGTGTCTGCGAGGAAGCCTTTGTAGATGGGTGTCGCAGCAGTCAAAGCCAATAATATCGGTCCCAGCGGGGATAGCTGGTCGTACATCTTGCGGCCCTCGGAGATGTTCTTGGCTTGAAAGGTGATTTGCAGGCAGCATGATCCCATGCCGAACGCCATCGCGTCCATGTAGATGCAATTCTCCTTCGCAGCCCCGTTGCGGACATCATCGTCCTCGGACCAGGTGTGGAGATCGTAGTCAACTGTGGGATCTTTGAAAGGCCAAGGGGTGTTTTCGTCCCGGAAGACTGGCACGTTGAGCTCGATCTTGCGTCCTCTCCGTGATCGAATGTTGGCCGCAAGTGTCGGGAATCGGATATGTGGGTTTGCGATTTCGTCGGGGACGAACTGAGATCTTAATCGAGGGCCGGAAGGAGGATAGAATGGTGTGATTGATTTGCGATCGCCGAGCAATGGAAAAGTGGTCAGGGTGATCGGGTATTCGCAATCGAAAACATGGTCCTTGGCAATCTGACGTCTTCATTCTCGCAAGGATCAGCCAGGTGAGCACAACTCGGTGGGACAGAAATGCATACCTCCACTTCATATCATGCTCAACGTCGAGTAGATCTGAAAAGCCAATGCCCCAAGGTCGACCTGGAGTCGCTTCAAGCATGAAACGGCCGAATTCAGGGTGGAAGGTAGGAGCCGTCTTCGATCCCCTACGCGACTGATTAGATCCAACTCAGACCTCGAGCGATCACAACGACATCCATGGATGCTCACCTGTCAGGTCCGACCTTGAGTTCAGGAACGCCACCTCCTTGAGCGATGAGTTCGGCATCTTTGGCAAGTGCGTCAAGAATGTCTGCTTGACGCAGGGAGAGTTTCACCTCCCGTCCCTCGTCGTCGAATGAGACGACCAGATATTCGATCTTGTTTCAATCGTCAGTACCGGACTGGCATGTAGCAGACGATTCGAGAATGCCCTACCTCATCTCCCCATAGGAGAGCATCGCGCTCCTTGCCTTTGGCGCGATTCCATATGGCGAGCAATTGCTATTCATCCTTCGTCAGTCGCTTGCCTCGAGATCAACGATGCATTCCGCGGCCTTGGCGGCGTTCCGTCCACCATGTCGTACCTCAATGCCCCATTCCCGAACTTTGCCGGCAACTTTCTTCGCCTCGGGCCACTCGAGCGGCGTCCCCAGGGCACTACGGGTGGGAATCCCCAAGAGTCTCAATAAAGATTCATTTCCATTTTCTTCGGCCGGCCCACCAGCTGTGCGGCTGACACGAATAGGGGACGACCAGGACTTACAGGAGACCCATTGTTCCTCGTCACCGGAAAAGATAGTGTGATCCTGTTTTTTTTTTCTGTTCTATTCTCGGCTAGTCCGGGGATTGTCGTGGTGGCCAACGCAAGAGGCGATGGAGATATTAGAACCCTGACCAGTTCAATGGGATTGCTGGATCGAAGTTATCACCGAGATATGAACATGCGCGATCCGTGAACAGCCAGCGGGAAAGAAGATCGGCAGCACACACGCGCGCGCATATCAAAGGAGAATTGCAGGGCCGTCTTTCCGTGTTCACACGTGCTAACACAGTGATTTCAAAGATATGGAAACCCGATTTCAAAGCATTCTGTACTAAGACGACGGCCGAGCTGGCGGGGTCAATGGGTCACGATCGTGCCAGGAAACTTTTTTCCCTTTTCGTCGCGGGCCAGTTCGATCTTTGTCTTTTGGCTTTGCACAGTGGAAGGAGGAGGAGGGAAAGGAACGAACGGTCCGGTTTAGTGTTGTTGTTCCGTTTTCAAACGTGTACATAGGCCTGACAACGACGAGACAGACGGACAGACAGTGTGCAGGTGGGCTTTCTACTTCCGCAAAGGCGTGATGGGCGTGGGAAATTTAAAACGTGAATTGCCTCATCGTTACGACAGCCTCTGGAGCGCACCGTCGGCGACAATGAGCCACTAACGCCGAGGCCATTGACTCCCCTACCTACTGTACACGACGGGTGAAAACTGCGAGACGCTGCGTCCACGTCGCGTGAATATGCCGTGCGTGGCGCGAACCGGTTTTTTGGAAGGAGGAGGAGGGAAAGGAACGAACGGTCCGGTTTAGTGTTGTTGTTCCGTTTTCAAACGTGTACATAGGCCTGACAACGACGAGACAGACGGACAGACAGTGTGCAGGTGGGCTTTCTACTTCCGCAAAGGCGTGATGGGCGTGGGAAATTTAAAACGTGAATTGCCTCATCGTTACGACAGCCTCTGGAGCGCACCGTCGGCGACAATGAGCCACTAACGCCGAGGCCATTGACTCCCCTACCTACTGTACACGACGGGTGAAAACTGCGAGACGCCACACACATACACTTACTACAGGCGGGGTGATGCTGGTTGTGAGTGAAGAGACGAGGGAGTCCCGTCCAGTAATAATTAGTAAAGGAAAAAGCGATACGAGACCTCAGGCGGGACTGATGAATGGCGCCGTATCATTTTTATTAGTTATTATTATTACCATTGTCATTGATGAATACCTAGGTATGAGTGGGATAAAAACCGCCTCAGAAAACAACCCAGCCCACAAGACACGCGCGTCATAAATCCGCCCGCAAAGCCGCCGCCGCGTGCAAAATGCAAGTGCACCTGGAGTGCGCCATCGCCTGAACAGCGACAACAACCTTGGAGCCCCCCAAAGTTGCCTCAGGGAGGTGAGTGAGTGATGATGAACGGATCATCGACAATCTCGCCGAGCAATCCTAGCGTCGAGATGGCGGAGATCTCATCGCAACGACAGGGCAGGACAGCGCGGCTCCTCCTATGGTAAGGTCCCCACCTAGGTGGTGTAGCAGGATCATCACCCAAAACATGTCCTGGCGATGCGGGCGATCTCGAGATATGATCTCGGGGCGATTCCCAGATGCGCACGCGTGCTCGCTTGGGTTTTGCCCGATTCTACGATGAGACTTGCGGGAGGAGGGAGGTGGAGGATTTGCGCTAGTCGCTCGCGCGTTTTCTTGCTCTGGCCCGTCTCTCCACGTGAGGGTTTGGAAAAGGGTGGATGTATGATGCGCCTTCTCTGCCTCCTTCCCCGGGAGGATGTGCGTAATGGTGACGATGGGATGTCCAGGTCATTGAAGTAAAGCAGTCGGTTGGTGTGGGAGTGATGGTGCCGCGACAGCAAGATTTATGTGTCGCAAAGGAGAAGGAGGGAGAGGGAGAGAGGGTATGGGTATGGGTCTGGACCGCCAAAGCGTATGGAGAAGTTTCATTCTTTTTCGCCGGGAAAAAATTAACCAGCATCAAGGTGATGTTTATGACAGCAGACTCTCTCGGAATGACGCCTATATAAATAATTCACGTCGTTCGTCTCGCTCGACTCGACCCCGTCATCGTAGGACCGAGGGGAGAGGAGAGACGGAGAGACGTGACTCTCAGGGGACTCCTTCGTCCCTTCACCTCTAGACAAATTGTTTTGATCACCTCCAAAAATACTCCCTAGCAATGTTCCCAAAAAAGCAACCTCCCTCTCGTTGGCGCCACTCACGCTAAAACGTAAACGCCGGTGCCCATCCAGTTTTCAAAGGAACACATCTCCGCTCATTGAGATTCCCATTCGAAGAAAAAAAGGCGGATCCAAGGCGGGCAAAGCCACTTCCTTCTGAAATACAATGCAACATTACTGTGTCATGGGAGACCGGGGGTGATATGTCCCGGTTCCTGTCATTCCCGTATTGGGGAAAATGTGTGTGTGTGTGAAAGGAACTGCTCGCAGATCCGACTTTCTGCCGGAAAAAAAAGCGGCAGGCTGTGAAGTTGGGCGAGGTCATGTATAAGTCGTTATCCCCATTCCTGGACACCAGCCAGGGGTCCAAATGGGTGAGGGTATCTAATGCCTTCCGAGAAAGCTCGATTAAAGAAAGGACAAGATTGCAGTATGGGGGCGCTTGAGACGATGCACTCATTGCGTCATGGGGTCCTTTGGTCGAAGGTTTGATCCAACCATGCCCGCGACTTGCTTGTTGGTGCTGTTGCTGTTGTTGGAGTTGTTGTTATTGTTGTTCTTCCTCGTGAGCTTGGCATAGTGTAGACCACAGGCGTTGCAAAGTGTACGTGCGCCATCAGGACCGCGACGCCATTCCGGGGTCTCGGCCCGGTTGCAACTGTGGCAGCGGCCGGGCGGCGCAGCGCGACCACGTCGAGGCTTTTTGGGGTCTCCCTGGAAGCTGTTCTTGTCGTCATTGTCATACGGCGAATGTTCAGCAGGCATTCTGTGCTTTTCTGGAAGACCAGCCCGCGATGCATGTTGGTCGGCGACCTGGTAGTCGTAAATCGCTTGCTGTTGGTTGATGACATGGTCACGAATGCTCAGCAATTGGTCCAGCTGAACCTTAGTTTTGGCGGCCATGTCATCAACCTCCACGATACTGGGAAGGTTGGCCAAGGTCCTTTGATTGGCATATACTTGATCTCCGTAACGGCGAGCAAAATCCGAGAGAATGCCACTGGTATGAGAGATCTGTATGGAAGTCAGTCATGTTCACTGATGAAAGGATCGTGCTAAACTGACCTCGTTAAGAGCATACTCCAGATGCTGTGAATCCAGATGCCTCTTGACTGTGTCCTTGTGGCCATCGTGTCGCTGCATGGGGCTGTAATCCCCATTCTCAGATTTCCAGGCAGGCAAGTTGGCGGCAGGTGCGTTGTGCATTACAGAAGGCTGATAGATTGGTCCTAGACTGGGTTGTTGGTGAGATTCGTCCCGTCTGGGAGGGTATTGCGGTTGACCATAGGCCATGCCGGGTGGAGGCATGGGATGTGTTGCGTGAGGGACCTGTACAGGATCATGCACGGGGGATCGCTCGAGAGGACCCGAGAGTGTCGGAAGATGTGAACCCGGACGGACGACATGCACTGCCGACGTTCCTCGCGCCTCATCGACAGATCCGTATGCCGATTTGTGCGTCTGGATCGACGGGAATGTAGATTTGATACACGAGTCTGCACGAGGCACGGTGTAAGGAGGGTATGTCGCGGTACTCGATGATGTGACCGATGGTACTACAGGTGAGGCAGGTGACGGATTCGTGCTCTTGCTGTGTTGTATTTGATTCGACAACAGACCAGGCGGAGGCGGGACGTTCTTCGAGAAGGAATTTGATCTGTCCCCACCCATGATCTCCGACAAGGACGGCAGTGATTGCCTGATGGCCGCTTTGTTTCCCGTCTTCTCATCACCACTTGATCTTCGTGACTCTGGAGGAGTCTGAAATAGAGGATTGCTGGCTGGCCATGCACCACCGGCTGTTCCGGCGGGCAGCAGCGGTGCTGCTCGAGACGCTGAATCTGCGTAGGTATATGGCGTTTCTGCGGATGCTTTGCCGGCAGGGTGGCTTGGTGCAGATGATTCCATTGATCGGTTCTGGGGGTTTTCGTCGGTCCGCGCGTCCAGGAAGTTTAGTGCAGGTAATTGAAGTCTATATGGACATGGTCAGCTATCATGTAAGCTGATCGTTGCCTCAAACTCTTCACTGGCTATCGCTGGAACTGACCTTCTACTTGTGTCCATGGTGAAAGGAGCCTGTTGTCGACAAAGCGACGATGTACGATGTGAGGTTGAGATGAGAGGTTGGCCGCAGGAGCGCACGCGACTTTTCGCAAACCTGTCCGACGTAGTGTCCTTGGACGAGCGATGTTACGATCACGCTCAACAGAGGGAGCCCGATGAGCCGTCGATTCGGATCGTGTTGGTGGGAATTGACGATGTCTGTAGTTCAGAAAGAACGATGGTGGGTGAGAAGCCAGCGGCGGTAGTAGCGGCACGAGTGGAGCAATGATCGCGACGGCGAGGGCGAGAGCAGACGTATCTGCGATAATCTGAGATCGGGCGGGAGTGGAACGCCGATCTACATCAGACGCTAGGCGTAGAGTAGAATAGGCACACCGTAAAGTAGGGTTGGATGGACTGAAGGCAGCTGGAGGGAGCAAGCCAAAGGCGAAAGTGTGCTTGGCGGCAGTGGACTAGATTCTGCTGGCGATTCGCCCTAGCCCAGCTTAGCAGCGACGGCTAACACCGAACAGAGAAAAGCGGGCGCCGGTCGGTCCTGGTAACAACCTTGGAAAGTTGGGATCGATGAGTTGCTGCTACAAGGGAATGTTGCACTCCAGCTGTGTATGGAAGTGTGGTGTGTGTGCGTGTGTCGTGGGTCGTGGGTCGTACTCGGGCTGGACTGTATGCACAATGGTGATGATGATGTACTGTAGCGATAGTGGTGTCGCTATTTGCTGCTGGCTGCTTCCCTCCTCTCTCCCATTCAGTCAGCCGATGGATGGTGGGTCGTAATGAGAATCCTGCGGCTGCTGCTGCACCCGTGTAGGCAGAGAGCCCTTCGATCGGTGACAGCGTCGCGTGGTCTAGTCTGTGTTCACACTCACACTCGCTCACACACTGGCGGGAAACGAATGCGCCCCTTGGTTTTCACGCAGACAGAATTTCTTCTCCGGGCATTTCCACCAGCGAGATTGTTGATGATGCTCGTCACGGATGGTAGACAGCGCGAAAGGTAGTTTTTCTAAACCTGAACCGGACAGGCAAAGGGCATGCGAGTCACGTGAGCTGGTGGACATCCGACAACAAACGGATACACGGTGCCTTCGGCTACGCGGGACCATGCGGGTTTGATGATGAACAGTTCCAGAGAGTGACGATTGAACGGCAGAACCATGGCCCGGAAGGATGATTGCGCATGGCGGATAGGTGGACAGGAACGGTGGTGGGTGGTGCTGGTACAGCAGGTCGGAGGACAACCAGACTTTGCACCGCAATCACACTCTTGCCTCATCGCGCTTTCCTCCTCATTCGCACCGTCATGCGCAATACTACGTCTCCTCGATTTCCGACCTCATTCCAACATCCATGCGATAGGCACAAGAGGACGGCGAGGTTTATGGGCGGTGAGAACAACCATGCGAGAGTTCCGTACTATAAAACCCTCCTACAACAGACATCGGCATATCTCTCGTCGGAACGGGTCGACGACTCCGTTGACGGTGACGATGACATAGGAATTGGCGAGCTCAAGGGATATGTGGCGGAGTGGATAAACGACGGTTGTGGTCGCACTCCAAACCCTGACATATGTATGTTCACTCGCTCATCACTGCAAGGTGACATGAACAGGCAGGTCGAAAACGCGGTAGGTACCGAAGTAGTTCTGTATCGGGTTTATGCGCTAGGTTGTTCGTCAAAATGGTCGGTACCGGACCGTTGCTACTCTCGAGTATCCATTCGGGCTGTGTCATGGTCCCCAGGAACGGATGTGGGTGTGTGGCTGCATCTTCCGGTTCTTGCACGCGCACCCGGTACTGGGATAGATCGGGTCTGACCCGATATTGGCCATGATGACGGCAAGGGTCTTCACCTGGCTTTTCTGAGGTCCGAGGGCCCGTCAGTTTTCTACCACGCACGCTTATTAAAACGTTTGTTTCGCGCCTCGAGTCTTTGACGCAAATCAACGGCTGAGGGTAAGACTCTCTGCGTCCCAGAGGCTGCACAAGTTCAGCCACTGGGACTCATCCGCTGCCCCATTTTTCGAGTTGAGCACAGCGTGTTCAGAGCTTCACCAGACGGGAAAAGACACTTATGTTTGCCTTCCAAGATACTTGCTAGGCCGTAGAACGCGTGGCATCATTAGGGAAGCTTAGTCACTGAATCTCAAGGATGACCGTCGTGCTGATCATCAAGATCATCGAGGTTGTTTGCGAAGGGTCGCGATGGTGGAAAGGGTCAATTGCGAATAAGATTCATAGATTGTGCGGATCTGACCACCGGGCCTAGGGCCGCGATCGTGGACAATAGCGGCGATGAGGCGGAAGGTCGTGAGCATCGAACCAATCAGAGAGGCGCGGCCGAGTCGGACTCTCGAGCATGATGACATTTCCAAAGCGTTGACCGGCACGACTCGCGAATTTGATGTCTGTACCTGGGTACCAAGGTGTGCTTGTAAACATGTTTGGTGCTTGCAGATCATTGAATATCGGCCGGCTCGAGAGACGAGGCGAGCAGAAATATTGATCAGACGGTCGTACCCGCCGACCGGAGACTCTCCCTCTCTACGACGCAGCAGGGTCGCATTGACGAAAAGCTGGGATGATGTGCATGGCATGAGTCAGTGCCTGTCCTTTATCCCCAAGCAAATAGGGGGGAAGAGAACGTCACGAGTCAATCAAGAAAGCAAGGACCCTGAACCGATGACACGCAGCTGCAGCCCGAGCATCCTGGCTGCTTTTGGCGGGCGCATTGGTCAATCGCCATCATATCTGGTCATCTCGATGCTGATCGGACAGGATCGCGCGATCAGATGCTAGCTCGGAGGCGCTGTCTCACCACATCTGTCTGCATTTCGTGTGATTATTCTTGGCATGATGTTTGAGTAATAAGCGTTAATCATTGTTATCACGAAATGCTGTGTCCGGGCGTCACGCGATCAACATCTTGCCGACTGCTTTCCTGCTATCGCACTCAAGGATGCATCCTGATTCTTGGTGCCGAGGCCCTGAAAGCTGCAAGTTTTTGCTAAAGCTGAATGTTGCATGGAGTTCGCTAAATTCAGGGAAATAGTCGTCGATGGCCAAGACTTCGGTACGAGATTGCCCGCAGGATATGTGCACCGAGTGGACTGATGAGCAGCCATGGAAGTCTAGCCCCCTGGTCGGCCTGTTGAGCTTAAAGGCTTGTGCAGTTGCGTTCGTCTATAAGGTGATCTAATGGATGATGAGCATTTTGGAGGTCGCGAGAAGATTCCTGGAAGATTCCCGAGTCCTGCCCACTTACGCTGGCTCACCGACGGAGGGTATTTGTTCGGTGTGTGCCTGAAATCCCTGCACGCCGGCTTCCCTCGGTTGATTTCCGACAACCGCGATTGTGCTTCATCAATCTGATAGTAAGTGCACATTGTGACTGGCATGACTAATGTGGAGGCACGCTGCCATCGAACAAGAACTTCAGTGAAACATGGTTCTAACATCATAGGCTTTCTGTTTGGGTGTCGTTTACTGTTCATCACAATGAAACAGCAATGGCTCAATTGGGCCTGTGGTAGCTGACTCAGGCTGTCTCAAATGTCCTTGCGAAGCGTGCAGCCGAAGAAGCGAGGGCGCCAACCGATAGATCTTGGAACTGATGATAATCCGATCCACTCTTCGGTCCTCGCTCCTGTATTCTCGGGGCCTCCAAAGGGCTCCAAAGAAGCCTCTGTGACCTGTCAAGCCGTCAGCCTCACCATGTTGCAAGCCTTTACAAATGTGCTCCAAGTCTCTTTGGGCATCGTTCATGTAAGCTGGTCGGCTCAACTTCTTATTCAGCGTACATGATAGCGCATGATAGCGCATTCGATGTACTTTCCAAGACGAATCTGATGCTCTTTGTGGCCTCTTGCCATGGAAGTATGACTTGGACTCCGAGTAGTCTCGGTCGGCTGCATCAGACGCGCCACATCCCTTGCTCGACCCATCTATCCGGGCTGGCAATTTGAGAACTGCCACCGCAGCCAATTCCCCTGCACCAACTCTATCATGGGAATAAGATGCCCACTTCAGCTCGTGGCATGCAAGTTCCGATGCATATCGCCCACGGCTGCACTTGCAGATTTAACCACGAAACCACACGCACAAGGGTTGTCGTTCCCGAGTGACGGGAAACGAATTATGATGATCACATAGCGGAACTGGTGCCGGTGAGCCAGTCCGTGTAAGCTTTCCCCTCTGGTTCGCAGAGTGAACTGTTATTTCCCTGGCAATTGTGGCGATCACTATCTCACGACGCAGTTCCGTTCTTTCAATCGCGGAATTGAACCACATCTTGTCGCAGCGGTTCAAAGACAGGAACCAAACTTCTTGAGACGACGATGTGGCTTAAGATCACCGACGTGCGCCAGGTAGCGATTCCGCTCTCGAGCATCGACTCTGAGCTTCACAAACGGAGCAGCATTGCCTGCATTGGGAAATGCACGACTCGAGAGGAGGAGCCTGGCTGTTTTAAGGTGGCAATCTCAGAAGATTGACTCAATTATGCATCGTGAGACAAGATTGTGGTTGGTCTGAGGTCTACCGGTGAGTTCATTCGCCGGACCTGTGCCCGTGAGTGTACTCATACACGGTCGCAGAGTTCACTTGGCAAATGGGAATTTTTCTTGTACGGCAGTAGTCATTGGTTCATTTCGACCATCTAAACTCTGCAAGATCTAAGACGATCAAAGCAGGTATCACGATGGTTGGAACGAGTACTTGGACAAGGGAACGATGTGACTTGACTTGATCGTCAGTTGCCTCTAGAAGCTCGAGACCGCCTTTAGCAGACTGGACATCGATGAGCAACCTAACACGCCTCGTCGATTGCATTAGGGTTGTGATTAGGGTTGGTGTTGTGGTTGTGCGATGCTGGTCAATCAATGCGTACATGAACCTTTTCATGAACCACAGACACGGGGATTTTATTGTAACAACGCTGAGTCACACAAGATTGATTCATCAAGCACTGTAACTCTGAAGATGGACTGATCTCCGGCGTAATTGGCAAGTATACCCGCTGAGGTGCAGGTACAGTATGACCTGTGTCAACGCTACTGCATTGCAGGAATGACAATTACCTGGTAGAGACGTGAAAATCCTCACTTCCTGAACGGCATCTCTGCTGTCCTGTAACTGCTCGTACCAGCATAGGCGAGCCGGCAACATCTTGATGGCGCGGCGAACCGCAGCCTTCACAAATGTCATAACCACATTAATGCATAAACTACTGGATCACTCATACTCTAACTCTGTACCAAAACTCGCGAGGGAGAACTCTCGCAGAACAAAGCAGCGAGTGGAATGTGAAATGGTCACCGATCCGCAAAACCCCGAAGGCGTTTCACTTGGTAGATGTAGCGATAACCGCCTGTGCGCACGATGACTTTCGAGCACTCATGGCGTTCAATACGACCTCCTCAAGATGCAAGAGCAAAGCGAAGGACTACCGTTACATTGCAAATCGCAAGTTTCCCTTAAGCAGCCCAGGAAATTGCCAGAGCCGTGAGGCTGTCTATCCGTCGTCAACAAAGATAACAAGACGCGGCTTTGCGTCGATGCCAACAATGTCACCAGCCTTGCCGACTTGGTCGAAGAGAAGAAAGCGTGCTCATCACCGACGGAGCTCGCTGCTGTCACTCCTATTCAAGACGCAAGATGAAAGTAAGCAGTCGTGGAGAGACTCGGCGATGTTGGACTCCAGGTTCTTCGACATCAGTTCGCCGCTGGGGCTCACAAATCATGACCGTGTATCACCAGTCAGCGTGCAACACCGACCGCCACACAGGCCTGCAGAACTGTACAGGGTACTTTATATTGCGGCCATACTCACCACGTGTGAGCTGACTTCGACCAATACAGTGTGATATTCATGCAGCCGATGCGGCGGACTTCAGTGCAGCCGAGCAGGAATGCAAGCAAATCATCATCGAAGCTGGAGGACGCATAGTCAACGACCATACCTATCTTGGCGGCTTCATGTGAGATATCACACTTGCCCAATACTCCACTCGTCGGCAGTACTGACGAATCACCACCCGCAGCTTCGACATGTCAACCAGCGAGCACGCGAGTCCTTTGAGCGATGGCGACGAGACCATCGGCGGCGGATACATCAACATCAATCCAGGCGTGGTTTTCGACAGACCGCAATTCGACGGTCTTCGCATGCACCCGATTTGGCACTCGCACGATGAAGATGGCCATGAGGGATCCGGATTACATGCAGCGCACGTCACGTCCTCAAAACGCCATAGTATCTCGTCAAAAGCGCAGAAAGCTGAGAAATGGGCCCAAAAGATTACCTCGAGAAGATCAAGTCGTCGAGACTCGTTCTTTTCTGGTCTGGAATTTATGTTATAATGACACAGGTGGTGGGAAACAAGGTGGCATGGACCAGGCTGCGGAAGAGGCAGCGTTATCTCACGCTCAATCCCAGGAAATTCTGTTAGAGTACGGATTAGTCTTTACTTCACTGTCGTGTACGAATTTGTTACTCACCCAAGCATAATGCCCGCCCCAGCAGCCATGGCCGCAAATTGCAGCGCCATGCTCCTGAGCTCCTTCATACGATCTGGTCCCGTCTCCAACATCTCGGGCACAACACCCACAGTGCCAACGTACAGGAACGTGCCTGCGGTGAAGGGAAGCAACATGTCCCCCCATTGCAAACTGGTACCCCACAAGCCAGTGTTTCCACTGGCCACGGAGCCTACCACTGAAGCGGAATTGCCTCCAAGCTCCTGAACAGCGATTCCAATGATAGCTCCCAGCACAGCACCGAGCGCAGTGACAAATTGCAGGGCCATTGCAGTGCGCTTGCTCATACCTCCCTGAATCAGAAGCGCAAAGTCGCCAACCTCATGTGGAATCTCGTGGCAAAAGACGGCAAGAGTGGTAGTCGCGCCTATGGTTGGGCTGGCGTAGAACGATGATGACATCGCAAGTCCATCCGTAATGTTGTGTGTGAAGTCGGCAATGATGTTGAGATACGCCGAGAGCTTCACCGAAGGCTTGGGGTCCTCCTTTTTCACCATGGTTGTGCCTCTGTCCGCCTTTTCACCTTTGCGCTTGCGAACCGATGACTTATCAGATTTGGAAGGTGTTGCACTGGTCGTCACCTTTTCCTCAAGAGCGTGTCCGTGTGAGTGGTCGTGGGAATGGCCTTCTCCTCCAGTCGCAATGCGAAGACCTTTGTCCATAGCAACAAATGTTACGAAGCCAATCAAGATGGCTACTCCAAGAAGCAGATTCTTGTTCGGCTCGACGAGCACAGCCCGCACTTCTCCTTCAGGAACCTCACCCAGGAAGATCTCGGGAAGTAGGTGAAAGAGCGTGTCTCCGAGTAAGCCGCCGACTGCGAAAGCCACCATGACATTTAGGCTGCTCGGGTCGATGTTCGGCGGGACCAACGCGAGAAGGAAGTTTGGTGGGCCAGAGATGTACAGTGTACCCATTAAGGCATTGAGTGCTGGGCTGGTGAACGGAAAGAGCACTTTGAAGCTCTGCTGCAAGAAGGAGGATTGTACTGGCTCATGTTCGAGTTTGTGTGCGACAATTTGCTGTATGATTGGACATTGCTACAGATGACCCAGTTAGATGAAGTTCAAAGTATGAGATGATGTTGCGAAGACGACATCTTGGTCGATTGTGATCGTGATCGCGATTGCGATCCATGCATACCTGTAGCTGCTCCTCGATCTCTTGCGTGCTCAGGGATGCAACATCGTGGCTGGCGAGATTGATCGCGCTCTTTTCCGCAACCACGCTGCAAATAAGCAATGCCAGGAGCAGCAATGCTGTCAGGTAAACACCTCTTGAAGCCATCCTGGCGAGCAGTATTGATGGTGTCTTGAAATGCCACCGTGATGTCTAACGTACAAGTCCCAATGGCATGGCCTGCAGGACAGGGTTCAGGGAAGGTACGGCGAGCTGAGCGCCAAGATTTCGCGGAGCCCTGACATGTGATGGAGATAATTTTTTGAATCTCCGAGAATTCATCACCATTTGCACAATCTTCGCATTCCATTCGCGGCAAGACAAACACCATGGGTCGCGAATTACAGAAGAGGAAGAACCGCTCAAGTGTGAGCAAAGTCAAACATAAGCCTAAGTCTAAGAAACGTCTGTTGGCTCATCCCGTCATCGCCGCCAATTGGGACAAGACGCAAACCCTTGCGCAGAACTACAAGCGACTAGGCTTGACGGCGAGGCTGAACAAGAACACTGGTGGTATCGAGAAGAAAGTGTCGGACATCCAGTCTGTAGAAACCGGCGACAGATACAGCCTTCGTGACGCGCTCAACATCACCAGCTCTTCCAAGCGTAATCAAAAGATTGATTTATCAGAGGCAAAGATCGAGCGAGACCCCGAGACCGGCAAAATTTTGCGCGTGCTCGATGGCGAGGCACCAAAAGCAAATCCGCTCAACGATCCTTTGAACGATCTCGACTCAGATTCCGAGGATGATACGGGAATTTTCAGTCTGCAAAATCAACATGAGGCCGTGATGAAGAAGCCGAGCTCGACTTCCAAATCCGCGGTCACGGACACCGTCAGACAACTTGAAGAGGAGGCGAGCAGACCTGTGACAAAATACAAGCGCAAACAGCCTGATGGAGAACGCGAATTCATCGAGGCCCTCGTAGAGAAATATGGAGATGACACTGGTAAGATGGCGCGCGACATCAAGATCAACTACATGCAGAGAAGTGAGGGAGACCTCAAGAAGCGCATCAAGAGGTGGCGCGAAAACGGTGGCTCAATAGAATGAAGAACAAGTCGCAATGGCCTGCGACTTGCCCGGCAACTCGCGGTCCACCTGCGATCATGTCGACCTGCAGATAAGAAATATTGCCATGAGCAAAGTGCGATCGAGACCATTTGACAGGAGCGCACTCGGCTATTCGCAGGAGCAGAGCGCCACACAGCTATGTAATGCGACGACCTGAGGACAATAAAATGGGTACTTGGTGGTCTTGAGTGCAGCCCATGCTTGAAGTTTCTGCTCCAAAGTTGTTCTCATGAACGGAAATCGACCTAGTGTGTCTCACCAAGATATGTGGTGCCGGCGAGCATTCAGGACCCATCCAGGGTTCACGGCCAGCACCGTACTGCACAGCCGAATCCATGACTAGGCCTGTTTCACATTGGGTCAATCTATCAGATCTAGCAACCCAGCAGCGAACGAGCTATTTCAACGCGCCACATTGGGGACCTGAAACTGGGGAATCTCAATTCTCCAAATGCCGGAACGACCGTCTCGAGTCCACACGCCGACACTGCCAGCTCGAACACAACCCGAGTCTTAGAGCACATTGGAGCGGCTGCTACAAGAAAATGTAGATTGGCACGCGGAATTCACCTGCAATGCTTGAGAGATACTCTGCCACGGAATTGCGGAATTGCATGCCAATGTATGAATCGAGTTGGCTGAGCCATGCTCCTGATTCTGAGACTACAACAGTCACAGCTTAGTTAATTGTAGCGTTAATTTGCGCTGCATGGCTGAAATTCACATTGACAACAACAATTTTTCAAATTTCGTTTCACTGATCAGCATTGCGATAGTTGCGCTGGACGAACCATGCCTGCACTATTGACAACCTCGACGAGCTGTGGCTGTTGTATAGCATCATCCTCCTGAGACAAGTATTGCATTATTACTCAACAGAGAAACGAGCATCGGATTAGCCATCGGAGTGCCCTTCTTCGTCGTCAACACATTTTGCTGCACCTGGGCAGTCAATTGTTGCAGCGCATTGTCCATTCTGCAGTGAAATTGAATGGACATCAGTAGTGCTTATCATCCGCTCAGCTACCAATGAGTGAATCCTGACGCCAGCCAGAGTGAGTAGTGATCACCTGGCTTCCACAGCTTTTGCTTACCAATCCAGGGCAGCGATACCTCATTGTCCAAGTGTCCATGCATGTATGATCATCACTACTCTTGATGACATCTACAAATCCTCGCGGAAACGATCCAAATCAGCGATAGCGCTTACGCTGTGGTACCTGCACCATTACTGTACGTCTGCACCACACGTCTCTCGCGCGCCTCTTCGGCGTTAAGGTGAATCTCTTCAATGACCACTCGCAAACGATCGTGGGTATATAAGAAGCTTTCCTCTCTCTTTGTTAAACCGTAAACCTCATGTGAAACAAAACCAATCGTCGTTGCCCTTGTCGTCATATCGAAGTACGATTCCACCCAAACTCAAGGGTTGATTGCGAAGATGGTCATCCAGCGCTTTACATTCTTTCAAATCCCAGAGCCTAAGGACGTCCAACTCATGATTGAGAAATATTCAGGCCTCCAAAAAGCCGCTGTGCGGGTAAGTCTTCCTCATCAGAAAGCAATTGCTTTTCCAAGAACACTTCTCAACGAATGTACTCATGGATTTGGTCAAACAGAACGGCAAACCCTATATCACCACCTGCGAAGCCGATCCCACCCTCCCCGATCAACGCTCCAAGGGCTACACGCTCGCCGTCCGCACCACATTCGACACCCTCGACGACATGAAATACTACGACGACGAGTGTCTGGCACACAAAGACCTGAAGGCATTTGCAATGCCGAAGAAAACGGGCGATGTCCTGATTTTCTACTTCGAGAAATGATGGGAGTCTACGATTCAGGGATATATTTCCGACGAAAAGTGATCCAAAGAAATAAAATTGATTTATCCAGCGCTCTATTTTCTTGTTACATCTTCTCTTTGCTGTAATCCACAAGACCGTCGTTGGCTTCTATATCATGTGACGATGGACTCCCATCATCCTTGCGAAAAATCTGCTTGGCACGGCGGTCGCGCAAGTTGTCTCATGATGATTTTGGGGCTTCACATTTCCTCCTTCTCTCAGACGAATCATTTTCATATCGGACACGACGGGGCTGACACAAAGGATCACCATTTAAAATCCAGGTACTTCCATTGGATCTTGATACAAAACGTTGACATGAACACGTGACAATTTTGAAGTCCATTCTAGTATAAATCGCGATTGAGGCTCTTTCGCGTCCTTCGTAAAGCCCACAGAATACCCATCCCGCCCAAAATGGCCCGAAGTCTATAGCTCCAGAGAGACTGTATCAAACGACGACAGCACGGAGAAAGATCGCAAGATCATCTCATCAAGAATTGCCAGATACGAATCCCCAATGCGGTCAGCTTCCTCTTTGCAGAAGAGGTTTTCATCAAATTTGAATTTCACATTATAGCCGGCAATGGTCTTCGATACCTCGAGGTGCAAAGCGTAGTCAATCGGCATCGTTACCTCACTGCCGGCCATGACCATCCATCGCATGTGCTTTGCGGTACCCGTGACGGGCTCGAACGGCTGGAACAAGAATAGAGAACGACAAGGGCTCGCGCTGTCTGCGTCACCTAGAGCTTCGTTTATGGCGGTCAGATTCACATCGCCATGCTCCGTGGCCTTCCAGAAAAGATCCTGGGTCGCCTTGAGCAGATCACGGACTGTCGTGCTCTCGGTGATCGATCCTCGAAACGGGAGAAAATTGGCGCAGTTGCCGTTGATCAGCTGCGCGTTTTCCATGTCGATGTTCCGTCCTGTGATCAGGTTGTCGTAGATCACTTCAGAAGTTCCGCCAAGGTCCGCAAGCAGGACTGTAAAGGCAGATTGGAACACGATGGGGATTGTTACACCACATTGCGCCGCGAAACCGTCGACCCGCGAAGATGCACTCTTCAAGATCATAGAAGACGTCTGAGCTGGCAGTCGGTGCTCAGCAGGGCTCGGGAATGGAAGCGGTCCATCAGCAAGCAGCTTCGCCCAGAACTCAAGGCTATCGTCACGGCTCTGACTTGGGATAGAGGATATGTGTCCTACGTAGTGTGCAAATGCTACACTTTCTGGGAGTTGCGATCCGTTGTGCAAAGCTTGAAACTGCTCGTCGAAAATCCTGAGCAATGTACCATCATACATGGCATGATGAATCTTGATCAAAAGATGTCGTTCGCCTGTAGACTCGGTCTCGAGCAGCCGATACCGGACGAAGGGTTTGCAGCTATCAATCGTGAAACGCTCGTCCCAGACGCGCGACGCCATTTTCTTGCGATGCTCTGGACTCGCACATCGGATAACTTCCGAGTCCAGAGTCGGATGCTTCAATACAATCTGGATCCAACGGTCATTGTCATAGGCCCACAGGGTACGAAGAATCTCATTTCTTCGTGTAAGCTCTGTCGTGAGCCGGATCCATTCGGACCAATCGAAGTTGGGAGGCAAGGGTCGGACGGTCTGACACTGCCAAGATTGCGACTTGTCGGCGCCCCGGATCAAAAATTCCTCCACGCCCGGAGGCGACGGCCATACTGCTTCGATCTGATCATTGTAAAGACCTTTCGCGGCGAGATGTTGCGTCAGCTGCTTTGACATCTCCAGGCCGGGCGCATCTTGGTGCTGACTCGTGCCCTCGATCAACCGCATGTGGGCCGCCATGTCCTGGAGGAGCGGAAAGGCCATGATGTCGCTCACAGACAAAGAGAAGCCCAGCCCTCGGCATTTGCCGGATAGATTTATAGCAGCAATGGAATCTCCGCCATACATGAAGAACGCGCCCGTCGCGCTCACGGTCTCTTCATCGATTGCGAACATTTCCGCCCAGAGCGACCTGAGAGTGAATTGTTCAGGCGTGCTTGGCGGAGTAAATGCCGCCTCCACTTGCTCTCCCAGAGCATATCGACTCAACTCCGTGTCGTCCATCTCCTCGGCAAAGGTGAGAAGTCTCCGTCGGTCCGCCTTGCCAGAAGGCGATCGCGGAAGCGATCTGAGAGCCACCCAGTGCTGAGGCACCATGTATGGTGAGAGCGATGAGAGTCCAAGCGAAAGGGCTGTGAGAGACTCCATGCACTCTTTCGAATATTTAGAGTCTCCGTGGATCAGATCGGTCCCTGCGTCCATGACGCAGAATGCGATTAGATGAGTCCGATCGCCAATTTTGGCCGCAACCACCACCGTATCCGGAACAACTTGGGTGGCTAAGATCGCAGCTTCAACTTCTCCAATTTCAATTCTGTGACCCGAAATCTTAACCTGTGAATCCATTCGTCCAAGGCATTCGATTCTACCATCGGCGGTCCAGCAGGCAAGGTCACCCGTTCGGTAAATTCTCCGCCCTTCGAGGTTGATGAACGCCTTCGCTGTAGCATCTGGTCGATTAAGGTACTCACGGGCCAGCTGAAACCCGCCAAAGCAGAGTTCACCGACTGCTCCAAATGGCACCATGCTTGTGCCGTCTCGTTCGAGGATCATACCAGAGCAGTGACGTAAAGGTGCTCCAATTATTCTGGAACTGCTCCCGGCAGTAATCTCGCCGGCAGCTACAAGGATGGATGCTTCTGTGGGACCATAGCAATTCATGACCTTGCAGTACGGTGTCCACTTTTCGACCAAATCTTGAGTCACCTGCTCACCAGCGAGATAGATTCCTCGGACCTGAGGTACGTCCTCGGGAGAAAGTAACTTTGCCACGGTGGGCGTAAGAAAGATTCGATCAACGCTCATGCGGTTGATCTCTCCAGCAAGATCGGCCATGAGATCGCTCATTGGAGCCATGCATAGTGTTGCGCCGACCCTGAAAGTGCAGAAGATATCGCCTATGGCGACATCGAAGACATAATTGGAGAATTGAAGCACGCGCCAGGAGCTCTCAAATCCTTCAACTGCAACAATGCTGTCAATACCAGAGCTGATGGACTTGTGAGGGATCAGCACACCCTTCGGAACTCCAGTGCTCCCAGAAGTGTAGATCGCATACGCAAGATTTTCGGGAGTGAGCCCCGTGATGCGGAGATTCTCTGAGGCGTAAGAAGAGCAGTCGAGCTCGAGTACATCGATGATCTTAACGGTATTTGCGCTTTGCTCGAACAAGGGGGCGTAATTCTCGTCGGTCAGTACGATAGTCGCAGAGACATCTCGAACGATGAAATTGTTTCGTTCGATCGGGTTGTCCGGGTCCAATGGCACAAAGGCGCCACCCGCCTTTAGCACCGCCAGGATACATACAATCTGCTGCACTGATTTAGGCAAGCATATCGGGACGAGAACGTCCGGACCAATGCTCTGTTCGCGAAGATGGCGGGCCAGCTGGTTAGCTCTGGCATTGAGCTCCGTGTATGTTATCGCACGTTCATTCCGAAACTCGATTGCATTGGACTGAGCGGATGCTCCAGCAACATTCTCGAATGGCTCCTGCAGAAGCGTATAGACACCGCCATCGCAAGCGGCAAGCGACTTCAACCATTCGAGCTCCGCTCCACGAACAATGCTCAGATTGCGTAATGGCTCTCGAAGTTGATTCAAGTCGTCCTCAAGGACTCGGCAGACTTGATCTAAAATAAAACGAGCCTTCGAAGCATCGATCCGGCCCGAGAACTTAATCTCGTGTCGACCCGGCTCCAGCTCCTCGACTTCAAGGGATTTGTAACCGGTCTCCCATGTAGGCCTTTGTCCGTACGCCTTAAGAACATCTTCGTCTGTGGTTGCCCCTGGACGAACCAGAAAATTCACCAAAGAGTCGAAGAGGACGCCATCCACGTTAGCAGCAGCCAAAGCATTTCTCAAACCATATTGCGCGAATTCAGCAATGTTCCACAGTTCAGACTGTACATACTTGGCAAATTCGAGGAAGCTGATGTCGGAATCTATCCGGAGGTGTATGGGCACTGTGGCCAAAGTTGGTCCGTTGAGGGTCTGCACATTCGGAATCGGAGCATCACGGCCCGAGAGCGTGATTGCAAACGTCACGTCTTTCTGACCGGTATGCTTCCACAAGACCACAGCCCACGCGGCATAGACAAACGCCCCAAAAGACACGCTAGTACCGGAACTTAGATCTTTGAAGTCTCGTGTCAAGACTCGTCTGGCAACACCGAAGTCTGCTGCATCCTTGCCGAGAATGGTGGGCTCGGCATTCTCAAGATGGTGTGCCCAGAAGCTTTGTGACTTCTCAAAGCTCAGATTTTGTGAATGGTAGACGAAAGCTGAGAAGGATGGCCGATCAGGAGCCGCTCCGCCGCGGTACACCACGTTGACATCATCAAACAAAAAGCTTGATGACCAGAAATCGAAGAGCGCGTGATGCATACTAACCACGAGTAAGTCATCCGCTATCAGTGCTACTTTTATCATGTCATCGTTGAGATCGCGCGTCCCAGCCCGAATCTGTTGAAGGTAGGTCTCCAGGTTGATCGCGGTCATATGATTCCATGGCAGTTCGAATGATCTGTGTACTACCTGGTCGTATGAATTTTCCGATTGCACGAACTTAGTGCGATAGATCTGGTTGCGAGCGATTACGCTTTGGAACGCTCCGCGAAGTCGATCAATGTCGGCATCATCAACCTTGAACACGCGGTCGTAGACATAGGTGCCTGACAGAATATGTGCAGAGAGGACACTCTCCTGGAGCGGCGTGACCGGATACGCGTCTTCGAAAGCTTTGTACTTTCCAGCTTTGGAAGCGTCAAGCAGAGAGAATGGAACAACACTCAAGGGTGCACTACCGTTGGCTGAGGGCTGCATTTTGTCCGCAGCTTCGTACAGATTGTCAGACAACAATAGATCCCTGACATTCATGCTGTAACCATGAGCCAGAAGTGCAGAGACAATGCGTATTGCCCTCAAGGAGTCACCTGCGAGTTCGAAGAACGAGGTTTTCATGCTCCATGCGGACTTCGGCAATTCCAGCTCTGCCGAGATTACGGTTCGCAAAAGGATTTGCGGCTCCGTGAGATTTTCATCAAGCTCTGGCATGTCATCAGAAAGCAGTTCTGACACCAGGTCCGCATGCGTCTTGCCCTGGAGCTTAGCTTTGAGGGAAGGGTAATCAACTTTTCCGTTTGCGTTGAGCGGCATGGTCTCCATCTCAATCCAGTACGTCGGGATCATGTATATCGGGAGTTTCTGTAAGCTGAAGTCGCGTAGAGAGGACACCAGAGTTTTCCATTCGATCTTGTTATCATGCTGAATGAATGCCACCAAAGTCTTCCGTTGCTCAATGACGATGGATGTAACGATTGCAGCAACGACTCGGTCATGTTTGCGTGTCACGAGTTCGATCTCGCGTGGCTCCACACGTTGTCCATTTACTTTGAGTTGATCGTCACACCGGCCCAAGATAGAGACCGAGCCATCGAGATGTCTGACCGCCAGATCGCCTGTACGGTAGAGTCGTTGATTTGAGAGATGAGGATGATCGATGAACTTTTCGCTTGTTTGGCTTGGCTTGTTAAGATATTGCGTCGCCAATTGAGGGCCATATAAGCAGAGTTCTCCCGGTACACACAATGGCGAAGCCGATGTCGTACCAGCTGTAAGGATTATTGATCCGGTGGTATCTCTTGGCTTACCGATATTGGATGGATCGTCTGTCGCCGAGTCAATTCTACAACCCCAGTTCAGTTGTGTGCACTCTGTCAGGCCGTAGTTGTTGAACAGCTCCACTTTGTTAGACCATAGCAGGGCGACTTCGCGGGAGATAGGCTCGCCTGTCATGGTGACCCGCTTTAAGCTCGTGAGGGACGCAGGATCTAGTAGGACGATTGCGGAAGATGTGATCCCCAAGTCTGTGATCTGCATGGTGTTGATGGTCTCGCTCAAGCGAACGGTCAGACTCGATTGGCTTGCAAGGCACAAGCAACCGCCGTGTGCAAGTGTAGACCATATTGTTCTCTGTGCAGCAGAGAATATCGGGTTGTAGAAGAGGAGCCTCCTTGTCGAAGTATCGGTAGTGGAGCACTGAATACCGGCACAAGCTGCTCGATGTGATAACACAGCCCCTTTAGGCTCTCCGCTAGACCCGGAGGTGTAAACGATGTAGGCTGGAGCCACATCCGAAAGTGGAGTTACGGTGGGGTTTTCAGTCTCAGGACGCGTGATCAGATCCAGGAGCTCTCCGAGGATAAGAAACTTCCGTTCATCTTCAGACCACGCATGCGAATCTTTATAGTAAGATTCAGAAACGATACAGACTTCTGCATGGCTATCCTTGAGGAAATAAGCTTTGCGCTGTGTCGGAAGCAAGGGATCGATGATCAGATAAGCTCCGCCAGCCTTGATGATGGCAAGTAGACACATGATCGTTTGACATGACATGTCAGCATGTATAGCTACAATGCTGCCAGGTCGTACCCATTGCCGCAGAATTGTAGCCAGTCTGTGGGAGATGTCATCCACTTCAGCATAGGTAAAGGTTGAGCCGTCTTCAAACTGTAAAGCAATTTTGTCTGGTTGCGCATGGGCTTGCTGTGTGATCAAGTCGTGCAATGTGGTCGCTGGGCCAGCAGTATATTGTGGCAGCCCCATATCAAGGATTCTTCCCAGCTCTGATCGCGACACCAAATTAAAGTCTTGCAGCAATTTTTCGGGTGAGATGTTCAGCTCTCTCAGGGCTTGCCACATATGCTCCACCATTATACTGCATTCAGACTGTGTTGTAGACGTGTCAGCCTCGACATGCACCGTTGCGGTGGGTACACATATTGTGATATCAATGCCGGTGGAGACGGGAGTTGGCTGAGAGTGATCTGCAAAATGGACTAAGCGTATGCTTGGAATAGCTCTCAAGTACTCGGGGACGTTTTCGATGATCCCGCTCCTTCCGATGTAGCTGTATGAGCCAGCTTCATCGATCTGCTCGCAGACGTGTTGCAATAATTTCAAGCCTGAAAGTTCGCCGTCAAGCGTGAGCCGAATCGGGAAGTCTACGTCCAGCGGCCCGATAATACCATCGTTCGGCAAAGTTTTACGGTCTCGGTCCGTCACGTTGAACATCACTTGGTCTGAAGCTGTGTGACGAGAGAGAACGAGTGCCCAGGCTGCTGAGATGATCACATTCTCAGAGAATCCAGTGCTCTGCCTGATACTAGCCAGCAAATCTTCAATGCCAAAGCCAATGTCGAGGATCGATCTGCTTCGTGAGGTTCCCGGAATAGCCACGGCGCTCGGCGCGTGTCTGTCAAATTGAGACCGCCAGTAGGAGATGGCCTCCGAAGTCCCTTTCCGCTTCACTGCTTGTGCATAGTCCCCGAATTGAGGTCGATGCAAGATGGCGAACCCATTCCAGAATGATGTAAAGTCTGTCAGGAGGAGATGAAGCGATGACTGGTCGATGAGTAAGGGATGAATTTTAAGACTCAGGCTTTTCATCTCCTTGTTGATGTTGAGTACAAGAAACGCTGTCTCTGGATGATTCTCATTGTCTCCATACAGGCGAATGTAAGACGCCCTCCGGGAAATGAGCTGTTGCGTTCCGGCTGGACCTTCGACTAGTTTTGTCCTCAGGATCGAGTGTTGTGATGCAAGTGCTTGCCACACCATTGCCAATTTCTCTATACTAACATCTGGTATAGCTGTAACGTCAAACGTCAAAGATGCCCAGGAAATTGTCGCCCCTCTCCGGTCCTGTTTGATCTCTTCTTGGACTGGAGTCAGAGAAAACGGTTCAGATTCATGACTTGCGGCCTCATGAACCTGCTTCTCTCCACGAGCGCCACTAATCTTGCCCAACGAGAGCAAGCCATGACGGGAATGGACGATCTCGAGGTCAGAATCCTCGAAGACCTCCTTGATAGTCACAGTGCCGATCATCTGATGTAGTGGGAACCAGAAATTTGAGACGTAGCTTGAAAATCTTTCGATCACAAATGTCTAAAGTGGTTGATCGAGCATGTTGATATCGTTTTACAGAGGCCCGCACATTATATATTCTCTTCACATATCATACTAAGTGACCTAGTGCAACACGCTTGTCATCTATTGAGCAACTTTAAGGCCATGATCGTGTTTCTCTTCTCTGACCAGCAAGAACAATCTTGCAAACACTCTACCCACCCTTACTATTTCGCAATGTACTGAGGGACTGATTACTATCACAATGCTCAGCGTTTGGAAAGTGTAATGGAACAGTTGAGTGACTGTAACTGGCAAGGTGCAAGACTCCCGTGGTTTGGGATTCATGCTGCTGCAATTACTGCCTCAGCACTAGAGATGGATAAGCATTTGAGTGGGACTGGGCTCAAGTTTGGATAATCATTACAGACAATCGCTATGAAACTTGTTTGTAATGTCTTACGGACTAAACGACCCATCCACCCAAAGAGTCATATCGGACAAAGCTTGCTGGACCACTAGAACAACCTCTAGCTTCGGGCGAATCAATGAGATAGTGAGCGAAGACTTGATGCATCAAGTCAGCTGACGGCATCAGCTCTGACCTCGCCATGATAGTGTCGATCGTAAGCAATTCTACTCAACATGATTACTGTGCAGAAACCTGCACGGATATTTCCCTGCATGAAACCTCGTCAGACGCTCCTACGCTAACGCGACACAGTGGCTGATTTATAAGTGAGGGTAACTAAAACGATGCAAATGTCAATGCTACCTGCCTATGCAGGCAATTTTGCCGAGTTGCATATTCCTGGAAGATCCCTACCGGGCACATCATACCATCTCTGGATGATCCTTCGGCTCCTCCGTAGGGCTGATGGTTTGAACTAATCAGTCCAGAAAACAAAGCACATGCAGACTGTGTAAACATGCAGGGCGATTTCACATGCGAATTAATGATGACTCGATTCTCAGCATTATCACACCATGGTACTGAAGTGGGATAATCTTGCAAATGCAAGCGAACGTTTCATCGTTTATTCTGCAGACTATGAAATACTTTGCTATCACACCATCTCCTCGGGCGCTCACGCCAAGATCCTTCAAGAGCGAGGGAGCCACGGAGACTCAATCACTCTCCGCGATCCTTCTGACCCGTAAGCTTGGTCAACGAATCCATGAGTCCAGGAATCTCAGGGTCATCGTCGATGCGTGAGACGTTGGTGACACGGCCGAAGATGGAGTACAATCCCACGATGACAATAACTTCGATGATCTCACGGGTCGTGAAATGGGTTTTGAGGCTGGCAAGTAGAGGGTCGCTGACAGTGTCGGTGCGGACGAGAGCTTCCACATACTCCATCAAGACGCGATCGCGGACTGAGTAGAATTCATCGTTGACAATCCCGAATGCGATCAACAGGCGTTTGGCGTTGGGCATTCCGTTTACCAGGGCAACGGGTGTGTTGATCTCGAAAACGTAGTGAGCGCCAATAAGCGCGGCCGTACGCAGGACAACAAGCTGCCATTCCAGGGTGGGAAGCTCTCGCGTCGATCGAAAGACGGTACCCAGGAGCTGCGAGATGGGAGGGAAAAACCCCTCGGCATGAGCAAGCTGCTTCAAGACATTCCGATCAAATGGTAAGACTTTGAAAGCCTCGGCAAGCTCGGGTGTGGTGTTGCGCGGGTCAACGTAGGGAAAGACTGCACGCTGCCCTGGAATGGCTTTGGCTGTGGCTGAGCTCTCAACGGAGCTTCCGTTTTCGGCGGCCATGTTGACCAGACGATTGGAGGACGTAGCAAAGAATGTTGGAATTCGATGATGAGCAGATGGGATCTTGAAATACTCTGCAATATGGATTGACCAAGTTCGCTCAACACAGAGCTGCTTTGAAATATTTATACACGTTCATTTGAGGTAGCAATGTCCGAGAACAACTTCGGTCGAATTATGCCGATAATAACGTGATGCAGAAAGTCGATGAACTCGCCATAGTGCTTACCCAAAGCTTACGTGATGTGAACGTGAATGGTGGTACGTGCATGATCGGTTCAAACGCAAAGTTATGGCGCTGATCTCAGCGCTGCTTTCGCATTTCACTTTTCGCCCAGCGCATGCGTACACAGGGAACATTTGGGCGTGTTGGCTACGAGGATCTTACATTTGACGTCTTCTGTGCCGCAATGGCCCGGGGCAGGGCACCCAGTGTTGGTGAACAATATCGCTACCTGACTGTGTGTCCCTGCTTCTCATCTGAGCTGCAGGGCATAATCACTCGTCTTGATGAGCCGTTAGAAACCAACTAGGTACGAGGATGATATGCTCGGCGTTTTTGGTTCGTCGGTCAACTGGAAGGCGCCCAAAGCATTCCATCATTTCAAGATGACCAATCCCTGCACTTGCAAATGCACATGAGCTCATGCATTGCTCACGTACTCACCTGAGTGCATATTGAGGTGAGCGCCGATCCTTTGGGCACTTGACTCGGCAAGAATAGTAGATGAAATTCCTCTGTGACCACACTGTTGTACAATTATTAATTCTAAATCGGTGGGGACTGGGTTCGGGATTATTAGGTCAGGTACACTCGCGGCACGAGTTGAATAGGAATGGTGCTTACGCTTAACGTAACCCCTTTGGGAAAGGTGCTTACGCCGATCATTTCTACTAACAGTAAGATGCTTACTTCGCGAGCAGAAACCGACGTATCGACTCATTTCAAGGTTGCTGTCTATCCGCTGAACTATCGATCGGCAATATAGCGTCCTGCAGGGGTCGGCATGCCCTCCGACAGGATTACCAATCGATGTGCTGATAATTGATAGTAATGGATGAATCCGGCTATTTGCCGTGATTATGACAGATTGCTATTCTTCTTACGGCACAGCAAGACACCATAGATGAGGAAATGCTCCATTTTCTGCCGTCGAAATAATGGCTAAAAGCTCATAATTACCAGCCAATATGTAATCATTTGCTTCTGCTTTGTCACACATGCACGCCTGGCATGCATGTGTGGTCGTTCTGGCAGTGGATCGCGCAATTGGTACCATCAACCGGCGACAATGAAACCTGACATGACCCAGAGACGACAATGATGGCCCGCAGCGGCATTTATCAGCTCTACAGGAGTGCACGGCATCTTGAGATCCTCAATACTGATCTCCTCGAAAAGCCACATTCCTGCTGTCGTAGAGAATCGAATCTGGTTGTCAATCATTGATTTTTCTTGAAAAGCATCTTGTCTCCCCTATATCGACGTTGTCATCTCCCTTGAATCACTCCATTTCCTCACTTAAAGAGGGTTCCCAAACAAGCCGAGCCTGCCATGCAATCGGCGAACTCTTCGGAGAAGGCGGCTGTGCCTCCGACCGAGTCGAGATCTGTCAACCTCGATGATGAGAAAGCAGTCGAGAGCTCGGCGGTGAGCACACAACTTGATGGCTCCGGTGCTGAACCAGTGGAGGAGCGTAAAATCAAAGGACTCAAGGTAGGGAGTTTCGCAACCATTCTTGAGCGACAAGGTCTGACGCCAGACAGTGGGTGCTTGTGGTCACTGCCATCCTCTCCAGTCATATGCTTTTCGCCCTCGACAACACCATCACCGCCAACCTGCAGCCGGCGATCATCGAAACCTTCAAGCAGGCCGACGAGATTTCATGGCTGTCCACCGGATTCGCCCTCACCTCATCAGCCCTCGTGCTTCCCTGGTCAAAGATGTACGGATCGTTCAACGCAAAGTGGCTGTACATCGGTTGTGTCGTGGCCTTCATGGTAGGCTCCGCCCTCTGCGGCGCCGCCAACAACATGACTGCAGAGATCATCGGACGTGCGATCGCCGGTGGTGGAGGGAGCGGAATGTACTTCGGCGTCCTCACCATGCTCTCGGTGACGACCACAGTCCAGGAACGTCCGTCCTACATCGGCTTGACCGCCATTTCCTGGGGTATCGGCACCGTTACTGGACCCGCCATAGGTGGCGGTTTCGCCGAGAGCTCAGCCACTTGGCGATGGGGCTTCTACATCAACTTGGTGGTCGGAGCTATCTTTGCACCGGTCTATGTATTCATGCTGCCCCAGCACGACCCACTGCCAAACATCCCGTGGATCGCCCGCATGAAACGCATTGACTGGACCGGCATTGTCATCTTCACAGCCGCTCTTGCATGCCTGCTGATGGCCATCGATTTCGGTGGTGTTCAGTGGCCGTGGAACAGCGGTTCATCTATTGCACTCTTCATCGTTGCCGGCGTCCTATTCATCGCGTTCGGAATCCAGCAATCGTTCTGCATCTTGTGCGACGAGACGACCCGCTTGTTTCCAGTCCACTTCCTCAAGCGTCGGTCTCTCATCATCTTGTTCATTTTGAACAGTAAGTTGACAATTATGGATGGCCTTCGCTTCCAAGACTGACACGCCATAGCCTGTGCCAGCAGTGGCCTTTTCATCTCGGTCTACTACATTCCCCTGTTCTTTCAGTTCACCAGGGTAAGCTTTCCCTGGTCAGAAACTTCCTCCTGAAGCAGTGCTGACGATTGTGCAGGGAGACAGCGCCGTCACGGCCTCAGTGCGGCTGCTACCCTTCGTCATGGTCTTGATTTTCGTCATCATTCTAAATGGCCATCTCATGTCCCGTCTTGGTTATTACATGCCGTGGTATCTCCTCGGAGGTATCTGCGAGCTGGTAGCCGCGGCGTTGATGTACACCGTCAAACGGGAGACCAGCGTTGCCAACGTCTATGGCTACACTGCGTTAATGGCCATCGGTGTGGCCGCGTTCAACCAAGCAGGTTACAGTGTCGTCCAAGCTAAAGTGAAGCCCGAAGAGATCCCGTACGCTCTAGGCTTCATGATGGTCTCGCAGCTTGGCGGAATTGTCATTGCGCTCGGCATTGCAGGAGCCATCTTCGTCAACAAATCCGTCAAGGGTCTCGAGCTCCTGTTGCCCAATGTCGCCGATGCCGATGTTCGCGATGGAATTGCCGGCACGAGCAGCACCTTCTTTCAAAATTTATCGCCAAGCGACAAGATTGCAGCTTTGGACGTCATTGTTGCGTCCATTGCTGACGTCTACGTTCTGCTGATCGTCGCCGGAGCCATCACCGTGGTTGGATCGATCTTCCTCAAGCGCGAGAAGCTTTTCATTCAGGCGGCCATGGGCGGTGCTTGAAGTATACGCTCGGTGCGTCTACGAAGGCACACTGTAAGGTGCTGCGCGGTAGCTTGTTCCACATACGGCCTTCTGTGCGGCTCGTTGTCAACGCCATCTCCAATCTGGAGATCCGAAAGACTTTGTCTTCATCCGTGATTTTTTGTATTTTGCGATTGCGTAATTTCATGTTCATATTCGCGTTGGTTCGAGAAATGAGACTGAACACATTTTCCGGGGGGCTCAAGAGGAAAGAGGGAGTCATTGTCACGTGAAGGCGAACTCCTGCCAGGCGTTCGTCGCGATCGGAAATATTCGGTCTCCGAATCTTGCAAAACCAATTTCTGAAGTCTTGCTGGAGCTTCTCTGTTGCATCATATTGCTCTGTGCTCGCCATCAGAATTCATGATACCAAGATCCTCGATGGCATGAAGGCTGACCATTATCAAATTCCCTTCCCTGAGAAGAATGCTCTCATGACTCCGCTTTTGATCTTGTTCCCGCAAGACTGCTGGCCGTCTGACTCACAGCAGTGTGGCAGCGCACAATGCAATGTCAAGCACCGCTTGGACAAAAAACGGATTTTGTCGACGGAAAGCGCTGCAATGTCGGGAAATGCTTCCAAAGCGAATTGGATGTGTAGTCAGTGGTAAGTGTGTGAAGAAATGACGGCTTTTTATTTCAACGGAACGACACAATGTAGCAATATCCATGCGGGCAATGTGCGAAATGAAGCGACGCCCGCCTTCACCTGCGACAACAGCCTCGTGACAGATTAATCAAGAGTCATTGCAATTAATCTATGGTTTTTGCAACGATTCCAGCCGTGAGATGACGGCGGAAAGCGTGTGGATAAGGGATAGATCAGCCGGAAAGATCTGCAAAGCCATACCCAAGCGATAGGTTGCCACAAATCGAGTCAGGTGATGTTGCGCCTGTTTGCCGAGAAGTGCTTTTTGGTGGACGAGGATTTCGGAATTGCTGATCTGCTGGTCTTGAGCACGTCCCTGTATGAGTGGAGCATGTCAGATGCGCTGCACAATCATGTTGGCTGGTACAAGTCACATCGTCACTGTTTGTGCAGAGCTAACCTTGTTTCGAATTGCGTCTACGAGCAAGTCGCTGGTCATTTGAGGATGTTCGAGGTGAACCTGAGAGCCTTGCCCAAGACGTGATGCCTGGGCATGACTCGGCGATGTCCACTCGCCGAGCACATCGTCGAAGGACTGGTCCTGTTTGTACCATCGTCATTATTGATGCATCAACTTGTGCTGGGGAGCGTCCTGCTGATAGCCAGGCTTACCGAGCTTGATCCTGTTCCGACCAGGTCCGGAAGAACATCGTCCAGCCTTAAGATACCCCACAAATCGGCTTCCCCATTGAGGGGGAAGCTTTGTCCCAATATCGCCGAGCTCATCGCTCCGAGTGCATTGATATTGCTTGGGCCGGACAGCGGAGCCGCGACGGACGCCGGAGCAGGTGCCGTGGTCATAGCCAACGGATCGAGAATGCTCTGGCCTTGCTCACTCCACTCTCGGCCAACTTCCGCGAGTGGTGGTTGTACAGGAGTAGTGCTCGAATTTTGAAGGTGCTGGATAGCAATATCTTGAGACTGAGCGCCCGATAGTGTGTTTTTCGAGCGATTGCGCTCTCCTGGGCCATCGTCATTCATTGAAGGAACTATGAATAAACCCTGTAGCACTTACGATACTTCTTCTGAGCAACTCGGTTCTGCACTCTGCGACGCTCTTCGTAATCAGACATCGGAAAATCAAGACACAAATTGTTGGCTGGAGATATTCTGCGTAGAAAACACGAGGCCTCGATCGGATGCAAGGGAGCTGCAGGAATATCGGCACTTGGCGATCACAAACATATATCGATAAGGTCGTCGGGCCTCTTCACACTCCCACCAGGCATGAATGAACAATGACTGCGGAAACCCTGCGTTATAAAATGTTGGTTACAGCACAATTTCCCGTGCAGGAGCACAGAACATTCCTTCAGGCATGCAGGCAAACACCAGCGTCAGACTGGCTGAAAACATTGGACATATGCGGGAAGCTGTGATGAAGAGTTCAGGGCGACGGTGGGTCTTTGTTGGTGCGCAACCAACAACGCTTCGCCGTTGCAGCACTCGCTTTCCGTTGCTGACTGTGGGCCTAATACACCATACTTGCGCAGTCAACTAATGCAGTCAGCGCACAGCTGTAGAGGTGGTGGTTGAGAGGGTTTCCTCTCGTCGAGCTGCACGGCGGAGCGTAGATCCCCGCCTCAATTGCAGGGACATGGCACGATTAGTGCAGGAAGCACGCCAAACCATCAACGCGTGCCAGGATCTCGCGCAGGAAGATTATTCGATTCGTTTGCATTGCAGGTGAAGACGTGCCCTATTTGTATTTGGCAAAATTTGCGGTGACCCGTGTGATTCCACCATACTGTAGCCATTTAGGTAGGCGAGATATCTGGTTGTTAATACTCTGTGTTTGCTTCCGCGTATTCAGTCCGACGCCCGAAGCTTATTATGATGACTTTCGGGAGTCTCGGATTCTGCTCGCGTCTCGAGGGGAATGCAGTCCTCGGTTGTCGATATACCTTGCTTGCTTGGTTGACCGGTCGTGACAATCGCTTAGGTCTTGGCAGATTGATGCGGACGATCGATATGGAGTAACTCCTATATAAATCACTGCCTCTACATTTGCCGAATGGAGTGCTTTTAAATCGACACCACGAGGGCTGTTTGTGGCATAATTGGTGAGCTCAAACATTCAAGCGATTAGATCCAGGCGTCACGATACACAGTGTGGTCGTCAATGCGGGCGTTCGGAGTCAACATGACCTCATGATATGTTTTGACCAATGTTCATCGTCAGCACTGGAGGTGATTGGTGTGAGACTTCTGAATCGTCCAGATTCTCGACAATCTTGGAATATTGTGGTCATCATCACATCGATAGGACCACCGTGGAGTGTCCAGGTGGTCTTCAGTTCGCACCGTTGCGGTCGGGGCCGAACCTCGGTTAGTGGCAGAGACCACAGCTCCGCAAACGCGGACGCGAGTCGAAACTTGTATCACCAGCGAACAGGCGCCGTAATATAATGATTGCATGCACCGCATTGGTCACGTTATTCCAGCCGTGACCAAAATTCACACCATACATGTACATGTGCGATACCAGACGAATAAAGCGATCATCATACGAACACTATGGCATACGGTGCGCCTCCGCCCGGCTCTCTAAAACGCAAGAGAAGAAGGAGACAGGATCGCCCTGCCCTCTCGGCCAAAATTTACCTGGACAGCAATCTGAAGGGAGAAGTCGGCGTACTTTCGAGTGACCTCTCCGAGGGTCTCTTTAGTGGACATCCTGTGCATGTGGACGAAAATGGCAATCCGCCGGATCTCTGGGCAGCTATTACTCCTTGGACTCCCAGCTCCGTGATACCTGACGTCAATTGGGTGATTCTGCCGGTACGAGTTCTTCTTCCAAACGAGAAACCACTTCCGCCCAATACCATCAGGTTTCCAGCAACTGCATCAAGCACTCAAACTTTTGTGCGTGTGGCTCAAGCAGTTTCGCCCACCAAGACCTTGCGACAGAACACTACAGTAGAGATCCGGGTCGCCGAAGTGGTCCCGCTCGTGTTGGACACGGTCTTCGTCTCTGTGGATACGGACGCCATCAGGAGGCTTGAGGATGTTAATAAAAAGTACAATGGCGGATTTGGTGGGCTCCCGCCTCACATGAGTAGGAGATCGGGGAAGCGGTCGCCAACGGATGCACACTTTGAAAGCCTGTGGGAGGCGGACGAAAAGATGAAGGTTCTTTTGAATAATGCTCTGCGCAAGCTGCCCATCATACATACCGATGATACCATCCAACTACCGCTCACCCACGCGGTCACCCACGCTCCGGTACCTCCGGTCCGGGTTCTTTCCTGTGAGCCTGTATCGCAAGGATACATCGCTGCTTCGACGAACATTGTCGTTGTGCCGGCGTCTGATCGACGACTAAGTGTACATGGTAACAAAGGCCTACTTTCGCCTCGTCTCGATGAGGATTCAGGTGAAGAGGACACTGCAAATGAGGCGTTTTTCTCGGCTTCGGAAGACAACTACCCCATTAAACCCATTGTTACTTCCAAGTCATCCACTGATATGTCCAACACCGATGACATGATCGACTCGAGTGCAGAAGAAAGCAACCTTTCAGACGACTCGGATGACATGATCTCATTAGCGAAGCCAGGACTGACCGAGGGGCCATCAGGGATAAGCTCTGCATTGACCTCGGCGACGCCACGACCATTCAGCAGTCGTGTTCGCGGAAGCGTGATCAATATAGGAATACAGACTCCGGGCTCCGTCTTTTCTAACATGACAGCCACGACGGCCAAAGGTGGTCAAGCGATTCGCAGCAAAACCTTCAGAGCCCAGGGGCTGTACGAGCGCATCTCGGTCGATTTGCTACATCCAAAACCAGCGGACGACGAAGATGACGAAGCCCGGGTGTACGTAGACGCCACCATGCTTGCACGTCTCGGTTGCTTCTCCGGAGACTGGGTGCGAATAGAGCCTGCTGAGAGCCCGATGCTTCCACTGATGAGTGCATTCGGCCATCTTGACGATTCAATCCCTCAACATTGGCGACCAGTCAGAGTCTACACCCTTCCAGAGGGCTTGACTAAACGTCAGCCACGATTCCCTGTCAACAATCGACTAAGCCGCAGAGATTCCAACACATCGCTTGCCCTGACATCAAGTGCAATTCCCACGGCAACAATCTACCTCTCTCCGGTCTTGCTTGCCAACCTCAAAGATCCTGCCAATATCAGCATGTCCACCATGCCCATCATGAAGAAACCAAGTCTGAAGCGTCCAGTGACGCCGCGGGTGGATCCCTCTTCCGGGCGCGTGCCACCCACAGCATCCGAGGTCACTTTGAGGAAGATCGTGACACCCATCTCGACGGAACGAACCCTCAGCAACACGCTTTATGCCAACCTGAAGCAATACTTTGAAGAGAGGCAGCGCATTGTCAAACCTGGTGACATCATTGCGATTACAATCGACGGATCTCTGGGAAGGTCCGTGTATGAGGGCGAGGTTGAGCAGGATGGCAGTAATGCAAGCGTGCTCCTGTCACAGATGGGGTCTCAGCAAGACTCGACGGATCAACGAGCAACAATGAATGTTGCATGGTTCTCGATCGAAGACATCAGTATTGCCCCCAGTGAGGATCTTGACGGACCTGACACTGAAACTTGGGGCGACGCTGCCTTGATCGATCCGACCAAAATGACGATGCGTCAATCGGGCGACGCCAGACGAAGACTTCCATCTGCTACCAACAATCCTTGGCAGTATTATTTGGGTATGCGAAAAATCCAATCTAAGCCGGCATCCTCCTTTGGCGGACCAGCCGGCCTTCCCGAAGCCTCGGCGCCCTTCATCTCACCGCTGCAGCGACGCTTACGAGAGCTCATCTCTGTGTCGATTAGCTCGCGAGCAGTGCACTTGGGCATGCCTCCTCTGACCGTCCTCATTACCTCCACACAGCGAAGCATAGGCAAGGCTCGGGTCGTAGAAAAGGCGTGTGCCGATCTTGGCGTCCACTTCTTTCCTATTGATGGCCACGACATTGTTTCTGAAGGAGGTGCAGGAGTGGATGTACAAGCTCAAGGATTGCTGGAGGCACGATGCGAGCGTGCTCTAGACTGCGGCGCTCAATTCACCGCGATCTGCATCAAGCACATTGAGGTTTTGAATGCCGATCGAGCGGCCGCGTCGTTGAAGACTGTCCTTGAGACTTGCCGAGTCCTCGTGGCCACCACTACCGACCTCGATAAAGTACCAGACAGTGTCCGCGGACTTTTCACGCACGAACTTGAGATGTCTGCGCCGGATGAGGGCGAGCGAGAGGGTATCTTACGGGATGCTGTGACTGAATCGGGAGTCGCAACTGCAGCGGACGTCGATCTCTCTGCTATCGCCGTAAAGACCGCCGCGCTCGTTGCCGGTGATTTAGTGGATGTTGTTGATCGCGCCATTGTCGCCAAAGCTGAGCGGTTGGAGACTCTTGCGCAGAAAAAGTCCGAAGCCAGTAACCAGACGATCACGATCAAAGACATTCAGCTCGCGGGCGGTGTGGCGACGAATAGCGTTACTCCTGGCGATTTCGACGCTGCCGTGGACATGGCCCGCAAGAACTTTGCCGACGCCATTGGTGCACCGAAGATTCCTAACGTGCAGTGGTCAGATGTTGGTGGTTTGACCAACGTCAAGGATGCCGTCATCGAAACAATTCAATTACCATTGTCACGACCTGAGCTTTTCGCCAAAGGACTCAAGAAGCGCAGCGGCATTCTGTTCTACGGTCCGCCAGGAACCGGTAAAACGCTGCTCGCCAAAGCCATTGCCACGGAATTCAGTCTCAACTTTTTCTCCGTCAAAGGTCCTGAACTTCTAAACATGTACATTGGCGAGTCCGAAGCAAACGTTCGAAGAGTGTTCCAGCGGGCGCGAGACGCTCGACCCTGCGCAGTCTTCTTTGACGAGTTGGACTCCGTTGCACCGAAACGTGGGAACCAAGGAGACAGTGGCGGTGTCATGGACCGGATTGTGTCACAGTTGCTCGCTGAGCTGGATGGCATGAGCGATGGTGACGAGAACGGCGGGGGTGTCTTTGTCATTGGCGCGACCAATCGACCCGATCTGCTTGACCAGGCATTGTTGCGTCCCGGACGTTTCGACAAGATGCTCTACCTGGGCATCAGCGACACCCACGAGAAGCAGGCGACTATCCTGCAAGCGCTGACTCGCAAGTAAGTTCCGATCACGACTGATTCGAGCGAAAGCTATCATTACTAACGCGCATCTTCTAGATTTACTCTCGATCCATCAGTGTCATTGCCTAGAGTCTCTGAATCACTGCCGTTCACCTTTACCGGCGCTGATCTCTACGCTCTCTGCTCCGACGCCATGCTCAAGGCTGTAACACGATCAGCACGCGCCGTGGACGACCGTGTTGCCATCATCAATGCCGATCGCGCCAAGCGCGGCCAGAACAACATTTCCATCGCCTACTACTTCGATCACTATGACTCCGAGGCCGACGCCCAGGTGATGGTGACCGAAGAAGACTTCGCACTCGCACGCCGCGACCTCGTGCCCAGCGTCAGCGTCGACGAGCTGCGCCATTACGAACATGTCCGCAGCACTTTCGAAGGTGCGACGAAGAAGCCCGCGAGTAACGGTGAGGTCGAACGGCCCTCGTCGACCCCGCGCAACAATGGCGCGGCTCCAACATCACCGCGATCGAAATCGCTACGAATCGGCAGCTTACGAGGAAGCAACCGTGGAAATGGCGAGCGGACTCCCTCAGTCACATCTCGATCTGCAATCAGCGCCGCAGACGATTTGGACGGCGATGCCGATACCGACGATGACTTCGTGATCCGGACGGATCGGCTTGCGCTGAACACGGACGCCGGGAGAGGGTCGCCCGGAAAGGGCAAAGGCAAGGGGAAATCTCGGGATCTCGATGGCGAGGCGTTGATGAGCCCGCAAATACGCGTGGCAGGGGATGATGACGGCGACGACGGAGAAGATTTATATGATTAGTTGCATGGCATTTACGATGATGATCAATATTGTCGTTTGAATATACAAATTTCATCATAGACGCCCACGGAACTTCTGCATCGATCGCGGAGAAGAGCTTTTAACCTCGGGTTGTGGTGGTACTTATCCGTAGATAGCTTGACACGTCCAGCCAAATTGCGGTGTGCGCGCCAATGTAGCGCTGGAACAATCTCCTCCTGTTTTCCCTCGCCCATGAGCCTGCGCATTGCCACGAACGCACCACAATCGATGACAGTCTACAGTAGCTTTCATGTCGATCGCAAAAGCTATGCAGCACCTCGCATCGGACACGCACGACAAAATGCCATTGGCACCACGTATTCACAATCTATCGATCGTGATCCGCACTTTCACAATAATACGCGGAGGCGGCTGCGGAGCCCCCAGCCCGATCGATAAAAACTGTTCCTGCAGATGCATTTACACGCTCGAGCACACCGCCGCGATTCACACCAAAAGGGGAATCGCGCGCGACTGACACGCACAACCATCGCGCACATTCTCATTGATATAATGACAAAACGAATTCGGTGCATCTTCTCCTTGTATGCATGCAATGAGACATGCATACACCGTATAATAGCAATCCCCGGGGATCTGTGTGGATACCGTCGAGCCCCGACCCCGGTTTCTGTGAGTGTGAGCAACGTGTAGCCCTCTCCGACGTTGTGGCCAGCTCGATCAATTTCCGCAAACGGTAAATACACGTGTTTGTGCTGATGCACGATGCATGATGATGGTTGGGGAAAAACCTGCTGCTGTTGTTCAGACGGCATGCGTCTGTGCGGGCGGGCCTTGTGGATGGCGCGATGGCCCACGCCTTTCGATTATGCATTTGGACAATCCCCGGCGGGAGTGTGCTACGTGGGACGAAATATCCACTCTTTCTTCGCTGCTGCTGTTTGGGATTGAAAGGGAATGAGCATTGTTCCATATATGAATTTCAAGGGCACCTCCTCGATTTCGAATGTTTGCGTTGGTTGGTCGTGGTCCTTGCTTAATAGAGCCTCAGCCGGAATTTCAACACGAAAGCAGTTGCGAATGCTAGAGAGTTCGGTCGCCACTTGAAAATCGGACCGCTGGCGTATTGTTAAATTGAGCACGAATTTCTAGATATCACGCAGAGAGCTACAGAACCATATCTCGAGGGGAACCAAGCTAGTCATCACTGGTCTTATCTCCCGAACATTGGACTTTTCATCAAGCAAGCTGAGGCGGCCGCGGAACCAATGCTGCTCGAGATACTAATCAATCCCTGGGCTTTCCTGGTCTTGCCCGTGCTCTTCTACCTCATACCTTACCTCCGCAATGCATCCCTGAGAGATATTCCGGGACCGATTCTCGCCAGGCTCACGAACCTTTGGTACATGTACGAATGTCGACGCTGCAGACGCTATCTGACCGTGCATGAATTGCACGAGGTCCACGGAAAATTCGTCCGCATCACGCCTGACCAGGTCTCCATTGCCGACCCGGAGGCCATTCCGATCGTCTACGGCCACGGCACCGGCACGCTGAAGTCCGAGTATTATGATGCATTCGTGTCGATCGAGCGAGGACTTTTCAACACGCGAGATCGCGCGCAACATACTCGCAAGCGCAAGACCGTCTCGCATACGTTTTCGGCCAAATCCATCGGGCAATTCGAGCAATATATCCAGGAGAATCTGAGACAGCTCGTGAAGCAATGGGACTCGCTCAGCTCCAAGGCTGATGGTTCCTACGCCAAGTTTGACGCTCTGCACTGGTTCAACTATGTCGCTTTTGACATCATTGGCGACCTCGCATTTGGTGCGCCCTTTGGCATGCTGGAGAGGGGTGCGGATCTTGCAGAGGTCCAACTGACCCCCGGAGGACTGTCGACATTTGCCCCGGCCATCGAGGTGCTGAACCGTCGAGGAGAGGTTTCCAACACGGTAGGATGCATGCCGTCGATCAAACCATACGCAAAGTATCTGCCCGATCCGTTCTTCAGCAAAGGAATGGAAGCCGTCAAGACTCTGGCCGGGATCGCCACCGCGCGGGTCAATGCCCGTCTAGCAGCGGCCGAAAAGGGTGAGGTGCAACGCGTTGATCTCTTGGCGAGATTAATGGAAGGCAGAGATGAGAACGGCGAAAAGCTAGGGCGTGCAGAGCTCACGGCGGAAGCGCTCACGCAGCTCATTGCCGGTTCTGACACGACATCCAACACGTCATGTGCGCTGCTCTTCCACTGCCTGCAAAACCCAAAAGTGGTGAAAAGACTTCAAGCGGAATTGGACGAGGCGATCCCTGACGGAAATGTGCCCCGATTCGAGCAAGTGCGACATCTCAAGTACCTTGACATGGTGATCAACGAAACGCTTCGCATCCACTGCACATCCAGTCAAGGTCTACCGCGGCTCGTGCCTCCTGGAGATGGCATCGATGTCGTCGGTCGCCACTTCCCACCGGGGACCGTCCTTAGTGTTCCAGCGTATTCAATGCATCACAGCAAGGAGGTCTGGGGTGCAGACGCCGATGTTTTCCGTCCAGAGCGATGGGAGAACGTGTCCGAGAGGTAAGCCCCATGCGTTGAAGCTTTCGTTCAGACGGTGACTCGACCATTGACTCAATCGACCCATAGACAAATCTCAGCCTTCATACCGTTTTCGTACGGCCCTCGAGCTTGTGTCGGCAGGAATGTTGTAAGTCCTTTTCTTGGTCGAAGAATCAGCCGTTGAGCGGCCTACGTGTGATTGAACTAAATCGATGACTGACACAAGCGGTTTTCCTCAACTCCAGGCTGAGATGGAATTGGCTCTCATCATCGCCACAGTGTTCCGCCGCTACGAATTCGAGCTCCATCAAGACGAGCTCAAGACCAGAGAGGGTTTCCTGCGCAAGCCATTGGGACTGCAGGTCGGTATGCGTAAACGGGCGGGTGTATCGTGATAGATCCGAAGGCGAGCATGGCTACAGAGATTGGATTTGTTACCCGGTATCTGTGGGTTTGGTGGCTTCGAAGAGAGTCACATGCTTCACGGGTCACTATTGTTGAGGGCGATGACACAATTTAATGAGAATTTGTGGAAAAGGCTCACCTTGCTTCACTTCAGCTCGAACTTTTGTCCTTTCGCACGTCACTTTCAGGCTTTCCAAGGTCTGTTGGAGCTTCATTGCAATTTCTGGTAGGACGACGATCCGACAACATCCGCAGGGAGGCTTCTGCACATTGATCATCGTTATCATCATGACATCCTTGCATAACAAATTCCGCCTTAGCTTCAATCTCATACGCAACACCTGGCCAGATTTTAAGCAAGCGTCTAGCATCGACTTTGCTCCTCAGACGGTGTCATGACCGCGCCTTCCTGTCGCGACTTCCTCACAACAGCCAGCACCACACCTTCGCCTTGTCTTCACCGAGTGTCAGCCTCAAGGAATCATCTGCACGGAGAATACGGTGCGCGAAATCAGATTTCTATATCTCCTCTTGACTGGTCAACGCCCATTGCTACTCTGAGAGGCCGCACGCAAAGATTATCCATTACTTCTTCATCTCTCTCGCTCATTCGCACATTCATTCATCCACGCCACACTGCGCTGCGCTGCGCCTCGCCTATCGAGATTTGAATCAGCATGGATTCGGTGGACAGGGTATCCGCCACGGCTCGCGGTACTTCCCAATGCCCGGTGAGCACGACAGGCAAACTTCCGCGCCGGGACGACTATCTGACTCCGTATAGTTCAAAATTCTGTGCGAGACAGCCGCCTTCTTGATCTGGCACATTGTCCTTGTCCTCATGTTATTTGACTGCATGGCCATAGTCTTGCATATGGCGGCCTGGACGTGGTTTTTCTACACATTCACTAGGGTCTTCGTGGCGCTTTCTGGCCTCCTTGGTCGATACCTGGAAGTCACTGATGATTCTGCTACATCCTCGTCTGATAAAGCGTAAGTTCATCGTCTCTGAGCGTGGCTAATTAAACTCACCTCGAGATTCATTACAGAGTCACACAAGCGTCATGCGTCCGTGGCCCTGGCTTAGAGGAAGAAAGGAATGTTGAGGTAGCACTCACCGCGTAAGTCGCGATCCGCTCAAGGTATCTTTATTTTCGTGACTGATTGGATAGACGTTACGACTCGCGGCATGCCCAAACGGCCAGCACTACTGAAGTCAATGGTGCGCCATTGTTGCCAGCTTCTGGAGAGATTGGCCCAAATACTCTCGATTCGGCAGAGCAATTCCAGGGATCACGAAACGAATCTGCAACGACCTGGGGAGAGTTGAGTGAACAGAACATGGCCGACCATTCAAATTCTGTGACATGTACCAATGAATCACGGCGCCGTGGCGAAGGTACGATCGTGGATTCTGAGGCTGGTCGTGATGCCGGATGGAACTTGCGAGATACGCTTGAACCGCCAATGCAGACTCCTGTCGCACTATATGGATCTAGCGAGTCCTGCAACGCAGACTTGGCTGTAAGGGAAGACATTGGCAAGATTTTTGGGATGCAGGACTGACTGGGAGACAGGACGCCCGGAGATTCCACGACGAAGTCACGAAGAAGGGGATCAAAGGCCGCGGCTCAAGGTCATCGGTTAAGCGCGTTCCTGCTCGTCGCCAGTCTTCTTCTCACAATCGCAAATCATTTGCGGATCCGCAAAGGAGTACCACGCCGACCACCAGTAATCCAATCAAAGGGGTGAACAAGGAGGCTTCCGATCGTATTCCACCACATCTACGTGCGCGATTGGAAGCACCAGCGCAGAGTTGCGCAAGCCCTCATCGAACCGCTCATCTACCATGGAAACCGAAAGAAAGCGTCGCAGCTGCTTATTCATCGGATAAGCCTTCTGCTGCTTCGTCAGCAGACAAATCTCTCGCTGCTCCATCATCAGATGAGTCTCTCGGCAAAAGCTCTCCAACAAGCAAGAATAACGTGTCGTCATTCGCTGATACGGCGTTGAATTCTCCTTCTCATCGGGAAGATTCAAGGGAAAGCCCATCGTCCAATGACGGTACAGGCATCGACCAAAGTTCGATTGGGCAGATTACTGATCTCCCAGCCACGAGTCCAACAGTGAAACCCAAGTCGGCCCCGGAAAGGGTGGATGGAGCATCACATAAGGGCAATCTCCCGCCGATAGCGACTGAAATTAAATCGACGGTTGCCATGGCCCAAGGAACACCCGTCAGCCCACCTCATCCGCTGCAGTATCGTGTCGATTTTACGCACCAGGTGCCTCAGCACAGCGTCGTGATACCACCGCCTCCAAACGGCATTCAGCTCTCAGACCCTCATCGTTCAATCCAGAGTGCTTCACATATAACGATGAACGCCAGCCATGCGTATGCAGCAGCCGATCACCTTCATGGCCTTCAGACAATCTCACGCCCATCCCCCTACAGATCAAATCCTGGGATGCAGGCTTTGCCATCCCATGCAATCTACGATCAAGTTGCACCGTATCCTGCCCAAGACCAGCATTCTGTATGGCCATCTTCAACGCCTATGCCTTCTACACCTGACCAAGCATCATGGCAGACATCGCCTCCCGGACTACCATACGTCCCAAGTACCCAATCACATGGCTTCTGGCGCTCAGTAGTACCAGTGATACCCTCTTGGACCTCACTTGGTCCTCCAACGTTTCCTGCCCATCATGAGATGCCGAGCGCGTACACATTCGATCATGGTCAAAAGCCTGTTGGGTTCTTCGTGGACGACTCGCCTCCGAGCCCGGTGCCTGATCACTTGTCCGCCCCTTCAAGCGGCGTTTCATCGCTGAAAATGATCAACGGGTACAGCGCATTCCCAACGGCTCTAGATACAGTCGCTGCAGGACAGCAATTGCCCCAAAGTTCGCAACACAACCAAACGCAGCTGTTGATGAATGGTGGTAGTAAGCACAGCTCGTCCTCCAAACCGGCGGGACCCAAACTAAGTAACTCAAGTTCCAAGAGTGAGGCCAGCCCCAAACGATGTGTAACAATACTGTCAGCGAGTGAGTGTGAGGCTCATTTTAAGAAGTCTGGTGTTCGCTTTTCTCGGGCTGTTGACAATTCCTCGAACAAGAGCGGCAGAATCGGTCACCGCGAGCAACCACTCCCTGCTAGCCCTGAGCCTCAACAGGATGGATATACTGGACAAGATCTTATCAATCTGGCCGATGATGAGGACGAAGCATTGACTCGAGCTTCATCGACCCTTGTTCTTCCCGAACAACGAGTCATCAACGTCGATTATCTTGCTCTAGTTAATGACGAGGATGAAGAATTGACTCTGTCTTCATCACCTCTGGCTGTTCCGGACCCACCAGCTACCAACATCGATCTCCCGAAGACGAATAGCTCACAAAAGTCTCTGAGTAATCATGAAAGCGATTTCGGCGACGCTGTGAATCCACCAACGCCTCCCGGGACCTCTACCACGGCGTCGGAGAGCGCTGGGAAATCCACAAAATTTATGCGCAAGGAAGCCCGCAGAAATCTCAACGCGGCCTGGTTCGCACGAGAGTCCAGCCGGAAACAGCTCATCAGCAGCAGCACCTGGCCGTTGGAACTGTGGGCAGCATTTGAACTGGCCACGCGCGAATACAACGCTGCGCGCGAGGCACTTGCTCAGTTAAAACCGCTCACCGACAAGGAGCAGCGCTTCTATCCGAAGCTATCGGCGAAGACTACTACCGCGCCGAAAGTACGGCCTCCGAAGTATGAAGCGGTGTAGTTCCTCCGCTGTAAGGATGCGATTCAGGATTATCAGAACGCGAATGTTTTGATAACTGTGGTAGTTGACATGTACGATTGAGTACCGCGGCCAGAGAAAGAACGAATGTCTTCCGTTCCAGCGGCTACGTGTTATTGAAGAATCATCAGCTTACTGAAGACAACCCAAGCTCGAGTTAACGTTGTGTATAGATCAATGCGACTCCACGAGTGAAGTAGAGGATTCCTGTAGACATAAGCTGTCACGCATGGCTGCAATAAAGGCTGCTGCGGCATCCCAAAGCACCAGGAATCAAGAAAAGCTATTGTATCCGGGCTTTGTATGGGTGGCAACGACAAGCTCTCTCTCCCGTTTGTCTCCCTGCCGCTCTCCCTTCCTCTCCCTCTCACTCACTTTCTCTTTCGGTGTTCGAATAGAAAAAAAGGTCGCTACTGTGGATGGTAGCTCCGCCAAGGCTTCGAAGTGTTATCTTGACATCTTGCTACCAGCGCGAATAGCTCGGATGCTCCACCGTTGTCGTATACGACACCGTGGTTCGTTCATCGACCGCATCAACCCAGTAGCAGCACAGCAACGGAAAAAGCAACAAGTAGAAAGCCATCACCCCTGCCGCCAGTGTCGCCGCGCCGACTGCGCCCGCGATCGCACTCTCGGTCACCTGCTGGACCGCATGACCAGTTGCGATCAAGACCGCCGAACCTACAGCGCCACAGGCCGCCGCAAAGCCGACAGTGAACGACAATCCACTGAGATAATGTAAGATGCCGAACCCGCAGGACCTCGGTTCGTCCGTCTGCATCGCGCCGAAGATCACCCAGGAGAGGCATAAGACCAAGAAGAGGATCGCACCGCCGACCGCGCCATTCTGTGCTGAGGTCGCGACATCGTAGCCTGGCAGACAATCACCATCAGCGAAACCCAAACATCCGCGAGGCAATCGAAGAAGAAAACCCCCTATCACTTACCGTCGTATGCGGCTCGTCGCATGATCGCGGACCCGATCACGTTGGCGATGACGCCCGTCAAGCAACTACTAGGAGCGACCGCGATGACCGTGAGGAGTCCTGCCATTTTTCTCGATCTTGTTCTTTCGACGAGGTGCTTGCTATAGCAGGAATAGTATTCGGCGGTGAAAATAATTACCACTCGGGTCCGAAAAGAGAGTGCATGGATGGAGGGAGGACAGAGTAATCGTGTTCGGCCTCTTCATCTTGGGAGAGGATATACATATAATTTTCTCTCATCCGTCACTTTGTATCTCTCTTCTTTTTGCCCATCGGATCACGCGACGGCGGCTAGATAGGTATGCTTGCTCGTAGCGAAGGGAGTGCATCCCAACCAATTGGACTTTCCATGCCAAGGATACTTTCTCGGCCACAGGGAACTCGATGAAATGAGGAGAACATCGCTATGCAATAATGTAGTGTCGTACCTTCGTCGAGCCGACGTGGGACATTCCACGTGTAACATCTGGCATTCTTTGTGTCACCTGCCACCCGCCTGCGTCGGGCCACCTCTTGTGCGGCGATTGGTCCAGACGGGCTTGTATAGTCGCACAGGAATTACTCGGATGGTAAATGATTGTTTCCCCATTCCTTGCGGAGAACAGTAGGTATATTTAAACACTGTTCGAGAGAACCTGTCGATCCCGTGTCGCTGAGTTGCACGCTGAGGCAGGTCTTGTGTGCAGTGGTGGTCGTCCACCGTGTCGCGAGAACTATCCTAACCAAACCCTAAACTGACCCTAAAACCTGAAACATCCATGGATGCAGGTGCCCCTGGGCAACAAGCTGGAGAATTCTAGACGGGGCACTCCGACAGCCTGAAAGAACACAAGGTTTGGTTCGACCGATCTAGGTATCTTTGCAGCTGGAAACGATCGATTAATCTGTTAATCACCAGAACCAGCATCCGATGAGTCGTCAGAATGCCCTGTCCGATTAGACCAATGCCAAATAGTGGCCGCGGTTCACAGTTCCACGTACCAAAGGAACATTCTACAACGAACAATGTACAATTTAGAAGGCGATGTTCTACTTTTACATAACGATCACAACGACGAGACTGCTTTCGCGAGCCGGCGCGCTCTCCCGGCACCCAATCCTTCAATGTCAGGGATGCGCCCGGCACTCGCAGCGGTCTCGACCCGTTCCACCTCGCCGAGATCCTCCGACTTGATCTGCACCACGGATGCAACGTCGTCCGTTTCCTGAGTGGCTTCCAGCGCCGCCACAGGAGCGACATTGTCATCGCCCGCCGGCTCTTCCTTGATCTCGACCTTGATCTCCCGCTTGACCTTGCGTTTCGCCGGACTTCCCGCGACTGCACTCGGACACAGCTTTCGCTCGCTGAGATCGCATTCTCCGCAGCGACGGCCGATCGGGAGACAGATCGTCTGGCCGAGGCCGACGAGGAGATGGTTGATGTCGTGCCATTTCTCCCGTGGCAGCCAGGCCTCGAGGGCGGCCCGCGTCTGCTCCGGCGTGCTGGTCTTGTGCCAGCCCCAGAGGTTCGTGATGCGATGGACGTGTACGTCGACGCCGATGCCCTCGTCGCGGCCCCATGCGGCGGACATGGTGAGATAGGCCATTTTGGGGCCCACGCCGGGAAGAGATGTTAACCCTTCGATGGTATCGGGGATGTCGCCGGCGAATCGCTCTTGTAGTATCGCGGCGGTCTGCTTAATGAAGCGGGCCTTGTTGTTGTGGAAGCCGACTTTGGATATGAGCTGGTTGAGGTCCTCCTGGTCGATAGCGAGGAGTGATGAGAGTGTGAACCCGCCTGGGAGATTCTGCTGGAGGTTTTTCATAGCCACAGCAGTGACGGTATCCTTGGTTTGACTGGATAGCATCAGGGCCACGAGTGTTTGGAGACGTCGTTCGAGCGGTGGACGATGGTCTTCTGCGAGAGACTCGCACCCCATTGTATCGACAGGTGCTAGGTGCCGTTTGCGTAACTCGGTTGTGACGCTGTACATCTCCTCCCACCCCGCCGGCGGTTCGACAATAATGTTTCCATCTTCACTCTTGATTTGCTTAGCAGGCTGTCGCCTGGGTTTGCGTGCAGGCGTTGATGATGATTCGACCTTGGGAGCCTTGCGCGGCGACCGCCTAGTTTCCGTCACTTCGGTCTTGATGACGGCCGTCGTGCGCTTTCGCTTTCGAGATGGGACGTCATCCTCGCTGACTGGACTGTATGGCGGCGAGGATAGTTCACTGCCAGATGGACTGGACAAATCGCGTTGCGGGCCCGAGGAGTCGGTCGCGTTCAGAGAAAAACATTCGAGGCCAAGCCGACTACTGGTGGCAGGTCGTAGGGGTGCAGCGACACGTGCGGCCTGGCGCAGGAGACGTGGCATGTCGAGATGCAACTGGCGATGGTTGTCGACGACTAGCCATTGCGGCAGGCATTGGCTCCAGAATTTCGGCACTCGTGCACCTCTTCACAGCACAGAATAGCTAAGATCTCTATGCCCGATGCATGACGACGGGCGCACGGCCATCATGCAGTAGGGGCAATGCTACGAGCTGATTGGAGCGGCAAGTGCCGTTTAGATCTGAGGAGATCTGCATTGCTCCTAAGAGCCCTGGAGAGTCGAGAACTGTAGATCGGGGGTCCGCCCAGTTTTCACTTGAGCATCATCGCGAGGTTCCTTGATACCGTATAATGGCCTAGGTACAGTACAATACTTCTTTTGTGATGGTAAACCATGCGATTGCTAGGTGGCCTCTAGTGTACGCAGTCAGAGGATATCTGGAAAGCGTTCTCGTGCGTCATGATTCGTAATTCACTTGCCGCTATTGATAGGCGATTTCTTTCGGACGTTTGACAGTCGCCGCCTTCACCTCCAACGGCCGTATGTGAATCGATTGTGGCTGTGGGGGCGGACATTTTGGGAATTTAATTCGGCAGCCTGGGCCCCGTTACCCCAGAAGTCAATCGGAACAGCGGCGCAAACTTCTGCATGGATACATATGCAAGGGAACGATTGAATCCTGCCATTGCTCCAGGCATCACAATTAAAAGAGGCTGTGTATGTTGGACGACACTTTTATCATGCGTGTATCTTGCGCTTGGTTATGATGCGATACAAGCGATTCCGCAATTCGTTTCCACTCTGCTGCGTGACTTGCAGAATGTACTGTGGTGCTGTCAGCTGTGGTGGCCAGACACGTGCCAAACACTGCGAGTCGGTGCACCCGCGCGAACCCTTTCTCCGCCTCCGGCAGGTCCAATTTGCCACTGTCGGCGAGGAAGTGGACGTATATTAGATGCCGTACGTGGCGTGCTGCGAGTGACGTACGCCGGGCATGAAACAAAGACAATCCAGAGATCATTAGTCTGTGGAGGGGGAGGGATCAGGGAGGAGAGGTCGTACCGGTACCTGTTCTAGCTGCTGCTGGTGTACCTCCAGGGCTGTCACACCTGCGCCTCAAACCCAGGATGAGGATGTTTTGCTGTGCACCTGGCAGTCATGCGAATTACGGTAGCCATCTGATGTAAAGTGCTGTACAAATAGGGGAATGTTCATGGCTGTCACGAGATCATAGGATAAAACTCCGTCGGAATAATCATCCGCGCCATGTTGTCTGACGTTTTGACATATGATCATTACAAGGCAACACATACGACCGAGGTGTTTCCTGGCCCCTGGTGTGTGGGGCAAACAACGTCCACCGGGGCTCCGTGGCTCCTACTGATGAACCCAGCACAATACCGCCGGGAGGAAAACAACCTCTTCCATCACGTCTACCAGCAACCAAAGCATCACCGATGCAGATGGTGCTATTGTACTCTGCAGCGCCTAGAGTTCGCTTCACGGTGAAGAGATTAAAACAATGCCATGGCTGCCATATCTGCAGCTGGAAATCGTAGGACGTGCCAGAAACTAGTGGAGAAGCCGCGCATAGTAGACTCAGTGCCCGACCGTCGCTTGTCGTACAGTATCCTGGCACCGGCACGCCTGGCTGCCCGCTGCCTGCTCCGATGTCACGCTGATCACCACATACTGGACTGTAATTGTCTGCGAATTGGTCTCAGTTCTCGGACACCCCGCTCACCGAACTCACAAGAATACCGCACCATTGTGAAACATATTCTGAGCGTACACATCACGACGGCAGCACTCGATGGCGGTATCATGGATGACAACAAGTCACTTGAACGATCTGCTTAAGCATGCCCATGCGGTCCAACTAAAACCCGATAATGACCCAAAGTCAATTCAATGCCTAAGTGCTCAGTACACACTGTCCTCCACCGGACTGAAGGGCGATCATCGAAGAGGTGGAGTGTGGAAATAGGGTCGCCCGGCTTGTGATTGATCAGACGCCGGCGCAATTTTCCCCCGCCCGAACTTTTCGGAATGGGCCGTCAGACTTGTCTAATAAGCGTGCACTGCCGCACTCACATGCTGCTCGGCAATCTAGGCTCAAGGCAGCGAGATTCGGCCAGAGTTATTATATTGGACGTGAATCGTCTCTTCCTTTCATCCACCTCATCCTCTACGCACGACAACCTTTTTTTTTGTTCAACATCTTCGACACATTTCCCTCAAGGAGGACTACACAAAATCAAATTCGGCGAGACTGATTACGCCATATTCTTACCATGGCGGCCAAGACCACCACTTTCGACGCCTCTGCGGTCAAGGAGACCTCAGCCGGCAACCCTCTCCGCAACCCCAAGGATTCGATGAAAAGCACATGGCGACATGATTACTCACAGTGGAATATCCACCACTGGCTCATCCACCTGGTCAACATTTATTCCTGCGATCTGAAGAAGCCAATTCCGGTCCACCAGAAGGATGACCCGATCCCATACCTTACACAATGGTCGCTTCACCGATGGATTCTTACCCACGCCGCCTGGCCAATGGCTGTCCAATGGATCTACAACACCTACACCGGCGTGCAGTTTACTCCGATCTTCGCCTTCGTCTACTACATGATCTGCTTCCAGCTCAACTCTATTCACCAGCTGTGGGTGCTCCGCGGCATGGGTCACACCTTTGGATATTTCGATGGTGACAAGCACGGCCGTGACGAGGTTCCGGACGTCGGTGTTGCAAAGACCGTTCAGTCCCTGCTTCTCACCACCTCCATTCGACCCATCCTCGCCGTCTTCCTGGCCTACCGCGCTTCCGAGGGCGTTCACCTTTCCTGGTGGTTGCCCATCGAGGTTGGCCTTTACCCGATTATCCTCGATTTCTGGTTTTACTCTTACCACCGCGCGTGCCACGAGCTTGATGGTCTCTGGCAATACCACCGCACCCACCACCTCACAAAGCACCCCTCGCCTCTCCTTTCGTCTTACGCCGATTCCGAGCAAGAGTTCATCGAGCTAGCCCTCGTCCCCGTCCTCACCTACGGCGTCCTCAAGCTTTTCGGCTTCCCCATGCCCTTCTACGACTGGTGGGTCTGCCACACCTACATCATTTTCACAGAAGGTACGTTGAAATCTGAACATTTTCTCTCCATAAGGCGTGCCACTAACAATTTGAGTAGCATTCGGCCACAGCGGAATTCGTGTTTGGGGCTCACCGGCTGGAACTTTCTCCTACTTTTTGCGATTGACCGGCACCGAGCTTACAATTGAGGATCACGATATGCACCACCGCAAGGGCTGGAAGCACAGCTCCAACTACGGAAAGGCCACTCGCGTCTGGGATCGTCTTCTCGGAACATGCGGCGAGCGTGTCGAGGGTTATGATGCCAATATTGACTATTCAAACCACGTCAACCTTCCTGCGTACTGAGCGCACACGCGTTGTCAATGGGGCGCTGCTGCTGAGACGGTTAGAGCCGCTCGCGTTACTCGAATATTTTTGGAGGACGCGAAGCCCCAACAGACTTCCACAGTGTCTCTCGCTGGTGCAATGGCTCAACATGACCTGTTGCGGCCACTCTATTTCAACAATATCCACGATTGAAATCGAAAATGCCCATCCGGCTTTCGGCTAGCCAACTTCATGCAGGAGTTGATGCTATCTTTCGCTACCACCTTTGAGATGAGAACCGCGAGCGCCACAAGCAACAATGGTCGCTTACGCCCGTCAACATGTTGATGTCACAATTCATCGATTTTCCCTGCTTGGGGTGTTTTTTTGGGTTATTGCACGCGAGTTGCACACTCTCTGCGTTTTATATGTCTACAAATGAAAGAAATTGAACACAAGAAGAACATTTACCACACAAACTTATCCCAGATGATAGTGACTATTCTTCTGTGCATTGACTTCCACATCTTTGATGAAGGTCCTTGTAAACATACAATTCATTTTCATGAACATGCGGTGTTTCGAGACTCATAACTCTGCCGCCCAGATCTCGGACAAGAGAGAATCAACGCGATACAGGAGGAGGAGGAGGAGGAGGAGGAGGAGGAATGAATGAACTGAACTCTTCGGAGCCATCCTGGCGTGTCATCGATTGGTGACGTTGAATTGCGGAGATATTACACGCTGCAATGGAACTCATGATCGTAAATCTCCAACACGTGCGTCCGCCACAAGCATCCGCATGGCTGCGGATTGTCTGTATGATACCTACCTAGTACCTGGGTACCTACCTAGGTAGGTAGGTACGTACATGCACAAAGTACTTGTGCACTGCGCTTGTTACTGCATCACCTGGGCGGCACTTGTGAATTGGTAGTACAGACGTCCAAATACACTTCAGATCTGTCACACATTAAGGTTGTAGCACGTGACTTGCTTCAACTTGTTTGTCCGCTGTAATTATGAGTTGTCGCATTCCATCTTGACAGGCCCAGAAGCACTTCGCCGTTCACCAGTCACTGGGTCTTGTGATAACATCGGGCTTCAGCCGCGAGTACACGCGATGCCCTCGTCCGACTACGCCTCTGCCATCGGCGGCGGGCTGAAACTCAAAGGCGTCACGAGCGGTGGTATCGACAAAAAGAAGAAAAAATCCAAGAAGAACAAAGACCACAGCAGCAGCAGCAAACAGCAAGACGGCCTCCCCACTTCCACCGCCGCCGGACCAGACCATGAGCGCTCAACCACACCCCCGAGCAACAAAGCCTCACACAACGACGCAGATGAAGGCACCCACCCTCAAGACACCGACAGCAAATCACCGCAACGGGAAACCTCTCTAACAGCAGCACCCTCAGCAGTACGCTCAGCAGCACCCTATAAAACCGCCACACAGCGCAAATATGATGAACAACGCCGCAAACGGCTCGACGAGCGGTTGCGGCGCGAGGGCGTGCAGACGCACAAGGAGCGCGTGGAGCAATTGAATAAATACCTCTCTGGGCTGAGCGAGCACCATGACATGCCGCGCATTGGACCGGGCTAAGACTTGCCTTGGGGGAGAATGGAAGGATCAAACTATTTTCTGCGTTTGCTCTTGCTTCTTAATGGAAGGCATTGGAGGTGGCTGTGGATAGAAAGGGGAAGAAGCTGGGCTGAGGATGAGGGTCACAATATATGAGATTTTGGAGAGCCAACATCCCAACTTACGAAGGTCGACACGGCTTCGCGTGTCCCTCTATCACACAGCCGGAAGAGAACAACCGTGACTTGATGTCCTCGTCCATTATTAGCGATGCAAATGAGCTCACAAGCAGGCACTCACGACATCCACAGAGGAGAAGCTTGACCGGGCCGTCTTGATTGCAAATTTACACGATTCTGCCTTGCATACGTTGAAGACTATCAAATACCACCAATAAAGAAAATGAACATAATCACAAAGGAAGAGAAACTGATCGGGATGGAAAAAAGCCATCACCAAATTCGCATCGCCTGCCTCAACCGGGTGCGAGCAACCTTCCGGCCAACCTGTGCTTTCAGATCTCCTGCCGGGAATGCAAGTCCACTGTCCGCTTCACCTGGATCTGTTGAGGACCGATCAGCTCAAGCTGATGGTCACTCACCTCGTCACGACACGCAGTGATCTGGGTGCATGTCTCCTTCACGGGCGAACTAAGCGCGCTGTCGTCGGCATGGCTGGAAACGAGAGTTTCGTTGTCTGTACCGAAGGTCGTTGTCAGAGGCTGCTTCTCGGTCGGGCGCCGAGAGCCTGCACTGCAACCACCAGGGCTATCTTTCGAGGGAGATCGGCCTTGGAATTGATATGGCGCTGCAATATTATTTTGATTGGTGTTTGTTGAAGCCCAGATCGCCGAGAGTGGCAGGAAGACGGCGACGACGACGGGCATGAAGCTGTTGACTTGCTCATTCTTCAAGATCACGTAGCTCAAAAAACCGAAAATTGCTGCAGCCGGATTAGCGCGAGCCGAGAAAGCTCGACGTTCACAGGGGATTGCTCACCTGGGATGATCAAGGTCTGACAGCCCATAACAAAAATTATCTGCATTGGTCCGAACTGCTTGATGCCCATCTTGCGACGTTGTTGGATGGCGTGTGCCAACTTGATGCAGAAGATCAGGCTGAAGAAGATGATGCTGATCATCAGGCAAATGTTAGATGCAGAGCCGACCTGGTTCAGCCGCTCCCATTGCTCCTCAGTCGACTGTCCCACGATGGCGATGTTGTCCTTGATATTGAGGACCATGAGTGCGAATCGCGCGCCGACTGCCATCAACACGACAAGCACCGATGCCAGCGTGATGACGCTGCGCCAGAGTGAACTCAACGTGCAACAGACGATTCGCACTTGGAACATGAGGGAGAGCTCGATGATGACGTCGACGAAGAAGCTCATGCACTCGACAGCAATGGAGAGGTTCTTGGCCGTGGTGACGGAGTCATAGTATTGCGCGACCCAATTGTAGTAGTTGTAAAAGGGGCCTGTCACTCCGAAGCACGCCATGATATTCCGGGCGAGGATGAACACCAGGGACAGCACGTTGAGGATGAAAACCAGGCTGCGATGCTTGCCCGGCTTGGTGACCATGGCAAGGACAAGAAGCAGGATGGCCACCATGCCGATCTGGACGCCGAACATGATGCCCGTGTGTGTTGCCATAGCTTGCAGTGTGAAGACTGTCCGCAGCGGAATCGTGATGGTATCGATGCCATTTGGAGCGATGATGGTGATGTCTTGCCCATATGGGTCGAAGGTGGAGTAGTATTGGTCGTTCATCATGGCAAGTGCGGTGCTGGGAATGTGCAACGAGCAGCGTCTGGTCATCATGTGTCAGTAGGTGAACTCCTTAGCTGCATTGCCGATGAACTTGTCACTACATGGCAGCAAGACTCACGTTCTTCCTGGTGTTGCTGAGACGGCCGTTCAACATGCAAAGCTGAAAACTCGAAGTCTTCAGTGATGTTGTTGGGAAAGAAGGAGCGTGAACTGCCTTCATAGCCGGGTCGGCGTGACTTTTCTGTAAATCGCAAACAATGCAGACAATGGTGCTTGTTCAAAAAAGTCGTCAGAGGCAATTTCCACAGCCGTCCACTTCTGTCGTGATTGTTCAGAGGATATATTGCTTTGTGCAGACGATTGTCTCCGGTGCTTGCATCGAGCAATGTCAAGCTTGAGGTATGCCGATCCTGCCGTCATTGTTCATGGAGAGGAACAATACGCGCTCGCGCTCCTGAGCTTACCACTCACGAGGAAGGATCGAACGGCTACGTGCGTGAACGTCGATGCATTAGATACACTGGAAGGAACAAGAACTTGATTTCACCTGGGAATCAAGCGAAATTCAAGTAGACTCGTGCATCTTACGATGTTGTGAAGTTGTTGACCTGTGCAGCAATCGTCGCTGGCAAGGGATTTTGTGATTACATACCACCTACCTAGGTACCTAGGTAGATATCTTGAATCCTCAAAATGCTCTCAACTCTATTTGTACATGAATACAGTGGTATGACAAGTCTTGACCGATGGTACCGCGATACCAATCTACGTCTATCAATCGACGTCTGCCCAACCTTTTTGGGGAAATCACTCGAGCTATGCGGCTGAAATATGTATATACATATATTTCGTTTTTGACTAGAGCGATCAAACGTACAAAATGAATTAGCAATTGTGTGCAGACAACATCGAAATGCCTCTACCAGTCGTATGAAGAGCATCGGCGTCCTTTGGCGTCCGGATGTCATGCGCTGAGAACATCCCGGGTCTTCTTTGGCAGGCAGGAGCGAGCTCGGGTTTGTGTAACCGCCCTCCTACTCACCATCCTCCGTTTCACATTTATGATGCTCTTCGGCCCGCGAGGTTCGTGACGCGAGATCCAGGCATCAACGTCATCTACCACGTCCTTTCTTTTGCCTGATTTCTTTCTGTCGTTAAGTATCGTTGTGTTCTTGCACAATGTCAAATGAGACAGCGCTCATGATACCCCCATCCCTTGTCACTCTTTTCAAGCACCCTTGAGCCGAGACAATATCTTATGGGCTTCGAATCTGTGCAAGCAGGTCGATACGCACTACGACCAATCACCGGGAGGTTCCAGCATTGTAGTGTCCTAATAGAAGTCGACAACATGGATCAGTCAAGGCCATCCGCGTCTGTCGTTGAAGAGACACAAGAAGAGAGCGCAAACAATCACAGCCCGAGGCGTTGCTTCTGGCTCGCTGAAGGTCTGCCAGAATCCGGACAATTCATGGCTGTCAACACAAGTTTTGACTCGATAGTCCGATCATCATCACATCAATCACCCGATGTCAACGGAACGGTGTACACATACGCTTCGTTAGAGAAAGAAGATGCGGATGACCAGACGGAGTCCGAGAGTGAGGTCGACCTGCCGTCGGCTCAGAAAATGATCGAGTGTCCACCCGCCACAATATCTCCGGGTATTTCAAGCTTGTCTCGAGTTGCGGCGACGCGTTCGTCTAGTTCTACTAGCGACATGCGGCATTCTGTCAAGGATAGCAGAAATCCTTGGTCGACAGATGCACCTACCGGTGCCGGCCCTCGGCGAACGACAAAGCCGACGAGCTGTCACGCGGCTAAAAATAAGTCGCAGCCTGAAGCTGAACGCAGCACGAAGGAAACATCACCTCTTGCTATTGCTGGCTCAGATCCGCAAGATCTTCCTGCTCAACCGGGCCAAGAAGAAGAAAGAGACGAGCCGCCAATGAAACGATGTCGAGTGAGGAAGTCCCTTCGAACAAACGTAGGTCCAACGAGCAGTGGCACTGAGCCAGCGACTACTGAGTTGTTTCTAAGCAGCCACGTCCGGCTGGATGACAAGAGTCGGATATTTCTTGAGAGTCAAGCTGTGTCGACTGTCAAGAATCCTAAACAATTTCCGCCCGATTGGTCAACTCTCGTCCACGTTGTTCCCGACAAGGGCCCTTTCAGGACCGTCAAAGTACTTCGGACGCTGACCGCCGGGGGCGTCGTGGTGAAAAGGAGTTGGATCCGCGAAAGCCTGCGCAAGTCAAAACTCGAGAAGGTGCGCAATTTCATTCCCAACGCACTCAAGAATAGTATCGGGCGTGACCGTAAGTCGGTCTTCGCCAACAAAACGCTCATATTTACGTCGAAGGCGCACAGCCAGATTGAGCAGTGGGAAGAAGTCTGCGGGTTAGCGATTGAAGCTGGCTGTGCAAAGATCTGCGTGGCCTCGCAAGCTCACTTGAGTTCTCCGCCCCCAGGAGGTAATGTATGCCTTTTCGGAGAGAACAAATCCAGCGACAAGGACGCAGCTACGTGGATCCGCGTGCATCATCGGGTTGTGTGGGATAGACATCTACTCGCACGCGCTATCATTGCTGGCGAATTTGACCCCAGCGATGCCAAATATCAACTTTGTCTGCCACTCGGGACGCAGTCGATCCAGTATGAATATTGCTAGTCCGTACGGGAACCACATTCGTCATGGCCGGAGAGCGGTGATCAGCGAGCACTTGTCTGTTTTTGTGTTGCATGCGCTCTTTTAACTCCCGGAGTTGCAAGCCGTCGTCACGCTGCCTCCTGAGAAGCGAGTTGTGAGCACCAAGCCGGATGTTCAAAGTATATCTGTACCATGATTGTAGGGAAATTATCCATATAGCTACAATAGCAACTGTCTTTCTGACGATAGAAGCCTCAATAGCAAGCCTATTGAATGGCGTGAGAGCCTGTCTACCTACCCAGGTAGGTTGTCATCTATAGCTCACATCGCGGGCGCGAATCCGCTGCTGCCCGAAACGCTTACCACGGGTTTCGGAACAGGTCGAAATGTAGGAAATCGACGAAATCGATCACGAATGACACCTGAAGATTCAAGCGCCATCGGACCCTGCCTGCATTTGGTGGAGGGAAGTCTGGAATGCCGAAGACAAAACCATCATCGACCAAAGCGCAATCGCTTGAAGCATAACAAGACATGCAGTATACTCTATATGCGCGTCAATGAGAACCCTCATATCCATAACGAATATCGAAGACCGATGTCCAAATCTGGCAAAGTCTGCCCACTCCGCTCTGCGATTCGAGAGTTTGCCTGCGACAATTGTAATTTGCAGAGACAAAGAGGAGGTGCGGAGCCAGTACCGTGCAGTGCAGTCCTGACCGGACCGATTGAGATTTGCAGAATAAGGCAGAGGCTGAGGAAGCGGGCATCATGCACGCAAGAGTCACGACAGCACTTCAATGTTTGGTATGCAAATATTGGCTGTCTCACGTTTGTGGAGCAGAACAACCAGAGGACAGATGGCTTCGGGGGCTGAAGGGCATCTCGCTCTCCGCAGACGAGTTAGGATGCCCCATCCAGGCCGCGATGACTGTGATACACACGCGCAGGGAAACACAAGAAATAATTCTCTCTCGTAGTATCTTGAAGGGCTGAGACACGATCATGATGTTGCAGACGCCATCCCTTTACAGCAGACTATTCGTTTTGTCGATCGGCAGTGGTCCCTAATTTGTGGCTCTCCGTCGCAGGGAGAGTAAGAGGATATTCTCAACAGAAAGGGGACGCTTTCAATCGCATGTCTGATACTGTACATGTGAGTTCCTGCTGCACGATGCAGCATGTACAAACACAACGGCAATGGTTGTCGGCCGACGTCTCCGCCACGCCACGCCGCCGACCAGCAAATTTCCCACGCGTGAAATGAGCTTTTGAGTAGTGCCCGCGATGGACAAACCTTGGGAGTCTGGACTCGCCATCCTATGGGAGTGCCGTTTCCTCAACTTCGGTTTCCCATGCCTTTCCTCGGGTCCGAGTAAGCTAAGGAGAAATCCTCCTTTCGACTAGTGCAGCGTGCGCAGGTACCAATATCATTTCCAAGGTTGGGTGGACCGGCGCCTAGCTGCTCTGGGACTTTGCAAACATTTCACGTGTTTGTGTTTGTCGATCTTCGTCTTGCGACATGCCGCAAGCGATCGTCGTCGCAGAATGTCGAACAGAAGCGCATGTCGATCTCGAAGACGATCATTTACTCTGGACAGACTTGATTGACTTTCAAATGCCGGTGTACGGTCTGCTCACAGCTTAGGTCTTGACTGGCGGTCGGTGACAACTCGCGCGTGCACGATCGATTTCCATATGCAGACTCTATCTCCTCGCACGCACCGTACCTGGTACTAGCACCTGTGGACCACGCTACAGGACGGTAGTCGGTGCCTTCGACTTTGGCTCACGACCTAGGTATAGCACGTTCATATCTCGCTTCTACAGAGCGCTCCGGGTGACCTGCTATAGGCAACTGTTAGACTCTGCGTGGCTGAATGCCGTGGCGGCGAGTCGGCAATTTGATGCCCAGGTCTGCATGTTAAGCTGTATCGCATACTGAATAGCTAGCCGCATGCCCGCTCTTCCCTTCGCATCAGTCCTATAACCTGACGGGCCTGCTATCGAAGAGATCATTTGTCTCATCCCAGCCAGGCGCAAATGCAGTTGTCGACGAAGAGATGGAACCCGGCCGAATTGCTGCAAAGCCCGCTTTCCCGCGCGGAGCAAGGGTATGATCATTATTACTCTGAAACCAATCTGTCATGGCAGCGCAGTTCCCAGCGGGACTCTGGAGCATACAAGACAATACGTCGCCTTGACCAATCCCCTTCACAGACATGAGGACTGCCTCTGCCCTGTCTGTATGTGCGTCGCCTTTATTCTGCGACTGGTTGGGCTCTGCGACAGTGACGCGCTCTACTTCAGAGATCCACCTTGTGATGTGGGACAGCGTGAGGTGTAGAGGTGCGCGCATATAAATCGGCTTAAAGATCTCTGGCGCTCTTACTCGAACCGATGGTCAGGAAATCTTGATCGATCACATTCATTACCACCATTCACACTCTCTGATTTCTGGACATCTTATTTCTCGAGATAATCGCCACCGTACGATCTTTCACACCAACGATTCTCTGCAACGCCCGCGAGGAATTCTCGGCCAACGACCAGAACGAAGCGCTGGTTGGTGCTCGAGCAACGGACCGCTGTGACCGTGTCTTTGGATATTGGTTGTTCGTAGGTCCTAGTACAAGTCATTGTTGTTGTGACAATACAACTAATAAATGAACAACTAGACACCACACTAGCATCTGACCAATCCTCGACCGTTGTTAATTTCCCCTGTGCACAGCTGGGCAGTTGCGATTAGCGCGCCATCTTCAGCCATTGGCCCAAGAAGCCGAAATTGCAAAAACCTGGGCACGGACATCGTCTACACGCCCACCCACTCCTTGCATCGAAGCCAAAGCAAACACATTCATTCGAATCTTTTCCCGTCAACGTTGGCCCGGTCTCCTGTGCGCCATTCCCTTCTATCCACCCGGAGCTTCCTTCGCCTCCCTGTCATTCTTTGGATTACATCTTTGCTTCTTTTCCTCGACCACGATTGTGCGCCAGTAGACATAACTTGTCGTCGACCTCTACCATCTCGCACGCGATCAAGTCTCCATAGCGCATTGCCTCGCTCGACATCCTCTCGACAATGAAGCTCACGATTACACTATTGGCCGCCGCCGTTGCGGTCTCGGCGTCGCAGCAACACCAGCACGCTCACCAGCATCTTCACGAGAAGAGAGATCCGACACCCGCTGCTCCTGCTGTAGCCGAAGCCACTGAGTACGTCTATATCTTGGGGGGCAAGCCTATCTCCGAGGACGACGTCAACAGGGGCATCAAGAACGGAACGCTCGTGTGGGCCGACAATGGTGCTCTTGCCGCGGCTCCTCCTGTCAAGGCTGCTCCAGCGGCGACCTCTAAGCCTGCCCCGGCGCCTGCGCCCTCTCAACAAGCTGCCGCCGCCCCGGCCGCTGTCGCTGTCTCCGCGAATGTCGCAGTGAACGTCGGATCCGGCAACAAGCCGAGCGGCGGTTCACCCAGCGGCGGTGGTGGCGTCGACACTCCCTTCCCGGACGGCACTCTCGACTGCAGCCACTTCCCGTCGGACTACGGCGCGGTTGCTGTCGACTACCTCCACCTCGGTGGCTGGATCGGAGTGCAAAATCCTAAGAGCAATGTTGGTGGATTGTTGGACGCGATCGAGACCGTCGTTTCCAGCCTCTGCCTCGGTGGCAACTGCTGCCAGGAGGGTATGTTCTGCTCGTACGCCTGCCCGCCTGGCTACCAAAAGTCGCAATGGCCGGAATCGCAGGGCGCCACTGGTCAATCCGTTGGTGGTCTTCAGTGCAAGAATGGCAAGCTCCGTCTGACCAACACTGGCCTGAGCTCCAACCTCTGCATTAAGGGTAGCGACCAGATCACCGTCCAGGTCAAGAACACCCTCGGCAAGAACGTCGCTGTCTGCCGTACTGACTACCCTGGTACCGAGTCCGAGACCGTACCCGTTGATGTGGCTGGTGGTAGCACCAACCCCTTGGCCTGCCCTGACGCCGACAAGTACTACAAATGGAAGGGCGGTGCGACCTCTGCTCAGTACTACATTAACCCGGCTGGTGTCCCCGTCTCCGATGCTTGCCAATGGGGAACTGCTGCCAACCCGTGGGGTAATTTCGCGCCCACCAACCTCGGTGTCGGCTGGAAGGACGGCCGCGCGTGGCTCTCTGTTTTCCAAAACCACCCGACTACTGATGCCAAGCTCGACTACACGATCACCATCAAGGGTGACGGCATCAGCGGCACTTGCCGATACCAGAACGGTCAATACTGTGGCGGTGCCAACTACAACGACTGCAGCTCCACCGGAGGTTGCACTGTGAGTAACAATCAAATTTGGCAATACAGACTGGCAGCGAAACTGACAATAAATCGTAGGTATCATTTGGCCCTGGCAGCACCGCCACCTTCGAGATCTCATAGGCGGTCCCTCACAGCCTTTTCTCGAGCAACACCCGAACTACCTAAAACGCGAATTTGTCTGTCGATCTATCTCTTGATCTTTCTTGAGCGCAATTTCGTTTTTCTTGTTCCTTCTTCAGCGGCGACGCGACCCTTCTTCACCACGAGTAGCATAATGAAATTGGCCACCACCAGCTAATATATATGATACCCCCCTACTACCACTTTGGAATCAGTCGACCCAGCGGCATCGAGCATAATCAAACCGGTTACTGTTCTATCATCACATCAGTACGGCTTCAGTCACAGGAAATGCCTCGACCATCAGTGACGCGCGTGCGCGTCCATCGGGAGCTGGGCTTTGCGATGTTCGCACAAGAGGGCAGACCTTGGCGAGTCTGGTTTTGACCTATGTAATCGGTAGAAGGATGCCCCAGGGTCGGCGCCTGCGATTTTGTATTCGATCTTAGCGTATGGAAAATTTAATCCGCAACTTACTTTCTCTTCGCTGTGATGCCCCCGCTTCCAATAATGCAGTATCGTGTGTCTTTCAAGATTTCGACCCCCCCATTTCGCGAGTATTGGGGTCAAGGCTACATGGTGATGCCCTAGAAGACTCAGCACGCAATGTCTGTCCCTATCCCTGTCCATTCACCTGCTGTGAGTGGCCTATCAGGGCATATAATCACAAAGTTCTTGGAGACAGGCACGTGGTGGCGCAGACTGTCGTCGGTTGCATGCATCGAGTCTCGTCATCGCATCATGGCGCCATGGGTCGAGAGACAGTCAAGATCATGAACTTGATTCCCGCCAGATGTATATAGCATTGCAATACACATTATTGGTGAATTCACATCTGGTTCCTCAATACTTTCGCTGTACTCCACTGTATAGTCAGCCTCTCGGGTCATGACAGAAAGTCGATCGGAGCCTGCAGTATATTGATTTGAATAAAGCCTGTTGGAGAGTGAATGCCTTGTATTTTGGACACTGCTTCTTGCTTGTTGGATATTGAACTCCTGATGTTTGACAGGTAATCACAATGTTTACTAGGTCTTGGCCGTAGAGACCAGCCAGCCAGCAGCCCCACCACACGGCGTTCACGCTTGCGTGGGCTGCCACACACTACGTCGACGACCGCGCTCGTCCACCAGGCGCATGCCGCGTTTGCCAAATCATCATTACCTCACCAATTCATCTTCAATAGCCTTTGCGCCTCGTCTCTTTGTTTTTCAGTGAAGCTTGCACACATAGACTCCCAGCCAGCATCGCAACCATGTCAGAAACACCCATTGGTACGACGGCTAGCTCGCCCGTTCAAGACCAACTGCTGACGTAGCTAAACAGTGCTCGATGGTGGTACTGGTTTCCTCAAAGTCGGATATGCCGGCCAGGTACTACATAAATCGCCTCTCGCCTCTCAAAAGGCATTGCTGACCGAGGCGCTCTTCTAAGAACTTTCCCGAGCACCAATACCCATCAATAGTCGGCCGACCCATCCTACGGACAGAAGAGCAGACAGCTGGCGATGTGGTACTCAAGGATATCATGTGTGGAGATGAGGCGGCGGCGGCACGGTCGATGCTACAGATAACATATCCGGTATGAGAAGCGCACGGAATGATTCTGTGCATAGGCGAATGCGCCAACGCAAACCTGGCACCGCTGACAAGATGCCTGGACACGGCGAAATTCTAGATGGAGAATGGAATCGTAAAACGATGGGACGACATGCAGCACCTGTGGGACTTCACATTCGCGGAGAAGTTAAAGATCGATCCGACAGGACGTAAGATTCTCCTCACAGAGCCACCGATGAACCCACTGCGCAACCGAGAACAGATGGCCGAGGTCATGTTCGAGCGATACAACTTTGGCGGCGTCTACGTAGCGATCCAGGCGGTTCTCGCTCTTTACGCGCAAGGTCTCTCTTCCGGAGTGGTGGTCGATTCTGGAGATGGTGTCACACATATTGTGCCCGTCTACGAAAGCACGGTCTTGAATCACCTCACGCGACGATTGGATGTGGCAGGTCGAGACGTCACACGAAACCTCATCTCGCTATTGCTTCGACGTGGATACGCGCTGAACCGGACTGCGGACTTTGAGACTGTGCGTGCGATCAAGGAGAAGCTATGCTACGTCTCATACGACCTCGCGCTGGACCAAAGGCTCAGCGAAGACACCACCGTACTTGTGGAATCCTACACATTGCCCGATGGTCGTGTCATCCGTGTCGGTAGCGAACGTTTCGAGGCGCCAGAATGCTTGTTCCAACCACATCTCGTAGACGTCGAGCAACCGGGTATCGCCGAATTTCTGTTCAACACAATTCAAGCTGCAGACGTCGACATTCGATCTTCGCTATACAAGGCTATCGTACTTTCCGGTGGCAGCAGCATGTATCCCGGACTTCCTTCACGCATGGAAAAAGAGCTGAAGCAGCTGTGGTTGACCAAGGTGCTCCAAGGCAACCCGGAGCGTTTGAGCAAATTCAAAGTCCGCATTGAGGACCCGCCTCGTCGTCGTCACATGGTGTTCCTGGGTGGTGCTGTCTTGGCAAACATTATGGCAGATAAAGAGAACATGTGGGTCTCGAAGCAAGAATGGGAGGAACAGGGCGTACGGGCGTTAGAGAAGTTGGGCAACCGCGGTTGAGAGAGCTGATTGCTTGTTGATCGCTTTGTCATCTCGGTCACGGAAAAGCGCGCAAAGCCAATGATGACGATTTACAAAGAGCAGGGAGCATGGCCGAAAATATTAGTTAATGCTTGTGTATCCAGTCGGTGCGCTGACAGACCCACAAGCGACCACGGAAGCAATCCATGTTGCAGACATTGGTGCGGAATCCGGCGATGAAAAAGTCCTGTCCGCCGACATGACACCTCGTCATTTTTGACCATTGTAGCAAGCTCATACCATCGTGCTCAATCTACCACATAGACCGGTCATGATAACGAAACTACAAATGAATGAGACACAGTCGGCTTTGAAAGTGAACGATTGTCTTGTCGGCGCATGAGGAAAGTACATGCTGTAAACTTACGGCTTCATCACACAATTAAAGCGAACCAGTTAATAAATATTGATGTTATGCTTGAGATTGCAATCGGAAAACAAGGATATCATAGGCGCAAATAGACAATTTGGAAGTGCTTGCTCGACTGTCCCCACGCCAAGCGGTCTCAGCACAAATGCTCTCGACAGCTGCTTCTTTTGTACGCATTGAAAGCAAAGCAAGGTCGTAAGCCTTGTCCAATTACAAGCCGAGCACAGTCTTGAGCTCGGGGATCTCTGCGTGGTCGGCAGTGTGCTGCATGCGACGGCACCACTCAACCGTGCCGTCCTTGAAGACCCATTCGCCACCGTTCTCTACAAAACCGTATTAGTCAGAGCGCATGCTTGGGTTCGCGAAGGGGCTATCACGCGACATGTGATAGGGAAAATGCAAGTTACAACAAGGACGAGATGGTTAACACCAAACGACGAAGTGATGACTTACGGCTGATCTTGCCTGCTTTCCAGGCCTTGCCAACGCCCATACCCAAAGCGGTGAACAATGAACTCTTGATGAGGCTGAGCTGGCTGCGGCTAAGGTAATCGGGTTTGCCCTTTTGGTTCAGAGAGCAGACCATGCCCAGCTTCTCATAAGTTGCGCGGCTGGGGTCACAGTAGATCGGGTAGGGACAGCCAGTGCGAGTGGCGTAGTCGGCGATGAGTGTGTGGTCGCCACAGCCGACGATGGTCAACTTCGTGTCGACCGACTCCAAGAGCTTCGGGGGCAGATCACGGGCGAGCGCGCGGACGTACTCCTCGCAGAACTGGACATGATTGAGAGATCTGTTAGCTCGAGGGTTCTTGGACGTGGCGTCGCAAATGAGATCGGTTCGACTTAGGTAACTTACACCGCAGAGGAAGTGACGGATGAAGACAATGAGCTGTTTCTCGCCTGTGGGCTGGTTGGTGTAGAATGACTTCAAGTCGACCTTGTTGCCATCTTTATCCAGCACTTGCAACTGGCCGGCTTCTTCGAGCACTTTCGCATCGGGCAATCGGTAGATGTCCGTAGGTTTCTCTTGAGCCGCGGTGGCACCCATGTTGTCGATGATTGATTGACTAGATAGTAAGTGGTGATTCTGCCTGGACAATATCAATGATGGAGAAAAAGCGAAGAACTTGCGAACTGAAATGGGAATGCGACAAGAGCCACCTCAATGTCTACTGCCGGGCATGATATAATTCCACTTCGCAAGTGTCGTCGATACTTTCGGCACGACTAGCTTCCGGATCGTTCATTGGCGAATTTCATGTGATGACTTGTCTAGTACGAGAAACGATGCATGCCTGGTGACAACTTTATAACGAGAGCGCTCTAGGCGTCTTCTCACTAGGATGGTGATGTGGGAAATGCTCCTCACACACAGCTGATTAAGACGTGTTTGAAGCTGGCCAGCAAGCCGATTGTAATGTGCTGTATGCACACACATGCATTTACAACAGTCACCCCAAAAAGGAAATCAGACGGTATCACCTGTCGTTTTGAGAGAGGAAGCTTTTCTTATCTACCTAGGAGCGAGGAGTACGGGAGCAGACGGTCGCCAGTACCGCATACTTGCTGTACACCTCATGCGTATACCTGGGTAGTTTGTGATGCCAGGTTGCATCTCTATGCCGACCTACTGATCACTAATGCACTCTGCAATCCATCCATGCGGGTAGGTAATGTGCGTATGCAATGCAGCACGAACTTCGTGAGCCTTTAGGTCACGTGTTTCTCGCTCGAGGACTGGGTCATGTGACGAGTTCTCGGGACAAGCCGCGCGAGCAGCCGATGCCTGCGCTCACATACAGTCGAAGCGCCAAAGGTCTCGGACTGCGGAGTTGAACGGCGGTAAGTCGAGGTCACGCCTTGCTGCATCATCAGCTCCTCACCTCCCATACGCCATCAACATCTCGGTCGTTCATACGCTGTCGACAGCGACCTGGTCCCCTCTCCAACGACAGTTCCTCTTCGAAAGAGGAACCGCGGCATGCTATGTTCTCGACAAAACTAACCCGTGTGGCCCACCGCGCACCACCCACCGTAGTCCTCAATAACTCGACATCTACAGTCACCGCCCATTTCTCTGCGCCATGTGTCGCCGAGCGCCGTCAGCATCAGCGTCGCCATTCCAGCAGCAAAGCATCTTATCCTCCCAACAGCGCTGCCGGCAATGGCAAGTCAGCTTCTCCCGCCAAGGATGCACCTGTGACGCCAGCGACTCCGGTTTCATCATCAATATCAGGAAACGCAGCTCCGCCACGGACCAAGCGGGCATACAAGGCGAGGAAGCCGCGTGCTGTATCCATGAGCAAGGTTGAGAATCACTTCGCTGGGCTGCCTTCCGTGGAGAATACGAAAGGCTGGCGATACAATGGTGAGGCATCAAATGCTAGCGTATCGGAGGCTGTGAAATGCTGATGAATTTTCCTGCAGATTTCGCCATGTCATCGTTCTTTTCACTCCATCGACCTCTGGCGCTAATCGTCCCGCTTCCCCGGCCATCATCCGCCGACGAATTCGCGAGCATTTTCGAATCTCGACATGATGCATGGCACAATGGCAACTCCGCTGAGGGACGACCGGAAGATGTGGTATATGCACTTAACCCGCTGTTCCAGGACACTACCGCGAGTGAGCTTGGCAACCAGGAGGGCGCATCATGGACGGATAGCCAAGAAGGCATCATCTCATTGGAGGATGCGAAACATCTGGATGGTCTGACAAACGCAAAATCTTTTGACGATGTGATGGCTCGATTCCAACACATGCCGTTCCGTGCTCCTCCACCACCTCAACCTTTTGTCGGAGACAAGCCCGTGAGCAAGAAACGCTCGGCCAAGGAGAGGGAGGCATTCAAGGAGCAGACCATGAAAGTTCTTAATGGTCTCAAAACCGCTGAGCGCACCTTTCAGACACTACTCACAATGACCGAGGCCACATCACAGGACGGACAAAAATTCTATATCGCCGAACGCGGTCCGATTGTTGAGTTGCCGAATGCGGAAGCCGAGGCGCTCGAGGAACAAGGCACATCCCGCACCCGAAGCCAATCTTCGCGTCTGCGGTCCAGACGCCAGAATATGACCTGTCAAGCCCTCCCCAATCGCTCCCGTCAGCAAGCACAAGGCTCGCGAGTGTTTGTCCAGACGGTCACGCAACGATGGATCCGAAAGTCACCAACGAAGCGGCCCGAAATGGTCTTCATCTCCGTCAAGCGTCAGCGAAAGCTGAAGATGAAGAAGCACAAGTATAAGAAGCTGATGAAGAAGACTCGTACGCTGCGCCGGAAGTTGGATCGTCAGTGATCGGGCAATGGCTAGCTTGATAGAAACAGGCATTGGGCAGTCAGGACACAGATCTTTCCTGATTTTACAAAGGACTCGCGTTGATCGGACTCGTGCCATGCGTATTTTGCGATCGAACCTCCAGCGGGTCAAAACTGCAATCACGGCCTGTGTCCCTGGACGAAACATCATCTACACGGGCGATGGCTTCGGCGTTTCAAGTTTTTTTTGAGCATCATCTGCATTATATCTCTATAGATCCGTCTCACTGCCTCTCATACGCAGCGGTATTTCGGGAGGCATCGCCTCTAATTTTCGCCATCTCTCTCTCCACTCTCATCACATTTTTTTGGTCCTAGCTTTCAAGGGTTCAATTGATTTTCATCTTCATGCCCTTGAACAAATATCCGCCCGCGAGCTTTCCAATCACAGCTCCCGCGTACGCCCCACATAGCACCGTCACCGGCCACCGCTGCCAGTCACGATCCCAGTCAAGCGGGATTGGAATCGCGCCGATCCACGCTCCTAAACACGCGCCCAGCGCCAATCCGAAAATCTCGTCGATCGGCTGTTGTAGACTGGCGAGCCGCATCCAGGTCGAGGCCTCCAGGCCATGAACGTAGAACAATGGCGGCGTGGTCAGGAAGGCGAGATGCAAAGCCAGTAACATCGTGTGGGCATGGTGGGAGACCAACGGCGCTCCGAAGAGGACCAGGAGGATGTAGAGCACGGGCGCGGTGAGGAAGATGGTCAGCACGAAAGATAGACAGGCCGGCTGTGAGATAATGTGTCAGCTCTGAATGCTCTTCAAAACAAAGAGGAGATGGAGCTCCTTCGCTCCCTGTTCCCTCTCTGCCCTCCCTTCAAAACCACTCTCTACCCACCTCCTCCCGAAGTATTGCGAAAGAAAGAATGGGGAAAAGGACATACCACAATCTTAGCAGCCAGATCCTGCGTCGGCTTCGCCGCCTTCTTCTTCTTCTGGCCCGGCTTGGCCGGTGCGGTCGACGGGTTCCCCGACGAAGGCAAACACAGCACGCAATACGCGGCTTGTAGGATGGCTACCGTGGGCGCCAGGCCTAGCAGGGTGTTGAGCGGGTCGGCGACCAGGCTGCGGAAGGCGGCGATGAAGATCGACAGGAGGAGGATTGGGTGTAGGTTGGCGTAGAAGCGCGATTCGGGCGTTGTGAGGATCTCGATTGGTGCGATGGCGGCGGCGGCTGCTGCTGCTGCTGGAGATGCGGCGGGCGCCGCCGTGGAGGTGCTGCTCGTGGAGGAGCTCATCGTTGAGTCGCTTGGAGGGTAACGAGCGTATGTGGGTCGGCGGGCACGATCGGGTTGAAGTGGCTCTGGTGTTAAGGTGACATGTTCACGAGTATGTGTGGCTCGTTTGATAGATGTATGACGCCAAGCTTTGGCAGTGTAGAAGGTCGACAGGTGTGCTGGCTGGAAGCGTTGCAACTTTACGACCCAAGCATTGAAAGCGTGGTCGAATTGTTAGGTCGTCCTGGCGGTCCCTGATGTGCGCATAAAGCCGGGATGTTGTTGTAAACCCCGATCCGCGCACTGCTCCGATGGCTTCCAGTAAGGGTTGTTCATCTGGACATCAGGATACGCATCTCACCTTGCACAGGTTAATGAGAGTGCGCATTCAGGTATTGGGTCTTTGATATTGTCGTTGAATATTCGTATCGGTATCTGTACCCCATGTCGGTTTTCTTCGAGTGTGTCTCGGCCACGCAGGAGGTCAGTCTGTATCTCGAAAGTGGTCAAGCACTCAAGGCACAGTTGGACATTGCAAGTGTAGAATTACCTGCACTCCCCGAGACGAAGATACCTGACGAAGAAATCTACAATCATCTTGCGACGAATGATCATAGATCTGTAGGTTCATTAATTTCATAATAGATACAATCGTCCTCAACTTGACAACCAATGCCACATTTTCTGAACTCTCTCGTGCAGGCGCACAGGCCCGTTCGTCCTCCCCTGGGTGGAACACGACTGCCCTTCCCAACGCTTCCTTCTATACAAAATGCGCTATCTAATGCGTCATACAAATGGTGTATCATCGCGTTGAATTTCATCTCAATCGTCGGAGGACTCATGCCAAAGTCATCTCGTCGTCCAGTTCGATGCCTATCATCATCGTAGGAGTCATAACTCCGTCATGCAGGAAAAAGTGTATATCGTCGGACCATGGGTATAATTCGCGCTGATATGGTCAGGTCCAGTCAAACATTCCACAAAATGTGCCTCCATGGATGGGAGCATTGTGGCTCCTGATGCATTACCTTCCCGCGATCATACCAGGAAGCCGACCAGGCCCATAGCGACTGCTGCCACCATGGCGGGTGCTACAGAAAATACGTCGCTGCCCAGCACTGCAGCTGCACCGGTCATCAGACTGGGCTGCTTTGATGTGGTCGGGGTGCCGAGTCTGCTGGTTTGTGTGCCAACAGCGCCGACAACGACCACCGAGGTCACAGTAGACACTGTACCGTCGCTTAATGTCGTCTTGAACTTCGTTTGTTGGCTCACAGTCAGACCGGTGGGAGGTGTGTATGTGACCGTGACGGTGCGACCAAGGTTGTTTGTGACTGTGTATACACCGCCAGCGCGTGGGCTGGTCAACACAACTGTGCCGATATCTGCTGCGGTGGTCGTGAGGCGTGTTTCTGCCGAGGTAACAACACTTCCCCCAGGCGCGACGGCGACAGTAGTAAGCAGTTGTGCAGAGGTGACCACCGAACCGACGGAGTTGGTGGCGCTGACAATGACAGCTGGGGCGGAACTTGAGCTGGTAATGGTTTGGCCATCGTTGTTTGTTGTTGTGATAGGTACTACGACGGTTGTCGGTGCGTCTGCCGCAAGAGCGGTTGTTGTCTGCTGAACAACACCGCCCGCAGCATCGGTGGTGGAAGTGATGACAGGCACAAGCACACCAGTCTGAGTTGCAGGCGACTCCAGCGGAGTGGTGAGAGTGGGCGTGGTCGGTTCGGGAGTTGTAGCTGGGCCGGCAGCTGAAGTCGCTGTAAGAGAAAAGAGGTCAGTATTGCTTTCGATTTATGTCAGGCGGATGATCGCTAGAGCCAGGAACATGAACCTGCACGGCTGTCCACGGCACTTGCCGGCCGGCATGGATAGATTTCGCATGGAGCTCAAGGACCATCCAAGCGACAGTTGCAGGCATGGTGGTTGGAGTCCTGACCTTGATTGCTTCTAGTATCGACAGATGGCGTACTTTCGAGATCCGAGGTCAAAAGCCCGCTCGACGTGGGAGTGGTCACAGATGTGGGTGGCACTGCCGATGACGGCGACGACACAGCAGTGGACGTGGATGTGGCAGAATTCTCACCTTGCGAAGATGGCAGTGGTGTCGACGAGGTGGTGACAGAGCTCGTTGACGCGGTTGACGACGATGTTGTAAGACTGATAAGACTATCATTGTTAGACTGACCTTGAGAAGTGGTGGTGGCGGTGGCGGTTGTAGGGATGTCCGATGCCACCGTCGATGTGATCGTGCTCAGCGGTGTCGATGTTGTGGTGGTGTCGGTGGTTGTCACGGCCGTGGAACTCGTACTAGTTGTAACACCAGTTGTCGTGTTGACATCTTGTCGAGCCCGGAGCAGTTTCTTTCCTGCTGCATTTGGTCCCGATGATCCAGTCAATCCATGTGCCAATGCCGGATTTTCATTGCGGACAGCCTCGTAGGCGTGCGGCTGCTGCCCTGTGTGGCTGAAAACGAGCAGCGGGAGGCTTGCAAGCAACAATGCCACCCGAAGCGGCGACGACAGCATTATGAAACTCCGTCAGACGGACAGACACACGCAATGCGCCTTCGAATGGTCTCTGAAACAAATGCAAGAATGAAGTAGGTCTCAGAAAATGGAGATTAAAATGATGTCGAAGAGCGAACTGTGGTGTAGGTGAGTGAGGTTCTGCGGCAACGGCAACGCAGGGGAGGTCAAGAGGAGGGAGAATTCAAAGTTTCCAAATGCTGGGGAAACGAGCAAGGATGACGACTGATGGGGATAGAGAAGAGCAGGGTACACGACCACACGTGCGGCGGGCGAGATGATGGGATCGACATGGGACATCATCAGCCTTGCCCCGACCAAGGCAAGGAAGGAAGCCAAGGATGAAGTCGGCCAAGTATAAAACGGGGACTAACGAACAGGGTCACCATCATTACAGGATCGCATTGCTACGGTGATACTCAGGAAATGTACTGTCTCCTCTTGATCTTCGTCCGACTCTAGCACAATCGTCGCAACATGGGTGGGGTCCAGAACTAATGATGATGGGGCGGAGTTGTCGTCTGGTCTTTGCGTGCCCATAGCGACGATTGCCGATGCAGACTGCAATGCCTTCTCCTGGAAAGCATTCAGCGGCGGACCGTTCAAAGGGTTGTCTTTGCATCATACATTTTATGGTCGATCGATCGCCTACCGTCGTCCCATCTTGCGTGCTGCCACGACTCGCGACGATGCGGAGCGCACGTTCATGCGTAATAAGAGGCTGTATCGACATTCTGTTCCGAGTCCAGTCGACAATTTGAGCTGTGCCGTAGTAGCAGGCCCGGTACCGTAGATGAACTCCACACACCATTCGGAGATCCTCAATCGTCCCGAGGCAACACCCTTGCGCCGCTTCTGCACGCCGTCAGCGCGGCAGTTGGCGCCACTCCGAAATTGGCGGAGAAGTGCCCCCCCACAAAAGTATCTATTCACACAGACCAGCACCTGCAGCCATTGAGGCAATATTTGGACGAGGCTCTCCACTTGTACTCCCCAGCGGTGCATGAGCACCACACCCTACCCATTCACCTTCTGTACTACACAGGCGATGGCGATAAAAGTATTCTGAGTACCAGCGTCTTTAAGACGAGCCCATCATGACGTCGAAAGTTCCTTTATCATTACTCAGTCGAGACACTTGGGAGCTCTGTTCAAATGTAGCGGCGCAACACCTCATATGTTTGCAGCACATGTTAATTTCTCCGCGAGCCTACATTACTGCTAAAATACATGCAGTGCCTATGCCAGGCCATCCGATCTTGCTCGTCGAGCGAGTGGTGTCGGAGGAGCATACGCGCCTCACAATCGATTCGTATAGATATGGATGGACCTTAGCTAGGCGCCAACATGGCATCGATCCTCCGCCGCAGACTTGGCATGATCTGCTCGTTGCCGCGATCATGTTGAATAGTACTCCTATGCGGACGATTATTGTACGCTGGCGTTCTTCGCTGTGATGTCTTCTGGCGCAGTGCCAGCAGTGTGCTCAGCGGTGGGTGGAGCAATGGCCACTTCTGGAATCTGTTGCAATGGATTTGATACTGGCATCCATGTGGTTTGCCCAGCAGATGCGGAGTTGGTTATTGTAGGCGCAGCTCCAGTCGATGTTGATGGTGCCGTTCCCGGAACGGACGAGAAGGCTGTCGGTGAAATCAACGGTGCTGGCGCCATCCAAGTGCTTGCAACAATCGGTTGAGGAGGAGTGCTCTGCGCTGCATCGGTCACGTATTGCGCCTTCGGGTTTGATATGCTTCGCTGGGCTGCATTCTGTTCACTCAAGCGATGGTCCGTGACAGAGGCATCGGCATTCGACACTTCCGGCAGATGCTGTTGCGAAGCTTGCAGATCTGGTCTGCTCTTAGAACGCTCGTGCTGAAAGATCTGACTTGTGGACGACCCAACGCGGTCTGGTGTGCGCGAACGCTTCTCCGCGTCCTTGTCTTTGCGCTCCTGGATTTTGCCACGTATCCACGACATAGGTCCAGCAGTCTTCCGCTCGCGCTCGGAGTCAGAGAATACGGCGGAGTCGTTGTTCTGCTGCTGCTGCTGCGCGGCTGCTGCAGACTTGCCACCAGCGGTCGCGTCCGACGATGTGGATCCTGTTGTAGTGATCGATGTTGCATTTGTCGACGTCTCTGTTGATGGCAGGGCCATGGACGCACGCTGGTCTTGGAAACTTCGACGCGGCTGAGAAGTGACACTGCTGCCCACCGTGCTGCCGATCGTGGACCGCGATGTGGCATTGTCTCGGCTGGTCAGCGCTCCAAGAGCGCTGCCTGGCATGGAGGGCGAAGCGAGTCTGTTGCTAGAGCGCGAGAACCTCCACCGGCTGCGCTTCTTATCCCGGGCAGCAGACTCGTCATCATTCGAAGGCATGTCATCCCCGACAAGATCGGCATCTGACGTGTCATCTGTCTGCGAGTGGAACGAGTTTGCCGGAGACGTGCTGTTGACTTTGGCCGCCGTCTCGTTCAATCGACTCGGAGGTACGGTAGCAAGAGGTGTGGCCAACGGAGTTGTGTACTCGGACTGCTCCCCAGGCATCTCTGCCACTACATCGTTGTGAATTCCTGGCGCGAGGCGTGGCGAAAGGGGTGATCTGGGAGCGGCTTCTGAAAGGTTGTCCTGGAGTGATTGGCTGGAGGACTGCGCGCTAGACAGTGACGCGCCAGGCATGCGTTTCTTCTGAAGCTTATTAGGCCTGCGTGCGTCAGCCTCACCAATTGGAGATTGCTTGAGAATGTCCAGGAATTTACGGCCATGAGTGACAGAAGATGTGTTGGAGAACGAACGCTCGCTGGACTTCTCCCCACTACCACCCTGAGGGGCTATCGAGGGACTGCCATCCTTCTGAGGGGTCTGAAAATCCCGAGCAGCGGTGGGAGTGAGTGCATTCGAGGGGACATTGAACGACTGTACGTCTTCGACCGGTGTGAATGCTGCAGGACGTTGTGAAGTAGTGCCTGCATTTGCTGTGTTGGGCACCGAACCATATATGCTGTCTCGTACTGGTGCTGGCGGTGAAGCACTTGTGGGAGTATCATCGTCCGCGGTCGAACTCGAGGTCAGAAGTGGTGAAGGCGGTGGCAGCTCCCTTTGGAATCTAGATCCCGCGGCACCGCCGCCTCCCTTTCTAGAGGGCACCGTATTGCTGCGTTGAACGCCCCCTGCACTGACTGGCGAAGTTGGCGTCATAGGATTTGAGGTGCCCTCGGACCGCTTGCTGTGCTTACTAGACACTGACAGATTACGCCGGATACTGCCAAATCTTCGCACGCTGTCTGCCGCTACACTAGAATTAGAGCCAGAACGACCGATGACTGTCTTTGCCCTACTGGGAGCGGGCGATGCAGCGCCCGATCTCGGGCTGCCGTTCTGCACATCACGGACAGTCTCGGCATCAGCGGCGGTCCCTTGCATGCCAATAAGGAAGCTGTCTTGGTTGATGATAAGAAAGCTGAGGATATCTTGGCTCAAGCGGTACTCCTGAGGCGCCATGTCGTGTTGTGGGTGATTCAAAATTCCAGGCTGGAAAATGGCCGCCAAATTTTGCGTCGTCATTTTATTCATGTCAGACTTGCTCGCAAACACAGCGAGCAGATCCAGGATATACAACAGTAGTTGGCGGTTCAATGGCGGCAACTCTGTGATGAGATTTTGGTAGATCTTGATGGCCGCGTCGGTGTCAAATGCGCCAGAGCTCAGCGGCTGCGATGCTGCTGTCCCGCTCGCTTGTCCAGGGTGATTTTTGAGCGGGTCGCGAAACCTTTGGTAGAATTCCAATGGAATGATGGGTTCCGGAAGCTGGTTGAAGTATCTTCGTAGGATGTTGGCCGCATCGTGGACTGTATACCCCGTCCAGTCGAGACCCTTTCCATAGCGGTCCGGGCTGTCGAATGCGGTCCTCAACTCCTTGATGCGCTTCTCGCTTCCAGCCAACCGGAAGATGCCTTCGACGTCGGTCGCTGAAGTCTCATTAGCTACGAATCGTGCACATTTAATTCATATTTAGCTTACCCTTCTCCTTGAGGAAGACTCCGCACTTTGCAACGACAATAGGCACGTATCCATAGATATAGCTTTGGCCTTCATCGTTGAACAAACTGATGGCCACATTGGCGTACCGTATGCTGACTTGCAGTGGGACACCGAATATGCCTTGGACGGGTGCTGGAAATATGGTCAGATATGGGAATGCAACAGCACGGAGTGCCAGTAGAAAGCCAGCGTGTACGATCAACGCGACGTACCTTGTTCGGGCACCTTCTTATCACCTCTTTTGAAGTTCTTCCACCAGCCCGCGAGATCCTTTTTCTCTCTTGTTGACTCACTCTGCGCCAGTATTGGCGCAGGACGAGCTCCGCCGGTCCCGGCCGCCGCTGCATAGCCGCCTCCGGTTGACATTTCGAGAGTGGAATTCCGTTTACAAGATCGTGATGGTATTTAGTACAACATGCGCGGAAAGTGTCGCGATCGGGCGAAGAACGATGTCGACCACCAAGCACGAGCACGAGCTGTGCTCCACGCTGAGACGGATGGTCGGGCGCAAATTAAAGCTGGCGTACGGCGCGCACAGCTGATCGAAAAACAATTCCCACGCGACGCGCAGAGTGAAGCTGCGGAGTGCGTATCTCGACGTTGGAACAGGTGCGTCGGTTGTAGTTGAAATAACAAGCTGAAGAGGAGATCGGATAGCCGCTATTGTGGGCTATGCGTGCGAATGCGCGGGAGTTGTCATGTGCTCCTCGCGACCAGCTGTCGAGTTGTAGCAAAGGATCGTGGTGATGATGGTGCACAGGTGTACCTGCTGGAGTATTTGGAGAGGGCAGCAGACAGGAAAGGGCAAGGCCCCACAGGGCAGAACGGGAAAAAGAGAGCAATTGGGCTGGGCGCAAGATTAGCTGGTTGGTGGTGAGAGGGAGGGCGAGCTGGACAGAGCCCGAGAGCTGCTGGAGAGACAGAGACATGATGACTACACACTGCACTGTCCATAGCAGACCTACCTACAGTACACACACCCATACACCCATAGACCCTCTCCCTGCCCACAAATCCAACATTATTATTCCAGTATTGATCTACAGGCTGCAGGTTACAGCATCAGCCGAAGATTGTGTACTGCCCCAGCGCTATAATCTCCAGTGATGCACCTCCCAAACCGCACCAGTGCCTGATCAGCCACGCATTTCGCGCCCACACACGATTGCATGTCTCGTCCCACGTACACACGCATACACAACTCGATCTCCTCGTCAACAATGACAATCATCTTTTGCGGACGTGTGTTGATGGCCAGTCACTAGTCAATATTTCTTTCGCCATGCCGATCATACACGAACCAGAGAACGAACCCTTTGCGCCGCAGAATTCCTCCCGGTGCATATCTGTACATAGGCGCCTTCCATCAAAAGACGCTTTCGGATTGGTGACGCCGCCAATGTTGGTATTTTTATCCTCCAGCCAATTCACTCCCCACTTTCTGTTCTACTGGACGTCGTTGTCCAAACCCTAGATCGGAGCCCTTGACTCATGATGAGTCCAAGGTTTGTTCAACCAGATCGTCATGCAGCAAGATATGACGTGTTGCCTTCCTATTCCTCACAGGCACAGTCGGCAAGGCACGTATGATAACGGCCAGGCGACCATCTAGCGCCATACCACATCTGGTTCTTGACCGATTTATTTAGCAGGTTCGAGAGTGTTGTGTAGGAATCTAGGAAGCATCCTCCCGCGGCTACTTGTCGTGTTGTAAAAGTTTCAAGTGTGTTCCAATCAGATCTCGGTGATAAGTGCTACTTCACGTTTGATTTCAGGCCGCCATTGTTGGTGACAAACACCATCTGCCTGCCCGCCACGTGCATGGAGTACTCCCACATGCGAGCCGTTGGTCTTAGATTACGCGCGGCACTTTGATCACGACTGCCAGATGATCCCTCATCCTCTCTACTGATCTCGAACCAGCTGGCGCCCACCAACATAGTGTGGTCGAGAAGTAATCTCGAAGCGTAAAGCGAATGCTGGCCGGACAGCATAGCTATAGGCTGGAAGAAGCTGTGCGATCTTCACTTGGGCAGAAATCATCACGGCTATGAGTTAGCTTTTCTCGAATATAGAACAGGCCGACGCGCGTCGTTGTCCGCCAGTCCTCCATATGCCAAAACATACTACGGGGAGTTCCCAAGTTTGCGTGTCAGAGAATTGATGGAAGTTGCAAGCTCAGCAGCTCTGATATTACTACCTACGGACTCCTCAGTAAGCATCACGCGGAAATTATTAGGCGGCGGTAAAATACCATACTGGAACGCGCAACCGGCACATCATCTTCATCTTCATGTTTAGACAATTACATAATATCAATATGACGATGGGATTAGTCTCTAACAAGACAGTTCTCCCTCTCCAGTAGATTAACAACAACACCTGCCAGCGTTGAACAGTGTCATCGGACGCGGCTGTCCGAGATGCGGACAATTACCAATTAGGCATAGCTTGAGAAGCGGATGACCAGCGACGGTAAATTGTGTACAGTACAACTGCTTCAGGGCCATCACACAGACTGGCGAGCTTGGAGCAGCGAATCTATTGCATTGATTTCAACGATAAATTTGCGAGCGCATCACGACACCGTCATCTGAATCCGAGTATACCGTCTCGCAGTAGCAGCAATCCGAACACGTCATCAGAGCCTATCTTCCCATCACAGTCGCAGTCATCGTTCAACATGAGCGGAATGGAGATGTAGGTCGTGGAAGGATAATGGAAGATTGGGTGACAATGAACTGACACGATGCTATTCCAGGCTCAACAGTGCAGAGCAGCGTGAGCTGCAAAGCCGCATGGAGAGGAAACAAGTCAAAGACTTCATGAATGTGCGCTGAGTCCACCTGCCTCCCAAAATTTGAAACGAGCAAAGCCACTGCTATGCTCCTTATAGATTACTCCATCGTCCAAGCCGTTTCAAGAAGCCGTGCTGACTAGAGATCCACCTGTAGTTGTACTCAAATCTCGTTCAGCGTTGTTTCAACGACTGCGTCACCGACTTCACATCCAAGAGCTTGATGAGCAAAGAGGAGGGTTGCGTACTGCGCTGCGTTGACAAGTTCATGAAGGCTTCGGAGCGATTGGGCGAGCGATTCCAGGAGCAGAATGCGCAGATGGCGCAATCAGGCAGCATTCCCGGGCTCGGCAGGTAGAACATGAATTCAGATGAAACCGATGATTTCTTCCAGGCCATCTGCGAGAGATGGATTTCACCGCGACGAGGCTATGGTGTGCCATTACATTCTCAGACTGTATTGAATACTTGCCAGATTTCGGATATATCAGAACAGGAGAGCAGGGTGTGGATGATGCGCTACATTTGACTGCGTTACTCAGCTTCGATACCAGCTGGGAACGACTTTTGGAGCGTCATGATTGTACTGTACTATAGTGAAGTGTGAGCAAGTGCTGCACCTCAGAACAAATTTACGGAGCAAATCATTGCTTCGTGCCATCAACGGTCCCCTCCCGCCCATGTACAACCATCGCCTATGCCTTGGGCAGAAGGCCACGAAGGCTCAGATCGTACACTACATCCTCGACTTCCTTGACTCGGTACTTGATGCCATCGCTGCGTTTTCGCAGCGTGTCATTCTTAAGATTCAGTATTTGGAAGCCGGCATGGATGTCTTTGATGAACTGGCTGATTTGTAGTGGCCGACTGTAATCACCTAGGGTGACAGAGTTCCGGGCAAGCCGAGCCTGAAGATGATGATCAGTGATATTCGCATTAAAGTATCAGACCACCGTAGCCTGAACACCACAGAGCGTCGTAGAAGACTTACCAACTCGTCAAGCAGTGATATTAGTGCGAGTAGATATTCTTCGATTGTGAGATGGAATGCATCGCGGTCCTTGAGGTTGACCGGCACTATGGTGGAACTGCGGTCAGAACTCGTAAATCAGCCCCAGGTGTTGAAGGCACGTACCATTCATGATCGAGCCAACTTCGTCGATCGTGAGAAGCTGACCGGTTCGACCTTTATCGAAGCCACCAAGCCAAGCGCAGGTCAATATGGAGAGACACTATTAAAGAGTCAGCCTCCAGATCAAGTAGCAGCGTCAATCTAAATGTGTGCATACTGCATCCTGGATGTGGCGTGTCCATGAATAGTTGAACTTGTAGTATGGATACTTGGATGCCAGCTCTTCGAGACGCTGAATGGATTGGACCTCGTTCGCAATGCTTGCTTGAGCCGCAGCCACGACGGAGCTCGCTGTCAACAATTCAGTAACGGCCAATCCTCATAGATCAAACAAGCACCGAAGCAGCAAGGGGATGTGTCGCCAGCTAGTGGAGACTCACCATCAGATGAGGCTGTGGAGTGTGCTCGTGACAGAATTGCCTGAGTTGCGCGGTCCTGCTTCTCGAGTGTTTGCACTATATCACGAAGAGCCTGAGAGGTGGTCAGCCGACGTAATTCAGCTGGTTGGCGTAATGCCTCCGTGCTTGTGGGGACTGACGTCTTTGATAGCAGAGTCTTCGTCGATTTTGCGTTGCAAGTCTTCAAATATGCCAGCTTGGAGAACCGCGGACGGCTTGTTGTCGAGATCCATCCTGTAAGTCCTTCACAGTCGACTTGTATGTCACTCCAATCCGCACTTGAAGGTCTCGATAAAATGATGATTAAGTGATTATCGATAGCTTGGTATATCTTATGCGTGCTCTCTTTGAGGGTGTAGTACTAGGCTGTATGTGAGCTTTTTTGGGATTTTGATGGACGACACCAATGCAGGGCCCTGGAGGGTTTTCATGAACACCTAAGTGGCATTGGATGAGCAATGTTACTAGACCACATCATCTCAACTTCTAAGCTCTGCACTCGTCATTGTTCTGATATTTCGAACCTTATCGAAATCCTTAAAAATACGCGATCCACGCATCAAGTTTCTCGTTGCGATTGAAAAGACATGCGAACATGAGAAGATAGGTTGTCGATCGACGGATCATTACATGGGTCATGCTTTGGATGTGGTCCCCCGTGCGGCGATGCCCCCACAAGTACAGCCACGTTGTGCATTCCGCGCTCAGTCTGAAGAGCAAGGGTCCATTGATTGTCAGCTCAGCGCATTTACAATGTGAAACTTGTCCTGCTCGACGACTTGACACAACTACGAAATCATTTCAAGGTCCGCATTTGATGATCGCCGGTAACTTGAGACGGTAGCACTGGCATGCCGACAGCGCATCAATTGCGCCACCGTTCGTGATGGACGCCTACACAGATACACGCCTGGACGAATCCAATTTTGGAGAGAAAAACGCCGCCAAAGTGGTGCAGGCCTTTGACGCATTCCCAAAGACAAAACCTTCTTACACGCACCAAACTTCAAACGGCGGCGTCTGGACCGTCATTCTCACCATCGCATCCATCATCTTGACCTGGACTGAGCTGCAACGATGGTGGGCTGGGGAGACGACTCACGCTTATGCAGTCGAGCAAGGCATTGGTCATGATTTGCAAATCAATCTCGACGTGGTTGTAGCCATGAAATGCCAGGACTTGCATGTGAACGTGCAAGATGCATCCGGTGATCGCATTCTGGCTGGCCAAGCACTTAAGAAAGACCCTACACTGTGGTCAGACTGGACGACCGATCTCAAGCACACTCTGGGTACGACGAAACAGCAGCGCGTTAGCTTGGATAGCATCGGGGAATATCAGGAAGAGGATGTGCATGATTATCTGGGAGCTGCGCACAAGGGAAAGAAATTCAAAAAGACACCTCGGGTGCCGCGACGTGTTCCTTCGAACAGTTGCCGGATTTACGGCAGCATAGACGGCAACAAAGTACAAGGTGATTTCCATATCACTGCGAGAGGTCACGGATACAATGATTTCGGCGAGCATTTGGACCATAAAAGTGAGTGGAGACAGGACCGCGATCGCCTCTGCGCATTGCACTGACAAAGAAACAGGTTTCAACTTCAGTCATCACGTCAACGAGCTCTCCTTCGGCCCATTCTATCCATCGTTGACCAATCCTCTCGATAATACATTTGCCACCACGAATGGCAACTTCCACAAATTCCAATACTTCGTCTCCGTTGTCCCCACTATCTACACCACGGATGCCAAGTCGTTGCGCAGAGTTGACAAACATGCCGAATCACCCTCGTCTGGAGAGGACGGCTTGAAACACCACCCCAAACGTTACAGCAGGAATACCGTATTCACCAACCAATACGCAGTAACGGAGCAGTCTCACGCGGTCTCAGATATGGCAATCCCTGGCGTGTTCGTCAAGTACGACATCGAGCCAATACAGCTTACCATCGCCGAAGAGTGGAGCTCGCTGCCATCGCTTTTCATTCGTTTGGTGAACGTCATCTCTGGTGTACTAGTGGCAGGAGGGTGGTGTTATCAAATCAGCGAATGGGCTGGCGAGTTGTATGGTCGACGAGGGCGAAGATCGCTTGGATTCGGCATGCTGCACGGGAAATTTGACGAAAAGCAGGCTAGGTGAGGACGTTTAGGTGTTTGCTCGTGTATAACGTATCTATGGTTTCTGGTGCTTCTGGACGCCCACGAGTCTCCTGAACTCCTCCGCATATGTTCATTGATAAGACAGGGTGATTTCGGCATGAACTAAGAAGCCTCAGACGTTTTCAGCTCAGTCTGCTTAGGTCCTGAAGTCGCAGCTCCCAACCCATAAGCTTCTGCGATTCTCTCAGCAACTCGTTGTCCGCTCCAATAAGCCCCGGTCGTCGTCCCCAACGCTATGAAAGCAGCGGTGTGTTCGCCCGCTAGCCAGATGCTTCGTTCGGGCATTCCATGTCTCATGACTTCAATATCCTCATCACCCTTCTCTAATCCGACCTGGAAATTTGAGTAGGAGCCGTATCCGGCAAGCTTGTCGTTCGCCCAGGCTGTCGCGAGGACAGCCCTAGGTACGCATGCAGGATCGGAGCTTGCGTAATGTGGTAATCTGGTGTAGAAAGGATAGAAATGCTCAAGTAGTCTCTTGTCTCGAGCTTGCGGGTCGGTTGTGTCTCGCACGATGCTCGCGATGTACTTGCTTTGAGGTCCATCGATGTAGAACAGCAATGTAGGATGCGCATAATCCCCCATATTTGCATAGTCGACGCACGATTGGTACCATTGCTGCGATTCCGCGTATGCTGGTTCCAGAAAGTGAACAAACCCCGGAGCGGCACCAGTCCCCGGCACTGTGCAGGAGGTGGCTTTCTCGAGTGAACTGGTTGGATCAGACCCAACAGCTTGTTGAGATTGACTTTGGCCTAGCCAAAATGCGCGAGGGAAAGTGATGTAGACCTTGTCTAGATGGCCGTAGGAAATGTGATCAATGGCGTCAGACAGCCTCTGAGGGAGTTCGGGCTGAAAAGCCTTTTTATGATCCTTGAGCCACCCCAGAGGCGTTGTAACGACGACTTCGTCAAAGCTATACACGTCACCACTCACTGTGACGAGAGTTGGTCCTTGTAACTCATCGCCGGTGCCTGAAATACTGCGTCGACCACGGAACTGCTTTACTTCGGTCTCAAGCAGGATCTTAGCTTGTTCTTTAGCAGTGCGGGCGACAGCGTCAAGGATTTTGCGATATGAACCTGCAACGAACGGATTCTCGCCCTCAATGCACTCTTCCAACCAGAAGAACTTCAACGACTGTCTCGTGATGGGACTACCGACGTAGGTCGACCAAATACGCGATAGGGAAAGGAACGTCTTTCGTTTCCGATTTGCTTCTTCCGCCGAATCATTAAGAAACATGGTCTCGGACTTCTCCACAAAGAAATCGTATAGGCTCTTCTGGGGATCGATGCTGCTGAAGTGCTCATTGGACAGCCGGAATGCGTCGGCGATAACTCCGTCACTCCACATTAACTCATTGTATTTGCGAGATTCTTCGTCCGGCAAGAGCGTTCCCTGAGGGCCAACGATGGCTTCTGTGTTGTCAACAGCGTGTAGATACGTATTCGTGTCCCGCGCGAGCTCCATGATGGGGTTGTCATCTGCCTGCATTCATACATGAGTCAAACCGATGCGGTGTTGATATCTCCGTGACATGAGCAATTCTTACTCCGTGTATCCAATTCGGCCCACTGCGGCACCGTTAACTTGTGTCACGCATATCTGCATTCATGAACGGAACGCTCACAGATCTACGACATGACCGAGCTGGTCACTCTGGGCGACTCTACCGCCCAACCGATTTCGAGCCTCGAGGATCGTGACTTGAAAGCCGCATCGCGTGAGGACGTCGGCGCAACGGAGACCTGCGAGCCCTGCACCAACGACCCTGTAGAAAGTAATGCTTAGCCCAACTGTGTGATATCGAAGGTAAATGAATGCACATACCCAATTGTCACGGGTCGCTGCTTTGCAATCGCAAGCCGCCACATGTTGTCGCAGATCTCAAAGTCTCTCGAACCGTTTCGATGATCGTTCCGAATTCGCGACGTCCCGTGTAGCTGTCAAACTATGAGTTTGGGCACGTAAATCGGCCGGGCGGAGAAGCGCACATCTGTGTAACCGCAGTGCACAGTGGCCTCCATTATCACGAATATGTATGCTCGAAGCGGCCAAAATTTATCCTCATTGCCTCATAGTTCAGGCGAGAATCCGAGGAAGGGGCGAGACATTCGAAGGCCTGATCGTGCAGAGTCGCGCCTCGACAGCATCATGCTCGCCAGGCTCTCCAGTACGAGGCTTATTATTATTCAACAAGCTAGGTCAGAACCCCACGACTCGGGTGGCAGCCAGCTCAGACGCGATGAACTGGCATGCACCCTTTTGTGGTCGAACAGCGGAATAATCAAATGCGTTCCACGGTACGCACGCCTAGTATCGACAAAGATGTACATAACAAAGACTACCCCCCGTATCTTGTGGCCAGCGATGCATATACAGCTATTTGATTTCTTTGTCTGTTGTGATATCTATCGCGCTTTGTGTTTCCTTTATCTGCTATGATGTCTATCCAGCATTTCTCGGCCTATGCAACACACGATACATCATCGTCCAGAAAGGGCCTTCGTCTGCGGCTGCCGACTCCACATTCAGGATGATGCAAGCATTCGTATCCGTCGAAGACTTTTATCGCCAATTGCCTTGACTCAAAGACAGCAGTCCATGTATGCAGTCCATATCTGCTTCTACAGACGGTCCAGCGCTTCGGCGGCCTTCACCTATCGGCGCCTCCCTCTCAAACCCCCGCTTGTATCCACCATCGGAACGATCCCTGCTCGAGAGGCCCGATCGCATCGAAGGCATTTGACGTGATCGGAATTGCAGCGAAGCATCCACAACAAGGTCGTCATGAAGCAGAGTCGTATCTGGTCCAGGCGATGTAGATTCGGCATCTGAGTGAGCGTCCGATCGACGATCAGCGCTCGATCTCCACTCTGGCGAGACATTCTCTTTGTTGGAATCGTCTCCTGGCATGTAAGTGTAAGCGCTGGATCCGCTGTGCTTCGATTTCGACATCGGCTTCGCATAGGCCGTGACTACCTCACTGGACCCGCTTTGTAGACGGCCTAGAGATGTCCTGGATCTCTGCAGTGGCAGACGCTTATGTGAGTCCAACTTGACCCTTTTGCTTATTGCTGACGGTCCCAGAAGCCCGGAGTTTCGCTTCAGCGGTATTGAACCAAGAATGTTTCTGCCGGACACAGAGCGAAGCAAACCTATAGCACCTGCAGCAGAACCGCTAGAATTTTTCTCGGCCGCCACCTCCAGTTCAGCACGAGCGTCTTTATCGCACCAGAACTCCCAAGATCTTGAATCCCTAGATCGCCCACTACTTGATCTGTGCAAGGTCCGCACCGAAGCCGGGCTCATTTTGAAAGGGATTGGGCCCAGTACAGGCGTGTCACCGATCTGAGGACTTTGGACTGGCCGAGGCGGCGATGGAGAAGCAGCGTTTTTGGTTACAACTTCGGCCTTGCCTTCAGCAGTCATCGCCAGACGGACAAACGACGAGGTCTTCTGGCTGAATCGATCCATGACAGTCGTCGTTTCGTCGGCGGAATCATCGCCAGACAAGCCGTCCGAAGCCAACAAGTTCGCACTACGTCTGTTGGCTAGGTACCCGACAGACGTGAAACTTTCCTGGGACCGTAGGCCTGGTATTGACGTGTGTCGTTGCATCTCGGACTCTTCTGGCACGGAAGTCTCATCTTGCAGAGAATTCATAGACGTTCTGGGGTCGATGACTCCAGATCTTCGGCCGACTACGTCATCGCTGTCTCTTGGAGACAATGGATTCGCGCTCCTTTGGGACGCAAATGGAGACTGTACGGAATCCTGGCTTGAGAATGGGGCATGCGACATCTGATACTGGGCGATTTCATACGGAAGAAGCGGCCGGGATTTGCGACGTGAACTTTGACGACGATTTTGGAACCAAATCTATTAAAGTTAGCCGGGTTCGGTGGCAGCAAGTGGTCGAGGAAAACGAACCTGGACTTCTTTCTCGCCCAGGGAAACTTGTTGGACCAGCTCCAAGCGTGCCGATTTATCTGAAGGCTTGGTCAGTGTGGGGCAGCTTAATGTTGGCCACGCCGATGTTGTTGAGAACTCACCAGGCTTCGGGTCACGTTTGAAGGCCTCCTCCAAGATTGATTGATCTTCTGGACTTGAATTGTTCAGCTGAAAATCCCGAGGCTCTTTCAAGAACGCCTGCGTGACACTTACCAAGTCCTTTTCCGTCTTTGACGAGCCAATGGCTTGTCGTCCACGCTTGGCGGCAAATTGTGCGGTATGGTAGTAGGCGAGTGATTCAGAAACGGGTAAGAAGCCGAAGTGGACATGATTTCGGATTCACGATCGATCTGTTCCCCCGAGTGAGAGGTCATGATGTGTTAAGAATATGAGCGAGCAGCAGCGTTCCCATTGAAGAGTGCTCTACTGTTGTGCGAGATGGCGCGTCTTGATCGAGAGGCCCGTGGGTGACGCGTAGGCGGTAGCTGCCGCAAACGCGAGCGAGCTTCTGCAACACGTGACATTTCGTCTCTAAATTGTGGGGGCTGGACGACTCTCAGCTGGAGGAAACCCTCAATAGCCGCGTCCCCACGAACCGCCTGTAATGTGTCCACTCCTCAATCACAGCGGTCAGACCAAGGAGCCAGGTACTTTGCATGATGCATTTCTTAACGGCACCTATTGTCGAAAATAAATTTAGATCTATTTCGAAGGCCAGCTCCGATGACAAGCGATGCGCAGTGTTAGGCGCGCCGCCTTCAAGGAGCCGCCCCAGCTTCGAGCGCGCCGCGACCTTGAAATTCGCATACTTTCGCAAGAGCTCGTGGATCCCGCGAACCCCATAGGTTGGCACTGTGACAGCAAAGGCGGTACAGCGGACAATTGGCAGATAAAGGAAGGCATGGTAAAGGATCCGATCGTGTGAAAATGTGGCTGTGCTACAATGCTGAATCTATACTGTAGATACTTCTGCATCATCGGTGGAAGTGCCGTGACATAGAGTATAACGCGTGCAACCAGCGCACCGGTTGAGAAAGCGGGCCGTCGCAGCGGAAACGACCACGGACACGTGCCGTCTGGCATCTGGGCACATCTCTTGTGTTGTAGACGTGCGCTGTGTTCAGATCAAATTCGAGAAGGTGATTACAGAGTATCGGTCCGAAGTGATGTGTTGCATCGAAGCCGCATGAAAGGCTAGAAACGTGCCCAATGGCTGCTATCATTTTTCCATCCTGCGACCAGGGCGGACCTCGGCTTTATGGCAAGCGCGGACACTCCATGTTCCGTCGACAATGAGAAAAACGAAAACTTGACTCGTCTGGCTCGCCATGGAAAGCACTCTTGCGAGCGCCGGCTTCTTCAGTGCCTCCGTTCAATGGACCTCACGCACGCAGGGCAAACACTCTATCGCGTCCAAGGAGCGATGTAGTAGCTGGTTTGAGATTAAAAGAAGCAAACATATGGGTAGGGATGCCCATAGACGTCCCCACTGCTCGGGTAAACGAGACGATCGTGTCTCGTGCGATCATGTGTGAGGCTCCAATTGGCTCGCCGCGCAAGCACTGACGTACCGAAGACTATTGCTCCTACTGTCGGTCTATCGCTCCATTTGCAGCATCAAGCTTGTGTCGTACCTAAGCTCGAACTTGCCGCTTTTACTCGGGTGGCTGCAGTATCGGCATCTGATTCATGCGCACGAGCACACCAAGTGGTCGTCTTCCCTGCCAGCACAACAAGAGTCATTGGTGATGTGATAGATCCCGTCTGCATCCGAGCGGGACCGATCAAAAAATTGGCAAACGCTCTCTGCAACACGGGAGCTGCTTCGTGCATGATGCGGCTTTTCTGATGTATGGCAGACACCCACGCAAGACGCGGCGGTCGTTTCTCAACGAGTCTTGTCTTGTGTGGTTTCACGAAAGAAGCAAAGTCGTCCATGCTAGCAAGTCGTTCATATTCGCTTCAGAATGTTGACCACGAGCAGCTTCCGTGATACTTCTTGGCAACCATTATCGCAATCAGAGGCGCTAGCAACAACCTCGCACACTGACAAGCAGGACGACGTATTCTCCCTGGCTGGGATATAAATTTCGAGCGGAAGCGCGTTCCGAACGACGTTTCCACGCAGTCGTGGTCTCATGACCAATCAAAAAAGCTTGGGAGCTTGCGGGCGAGTGACAGAGTAACGAAAGCCAGTCTCTGGGCCATCACCACTTGTCGGCTTCACGATTGGGCCTGTTATTGTCGCAGTGTCAATTCGGTACAGCGCTGTCTGTGCCACGCGCCGAATGATCGATCGGTGAGATAATCGGGTCACGTAATTCTCAAGACGAGGCGCCATCTTCACTCCACGCGGGCATTAAAATTGCAAGCAATCTCAGCGCCGACTCTGCATTCGTTATCCCCTGTATGGTTGCTGCCTTTACAATGCTCGTCCACTAATACTCTATACACCGTGGTCAGAAACGCGACGCGCTGTCCATAAGCTGTGCGTCATTCCAAGTTGCCAGTTCTGCGTGCTTTCGCTGTCTTTGGAATAATCGGAGCAAGGAAACAACTTCCATTGGCGCGCCATCCAGCTTGGTCAAATACTCTGCTAACGTGGTTCACCCTTGCGCGAGAGCCGAACCGTATCTCATCTAGCCATTTGCTGGTCGATGATGGCATTCTGGTGGACAAGATCAACACTTGAACTTCGAAACAAGGGCCGTAGTACAGCATCACGATGGTGCGGGTTGCTATCGCGGGGACCGGAGGTCTTGCAAGATACATCGCACATTTCATCAGGGATGAGACCAGTCACACAGCGGTCATACTATCCAGGAGTGTACGTCGGCCTTTCCGATGATTGCATCCGCAGATTTCCCAACAATTGTGGAGCCAACGTTCCACATCGCTGCATTAGGAGACTATGGCAGGATCGGAACGAGAAATTTGCGGGCGAAATATTACTCTTGACTGATGATTCGATAGGAGCAACCCACACTTGCAGCCGCTGGTCATCAGGTTGCTGTCGTAGATTATCAGATTCCAGAGTCTCTACAATTTGCGCTTCTCGGTTGCGATACCGTCCTATCCACCGTGACAGGGCCGAATCAGATCGAGCTTATCAAAGCCGCGGTGGTAGCGCGCGTCCGACGATTCGCTCCAGCCGAGTACGAAGGCTCCCCTCGACTTCGCGATCCCTCGAACCCTCTGGATCGCCAGCGCAGCGTTGCGCTGAGGCTGCTGGCCCACTACTCCCAATCCTTAGAGACGACGATCTTCGTATGTGGCATCTTCTATGAAAGGTTCCAGCCGGGTGGTTTGGCGGGTGCCAAAACGAATCTTATTCCAGGCCTGGACAACGAGGGTGACTACATCATGAATTGTTCTGCAATGTTCGCCTCCTTTCTGACCTTGCCTGGCAATACTGGCGACGTCACAATCTGTATGACTGCCCTTCAAGATGTTGGCCGGTTCGTTACCAAGGCACTGGACTTGCCACAATGGCCACAAGAGATGCGGATATGTGGTCAACGCATCACGGTCCGAGGGCTTCTGCAGACAGTTGCTCAACTCAAGAGTGAGTCTGCATAATTAGTCATGAAACGAGCCCTTTGAGACTGACCGAGGACACAGAGCAGCAGTTTAATCCGCTACAGGTCCATACACTTGCAACCTTGGCACTTCAACATCAAGTTGCTAGGCAAGCGGGTGATGCAAGTCAGCAGAATCGAGTTGCCGCACTGATTAACACTATCAATGGCTACTATGACTTTGAGGGCCCTTGTCACAACAACCTATTTCCGGACTGGGCGCCTATGGACTTTCGCACTTGGTTCATACTTAAATGGCACTTATGATGTCTTTCCAGACGCCGCAAGTGCCTGACGCGCTCATAGTTGCGGTGACGTCCCATCATGTCACCAAATAGCAGAACACTGTCCCATCGAAAGTCTCCTCCTGACGAGCCACTTCTTCCTTTAGCGCGATGGTAATAGCTCATGAATCATTTTCGCGTTACTGAAGACTAAGTTTACACTGCCCGGTCGTCGACCGAGTGAATATCACAGATTCAGCGCATTGAAATATGCACCCTAGAAGACCTCCTGCAAGACAATGACCTCCTACGCCTGTTCTTGCTTGAGAGCATCGAACTGTCCGTCGTTGGAGACAGCGACCTGCCGAGTACCAGCGGTGCTGCCGGCTGCGGCATTACTCGCCTCCTGGTGGGAAAATTGTCAGTGGTGATAGATAAGAACTTCGGAATCCGCCAGTACGTACGAGGCCTTGCAATGCAACGCGACCGGGGTCACGCTTGCTGCCGATATCTGTGCGGAACGAAGCGTTGGGTGCGCTTGAATCGAAACCACCTTCATGCAAATCCTTGCCCTTGGGCTTCTGGAACTGGCTGTTTGGGTCGACCACCTCGTGCTTCACGGGAACCCGTCCCTCGTTTATCACGGCGTCGGAGTCCGCCTTGCTCTTGCCATCCGGGCGTGACGGGTGATTGCTTGCTGCAGGAAGCTCGGTCGCATTCGAGGCATCGGTGGTGTTGGTCGTGGTGGAATGGGATGCTGGGCCGTTGGGGCCGCGGGAGCTGCTGTCGGCTGCGAATTGACCGCCCTGGTTGATTGACTCGGCGGCCAAAGAGTCCGATGTCACGGTGCCGGGGTTTTCGACTTTGACCTTGTTCGCCTCTGCAGGGTCTGTGGGAGCCTGGGCCAACGATTGGTCAGTGAGATGACTTTGCTCATCAAATATGATCACTCGAGAGGAGTCCTCTTACGGTGGTTCCGATATAAGTCGACATGGTTTATGGGGTTGGGATTGGATGGCAAGGTTCGTTGATGGTTGAGGTATTTGAGGGAATGATTGGGCAAGAATGGGAAATCAGAATGTACAATGCAACTTGGCTTGAAGTAATGAATGATTGCTTGATGATTATATATGTGGACCATTTCAACAGAGCTCTCTTCCAACTCGTCACATTGGTACGCCTCTCTGCCTTGGATGTGTACGACGCATGAATGTGACAGGAAGTGACGTAACAGGGCGTACAGGGCAGGCGGGCCTTCCATCGAAGAGAGTGGGGAAATCCGCATACACACCTGGGCACATACGCAATTCTGTCCGTACAATACATACTCATCATGATGTGATCGCGTGCCTGAGACGCAAACCAACGCCAATTGCGGCATGCGACTGTTCAAGCGTCCATATATTACACCGATGGCCAGATCGATGATGCCGCCCTACCACCCAGCAGCTCTCCTGAGGTGGAAACGCAGCAGCAATAATTGCACCACCACCACCGCAAGTAAACGCTCGCAACTGAGGTCCGCATCGGGCAAGAAGTGACGCTTTTGTAGGCCTCGATTCCGTTGGCGACAACCTCTGCAATTATTATGTATCGAGACCGACCGACTGGTAGTGGCATTCGTCAAGTATTGAGTAAGATGTATGGCGAGACGAGACTGTAGCATATTGACCTTTCGCGGATCAACCACGATGATCCCGTACATCTCGCAATACAGATCTGTTATGTTTCCCATGATACGATGAGCTACAACAAGCGACGACCCTTCGTTATGCATGTCCTGTCGCGTAATTTCCCGATCGAGAGTCTACGCGTCGTCCGGGAATTGATGTTTCCTGATCGTGGTTGTTCCGGCCCCCGAATTGATGTGACTTTCGGGCCCGCATCGCGTAGTTGACCCTACCCTTATCGATTGGCACATGGCACCGAGCCGAACTCAAAGACATGCCCGGGTACTCTAGCATCACATGCAATGAATCAACCTCTTTGCTCTACAGCCTCGCCTCATTCACATCATTTTTGCAGCGGCCATGGCTGAGCTGGCTATCACCAAGTTGGATCCGGATTCACAGCTTCTTTTGGACCAACCGCTCCTGCGATTACCATACGAGCTTCTTCGAAAGAACCTCAAATCGGCACAGCGGCACATCGAGCAGGCACATAAAAACATCCAGAAAGATCTCCAGACCGCTGCGGCTCAGAGCCCATCTCTCTCCCTCGCGACTATCGATGCGACCTTGACGAAAGCACAAACCCTCAAACGTAAGCTTGAACAGCTACACATTGAAGAGCAGAATCTCCACCGCCAGCAAAGGGTGCGCATTCAACACCTTCAACAACTTCACGAAGTGCACAGTCTCGCCGATGTCAAGTACGATGAGTGGTCACATACACGCCTCGACCGTCTGTTGGTCGATTACATCTTGCGTCAAGGGTCGACTCAGAGCGCGAAAGAGCTTGCAGTAGAGAAAGGCATACAAGATCTCGTGGATGTGGATGTGTTCGAGGAGTGTGGGAGGATTGAGAAAGGCCTACGTGCGGGCAAGATGCAGGATTGTCTTGCCTGGTGTAATGATAACAAACAGTCCTTGAAAAAGATCAATGTATGGGGTCCATCGGTTTCGACCAGCCTGAGACGATTGACTGCTAACACGCCGCGCGAATAGAGTACTCTCGAGCTGGAGCTACGCCTGCAGCAATTTATCGAGATGGCGAGAAACGATGAGGCGAAGACTGGTATCGAGGCAATATACCATGCCCGTAAGTACTTGTCCTTGGGACAAGAATCGGGCTTTGGTCTCAAGGCGGGCGGCCTTCTCGCGCATCCTTCAGATACAGAGGTGGAACCATTCCGGGTATGGAACCGCTCCAGCGATAGTCGCACGAGATTGCGTGACTGACGGTGATCCTTTCACAGACAATGTACAACCTGGCCAGATACGACCAACTAGCCGAACTCTTCGTCAAGACTCACCACGAACTTTTCTCCCTCCCACTTCAGCCTCTCCTCCACACCGCACTGTCCGCCGGGCTCTCAGCGCTGAAGACTCCCAGCTGCCACTCCGAATTCGCCCTCCACGCCAACGCCAACACCGGCGCGCCCGTCTGTCCAATCTGCAGCACCGAGCTCAACGAGCTAGCGCGCAATGTTCCATACGCGCATCAATCGAAGAGTCACATCGAGGACGATCCTGTGGTTTTGCCAAATGGACGTGTCTTTGGCCGGGAACGATTAAAAACATTGAATGAAAAGCTGGGCACGCCCGCAGGCAAGATAAGAGATCCGACGGACCCGGAAGGAGTGGAGTGGGACGAGCGGGTGATGAAGAAAGTCTTCATCTCATGAGGGAAATATCGTTGGCCGCCCCCGCGCTGGGACAATAAGCTCATTTGACACCGCGGTGACAGACTGGTGGTGGCGCAGCTCAGCATGTCGCCCGCAAACTCACAGCCCCGTCTAAGATATTAGATCCCGTCTAACACTACCGACAGGCCCTCGAAGAGGAAGAACCTCACCCACGAGAGCAAATTGCATGATCATCCCAGCGTATATTTGGTCTAGATCCCGAAAAGAATCTCGGGAATGCCACACGTCGGCAGAAACTGGTCGTCCTCAACTCCGGGTGACTACTAGCTTCACAAGCACCATCATTCGCAGACGCACACACGCTCGTGGCTGCACACCATATGCTCAAAACATCCGCCTCTATTCCCACGCCTGTCCACGATTTGCCCGGTGCACTAGCGAACCTCCTTCCACTGCGGCAGGCCTGTGGTGACATTTCGTTGAGAGATTTGAGAGGCCGCCGGCAGCACTGCTCCGCCACACGCTTGTTGTATGTCGCTAGTATGTATGAAAACCGGAATGTCGATCAAGCCATCGCCGGATCCACTCTGGAGGCGGAGAGGCCGCAGTAGGCATCACAAACGGAAGGCGGGGCCTGCTGTCTCCCGGAAACCTTGCGAAACCCCCATCCAGAATCGTCATCAAAGGTCAGGAACTCGCATCAAATGAGGTCTTTCAAGGTTTTGGCGTAGTCCCCGTGGTCGCGGACCACCGAGGCACAGAACTTCTCCCAGTCCCGAGCGAAGATGTCCTTGGCTTGTTGGTGCTGCGCCTCGGTCAGGCAGCTGTGCTCGAGGCTCCACTCGACCAGTTGGCGCCAGCCGTGGATGGTCATGCGCGGATCACCGACCATGACCTGGTAGAATTCGTGGGACAGTGATGAGCTGTAAGCGACGCGACCCCTAATTAGCACCGGTGGGCCCAAGACCTTAGTTTTCCAACACGAAATGTATAGACAAATGAGATCTTTTGGGGCGGAGGGAAGGTGGCAGGAGATAATATGCACGGGGAGAGATCACGTACCTGAATAGTGAAGGGTTGTCTGCGTTTAAAGTGCAGTGGAGACCGGCCGCGAGAAGCTCGGGGAAGATGTGTTGTCGCGCATTGGTGCACAGGTGTAGGAGTTCGTTGGAGATCGGACATAGTTCTAGGCAAATGTTTTGTTGTTTGTACTTCTCCACGAGCATGGGGTGCTTAAGGAGGGAGTATCCATGACCAATACGCTTGGCGTTGAGCAGCAGCGAGTCGTAGAGATTGCTGTTGTCCGGGTTGTGGGAGCCCCCAGTGTCGATGAGCGTCTCTCCGGCGTGGAACATGAAGGGGATGGAGACATTCAGCTGCTTGCATGTCTCGGTGAAGGCGACGAGCATGTCGGCGTAGAAACCGATGTGGTTGGGGCGATCCTCGGCGCCCACCAAGTCGAAGCCGCAGATCAGGTCGGGGTATTGTAATTTCAACTTGAGGCAATCTTGTAGCTCGATCTGCATACGCTCGCGTGGGATGCTCCTGGGTGTGCAATATATGATCTTGAGACCGAAAGGAAATAGATCGAGTCGGCCTTGCTCCTTCAGCGTCTGTTGCTTCTTCTCGACTTCCTCGCAGATGATCTTCATCTGTGCCTTGTGGTCAAGCTGGGATTTGCCATCGTTTGATGGGATGAATTTGTCCATCAACATGGGTCGCAACTCAGCGTACATGACTTTGTCACGAATCATGCTGTCGATCATGTGGCCAATGTACCAACGGTAGACACCCTCGTAATTCAGAAGTCCCTTGAAGGCTCGTGTGCCTTGATTGAAGCACGCCCAGGCGCCATTGGTCGTCTGACGATCGTGGTATGCCAGTTCGACAGTGATAGCCATCTTGTCGCGCACGTAGCATTCTGCAGCAGTTGTGAGCTTGCCTTCGCCCTCATACCCGAGATCGCCGATTGATTTCTCAGTCTTGACATGCGGAGGAAATTGCTCCTGGAAGTCGACCCAGCGCATCCATGAGCCACTATCGGCATCTCTCCAGTTAGGGTTGTAGTCTGCTTGGAACAGATTGCCTTGTTTGGTCTCTTTTGGTAGGACACTAAACACGACTTCTGCATCTGCGAAATCTTGTGCGGTCAAAAGGGGTATAGTGCTCCGGATGAACATGGTGTCGTGCATTTCCGGTCGCCGCGCGAACGGCAAGAGTCTTTCTGGTGGTAACTCGGAATTGAAATGAAGGTGGAGGTGTGCGCCTTTGGGCATCGCCTCGCAGATGTTAAATATTCTGCTTTTCGCGATTCGATCCTTGCAAACGAGGAATCGACCGCCCATGTCGCGAGTGTTTGAGCCAGGGACTGCTTCGCCCGGGACATTGCCGAACAGTTCGGGATCAATGCGCTCATGCTCACGAATCTTCAGGATGATGGCTCCGGCGAGTCGTTCATTTTCGGATGCACTCAGCTTTGCAGGAGCATCCCATGCGACCTTGCTCTCGTTCTTGAGGAGCTCTGCACGCTGTAGCGCATATACGCGGGAGTCTTCGGCGGCCTTGACGTTGGACACAAATGCTGATTTGGCAGCGGTGATCTGGTCTTCTTCGGAACACATGACGATAGAATCCTGGACCGACCCCTTGCGTGATGATAATATTCTGGAGGCCTTTCTACGAAGTTGTCCTGAGGTTGATCGTTCGAGCTTCCCCGGTGAAATGTTCGTGTCGCTGCCGTTTGTTTTCTTCAGTGCTTTGCGCTGCTTCATCTGAGTGACGACGGAATTCGGTCAGCGCTCGTTGATCAATTTATGTCCTTGATCTCGCCCAACATTCCGAAACCGATAGAGCGCGGGCGTCTAGTTTGCTATGCTTGGTTCATACCACGCGCTGCGGCGTAAGACAATCGTTCACGGGGGAGTACATACCTTATTTCGCAGCATGCCTGCGACATACATGACGCTGACCACGACGTATATTCGTTGGTGACCTGGTATCCGCAATATGATCGACACTTCATCGTTGGCGGCCGCGTGCAATGTCTGGTATGTCATCGTGAGCAAACGAGTTGGTGTTCCTCGCAGGGATGATAAGGCTCTCTCGATTGTGTAACAATACCTTTATTCTCGTGCTCCTGGAATGGACTATATAGCAAACCAAAATACCATGCCGCAAACTATGTGCTCGAGATGTCGGCCGCCCGCGAGTGATCTCCCTCTACTGAAGATGCAATGTCTGGGATGATACGATGAGTCGTATTAGAGTCTGATCATCGCCGCCTTGCACAGCTCTGTGTTGGACGGGATGATGTCAAAGAGATGGACGGAATTTGAACGGGTGCACGCGAGGCTCTGAATCAGAGTAGTATGCCCAGGTGGGTTTCCGTCGCGTGTTCTGCTGCGCCCCGTTCCTAAGTTCGTGCGGAGTCGCTCAGTCCAAAAAGACCTCTCACAAATTCCAGTCCTACTTCAATTCCAACCGTATGGTTGCTCCCGCCCTAACTTCATGGATGGAATAGGTGTGGGTAAGCCGTCCACTATCGAAACATACCAGGGAAGTTACTCCGTCTTGCACTGCTATCGGACCCTCCAGCGATCGTTCTCTGTCAATCCCTATGCTGAACGACCGAACGACCACTGTCTCATTGCAAGCGCGCTACGCATTGTGGGCGGCCTGAGCGGCAAAAAATGAGGCCGTCAGGATCCGCCTGCGCCTGACAACCACCAGGTCTATAGACGACTCACCTTCAGCCGCACGCGAGGAGGATATTGACTGGTGAGCGGTGCACGATGAGAACGATGGCGGATAGCACTTTTAACAGAAATGGCATATGATCTCACGGTCGGCCGGTCTTCATGAATTGGCGGCCTGGGTCTGATGAGCCGTGGGAATTGCCCAATCATCACCACTCCCAGACCGCCAGAAACGGCGCGTAGCTATTGCGGGTCTGACGGCATCGGGACTGAAGGAACGTTTCTGCGGCCTTTGCAATGACATACTCATCATTGGTGAGAATGGCCTAGTCGCACACACAGGATCATGCCCGGCCGCCCGGTGAACGTTTGCTCCTCGGTGATTAAAGAACTTCAAGCTTTTCAGCCTTTCCGCAGTCTGCCAATCTTCCGGATTCTGCATTGTCTGGGTGGCCCGCTCGCCGATGGCGTATACAGTACATACATGGTCTCACACGTGTCATTGCACAGAACAGTACACACACATGCAGTCTCCGCATAGTATGAGGACATTTGTGCATCATGCGGGAGAGAGAGACATGTATTCATTCAGGTTACTACACTTCATGTGGCACTCTGGGGCTGTGTGCAGACAGTGCAGCCCGGAAGAGCAGCCTTTCTGTCCATCCACGCACAGCGGCGGGACGCCCTTTTCATTTTAGGTCTCCCGTACAATCCTCGGCCGTTGGTATCCCATCAACTAAACCCCTCCTTTGACTCATGATGAGACCAGTTGATGACGGCAATCATCATCAAGGAATGCCTGCCCGCCCGTGCGCCCGCCCACAGGAGCCGTTGTTCCGAGGACTATTGACGAGACACATCGACTCAACCTGCATAAGTGGCTTTGGCGATCAAAGCTTTGAGTGACCTTGTCCAGAAGGCGGCTCGCGGGTGGTGAAAGAGGAACACTATGTCCATGACAGTGATCATCGGGATAAGCTGCGCCTACTGGGGTTCAATGACCCGTGATCCGATGCGCATATCCCGCGAAGAAGTGAAGCACTCGAGGTTGCTTGACATATATAGTGTGAATGCACCTGCAATCCATCATCGTACAGTCTGTGCAAAGACGCGCAACACCATGGTCGCCGGCACTTCTGCGCTTGTTCCATGCGCCGTGAACCAGTCGCCCGTGCTGCTACCGACTTTCATTGATCTTTTCATTTCTAAAGCCACATCATCGGCGCCAAGACTATGGCATCGATTTCCGCAGCAGCAACTACAGTGCTCCCACCTCGTCGCCACCATTGCATATCATCAGCACCGCATATTTGTTTCGTGTCAATCATGGGTAGGATACTGTCATCTCTCATGCACCGGTGATACCTACCTAAGTAGTGTCATACCGGAAATCGATGCTCTCAATCACCATTGACATCCCGAAAAGCTGGAAAGATCGGAGCTCTCTCCTTGGCTTGCAGTAGATCGGGCCAGAAGGAAAGCCCTAGAGCGGAGGGCAAATGTGGTCGAAGGGGGCCAAGAGCAGCAGCTTTTTGCGGAGGGACGACTCCCCCGTCCATCAATTTGTACATGTGCAGCTGCTCTTAGGCTTGTGCCCAAAAGGGCGGCTTGAGCTAACGACCCGCATAATAGACCCTCGTCTCCTTTGCCTTTGGCACTCGAACATGAAATGTTTTCTTGTTTCCATTGTCTACCGTCTTCTTCACGTCTCCAGTCCTGTTCTTGCGCCATTCATTACGTCTCGTTCGCCCCGGTTATGAGGGCATCGTAGCCGGCTTCTAGGACACCAGGTCCGTGTGAACCTTTGCAAATTATTATAAAAGGTTGTCTGTGCCGCACGATCGTTGCACGCCAGCAAATTAGACGGCGGAACTGGTCCATCCTGGAGATCTTCTTGCTATCATCGCCGCCCTCTCCGCTGTCGCTGTCATTATCATCAACACTGCCGTTGGTGGCACATATTTCTCTGGCACGGGACGTCGACCATGGCCAACAACAACATTACCCTGGCGATCCCCGGCCAGCCAAACTGGGGCGTGTGGTGGACCTTTGAGGTTGGTCTCAGTGAATTCCAGCTGGACATTGTTGGTTTCCTCGCCGTGTTAGGCGAAGGCTCCATCCTCGCCAACGCCCAAGTTTCTGCGCTGTCCCGCCTCTTCTACCTTCCGCGCCTACTGCCTGCGCCTCAAGCACTCATTCGCACAACTCGGCCAACCACACTGCCGCCCTTTCCAGCTAAAGTCACGGGAGTCCACTCGGGTAACGTCAAAGACCATATCCACCATGTCGCACACATTCTGCTGTAAGCTCGACTGCTCGGCTGCGATCAAATTCCCGGTTATGATACTGACATGCTATCTGCAGCGGCGAAGACATGAACACATTTACTGTCCGCTGTGTCAAAGTCACGAAGAAGGCAGAATCCTTCCACCCCCCGACGCGAATCGATACCTTCTTTCGAGGAGTTTCTCGCAGTATGACTCGCAGTATGACCCGATCTCCGGAGATTGGGACTCCCTCGGTCAAAGCGAAGGCAAATGGCCCGCTCTCGTGGGTGACTCTCCTTGGTTTCTTCATGTCCGTGAGCATCTTCGCCCTGTCCATCATTTTTGGAGATGGCATGTCCATGATTGCCACGATCCTGCTATCATTCTTGTCGACGGTGGTGGGAGTCAGTAACAAATGGAACCTCAAACTGCCACGTCGGCCACAAGCCGAGGCGCCTCCCGGGGATGTCGTTATCAGGTATCCCAACGGAAGTTATCTGATCGTCCAATGCGACGAGGATGTCGCCCGCGAATTGTACTTTGCGCCCGAGGAGATCGACTATACTATTAAAAGCCCAATGGCTTACCGGATACTCTCGCTGTTCGGCACTTTGATGCTGATGCTGGGTGTCATTGCGCTGGCCAACGCCAAACTTCAACTGCAAATGGTTTGGGCAGGCGCATACATCCTCATCAACATTGTACACTGGGTCGTCGCTGCTGTGCCTCAGAAAATGCATTGGGATCTCTCATGTTACGATGTCCGCGAGCAAGGCGTGGAAGGTGGCCCCTCTAATCCGAGCTTCACCGAGGCGCTCTGGAAGGCAATTCTCATCACGAAGTCCAAGTCTTGGGTCAAGAACGGCAAAGCCGCGCCCGAGACCGAAGTCTGGGACGCTTGGCTCGACAAAGCCGAAGAACAGGCCAACATGTACCAAACACATATAGGAGAGCTCGAGAAGCCGCTATGGTTGGACGGCGACCTCTCCAAAGCAACCATCTTTGACGCGCCGCACAAGGATCAGTGGGATGCCAAGTCGGCCTGGGACGCTCTGAACAGAGCGCGGCAATCCGAACAGCAACAGGCCCGCGACGCCGCTTTGAGACGACGACCAAAGACCTCTGCCAGTTCGGAAGAGAGCTCAGAGTCTGATGACATCTCCAAGGTCCGGCCCATCGTCTCCGAGCAACCCCAGCGGAGCTAAGTTGGCATCATGATGCTTGTTTCCGCCCACGATCAGGCGTGGAAACATCGCATCTTTCATTGAACGACTCACGAAAATCTCCGCATTTGTCCACTTTCTTCCTTCTCGCTGGAACAGCGGTGTTGCATCTAGCGTTTCATCACGCGTATCATAGGCCTGTGCTACGACACAGGCAGAGATTGGAAATTTGTCTTCACTTCTAACGATGTTCTTTCTCGATCTTCTCTACAATTTCGTTGGGATTTACGATACCATTTATTGAGCGCAGTTTCGATTCCCCATTGCATAGTTCTTGGATATGTTGAAAAAGATTTTAAAGTTATTCATTCATTTCCCCCTTGCAGGCCGAGTGCTGTTATGTTGTCTTTTGGCCATCTTTCTTGACAATCTTACAGATCGTACGGCCGATTCTACAGTACATTGGCGCTGTCTATGGAGAACCCATGTGACTTTGTCGCGGCGATTTTCTCTGAACACGCTTTGAGTTGGCACAGAACGCAAGTTGGCAGTCTAGAACGCGGGCTGCGGCAAGCCTGCACTGCAAGGACGCGCGTCGGGAGGTGTGAGACACGCTTCTTCGCATTAGAAGACCCCCGGCCGAGTTTAATCTACAGATATAAGCTGCACAGGAGGCTGCAGATGGCACTTCACACGCCAAAAATCCCGCAGATGTCATTGAAACCAATTCATTGCCAAAGTGAATACTTCTGCTGAACACATTTGAAGCAGAAATCTGTCCATGACGAGCCGACCTAGGTTAGTCGGCTCTGCATTGTCCTCGCAAAGTGAAAGCAGTCATTTCCAGATGAGCATTATTCTAGAGGCCGGTCCCAAAGCCCGAAGCCAATGTTGGTATATGGCCAAGGACAAAATAGAAGTGTGCACGAACGCCGACGCCGAAAAAGAAAATCAAAGGGTTATCAGTAATCCATCTCCATCGTCTCGCCGATCTCCTCTGAGATGCTTGCCACGGTCTGTGGAGAGCGAGTGTAGAAGTCGTCTTCTCCATCCTCGTCATCAAATGCATAATTGGTTCTGCCGTACATGAGATCGCTTCGGATATCCTCCAGATCCATGAAGGGCACTTCGACTTCGTCGTCGCCACGCGCAGACGTTATCATCACTTCGTCATCATCATCGTCGTGGGCGGCGTTATCGATGTTCTTCGACAGCATGTCGTCGCTCAGCCAAAATGACGCTCGCTTTCCGGCGCCTTCGCCAAGGGATAGGCTCGAAGCGCTGCGCTGCATTGCCTTCGATCGTTGCGAGAATTTTGGCGCAGTCACTGGACTGTGCGAGATGACACTGAAGCCGCGCAGGTAGATATAACATACGCGCTTCTTCTCCTTGCTGAAGAAGAAATAGTGCATGCTCCAGATCGCGCCTTCTTCACCGTCGAAAGGATCGTCGTCAGGAACATAGGTATATTTCTCGCAATGGCGAAGGCCCATTTCCTTGTCGATGAGCTTCCACATGTTTTGAGACCAGATTTCAGTATTTGTGCCTAGACCCGCAGGCGCCGAATTGGATAGTGTTGGCGGTGACAAGTAATTCATTGCAGCAGTCTGCTTGGGTCGTAGGTTTTGCAATGTGTTGTCAATGTTATTCATAATCGCTCTAAGACTCCGCTCCTTACGGAAGTCGGAAGGTCGAAGGATATGTGAAAAGTCATAGTCGGGATGCGAAGCATTGAGCGTGGCTATCAGGTATGCGAAGGTTCGGCGCGCGGTGACTTGGCCGAGATTTCCGAATGGAGACGCACGAGAAAGATCGATCTCTTGGTCATCGAACAGCGGAGGCGACTTCGGAAAGCTACTTGAGTGTCCGTCGGAGCCTACATTATCACCCATGGCTCTCAAGGAGGGGCTGACGGGACTCAGCGACGCAGAGAGACGCCGCAGAGCCTCATGTTGCGATTCGAGGCTGTTTTCAATGTTCCTGTACAACTTCTTGTCTCCTCCTGCAGCCTTGGTGGTGTAGATGTCACAAGACCCAATGATGTGACAATCCTGCGTCGAAAAGTTGAGGGCGTTCGTAACCGTGTCAATGTCACGGAGCGGAATGTACTGTAATCTGTTCAGCGCGACTTTCATTCACGAACATTGTATTGTGTGTAAATGTAGGATATCCCATTTGCGCTCGATGCCGCGATCGAAATCATAGGCTTCGGGAATGACATGTTTGCGACGCAGTTCTCCAAGCGTACCTTCATGTTTGCTGATTGTGGCTCTTCAGCGACTCTTTTCAAATGACTATTTGTTCCACGGCATCCAGCCCCGGTAGATCGTGCTCGTGCTCTGCGTACGGACACAGATACGTTTTCGCGCGACGCACTCTTCCCGGATCTGTAGGCAGACCTCGTAATGTTGTGAGAATCGTAAGTCGAATAGGTGCCTGATAACACTTCCCTCAATCGGAAGCCGGGTGGTCGCGAGACTGAATACTAGACGCGGTGCGTCTAGAAGGCACTGGTATTGAGAATCATGGCCATGTTGGCGGCGAGTAATGTGTGGGTGTAGAAATGACGATGTCGTCTCGCGGACCTTGTTTGCTGTTCGAAAGGAAGTGAATGACGAAGCTGGACGGAGAGCGCGCGCGCGATTGCGAGGTGCCATGATCGCTGTCCGGTCGTAAGCGGGCGTATCTGTCGTCACGTGCAAGCCGGTCGTATCAGCTGTCAGCGAAGCGCACCAATGAGAGATAAGCCTGCCAACAGGTGGTTTTGTGTCTCGCTGGGAATGCACACGTCGTCAACAGCAATAGCGAACCTTGCCGAAATGCACCGCCATCGCAACCACCGCGCACGACTGCAATGTTTGCTATGCGCGCACTGCAGACCCACGCGAAACGACCGACTCACGCTCGAAATTGCGCGACTGTGGCTCTCGCGAAGAGCGTGTCTTCACATCACACACAGACATCAAGGAGGAAACCACGAGCAATGATGCTGCGAGACGTTGGAAAGAAGGACTCATTTTTCATGAATTCATTCGTCTGATAGACAGAAGCCCGCAGTCCTTGAGAAAGGACCTGCTAGCATGCACCTATGGTAGGCCGCGCTGTGAACAGCTTCCAACATACAATTGGGGGGTATCATTCTTCACTCCATTGCGGCATTCAACAACGTGCGCTTGCAACTGGAATGCTGCTTTCGCCGAGCCAAGCACCGGAGCGGCCATGTGGGGCTGGCCTATATGACACCTGCTTCTGTAAGGCGCTTCTCGATACTTCGGCTCTGCTCTGCCGTCTCCTGGACGGCCGCACAAGTAAGTCAGCTTGCTTGCGCTGTAGGTTTTCTCAACATGGGTCAAGTCGAGCGCAATTAGGATGTCGCTCAGTGCTCTGATTTCAACCAATCTTCGTAACGGCATCATCCTCGACCTATGGAGGCAAGCCATCAGCCAGCGTCGAGACAACAAAAAGGTAGAGCTGTGAGTGGTCTATGTGATAGCGCTCAAGTCGGATCCTTAGGTCTCACTCACCTCCATATCCTCTAGACTATCTTGAGCTCCAATGACGCGAAGTACGTTCTTCTTGCTGCTCTCCTGCATCTCGCCTGCCAGTAATAGCTCGTCCAAAATGAAGTATGCCTTTTGGAAATTGAAAATGATGTCGAGCTCACACACGTTGCCGTAGTATTTATCCATTTGCTCGACGTAACGATGGACAATCTCGAGGGTGATGAGCTCGTTGTCGGTAGGGTCGGTAGCAGCGATGAAGAATAGGGACGCATAGCGCCGATAGACTACTTTCGTCTCTGCGACGTGAATTAGCCTAGCATCACAGGGCATGTGACCAGAGACTGTTTATTCATACCTTTGTACTCGAGGAAATTGCACATCCGAGTCCGCCGAGCGAGCACCAATTGCGAGACGTCCTTGATGATCTTCGCTTTGTCCTTCGGTGAGAGAGTCGTAAACCATTTCGCCAATCGCTGGGACATGTTCAGTGGATTGAGCAGATGATCGCTGTTCAATGAACCAAACGTACCACCTTGCCCTGCCGTGACAGCAAGATGAGGTATCTGAACAGAGGATGTCAGCATCGAGATCTAGGCAAGATTCATTCATGCTAGCCAGACTGACCGTATCGCCATCTTGGATGGTGCGCGTGAGACGAGCAGAGCACCAGATGATGATGTGGGAGAGAGTGGCTTCGATAGACTGCAACAGCCGAAATGCAAAATCTACGTGCAGGCGCGTGCACCCGGAGCGCCCCACTTTGGACCGCAGCACCGGCCGGCGAAGGCTCCAATTTCATGTCAGAATGGTGGTGGGCACAGCTGTACACGTCGGGCACATGGCCATCGCATCGTTCTCACATGGAAAGCGTGTTCCTACACAATTAATAATGCCGCTGGCGCGTTAAATAAGATTACGTCGTCGAAGGTCTGCGACGTTGGCGACTTTTGTGCTCACAGGTGAGCCTCAAGCGTGGACGATGCGAAGTGCGCGAAAAGGACAACAATTAAATCCCCAAGTGCTATGCTAGAATATAGGCGCGAAGGTCGTGAAATCGAATATTCGTGTCCTAATGGCATTCCACGGCACCATCCCAGGTGTTCTCAAAGGAACCTCTTATCATTCGGGGCAGCGGCAGGTGTGAATTTGTTCGTGGTCGACGTTCCAGGGAACATCACGCCTCCACTGGTGGGGAATACGTCACACGTCTTCCCAATGGTGAAAAAGAGCTTGATCGAAAGCTGAACGGTAAAATCTTAAAACCATATTTCTAGCCCCAAGGCGGCTTGATTACATGATTCCCATCCGGGTGCAGACTTCTCTCGCCAAACATTTGCGTCGCGACTCGTGCGCTGTCGATATCGTCTGCACAATCGGACAATCGTCCGCTTGATTTGTCACCATGAAGCTTCTCTTGTCAACCTCGTACGTGCCTCGCCATGTCCCACCTATTGCCACTGCTGACCATGTAGGAACATCATGGGTGGCGGATCCACCATTCACAGATCCTCCACGACAAAGTCAAATGCGGAACTGATCTCGTCCTTGAGGACAAATCTCTTGCATCATGCCGGACTCGATCAAGACCGTTCGAGCGGGGCAATTGAAACGAGTCGACCATCATACCAGACTTGGACTCGAAAACAAAACGACATTCTCGAAATACCAGGGCTGGATCACGCTGAGACCAGGCTGGAAGATGAACGCTCGCAATACGATATTACTGTAAAGTTGTTCTTCCTACCGGGGACCTCAGGACCCAATCGATCGGCGCAGCTGAGGGAAGCTGTTACACTGGTGTTGGAAGCGCTCGCGATGCCATCAATAGACCTTTTGATTTTGTCATTCCCTGGGATCTATTTTGACGAGCAAGAGGATTGTCCTGATAAGCTGTCAACTCGTGGGCCTATTGAGACCGAACCGGAGCCTCTAGAAGAACAATTACCTATCTGGAAAACTCTAGAAGCTTTGCACATCGAGGGCACTGTCGCTCGTTTAGGCATTGCAGAATTTGGCAAGGAACGACTACAATCCCTTCTTGCCCAAGCGTCGATCAAGCCCAGCGTTGACCAGATCAATCTGCGAGATTGCTGCTCCGTACCTCAGGATCTGTTGACTCTTGCTAAGAGCACCAATGTTGAACTGTTAGTCCACAACGACAGCTCGAACATCCTTCCACGAGGCATCACTCGCGAGTTGCTAGGAGACGGTCCGTCGGGTGCTGGGGTGTTATGTGATGCAAGTAAGACTGGTGAGAAAAGAAAGAACCTGCACGATGACCAAGAGAATGGCACAGGCGACGGCCTGTTGAATGGTGAATTAAAACCTCAATGGGTAGTCAAGTACACTGCGGTAGTTAAAGATCGCGGTGTTGTTGAAAGCAAAGGTTATTTCGCAGTTGCGAATCTGGACCAAGAGTAGATGAAATGAGTGCATGAAGCGGTTCTGGCTCTGCAAATCGAGCTTACTTGATGAGCTCGGTGTCCCAAGATCATGCTGGAAGCACAAGATCTGGAGACTCAGCATTAGTGCAGATATCTTCAGACCGCCCGGGCAAACAACTTCGACCAATGAATACTAGTGCGTGGCATGAACGAATCATTAGCCCATTCGTCGATTTGGCGACTTCAAACATGTCAGCGACTTGTCGATGGCTCGGCACAAATTCGCTGTCTTCCTCGTTGAACAAATGGATGTTGCGATCGGGCACGATACTTCAATGATTCTCTTGTCCGAGTACCTCACCCACAGAGACATCAGGCATTGGACAAGCAGTTTGTCATTATTTGCGGCTAGGAAACTACCCGATTTCAGGACAGATTTCAGGCTGGCCGATCTCATTGCGAGCACTGGCGTGTGGCGCCAATAATGTAAAAGAAGTCTCATGACAGCAAGATCGGGAGTGGCATGGCTTGCTAAGCCGATTTTCTGTCTCAAAATATACATATCGTTACAACCCCTCCCACTTTCCAAACCGCTTCCAATCGTCATACATTGCACGTAATACCGCGCGCTCGCTATTGTTCAGCGCGGCGCTGAGCACTTTGATGCCTTCGGGATTGGCGCCTTCTATAGCCTCGACCATGGCCCACACGCCGGGATTCAATGCCTCTCGCACCTCGGGCCCATCTGCGCCAGTCAACACTTGGGAACAGTAGTGGTGGAGGACACTGGGTAGGAATTGGCCGACCCTCCCTTTCTCCTTGCGAGCTTCATCGATCAGGTCGGAAGACTTGTTGCGGTGACGGAGATGTGGCGGATCACAGTAGAGCGATAAAAGCCTGGCGAGCGTGCGGGCTTGTCGCACCGCGAGTGGCTTTCGAGCGGAGTTCCGGTCTGCCGACTGAAAGACCCCAGAGAAGAGCCCTTGAAATATCGCATTGATGAGGTGAAATCGACCTTGTAAGCGAGCACGGTAATGTGTCAGGAGAATATTCAAAAGGTGGGTAACGTTCAGATACAGAACCACCAGTAGCTTTGGTGTATCGACGACTCTGTGCAGCGCTGTCAAGATCTCTTCAATGCCGAATTGATTCATCATGAATGGCTTCTCCTTGAGAAACAGAGCAAGTGACTCCATCGCTGCTTTGGCCGAACGAACACCTTCTGATCCTTTTGCGGCGGCAACGGTCTGTCGCAAAAGATTGTTGATACCCGCATTGAGAAAATCTTCGTCCATGTCCTCTTTCGCTAGGGTACGAACAATGGCGCGTTGGAGCAGAAGCGCCACTCCAGACATTTGGTTCTTGTGTTGCAACTGGTGATCAAGCATGCTTTTTCTCCAGGCAGGCGGTCTGCCCTTGAGAACGTCCTGAAAACTTGTTAGTACTGCAGCATGACTATCAGCGGAACAACTTTGCTGTAGAACTTCCGTCGTCAACGCGGAGAAGTCTTGCGGTTCGTTGGCAGCATGTCGACAGACCACAGCATAGGCACGGGCAATTGTTCGCTGCCATGACGCCGCGGCGGGATTGTCATCGACTTGATCGGAAGTCTGGGCTGAGTTGTCGCATGCTTGCTCGAGCAGGCTCACCGCATCGATAACGACTTGGCGCTTATGAGCGCCTCCTCGGTCTGGCAAAATTCCAAGTATGCTTTCGGGCACGGCCACAAGAGCGTCCATTGCCACGAAAGCTTTGATCGTGCCTCTGACACCGACAGGATGCTCGCCGATGGAGTCCGATGAAAGCCTGGCTGCGGCTGCGATACATTCAAGATAGTTCGAAAGTAGTTTTGGTACCCGATGAGTCGGCTTTTGCTTCGTCTTGTCATCAATTTCTTGCTCAATCACTTGGAGAGCGATTTTGGCCACAGCCTGTGAGCAGTGCTGCCTTAATGATCTGGTTTCAGATGCGCCGTCAGAATTCAACATGTGAGCTTTCAACCTCTCCGAGTGGCTTGCGAAGATCTGCTGTACATGCTCACTTCTCTGAGTTTTGGCACATTGATCGAAAACTATACGTGCCAACCTTTCAAAGAGATCATAGATTGTGACTTGGCTCATCTGACTCTGACCATCACTGGCATTCGAGATTTGGGTCAACTCCCAGACACAAGCTGCATCAGTTATAATTCTGGCATCAGAGGCGCGACCCTCGAGCCATTTGATCAGAGTGGCCAGGCGCCCCTCCACGGAGGTCAGATGGCCTTGGATGGAGCGGGGAGGTGCTAAGTCTGTGATTGTGTCCACAACTCGCTTCCTCTCTTGATCTGTCACCATGGACAAGGGCACAGCATCTAACACAGATAGCCAACAGAGCTCGGTCGAGGGATTGTCGCAGCTTGCTAATCGATTACATAACTCCTGGACGAGAATATTGATTGGCGAATCCACGGTTGAATCGACAAGTCGTCCTGAGAGCGCGACTACAACAGACGCAATGTATGCTACAGCAGATTTTCGAGAATTCTCGTCACATGCTGAAGGTATTTGGTCGAGGTAGCTCTGTACGAAGTTCTCGGGCGCGGATGAAACGAGTGAACGAAGAACATCAATGTGTTCGGGAAGCACTGCCTTGCTCGTGCTCGAAAAATTCAGACTTTTGAAAACTTTCCGGAGCAATAGCTCAGTGCTCGTAAGTTGCGCGTATGGCATGAAGCTTTCACAGATTGTGGCGAGAAATGTACTACTTGCGACTTCAGTTCGCTTTGCCGAAATCTGTGGCTTGTCTCCGCCTTCGAGCCCAGCTAGTGCAATTCCCAAAGCTTTGCTGGAAGAGAGCTGCGCGGCCACATCATCAACGGATTTTTTATCGGTCTGCTGTGCGATCCATGATGGCATCCATGCGCGAAATACAACGGTGAGCAGATGCATGTACTCTGATCGGAGTTCCGGTGCTGAATTGATTATATCGGGCTCCGTCGGATTTTGTAGTGCTACGCGTAATGCCTCTAGTGACTGATATATCTTCATCACAGCAATTTCGCTACGAGCGCTTTGAATGAAAGCACTTAGGAGTACGAAAGAAATGTACAGCTCACGGGAAGTATTCTTGGCTCCCGAGGCTGTACTGATCCTTCTTGTGATCTCAAGGCTGTGGTGTTCGACGGCTTCGATTATTTGTTCATGCGTCATGGACGATATGGAGACCCGGGCGAAGTCTCTCCCGACTTCACTCCAGACAATTCCGTTCTCGGCTTCGAGGGTATCTCCAAGTTGTTGTGACCAGATTTCGACGAAGACCTTCATTCTACGGCTCTGTCCAAAGGCTTCGAGAATCGGTACGATAATCGCATTCCGCACGACATTCGTGTCCCTTGGTCGTGTGTCTTGTTTTGTGCGTGTCGAGTGACTGTTGACACACTCGTGGCTAATCCGGCCGAACACGAAACTTGCTACGTTCGGCTCAGTTAGTGCCATTGGGTGGACTTTGCAAATTTGCGCCACCAAATGCCACTCAGCGAAAGAACTCATAGATGGCGAAGATATTGACGAATCTCGCACAAGTGAAGCAATAATGTGGTCTGACAAGGCGAAATTGCGGGTGTATAGCACTTGCAGCATATCGGCGAGCGCGGTATCGCTGGCAGATTCCTGGACTCCAATGACACAGCCATGTAAAGCGGTGAAGACAGCTTCGACCCAAGGACGCTCCCGCAGGCGGTCCTTCGGACTCGTCGTTTTCGAAGATCGGATTGCGATATCAAGTAGCAAAGGCATAACCTTGACCATTTGTCTCGCAATAACGCTTGGCGGCAATTCGCACAGTGGTTGAAAGAGATCGCGAAGTTGGGCTTGCTGCGGTTCATAGTCAGCGACCACCCCGGCCAGGTCATGAGGACGCAAGGCAAAGGCTGCACGGAACTGTGCTATGCTATGCCTTGCAACCAGTTCCTCGAGCACACGGATGATTTCGCTTGCTGAGAGCAGGCTGGTGCCATTCCGCTTGCGCTTGGGGGTCCTTGTAGGTGCTTGATGGTGCAGCGCTTCGAGCAATAGTAATACAGGGACCAGGCAACGTGAAGTAAACAAAGCGTCACCATATTGCGATCGCTGTCGTAATTCCCACAGACGTAGACCAGGGTTGAGCAGATCCTGGTTCATGATGGAATGGATGCCGTCGTCCGCGCCAAATCTGTTGTAAACATGTTGGAACCAGCACCCGCAAATCTCAGCAACGAGGTCATCTCCAATGCTCAATAGTGATTGAACAGCAGAGCCGTCTTCTTTCTCTGCCAAATGGAGCAACAGGTTCAATGATCTTGCGATCTCGGAATGTGTTTCGGATGTCACATTTGACTCAACACATGTACGGTGAATAATTTCGACAATATCATTCGCCCCAAGCACGGTAGCAATACGTCTCCGAGGCAATAATCTCAAACAATCCGAGAAGAGTACCCATGCTTGACTGTTCACGCGAGCTTCCGACGAGGAGGAAAATTTGTCCAGCAGCCATTTCAAGATCATCTCTGCTCGAGCGCCATGGGTGCATAGAACCTGTGCATCTCGCAATTGGGATCCCAGATCAGGCAGATCCGGAAGCCTTTTGAGCCTCTCCAGTGATGGTCGAGTTTCCGCATTATTTCTGCTCGGTTTCATCGTGAGTTTGTTTTTGAAGCAGCATTGGCAGCATTCAACTCCAAACACTTCAGGATTTGCTTAACCACTGTGACGTGCAGCCAAAATTGACGTGCAGCCAAAATTTCTTGAAGCTCGGACCCCTGCGTCGGCAACCTGGAAAGCTTTCATCTCAAGATCACCATCCGCAGGAAAGCTCCGGCACTAACCTCAACTTCAACAACATCCACGACACATACACAAGTTGTTGCGATTCCCAATGGCCAGTTCATCAGTCACGCCTGCGGTGCCGCCGCCCAACCGCCCTAGCAGACCTTTCAGCGAGGCTCTTCTGAATGAGAAGGTGCGCACAGTTCCGACTGTTGATTTCGCGAGTACTAAGCAACAGATTGCTGATGTTCACTGCAGTGGGACCACTGCCTCAGCACTTTCTTGATTCGCAGCACCTACGGCGCAGGCTTCGGTATCATCTTCTCGCTGCTTCTATTCCGCCGGAGAACCTGGCCAGTGTGGACCGGTGTTGGCTTTGGGGCTGGACGAGCTTGGGAGGAATGCGACAGCGTAAGTCATGGCCGCCTATGGGGCGATTCATAGCCCCTGCGTGTCGGGGGGAATGCATTCCGAATTGAATTGCGCGCATCATCAACAGTCTTAATTGACATACGCCATCAATGGCAACACGCTCTGTGGATCCCATCGCTGACAATCACATAGAGCTTCAAGCGAGCAACCACGCCATCCCGGGAAGGACTCCGCGTTCTCCGACCATGATCGACGAACGTACGGCTTTATGCGATGGCGCACAACACCTAGACGTGAGCGTGTATACTAAAAGAGATGGAGCCGACTGAGGACTCTGATGTATATCTCGCGTCATTGGCCAATCTTGTCACACCACCAAGATGAGCTGATTAGTTCATTGCAATAATACATGAAAATACCCTACAAATTCCAATTCATCTGGCTACGATCATGAGAAACACGCTTCGTTGTCCCTAGGTCGGGTTTGTCGTTTCCCCCCACAACGACGAGTTCCTGGTTCTTCCTCTCAGTATCACTGCTGTGTAAAACGGATGTCGCACAACGCATCAGCTCGTATGTACAGCGACGCACCTCACTCAGCTCCGTTGGCCTGAAATGTTTGCATCACGCAAGCTGACCTGTTCATAAAAAGACCACCTAGGTTTCATAGGGAGCAAGCTATGGTCAGGTGCGCAGTGGAGGATGTGCTCGTTCAACCGTGCGGTTTCCTGGCTCGGTCGTTTCTATATGTGATGCTCAAAAGGCCATGCCAGTGCGACGCAAACTTCACGTCAGGCAGGGCTTCAAAAGTATGTGCTGAAGGCCAGCCAATCAATGGCAGTTTCCCTTTGAAACCAAGCACGAACATGATTCGAAGTACGCAGTGTGGTTCCGGTCCAAACGTCCGATGCAAAGCGGGAGCATTGTAGCGCTTTAGAGGTATCTGATTCTAAACCGTGGCTAGTGAAATGCATTGACTGCCATTGTGAACATCGCCAATTGCTTCGCGAGAAGTATGTAGACATGGACCGAGATGATGGCGCCAATATTAGACGACGAGCTAGATCCGACTTTTCGGAAAAGCCGCCCACCTGGGCAGTAGAGCTCTGTCTTCGTCGTCTTGACTGGCTTGAGCTCAAGTCCTGCCGGGAGGATCTTTCTAATAAATAAGTATCCGATGCTAAGGGCGATTACATTGCTACTTTGCTCACAAGATTCGAGCTCGGGACCTCACCTTCTCAGTGCTGAGTCACGTGATCTGGCGTCGCGCTTTTGCAAGGCTGTCTTATGTTCTCTGACAAGTGTAGGCTGTCGCATCGCAAACTTTGCCTCAGGACACAACGTCAACACAATCCAGATACAATAATCAATCAAGATCGGCAAACCGCATCGCATCGCCTGTCAAGAGCAGCAAGATCTTCGTTTCATCGTCGAGATTGATATTCTCCAATTGGTTGGGACTTGTCGCGAGCGTGAGATTGACGACGCGACGTAGTTTTCCTCAACAATTTTTCCAAGATCTCGCCACACGAGAGCATATCTATTAGAATAGGGTCCGGCTGAAATCACAGCGACTGTGGCTCTGCAAGATGAATGTCGAAAATGATATGCAAACACCAGTGTCCCCGGTGAGCCCACAACACGAGCAAATCGTGGTGGAGCAGCAAGTCCCACGCAAACGATCCCACTCGGTGATGTCACAGCAGAATGACCAGATCATGGCACATGTGCAAGAAACGCGATCAGGATCGATAGGTTCTGTTACGGGGTTTTCAAATCAAGATGGCGAAGATCTCCTCTCTCCTCGCGACTGGCGTCAAGTCAAGCGGGGAGAACCTCCGAAGGATGCCTCAGGAAACTACTGTTGCATGTGGTCAGACATGGATCCATGCTACATGCAGATATTCAATCGTAAATGCGAATGGAGGTGAGTTTCGTTGGTTTTAAAGGCTCGGCGTTGTGCAGTCTAACTGACGGTGTGTCCAGCAAACATATGGACAAGCACGATCGGCCATACCGGTGCCAGCACAAACAATGCGAGAAACTCCAGGGGTTCACTTATTCCGGCGGCCTTCTAAGACATCAAAGAGAGGTACACGGCCAGCATGGCGGCCCCAAAGCAACATTGATGTGTCCATTCGAAGGCTGCAGACGTCACTCAGGAAAGGGCTTCACACGAAAAGAGAATCTCAATGAGCATCTTCGTCGCGTGCACCACATCAGCGAACAGCAACCACTCACGACACATTACCCTGCCATCGATGCCTCCTTGGGTGTCGACGATATGGAGCCACCTACCGCTCGCATGTCAGATGACCTGGAGCTAGGTGGCTCGGCTTTGGGTGCGGGCAAACGCAAGCGTATCGAGGCCGGCATGGATGACTTCCTCACTGCCAACAACATCGACGAGCTACATGCCGAGATCAAGCGACTTCGAGAGGAGAATGATCAGAAGGATGAGCGGATTCAAAGAATGGAGGCCGAACGACTAGAGCAGGACGACAAACTTCGTCAACTGCAAGCGGCTGTTGAGCAGTCGCAACTTCAAACCTAGGGCAGTTTGAACTTTGCCGACCAATATCTTGGCGACCATTTCCTGTCCTACTGAGTAACTGTCACTATGAACTTGTCAAGAACACAGATCGAGACAGAGCGCTCGCAGGCTGCTGCTCGATAAGCTTTCTGCCTTTCTTTTTGTATTAATTGCATAGGCGGCGAGCACTCCGGTGTGGAATATAGATATCTTTCAGAGAGCGGACATTGTACATCGAGGCGACCCAGTTTTATGTCTGACTGCCTGGTTTGTTATCACAAACAACAGCACAGGCGTCGGAGCCACCTCCAGTGCAACGGATACGACGAGTTCACTGTACCCTTTTCAACCGTGTCAAACTTGGAATGCCTCAGTTGATGGGCTCTTGACGACGGGATACTTAAATCTCTGTAGATGGTCAATATCAAGGTCATCAAGCAATCATACATAGGCAGGATCCGGAATGTCGTTGTCGTGTTGCAATGTTGCATATGTTCCACCCGGCTTCCCCATAGGGTTGTGCTTCATACGTTCAGGGTTATGTAACTTCGACATCTTGCGGACAGGACTGAAGGAGACTGTGACATCGTCGGCTTTACATTTACATACCGTCAAAAACTGGTAGATTCTTGGAGTTGACGACGGCGAGCGTGCTCATTTTAGTTGAATGGCATCGGCGACGACTGGGCTCGGCACCCACGCGTCCAGCAGTTTTCCCCAACATCATGGGCGTCCCATCCATGCTCACAAATAACTGCACGGAGCCAAATTCTTGTGACACATACGCGCACATATGTCAGACGAATAAACTTCGACACGACCTGTGGACCAACAGTCCCCTCACAGGTCCTCAATATCACACAACACGATGCCTTTCCTGTCACGAGAGGCTTGGTCGGAAGGAGGAGGTTCTGCGTCGACAAAGCCAAGCGCATTCGACCCGCCGCACGGATGTCGGCCGGCCTCACGTCTGTAATGGGAGAGCACGACGATGGCATCACGATGTTTTTCTTGCCTGCTGACACTCTGGTCGTGCAACCTTCATGCTCGAAAGCGCGGGATGTGTGTAACGAGAAACCACGGGATATTTGGACAGCAATGAATAATAAAATGACTCGGTGAGAATGAACAGCAACACAACCACCAAGCCACGATCGTGTATGGATTACGTGCATTAGACTCGTTCGAAATAGCACTTCGCCAGAACCTGCAGTAATAATCACTGGGGAACACGTCAAGATTGTCATATGTGAACTGATGGTGATAGCGATGTGCCAAGGTGTAGATAAGACGACGAAATGCACTCACGGTACCTCGGGGGGAGGTGGCTACTCTACTCATGACAACGACCACTCGCGTGAGTACACGATTGAACACACGCGGAATGAGCCACTGGTTCACGAACACGTATTGCTGACGACCTGTGATGGGTGCAACTGATCTGCACGCCTCGCATGATATACCATGTCTGAAACGCCCTTCGCGAGCAACACGAGGGGCCTACTTTCATACCCAAGCGACGGTCGTTTATTACGATCAGCCCTGTTCGAAGAGACCGCTGATCGTCGGTCAGGAGAATGTCTTGGCAGAGAGCTGGATGCTCGTGTGACAGGCCCCTGCTAGACGACCTGTCTTGTGGAGCAGTACAGTATATAATAGTCGCGTAGTGGATGTATAATAGAGGTCGTTCTTGAACCCATCATGATGAGGTTCGTAGGCATCATTCTGACTCATTTGAATACTGTACCTACCGGGGCTATCAGCGCGAAGCGTCCCCCACGCTGCGAGGAAATACGACACTGCTGACGGCTTGTTCCCTGTTTCTGTCATTCACAATCGAGCACATGATATTTCTCTTGCGAGGTCCGGCCGGGGGCACGGCATGGGCTTGGTGTGACTTGTCCATGCATGCGCTACGACGAGTTGCTGTACGTGGCTCGACTTGAGCTCTGCTGGTGAGTGAGAATATCACCAGCTCATTCGCAAGCTTGTAACCTGGAAGTGATTTCAATCAGGGCCGAGGCCCTGGAGCAGCTCTCCCACCGTGCCAATAATATCGTGTGCAAGGATGCAACAGCTCTGGTAGCGTCTGAAGACTCGTAGCCTGCAGCAGAGGTGTGTACGAGGAAATGGGCACACAGACACACTGGCGGAGGACATGCACAATGACGCTACGTACTGGCAAGCCGACAGCCTATTACTTGTTACACATGTTGCGAGGGGAGGTGGAAGCCCACGACTGGACTTTGCGTAATATCGGCTGCTGATACTGACGGCGCGCGGCTTGCGCTATTACACGATGCTGGGGTGGGCGTTCGTCAATGGGTGATGAGAGTCGTGACTGCGCCGTCGCGACGTTCGCAAAGAAACCGCAGTCCATCAATGATGACCTCGGGTGTAATGATAAAATAAGAGCAGGAACAAAACGGGGGTCGAAACCTCGATTTCTTGTTGTAGAGAAGCGCGTGGACTTGCCTGGCAGGCAGATGGTCATGGATGCGAGGTACCCGCAGCAGTCGCGACTCTCTGCCCATGCGTGCCACCAATTCCGGCAAAGCAGAGAAATCTTCTTTCAACCAGGTCACGATCGCTTGCGTGCTCTGAGGATTGCAGGATCCTCTCTGGTGTGTGGTGCACCTCTCGACTCTCCATGATGTAGCCGACTAACCGTATGCACAACTTCGCGGGCATCACATACCTCTTGTGTGCACACGATACTTCCAGGCGTTACTTAGATAGGCTTGATAAGTAGGCATGCTGGAGGATGGGGCCAACGATGATGAAGCATGTGCAGGACAGCACTGTATGCACCCCGGACTTGCATGACGCGCATGACAAGTGTTGCCAGCAGGCCGGTACCACCACGCGGCCGCCTGTGATTCTGGTGCTCGATTGCCCGCTATACCAGCATCTCTGTCCCCGTTGGGTTTCACTGTTGTTATATTACGGGCCCGTCGTTTCTGCGCGCATTCCTGAAGGCTGCCGACGCATCGGCCGGCTTTGTATTGCAGCTCTCATAGCACCGGTGATAAGTTGAGAAGCTAAACTGTAGCCGGACCTTGCACGATGGCGAGGCACTGTATTCCATGGACATGCAAAGCACGAAGCCTGTATCTATCGAGCGGACTGGAGTGATTGCTCGGTAACTTGTACCGGCGCGCTGATGCAGGCGAATTTGGGGGCATCTGCGTGTCTGAAGAGCATGTGACCGTCGAACTTGCCAGCGCAGCAGCAGTTCAATGATTAGCGTGCGCGTGTGGGGATGTTGTCCCTCAGGGGTCACACCTACATGCAAGGCCAACAAAGACCACCGTGCATGGCTCCGTTACAACAATTCATCAAAACGTCCATAGCAAAGTAGACAAGGAGGCATCATACATCCCTGTCCCGGTCGTGAACATAGTCCGTTCATACGGCCCATTCCATATTGTACTGCACGGCTCATCGCCATGCTACATACGTCATTTGTGCCTCAAATTACTGAATTGCATTGCACACCTCCAACAACGCTGACAAGTTCCGTTCGATAGGTGAGCGTTATGTAGATCTTTCGGTATCTGATTGAGATTCATCGTTCGAAGAAACATGTGAAACGTCTACAGATTGCGATCCTCATATTGACCGTTGGGCATGATAAACCTGCGTTGAACCATGATTTGCCGGGGCTTGACACCCCTATCATAAATCGTAAATGACGGAGCACCAGGTGCGATTCCAGCTCTCGGCAAAGATTTGCCGATCACAGCATATGCTCCACAACGAATACGACTCAGATCTGCCAGTCATGTCGGAAAAGGGTGATACGCGGAGGCTATGCGACACGGTACAAGGGATCCATCCTTGCGAGACCGCCGCGGCAAGGAACAGCTCAGTGCCGTGTCTAGTCGAATGTCTGTCTCGGAGTGCGATCCATTTGTTTGTCCAGTAGGTGAGTATTCATCATTACCATCATTACCATCATTACCAACATCATCATCATCGCCCACCATCCTGGCGGTATGCGCCGCTGTGACGTAGTGGCAGGCGCATGGCCATTCTTCGAAAATTCCTTAGTGGCAGGAGGGCACAGACCCACAGATCCTGCCATTGCCTGGTTCGCTGCGGAGAAGTGCTTTCCAACGGCGGCGGGTAATAATAATACTTGATGATCCCGGCCCAGCCAGTCGCCTGGGTCGGTCAATCCGCGGAAGTGCCCCAAGGTTTGTGCTTTGCGAAAAAAAGCTCAACCTCGTAGAACAAGTGCACCATTCATCACACCCTGTCGCAAAGCAGCGTGCGATCGCTCACGTGAGTCATAGGAGAAGAAGGAGAAGGAGAAGGAGAAGATGATGATCATCATGATCGCGGCGTATTGCACATGCGAGGTATCTCCAGTTTCGAGGCGCATCAGGAGCGTTTCGCAGATGTTCACCGTTCGGTGAGCGCAGCTGGGCCGCAATTCATGGCCAATCGGCGGATATCGTTAGTCTTTCGAGACACGCTGCCCGGCCAAAGTGATATAGGACGATCGTCTCGTGCTGCCAGGCGCACCAACAGGCGATGAGAGATCCAAAACATTGCATCGTGTCGGTTTCATTCCCCTTCACCGTCTTTGTCGTTGTGACATCGTCGCCGGGCATCCCGACGAATTAGAATCGGAAGCGGGCGAAGGGCAGTGCAAAATGCGATCGACAACGATTCCTACCGGTCACGACAAGGTTCGGTGTAATTTATCCAATCGTATTCCTGCGCCCGGCCTAAACTTGCCCAGGTCAGGTTCCACCGCAGTACTCTCAGAATGGAAAGTCTCTAGGGCCCTCATCATTCCAAGGTCATCACCAGTCGTCTTGTCAGAAATACTGTGGAAGTTTTTTTCCCAGGTCTCATCCAGGCCGGCCAACGGGTACGGGCACTAGTATGTACTACACGAGCCACAGCAAAGATTCCTGGACACCGGGATGAGTGCGGCATGGTTGATGGTGTAGTCGTGTGGTAGTGTACTGTGCGTATGCCCAGGTGTATGGACGGAGGGAACCAACTTGGCGACGGACCGCGCGGAAACCCTTTCCCACGAACGATGATCGTTCCTCTCCTTGGCCCAGATGTCTGCTGGTGTTGGGCTCAGAGGTTCCAAGGTGGTCGCTCAAGGCCGCGTTTGTGCCTGACATCGAGGGCGGTACCTAATCAAGGTTACTAACTGCCCACCAGGTGTTGTTCGAGAGTGCCGGTTGGTTCGGATTCGCCCTGTCAGATCGCCTCCGCCTCCCCCTCAGGTTGTTTCCACTGCGCGCTGGTACTGGATGTATGTGCCGGTATCGTGTACTGTCTGTACCTTAATGTCGTACATTGACCCCGGAAGGTGTAGGTAGCCATGGATTCTCATGTACCCTTGAGGAATTTTTCTTCCGCCTCTCGGGCTCTCTCTCTCCTGGTTACGGTTTCATTTTATGTAGCGGCTACGTATGTGTAATTGTATCGTGCTCCACTACGGTATTCTTCCTATTTGATGCTTGTTACACACAGCTCGAGAAGGAGAGAGAGAGAGAGAGGGAGAGACACCCACCCACCACCACCCCGCCCGCCAATGGATGCCGTCTTGTTACACACCGCCGCCGTCATTGTGTCTTTCTGCTCCGCGGGCCTGGTCGGATAGGTTTCCTCAGCATTCCGCCTCCGGTTCCAGTCATCAACTCATTTTCGAAAAAATCTCCCCCAGCCCTCGTTATCATACATATCCAGTGTTGTTTCTCCGCCTCTCGCTCTCGCTCTTTCTTTGAGTCCGCTCTGCCACTGTCCATCGCACATTCGACTCTCCTTTGCGCGCTCTCAATTGATCACTACTGCGACGCTGCCTCACCACCAAACTCTGTGTGCGCACACTCCTTCCAAGTCCGCGCGCGTCTCCTGCAACACCAAGCCGTGCTCCTTCGACTACAGCACAAAGATCCAGTTGGGCCCCCACCCTGCACTGCTACGTTGTCGCTGGCCAGCCTGATTTCCTGCATCGTCCGACCGCCGCACTACTTTGCTCGTGCATAGAGCTTCATCATCTCATTAGTCGCTATCGCTGTTGGTAGGTACCCCGGCTGCATCTCACTCTATTATTACTATCTTCGGTATACTTATTTTGCGCTGCTGCTGCTACTGCTGCTGCACGGCACGCGGCGCAGCATCTGCAAGCCATTCGTATTGGTGCATTGTTGTTGACGAGCATTAGTACAGATATTCTTGCTGGGCGATCGTCGGCCTGGGCGCCTTCGCAGCCTTCTGAGGGCTCCCACTGTCAGATTATAATTCAGGCACTGCGCGCTCGCGATTCGATTCTCCCGGCACTGCAGAATTGGTCGTCGCCCTCACACATCCTCGACCATTTCCCGATAATGCGACTTTGCCCTCGTTAGAAACTTCCTCGCGGTATCCTCAAATTTGCTCGTTCAGCGCAACCTAGCCAGCCACAGTGTCCATAGAGGCCGACAGCGTCCGCATCTCCTGTAACGATCCACATGATGGCGCGATTCTCTTAAGTTATCCCACAATATGCTCGAAACCAGCTCGTCCTCGGTCGGGAGAATCCTCTTACAATCTTGTGTATCATGACTTGGCAGGACCGCTCTGTACACGATGCGTCCACGACTATGCCGATAGCCATGTCCGAATCAACGGGCTCGACCACTGTCTCGAGCCCCATCGCGATTTTGAATGCGTCCAAGTCTTCGACACCCGCCGGAAGTGCTTCCATTTCATTGACCAGTCGCCGAAGCTCATTTGTCCAAGCACGTTCAAATAAAAGCTATCCTTACCAATCTCAGGACTCCTGGATGGAAGGAAGCTGCTCACCACTCACTTATTTCCCTCCGTCGCCCATGATGCGGGACTACATGGCCGACATGAGCATCGCAGAGCGATCGCCGTCCCTTCAAGCTCGTGCCCCGAACGCGATGGCAGAAGCAATCTCTACAACGAAGAACCCAGGTCTCATTCGACGACTTTCCCGCGGCGCTTCGAACAAATTGCGCCGTCGTGGGTCCACAACGCGCTCGATGCGCATGCATGACCAGAGCGCTGGCCCAGTGCTGATGCGTAAGCGCAGTGATAGCATTGATGGATCTGACGGTGGACAGGATGTTTCGGATCTCGAACTTGATGTCTCGACCGACCAGCCTGCAGGAGATGCTCTGGGAGCGCCCTTGATATCGACCATGAGCCGCGATCCACAAAATCCTATGGCCAGCGCGGCCGACTTGCCCAGTAATCGATCTGGTTCTGTGCGAAGTGTCTTCGAAGGCGGTATCGCACCTGCAAGTTCAGCTGTGCTCGAGAATGGGACATGGGTAACGAAGATCACAAAACGCAACAGGAAACGAGTCAAATTATGGCTGGATCCAAACTTTGCTCGAGTATGTTGGCACTCAACCAAGGCCAGCAAGTCCTTCCTCATCGATGACGTTCGAGAGTATCGCGTGGGCGCGCAGTCCAGGAATGCTCGAGACGATGTTGTGGTTGCCCCGGATCAGGAGAACCTTTGGATTACCATTGTCTACGACACGCATGAAAGATCGCAGGGGCGCTCCATCAAGACTATGCATGTCATTATGCCTGATGACTTCCTGCTGAAACTATGGACTGATGCACTTGATACGGTCTCCCGGCAGCGCATCCAAATCATGAGCGCTTTGTCTTCATCGACAGAGCGCCACGAGCAGGGCATGGCTTTGGCTTGGCGGCAAGCAATGACTCGCCAAGGCCAAAATCGAGAGACCGGTTTCACTTACGAAGACGCGCGCTGGGTTTGTCGGAAGCTCGAAATCAATTGCACCGAAAACACGGTTCAAACTCACTTCAAGAGCATCGTAGGCGATCTCAATGCGACAATGGACTTCGAGATGTACCGAAAATTCATCCAGTCATTTCGCGAACGCAAGGAAATCTATCATATTCACGGCAAATTCGGATTTGGCTCAGGCATCAAGCCAGATGTGGAACTCTTCCTCGACTTCCTCGCCAATGAACAGAAGATCGATGTAGCGAAAGATCGACCACAATGGGAGGGCATCTTCGAGCGCTTTGCGAAGCCTTCCACCTCGCGATCCTGCGCTTGCGAGTCTCACCGCGGACAAGATCGAAATTCAATGACGCTCAGCGTGCAAGGTCTTCAAAATTTCATCGCTTCGCAATACAATGGCCCACTTGTGCCCAAAATAAACGACCCCACACTGGACAGACCACTCAATGAATACTACATCTCGAGCTCGCACAACACGTACCTGCTCGGTCGACAGTTGCGCGGCACTTCGAGCGTCGAGGGTTACATCGCAACACTCGTCAAGGGATGTCGCTGTATCGAGATCGATTGCTGGGATGGCGAAAACGGCCGTCCTATGGTTACACATGGCAGGACGATGACGACGAGAATCCCTTTCGAAGATTGCGTCTCTGTTGTGGCAAGATACGCTTTCAACAGTTCGCCGTATCCGCTGATCATCTCCTTGGAGGTGCACTGCAATGCCGAACAGCAACTCGTTATGGTTGAGCTCATGAAAAAATATTTCAAGGACATGATGGTTATGGAGCCCTTGATTTCGAACGCCGTTTCGTTGCCGTCCCCATCAGAGCTCAAACACAAGATCTTAATCAAGGTCAAGGCTTCGAGTTCAGACAATACCGACTTAACGTTGCTGACGGATAGCGTGATCTCTGGGCGAAGCCGCGCCCGCAGTTTGACATCCGGTCTCACGCGAGCTTCGTCTTTGTCGGATGCTCATGTCGCTGCCCCGTCATCAATAGTTTCAAGCCCGACCGCCACCAGTCCATCTGACTACCAATCGTCGCACACGACTCGAGAGTCCTCCATTGCTTCAGTCCCTATTGTCACACCAGCCAGTTCCGCCGAAGACAGCGACGAGATCCCCATGCGTCTTGACAAGACACAGCAGCGGAACAAGAAGACCAGCAGAATCGTCCCTGAACTTGGAAAGCTTGGCGTCTATGTGCAAGGATACAAATTCCTTGGCTTTCAAGACCCATCCGCCAGAACTTATAATCACATCTATTCTCTCGCCGAAACTACGTTCAAAAATCTCTGTGCGCGTAAAACTGACAATAAAGCACTACTGGAGAAACACAATGTGCGGCATCTTATGAGAGTTTATCCGAGTAATCTGAACGTAGATTCCTCCAATTTTGATCCTCTTCAATCATGGCGGCGCGGAGTGCAAATGGCCGCTCTCAACTGGCAGTACTATGATGTCCATCAACAGGTCAATGAAGCCATGTTCGCAGCGGGTCCCGATCGCTCTGGATACGTGCTCAAGCCCGAGGAGCTGCGCCACGCCAAATCATCACCCACGGAGAGTGCCAGCGGGCTCAAGGAAAAGAAGGGCAGGAAAATTGTTCGTTTCACTGTCGACCTCTTGGCAGCCCAGAGACTACCTCGCCCGCGAACACAGAACCAAGATGCTCCCATGAACACTTACATCGAGCTCGAGGTCTATTGTCCCGAGGACAGACCAGGCGGAAATGCGAGTAATGAGAACAACAATGACTTCCCTCTCCATGATGAGGCCCCTTATTCTCGAACTTCCCTTTGCCAACGCTCTCGCACGATCGAAGGCAACGGATTCGACCCCCAGTACAACTCGAAAATCGAAATGAGGGTTGAAACCAAATGGCCGAGCTTGGTGTTCGTCCGCTGGACCGTCTGGAACGTCCAGGAGGGAAAATCTGCGACACTCCTCGCAACATACACAGCGAAGCTTGCAAGCCTACTGCAAGGCTACCGTCTTTTGCCTCTGTTCAACCCCCGAGGAGAGCAGTACCGCGACGCCAAGCTCATGGTCAAGATCTCCAAGAAAGCGCCAGTGCCCGTGCCATCGGCCAGCCCGGCGCAGGATAGTAGCCTGGCGACTCAGTCCTCCCCACGACCAGAACCGACCCGATCAGGTCGGTCCTGGCCCTTGCGTATCCTACGCCTGTCAAGCCAACGCAAGAAGGAACAGACAGGGTTTAACGTCACCAGGAGTTCGACCCGCAGCAGCACAGAAAACTTCGCATCGCGCCCTGCCAACAGCGATGAACCTTGACAAATTCGGCGGTTATGACCTTCCCAGCCGTCACCGCATCCTCCTTTTTATCTACACATCTCCACCACCCCCACCAAGATCTGGCATTGAATTTCAAATCGGCGCATACTTCAGCCGGCGAGCTGCTGGGGAATTATTAACGACTTTTCTGCACTTCTGATCATATACCCGCATAGCCTCGAAGAGAAAAACCTTCTCTCGGCATGCCGCATTCGCACCTTTTTTTCCCCAACTGTTGTCTTGCAATCCCAACGCCCCTCCTCGACTGACCTTACTTGTGCCCTCCCCGTTTTGTCCGCGTTTCTCGAGCACATAGCTATTCATTCACTTTTCCGACCATGGGCGGCATGTCGCCATCTGCCATTCTGCTGGACAGTTATCACTCTTATCCTCTTCTTCAAACTGCTCGGTCAGATTTCGTTTTGGAGCTGGCCTTCGTCACCCTTTTGAGCGCGATATCTTTCTTATGAGACATGAGATAAACGAGCAACCGATGTCTATCTAGTGGGAATATACAACGTTGAATGATGCCGACCTTGCCCTTCGCACGACGATTTATCCCTTTGAGCTCTAGTTGCGTAGACTCTCCATTGATAGATTGCTGTGACCCTTTACGCTCGCGACTAATAAGACAACGCGGTTTCAAAACAGTGAAGTGAAAGAAAAAGCCATATATCCGTTTTTACTGGTCGCCTCTTTGTAGTGTACAAAAAAAAATTCAACGCAATTGTTGACGAGCGTCCTCGACGCGTTCCAGCATGTGCAGTGCTTGCTCATACGTCCACATGGTGACCGCACTAGCTGGAGCAGCCTTCAGCAAGCCCACGCTCAACCCTCTATAGAGACCGGCATAGCCCTCCTTCTTCAGGATCATCATCAACGTGCCCAGCACTCCCCGGGAATACACCGGGATGCGTTCTCCGCCGATATACTTGCGTCGGGTCGGCCCTTGAACCTGCAATCGCTTTCGGATGGTGTCGAATGGGAAGACGGCGGTCTTGCTCATGACGCTGGCTGTGATGCCAGCCACTGCGTCGCCTGAGCCAAAGGGCAGCTCGATCTCGGAGCAGATTGGCTTTAAAGATTCGTAGGAGGCGAAGAAGAGGCCCATGTATGGTATGATTTGTCCGATCGCGGCGGTAAGCCCACGGAAGAACCCAGCGGGGCCTTCGTGTTGTGCGATATCCCTGATACTTGCGACGAGACCATCGTAGACCTTTTCCGTCCCCTGAGCGGCGAATCGCGTCCGCAAAAGGTCAAGTGGATATGTCGCTGTGGTCGCAGCAGTTCCCGCAACGGCACCACTCACGAAGCTCTTGGCCGCTCCTGGGATTTTGACATGGCTGTCTTCCGAGAACTCTTCCAACGCTTGGCTGAGGGTCCGATAACTCCAGAACTGCACCGCACCATAGCTCAGGTATAGTCCTTCGGCGGGAATATTGCCTTTCCAGAATCCCGTTATTCCCTCATGTTGCAGTATGCCTCGAGCGACTTTATACACTCCTGCAGGGGATTGTGAGGGCCGGACCTGCGATAGCGGATCCGCGAGGGAGTGGTACTGGAGCTGCAGGCGGATCTTCACCACATCGAGCGGCGCGATGCAGAAGCGAGAGACGAGTCCTGCGATGGCGCCGGCGATGATGACCTGCGTACGCGTGCCCTGTACGCGAGAACGATCAGCTTGAGCTTGGGTAGGAATCTGCTAGATGTCATACCTCATCGCGCAGTGGTTGTGAGGCCGGCGACATCCATTAGCCTTTGGGGAGAGAGCACGAGCAGAGTTTGGTAGCTGGGCGGATGATGCAAAGTCTGCAAGGGGCGTGGAATCACTCAGAGTGAATTCCGTCCATTGGAAGAGGACGTTGAGTTTATATGTTGAACTTCTGTGTGAGATGATTGTGAATACTGTGTGAAACCACTCTGAGACTGTGTAATGCTTCCACACGTAATTGCCCTGGAGCGAGCTTCGAGACTTTAGGGTTGGACCGCTTTGAGCTGTAGACTTCAAGCATGCGATTCGGCGGAAATAGTTGACAGAAGACCGGCGCTTTTCGTGTACAACCCAGGGAGTTGCCGATCGGTATGTGGACATCGGGCCCTCACAGATTGGAGTTTGGAAAGTCACGATATAGCCACTATACGCACTCGTGCAGTTGCGCCGTGCTCGGCGTCCCATCTCTTGTACATATATGTAGTGTACAATCTGCTCGCTCAGCGTCGTCTTCGCCTGCCTCGTCGCTGAAACACGATATTTCCAGCCGTATGTGCACTCACGGGCATGAGCTTTCACAATGGCAATGATCCCACGCCACCACAATGCCCTGCGCAGCGCCCAGATCTTGCTCGGACTACGCTCACAGTCCCTTAATTCATCCATCTCTCACGGCCAGCAACGATGGTATTCGAATATTCAGGCTGGCCGAGTCCACAACAATCAGCAAAGAAAACATAATGCCTTGTCACGAGCACCTCTACACGGACGCCATGCACGCCACATGGCGACTCTTCTCGGTGCCGACCTGTCCCAGAGAGACACCGTGAACGTAAAGATCGACGGGACTTTACATAAGTTCTCTCCAGTCTTGCTCCGAGATCTATGCTCATGTAGCTCATGTGTGGATCCTTCGACTAAGCAAAAAGAATTTTCTACGGTTGATATTCCTCTTGGGATCTCGCCAGCCGAGGTGGACATCAACTCCAAGACGGTGACAATTCAATGGAACCACGACGTGCCAGGATTCGAGAACAAGCATCGAACGGAATTGCCAATCGACCTTCTCAAAAGCCTGGTCTCATCCGGAAGCTACAAGGGTAAACGTGTGACGACTCCGAGGACGTACTGGGAAGCCTCCGAGTTCGAAGAGCTCAATGATTTTGAATATGAGGCTTACATGAACGATGAGACGGTGCTACTTAAGGCATTGCGCCAACTTCATACCCACGGATTGATCTTCGTTTCCGGATTGCCCGAAAGCACAGACTCGGTGATCAAGACAGGAGAACGCATAGGCCCTTTGAAGACGACCTTTTATGGCCACACATGGGAAGTCCGATCGGTGCCAAATGCTATCAATGTTGCGTACACTTCTTCGAACCTGGGCTTCCACATGGACCTCATGTACATGGTACAGCCACCCCATCTTCAGCTGCTCCATTGCATGCGGTCTTCATCCGCGGGAGGCGCCAGTCTATTCACCGATAGTTTCCGGGCAGTGGACCAATTGAGCAGAGATGATCCCGGGGCTTTCGATGTTCTCAGCGATCTGGCCGTGGATTTTCATTACGACCACCCAGGCTCGCAATACTACCATCGATCCAGGCGGGTCATCGAACAGGAGCCCTTGAAGCTCGGCCGAACATGGGTTCGCAATTACCGGGCTGCGCAGCGTTGGCTAGAGCATCAGCCCGAGCAGCATCAGAAACTAAGCCCGATGGATTTTGTAGATGCAGTCTCTTGGGCACCTCCGTTTCAGGCTCCTTTCTCTCTCCGACATGAGCCCGAATTTCCTCCGGAGAGCCTGGATGGTGGTATCACTACCGCGCAATGCCTAAACTCGCACACGTCGCGGTGGCACGAGGCTGGCCAAAAATTCAACGAGCTCATTCACAAAAAAGAGGCTATCTATGAGCGTATGATGAAACCTGGCCAATGCGTCATCTTCGACAACCGTCGGGTGCTCCATGCCCGGACAGCATTCGATGTCGATGACGCCGGGAAGGAGCGATGGTTGAGAGGAGCGTATATCGACAAAGACCCTTTCATCAGTAGGCTGACGGTGCTTGAAGACAGCGCGAAGGCGTGAAAAAGTTCGAGGAATACATTCCTGGCGGGAAAAATGGAGGTGTATGGGTAGAAAAGTACAGTACGAATACATGCCAAATAGCCACGGAGGGCTGAAGAACAATTGGTCTTTGAATTGTGAGAGAGCAAATCCAAGTGCAGGGCTGCCACTGACACCGCGTCGCTGATGGCGCAACCCCGTTCTGGCGTCTATCTGGAGGATATAAAAACTTGCTCGCCGACTGCACTGTAGCAATAGAGATGTGATGTGCCATAATCTACCGTGCACAAAATGTATTTAGCGATCACAGAGTAGGGTAAGTGTAACTCATCATGTCCAGCCCTTCTCAGTGGTGAGCTTGGCGGGAGGATTGGGAAAGTCGAGTGGTTGCCCCGGACAACAACGCGTGGAATTGACGCGCTTCTGCCTGCCCACCACTCCTCTTGACCTTGAGCGCCATCGAAATATATTGTCATCTAGGCCCACCCTCGCCGTTCACGGCTCGTTACCGCCGTTGCGCATGTAGCAACCTTGTCGTCGCAGAGCATCGAAACCTTTCCAGTATACTTATCGCAGAGTCATGGCAAGCATTGGCCAAAGCAGCATCCCCATACCATCAACACCGACGACAAACGACCGAAATATTGCACAATAGAACACAGACGACATCTTGGACTACGCGGGACTGGCGCACCTCGCCGCAATTGGAAAGAAATCAAAACAGAGCATATTGGGAAAGCATTCAAACACATCATGGCCTCCATATCGCATCCAAGCCGAACACATCTTCGGCGCAACTCGCCTATCACGTCATTGGATGCTTCGCAGGGCATTGGGTCCCAGCCGGGCATGATAAAGAGTATCAATGTCGGGAGTGATAGTGATTCGGACGACGAGCCTCCGCCAGCCATTAGATTTTCAAAAGTTACGCAGGCTCTTCTAGCTGATGCAGAGCCTGTTTCTCCCGTCCGCCAGCAAGAAGCTCATGATGGCCTCCGTCTGGAAAGATCGAATAGCGCAAGGTCATCGAATGTGGAGACACCAAGCAGAGAGCCTGGTATTCGCATAGTACGCCGTGGCTCACCGCCCAGGGAGAATGGGTTGGAAGGGAGTCGAAGGACCACGCCGCCGCGAATAGTACAGATGAACGCAACCAGGACAGGCTCCGCAGCAAAACGAGCCGTGAGCGTAAATTTACCCTCGGGTTACGCCAGTGCATACAAACGGGACCCGACCCCAGAGACAAGCGCTAAATTGGAGATGAAGACGCCTGCGCCCCGAGTCCTGCGCGTCGCACGACCGAGGGCGGGCAGCAATGCCTCGCAGGACGAACCATTAAACGGCATTGCATCCACAAGCCGCCCCGGCTCTCGAACAGGATTCAGAAATGCCCCGGACACGAACGAGCGGAAAGCGTATCCAACAGATCTTGCGCGAAGCGCCTCTCTGCATTACCCACCAGAGACACTGTCCCGATATGGATTATCCACGATTGGGAGATCGCGCGTAGCTCCTGTTGAGACTGGATCGCATGCGCCGCAGGGCATGAAACGCGTGCCTGATGGCGAGAACAAGTTCCTTCGAAGTAAACCAGTCCGTCGTGGCGGTCATCGCCGGAGAGACAGCGAAGATAACGTGTCTCCGATCGATGATCCTCAAAGTGGACAGTCTTCGCAGCCGAGTGCGGGGGCTATGACTCCTCAGGAACAAAGCAGGTATCGAGTGGAGGGATCACAGGAGCGGAGCATTAGCGCAGCCGGACGCACACATGGACGTGCCTCGTCTCTAGAGCCTGGCAGCTCACAGGACTTGGCTAGCCATCGTGATACACAGGCGCATACATCGCGGCCGCCTTCTCGCCAGGGCAGTCAATATGTCCCACGAATTCACAGCAACATTGATCACCGACCTCCGACGAGACAGGCAAGCCAGGAAGTCGGCCATGTTCGACAAGGCAGCGTTGAGCCCAAGGCTCATCAACCAAATTCTGGCATCAATCAGCTCGATTCAGGTGTGATCTTGGGATCTACATCTCAAGCAAGATATCGGAGCGTCGAACCAGACCAAGCACGGCCGGTAGCCGAACAAAAACCGTCATCGTATCCTTCCAGTCTCAACCAAGCGGGATATCGCAACGCGCAAAGCAGATCTCACATTGATTCTGCTGACGATCAAGAAAATCTCCCGCCGCCCACCTTCAAGCGCAATAAGGACCAGGAATTCCGATACTTGGGAAAACCGTCGCTCATGGCATTTTCTGACGATGACAAGCCAAGACCACGCATCGTGGACGAGACGCCAGTCCCCGTCCCGGAGCAACGCAGGCCTCTCGGCAACGTCAGCGGAAATACACCTCATCGTCCGGCACCAGCTCCACCACCAAAAATGTCTGTTCTCGATGCCGCGACGACTACCGCCGGAGCCAGCACGACCAAGTCTCGCAAAAAGCGTCAACACATGGTTGTCAACGGCAAGATCTACACTCAAATGGGCAAACTTGGAAAGGGAGGCTCTAGCGAAGTGTATTGTGTCATGGCCGAGAACTACAAGACATTCGCGCTCAAGCGCGTGAAGCTGACAGATTGCGATGAGAGCGCAGTGCGTGGCTACAAGGGCGAGATTGATCTCCTGAAGAAGCTCACAGAGGTTGAACGCGTCGTCAGGCTTTTCGACTGGGAGATCAATGAAGAGAAACAGGAGTTGCTGGTCCTGATGGACAAAGGAGAGCTGGACCTCAGTCGAATTCTGACCCTTCAACTTAACAGCGGCGAAGGCTCGTTTGACATTTCATTCACACGATTCTACTGGAAGGAGATGCTCGAATGCGTCCAAGCCGTGCACGACCACGACATTGTACACTCCGACCTGAAGCCCGCCAACTTCCTCATGGTGCAGGGACGACTCAAGCTTATAGACTTTGGCATCGCCAATGCTATTGACACCGACAACACCTGTAACGTCCATCGGGACAGCCACGTGGGCACGCCAAACTACATGTCTCCTGAAAGCATCAATGACACGAATGCCTCGAGTGGAGGCAGAGACGAAGCAGGTCGTCCGCTGAAGAAGGACATGCGCATAGGGAAGTCCTCGGATGTCTGGAGCCTGGGCTGCATACTTTACCAAATGGCGTATGGTATCCCACCCTTCGCTCACATCAAGAGCCAAGTCTCCAAAATTATGGCAATTGTCAACCCCAAGCACAACATTGAGTACCCCGAGACGGGCGTCGGCGGCGCATACATTCCCCTCAGCCTACGAAATACTCTCCGGCGCTGCCTGAATCGCGATCCCGAGCGTCGTCTGACCATCAAGCAGATGCTGGACGGAACGGACTCCTTCCTCAACCCCGAGGGCACGGGAGCCGGCAGCGTGCTCATGAGCGAAGAGCTGCTGGGGCAGATCATCAACAAGATCATCGATCGCTGCAAGGACCCCAAGCGCGGCATTCCGACGCCCGAGGAGGCACAGGCATACCCTCGCAGCTTCATGGAGAAGATTCGTCAAATGCAGGAGGGTCGGTAGCTCTTGGGCCCAAAAGGCTGTTTGGTGAGCCGACCTTTGTCGACTGGGGGGATTCATATTTGCTTTCGTTTTAAAAATACCCACTCCTATGATAGACGGCATTTTTGCCATGCCTGTACGAACAGATAATGTCTTTTTCTCTATCCCCTCCTTGATGGGGATGTCTCTGTATATTCGAGCGAGCGATGGCGTTGCGGAGTGCCTGTTAATGATCAATGACAAACTTCTCGCACCTGCTTGCATCATGAGTGATCTCCACTCTTGTGATTGTGCCGCCACGGCTGCGTGAGAGCCACGGACGCCTTTTGGCAAGAGTCATCTCTACACGTTTGGATGCACCTGCCAGGGTATTGCAGCACGCGCCAGTCGGTTTAGGCAGGAACTAGGTCCCCGTTCGCATCCGCGAAGTGCTTGATCGTTGTTCTTTCACAATCTCTGCTTCTCTCGGCGCTGTGCAGAAATGCTTGCTGGCTGGGCTCAACACCAGCCGATCCGTATTGATCCTTTGGCGGTGCTTCATCAATTGGTGGCGCTGCGGGAGGGTGGCAGCCGTGCGCTTGCTCCTCATATTGCCGTGCCGCCAATTGAGCCAGCCAGCCCACGGGCTGGCCCTGAATGTCACCCTTCACATGTCTCGGGCTAGGCTTTTGACGCCCGGGCGCGGACATCGTGGGATTTCATGCCTAGGTACCTAGGTATTCTCGGCCGCCGAGGCCGAAAAGAACATTCCCAACGTCTTCGATATTGCATTTGTTGTGTGCAGGGACGCCCATTTCAAGGTAACACCGGGGGCGCCTTTACTTTACCACTAGCGATTGCATTGCAGTAGACGCAGACGCTGCGTGGTCGCTTCAGGTTTGCCGACCACAATAGTTGGCCACGTGCCTCCCTCTTCCGTTCACTGGTGGCATGATTACGCGATCACGAAGTATTTTGATTTGTGAATGCAAATCTGTATCTAATCTACACGAAGGACTCTCGGCCCACGCCTCTTGCCAGCCTTCTTTCTTTTGCCCCCCTTGCCGAAGCTGATGGCATCCTGGTGCGAACGTCCGAGGTTGTCGAGGTCTTTAACCTTGTAAATCCTAATGATCCAGTTCTCACTAGTGAACGCCTCCTCCAAGACAGACAGCTCAGGCCCAACCGCCGGCAGCTTCGAGCCACGAACACGATCTTGCGCCTGACCCGCTGGGAACAGCTTGTCGAAGTTGTAGTAGCTCATTTTGTACATGAGGGATTCGCGCATGGTTGGTGTGGCTTCATCATCGACACGATACTCGCCGCGCGCCGTGAAGAAATCACGCTCCTTGACCTCGTTGGGCCAGATGCCTGCAAATTGAATTAGTACGCATGCCATACAAAGCGAAAAGTCTGACTCTTACCTTCAGCGATTCGGACCATCCACAAGAACTTGTTGATGTCATCACCAGAGTACCCGAGCAGACCACCAAACACCACAAGGACATAGTCGACCTCATGCTGGCGCATGATAGGGTACGAGACTTCTTCCTTGCTCGACATGGCCTTGCCGACGGTAGCAATGTGCGTGTTGTTCCATGTATTGTTGTCCACCAACGTGGGTCGGTCGGCCATACCTCCAATCTGGTAGCCGTAATCCCACCAGCTCATGATCTTGGCTGTAGGAGCGGTGTTCTGGCGGAGCCAGTAATAGGCCTCACGGTAATCATCAATGATGTGTTGGCTTCCATCTGGCATGCGCGAGGCGAGAACAACTGATGGCGACGAGTACGCGTTGGATGTGACCCAGGTACAGTGCAAAACAAAGAGAAGCAAATAGGCGGTGATGGCGCCGCTGATCATCGATTTGGAAAGATAGCTGTAAACGCCGATCACAGGGGCCTGTGTAGACTTCAGCGTATCGGAGAAAGCCGAAGCAGCCCTTTCTTTCGCTGCGGCGGCGGCGATAGCTGCGGCTTTCTCAGTTGGAGGTTCCGGCTGTGTCTTGACGAGGAACGCATCCAAAATTCTGCTCAAAGCTAGGGCTGCAGCCACGCAGACGACGGGCGTGAGCGTGAGCATCAAACGAACCATGACGCCAGCGAAGTAACTGGCGAGAACGGCGTAGATGACAATGAAGACATGTTCGTCCCTTAGATGTTGGAAGCAGATGTAGACCCCGGCAGGGAAAAGCCAAATCAGCATGTTCAGGTCGAAGAAGAAAGACGGCCAAGCGGTCGGTTGATGCTCCGATACTGACGCGATGATGGGAATGTGAATCTTGGCATATCCGGTATCCCAAAGAGAGTAAAAGCGGCCACTCCATGGTGCAATGGTGCCAGAGACTGTGAGCAGGACGAGACCGCCGAGCGAAACGACGAACACAACAAGCACCATCGCCCGAAGGAGCAACTGGAATTGCTTGGAAGGCAACTGGGCACGGATGTACTCCGTGAATGCGACAAGTTGAATCAGACCGAAGACACCTGCATGTTGGTTAGTGATCGATCTTTCAGACGCGAGTCGAGACATTTCATACCCAATGCAGCCATGTGATCACTGCTCTTGACTGGCAAGAAACCAACGAATGGAATCTGCATGCTAGCCAACGTGCCCAACGCATACCATGTTGTGTAGCTCACATAGAGGCGCGGGCTAAACCGACCCATGCAGATGAGAACGAACGCATGCAATGGCAGCAGATTTGTGATGAAGACATAACCTCCCCATGCGCTGACCATGTAGCCGTAGAACAGTGCCGCCAGACCACTCCACATAATGCTTCCAACTTTTACAGCCTTGATCCAGAGGTAGAAAGTGTAGACCAGCAAGAAAATGGCGATGGCTTCGTTGTCATAAGACCCCGCAACACTTCGGCTGATGTAACCCGGTGCAATGCCCATGAAGATAGCGCCAAGCAGACCTGCGGACGGACTCTCACTCATCTCAGTGGTGAGCAAGTAGGTCGCCCAGGCGGTCAATCCAGAGAAAGCGGGTGCCAGAAGGACGCAAATGTTTCGAATGTCCACCGGGAGGGTAAGGAAACGGAGGGCGTGGTAAATGGCACCGGACGTGACCATCAGACCTGGATAGAGTGTACCACCGGTGACACGACCAAGCGGATGCCATGTTCCTATATAGCGACAAGATCAGTCGACTTGTTCTCCACCTGTTCCAATGAGTGCAGAAGGACGATCGCTTACGGTCATCGAACCAATCCCAAAATTTGTAAAAGCCATTGGCGACGAGATATTTCGTAGCTCTGAAATTGAACCAGGGATCAACTGTTTTATCGGTCCTGTTAGCTAGTTGTGAGTGCCGTGCCGATGCCTCCTACACTAACATTCGTGGATGATGCTCTCGAAGCGAATGACCGAGAACAGGCGAGCCGCGACGGCAGCAGCGGCAATTGTCACAAGAATGACGAGGCGAAGAAGTCCACGAGTGTTGCGCCCGGATTCGCCTTTGAAGAAGAAGTCGGCGCCATTGTCGACAGCCATAGTCGATCGTGGTGTTGCCCAATGGGGCCAATGGCGTCCGAGGTGGACGACGAGGAGTTGCTATCGACAAGCTGCACTTTTACATGCGAGCAAGCTGCTAGACGGCTGCTTGATGTTCCTCCTGCTCACCTCCGATCGCAATGGTCGTGGCAGTGATGGAGATGGTAATGCGGTTCAGTCCTGAGACTACTGTCCTTACACGATTGGGACCCTCTTCACTATTCCATCATACTGAGCTCCAACAGTTGTCCTGAACGGGTTGAAGTCTTGGCATGCGCAAGCGGGTAGTGCCGCGCTTACCCTTCTTTCTCGATTGCCATTGTCATTGCAGAATTGCTCGGAAAGCACTTTGGTGTGAAGATATTGGAATTTATGAGGACGGCACTCATCATGAATTACTTCAAGGCTGTCTATTGATGTTGTAGTAGCAGTGGCGATGATAGGAGTGCATGCGTGTGAGATCGTGCCCAAGGCCAGTGGCATCTAATTGTGCAATTATTACTATAATATTTCCCGGGAGTCGAGCAGCGTATCTCTGCTGTGAAAGATAATCAACATTCTCAGGAATCTGCACGATGCCATTTTGTAACGGCATCGAATGTCTCGATTGACTCATCCCTGTATGTATGTGATCGAATCATCAGAAGACGACAAGACACCGGAATCCCCACGAGTGGGGACGTATCATCATTCATCAACCGCAATAGACTGTAGACCTCCGGCTTGTACATACCTACCTAGGTAGCCCGCCATGCCGCTCGATAGGCCGCCGCTGCCGCCGTTATTGTTGGAGTCGTGCACCACCACACCCACTCCCTGCACCCACACCTGCTTCAGCTATGCACTACACCCACACTTTCTTTTACACTACTAGGTATAGCAGCAACACACTCAGCACAGCACCGCGCCGAGGCTCCGAATCAATTCCCAGGCGGAAAGCGCGTGAAGGCACATGGAGAGACGGGGCCGAATGCGCCGCCGTCCCTGCCTTTTACACTTTCGTCGTTACACTCGTGTGTTCGACTCTCATTCACGTTGAGGAGCAGGACCGATAATCTCGGCATGTGTCGTGAGGCTAATGATCAGAGAATGCCGAGTGTTCATCAGAATCAAAGTTCACCCAATCGTACCGGCCGTGGCATAGCGTTTGATTGTTGTTGTTTTCCTTGTGTGTCCAACACATGTGATCACAATCTGTATATCTACATCATGTAACCCGCTCCTCGCCTCTCGGTCAGATTCGTGACGGGATCGTAAGCCTATCCATTTCTACGGCCCATTTCATACTCGCCTGATCTTCTCCGCCTACCATTCGAATGCGCTGTGTACGTGTTCACGTATCCCATCAATCGAAGGCGTCCTCTCTCCTTCCTTGCTATGTCCGAGCCATGGGCTGCAACCACGACTGCAGACGACTACATCGAATCCAGTGCGCCCCGGAGAAGAGTTGGCTTCCTCGACCTCCCTGCCGAATTACGAGTCAGGATCTATGAAGACATCCTCGACGATCTTCTTCGAGTATCACGGACGTTTCGTGGCTCACGTATCGCCATGATGCGCGCACAATCTGCGCTGCCGTATGCCTGTCGACAAATACGAATGGAGGTCAACTATCATTTCCGTTTACGCTACCTCGGGCTGAAGCTCTAGGGCTTGGAATTCACTTGCATGAGTGATGGAAAGGGCACGTTATCGTTTGCCTTTGTTTGATCGCTGCGCAACCCCCGGCTCATACCGAGCAGAACCACACACGCGCCCAATTCGCGTGCACGATCGGGAAACCAATCCGGCAATGTTCCGCGGGCCGAGAACGAGGCAATCTAGGATTTCGTTCCCTCAGAAATAAGGGCGGGCAGTTGTTGTCTTACAGAGGACAAGGGTTTTTGCTTGCTGCAGCTCAGTGTCTTTCCAACCTCGGCGGGAGGCACATCACAGCTGCCCATTTCCGCTCTGGCGATTATCGACAGGAGTGGGAAATTACGCTTGCGTTCTGAGCATGATCAGCTCACCTGTGGAGTCATCCTGAGCAGCACCGCATCATGCTCAAGCTTGAGCGTTTAACGGTGGCCTCTCACGCGTAAAAGGATTGGCTCTTAGCATGGACGAGATCGGCGAAGGTTTATGATTGAAGCGGCCACAATACATCAGACGACATCGTAATGATGGTCCTCGTTCTACTGCACTGGCTGGAGGGACGGTGAAAGAAGTTCACTCTACTATCATTGACTCTGCTAACATGAGAGCGACATACGCAGAGCGTGATAGCGAAGATATAGAGAAAGGATAAAGTCTGCCAGAGTTGACCTCAATCACTCGTCGTCGTCCTTGCCTTCGTCCAGAGCAAGCCAAGCACTACGACACCGCACTGCTTCGCCTCGAACACTTCTTACCGCATCGTCCAGACATTCGAGAAGCTGCTTCACGACAGGTCGGCGGTATGGAAGGACGGATTCCGGCTTCAACTGCTTTGGTACCAGGATGAGACATTGTAGCGCCTTAGCGCGGTTTCCAAACTTGTGCGCAGGCACCGACGTCGCATTCAGTAGGCGCGTAATGAGCGATGCCGTGTGTTGAGCTACGACGGCAGGGTCGTGCATCAAGATGGATTCGATAATCTTCAACGTGTCCAATTCGACGTCTTGGTCCTCGGGATCATCCAGATCAAGACTTTGCAACAATGGCGATACGAGGGAGCTAAGGGAGCTCTCAATGATGGAGTATGGTAAGCCGCGGAGGAGGCCAGAGAGCGCAATGAGATACTTCGGCTTTTCCGAGCTGCTCGCTGAGCGTATGGCTTCGATCAATTGCGGTGTTGTTTGATTGAATAATCGCTGTTTGTATAATCCCGAAACAACGCAATGATTTTCTCTCGTGAGAATATCGTCCGACGCTAGCAAGCCGGCGAATCGTCGCGCGTAGTCTTTTTGCTCGGTGGGAAGATGTTCCATCAATGAGTTCACGTATTTTGTGGAAAGTGCTCCCGATCTTCCCTGTACCAGTAGAGCCTTGACGACAGCGAATGCGAGGCCTGTGGCATGGCTACTTTGCGATTTCGATAATAATGTTGGAACGTCCAGGTCGGAGTCTTTGAGGGACTGCTCGATCACGGATGGCTCCAGAAATTTGTTGATCAGTAGGGCTACGTGCCTGTAGATTACACTGTCAGTCTTGAGAGCTTTCGGATTGCTCAATAGATAGTGTGCATGAGCCTTCAGTGATGAAATAATGTTCGCTGGCTCGGCGACTTCGGGCTTGATCGATGCGTAGAAGTACAGTGAAAACGGCGCAAGACGTAGAAGCTTTTCGTCAGCAAGAGCATCGTTCTCTGAGACTGGCGAAATCCACAGGAAGTTTCTGTGATAGACGGTGCTTTGGAAATGCAAGTTCTGTGGTCGCAGAACAATGTTGGTGAGACGACCAAGAACCTCTGTCATTACAGCATCGCTCTCCGAAGGAAGAGCATTTTGGAGCTGTGCGATCAGTGGCTCAACATATTCAGTAAAGTACGTATCCCGAACGACCCCATTCTCTTGTGCAGGAGATCCAAATGTGAAAATGTACAGCATGGCCAACATTAAGTCTCTCTGGTACCTTCTCGGTGCATTTTGGTAGCGAGCGGCATTGAGCTTATTCTTGATACGAAGCGCCACAGTGTCGAACACTTGTTGCTCCGCACTCAGGTGTGCAAATGCTTCGAGAACCGGGGCATGCGATCCGTGGTCGCGTGGGATGTCAGGCAGTTCTACCATGAAAGCTGGAATGGCCTTGTTTCGTACAATCTCAGGTACGTATGCGGCGAGTTTGGTCAAGTTGTCGACTGCTTCAGTAGTTATGTCGCCATGTCCATCAACGCGTTCCAGTAGAATGAGATTCGTGATCGTGCCAACGGCGCGGTCGATATCTTTTTCATGTAAGACGGCGGGGATGCATGTCAACTGCGTCAATATCTTCAATGCGGTCAACCTGAAAGATACCTCTATCTTAGGTGCTTTTGCCAGGGCTTGAATGGCCGCTTCCAGAGCATCGCCGGATGTTGCTCGGAGTGGAGCGGAGTCGAACGTGACGTCCAGCCTTTGCATATCTTGGAAAGCCCCTAAGATCTCGCCATACACTTCGAGGAGTCCTCTCCGTTTCGTTATCGAGTTTGAACCTTGGTAGAGACCGAACAATGCAGGGAGAACTCCTTTCGTGATTTTGTCCGCCACCAGGGGACTAGCCTTGGTGACTGTATACAAGATTCGACCAGCTGCAGCTGACTGCTTCGTGGGAGCATCTTCTAGGTGTTCGTTGCATTCCTTGATTATTGGCCTGAGATAGGCGTTCAGTGGACCTTCGGACTGCGCGACCTTGACAGCGATCGCCGCCAGGGCCTTGAGAGCTTCTTCGGCGATGTCCTCCTCCTGGACGTTGAGCACCTCGAATTTCAAAGCATCCCACAAGGTCACAGAGTACAGGTTGATCGTATTTACTCCATAAGTGAGTGCGCATGCCTGTATCGCTTGAACAGAATCTCGTTTTGTGTTCATCGACGATGAGTCAAGCTTGTCCAACAACGCTGGAAACGCATGAGGGGCGAACTCGGAGTTGGCTGCAATGCAGTCACGGAGTCGATCTTTCAGATCTTGCGCAGTGATGCCATATGGGTCATCCGGTGGAGGCTTGAAAGTTATCGGGAAGTAGTTGAATACAGCCTCAAACAAGTCTTGCGCATGGGCTTGCACGTCCCATTCAACCATGGGCACTTGCAAAAGAGAGAAGATCATCATCAAGTTGCGAGGATCCTTTTCACCTTCGAAGTATGTGATGAACAAAGACAGAAAGGTAGGGTCGGACTCATGTAGAGCCTTTAGTGGCGTTCGGTATTTCGCCAACAACATGTCCATGAGCTGCACGATCGGGAAGCGTTCTGTCTGCAGTCTGAATTGCTGGAGTGGATGGGTGTGGCTCATGAATGTCTTGGTGACTTTCTGCGATAGTTCCGTGTCCCATTTCCCTCGCGCCTCCAAGGCGATCAAAGCCCGGGCACAAGCACCAATGCCTTCACTGTCACTTTCGACTCTGCTGAGAACGAAATCACATAGTAGCCGTCTTTCTTGCCCAGAAAGCGTCTTGGGCGAGATCTGCTCCAGTACCTCAGCGAGATAGGTAAGCGTCTTCGCTCGAATGCTTCCATCGTTCTTATCATTGATGTGGTCTTCCAAACTGGTGATCAGGTCGATCAATTTGACTTCCTTGGCCTCGAGTTTAGCGGCACTTCTCGCTGCTACATTTCGGGCCTCTGCCTTGTTCTTGTCAACTTCGAGGAGATATATTTGTATGTCCGACATGTTCTCAATGCTGCCAACCTCTATAATGTAGCATTGATAGAGAAATGATCATTTACTGTAAGAATTTATCCCCACCAGTATTATGCTTGAAGCCACATGAAATCCAGTGCACGTCATTCGCTTCTCAAACGCGAGACAAAAAGGATCTACCCGCAATATGCGCCCCACTTCGGGTGAGAAATAACATGCACCATGGCCAGGACACTTTCTATCAGTTGTCCTGCAAAGGCTAGACTATCAACGAACCAGTCATAATATATGATGAACTTGCATAGGTGGGTATTGAACATGAGGAAAAACCTTTCTAAAGAACCAAATGTACACTCCATGCAAGGCTAGAAGGAAAGATCGTCCTGTATTGCTCTCAGAAACCAAATGGATTTTGTGGTGCTGCGCACACATGTTAGCTGATACAGATCGTTCGTGAAATGATTGAGTAAACTTACTCGCTTTAGAAAGATTGGCTCTACCGGTCGGCTGTGCCACCAATGGCTTGGCTCCAGGCTGTACTCCGAATCTGACCGGCGGCGCTGGGCCGGTTCGCTGCGGGACGAGAGGCATAGCAGGTGCTTGCAAACCCAAGGGCTGCGAGGGTCCAAAAACACCGCCCGTCTGTTGAGGTGGAAGCTGCGGTACTGCTTGCAATGGTTGTACGTTGTAGCCAGTAACACCAGTAGGCTGCGACATATTGAATGACGGTTGGAAACCTGTTGGCTGAGGCACAAAAGAGGTAGGCAGGCCCGAGGCCGCAGGCGTGAAGGGCTGTCGCGGGGGGTCCACAAATGGTGATGGCTGCTGCTGTCCGTTCGTGAGTCCTTGTTGGTAAGTAGGCTGCTGAGGTATACCATATTGCTGCGCTTGCTGTTGTCCAAATTGAGATTGGGGCTGGAACGCGGTCGGTTGTGGCTGCAAGGGCGGATAATTCTGTTGCATCATTTGAACGGGAGATTGTTGCGGGAGCATCGGAGGCTGCTGCATGCCCACCGGGGACAATTGCTGGGGAAAGCCTGTAGGTTGAGGCTGCTGATAGCCCGTAGGCTGCGGGGCTTGCCAACCGGTCATCTGTGGCTGCAAGGGCATGGTTCCAAAAGAGGATTGTGGTGGGTATCCTGGTGCAGATGCTGAGCGAGGAGGCGGTGGCATGTTCAAAGCCCCAGCAGCGACTTGCTGCATAGGGGGGATGGGTCGTTGTCGAGGTGCGGCGGTCTGCTGAGGTTGGATCATGGGCTGTTGGTACCCAGTCTGCATCGGCTGCTGTTGTGTTGCAGGTGCCAAAGCTGCAATCTTGTCGAAAATGGCTTGGTTCGCACCAGGAGCTGGCTGAGCTGCGATCGGCGGGCCAGCTGGAGTTTGTGCAGTGTTTGCTTGAACGGGAGCTGCTGGTGTTGGTTGCAATGGCGGTGCTGATATGGACAGGAGTGCTATGTCATCATTCACTTTAGGCTTTGATGGTTCCGGTGCTGGCGTCGGTGCTGGCGCTGGCTCCGACACGGGAGTTGCTGTCTGCGGAGATTTGGATGGCTTCACATCCCAGGCATTGTCGTCGAACCCGCCTGCTGATGCGCTGATCCCCGATGTAGTAGATGTCGTCTTAGCCCCTGCGGATGTGGCTGCGCCTCCGGGGGCTTGCTTGAACGCATTCCCGTCAACGACATCGTTGGTTTGAATGGCAGGAGCAGGTCTACCCTTTCTAGTGTTGTTCTTCAGGGCTCCCCCAGGACCTGAAAATAACCCCCCAGCGTCCTCAGCAGATCCACTGGCCGATGCACCATTTCTGCCACTAAACATGGTGTCGAGGTGTTTCAGAACTCGCAGGATGTCGCCCTCCTTGAGACCAAGTGTGCGCAATAGCTGAGCGTTCACGTCGGGCAAAATCTCAGGGCCCATCTGGTCTTTAGAGAAGGCGCCGGCGTATCTCTCACAGATTTGAGGATTGACACCGCACTGCAGGAAAAAGTCAAACCAGTCGTAATCGTTCTTTTCAATGCTTGCGCCAGCTGTTGCCCTTGACTTGTCTGAATCTTTCAATCGTAGAGTGCTTCGCCGCTTAATGTCCGAAAGTGGCTTATCCTCGTCGAGGCTCGCTCCGGTGGCACGTTCGACGTACTCGAGGTCCTCGACGGCCATTTTGGCTACGGGCACGGCGATTTTGACACCATTCATCTTGTGGAGATGGATTTTCCCTTCGCGCAGCCCGATGAATTCAGCATCCACCTTGAAGGTGCCGCTGCGATCAGTCCATGTCCTGACTTTGGCCTCGTTCGGTTTACTCTTGGGCGCATCTTTGGTGCTTCGTTTCTCAGAGCCGCGTGCTGAAGTGCGTCGTGTATCGGAGGCCAGGCTGCTGCCTCGTTCAGGCAAAGAAACTCCGGGACCCACTTCGTCAGCCTTGCTCCTACGAGCAGCTTCCTTCGTGAGGCGTTGTTCTTCAAGGCGGTTCTGTTCTACAGTACTCCGTGCTGTGTCTAGGCCCTCGATGGTTTCTGATCCTCCGGGGACATAGCCAGTGACCTCGACGTAGGAAGATGGCACAACACCTTCCTTGCCGTTTTTGAGCCGACGTACTTTCCACCAGTCTTCGCTTGAGGCGTCGTCCAGCACAATGACTTCGTCGTCCACGGCAACGGTGACCTCGTCGTCGCCCTGGGCCATAAATTCATACAACATCTTTCCTTTCTTCTTACCAGCAGCGCCAGTTCCTGCGCTAGCGGCCAGAACCTCTTTCAAACCCTCCTGCCTTACTGCGCCAGCAAGCTCGCCCAGTGCAGCCACAATCTCCTGAGCAGTATCCTTTGCACCAGCATGGAAATCAACACTTTTACTCGGCTTAACCAACTCAACGAAGACATGTTTGCCTTCAATGCTGTAATGTGTAAGCTTCTCTGCAGTCCACTCCTTTCCTGGTCCATCCTTGCTCTTTTCGGGGCTGATCGAAATGAGCCCTCTGGCGATGTTGATCCCCAGGGTCATGGGCATCTTTTTGTTTTTCCCCATGTGCGAGATCATCTCGTGGATATTGTAGAGATGGTAGCCACCGGTTGAAGTTTGAACGTGATTCTCATCGTAGTGAGTGTGCGTGGCTCGGTTGAAAGGCGGAGAGGGTAAGACGCCGGGCGATTCTGCAGGTCTTGGGGACGTCAGGTGCACTGGAGCAGCTGCGATTGGTGAGGCCTGGGAAATGGGTCGCGTCGGGAGCGATGGCAAAGGGGCCTCCTCGTCACTGCCAGTGGGTGTCTCTTGTCGCCGGCTGGGCATCGGGGGTGATGCAAGCTCACGTGGAGCCCCACCCGTTCGTTGCGCAATAATTCCAGCAAGTTGCGTTGCAGGGGTTTCTTCCGCTTGATATTCCGAAGTAGCATGCGCGCTACCTGGTCCTGGATAGTCTGCCGCGCCTGGTATTGGCTCGTCGGCAGCCTGAGGTCTCGCAGGCATTGGTGGTGGTGCAGGTGACAGTTCGCGTCTGATCGGCGTCGCCGTCGGGACGGCATTCTTCTCGATGTATATTGCAGGTGCGAAGCCGTACTCTCCGTGACTACCGACGAGGGTCCAGTCTGGATCCGAGTCGTCGTAAACGTCTAATCCTGCCTCCTCTTTGAAGCTCAACTCCTCATCGGTCTGCTTGGTGTAGTCGTATAGAGCTTTTGCCCGGTGAAGGGGCTTTGCCTCCTCCACGTAATTATTTGGCACAAGTCCTTCCGGCTCATCTTCATCATCGTCTGCTGCCTTCTTTTTGCACTTCCACCAAGCATCTTCGGTGCTCTTTTCTAGCACAAAGAGGAGGTCGCCCTCCTTAATGTCCAGCTCTTCATCACTTTGTGCCTGGTAGTCGTAGATAGCGCGACAAATCGCAAGGAACACCATCATCGAAGCTGTGCAAATAGGTCGTGGAGAGCTCAATATGACCAAACACAACGAAGTGTTTGGTGGACAGTCGACTCCAGGGACCGCACGAGGACAATAGTCGTTGCCGCCTGAGGTATGTTCAATAGGGCGACGGCGGATGTGAGCACTGCAGCGTGAGCTCAAGCTAAGAACAACGTAAATTCACGATCAACTTTTAGAAGAACATTGAGCCAAACTTTCTGGATTTTCGAACGGAACCTTGGAAGCGCATGATCGGTCGTCAATGCGATGCATCTGGACTGTCGACAGCCCGTGAACGGGGCTGGGTCTTGGTGCCGGTTAATCTTCGGGCGGTCACTCCGGAAAGTGGGAGGATGACGACGACCCGTGGATAGGACGACAACGATTTTAGGGTTACTTTTCAAGTGTTTCCAGGTTGTGATGGTCAATCGCAGGATGAGCTCAGAGATGATCAAACGGCACCCGTCATGACAGGGAAAGGAACGACTATGGTGCAGAACTCCTCTAACAGCGGCTACCTCTCCTCTATACACGTCCAGCGCTGCTGGGGTAATATCTCGTCAAGGTACGGGCACACCTAGGCACTGTCGTTGTTACAGGTCGTAGACTCATAAGGCTAGTAAGAATAACGAAATCCTGCAGTACCTTCCAGCAATCGACCCTTTTTCTGTTGCCGCTGATTTGCCAACCAAAAGTACAACGAAAATGCGGCGACAAAGCCGATGATAAGGATATGTGATCCAATAGAAATCCAGACCGCAGTAATGTAGCGCGGCGCCTCGTCCTGTCTGACAATGAAAGAGCCCGCAATACCGCCCGCGCCGTTGAGGGCTGACACGGCTGCGGCAGTGAATACACGCTTCCATTGCCCTGTGATGTTTGTCTGGTAGTAGGCAGTGATGGCTGCCCAATTTGAGATGTAAGCACCGGTCGCCAGGAAGGTGCCAATGTAACGTGCTGTGACCTGTTGCGTGAATCCAAGCATGCAGAAGCCGACGATGAGACATATGCTGTTGAAAATGATGACCAGTCCTCGCTGGCGGAGTCGATCGCCGACCAGAGAAGAGATGATGACAGGGATGACAGCATAATAATATGGCGGAGCAGACAGCAGGATTGCAGCGTTCTCACTGAAGCCCATACCGTTTTGTAGGATGATCGGCAAAAAATAGTTCAGACTTGTGGAGACAAGGTTGAGCAGGAAGAACATGCATGCGAAGCCGAGGATCTTAACGTCGCGAGCATGGCCGAGAACCTTTGCCCATGAGAAATCTTCGAGCAAGACATCGTTACGGTCGCGTTGGATCCGTGAGACAGCCAATTTTTGCTCGTCCTCTGTCAGAAAATATAGGCTCTTGTGGGCGTGCTCTGGAAAGTCGACGATCCAGAAATATGTGATACAACCGAGCACGATCGTAACGAGGCCTTGCACCAGATACATAAATCGCCAGCCTGCCAGGCCGCCTCTTCCATCGAGTTGATTGAGGCCGAAATTGACGATGTTGCCCGTGGCCAAAATGATCACCTGGCCAGATTGCAGGAATGCGTAGCGGGTCTGCTGCTCTTCGCGCAAATAGTATGTGGAAATAAGATAGGAGAGGCCAGGATAGATACCGCTCATGGCCATACCTAGCAGGACTCGCAGTGCGATCATCTCACGCCATGAGTGGATGAATGCCGTACACATAGTGATCAGCCCGAAGCTGCAAGTGATGAAGGAGAACCACATCCTTGGACCAAACGTGCGCACAGCAATGGTTGATGGTAACTGAAATGCGATACTTGCGATAGTGAAGATGAATATGCTTACGCTGTAACGGTTGCCAGATAAATCCAGGTCTTTCAGCATCGACGTCACGGCGGCCGAGCTGATGATACCAGAATCAAGGAGGTTCAACGAGCAGAGTAAGCCAGCGATGGTGCATAGCCGAAGATCGATCTTCAAGCGAAGGCGTTTTTCGATCGCATCGGGACTTTGTTTAGATGAAGAGAACACCGCCTCATCTTCACTCGCTGCGATTGCGCTGTTGCCGTTGCTGCTGCTGCTGCTGTTGTTGTTGCGATCGGAGCCATGTGCTGAGACCTCGACTTGCGGTGCATCGTCACTCCATCTTTTAGTAGACGAAGGACCTCGTCCCATTATGCGCGTTGTCGAGCACAATGCAGTGCCGTGAAAATCGGGCCTACGACGTCCGATCCTCGAGTCAAGAAATGCGGTCAAGGTGAAAGGGTTGGCAAGGTCAACATTCGGGTCGCCAGCTCATGAGGTCAAGCTGCAATTCAGAAAGTAGCGAATGAGTCTTCGTCAGTCTAGCCACAGCCCAGTGTTAAGGTTCAGCACATGAGATACTTTACGGCAAGGTGAGCGGGAACATCAGTGTCTGTCATTGAACGCTACAGGTCGATATTACATTTGTCACGGAAGACTTTGCGACGACAGGTGTACTATGTTCCCACCACTGCAAACAGCATTGAATGTTTTGTCGCTGAGGAGTATTGCGACATCGGGAGCCGGCCCTAGCGCGATATGTCCGAACAATGCTGGCTCGACTGAGCGAGTGAGAAAATGTTTCGAGTCGATCGCTTGGACTATCTTTTGATGAGCAACCAGCATCCGTAAATGGTACATGCAAATGTGAATGGAAGGGAGACAAATCTGACAGTTGCAGGTTTCGTGAACGACCTTGGACGCAAGAGTACCTAGGCATTGTTTGTTTAGTGGCAGTTTGGGCAGACATCTCGAGCAGACAGCAAGCCCTGTTTTCTTTATATAGCCGTGTTCATCATCATGAATCAACGTGATTAATACCCTGAATGGCATGTGAATACAAGCACATGTATCATAAATCCACGTCATGATACTCACACCCACACCTCTGGCAACGATGAGCCCAAAGGCTATAGTGGTGTGGTAAGTAGCGACTGCACTGGGCAATTTCGCAATCGCAGCAGCAGTCCTACCAAGGTGAGAATGTAACCTCAAGGGTGAAGCCTCCTCAGTCCTTCCTCGATCGTCAGCCCATTGAGACGTCACAGGCGGACAAGATCTACGGAAAATGCGGTTTTCTACCACAAGTGCTTACGGTACTTTGGCGGGCGTCCATCGTTTCTCCATCTCTCGCCAGTGCAACGTCTGTTGCTGCATGGGTACTCATCATTATTCTTAGCAACATAGGGCCGTTTTTTACTTTTTGGTTCGCCGCATGGTTTGCTGATCCGCCCAGACCAGCGATGATGAAGCTCGACAGCAATCGTCAAGCGCTTCTTTCCACGACACACTCACATCATCGCTTATAGCATGCGGATGTGGTCGCTAACCCTTCTAGCGGAGAGATTGTGATCCCACACGACGCTCCGTAGCCTCTGAATTTCCTTCCTTCCCGCCGTCGACGCCACGGTCACCTTGTAAAAGGACGCATTGTATCGCTTACACACCCCAAGCAAAGTATCATCCGGACGACATCCTGTCAGCTTTAGGATTATTACTCGATACTAGGTTGCACTGTAACGGATACCTAGGTGGGTATGAGAGAGGCTGAGTCATCGAACTAATCCTACGTTACGTCAATGTGCCATTGCGAGGGTCGTGCTGTGTCCTTCACTGTAGATGAGGTTGGCTTCGCTTCGTGAAGTCTTACATAAATATGCGTACCTTCTTCGCTAGTCACAATATGCCGTCCATCATTTTAACGACGAATCGCAAGTCAATCTAACGATCTTTCTTTCACATCACCCAAACAGCTTCAGCCAAGTCATATTGTCCTGTACCCAGTCTTGCAGACCGCCCTCAGTCATAATGAAATTCGTTTCTCTCCTCACGGCCGCCGGCATGATTGCCGCAGCACCAACCACTCCCGTATCCTATGTTGTCTCGGAGGATTTCAACCTCGCGGCCAGAGTCGGTGCCGCTGCTGAAACGAGCTTCCTTTTTGCTGCCTCCACCAACGGCACCGAAGACCAGCTAGTCTTGTACCGTCCTACCAAGGACTTCCTGGGTGGGTACCTGCGCAGATCGATCTGATTTCGGAACGCTTCGTGTCCCCGGTTCAGCAAATACTGACGGGCTGTTTCTCAATAGCTGTTGCATACACTAATTCGACCTCTGAGGGCACTGCCCTGAATGTCCGTTATGGTGGCGAGCAATGGGGCCTCTCCATCTCGAACTTTGTAAGTAGAGCATCCAGGCTTTCCTCAATGGCGCAACTCAGAACTGACGGTTCGTCTTCTCTTCCCCCAGGGCCAAGGTAGCAACCGCAAGACGATCGTCACCGCATCGAAAGACTACCAGGAATTCAAGTGGTTTGTCTCGGACAACGGCCAGATTACCCACAAGCTCATTCAAGGCTCGGAGCATTTCCTCGGTAAGCTTGTCTTGCTTCTTGACTCCATGCGGGATCCGGCCTTCGATTGCTAACGTCGTGAAACAGTGTGCTCGGACTTCGTCAACTACCTGTCCACAGTTGTCTTGTCTGATGGAACCCCGGCTCTCAACGGTAGTGACCCATACGGCTGCTCTTCTGTCCGCGTTTACAAACAAGCACTTCTATAGTCATGTGAGCACATATATGACCATGCTTGAATTCGATTCTTAGTCGAAGCGTGTTAGTGTAGCTTAATGAAAGGAGTGTCCAATGAGCAAGCCCCTGCCCCTTCGGGTTCTTCGAGATTCGTGGCCCAAACATACTTATGATGATCCAAACCATTTCTTGAGCGGTAATTTCGACAAGAATTTTGCATTATCTAAAACTTAACTTGTCGACAACACATTCCGCTCTCCAACCGGTCGACGAGGGACGTGAAAGGTAATTAGGAATTGTCCATGTCGTAGGCATGGGGGATGATGAACCACAAGGCTACTGAACTATCCAAGGGACTTGGTCAGCTTCATGCGGTAAGGTATCAGCTGAAGTTGAGTGAGGAGAATTGGCTAGAGATGCGAACTTGATGCGTCCTCCGTTGCTTGAAATCAGCCACGAGTATGGTTGTATCCATGGTGCATATACGGTGTAGTATCGTATCCTGATTGATATTGCATCCATATCTGTTCCGCAATTGCACCAGTGGCATGTGATGATCGTCCGATGTCGTGTGGGCGTGCTTGATGGCCATACAAGTGTGATATGTGTTGAACCTGTTGCTGTGGTGCTTGATTGATCGGAATGAGCTCGACAGACTGCCCATACTCGTCAATGTACGTGATGGGTCCTGGTCGTGGATGATCACGACCGCCGCTTGTAACATAGGCTGTGGGCGGGATTTGGATGAATCGGACGGCCTGTTCCTCAGACGTAGCATTGGGACGCCCTTGGTGCCCCCCATCTACATGTGGCTGCTGAGAACTTGGCACTGTATGAGGAGTATACCTGTGATGAAGGGATATAGGTAGAGCCATACCGGCGTGCTGCATAGAAGGGTCGGACGACCCTCTGAAAAGAGAGGATCGAAGAGCCTCAACTGCGTCCAAATATGATGGGCTAGCGGTGCTTGTTGGGGCGGGTGCGTCGTGATAGTGGTGTACCGGCATCACGTGTGTGGCAGGCGATGCATGATGTTGCGAGTTTCTTGATACGTGGGCGTTGCGCCCATCATCATGCAGATTTTGCGGGGCAAGAGCCAAGTGTTGAGCTGTTCTGCCCGACGAATTCAATGATGTCTTCTCATTCAATGCTGCTAAAATTGCTGCAATGTCGAGTGAAGCATTCGCGGCAGGGAACTGAGGTGCGCGGGCTACTCCATGGTCCGGCGGGTCGCGCGTGTTGCATCCTACCGAGGGACTCCGGGTGAAAATTTCACCTTCGGGTTCTCTCAAAGGTATTTGTCCCTGGGGAAGTCCTTCTGGTACCATGATCGATTCTTTGTTCCGTGCGAAATCGGTATCGAAGCGACTTGGATCACTTTCTTGAGGTTCAGATCGATCAGTCACGAGAGTCCGCGAAGCAAGATCGTCGTGTACTTTCTTGGATGATTGAGTTGGCTCGCTGGGCCGAGTCTTCTTTCTTTTTGATGGGGCCTTGGTTCTCCCAGACAACCGATCGAGGACTCCGCTGGGCTTCATCAGATCAGAGGATATTTTCAGATTAAATCCACCAATACGAGGGGTAATGGATGAATTCGGAGGATTGGGCCTATCCAGAGCACCAATGATCAGAGCGTGTTTCATCGCATCCATACCAGGAGCTCCACGCAACTCATCGATGTCTTCTGCAGAGGGCGTTTCGATTGTAGCGGCGACCCAGTTTGATGATGCGGCACTCGAGTGTGCTTGCGCAAAATGCTCCAGCAAAGAAGATAGTTTCCGTAATTTGACCGTCCGAATGCGGGCGTAATAAGAACTCGTATCGCCTGGTGCTGGATTGGCGGCAGCGACGCAGACTTTACAAGCTAGGCCTTTCGTCATTTTCAGAGATCGTAGCTGTTCGTGTGATGACAGCACTTGGGTGACCAGGTTTAGAGCCGGGTTGTGCCCGTATTGATCGTGGAAGCTCTTGGCTGCATGATAGAAGACTGTGCGCACAAGTACACACTCTAGGTCGGTCTCAATGCCTTTTATTGTTGACCACATGGTGTGCAGATCGTTGGCCAACTTGACTTTCGAAGCAGGATCATCAAGTGGCAGCGCGGGCGAATCAATCATGGTGGTGCGTGAAGCTGCACCGAGACCAGCGGCGCCAATTTTTGGCACGATTTCTTGATGGTTCTGATCAAGAACATCGGTCTCGCCTCGATGCAGTTGCCTCACGTATTGGATAGGATCAAATTGAACAGGGGCCCAGTCAGATCGTCCGCCGGACTCACCAGACAGCAAATAGCGTGCTTGTGTGCAAATCATTGACCCGACCTCTCTCTTATCGGATTTGACTCGCGATTCTGGCCTGAGTTTGAAAGGCGGTTCCTCCGGCCATTTGGCGGTCGGCCAGTGAACAACGATGTTCCCTCGACTAAATGAACTAGTATGCTTGGCGCCGAAATGTTGCATGAGGCTTTCAAATGCGAACCATTTCGTCACTTCAGCTTCAGAACACGATGCACACAGGAAATGTTCTCGACGGTGCTGATCGGCCAAAGGCCGCACCTTTGTGTCGTACACCCATTTCATGTTATCAAGCGTCAAGGACCGTTCCCCTTCAACATCTTCGTCGTGTTGAGACTGGGTGTGATCGCCGGCGCCACTTTGGAGATCGAAGGTCTCCTGCTCGTGAGCGAATGATCGCCAAACATGGTGCAACGCATTTGCAGCAAAAATCGGGGTGGTATCCCAAGTCAAAGCCCTCCCACCGTGCCACTGCCCATTGATATATTCGTCAGCAGATTGGCCGAGCCTCGCGCGTAGAGATTGTTGTTTGCGCTCGTGATCCCGAGCTTGATCTTTAGTGGATCCAGTTGGGAGAAGTGCTCTGCCGGGAAGGCATCTGCTTATTTGCAGCGCTGCGACATCCTGTGCACGCATTCGCTCGATTGATTCTGCAGACTCTCTTTGGGCTAGTAATCGCGGCTCCAGTAAAGCCCATGCAAGATCAGTCAAAGGTGCTGCTATTTGCATGGCTGCTTGGTATGCTTCCATATGCCGCAAGACATTCGCGGTGATTGGTGGATCTAGCTCTGCGCAACGATGTTCAATCTCCGCTCTTCGAGATTTTCGTAGGGCCTCCACCTCTCCTGGTGTACGGTGAGGTTTAATGTGTGCCAATTGTTGCGCCGATGGCAACTGTGCGCTGGCTGACGAAGGGAGGGCGAACACTGGACGCGGTAGGGGATGCACGGCTGCAGCAAAAGCGTTAGTTAACACAGACATGTACTTTTGCAATGCCGTGTGGAATCGTTCCGGACGGCGGCTTTTCGTTGAGCCCACTGATTGAAACTCGAATCGGACAAGAGATGAAAGTGTGCGTCTCACCATTCACTGGGACCGACGATGGTTTGTTTACCATGTCGGTGGAATCGCTTGACTGCTCTGAAAGCCCTTGAAACGACTCCCGGCCGTGGTCTTGGAGCACGCGTGCTATACTGAAGGCTGCAACAGAGCGTCGCTCTGTGCGGGCCTGGTGCTCCCACCTTTCCCATCGGCTGGCATCTGCTAGAGCGTCCCTACCTTTCGTGGCGAGTCCTTTGCGCCACTCATCAACGGCACCTTCGCCGAAAAGTTTCACTTGGGTTTCTTCGTCTCTGACAGCTTCAAGGTCCGGTTTGTAGTAGATCTTCGCCACTCGCAGGTGATGGGGAATGTCACGTGGAAGTTGACGAACAGAGTCGGCCACGACGTTGAGATCGGACGTGCGATAAACATATGGCACTCCAGCTCGTAAAGGAGCAAGGCTACGATCGGTCAGAACCTCCACATCCTAAATTACATAACTTAGTACCCAGCAAGTTCTGACGCCCGACTGTAATATGACTTTACCTTGAGTGTTCTAGATTCAAGGCATTTCCCGCAACTGCGAATGCCAAATGACCAAATGACTCGACAGCCATCTGGGCCTGGACCAGTGTTAAATGGCGTTGTCGCCGGAGAAGCGACCGGCACTCTGTCACAAAATTGGCATCTGGAACCAGCCATGAGCCTCAACATCGCCAACTCAGACCACTGGGTGAGAGGTCGCGGCATGCGAGGATAAAAGACCTTTCGCGAATGAGTCCAGATGGCTTCGCTATCTATGGTGCAAACTTTTGAGCCTCTCTCGTTCGATACAGATGGCAGAGCGTTCGCAGTCGTTTGGGTCAGAAAGCGATGAAAGGACATGCAGACTCGCAAGCAACGACAGAGCATCGCGGGGGAGAGATAGAAGAAGACCTGTTGCCATATCTCGATCGGGAGGCGCTCTGTTGCACTACGAGCGAGCGGTCTCTGCCGTTTGGCTGCATTGCTGAGGATTTCATCATTCCCGCTGCGGCCTTGGTAAGGCTCGCCATGTTTACGTTTGAGTCCTTCCGAATTCTCGTGAGTCACCCGAGAATTCTGTGATTTTGACACATCATGTTGTTGCGGATAATTGTCACTTCCTCGTTGCACAGCCTCCTGGTATCTTTCGATCGAAGTTTCCATGGCTGAGAAGTTCAGAGGTGGAAGTATGACGGTTTGGACCGCGTCCTCTTCTGCATGGGTGGGACCAAGCGCCCTTCTGCTGTAGGTGGCTGGGTCTGTTCCGTCGGTATAGAGGTCGGAGAAAGAAGAGGAGGATGAAGGTGAATTCCCCGTAGGATCCCTACCGTTCGCCATAGCTCTGGGAACTGCCTACAAACCAACCAAAGGAAAGAAGGAGAGGAATAGAAAAGAGAATAATGCTGCACTTTCCGCACGCAACGTGGTACACTTACGACCATTCGAAATTCGTTCAGGAAGGAGTATTGCTCCAACTATACCGTAGCAGACGTTACGGCTGCCACAGTGTGGTTAAAAAAAGTCAGAGAATTGTTGCAATCTCCACCTGAACTTTTCCAAAAACAGAAACGCAATAGAGTGAAGGAGACCTGGGTCTGCTATCAAGAGAATGAGTGATGTGATCTGGATGCTGGTGATGACTTCCACCAGCAAAGTTGAATCGGAAAGTGCGTGGGTGAAGTGGCTATCCTGATCTTCGAGTCTGCAATGGTTGCGGCGTTATCCCATGATGGAGATTTTTTCCAAAATGATTATGAGATGGAGGATAGATGCCTAGGTAGGTAGAGTTGGATAGGAACACACGTAGAGCAGAGTTGCGGCAAAAGTCCCCAATGATGATAAAACGTTAATAAAACAGGGCAAGGCCAGCCTGGAGGATACCTGCAACAGGGAACAAGTGCAATCTGTGAGGCGCCTTCCCAGCTCACAAAGCCATGGGATCTATGTCTCAGGGTTCAATGCGCGAATTGTACCATCCCTTGCCAACCACAATGGCACCCACACGTAGTCATCAAAACCACCTACGGTCCATCTGCTCCGTTAGTAGACGCACAAAGCACTTGAATGATCGAATAAATCCATGTATTTCAAGGTTGGTAGGCAACCACATAATACTTTGCTCCCACCGATTCGGAGGTCGAGACCTCAAGGTTGCCAGTGCACAGCCAGCAGTCGTAAGCAAGCAGGGGTGGAAATACGACGACTAGACGGCGCAGTCCAATGCTGTACGCCCGTGGCTTGTTGGTTCCAAGCAATTAGGTCAGGGAGGGAGGGTTTGATGTGGCCAGGCTCGGGGAGCTTCAGGCTGTCACAGTCCACGCAGTGACGTCGCTCGAGTGACGCTCTAGGGCTTTCCACAAGGCGGCGCGCATGTTGGCTGCTGGACGCAGCTTGGACGCTGGTTCGGGCAGTGGTTCATCACTATTTCACACGTCAAGCAGGCCGACTTGGAATCACTTCTTTCGCCTGAAAACACCAATCTACGTTCCTTGTGCCGATCTTGCAGCAGTAGTCCGTTGACGGAATCTCTGGGTCTCCAAGCAGGGTGCAATCGAATTCATTGTCCTTACTCGTACATACTATCTTGGACGCCTTGCTGCCCCGCCACGACCCAGGGGAGCAAGCTTTACAATCACCAACACGTACAAGCTCCCAATCACCCGTTTGACAGACGACCTTTGAAACCGTCTTCGATACACTTCGTGCATTCCTCGCTGCAGCGATGTCTTCCCTCAATCTATCCCAGAACGGGCCTTCGATCACCGCCAGCTATCAAAAGGTCGTCAACTCATCACCGTCAGGTCCGGCGTCTGCCTCATCCTCCTATGGTATTTGGGCACTCTACTCCGTCAAAGCCCCACTCGCCAATGCCTTTCAGGCCGATGCAGGGAAAGAGAGTGTGCTATCGGTACAGACAACAGGTGAAGGAGAGTTGGCGGATTTGATCGAGGAATTCTCCGATGGCCGAATCCAATTTGCCTTTGTGAAGGTCAAGGATCCCAACACTACACTACCCAAAAGCGCCCTCATTGCATGGTGTGGCGAAGGTGTACCAGAGCGAACAAAGGGATACTTCACTAGCCATCTCAATGCTGTCACGAAAGTGCTTCATGGATATCATGTACAAGTCACCGCTCGCTCAGATCGCGACCTGAGCCCAGAAGTGATTGTGCAAAAAGTGGCTGACGCCTCTGGTGCCAAATACAGCGGCGGTGGATCGGTTGTTTCAGCGCCGGCACCACCTCCTGTCGCTTCAAAGCCTGTACTGCCGACCAAGAGCTTCGGAGCGTCAGGAAGCTTCCAATCACTACCATCGAGATCTCGCGCCAACCCGGCAACATCTGGACCTACAGACGAAGATGGATGGGGAAATGACGCTCCGCCTGTCACACGCTCTCAATTGGAAAAAGTCGCGCCTGCTTACCAGCCAACAAAGGTCAACATGGCCCAACTTCAATCGCAACGGGAACCTTCCAAATACCAGCCACCAGCACGCCCAGAGACAAGCTCGGCCGACGTCGTAAGCCGTGGTTATCAGCCCATTGGCAAGGTCGACATTGCTGCTATTCGTCGACAGGCTCAGGGCTCCGGCACCGTGCAAGATGACCGGCCAACCGTTGTCAAGGGTGCCTACGAGCCAATTGGCAAGGTCGATATTGCGGAAATCCGTCGCAAAGCACAAGCAGCACCATCTCCGGCTCAAGCACCTCCACCTCAGCAGCCATCTGATGACCAAGAGGACCGACCACGATCCCTAGCCGACCGGTCTGCCGCCTTCACCCAAGCCGAGCGCATCACTGAATTGCCCAAGCCTAAGATTGCGAACAAATTCGGTTCCAGCGCTAGTAGCTTCGCTGGAACCAAAGCGCCTACCCCATTTGGAGCCCAGGCTGGCAGCTCATCCACCGTACCGCCCGTCGCCACTGCCAGCCGCACGTTTGCTGATGAAGGTGGAAAGACTCCAGCTCAAGTTTGGGCGGAGAAGAAAGCTCGCGAGCGTGGTCTTAGTGGCGCAGGTGACGCCGCACCATCAAGCCTCGAAGGTCCGACGCCTGCAATAAGCACTCAAGCAAGTGGTGGCTGGCAGAGCGGTTACGAGGGGAAGAAATGGGACGTTGGAATTCCCTCTCGACCCGGAGGTGGTGGTGTCGCAGAGCAGCGCACTGGAAAACAAGAAGAGGAACCCGTATCAAGCGACGTCGGCTCTGTTCGAGACCGGTTCAACGAGCCTCCGGCCCTCGACACCGCAAGCAAGCCAGTCGCAAGCGCCCGCGGCGTACCCATGCCTGGTCTGCCTCAAAGATCAGCCGTCCCCGAAGTCCCTGCTGTCCAACACCAAGACATTCCACCACCGCCCGCACGACCAATCCCTCAGGACGAAGAGGAGGAGGAGGAGGAGGTTGAGGATCCATACCCACAGGGTTCACCCACACGCATCGCCATGCCAGTGGCACGTAGCGCAGCGCCGCTTGAGCCCGAACCCGCACAGCATGCACCGTCGATCCCCACTTCTTTCCACGGCGCCGTCGATGACCGAGAGGAACTCGAGCCCGAGCCGAAGGTACAAGAACACGACATCTCACGAGCCGCCGCTCAAACCACCGCGGCAAGCACATTCGGCGCTGCTGAGGATGCGCGTGGGGCAGGAGCCGAAGGTGGCCGGACAGCTATCGCGCAGTACGATTACACGAAGGACGAAGCCAATGAGATTGATATGCAGGAGGGCGAGCGCATCACGGGTATTGAAATGGTCGACGACGACTGGTGGATGGGCGAGAACAGTAAAGGGGAGCGAGGGCTGTTCCCGAGCAATTATGTCGAGCTAGTCCCCGGAGATGACGAGGCAGGCGGTGCGGCAGAGGCTGCTCGTGCTGTCCCTGTACCTCCAGCGCCGCAGGCCGAAGCAGCTCCGCCGGCCGGTCAGCCTCAGCCATCGGGCGGTGGGTTGCCAACGGCGACAGCCGAATACGACTACGAGGCTACGGAGGATAATGAGATCAGTTTCCCCGAAGGAGCCAAGATCACCAATGTGGTAAGTCCTGCGCTTCCCGGCATCACCCACTCAACTGCCTTGTTTGCTGACGTGCTACTCAGGAATTCCCCGACGACGATTGGTGGTCAGGCTCATATGGAGGAAAGAGTGGCCTGTTCCCGGCCAACTATGTCAAGCTCAACGAATGAGCGTGTCGTGGGCTGCGGCGCGTATTGAGTATCTGTTGAGCTGCAATGGTTTGCAAAAAGTCTTTCTGGGCTGCGAATGAACATGATTTGTGTTGTAGATCATGTTTTCACATAGCGACGTCCGCTTACATGCGCACCTGTGCGGCTCGGTCAGTCACACACATACCTAGGTACACAAGTGGTTACACGGGTCATTGGTGAAGGATAACCAGCGTTTACATAGTAGCTAATCATTACCCCCTCGGCGACGAAACAGTCCATGTGAGCGAAATTCCGCTGGACGAGTGAATCGTGATCCACGGATGAAGGTGGAATGCGATCAACCCACAGGGTTGCCTAGCGCGTTAGCGTGAGAAGTGCGATGAGTCAGGAACGCGGGTCTCTTGGAGACGTTCGCGGATTTCGGGAAGTGCAAGCAGCATTGACGAATGGTGCGCGGTTGCCTGTCTCGCGACGCGACTTTTCTTAAAGTGCGTGGTTCATCAGACCGATGGAGATTGAGGCGTAGAAAACCTCATGTCTAGGTCCAGACCGTGTAGGTGCATTGTGTTCGTACCTGGGCGTGCAGTCTCCCTATCAAATGAAGGTCCATTCGATCACTGTCGCGAAATTCCATTACAACTTCAGCCAATTCCCCTCGCATATCCTCCGTCATCTTCATCTCTCGTACAGTAGAACTGATAGCTCATCATTCAAGCTGCGAGACACGATCGGCATTCTGAGGACGACAGGACTGGAGAGACGGCATGCTACCGTGCCTGCTGTAGGTTGTCGCGAACAGGCAAACGTCATTGGGATAAGGGCGAGATCCTATCACGGCCCTTGCATGTGGCGGTAGTGTCGTCCTCGTTACCATGCAGCACTAGTGACAGGACTATTGAACCACCACTATTGTTTCGACCTTGAAATCCTACAATTATAGCTCTTCTCAAGGACAATCGATCCTGGCCTGCCGCAGGTCGTTTGCCCGTTGTTCTCGGAATTCATACTTCGGCCATTCATTCCCGACTGTTTCCCTATCACTTTGAGCGCCTTTCACTCCTCATTCTTTGGTGGTGTCTCGAGATCGTCTTCTCACGTCCCACTTGACGTTACAATCCGAACTGCCCTTGAGGAAATTCAGTTCTTCTTGGTCGAAGATCCAGCGAACCGACATTTGCCAATTCACGCTCACGTCAACCGAGAAAGAAGCCACTTGCCTCTCCGCACCGCGGACATCCCAGCGACTCTCCCTTCAACGAAACTTCCTCGGCGACTTCTTGACGCATACCTCTGTCAGCACACGTTCCCTCTAGGTTTAATTCCGCCCCGGCCTTCTCGGGCCACATATTGTCACGGCCGGGGCTTGGAATTGATCTTAGAGGCAGCAATACCCAGGAGTCGGGTCTTTTAAGAGCAGGCACCCATCAGTAGCGGCATAGTTCGGACGAAGAGGAAGTGTTTCTGGTGCTGCATGATAGCTTATCATAGCTCGCAGACCAATTTCTCACCACTCGTCGCCTGATAAAGCAAGAGCCCGTAATCACATAGCCGCAAACATGGAAGAGACGGCGACGCAAGAGCTCACGCAGCAGGTGTTAGACCCTCGTCGAGTTGGATTGAACAACTCTGGCCTGGCAGCTGAGGATATTTCGGATGTGATGTGCATCTTGCACCCTTGCACGCCAGCGTCGTTCATGCTCGTCAAGGAGACTGCTCGGAGGTCTCCACAACATGTCTTGGTCGAGTCGGACGCTGGCAAAATGGACTATCAAACTAGTCCGGACATGGGCAGTGAGCAGGAGACGTTCATCATCGACAAGTCAGGCGAGGGGCAGCGAGAGACTGCCATGGATCTCGCTCTCCGTTTCTCCTCCGTGACCATTCAGCCGAGCGTTGGGTTTGTATTTGGTCGTGCAGATCAAGTCTGCGACATCGTCATCTCGTCAGGTGCACACAAACGTGTCAGCAACCGACATTTCTGTATTTATATCAACACCGGGGGAGTACTCATGCTTCAAGATATGTCGACCAATGGCACGATGGTGGACTGGAAGCTTTTAAAACACCGTGCAGACACCACTGAGCCTCAGCGACATATGCTCAATAATGGCTCAATCATCCAAATCCTTTCGCCCGTACAATCCGAAATCCTCAAATTCATCGTGCGGATCCCCTCACGGGAAACCTGTGACGAAGAGTACACGTACAAATTCAACCAGTACATGAATCGCATTGCTGCAGCACAGGCTGCAGCCCATGGCAAGGCGCCCGGCACAGCGCCTCGGAATCCTGGCGACCCGGTGCCTATGGAAGTGAGTAATCTGAGACCTTTGACCAAGAATGCCCACGGAATGCATTGGAGCGGTGGCACCAAATACAACGTTGTGGGAACTGTCGGCAAAGGCGCTTTTGCGACGGTCTATCAGGTTGCAACCAAGAGCGATGGCACCCTCTACGCTGCCAAAGAGTTGGAAAAGCGACAATTTGTGAAAAACGGTATATTGGACCGCAAGCTGGACAACGAGATGAACATTATGCGATCTGTGCAACATGCCAATGTGGTCCGCTACATTGATTACCATGATGTCGCGAACCACCTTTACATCATCATGGAATATGTCCAATACGGCGATCTTCAGCAATACCTAATGGGTAGACCTGGCGAGCCCTGTCCAGGACAACCTCTGCCGGAGAACATGGCTCGACAGATGGCAGGGCAAGTACTCAGCGCTCTCCACTACTTGCACGAACAGATGATCACCCATCGTGACATTAAACCGGACAACATTCTCATCGCAGACCCAAGACCCGATCATTTCACTGTCAAGCTCTCAGACTTTGGTCTCTCGAAAGTGGTCAAGGACGAAAACACTTTCCTCCGGACGTTCTGCGGGACTCTACTCTACTGTGCCCCCGAAGTCTTTCCGCACTACAATGCTCACATTGCTCGGCAGGGCACCAAACGGCCGCGAAACAGCCAGCAACGACTGTCTCGGCGTTACAGTAAAGCAGTTGATATCTGGTCATTCGGTGCAGTGCTCTGGTTTGCTCTGTGCCTTCATCCTCCCTTTGAAGGCGTCGCTGATTCTGACGGGCGTGGCATGTTCCAGAGAATCACAACGACGAGCCTCAACATATCTGATCTCGTCATGAGCAGTGTCTCTAACCAGGCCATTTCTCTTTTGATTGAAATGATCAATGTTGATCCCATCGCGCGACCTACTCCTGCAGAGTGTTTGCATCGAGCCTGGTTTGGGCGCGCCTTTCCTATTCCCGCACCTTCTCAATCAGACCTTGACGACATTGAGGAGGACGAGGCAGAGGTGGAGCCGGACATGTCGCAACTGAGCATCATCGAGCCGCACCCTCGTGATCTAGCTGAAGTCAGTATGGACTCTTCTGATTTCGACTTCTTCCAGCAATCAAAGCGTTTCAAATCAGAAGCTGTGGACTATGGGGACCAGCAATCTGGGATTCGCTCGGATGGCAGCGACGAGCTATATCCAGACGAGTCTATTGTTGCTCCCTCCTCAGGCGCTATTGCTCTAGCTCAACATGCCCAAGTCAAACCGCCAAAGCTTTTCGGTGAAATCAGTCAGTCAAATCTGACTGCTGCTGCGACAGGCGTCAAAGCGAATGCCACATCACTTGAGGCAAAGTCGGCAGACAAGCACCTCGCAACATCCGACGAACATGAGCAGCACGATATCATCAGCTCGCCAAGCTTGCTAGGCACCGAGGAAATGGTCCGGGACTTCAACATGGATACACCAATGGAAAACAGATCGCGAAAAGACGAATCAATCCCATCAACACCGAGTCGACCTACGCAAGCGCACCAGAACCATGAAAGCAATGACACACCTGCATCGCATATTGATGTGACGCCTAAACCAGCACCGGTCCCGTTTCGACGCCGGATAAATCTTCCGGTTACAGCGCCTTGCTATTGGGACCCTGCAGACAAGAGCACACACAACGATGAGTACGCGTCGAAAGTTAGTGGATTCGATTTCACAACGCAAAAGGAATATTATCTTGCTGAAGGACAAACTTTGGCATCCACTATCCATGGAAGTGCAGCAGTGAGCAAGGCATCATCAGTTGGTACTTCGAATACTTCTTCCTCGGGAGATATGCAGACCACTACTGCGATTGCGCCGGTCGACAGTCCTCAGACTCAAAAACCTACAACGTATGGTCGTCTGGTCCCAACTCCAGACTCTTGCATGACCACCCCTCTCGAGATCCACGATCGCATGATGAGTTTTGGTCGATTTCCCAGCATGACTTACGTCTACCCAGACGAAACCGATGCCCGCGTTCCGAAACACGCCATCACAGTGTACTTCAACTCGCCACACATTACCGACGATAACACCATGGAATGGATGAATTTGCCAGATCTATACGCCGGTGTTGTCACCCATGCCAGTGCCGGCGTTTGGGTCAACGGCGTGCACTTGGCCCGAAATACCGGTGGTTCCGAAAAGCGGCCGTTGACGGCCCACTTGCACACGGGTGATGAAATCACTATCTTCTCGGGTCATGGCCATGGCTCGGGGATGAAATTCACCTGCGAGTTTTTCATTGGCGCGGGCAAGAACGTGAGGAAGGCGGAGGATTGGCCCTGTCGGGTAGAGGAGATTGCACACAGAACCCGAAGCCGGTAAGACTTTTTCCAGCAGAGACCATGTCTCCGCGGACATATGTAAAGATGAGCTGCGCGAGGATGATGGTAGGCTATGATTGCCCTTTCATCTTCTGGTGTTCAACTACAGTTAGCGCGGGCTGGCAGGCGACAGATGGGTCTTGTTTCCATCACAGTAGATTTATCTTGTGTTACTATTGTTATTGAGCGCGAGGCTGAATTCCCATATGGTTTTGTTTTTGTGAAGCAGGAAGTCATTTTTGATTGCTATCATGACAGCGGGATGCAGATTGTTCATTGTGGCCTTCCAATACCAGCATGCTGTAAGGGAGATCTGTTTCAATTCTATGAAAATTCAACTGGCAATCTATCGAAGACTCACTACGACCGCTGGTCTCAGTGATACTCGCCGCCCACAACCAGTACCATGCCTGTGACCGGCAATCATCACGCAGGAGTCCTAGTCTTCATGATCTAGAAGATCTCATGGAGCAGGGATTTGAATTTCATGGGCTATCACAATAATGGAAAATTTATGCACATAGCTCATATATGGATCCCACATCTCGCCACATGAGATCTTTTTTTCTATCCCTTCGTCTGACCACTGATGACAGGAGACGGACGTGTACTAGCTTCGCCGGAGTCCTGATGCACAGCAGCGCTACCCTTTTCCCGGAATGTGCTGACAGCCGGAACATCGGCATGTAGCCGCTCCTCCTGGGTGGAGTATGCTCGAGGCGTCAATTTAATGAGGCAATGCAGAGGGACCTCCATCCAGGGACTCTTCTTCTGCGATGAACCCATGAAGTAGGCGTAGATGCAGCGCAGTACCGCTTGATGGGTGACGATGAGGATGTTCTCGGAGCGCTCCAGCTCCATGATGATGGGCTCTAGACGGATGACCACGTCGCGGTAGCTTTCGCCTCCGAGGTAGCGATAATTGTACTTATCCTCATCTCGAGCTTTGAAATCTTCTGGATATTGCTGTTCAATCTCCGCGTAGGTCAAGCCGTCACATACACCTGAGTCCAGCTCGTCCAGGGCTTTCCAACTGAGCTTTTCGTACGGCAGCCAGCGTGCTGTTTGTGCCGTTCGCTTCAAGGTGGATGTCCACACGGTGAGCGGCGCGTCGCCTGCAGACTGTTTGACCAGGTCCGGCAGCACTTTGGCGTACATTTGGCCCCGTGAAGATAGATTGGCGTCGCCGCCTATCTGACCGGAAAGATTGAATTCAGACTCACCATGCTACATCGTTAGGTTGTCAGCAACAGTAATCGAAAATTAACATGCCGCGGTGCTAACCTACACGACTGATCCAGATGGAGCGTGGCTTGATGTGTAGGTTCATGAGGTAATAAACTACTCTGGATTGCAAATAATCCTGGATTCTGTTGATGATCACTTTCGAGCCGACGTCGATGATCTTGCAATATGTGAGATCTGCTTCGTCCTCATCGAGTGTCTCGTACACCTTCTCATACATCTTGATGCGATTTCGAAAATCTCGCGCCGCCTCCTCTGGATCCATGCCTTTGTAATCAGGGCTGGTGGTCTTCACTTCAAGGATGTTGCTCATGATAAGGTCCTCGTCGTCACACTTGCTTTCTACGAAGATCGTCTCAATGTTCTCGGCGTCGCATCTTTCTTTGATCCAGCGTCTTCGGGTCTTTGTGCTGTTGGTTGCATCCAGGATAGCGATCAGGTTATCCGTGGTTTTGAACCATTTGCACATATCAGTCACAGCGGCCTCCGCTGCGGCTTTCCGAAGCTGCTCGCCCTCCTTATTACTAGTATCAAAGAACGACGCATTCGGTTGCGGGGTGCCAGCGCGTCGATAGTTGCCAACGTTGAAGCACTTCGCAGTTATGCTGAGCCATTCGAGATAACGGACGACTACCATGTGTCAATTGAACGACACCAGTCATACGCCTACTTGGCATTCGTCGTATGCCACCCACCTTTCTGCGCAATCAGACTCTTTCCTCTTGCCGGAAGCCCCACCATGACAACACATATCTTCGTATCTTCGACCTGGACGCCAATGCCATTAGCTTGTGGGCTGTGACTTGCTCGTGTCCGGGAAGCAGGTCGCATGAAATCTCCAGGACTAGCTTTGAGGAGCTGTGGCTTGTGCTGAGGCTCATGAATATTCGAGAACTGCTCTATCTTTTCCGCCATGATGTCCTGGTGGAGTGACCTTGGTCACGATTCGAGTGCAAGGTGTCGATGATGTGCGGGTGGTGTTTGGCGATCCCACTGAAACTGGACAGCTGAGCTCCAAAGGCGACGCCGCCCAGACTTGTTGAAGCGAGACGTTCCAGCAGGGAGGATAGCCCACGGCGAGAGCTGATAAAGACTCCGTCGGAGAAGTAGCGATCCAGTCACTCAGGAATATTGTAAAAGGATGTAGTTACTCGCTATACAGTGACAAACGTCACACACGACTGTCGCCATAGATCGTCTTGAGCCGCCGGAATCGTCCGTCCGCCACTTTGCAGACTCGGGCCGAAGAAGTTGCTCCGCCATAGCTTCGAAGTAGCTTTACCATCGTCGACTTTGACATAGCCTCGCGCGCGCTGTCTTGTGAAGCCAATTGCGAGACATGGAGATCCGCAACGAGAGCGCTATGATGAGAGGAAAGGGCGCATTACATACCCTGGCAATTGTGTAGGCCGTTTTGCTGCCGGCTGCCCTGTGCTCAACAGACTGATTAGCAGACACGCCATGGGCTTCATCCATGATATCGATCGATCTATAGCAATGAAGAGTGTAGTATATAAATGAAAAGTTCGGGTTCACTATCGGAAGCCTGTATGTGCAGCACCTTGACTATAAATATAGACTCTCCAATTGCCAATGCCTCCCTGTGAGACTTCAACGAGTACATACGTCTGACGCTAGGTCTGCACCGTTATCTTCATCCTTCAAAGCTTACTTGATACCGCCGTCCAAGTAACCGCCGTCGTTATCGGAGTGTCGTCTATCATTGCTTCTCGACAGAACAAAGACTTCCAAGGTTATGAACGAGAATCAGGAAACAGGCCCGCTTTACGCAGCTGGTGTTTCGGTGACACCATTTCGACCTCAATTCCTGTGCAGAGGAGAGACGACAAACAACGACTGCGGGAACCTCTCTCTCAACGCGTGGTGCCGCTGTTCTTCACTTGCCTGCTTCAACTCGGAGAAATTGCCGGTAATGACCCGGTTCACATGCATACCCAGGTGTATAGACATGAGCGGGACTCGCGTGTTGTCGCCGAAGGGATTTGAGATTCAGATCCTGAGTGCTTTGCCTCTGGTCGCTCGCCATGTTTAGGAGTGCAAGTCAATATTAATATTCTCATCGCTCATGACAAACCAGCGACTTTTGATTTCCGTGCAACGTGTAGAAGATGTGAGTCATCGCTTCTCCCAAGCTTTCCTATTCGCAATCGCACGTGAGTAGCTATATGCCTGTTGGCGAGCGATCGCTTGTGGACGTCTGCTGAGGCGACATCGTTTGCTGCATACCTAGGTAGTGGCGGTCGTGATGGTCTTGGACTTGTTTTGCACAAGAACGGACACGCCCCGTGCGATTGCGAATACTTGCGCGAAGATATAATTTATGATCATGATTGTGAAATGTAAATTGCATGCCCGGGCTGGTGACCTCGACACCAGTTGCGGCGGGGCATTGTGTTGTATTCCAAGGTAATTACTATCATTATTGTGCGCAGGTTATTGAGCCGTCGAATGATATTGCCTGTCCGCACGCCGCAATTTAGGCGTCATACGCGCAATAAGCAGCTCTAACCCTAACCCATGACGAAGCCCGAGCCGCTAATGTGCAGGTGGAACTTGATGGTCACTTCTCTCGCGAGGACAGCATCTGAACATCTCTCGTATGCTTGCATGGCATTATACTTTCGTACCCGAGATCTGACGTTTGCCACCTCAGAAAGTCCACAGAGTTGAGCCGCTGATCGTGCTCAACATTGCCCCTCGGCGACGGGTGTCCTGCAGCAGTGTAGCGCTGGAAGCATCCAATCACCTCATCCAGGCAATTTTCTGCACCAACAAGACAACATCAGCTGCGCCGCAAGCACAAGGACGCGGCAACTTGTGTAGGATCACGTTGTCTATGATATATTGCGAATCTGCCATTCTCGCGCGAAGTCCACGAACGTGAATACTCGTTCGGACTGATTGGCCTCTACAAACTCGTCACTGGCAAATATCACGTTCAAGTAAGCTCACATACGACACTTGTGCTCACGACCACCCAACTTCGCTGCGAGCTCTATGGTGTCTCCGCAACCCCGTTACAACAGGCAGACTTAAGGCGCGCTGTTTGTAGCGCCTTGCGCGATGGGTAGGATAAAAAAGGTCGCCACGGAGCGACATACTGTCACGCTTTCGCCATTCGTACGCGATTTTGTCAAGCAGGCTGTAGCCACGCCGTTGCACCACTTGCCAGCCTTCTTAGACTCGTTCCCTCAGCACTGGCCGCTCCCTCGCGGTGACCTGTACCACTGGATACCTCTACTTGATCGCTTCGATCGTATCATCGAGATCTTCAACAAGGAATATGGGCTGAACGAGGGGCCACAAACGCAGCCGTTCGCACGAAGACTGTTGGAGCGCGGCGATTATGAACCTGGCTACGATTACCCGGCAGCTGGTGCTGGTGAGCAAGAGCTGGACAGCAATGGATTTGCTCTGGAAGGAGACAAAGAGCTTATCGAAGCCGTCGTCCATTTCTCTAGGATACTGTTGGAGCATTGCGGTAATCGGAGTCTCTACGCCAGTAGCTCACATATCAATGACCTGCTTCATACAACTTCACTCGGCTTGCTTCGCTGTTGTCTGAAGTTGAGTCTTCGGCTCGCACAGCGATATCAAGTCGCTCGCTTCAAAAATAATCATCCGCCTGCACAGGCAACTTTGCTTGCCAACCACTACAATTTCAACCTGGACAATCTTCACAAGATATCGCTTCCCTTCCCAAAGCCTTCTGGTACCAGTGCCGGCTTCACATCATTGTCCAGTAAGGGCAAAGACAAAGCCTCAAACATCGCCGCGTTCAACAGCGCCGACTTAGTGTCTTTGGTGAGAGCTCGCCCTTCCGATCCCACACGGGCCGAGATGTCGCAAGTTTCGTTGAGCTACTATGATCAGTCTTCTGCCAATCGACGCCAGACCCAAGCTACGCAGATAACTGAGACGGTCCCTGCTTCACCGACGCCAGTGAGAAGAACCTCGACCCTGGGTCCTTCGCGTGATCGACCTCCAGTTGGAGACAGAAGTATGAGTGCGATGGACCTGGGTTCCAGCGCCAGCAAACCACGCGAGCAAGATAGTGCACCTACCTCATCCCTCAGCTATTATCAAATACCTGCTGCGAAAATATCGGGCTCACAAGCTTGCTTAATAATGCGCGATGCTTTGCCGAGCGTGCCAGCCGAGTTCAGTTATGATTTGCTCCATCGTATCCGTGTTGCCAAAGCATTTGCTTCGCAACATGATGACATATTACAGCTCGTTGAAATACGATTGCTAGCGATCGCCAACCTCACATATGCGCTATCAGAATCTAGATTTCAGGAGAAAATCGGCACGCCGGACTCAGAGGAACCAAGACCATTCCATCTCGCACAGCAACTATGTGATTTATTGCAGCCGGCGCCGAGCGGCCAGAGCGAGACTCCACTCCAATTCGAGACCACCGTGCTGATTGCCATCGAAGCGCTCACGAAGAGCAAACATAAGGTCTCCGAAGTCGCTGATGCTCTTGCGATCAATGTCAATCATGGAATGTTATACTTTGTCCTACGAAAAGTGATTTCAAATCTGAGCCTTGACGAGCATGCTGGGAAGCGAGAGGAGCTGGTTGCGGCCGAGTGGCGTGACGCCACCTTCGACCTCATCAACAGCTTGCTACAATCTGGTGCCCAATGGCGATATGGCGAGAGAATGGTCACTGCCGGCATTATCGGAATTCTCGTCGAGGCGTTAGAGCTTCGGACTGACCGCGCCGATCGAATCCACGAGAAAGTACTGCAATTCTTCGACAGTTTCATCCACGGCATTCCATCTGCGCTACAGACTCTGGCAAATGCCCGAGGACTTGACATTATTGCCGAACTCACCAGTCATGAAGTGCAGGCATCTCTGACAAGCGTGCGTGCAGGCAATGGATTACCTGAGGAATTCAAGTCAAATGTTGTGGATTACACAATTCCTTATTACAAACAATCCGCGCTGCGCCAGCTGTTCAAGAATACTGCACACATGTTCGATCACCACACTGGCACGCAGGACCGACTGCTTCGAAATCTTATCGACACCCCACAAACCCTCGGGGCTTTGCGGTCTGTCATCGAAAATGCCAACATATTCGGATCTAATGTCTGGAGCGGAGCTGTCAACATTGTGAACCAATTCATCAACCATGAGCCGACCATGTATCAGGTCATAGGCGAAGCAGGCCTCACCAAAAGCTTCCTCGAATCTGTCACTGGTCGCGCGGGCTCTTCAGATGGCCAGATCTCCTCGGACCAAGCGCCAATCGGGATATTGCCGGTCGGTGAGGTCATGTGTGATATTCCGAGTGTTTTTGGTGCCATCTGCCTCAACGAGACCGGAATGCAAGCCTTTCAGGATTCTGGCGCGCTGACAAGATACTTCGAAATCTTCCTCTCTCCAATTCATGTGCGCGCCATGGAAGATGAAGGACCGATAGCAGGCACCATCGGACACTCTTTCGACGAATTATCACGACATCAGCCTCGGCTCAAAAGCCAGATAACTCTTGCGATCGAGCAAATGTTGCAGAGACTTCGAACCAAACTGGCGGGATTCGCAACAGAAGAACAGGCGGGCACCAAACTCTGGGAGCGGATCGACACCATGCGTACTGCTGGTGATGGAACTGCAGCCCAGGATAGCAATGACCGGCGTGCCAGCCAAGACCGTGCTCCGGGAATGCACTACCTGAGCTCTGTCTTCAAGTTTCTGGACGGTCTGTTTGCCAACAATAACATGTGCGCCGCATTCTGTGAGATCAACGGGGCTGAGTCGTTGATCGAACTTGCGCTGTCACCATGCAATCCATACGATCTCGGTTCGTTCCCCGTTTTTGGGAAAATCGCCGCTGTTTTAAAAACAATGTGTGACGCAAAGCCACATCTTGTTCTTCCTTGTCTGCTCGAGCGCACGCAGCAGGCGGTCTCGTCGTTGCACAAATTTACATCCTCGGACAAGTCTCACGACACGTTCTCAAGATTTGTCGATCTCCAGACGCTGCAACCACCTCTGCACGGCGGCATGGATGGTACAGCCATCACGAAAGCTCTTCTCAATGTGCAAGTACTGTCTCACATTCTGGGGCGCACGTTGTCACCCGGCTACACAATACGTCATGGCAACCAGAGCACCCAGCTCTTTGCCAGCATGAATTTCACCGACGTCTATGTTCGGCTCGCTGAGGATCTGATTAAATTGCAAGCTGCATGTATTTGGGAAGATATTGTGACCTGCGACGGTTTGTCTGTTGATGTCAAACGTCAGACTGAACCGCGTCGGTACTCACCTCGGCGAATCAACGCCGATGGCACAATTGAACCATTGATCGCAGATGATCCATCTCTACCAGGAGAGCCGACTAGCGAGAATGCAAATTCGACCGGTCGCCCCTCTGACACAATTCTCGTTCTCAAAAACACACGAACAATCAGGTACCTTTTGGAGCAGGTGCCTAAAGGAATCAGCCTTTTCGTCCAGTCACTCGGCGTTGCTATTGTCCCGACCAGGCGCGCCGACCCCACCGTCAAGCAACATGCTAGTCATATTGCCGACTGCTTAGCCAAGTCGGTCATAGCGAGCTTTGATTATCGTAGGTGCAAGGCATCTGCTGAAGCAGAACTTGTTCCAAAATACATTGCACGCCTACTCAGAATGATTGGGGACCTGTTCTTGCGGAAGTCACTCGAGGCGATGAGCGTTGACGACGCTTTGACTCTCGTACTGAACAAATTTTTTCTCGCTGGCGGATTCGATCAACTCAATAAGTACCTCAAATCTTTCATCGAGGTGCAGTTGGCGACTTCGGAACCAATCTCGTTGCTTGAAAACGATGAAGACACGGCAGCAAAGTGGAGAGCACAAGGCGTGCACTTCATTCTTGCATTCTACAACCAGATCGTGAACAGCAAATGTATCTCCGATGCGGCTCAATCGACTCACATCACTGTTAAAGAACGGGCTTCTCCTGACTTCTTCATCCCCTCCCAATTTACTGTGGAGATTCGAAATTGTGTGTTGCCAGTCGTCGCCGAGATTTGGAATTGCTCTGATCTTGACAAATTTACACGCTCTGATGTCATAGAGGTGGTGCATATTCTCCGCCTGATCCTAGAAGGTGCTGGCGAGGAAAGGGCCCTAAGGCGCAGCGAACGTGCCTACAGACATGGACCTCCGGCGCGTCTCACTTACAAGTCGCCCTCTACCAGCGATGTCTCAAAGCTTGAAGAACAGGGCTTTGATACTACATTGGCTCGGGAGGCGCTCTATCGATGCAATAATAATCTGCCTCATGCAGAACAGTATTGCAAATTGCGGGTATCTCACAAGGCTCCAAGATTTCCAGCTCCGATACCAATTCCGAGACAGCAGGCCCAACAGATTCACGATGAACCCCTGCCAGCAGACCCGATAGCGTCAAGTGATGGCAACGCGATGGACGTTGAGATCAGCGATAACGCACAAGCAAGCAATGCTGCCAGTGATTCAGAAATGTCAGACGACGAAACAGGAGAAGAAGATGAAGCCGATGAGGGCGGATCTGGACAAGAAAGCCGAAACAATGGAGTCGATGATGATGATGAAAATGATGACGAAGATGACGATGAAGATGATGATGACGATGACGATCCTGGATCGCTCGGCAATCTGCCAGAACATCTGCAACAGGAAGATTTCAGTGCCATGATCTCAACCGGGGCACTTGACATTGCTCTTGGGCGCGATGACAAGCCAGAAGATCCAAAAGCTGTCTTCATCACTGTAGAAGACCTCGACGAGAAGCGTAGCAATCTAAGGGCGAACCTAATCGAGCGCTGTCTGGAAGTGCTCAGCGCTCATCCACACATCACATTCGAGCTGTCAGATCTTATCCAGGCTGCTATGTCAAAGGTTGATAAGAGCAACGCAAGCACCGATATCGGAGAAACACTCGTGATGTCCCTCATCTCTCTGCAAACCGAGGAAATCAGTAAAGAATTGGGAATCAAAATCCTTGCACATGCCCATCTGGTCGCATTGATCATGCAAGACAGAGCATTCTTCGACTCTGCTTTGGAGCCTTTAAGGCGCTGTATCGGCAGCCTCATTACATGGCTACAGTTGCAGCCAGATCAAAAGGCCGAAGAAGCACCCTGGATCGAAATGATTTTGCTAATCATCGAGCGTGTACTCACCGAAGACGAACAGCCTGTAGAGATCACCTGGAACCCGAACTCCACGGAGGAGCTTTCAAGTGCATCGCTGTCCCTGTCAGCTCGAGAGCCATTGGTCTCTGCGGCGCATCGCCTGGAGGTATTCAATGCCGCAATAGATTTGCTGCCCAAAATTGGCAAGAACGCCTCGTTTGCGCTATCGGTATGCCGTATCCTTGTCATTCTCACGCGGAGACGCGAGCTTGCCCTTCGACTTAGCGAGAGGCAGAACATTGGCCGACTTTTCTTGATGGTGCGGCAACTGGCAGGAGCAATGGACGAAGCGATACACGGCTGCATCATGCTTATCCTCCGGCACATGATCGAGGACGATGATACGGTTCGTCAGATCATGCGTACCGAGATTAGGGCCGTCTTTCAGCATCCGATACGATCTCAGAGAATGGTCGACACCACATCGTACACGCGCTCAGTCTATCACCTCGCCATTCGCAATCCTGAGCTGTTCGTTGAGGTTTCCCAAGAAATGCTCATGATCAACAACCTTCAGTCCGGCAAGCCCTTGGAAACAGTACAGAACCTGTCTCTTAAGCAGAACACTTCGAATCTTGAAGTTGAGAAGAAGCCTCAATCGCATCCTAATGTGGCCGAAGGCAACGATGGCAAACCCGTCGACACCAAGACTCCTGCCCCGGAAACTACAGATGGCGTCACTCAGTTTCTTCTTCGTGAATTGTCAAATTACAAGGATGTTGACGATAAGGTGCCACCAATTTCGACGCCAACCACCAAACTTGCTTCAAACACAAAGCCGGTAGAAATTTCTCCAGACGTCGAGATGGTGGAAGCTGGTCCACTGAACGCTGGGGCCACGCCATCAGAGAACGACGCCAATTCGCGAGCACCCATCAAACAAGAAGAGTCTGTGATCTTCATGTATCGGCGGTTCATTCTGCAATGTTTGGCCGAGATCCTGGGAAGTTACAATCGTACGAAGAATGAATTCATGAACTTTTCGCGCAAATCGGAATCGCAAATTTCCACGCCATCAAGACCACGTGCCGGCACTCTCAACTATCTGCTCAATGTATTGCTGCCTGTGGGCACTCTTGAGCATAAGGAAGGTGAAGCACATCAAAAACGAGTCTCAATTTCACACTGGGCATCGCTGGTTCTAGTAGCGCTGTGTTCAAAAACATCTGAGAGCGGAGCATCGCTCTCACCTGCGCACATAGCTTCTGGGGAAGAACCTGAGCTCAACTTTGTCCGGAAATTTGTGCTCGAACAAGCTTTGCGCTCTTTTAAAGATGCAACTTCGTCATCCGAGCCGCTCGATATGCGTTACTCCCGTTTGTTGGTTCTGGGCGACCTCTTTGAAAAGATTCTCAATTGCAGAGACGACGTGCAGAGATCTACAACTGAAGTGAATGTCAATAAACAAGCGATCGGTAGACTGATGTATGAGAAGGGATTCATCGGCACGTTGACGGCGGCGATCGCAGAGCTCGACCTCAACTTTCCCAATGCAAAGCGTACGGTCAAATATATACTTGCGCCGCTGAAGCAATTGACCGGTCTTGGCGTCACTCTGAGTCAAACCACCGATACTACATTAAAGCATCCTGGAAATGGGAGCAACGAAAATGCTGAAGAAGGCGAAGTTGACTCTGATACATCTTTATCTGACGATGATGATGATGATGAGGACCGAGAGCAGACACCGGATCTATTCCGCGGCTCTTCACTTGGCATGTTCGAAGCCAGCGGCGCTCAAGATGACGATACAGATGATGATTCCGCCGAGGAAGAGGACGATGAGATGTACGATGAGCATGAAATGTACGATGATGGCTACGATGAGCATGAGATGGACTATGAGGAGGAGATCGTTGCCGAGCACGGTGACGTCGTCAGCGATGAGGATGATGACGACATGGGTCCTGTGGAAGGTGTGCCAGGAGACATGGCCTTGGACGTCGAGATGATCATGGAAGACGGCGAGGACTCGGCAGACGACGATGACGACGACGATGATGACGACGACGACGACGACGACGATGACGATGACGATGACGATGACGATGAAGATCTACTCGACGAAGCCGAATTCGGCGAAGATCACGAGGAGATGATTGGCGATGAAGGTGACGGCAGTCTGGCCGATGGAGATGACACCGAGGACTGGGAAGATGATGACCTCCACTACGCACGTGATCGAATCATCATCGAAGACGGCGAAGGGGCCGCTTTGGACCACATTGCGCATGTCATCGGCGCGGATGAACCCTCGGACGATCTCGACGAGGATGGCATGGCTACGGGCCTCGTGCCAAGGAATGATGACTTTTTCGAGGACGAGATGGGTCCTGACGAGGACGAAGAAGATATGGAGGATGATGGAGGGGAACCCGACGAGATGGTCTATGAACCGGAAATGGATGACGAAGATGAAGAAGGAAATGGTCGCTGGGATGGGCGCTGGGACGCGCCTGCACCCCAATTCATCTTCCGAGGTGCTGCTCATCACCACCACCACGGTCATCATCACCATGGTCGGAGTGGAGCAGGCATTTTCCCTATGACTATGGGAAATATGATGGATTTAGGTGGCGGACCAGGGCTACGAGCAGGAGGATATCGCACACACCGTTCTGCCCCTAACGCACACGATGAGGAAGGGCTCAACCCACTGCTTCGGCGCGATGCTTCTCAGCGTCGTGGCGACTTGGCAGATCTACCATATGCGACCAGCCGAGTCGTCCAGCGCAGAAACCTCTTGCCCGGTCCAAGAGACAGCCCGCTTCAGGAGCTCTTGAATGCTGTCGGAAACCCCGGTGGTGGCGGTGTGATTAACGTCAATGTCGAACCTGGAGCATTGCCCGCACTGACAGGGTTTCCTGCGATGATTCTCCAACGTGCAGCCAACGGGGGGGGACCCACGGCAATCGAAATCGATCCTCGGCGTCTCATGCGTCATGGAGGTTCCCACTGGCTAACCTCATTTCCCGGCTCCACGGAGGAGATGCGTAATGCTGGACAGTACGACGATGGTCATGGTAGCCTGTTCCGAACGTCCACCACCGTTGCCCGCTGGCAGCAATCTGCCAAAACTCTGTTCGCCAACAAGGCGGCAGAGATAGCAATGAAGGTCATCAAGCGCTTACTCCAGGTGCTCGTTCCCCCGGCGGAAGCGGCCAAGAAAGAGAAAGAGAAGGAGGATCTTGAGCGCAAGGCTGCTGAAGACGAACGCCGTAAAAAGGTTGAGGCAGAGCGAGCAGAGCAAGAAGCTAAGGAGAAAAGGGACCGTGAGGAAGCGCAAGCTCGCCAAAGACAAGAAGCAGCTGAGCAAGAAGCTCTAGCTGCTGCCGCCGGTGGTTCCGAGAACATTGTCATGACCGACGAGCCTCAACCTGATCAAGGACATGAGCGAGATGCGGCAGGTCCAGTTGCCGATGCTGCTCCTGTTCCTCAGCGTGTCACAATCACAATCCGCGGCAGAGAGCTTGACATCACAGGCCTCGGAATAGACCTTGAATATCTCGAAGCGCTCCCCGAAGACATGAGGGAAGATGTGATTGCGACTCAAATGCATAGCCAACAAGCCCAAGCACGATCACAGGCTGCACGATCAAATGATCATCCACTTGAAATCAGCCAAGAGTTCTTGGATGCTCTGCCTCCAGAAATCCAGCAAGAGTTGATCCGATCTGAGGAAATCCAACGACGCCAACGTCAACGCGAAGAAGATGCTCGGAATCGGGCAGCTCAGAATGTCAATTCTGTGCCACAAGACATCAACAATGCCGACTTCATGGCCATGCTGGACCCAACACTTCGTCAGTCCGTCTTAATGGATGCGGACGAGGCCATCCTGGCTGTCCTACCAGAAGCACTACAGGCCGAAGCTCGCCTCCTGACGGGCAACCGAGGTGTGCAAGGTCTTGGTGGTAGAGGCGCCCTGCGCGATTACGAGGCGGATCTTGCGCGCATCCGTGAAGGCCGCGCTGTTGCCGATCCATTGGGTCCGCCTGCGGCGAACGCTGCTCGGGGTCGTCGCCCTGCTGCCGCTATGCTGGATAAGTCAGGCATTGCAACTTTACTGCGGCTTATGTTCGTATCGCTCAACAACAAGGTTCGGGCGAACTTGCACAGCATATTGTCAGATGTTTGCAAAAACACCCAAAATAGGGCAGAGGTTATCAGCATTCTCTTGTCCATCTTACAAGATGGAACTGCAGATGTGAATGCCATGGAACGGAGTTTCGCACACTTGTCACTTCGAGCGAAGCAGACGTCGGGCCCTAAGACTCCACAACCACTCAAACGCAGCTTCACAGGCCAACTTCCACCTTCACTGACGACTGACTTGTCACCCCTTAACATCGTACAGCAGTGTCTAGGTACTCTGAATGCGCTCGCCAGAGACAATCTGCGTGTGCCTTCGTTTTTCCTCAGCGAGCACGAGACCAGTGTGATTCAGAAGAACAAGACTCCATCGAAGAAGAGCAAAGGCCGAGAGAATCGAGCATTGAAATTTCCACTCAACGCATTGTTAACCTTACTCGATCGTAAATTAATCACGGAGAACACGGCAGTGATGGAGGTCCTTGCGTCACTCCTCAGTCATGTTACCCATCCTCTCAACATATTGCTTCGACGGGCTAGGGACGCTCAGCAATCTGATGTTACTGAGCCTGAGCGCACCAGTGGGGGCGAACAAGATGCGGCTGCCAGCACTGGTGATGCTCAAATGAGTGAAGCTACCGAAGAAGAGGCAGCACCCGGACCAGCTGCTACTTCCGCCGATCCTAATGCAACCGCGAGGAAGACAGCCCCAACAGACACCAAGAAAAGACATCGAGATCTTGCTCCTCCCGAAGTTCCTGAAGAGAACATTCGCCTGGTGGTAAATATCCTGGCAGCTCGCGAATGTCCCAGCAGAACTTTCAGTGAAACCTTGGACCTGATCAAGAACCTCTCGGCTATCCCAGATGCCAAGGGTATATTTGGCAAAGAACTCATACGTCAAGCTCAAGACCTCGGCGACACATTAGTCACCGACCTCAATGAGCTGGCTGATCAAATCAAAGGTGCTGCGACTGAGGCCGATCTTCAAGGAATCGCACTCGCGAATTTCTCATCAGCTGGCTCAAAGCAACGAAGAATGCTGAGGGTCTTGGTTGCACTGGACCATCTCTTCGACCCGAATCGCTCGCCTGCGTCGTCAAATCCCGCCAAGTCAAGTGCGGCAGAAGATCTGAAGCTCAAGGACGACATACTCGCTACGTTCTACGAGACAAACACTTTCCAAAATCTCTGGAAAAGTTTGAGCCGATGCTTGGCTGAGATTCGCAGCCGCGGCAACATGGTCAACGTGGCTACAATTCTTTTACCTTTGATCGAGTCTCTAATGGTAGTGTGTCGTAATAGCGCCCTACGAGATCGCAACTCAAGCGAGCCTGCTCCAACAGGCTCAGCATCGGCGCGCATGGACCAGCTGTTCCTCACATTTACAGAGGAAAATCGGAAGATTCTCAATGAGCTCATCAGAAACAACCCCAAACTCATGAAAGGCAATCTATCTGTCCTTGCCAAGAACTCGAAAGTGCTCGAATTCGACAATAAGCAGAACTACTTCAAGAGCAAATTGCATGATCGTCGTTCGGAGAGTCGCGCATCACAGCCATCACTGACACTCAGCGTTCGTCGTGAGCATGTCTTCGCCGACTCGTTCAAGGATCTTTATTTCAGGACAGGAGACGAGATCAAATATGGAAAGCTTAATATCCGCTTCAGAGGTGAGGAGGGTATAGACGCCGGCGGTGTCTCTCGCGAATGGTTTACTGCCATGGCGCGCCAAATGTTCCTCGCCGATTATGCGCTTTTCAATTCGGTCGCCTCCGACCGAACGACGTTCCACCCCAATGCTCTCAGCGAAATCAACGATGAGCATTTGGTAACCTTCAAATTCGTGGGCCGAATCATCGGAAAAGCGCTTTACGAAGGCCGTCATCTCGATGCACATTTCAGCAGAGCCGTCTATCGACGCATCCTCGGCAAGAGCGTTTCCCTGAAGGATATGGAGAGTCTCGATCTGGACTATTACAAATCGTTGGTGTGGATCCTCGAGAACGACATCACTGACGTGACCTTCGAAACTTTCTCCTACGACATGGAGCGCTTCGGTGTCACCGAGACGATCGATCTGATCAAAGACGGCCGCAATGTGCCTGTGACACAGGAGAACAAACACGAGTATGTCCGGTTGGTCGTCGAATACCGCCTGCTCAAATCGGTCCAGGACCAGCTCGACAAATTTCTAGAAGGCTTCTACGAGATCGTGCCAAAAGATCTCATCTCGATTTTCAACGAACAAGAACTTGAGTTGCTTATCTCCGGTCTGCCCAATATTGACGTCGACGATTGGAAGAGCAATACCGAGTACCACAACTATCAATCCACTTCGCCTCAGATTCAATGGTTCTGGCGAGCAGTCCGCAGCTTCGATCAAGAAGAGCGTGCAAAACTTCTACAGTTTGTGACTGGTACCAGTCGAGTCCCACTATCCGGATTCAAGGAATTAGAAGGCATGAACGGGTTCGCTCGGTTCAATATCCACCGTGATTACAGCAGCAAGGAGAAGCTTCCATCAAGTCACACGTGTTTCAATCGTAAGTGGTCCCCTCTGGCTCACCATTGAGGGGCTTCGCAGCTGACAATTTTACAGAACTTGATCTTCCAGAATACGAGAGTTATGAGCATCTTCGACATCAACTTTACATTGCAATCACCACGGGCAGCGAGTACTTCGGTTTTGCATGATGAAAATGCTATTCGCGTCCTGTAATAGTACTTTCGGCGCATAAGGAGCATTGCTTTGGCGTTGGAGAAATCGGCAAGACTGCGTTGATGAAGAACTGCCGTCTATATGGATGTCCGAGAGAACAGCAGACGCATTGCTCTATGGACTTGGCCTTATATAGCCCTACTACAATGTTCCCACACAGGAGTTCTAGGCGTCCACAGGCGCGCAGAATCCCTACTGCCTCGTCAAGGCGCACGAGACTACATAAATAGCCATGAAAATTGACAGGATGTTCAAAATGTTGTACATTTCGCTCACGACACTGATACACTGCATAATTCTGTACTTTCACTACCAATGCCGATGCGATGTGTTCGGTAACTTGTCAAGTCACGTGTATTAGGCGCTGAGCATGTGGCCGGTTGAACCGACCTCGTGCGAATTTGGCGTGACGTATCCGCCGCATTTGAACGCTGTTGCCAGCGAGTTTTGATTTTGAACTCCTCGGAGGCACGAAGCAATGACGGAATCAGCGGCATCGTATCCAAGGGATATTCGTGTTCGAAATGTCGATCTTTATGTGCGAGGTCAAAAACGGACTGGGAAGCTTCATCTTACTGCGTTTCATCTGATATTCATCTTTGATGTCCCAAACACAAGCAATGACGGTGGGAGGGTAAATACGGATCCCGACATCAAGACAAAATCGAACATCGCATCGCAAGAGACCAAGCCGCGGCCAAGATCGAAGGAAATATGGGTACCATATCCGATGATCAACTCTTGCACTTTGAGACCGAGCCATTTCCAAGGTCAGACTCAAGGCGAGCCGGGTGCTCTTGACCATGACCATGGTCCAGAAGAAACCGCATTTCCCCCAGTGTTCGGCACGAGTGAACCCACGCGACCCTCTACTGACTCTGCACATGCCATCCCACGGCACTCGCTGGGTCACTCATCTCGCCACGAATATGATGCTCCTAACCCAGACCTTGTGGCACAGGATGTGGGGAGATCTCCGACGTTGCGGATACGTCGGCGGGATTTCCAAATGATGGCATTTCACTTTTTGGGCACTTCTTCAGATAAGTCGCCAGATAGTGCAGCTAGGGAGGTGTTCTATTGCCTGCGTGAAAAATGCTGTGTTGAAACAGTCGAATCAATACATGCCTTCCACTTCAAAGCTCCGCAGGAAGAGGCAGGCATCATGCGGCCTCCGTATGATGCCAGTCGAGAATTCTCTCGGATGGGCATCGGTGGCAAGGCAACCGAAGGTCCTGGGAGCGCATGGCGTTTGACGGAGATTAATAAGGACTATGCCTACTCTGCCACTTATCCAAGCATTATCTGTGTTCCGCAGGCAGTCAGTGACAATGTACTCAAGTACGGTGGAGTGTTCCGCTCGAAGGCTCGCATACCTGCTCTATCGTATCTACATCATAACGGAGGAAGTATCACGAGATCTTCACAGCCATTAGTCGGACTACAGAATCGACGCAATCCGCAAGACGAGCGCCTCGTCTCCGCCATATTCGCCAGCCATACTCCTCACTTGCAGTCTCCGGAGGACTCAACTCAGTCAACGCCAACATTAGGGTCCGTCCCGCATGGGGACGGTGAAACGATACTCTCGACTACGCAGGTCGTCAACCACGACCGTGAGAACGCTGAGAACGATGTGGCACCGATAGAGGCTACAAACGAACAGGCACCGATACCTTCGAAGAGGATCTATGGTAGCACTCGACGTAATTTAATCGTCGATGCCCGACCAAAGATCAATGCGCTCGCCAATCGTGCTACTGGTGGTGGCATGGAAGACATTTCGAACTATACCGGATCGACAGGCATGCCCATTGAGAAAATCTTCCTCAACATAGCAAATATCCACGTCATGCGGCAGTCACTCGAACGTGTAGTTGAGAGTTTTGCGAACTCAGACTATCTCGACACGAAGCCCGACCAAGAAATGCTGCGCAAGTCAGGCTGGCTTTCTCACATTTCAGGCATGCTGGAGGGCGCGGACACTGTGGCGAGAGTTGTCGGACTGGGCGGCTCTCACGCTTTGGTTCACTGTTCTGACGGCTGGGATCGGACAGCACAAATATCCGCACTAGCAGAAATAATGCTAGACCCATATTATCGGACATTGGAAGGATTTATCACGCTGGTACAGAAAGACTTCTTGTCTTTTGGTCACAAATTTAATCATCGTCACGGCATTCAGGGCAGCGACAAGTGGTTTGAAATCGAGAACGAGCGTGTCATGCCTTCGCGATCGCGAGACGTGAGCGGGTCTGAGAACAATGCACTCAACAACTTTGGCTCGAAAGCATTGTCAGGCGCAAAGAGCTGGTTTGAGAAGAACCGCACAAATTTATTCCGTCCGTCAAATGGAGGCAAATCCAGTTCTGAAGGATCAGGATCTCGACCACCTTCACCACCCCCGAATCCAGTCCTTCATACCGTTTCTACAAGTGTCAACAAAGAAGAGAAGGAGCATAGAACAGATGTCAAGGAGATAGCACCAATATTTCATCAATTTTTGGATGCTGTCTTCCAGATCCTATATCATCAGCCAAACGCCTTTGAATACAACGAACGGTTCTTGAGGCGATTATTATATCAGTCGTACGCTGGGCAGTATGGCGAGTTCCTTTTCAATAATGAGAAAGAACGAAACTCATATCCTGGGCGTACGCCGTCTGTGTGGCCGCATTTCCTGTCACGGAGACGCGAGTTCACCAATGGAGATTACGCGAAAGACAAGTATGATACCTTGCTGTTGCCTCGCAGGTATTCTTCTGGAGGTAGCATTGAAGTCCGATGGTGGAGCGCACTCTTCGGGCGGAAGGATGAGGAGATGAATACATCACATTCTCTGGCGCCCCCGGATCATGACATGCTGCCAGCGAGGCCGGTTATTGAAAGTCCAATGCTTTCGGGACCAGCCACTATAGATACACCAACCGCGCGCCCGCAAACCAGCAAGCACGCGAAGCTTTCAGCAAACTCTTCAAGTGGGGAAGTGGAACTGTCGAACACCGCAACTGAGCAAAGACACTTTGAATCGCTCGTGGTCCCTGATCAAGGGACATCGAACGTGAGCATATCCACCGCGGAAGCTTCTTCACATCTGAACAGCGCAAATGAACCGAACGATCCACAGGACTTACAAAGTCAAGATATCGGAGGCCAACGCACTGAGGTATCCGGTCAATCGGACAACGAGTACGGCGACCCCCTCGGAGTCATTGCCGGTCAGGCTGTGCCTGACAGCCGACGGAGTAAACTGAACTTCGCGGCATTCGCTCGGGAGAGTGCTTACAGTGAGAGGATGTAGGCCTATTTTTTCTTTCCAAATCTCGTAAGACCCAGAGTAAACGTACCAGAAGCAAGTATGGATCAACAATGCGGCTGAGAATGAATCCAATTGATGTGTTTTTGCGGCCTGCTGGTACATTGACGTTACCCAAACCCTAAGGGTTGTAATGCCAGCGTATCCCCGTTTCCCATAGATTGGCAGGCAATTGCGATCACCTGTTTGACATGTACACCACGTTCTGACGATTTACTGCATTTTCTCAATGGCTGACCAAGAGAAAGAGAAGGCCGAAAAGCTGGCCGCGGCCAAAAAGCGTGTAGGTTGGACCCAAACTCTTGGACGAGACGGTCACCTTGAGCCCTCGTGCGACGACTAACACTTTCGATCAGTTCGAACAACTCAAGAAGGAGCAGAATAAGAAGGGCAAGAAAGGGACTGCGAAAAAGAAGGATGCGGCCGCCGAGGAGTCTGTCGGCGATGCAGAAGAGAATGCTGAATCTGCTGCAGCTGTAGAGCAGGTCGCGGACAGTACTGAGGCAGTTGGCAACGATGGCGACGAAGAGGACCATAAACCCACCGATCAAAGGAAGTCCAGGACCGAATCATTCAGAAGCCCAGGAGTGGAAGTCCAGGAGCTATACCGTAAGCAGGCGGCTAGAATCGAAGAATTAGAGAAGGAGAACAAAACTTTGAAGCAGCAGGAGCAGGACAGCAAGAACAGGACCTCAAAGCTCGAGGAGGAGGTGGAGAGCTTGCGAGAGGACAGCAGCGAGACATTGAAACTGCGCAGCAAGGCAAAAGACGCGGAGCGATTAACAGACGAGCTCGCCGCAGTTCAGCGACAGCTTACACAAGTGCAATTGGCCGCCAAAGCGCCTTCCAGAAAGGTGTCATCGACCGATCCTGACCTAGCCGGACAGCTCGCAAGCAAAACCACCACCATCGAACAGCTTGAGCTGGAAATCAGCAATCTGCGCAACAGCACGTCCGCGCTCGAAACCACCCTGTCGGAGCGCGATGCCACAATAGCCGATCACGAGGAGCGTGCCCGCGAGACAGAAGCAGCCACAGCGGCCGCCAAGCGCGAACTCGATAATCTGAAGGTCTCCATCGCCTTTCCCAGCGACGAGACCAAAGCCGCCAATGAAGACCCCGAGGCATTGACTAAGCGGATTACCGTCCTGGAGTCCGACTTGCGTTCCGCCCAAAGCGACCTCGAAGCCGCCGCACAACGCGCCTCCAGTCTCGAGCAAAAAATCGAAGCCCTAACCAAACTGCACCGGGATGCCCTCGCGACCAGCCTGGCCAAAGACCGCGAACTAGGCGATCTGCGCACGCAGCTCAAGCGCAACGACAAGCCCTCCCACGTCCGCGACGCATCCGATTTCGAGCTCGGCGACGAAGAGACCGAAGCAGGCGCCCTACAAGCCCGCATCCGCGCGCTCGAGGCCGAGAATTTCGACCTGCGCCGCGGCGTATGGCGCGACCAGCGGGCGGCTCTGCAGCCGGGAATGCACGACGATGGAGATGAGCACGGGTACGAGGACGTCGACCTTAACGGCCCTGGTCAGGGATCTGGTGGCGTGGGCGGTTATGCTGCGGGTCAGCGGCACAGCACTCTACAGGATGTCATAACTTCTGGGATCAGTGCATTTACCGGTAGGCCGAGAGAAGGGGCAAGGCCAGGACAGACACATGAGCGCAAGCCGTCATTGGGTTTATTGAGTGATGATGGGTTTGATGAGGAAGCATTTAGACTCGCACAGGAGGAAGATGCGAAGCGACGCGTGGAACGTGTCAAGGAGGTCAAGCGTAGCCTGGAGCAGTGGCGAGGGTGGCGTATGGACATTGCAGATCTACGCCGGAATGGCATCGGCGGACTCCGCGAGGTAGGTCCGGTCTTCGAGATGTAAAGATACGTCTCTGGCCAGTGCGGAGAAATCAATGAATTCGTCAATCGTATTCTCTATCTAGGCCAGTGAGATACACATCTCGGGGGTGAGACCTCTTCAATATCCTCCCTCAGCGACACACCGAGGGTGATTGCGCTGTTTAGATGAGCTGCTCAAAGGCACGGTTCAAAGGCGAGCGGAGCGGCTTGACGTCCTTGTAGAACTCGATGGTGGCAACGGCACGCTTGGTGATGCCCTCAGGAGTGAACTCGAATTTCTGTTCGCATGTTAGTTTGTTTCGTCTTCTCACACCGGGAAGACGCAGTACGTACCTTGTAGACATCGAGGTAAGGGCCGGAGGCACCGAATCGGTTAAGACCGAATTGCTCATGTGAGTACTTCTCCCAGCCCAGAGTGCTCATGACCTCGACACTCAGAGTGGGGATGCCGTCGGGGATCACCGAAAGCTTGTAGTCCTTAGGCTGCGAGTCAAAGACCTCGAAACAAGGAAGCGAGACCACACGAGCCTTGATGCTCTTGTGCTCGGCAAGGTACTTGACGGCCTCCAGGCAGAGTGATACTTCAGATCCAGTGGCGACAAGGGTAATCTGAGCCGCCTCGTCCTCAAGTGCAACGTAGCCACCCTTGATCGCACGCTCGAGCGTGGAAGCCTCGAGTTGTGGCAGGTTCTGGCGAGTAAGTGCAAGAATCGAGGGTGTGCCGGTGTTTGTGAGAGCGACGTAGTATGCAGCGGACGTCTCGTTACCATCCGCAGGACGCCAGACCATCATGTTAGGCAGGGCGCGGAAGTGTGCCAGAACCTCAATCGGCTGGTGGGTAGGGCCATCCTCACCGAGACCAATGGAGTCGTGAGTTGCAACGTAGATGACACGCTGGTGTGAGAGTGCCGAGAGACGCACAGATCCGGCCGCGTATGAGACGAAGTTGAGGAAGGTGCCGCCAGCTGGGATGATGGTACCGTAGGCCGACAGGCCGTTCATGATACCAGCCATAGCGTGCTCACGTACGCCATAGCGGAGGTAGCGACCACTGTAGTCGCCAATGCCTGAGTTTGGCGGCTGGAAGTCGACGGCCTTCTTCCATCGGGTGTTGTTCGAGCCAGTCAAGTCAGCGGATCCAGACAATAATTCGGGCACTGCCTCGTAAATTGACTCGAGCACTGTCTCCGAGGTTTTGCGAGTAGCAATGGCTTTGTCGGTGGGCTTCCACACGGGAAGCTTCGTCTGCCAACCCTCAGGGAGCTTGCCAGTGAGACGTCGCTTCAGATCGGCCGCAAGGTCTTTGTGCTCCGCGCTGTACTTCTCGAACAGCTCATCCCACTCTTTCTCGGCGGCCGCGCCTTCGTCAGCGTGCTTCTTGTACGAGTCGTACACCTCCTGGGGCACTACGAAGGACTCCTCCGGGTTGAAGCCGAACTTCTTCTTGACCTGCTTGCAATCATCCTCTTTCAAAGCGTTGCCATGCACGCCTCCGGTACCCTGAAGCAGAGAACCGAAGCCGATGGTGGTGGTGAGTCGGATCATGGAGGGTTTGTCCTTGACCGCCTTGCACTTGGCGATGGCAGCTTCGATACCCTCGTAGTCGCTGTCACCGTCCTTGACCCACTCTACGTGCCAGCCGTATGCCTCGAAGCGCTTCGTGACGTCCTCGGTGAATGCGCACTTGATGTCACCGTCTAGAGGGATGAATATCAGCAAACGAACTCCATAGTCTGGCCAAGTAGCCCGGCTTGCTCACTCACCGATGGAAATGTGGTTATCATCGTAAACAGCAATAAGGTTTCCGAGTTGCAAGTGTCCAGCAGTAGACGCAGCCTCACTAGCGATACCCTCCATGGCACATCCATCACCGAAGAAAACGTAGGTGTAGTTGTTTGAAAGCTCGAAGCCAGGCTTGTTGTAGATGGCAGCAGTGTGAGCCTGGGCAATGGCAAGACCGACGGCATTGGTGAAACCCTGACCGAGAGGGCCGGTGGTGACCTCGATACCAGGTGTGTCGTGTGCCTCGGGGTGACCGGGAGTGATGCTGTCGAGCTGACGGAAAGCCTTGAGATCATCCATGCTGATGCCGTAGCCGAACATGTGCAGGAGAGCATACTGTAGCAGGCAGCCATGGCCGTTGGAGAGGACGAAGCGATCGCGGTTGAGCCAGTTGGGGTTCTTTGGGTTGAAAGTCATGAACTTGTTGAAGAGAACGTGAGCCACGGGTGCCATTCCCATGGGCGCACCCGGGTGACCCGAGTTCGCCTTGAATGTCGCATCGACCTGTGAAGGAGAGTCGTTAATCAGCACGTTTGCTATCTAAGCCATATGACCAAGTCGCAGCCACAGTCTCGACGCGTATTCTTCTCGCCCAGTGTGTCAACGATCGCTCGTCCGACCAACAGGAGCGGCATGGGCCACGCGATCAAATCTACAAACCAGCTCTCTGCTGTGAACGGTTCCAGGCTCGCGGCAAGTGGACTTACTGCGAGCAATCGGATGCTGTTGATGGCGAGGTCGTCCAGCTTATCGTACCCCATCTTGTGTGAGTTACAGACGGGTAAGATAGAAGAGTTGGTGGAAGGAGATTGAGGTGTTTGTGGTGGGTTTATGGAGACAAAGAGGAAATACTTCACCTCTGATATTTGTTGAAAGGATAAGAGAGGAGGCGTGACGAGAAGATTACTGTACAGCTAGCTGCCCAGTGGAGAAGCAAAGACGTCGAAATTTTGCCCGCGCTCACTATTACCGCCGACACTACCTACATACGTCAGGGAAGTCCGCGGACGACTTTTTGCTAGAGCGTTGAGACAACCTGCCCTTCTCAGCTCTCCCTCCCTCAGCCGGTGGGATTGATGATGGATGGTGGGGTAGAACAACAATGATCAACAATCAACACTTCTCACAGAGGCAGTGAATCCATCAAGTTCGCCGCACGTCCTGCATGTACCGTGGTCGTACGGGAGTCCTCTGGGTAACAAAATGCTATCTCATCGATTCCTTCCCTTACCACCGAAGCTTCGTTGCACGTCCTGGCCGCCATTCACGACTTCACCCAGGCAGGCTGTCGGTGGCCATTGTGGGCGAATGAGCTGCGTATCGTACGTAGCGTAGGATCACATACAATGCCGCACGCATTTCAATACGAACGAGGGCGAACTCGCCTGTCTGCCCGCCTACGCCGGAGTCGTCGGAAGTGCTATTACAGTAGATCGCTTACTCCACCGCTTTCTACAGTATCTCCGATCCTGGGAGGTGCCCGTAGTGGTATGTTCGTACAACCAAGGACGGAGATGCAAGCGGACGCTGACTGTCCGCCCGTGGGACAATTTGCACCGGCGTACAATTTCGTCTGGTGGCTCAATTAGACATGCGTGTGGGAATTTTGCGGGAACAGCCTCAGGGCAGTGAAATGTGTTATTACTGTGGACACGACTGTTCAATGACTGCCCCCAGGTGTAGTGGTGTTCGTGATGCCCTGCGCTGGAAGAAAGCGCGGGGCCAATGGCGGGGAGGAACAAGGTAGAGGGGTATTCTAATGATGACTCTGCCCACGCACTTCCTTCACTGCTTCTGCGTCACATCGTCATCGTTCATTCCCGCGGAGATTTGTCGGGAGAATACCAGCTCTCAGGCATGCCGCGCAAATCCGTAACAGCCGCAACGGAATTCCGGAGAAGCCGCATGACATGCCTCAGGCATCAGTCGCGGAGCAACGTGCACAACAGTCCTGCACATCCAGAGCTTGCTGCGAGCGATAACAATCACAGAATCAATTTGCTTGACGCATCATGCCAGGCAAGCACCAGCTATCTTTGTGGCGTTGGAGAGCTGTTGGTGATAGTTTGTCCGCGGCCTGCACCGGCACATCCGGCTTCTCCGCGCAAATCGTCGGCCCATGGGCCACCTTATTTCTGGAGCACAGATGGTTGCATATGGGACGTCTTGAAACGCGTCACTAGCACATAAACATACCGTCGTTGCCTCATCGCAATGAGAGCTGAGAATGCGGGTGCAGCACACACAATTGCCTCTATAACAACATCCTTCGCGTAACATCGACCAGTCCTCGAGTTCTCATTTAGATGAGCGCTGGTACCGCCGATACAAATTTGTGGCCTCAGGCACCACGATCGTTGCCATGGAAGCGACACTAGTCTATCTGTAATCAAGCCGGCCAGAAGAGCCTTGGAAACGAACCACGGACGGCATTGATGCGGAGATCCACAAGGCTGTATAATCGCATCTTAGCTGCATAGTCGTCGAAAGCCTGGACCCGAGCAGATCTTTCGCACTGTGCTCGACAGATTCACAGCAGTGCAACCTCACATTCAAGATGGAGTCCCTCTTGTCGCTCTCGTTTGATAACATATCCTCTCGCGACAGTACCAAGATCCGCAAGGGCCTGAGGCAGATTGAAGGTCTACTCGCACAGATATGCATATCGAGACAGACATCGCGATCGCCCAACAAGCGGAAGTCGTCGGTCTTGGGCGAGAAACAACACGGCTCACCGAAACAATTGGGTGAACTCCAATACGATCCTGCATTCAGAGAGTTCTTCAGGCTACAAGAGGGGTTTCAGTGGAATGGTGAGTAGGAAGCGCACGCGCAAATTATAACAGAGTACTGACGAGTGTCCCAGTCGCGTCTCGCCTGGTCGCAACTCTCGAGAGACTGCTCGGCATGGGAAATCCGTCACAAACCGATCTCCTCATACTATCCGCGCTCGACCTTCTTCAAGGAGTTCTGCTTCTCCACCCGCCCTCTCGCTGCCTCTTCAACCGCGAAATCTACATGAATCTGATCCTCGACCTGCTTGACTCGGCCAATCCACCAAAGATCCAATCACAGGCGCTTCTCGTTCTTGTCGCGGCCTTGTTAGATGCGCCGATAAACACTCGCATGTTCGAAAGCATTGATGGGCTTCTGACAGTCACCAGCCTATTCAAGAGTCGGTCCACAACAAAAGAGGTGCGGATGCGCTCGCTAGAGTTCTTATACTTCTATCTCATGGCTGAGGCGCCTTCACCACCACCTCACAGCGCTAGCGCACCAAATACGGCGGTCTTGCAACGGCGCGCGAGTAAGAGCGACAGTGGGCTGGCCCGGCACATCAAGACTCATTCCAGCGACAGTGCGGGGCTGGTGGACGACCAAGAGGACTCCAATATTCGATCCACGGAAGAGAAGCAGGAGCTGTTGAGTCAATATCTCAGCAACGTTGGAGAGCTGGTGCAGGATCTCCAGGAAAGTGCGCCGTTGAGCATGATTGCTGCTTGATGAGCGACACCGACGACTCAAGTGCTTGTTGTACAGTAATTATTCATCACGATCTTGGGAACGACACACGTGGAAAATGGCGTTGGCTTGGGTTTGGGTCGCTTTTCGACTTACGGGGTTGCGCTGGGTTGTGATTTTGGGATTTGACTTTTTAGCGAGCGCAGCGTTTCGTGCCCAGGTGGGTCTTATTATTACTACTCTCGTGTTGGAGCTTATCAATTTTTAATCTCGGAAGTATAATTTCCGTCCCAATCGCGATGTCTTCTTGTCGTCATCACATTATCAACACGGTCCAGGAATGATGTATGATCGGCGAGCACGCATGCAGCTCCCATATGTTTTTGTTGTTTTTCCAGGTGTGCTCTGACATGAATTTCCGAGATTAGCAGCATTGAGGGACCCGCTCGGGCGTGATTTAAGCTCAGCCAATCACTTATTGTGCTCGGCGGGAGAAGTGCCCGATGAGAATCCGCTAGCGCATTTGCACAAAGGTTTAGCCGCCCACCTTGAATCGTTCAACGGCTCACCAGCCCAGAAACGTGACTGATGGAATGGACCCGGCGGCTTTGCTGGGCGCGTAAATCAGAAAATAGTCTACGCAATGGCTAGTCATCACTATTATGCTATCCACGATCGCAGCCTTGTCCACGCGGTATTTGTATGAAATGGCGTGGGCTCCCAGTATTGCGACCTGCTACGGTCTTTCGACTACTGCCTCACGGTTTGTTGCATCTCAACGTGTTTCTTTGCATTCCTTTCCTTGTGTCAGAGCATTTCTCTTCGCATTTCGATCATTTGCAACAACGAGCATAGCTGCTGGTCAGCTCGAAACAACATACTACCCGAAAATAATCAAGAAAAGACCAGTCCACGATTTCACAATCGTAATCGCATTTACAGAAGAGATATATATCGAGATAATCAAAGATCGAGGCAAAGATGCCGGCATATCAACAGCCACCGCAACTCTCAGCGAGTCTGCCAGGCATCCTCAGACAGAGGGCATCAGGATCGACCCTTGTCCCACAAATAATCAAAAACACACTCCCGACTTGCGCGCAGACGTGTTTGTCATCATATATACCGCAGCTGTTTCCCAATTGCGCCACAGATGATATCACCTGTCTATGCACAGGATATGGTTCTCAAGATTACACCTTGGGCGAGGTGTCATATCTTTGCGTACAGACCGGATGTCAGTCCGATTCTTCAGGTCTCAGCACACAGGTGACGGCCTATAACATCTGCAAGAATCAAGCTGGGTCTGTTCCCAACAAGCATACAGTCCTCGTGCTTCCGACTGCAACCACCCTTTCCCCAACCTCGACAACCACACAGACCGTGCTCAGCTCGGGGACAACGACCACGGGTGGTCCGATGACGACAACAAGTGCCGGAAGTAGTCAAATTACATCGAGTGCGCTACCGGGATCAGGTGTGGGAGCAGGGTGGACAGCGACGACAACGGTGACAGTTTCCGACTCTGCGGCAACAGCGACTGGTGCGAGTGGTCAGCATTCTGGCGGCTCGACCTCTTTGAGCAGTGCTCAAGCAGTTGGGGTATCCATAGGAGCCTTCGCAGGTCTGTTCCTTCTCGTGCTACTGATATGGTGTTGCATATGTTGCCGTAGAAGGAAGCCTGCGAAGGAAATGTCGAAGCGCAAATCCTACGATTCCTCGGCTGAAGTGCCTCGTCGGACCTGGAAACCGCGATATGGCGTGACCCATATACGCGCGTCGCTCAACATCCGACAACCTCAAATGGCCGCGCAAGAATCGGGGATGCCTACAGAGCCATGGGTAGCCCAGCGAACTCCCCGAGGTGCCAGCAGCAAGAACCGTGTTGAGCCCATTCGGAACATGCGCCCGGATTCATCCATGAACAGAACAGCATCGCGTTGGAGCCACAAGAGTGCAGACAGCAATGGTTCCGTATCGCATCTGCTCCCAACGAAACCTTCTGCAGCAAAAATCAATACGCCTTCGCAAGAGACTTCCCACGCCCAGTTGCCCGCTGCCCCGGGTGTACCACCGAAATCACCCAAAATGACGGCCAATGCTTATACCCCCACCACAGTCTTCGAAGAAGACCAGAGCGCTTTCGTTCCGGGACTTCCGGCAAATCCAGCGATCGGACTTCGGCCTTTCAATAAATCCGAGCCACCAAGGATGCCACCCGTCCGACCCGATCGCTCACAGCAGCCGCCTCTGTCCCTTGATATACCGAAGCCCCTCTCGAAACCGGTCGCCAAGCCAGTCGCTATGCCGTGGCCAGTTGCCCCAGCCCCAGCACCAACACAATCGTCTTCGTCAATAATAGTGATTTCACAGCCCGCGATTCCAGCACCAATTACACCGCCGATGCCAAAGACGACGCCTGTCATTGTAACTCACTCGGTAGCCACCGCAAATCACAGATCCGGCAGGTCACCGCCCATGAGATCCACATCTCCTGAAGAGGACCACTCGCAAACACGTCGCGTACTCCCGCCTGCATTGACCATCAACAAGGTTGCGACTAGACAGCGAGCTGTGCGGTCATCTACTGCCTCAGATACCTCATTTGAAAGCATGGGCGACGATGAGCCCACCCCACCCGAACAAGAAAAGCATCTTACTCCGGTCGCAGAGATGTCTCCGATTACAGCGGTTCGCTATCCCAAGGTGCCCCGAAGCACCAACCAAGCAGTGTCGAGATCGCCCGCTCAGGCAGCGCCGGCTCGACCAGTGCACAACGAAGCGTACAGCACTTCCACACCGGGCTTCAGCCCCTCGAGAGTCTACCCGACGACGCCAACCACATCCGCTGTTGGAGACCGGCAGGCCTGGTCTCCAACCGGCACGACTTTGATCCGCAGTCAACGCTCATGGACAAAGGGCGATGATGTCGCGATCCGTACGCAACCCACGAGCCCGCTCCACAGCTACAATCAACGCAGCCCGACGATGAATATGAGGGTCGGTTCGCCCGCGTTAAGTCAGAGCTCGAAATTGGCTCCGACCTTGATGAGGCAGGGAGATGACCTGTACCTCAGCGTCAAAGTCGGTTCGCCTGTCCAGACCGAATTTCCTCGGCAGGCGCGCCCGCCGAATGTGATATGATACCCATTTCTCTGATGTAATTTATGTATGAAGATTCCCACAAATCGATTGAATTTGACCTCTGCCCTTCGATTGTTAATTTGCCGTTATCGCACAGAGATGTCATTGTAGATCGTTGAGAGAATCCGTCTCAATAATATATGAGCATGCGGTGAGCTATCGAAGTCAGATTCACGTGATATGCCCGCTTCGCGCGCCAAGATTTTGCCCGCCGCCCTCACACTAGTTGCGAAAGACGGAATTCGAGATCCTAGAGAATATTTTTGATCCACAATCAACCACAATCGCCAACGCAGGATAACCACTTCTTTGCGTTCTCGACAGATATCTCCGACACTCAAAATGTCTACCGCCACTGTATGTATTGCGCTGTGCTGCCCACCGACGCCTTGAATGGCTGTTTCCGGTATAAGAGCAGTAGGCTAAGTGAGATTTTGATATAGAAGAAGACGAGCGCCGGTGCCGCGAAGAAGGGTGCCAAGGGTACGACCAAGAAGGTAAGTTGCTGAGCAAAGAGGTCCAGCGCGAGAGCGACAGACAACGAAATATACGGGAGCCAGTGATGCTAACTCGGACGGTCTACAGTTCATCATCAACGCTTCGCAGCCCACCCAGGACCGTATCTTCGACCCTTCGGCCTTCGCAACCTTCCTCCAGCAGCGCATCAAGGTCGACGGCCGCACCGGTAACCTCGGCGAGACCATCACCGTCACCAACCTCGGCGATGGCAAGATCGAGGTCGTGGCCCACCAGGACTTCAGCGGTCGTTACCTCAAGTACTTGACCAAGAAATTCCTCAAGAAGCAGCAGCTCCGCGACTGGCTGCGCGTCGTCAGCACGGCCAAGGGCGAGTACAGCCTCAAGTTCTTCAACGTTGTTGGTGACGAGGCCGAGGACGATGACGAGTAAACGAGGAATGGGAAGATGCTGGTCATTTCCGGTCATGAGACGGCAGGAAGGATTTCAATTTGTAGCTGGTCTGTACAATGGTTTTTCGTGTTGATAGCCCTCCTTACGGAGTTGGTGGTACGCACTATGGACGTGAGTCGGATATAATACAAATCGCTTCTACCAATTCATCGCGCATGTCAAACTATCTTCTGCCACCCCTTCGACTTTGCACCCCATGCTTGAAACCACCTCGGCCGCCGCGTCCTTTGTGTATACCTCCGCCGGGAGACCCTCGCTGTTTGTCCATACCCAGACCTCTCCTTTGAGGGGTCTGCTTGCCCGCAGGACTCCTCCCGCCATCTTGCTTCTTCTTGGCCGCGACAAAATCATCTTCGTCGACTTCCATTTCGTCGCCACTGCGATTATTCTTGAATTTGAGCTTGCCACGTTGTCCTCGTTGTGGAGCATCTTTGCCCTTGATTGCGTTGACGTATGCGTTGATACCACCCTCAATCGTTCCGTCGCCAGGCTCCGCCCCATTCATCATGCCTTGGTCGTCAAAGTCCATCACATCATCATCGGAATTGTCGTTGAACACGAGCTTGCCATCGAGGTCTGTCTTTGCACTCTTCTTCTTGACGTCAGCGACTGTGCGACCCTTGACGGGTTTGCTCGATGACACGTGAGCCAGAACCTTACGATCTAGCAGATCCAGAGGTTCGTCATCATCTTCGACAATATATTGCTTGCCGCCCTTCTTGGCCTTCTGACCCTTCGCCACTGATCTTGCGAGTACGTCATCGTTTGAGATGTCTGAATCGGAATCCGACTCCGAGCCATAGACAGCTTGATCGTATTCGCTTTCGAATTTGCCCTTTCGTCGCTCGGCTGGGTCGGCATCCTCTTCGTCGTCATCTGCGTTGTCGCGCTTCTTCTTGCGGCGCTCCCGCATCTTGCGGATGTTGGCGATGAGTTTCCGGTCTGTCTCAGGTGTGTATCGTTCAATCAACTCGACGCCAAATCTACGGATGAGACGCTCGAAAATGTGCTTGACCTTCGCCTTGAAGTGGGCTTTGTGCTCATGACTCCAGACGATAAGGTTTGGAACCAGGGTCGGTAGTGAAGGGAGGACCATCTCGTTAGGCAGAGAGATGATCCAAACTTTGACGAAGCCCAACACCGATCGTACAATCTCGCGATTGTTGGAGGTCAGGAAGAGGTCCATTGTCTGCACCAGATCGCGAACGGTCGACTCTTGAACTCGACCATGGAACTCATAAAGCAAACGAGTAAGAGCGGTAATAGAGGCAGAGATCATGTGAGGCGTTGAGCCTGCGAGACCAGCAGACACCATGGTGAAATATTCCTCGAGGCTCGCAGGTACTTCCGGCGCGTCTGCAGACATGTGAGGGACCTTGGCATTGATGACCACACCACCCTCTTCCATCTTCTCGCCCATGAGCACAAGCAGGTCAAATGCGGCTGTGCGAGCCTTTTCATTCACCTCTTTGGCGCTAATCACAACTTCAGATATGATGGATGGTATGAAATGTAGATCCGACTTTGGGAGTCCAGGAATGATCTCGGCTATCGAGGCAAGCCGGTCTCTGCGCGATGGTGCTGCCACCTTGTCGGCTGCACCCAGCAAGAGCTGCTGAAGATCGGCACTGCGGTCGTTCAACGCTTGACGACCGGTTTCTGACTCGGACAGTCGGGGAATGAGCTTGTACGCTTTCTTCTGCAATTGAGCATCGTCTGGCTTATTGACAATGTTCGCGGCCATGCTGAAGAGTCCAGCAAAGCTGTCCCGAGGCAAGTAGGTGGACATAGTGATGATCAGGTCCATGAGTGTATGCGATGTTGGCGGCATCTTGTCACGAGCTGCTTTATTGGAAGGCTGTTCTTTCTGCTTATCGGACTGCTGCGCGGCATCCTCGCCGAGAGCTCCCTCCAACGCGGCGGCGACACGTTCGAATGTCTCCAACAGCTCTTTCTCAGGTGTAATGCTGAGGTACGCATTGATGCACTGCAGGAGATTGCCGCGATTGTGTGGTAGCGTTTGACTGTAGACATTGAACAGCACAGCCAGCAAGTTTCCTGCCAGTCCAGCAAGATGTGCAATGTTCTTTTGTGCTTCTGCCTTCGAAACTTGGCCTTGTGCGATCAAGTTGTCGTCGCCTGCAAGCTCTGTTATGGCCTTGTTGGTCTCGACAAGGTTTTGGAGGGCCTTGCAGATGTCTGATCTCATCTGTGGCTGCTGGTATAAAAGATTGCTGAGCATTTCCGCAAAGCTCTGATCAAAAGCTTCGCGGAGATCAAGCGGAAGCTGACAGTAACCAGGGAGGCACGACCAGATCTGGCTGACCACAGTTTCGAATATCTTGATCTCCATTGTTTTTTCCGCATTGCCGAAATTGAGCACTCGCTGAAACATCATCTCGCTCAGAGGTACGAGCTCTGCTCGGAAATGGGCCAACCGCGTGTTGCTCGCAGCATCTCGCAGAATCGGTAGAAGCCAGGCTCGACCAGGGCCACCCTTCACATTGTTCTTACCAAGGTTGAGAGGCAAGATAGCGAGAGCATTGTCCGCGCCCATGGACTTGATGCCCGACGCTATTACTGCGTCCGCTTCTTTCTTTCCCGCAAAAGAATCATCGCTGCGAAGCTCACCAACGGTCTTGAAAATTCCGTCCAGGAGAGGATGGGATCGCCATTTTAGCACATCAAAAGCTGCGCTGATGACGTTGAAAACCTCCATCCACGAAGCTTGGTACTTCACTGTGAGGAGCTCACGCAGTGTTTTGCACACCTTTTCAAGTGTCTTTTCGTCCATAATCGAGAGGTCTAGAATGACAGAATCTGGCACGCAGTTATGCAGTAACGATATAAGACATTCCGATGCGGAGACCCTGATATTGTGCGAAGAAGATGCTAGGAAGGTAGCGATTTTGCTGAAAAGTGCCGGCAGCTTATCAAATGTCTCCTCTGGTTCGATCTGCGCTGATACGTCGTAACCGCGGCTCAGGACTGCAATCCATGGAGGTAAGAGCTGAGAATCATTCTGGGAAGGTTGCAACTCTGTGATGACTTCAAGCAACCGGGGCAACTTCGCGGAAGACACCTCATCAGCCAGACTAGCGAAGATGATTTCAAACACCTCAAACGCAGTCATGGTCAAGAACTCATTGCTGCCCCGAGAGATATTCAGCAAAATCTCGCACAGCGCATCGATTCTTCTGCTTGGCCAACCATTCTGGGCAGAAGAGACAGTCTTGACCAGCTGGAGCGCATGCATCAGAGTGGGGTCGTTTTGTCCATCATCCCGCTGCTTTTGTTTCTTCTTTTTAGCATTCGCCTCTTCCGCAGCTCCTTGCAATTGGCGCAATGCCGCTTCAGCACACATCTCTGCCGCAGGGTGATCCAGTGAAGGCGAGGGTGGTGGCATTTTCAAGACCTGACTTAGAGCATCTTGCGCCCTCTTTCGAACCTTTGGCCTGGGATCTGTCGCGAGTTTCAGTAGCCCTCCGACAGCGCCGCGAGGACTGCTTTGAGATTGTGGAAGGGCCCATGCTTGCGAATCTTGTGCAATGAGTAACGATTCCAGGCATCCAATACCCGCCCGCAGGAGAGGTGCCTCAGCTTCGGGCAGGGTCAGAGCCGGCGCAAGACTGACAAGGATTTGGGGAAATTTCGACCTTAGAAGTGGCGCAGGCACATCCGAAGTGACCAGGTCAAGCAAGTACACGACTGAATAGGCGAACTCCTTATTAACAATGCCCTTTTCTGCATTGATGTATTGCCCAAGCACTGACAACAAAGCGGCGAAGTATGCTGTTGCTGTCGGTTCGCTCTTTTGACTTCGCAGAATATCCTCGATGGCGCTGAGCACTACCGATGTTTGCTGCTGATTTTGAAGCTTCGGCGACGAGCGGATCTTGTCCAGTCTCTCATGAAGAGACGTCTGGGCGTCTGCCATTTTTGCTCACCGATGCCAAAAAAGAATCCGGAATTCGTTGACCGACGCTCACCTGTGCAAAATTTCAAGATTTTGGTGCGGAATCAATCCGCGATAAGCCCGCTGTCAGGGTCGGAAGGAGTCAGGGTGTTTCACAATTTGGCACGGCGTTTGAAGAAGAGTTTCAGAGCAGGCTTTTCCTATCCTCTCTGTTCACCTATTATCATATGGACAGATCTTTCAATACAATCTTAGCTGTGCGGCGATAACTTCTGATAGTCCCAATTTATCTGTGCCTCGACCAATTGCATCAAGCTTTTGACGGATAATTATTTGAAGATTCAATTGGCATCTAAAATCGGATGATATTACAAGGTAGCATACGCGTCAGCGTCAGGCTTGTTCAGGATGCCGGTGATGTAGGAGCCTGTCCCTTCTGTGCTTGAAGCTTCTCTTCAAATTTGGCGAATTCCTGGAGGGCGATCTCTTCTTCCTGGTCAAGGACCTGCTGGACACCCTTAACCTCCTCAATGTAATGCATCAACATGCTCTCAATTCCATTTTTGAGTGTGACCGTGCTGCTATCGCACGTGCGGCATGCTCCACGTAGTTTCAGCATGACCTGTCCATCATGAAACCCCCGGAATTCAATATCGCCGCCATCCTCCTGAATTGCTGGTCGAATACGCGTCTCGAGCAATTCCTGGATCATGCCCACTATCTCTTCGTCCTCTGGCGCAAATGTTGGTTGTACGTCACTTGCGCCACCCTGACCGTCCTCGCCCGTCTTGTTCTCCACAATGTTTACAATCGGCGATCCATTGGTGACCACTTCGGTGATGAGACTGAAAACCTCTGGTTTGACATGCGCCCAATGTGTGCCGCTGTCCTTTGTGACAGTAATGTAATCCCGACCATAGAAAACACTTTTTACGCCCTCCACATTCATCAGGTTTGCGGCGAGCGGCGAAGGATGGGGCGGCGCGAGCGTTGATCGCGGAGTCATGTACTCGAGGAACGACGATGGAAAGCCTTCGGGCAAGACATTCTGATTCGGAAGGAATTTCAGAGCGTCTGCATTCGGGGTTTCTTCAGTCTGTATGAAGATGCTTCGCTTGCCTTGCGCGGCAGTTATCGATGGGCTCGCTAGTGACTGAGTATGTGAAGCAGGGAGCGGGCGACGATGTCGATTTGACGCACTCAAGGCTGTTGATCTGGGAGCACCACCGAAAGATCGAGACTGCCATCCCACCGAGCGTTGCGCAAGTCGATTTGTCGTGGAGCCTAAGGTAGATGTGGGACGAGGCAGTGCTCGTGACAAGCATCGCACGGCGGAATTTGAAGACATCAGGCCTAGCTCTGTGATGTTGAATTTGGCAGGGAGTTGCGCGCAGGTCAATTCTGGAGTCGCGACAGATTGATGAAAATTGTAATGCGTCGACAGAAGTGAAGGACGTTGAGAATGAACAACCTTGACATGGCGTCAGAAACGGCCCTGGAGCGTCGGATGATCAGGTAAGCAGAATTCGGCAAGGCAATAGTTGGACTCAATCCCCACGTGAGAGGGCAGAAGGCGCTCGGGAAAGACAAGAGCGCCCGACGCCACGGCCCTGAACCTCCGCCCTTGAGTTTTCGCCCATCAATTGGCCAGCGCGGGGCAGCGGTGTTCAATCCATGACGAAAGTGTTCGAGCAGAAGATGCGCGTTCGCAACAGACACCTGCTTTGAATTCATCACCAGCATTGGCAATCTGGTTCTCAAACTCTCTACCATTCTACTTCTCTGCATGATGTCTTGCCTCTTCTTCAGTTCAACGCCATCTTTCACGCGTCTAAAATCTTTCGATCGTCTGATCAATGATGGCATGAGTCAATGGAAGCGGCCCGAGGTCAACCAAATTTGTCGACCTCAGTAGCTATCGATAGTCAACAACGGCTCGGAAATCTGTTTATGAGATTTTCCAAAAGACCCTGCAGCGGAAACGTCATGATCTGTATCGGTGGAATAATAGGGACCACGTACCTCGAGCAAAAACAGTACAAGTAATAAGATCTATCATTCGGCTGATGGAAGGGTGGTGTGCGCACCTGGCGCCGCCGTGTTCGGTTCGATTGGGTCGATTACTCGTTCAGCGGACGAGGTGGGGCATGTTTTTACAAGTGCGACATGCTTCTACCGCCGCACGCCGCTAGACTCAGCGCAGCCATTGACTCACATGAGTTGATGGATCGATTTTCTTTCGCTCTCGTCTCTTCTTTGCCTCAATGTAATTCTATTCCCACTGCACACTCCTTCTGCCGTTAACAACAAGTGCGACTTCAATTGAAGTTCTTGTCAACTCGTTCCATCTTGGTGACAACTTGATCCTTCGATCTTGATCACTCCCAATACCAACAAGCATGGAGGGAATCAAGAAAGCTTTCGCTCGTGCGAAGAGCGAAGGGCGACCTGCTCTCGTCACATACACAACAGCCGGATATCCCACAATCGCGCAGACAGCCGACATCCTTCTGTCAATGGAAGCTGGTGGTGCCGACATCCTCGAATTGGGCACTCCATTCACCGATCCGATTGCAGATGGACCGACCATTCAGACTGCCAACACCCAGGCGCTGGTCAATGGCACAACAACCACATCGTGTCTTAATATCGTGAGGGAGGCGAGGAGCAGGGGCCTCCAAGCGCCGGTGTTGATGATGGGGTACTACAACCCTTTGCTAGCATATGGCGAAGAGCGGATACTGCAAGATGCTAAAGCGGCGGGTGTCAATGGCTTCATCATGGTTGATCTACCCCCGGAAGAGGCTGTCCGATTCCGACAACACTGTACAAATTATGGCCTGTCCTACGTACCCCTCATCGCCCCTGCCACCAGCGAGAAGCGGATGAAGCTTTTGTGCAGCATCGCCGACTCTTTCATCTACGTCGTCTCTCGTATGGGCGTCACTGGAGCGACAGGCTCCCTGAGCTCAGGTCTACCTGCGCTTTTGGAAAAGGTGCACAGCTTCTCGGGAGGGATTCCCGCCGCAGTCGGATTCGGTGTCAGCACAAGAGAGCACTTTGTGGAAATCGGCAAGGTTGCTGAAGGTGTGGTAATCGGCAGTCAGATCATCAACACACTCAAGAACGCGCCAGAGGGACAAGGACCGAAGGCTGTAGAGGATTACTGCTACCAGATCACTCAGCGAAGAAACCCTCGCGCATCTCCAAACGGCACAACAGATGGTTCGGCGAATGGGCACTCTATCTCTACCGCAGCGAATCCCGGTGGAGACGGAAGCGGTTGGATCGCCAACCCCAATGCAGAGACTGCCAAGACGATATCCACCGCAGATCCGACTAAGCAGCCAGCAAGCGAGAGCCTCCCACAGAATGGCACAGTGCACGTTGACGGCGTGATCAAGGAGAGCAGCGGACCAGGGCTCGCTGATCAACTTCAAGCTCTCAACACAGATGAAAAAGATCCTGATTTGTTGCCTTCCCGTTTTGGTGAGTTTGGCGGTCAATATGTGCCGGAGTCCCTCATGGATTGTTTGGCACAGTTGGAGAAGGGGTTCAACGATGCTCAGAACGATCCCAAGTTCTGGGAGGAATTTCGGTCATACTATCCTTACATGGGACGCCCATCCTCGCTACACAAAGCCGAAAGGCTTACTGAGCATGTGCGGAAGAGCAGCCAAGCCGGGTTTGGAGCGAACATCTACCTTAAGCGCGAAGATCTCAACCATACTGGCTCTCACAAGATCAATAATGCAGTTGGACAAGTGCTAATCGCTCGCCGTCTGGGCAAAAACGAGATCATCGCCGAGACGGGTGCCGGCCAACACGGAGTCGCCACCGCAACAGTTTGCGCACGATTTGGTATGAAATGTACCGTCTTTATGGGGGCGGAAGATGTCAGGCGGCAAGCACTCAACGTCTTCCGCATGAAACTGCTCGGCGCCTCCGTCGTAGCAGTCGAGGCCGGTTCGCGTACACTTCGAGACGCAGTCAACGAGGCGATGCGAAAGTGGGTTGAGAAACTCGACAACACGCACTATATCATCGGCTCCGCCATTGGGCCCCACCCTTTCCCAACTATCGTGCGCACATTCCAGAGTGTCATCGGCAATGAAACCAAGGAGCAAATGCAAGAGCTCACTGGAAAGTTACCAGATTGTGTTGTCGCTTGTGTTGGTGGTGGCAGCAATGCCGCCGGCATGTTCCATCCATTTTCGAACGATCCAAGTGTGAAGCTTTTGGGAGTCGAAGCCGGCGGTGACGGTGTCGACACTGCTCGCCACAGTGCGACCCTGACTGGTGGCAGACCTGGAGTGCTGCACGGCGTGCGGACGTATCTTCTCCAAAATGACGAAGGGCAGGTCATCGACACGCACTCCGTCTCTGCCGGTCTGGATTACCCTGGTGTAGGCCCTGAGCTTTCGGGATGGAAGGACAGCTCGCGCGCAAAGTTCGTCGCGGCGACCGACACCGAAGCCTTTATCGGTTTCCGTATGCTATCTGAGCTCGAGGGCATCATCCCTGCGCTGGAGACCAGCCATGCGATCTTCGGCGCGATGGAGGCTGCCAAGGTCATGCGTGATGATGAAAATCTGGTCATCTGCCTCTCGGGTCGTGGTGACAAGGACGTGCAGTCGGTGGCGGAGGAGTTGCCCAACATCGGGCCAAAGATGGGCTGGGATTTGCGCTTCTAGACGACAAGCGGCTCCCTGCTATGAATGGGTGAAAAGGGGAGTACCGGATATTTCACATCATGGGCATGTTCGGGAGCTCCCCTGCTGATCCCTTACTTTCTTCACACGCTCCTTTCCAGTCCGACAGGATGTTCATTTTGGTTCAAACCACTTGCATTAGGCTCTAGCTAAAAGATTTCGATCGAAAGAAGCATTAATTTGCGATACTGAAATTATTTCCATGACATGTCGGCCGCAGAGTGATTCAAGCAAGGACATTTTTTTTTCGGGGTGTTTATTTGTGCTCCAACGCCATACGTGATGAGTAGAACTCAAATCCAGTATAGCGGTATATACAGTTGAGCCTCGTGGAGCTATGTTCTGTTCACCATCCGCATCCCATACCTGGAAGACCGCAGAGGCCGATGCGAGCTGATTTGTTGACCACTGTAGTTTCGGCAGACTGTGAAGTTTCGTGATGCGATGGAAGGGATGTTAGCCCAGTTGCGGACGACATCGTTGTGGACGAAATGGACGAAGAGCCCTGATTTGTCAATGAAGACGCAGTCTGGGACGACTGGGCATCCTGCATCGTAATCATAGTCATCACAGATTGCGAAGTCAGAAGTGAAAGCGGAGTTGGAATTGACAGAACGGGTTGATATGGTGTTGTGTCAGTATTGTGTGGGACGACAGAGTCAGGCGCGGAGTTGGCGGTTGCCGCATCCCAATCATTCTCTGCAGCTAGCGGTGACGGTGACTGGCAATCTTGTATCAGTCATGGCTTGACTTTGAGCAAACATGAGACGCTCATAGAAGATACACTTACTTGGCTTGCTCCTGTACCAGACAGAAACCCGGTTGAAGTGCCGATCGCAGCGAGAATTGTAGCGAGAGCAACCAAGACTAGAACGACGCAGATGATGATCTGGCAGCGACGTCGGTTGAACGTTTTCCTGCGAGGCATGCCATTCTCCAGAGGGTAAAACTCCTGGCGAGATTCAGCGGCTTTGGCGAAGTGGCGTAGGTTCTCATTGACTTGTTGCTCATATGTGGACGGGAAATCGTCTGGATGGGAACGAAAAGCGCATGGCGGTCGAGAAGCTTGGAAAGGCTTCTCTAATGTCGCTGGCATTCCGGCGATGTCATGCCCAACGTGAGCAATAGTGATATTGAGAGTGAGATATTCGTGTGGGCCTGGATGCTCAGTGCATGAGACAAGTGATGTACATACCAACGTCGCGAGATCTTCAAGCACTGGCGACGAGGTAATTTATGTTCCTTCATTCACGTCTCGCAACTATGATGGTACGGTCTGACGGTCTATTGACTTATTGTCGCTTTTGACAGGATTGATGATCATTGAAGACCTACCAGGGTGATCATCGTCAATGAGGACTTATTGATGATAGCGTCGCGATCCATCCTCGACAGCAGAAGTGATTTTTTGGCATAACACTCTGGCGCCTCACACTCGTCTTGCTAGTCTCGGTCTCGTCACGATATCGAAAGTTGCAGATCGATACGGGACGTGCGCAATTGGTGAGGCAATCAACAAGCAGTGACTTGATTAGCGGTGACATGAAGACGTGGAAATCTGTCCTGTTTCTCGGTGACCGGGGGGCTTGGCCGTTACCACGCACTATAGCCATCTCGACCATGAGGTACTCCAGCGGCGTGGGTGTGAAGAGTTTTTTGTTTCGAAATTGCCAAATCAAAAGGGATTGCGTTTGGTAAATAATGTAGGGAGCAGGATTTGGTTAACAGACGCCCTTCACCTGCCGACATGATCAGGCTTTCGCCGCCCACGGCTGAGCAGTGCACATTGGAGAACCCTACCTGAATTGATACATACTGTACCTACCGAGGTAGGGCCTACAGCAGGTGCCGGACCATCAAAAAATGGTGTGAATCACCCTTGGGCTCTCCGTCAATGACAATAGAGTACTGTCAATAACGATGGTGATCATTCAACGGAACTCCTCATCACGATGCAAACGAACATATCGTGATGACACTGATCAGTCCGCAGTCCAGGAATCCCGACGCAATGGTCAGCTATCCCAGGGGCTACCTACAGTACCAAAAATTGCCGCCCAGCCCCACATTTCATGAGGCATTCGCATCAGGCTCACGGTGGCTCCTCCGACACCTGCGACGCTGAAGAAACATATGCATGCCGCAACCACAGAGACCGGGCGTATGCCCACAATGTTTGCCTGTCATCCGCGGTGATCAGCCTGCACTACATATTGGCTGCACAGATTCCAGACGTGCACACCTCAATTGCTTAACCAGGTACTCCACGCCGAAGAAGTGACATGTGATGGAGGAAAGAGAAATATGGCATATCGGAACGTTCCGTACCTATGTAGGTAGTTCATGAGTGCCTGTAGACTGCCCAGGTGCTTGTAGATGGTTATTCTCGATGTGAACCCAGGTGCCGATGTATTCGGTGGGTGGGCACAACCTTGAAACGCTTGCCCACAACGTCTGTCGTCCGAATGCTGAATCGCTGGGCCTCGCCGCATTCTTTTTGCACACCTCGTGGTTACCATGGACGTTTATGTGCGTGCCACATCTCGCATCGTCCTCTTGACACATTGCTGAAACGGATCTGGAGGGACAACGGCAGTACGACCCGGCGGCAGTTGGAACTACGCCTGGGCTACATTGCGGCACAGTAAGTAGGCATGAGACATGTCCAATTGCCCAAATGTTTCATTCACCATTCTCGCCCACTGGGCGTGTCAACAGCGTCTCCTGAACGACGAGACTAAAATGCAAAGCTTGTCGCGTTGTAATCATAAATGTTGTAGTCGCATGGACCGTCGCCTTTTCAGGAAAACCTAAGCATGGATCTTGTCAACTTCGCTCCACCGTCGCCGCGTGTCTCGATTTTGAGCGTTGCGAGGGCATTGCCTCTATAACCATTATTTAGTATCACCTTCCAGGCGAATATCATCGTGTTCTCGCCACGCATGCAAGACAGCCGCCAACAGTTATTAAGAGCAGGGCGAACAAACGATCCACAACCAAAATCTGATTCATGGAAATTGTGGAGAGGAGCAGGCCCGCTGGTCAAAGCTTGGGCGAGTTGGCGGTGGATATACCCTCTGCCACTGCTCTCACCACCGCACAAAGGGCATTCCTCTCGGAGGATGTGATCGCTGCGATCGTCCTTGCAAACAGTACTTCACCCAAGCAATCCTTCTCGCCGCGCTCCCCGACTATTGCTTCTGCGAAACATCACATCGCCACGACTTGTCGAAGCCCCATAAGCCCCAGATCCCATCATCAAGCTCGGGGGGCCTTCCGGAGGTTCCCCGTCAAAACCACCATGGCAGAGGGTAAGCCCGCCGAAGCACAAAACGATCAATCTTCTGTAAGCCCATCCTGTGGCAGAGGCACCATTAATCACTGGGCGAACTAGCTCTGACTCTTCTCGCTAGCAGTCGCCAGTCGTGGATGCGACGAAATTGACGGACGACGATGCAGTTACGGAGCCCCCTGCAGAGAAGGGGTCCGAGGTGCCCACCAGGTCAAATGCTGACACCGAACCTCAACCCACGAGCGCTGCGAAACCAGGAGGAGATGCAGGAGTTGGAACATCAGCCACGTCACTCCCGGAATCCATAGTGGCTGGGGATGCAAACTCGGGCACTGGGACGCATTCGCGCAAGAGCACATTGGAGAATACCGTACAACCACAACGATCACGGTCGCGAGACCGAAGCATATCACCAGGAAAGAAATCGCCACGGAAGGCCTCGCCAACATCAGCCGCACTCCCGCAATCATCAGACCTGCCCGTATTACAGCCCACGCCTGTGTCACTCACCGAGAAGACGAATACCGCTGACCAGCGATCTGCTCCCGAGCGTGTCGCTTCACCGCCACCTCCTGGGAACTTGGCGCGGAAAGCCTCCGGATTTGGCGCGCTTTTTGGCAGGATGGGAAATATCAGGAGGCCGACTCAATCACCGCCTGCATCGAGGCCTGAAACCCGAACGGGCGAGCGTCGGAACACCAATACATCAGTATCATCAGCTGATGGTGGAATAGATGGCGGAGCACGGAGCAAGCGAACGCTGCAAGACCAGTTTTCGAATCTGCGAAGAGAACAGGAATCTAGCATAGACGGTCTATCTCAGCTGGAAGAGGGAGATGAGGCGACACCCACGGCAAAGACCAGCACGAAGACCATACGACCAACTTCGCCCACCAGTCCGCCAGCGCTCAAATCGCCTCCCATGGATCCCACATTGCCTCCTGGCACTGCTGCAGGTCTAAGTGCTGGTCCGGCCGAGTTGCCGCGAGAGGTCAATTGGGACTTGTGGCAGCAGGTCGTGTACGAAGGACCAGCTGCGGTTGCAAGGACGAGCGGCGAAGAGCTTAATCAAGCGATCGCTTCGGGCATCCCGCCTGCTATTCGGGGTGTGGTGTGGCAGGTCCTTGCAGACAGCAAGAGTCCCGAACTGGAAGATGTCTACCGGATGTTGAAAGCGCGTGGCACCGAGGCGGAGGTGCGGCCAAGGACTTCGCGAAACGGCTCAACCGCGACCACCAATGGCACATCCGCCGAGTCGATCGTATCGGATGCTTCAAGTGTGCATTCGGACAATTCGACGCCCGGTAACTCAACCATTACCAGCACCACAGCGTCCATCGACACCCACAACTCCGAGTTGCAAAGTAAGCTCTTGGCCGAGAAGCAGAAACGAGAGGCCGCTGCACTACAAAAGCTTGAAAAGGCCATCAAACGCGACATGGGAACGAGAACGTCGTACAGCAAGTTTACACAATCCGCAGGGCTACAGGACGGTCTTTTCGGGGTGTGTAAGGCATACGCTTTGTTCGACGAAGGTGTAGGCTATGCACAAGGCATAAACTTCATTGCCATGCCACTCTTGTTCAACATGAGTGAAGAGGAAGCCTTCACCTTACTTGTCCGAGTCATGAGCAAGTACGATCTTCGAAGTCTCTTCATCGCCGACATGCCTGGTTTACATCTGCGACTCTACCAATTCGAAAGGCTCCTGGAAGATTACGAACCAGCAGTATATTGCCACCTACGCCGCCGTAATGTCGAGCCGCAGCTCTATGCCACGCAATGGTTCCTGACGCTCTTCGCCTACCGCTTTCCTCTTCAATTAGTGCTTCGTGTATACGATTTGATTCTCAGCGAAGGCCTTGTCGCAATCCTCAAATTCGGCATCGTCTTGATGCAACAGAATCGCGCCACTCTTCTCGAGATGAAGGACATGGCACAGCTTACGACTTTCCTCAAGGAGAAGATCTTTGATGTTTACATTGACAAATCGCCCTCTGCCTCCTCCCTCCTAGACTCGGGCTTCTTCGGTTCCGTCACTGGTGGTGCTGACAAGGAGCTATATCGTGCAGACGAGATGGTGGCCGACGCCTGCGAGATCAAGATCACAGACGCTACCCTGGCTAAGTACACCCTCGAATGGGAGGAAAATCAACGCACCACGCGTCTCCGGGAGACTGAGTTGGAGACCCTAAAAGCCACCAATTCTACACTGAGCGCGCGTGTGAAGAGCCTGGAAGAACGTGTCCAGCAGAGCGATGCGGAACATGTCACGATGGCCCACGACCTCGTGCGCTTGAAGGTTGAGAATGATTCGCTACTGGATGCCAACGAGGCTTTGAAATTGAAGACCACCGAGCTCCAGCGGCTCCTTGACGCTCAGCCGGCTGAGCTTGAGGAGAAGCTGAAGTCGGAGATGGATCGGATCATGACGAGGAACATTGAGGTGCAAAACGAGAATCGTCACTTGAAGGATGAGATGGACGAAATGGAGCATGCATTGGTTAACGTCAAGATGCTACACGCGCAGGTAGGTTCACACTGGGTCGTTTCGTTGCTCAACTCCTCGTATTCTGTGCGGCATCAGCGTCCGAGGAATTGTTAAACTAACATCTTGTCCTCACACAGGCTCAGACCGATCACGATGCGCTGAAGCAGAAATGGACAAGCGTCCAGGCCCTTCTAAGCGACAAGTCGTGATGATGACTCTTCCCTCTTTACAGATACTGCCGTCAACGTATGCGGTCAGGCATTCTCTCGCGCAAAATTTACGAACCAGTCGAACGATATCGATTGCAACGCGCCTGCATTGTTCTCTGCTTTCGCTGGGTTTGCGGCTCGCCGTGGCGATTCTGACCTATGATCAATTCTTCTGGGCCTTTATTAGCGATTGTCGTAATTCTTGCTCATGTACGATTAACACGAAATCATGGTCTCCCGATATTTTTGCAATCCTTTCTTGATTTATTCGTGTGGAAGCTGCGGTTGCCACATTCGTAGGTGACTCCACAGTCACGAGACTGGCGGTAATATGTACTGGTGTCCCCGGAAGCAAAACGTCAAACCGCAACCACGATGCGTTCGCAAGGTATCAGTCATGATTTCGTAGAGCGACCCGGCCACACGGAAAGAGACCTCGGAGCTCGATCTCAATTGACACTGTTCATGATGCACCCACCAAGCCCACCCGTTGACCGGCCTTGACACCTACCCACCCTCTGCGGTCCCGCCCTGTACGTCCGCGACCCAACCAGTTATATTTGAGCGCCCCCGTGAGTCGTTCTACGTTGCCCTGAGCCACATCGCCGGTTTGACACGACGCAAGTACATACAGGCATTGAAGCATCTTTGCCACTGTTTCGGTGATCTTGGCTGGATCGGTGAATGCGACCGGAGGCGGCGGCGCCGGCTGTTGCTGTGAACTCGCCGCTGCCTGGCCCGGTGTTGTGAAGCCTGCGGCCAGCGGAGAGCTGAGATGGGGCAGACTAGTGCCGAAGCTGCCGGCTGAGGTATTGGAGGTGGCCCGACTACGGTTTGCTAGACTGGTTGCATTGCCTGAAGAGTTGCTGGCGGCATCGAGATACGTTGAGCTCTGCGAGTTAAAGCTGCTCAGCCGTGGACTTAGGCTACCAGCTGTTCCAGGACGGTCTGCGCCTGAGGTAGACAGATCGCTACGGGCATGGCTTCGGCCTTGGGCGCTGGCGGCAGGTGAAGCTGCAGCATTTATATTGTCCAGAGACAAACGGCTGAAGATGTTCATGAGGCTTTCGTGTTTGGGCAATATCACTGAGTCCCGGAAGATGATGAGTGTCAGCCTGCGGACTTCGAGCTCATCAGCTAGACTCGGCGTCCGGAGCGCTCCTCCTGCAGATTCAGGTCGCTCGTCTAACTTCAGCGATTCAGGGATTGCGCCCCAAAATTCTTGTGCTTCGCGGGCGGTCATCAGGTTTCCACGGCCTTTGAACTCCAGCTCGAGCGGGAGGAAGACTGCCTGCAGAAATGGCAAAATCGTGCCATATACACCGACCCACATGTCTACCAGATTTGTGATCAGCCTCTCATCAGGAACCCCTCTGAGCGTCTGCGCTAGAGAGCCGAATCCGGTCTGCAATAGCTCTCGAACATCTTCAATCAGGACTATCGGACATCGCCGTTGTATACAACGACGCACATGTACACTGACCAAGGCATTGAAGTCCTCAATCGGCGGTCGTAAGCTTTCTCCCGAAAACAAATTGAGCAAACGGGCTTTCAGTAACGGCCATGCATCGTCGGGCCCGATTCCAGGGAGACCCATTTGGGCTCCAATTGTGCTGAAGGCCTGCGCTGAGACGTTGTCGGAAGGAAACGAGAACACATTCGCGGCGCTGGAGGGAGGTCCCACGTTTTCGAAGCTGTTTGAACCGAGGAATTGTTCCATGGAACTATGTCCTGGTGCACTAGATGAAAGAGCAGTCCCTTCCATTTTTGACGCCGCTGCCGCCTTTTCTTCCTTCTTTGCATTGCGCAGTAGACGACCACCATGTCTGAGATCGAAGTTCTTGGCGAATGAGCTTGGGGCCGGAGAATCTGGAGTGAAGTTATATAAAGGTTGGGGATGCTCTGGGTTTGTTGCGTGGGAATTGGAATGTGCTGAACTCAAAGGTAGCGCCAGTGGCTCCTCTTTAACTTTGTGTTTTTGGCGTGATAAAAAGTGGTGTTTCTTCTCCTTGTCCTTTTCTGAAGTAGCTGGAACCAATGTAGACGTGGAGACGTTTGCAGAACTATATAGAGACCCTGAGGTAGACTCGGCGAAACTGGTCACAGATTGATTCGGGAAGCGTAACAGGTTGGCTGTACTGCTCGATTTACCCGGAGATGGTGCGGCCATCACGCCCTTTCCATCCTTTTCCTTGCTCAAGGTCATTGCTTTCGGACGAAGAAATTTCATCTTCGAGCTTTTGGATTTAGATTCTTTGTCTGGTGGTGGTAGCATCGCGCTGCTATGTGGTTGCGAAGACACAGGCGAATGAATCGCGCCTCGTGCGTTCGGGAAGACCACGTTTGCTGCTGTCGTGGCCGCCAATTTATTCCCTCCGACAGTTCCGTTGCTGTAGGAAAGTGCTCCCGGCGAGACAACTCCCGGACTCCCAGATCCACTCGGACGCCGAGATCCCGCGGGACCACTTGTCTGGATCGGTGCAAGGCCAGCATGAGAGCGTTTCCTTTCCTGATTGACGGGCGGCGACATATGATGCATCGCAGCCTGTGCAGCGATTTGCGAAGCGCTCAACCCTGTCGCATTTGCAGCTGCGTGAGGTAGAGACGGTTCAAAATAGCCTTGGCTATGTTGACGAAGTCGATGATTTGCGGGTTGTTGCAAGGATAGACTCGGCGATGTCGTCCGTAAAAGGCCGTCAAATGACCCTCTCGCAGGATATTGGTTCCGGGTTGCCTGTCGGGCGTTCGAATGAGGCGACATGACGCCGCCAGATGTCGATGGTCTTGCATCGGGATCTTGAGTGTAAGATGGCTGCTGCTTAAGTGCAGGCGGTCCTGCCGCCGTGTTGGAGTCCAAGGAAGCATTGGACAGGCTTGACTCGCTTCGCATAGATGTGCGTGACATTGATGAATTCGATCGCTGTCCTGTTGGTGAACCCAGCCGTGGCGGCGGGCGCAGAGGCGGTAAATTGCTCATGATACAGGCAAATCAGACACGTATGAGGACGCAATATTGGTGGTTCTATTCGGCAACAAGTTACGCTCGAAAGTTTTGACCAGAGTGCAGAGTGTCAAGACTGCGTATGTAATGGAGGTCCGGATGAGGCGTGGGGTTCCATCTGAGCAAGTGTGGTTCCTTGTCTCAGGGCCTCCGCTGGAGACATTTCGGTGCCTCATAGGGCTGAACCATGTGCAGTACTTGCACCACCCAGAGCACACTTGGAGTCAATAATATCATCCTCGAATGCGACATTTGAGTTTCATTTTGATTACTGCGTGTAGGGACGGTGGTTGTCCACTGGAAAGATTTACACAATGCAGAGCAAAAGTCAAATGGTGGAAAATTTTGCATTGCCAATGTACCAATCGAAAAATCATAACACCCTGATTTCCACATCGTCTATCCGCTGTTATCAGTCGTATGACATACATGTGGCAAGGACATCAATGAGCACTCAGACTACTGGCATCTCAAGAGGAGCATGCCAGACTTTTCCTGGACCCCGTATCCAGAGAGGAAGGGGATCGCCAATTACAACCGCACAACAACACATATTTCTCAATGCAACTTAGTTGCAAAACGCTCGTTACCCGTCAGCACAAAACATCTCATAACAAGAAGTGGCGAATGAGCGGCCATGCCCAGATCATCTTGTCCCTAAGGAAAGAAGAGACCCATGCCATGCGCCTATAGCGTGGCAACAAATGTCCGGCCCGTGAGCGCGATCTCGCAGGCGATGCAGAGTTCATCTCCACAATGTACTCGAACAATCAAACGTGCCTAGTTCAGACGCCGGGGCAAGCCGCACGTGCGCGCTGAAGGTCCCACGTCTTCAAGTACATTGAGCAATTGCAGAGGTATCAATGCAGAGTCGCAAGTCGAGAACAGAGGGACGGGATGGAAGGGGCGTCGAGGGCGACTAACTAAAGCGTTATGCCATCACTCAAGCAATTCGCATCGCAAACAACTCCACTGTTGGAAAGAAGACTTGTTCGTCCATAAATGGGTATCAGTCAGCTTCGAAAAGAGTCGAGGCGCAAATTCTCGAGGTGGTCGCAACGCGGCGTAACAGACTCAGAGCGCAACACAAGGAAGCACACAATAGAAGTACAGTATTCCATAACTACCAGCCCTGAAGCTGCATGTTATGGTCGGTCCCGCAATAGGAAGACCTATACGAGACCGGATGGACCTGACACCATCCTCAGTCTGGAGTTTTCGGTAGAGTCGATCAGTTAATATGCTTGACTGTTCATTTTGCTTCACCGGGACCGAGGAATGGGTTTTGATGTAAAGGAGGAGAGATCGGCGATGCTACAGCAAGGTCGCCATGACTAGATGCTCGGATATGGGTTGGACGACGGATGGCAGAATCCACATTCTGGCCGTTGACAGTCTGCACCTGCTCTGTCCGTGGGCTGAAGCCCGTATTCAAGATGGGCGAGACGGCCGTACTAACTTGGAATGTCGGAAGTGGTGCTGGTGTGAGAGTGTAGCTTTGTCCGTGATATCTGTCGGCTTCATGCTCGCCTATTCTGGGGGATCGTAACGCTTGCTCGTACGAAGGAACTGTTCCGAAGTCATGAAGCTCGTGCTGTTTCTCTTTCGTTGCTTGATGTGTTTCGTATGGACCAACAGCTGAATCGCCTTTGAAGTACACATATGTTGACCTGCCGATGCCGATCAAAGCAATGATGACCCAGATCAGTAGTATGCATGTCGAAATGATCGCTTCTTGTCGAATAGCTTTGGCGACTAGATCAATGACGTGGTCAACCGCTCGCGAAATTGCGTCTGCCGCGGCCGCGTCCGGCCCAGTCGCCAGCAAATTGGTTGAAGACTGCGAAACCTTCTGCACAGTACCTAGCGAGAAGGTATCATTCTGGAGCAGTGGAAAGTCAATGTGAGCGTGATCACTGACCCAGGTGAGGCCTTTTTCGATGCCTTCGATCTTGAGTAGCACAAGGCAGTTCAATACACCGAGGATCGGTTCGTACAGGATGGTGCCGCCAAACGTGACATTAAGAGCGCCGACCATCTCGTCGACAAATGCATTGAGGGTGTTATTGACAGCTTTGGTAGTGGTGTTGACCCAGCCCAAGACGTCATGGTTGATGGCGTTGTTGGTGTCAATGATGACTTTGTTTGTGCCAATTGCCCATTGCTCAGATGCATTGTTGAGCGACATGATGACCTTGTCAGCGAATCCAATGACCATATTTTCTAGCACAGGCACCTCCTTCTCAATCGCTTTCAGCAGGATATATTGACAAAGACAAGAAAGTAGGCCAGCGATTGCGAGAGACAACACAAAAAGCGCCGGGATTGTCGTAGCATATGCTACACTCCATCGAACGAGGACTTTGAGCCGGGTTGAAGAGAATCTATCGCCGAGCCAGATTCCGGTAGCAGCCGTGTAAGGTCTTGAGACTATATACACTGCATCCATGGGGTCCTGGGAATGGTTTTTGACGATCACGACCCGCTCCTTCATGAATCGATATCGTCGTATTTCTCGATAGGCCATTGGGACCATCGCAAGAAGAGCAGCGATGATGATGACAGCTAAAAAGATCTTCCTTGCCAGGCGTTCGATCTGTACGAGACTATCGAAGAATTGATTGATGCCGTTGTTGTCGGAACAAAACGTCAATTGCTCCTTTGCAGGTACTGGAAAGAGTGCGTCGTTTATCGAGTACTTAGGCAGGCTGGCGTTGAGTAGTTTCTTGACCTCCTCGAATGGCAATTCAATGACCGAATTCGTGAAATTTTGTACTTGCTTGAATGTCGGAATTGAGGAGTTGAGCTTTTCAAGACCTTTGTCGTACCCAGCAGGGATCTGCAGGTGGTTCAGCTTGGAGATTTCATCCGACAAGTCAATGGTAGGCGGTGTCAGCGATTTGCTGGAGAAGACGCTGGCGACCTTATCGATGCCGGCGATGAAGCCGTTCATAGCTTTTTGGAAGTCTCCAGTGACATCTCCGAGTTCTTTGCCCACTTCCTTCATGGTAGAGTTGAGGAAATCGCCGACGTCTTCGGCCACCGAGACCGCTACATGGAGACTGCCACTGATCGCCAGAGTGATCAGACAAAGATACGTCGAGGTGAGCAAATTAATGACAAAGACTATGATTTGTTCCACGCCCGTGACGGCAAGGATGAGTCCTTTCATGAGACCGTTGATAGCTTTTTCAATGCCTTTGGCGGTGAGCGAATTAACACCTTGACTCATGTAGTGGGGCATGCTAGCCATTGCAGAGCCAACATTCTCCACAGATGTGCACATGCTCAAGGCTTCTCGTCGTGCTGAGCCGAGATTGTCATCAAGACTTGCAATGGCAAATAGGGTGCGTATCAGCACCAAAAGAAGCAAAATCGTCCAGCGATTGATCCAGGTCTGTGAGAGTCTGGCTCGGAGACCGAGATAAGGTGTCAGGTATGGTTCATCTTGTGAGTGAGGTCGCGGTGCGTTCTGCGCCGCGTAGTAGTCGCGCGTCTCATGGCCGCCAGCGGAGAAAGATGGAGGCGCAGGAAAAGGCGGTTGCTGTCGAAGCTGTGAAGGTGCCATGGTGTTGGACCTTGGGGAATGTCGCGTGCGCCTGTCCGGGATGTTTTAGTACTCGAAGTGCTGACCAGAGCGACAACGATGTGGATAAAGAAAGGAAAGACGTTGATTATAGACCGCCGACAACAAACGCGCCCAAAAATGAAGACAAAGACTGAAAGATGTTGCCAGCAACACACACAAAAACGCAGTTGAATAGCAAACAAGAAGACAAGAGCCCGGGAAGAATGAAGGGAGAGCAACAATGCAAGTATAGCACAGCACCACATACCATGGTGACAAGTCCGAGAGCACGGTCGGCCATCATGGCACTAGAAGAATGATATTCGAAACGCCGTCGGCATTTGACGCTCGTGAGTGGAGAGTTCTGCCCTTGGCGATGAGCGATGACCAGTTATTGTCGGATCTTCAATAGCTGAGATGATTGACGGTATTGGGATGCACAATTGAAGCACGGCCCTCTGGTGGTGCAACTTTAGACTTGGGCGCTTAATTTGCAGGGACGACAGCCAGTCGACGCGTTACATGCAGGGCGCTTCGGAGCAATCGAACGACCCCGGATTGCTTTTGGCTTGCAATTGTGAGCATGCGGCCAAAACAGCGGGCGCTTCTGGGCGTGCTTCTACTTGCCGAGCACGGGTAAATATCATTATTCTCTCCTATGGTGAATGCCGGACCGGATCCAGGTTTGTGGTTCCCATTCCTGAAATACGGATGGCTCATCAGCACTTGTACGCGACGATGGATTGCAGGTCGGAGCGGGCGAGAATCTGTTCGTGAGGGTCGCTGGACGCCTCCGCTGCGACCACTAATGGGTGACGATGCAGCGGAGGCACGGTGACAATAGAAAGAGGGCAAGATTAAAATCTGGTGACTATATATTAACTAGGTAGCCAAGCTTGTACTTGTCGTCACAAGGTCACGGATACTTGCGGTCTCATTGCTTCTGACTGTGCAGGCAAATTGCGTTCCAAGGTCCATGAGTGTTACAGTGTTACACGTGTGAGAGTGTCAGCATCCGAGAAGATTCCGAGTCGAGCAAAATTCCGCATGTTCCTCAGTTTGCACCCGTCTGCACCTGCGAACCTTGGAAGGCATGATCACAATACCTAAAGGTTGTCTTCACACGATCATCTATACGAGATCAGTCGATGCCCGGCTGGGCACTAGGGTTGTGCTTCATGGATCTGTGCAGTAATAATGACGGTATACCTCGATGCTATGAACATGGCAAATCCAATTTGATACGTTGTCGTTCGATCTCCACCCACCCGTTCGATACCGTGATTGCGTGGAATTGTTCTACTTGCACATGCGTACTTCCAAGCTCGAGGTACACTTCCAACAGGTCTTGTGTCTTGTCAATCGGAAGGCGTTGTGCGTGTCTATTCTCAAGAATCCACATCAAAACAGCAATTCTCAATGATCATCGATCTCGAAAACTCGAAGGACAGCATCATCAAATTTACTGGGTCAGTCTGTCTCCAACATCACATGGAAAAGAGGAGCCTGGAGTCGCGCTAAGCATATAGTTACATGCCTGGCATCCCAACGATGACGATAAACACTGCCAGCTTTGACTGATTTCAACCTTATATCGTGACCTCAAAGATCACGTGAACAATGTGACCTTGGGTTTAGGCCAGTTCTATCCTTCATCTTTGCAGCAGAGCGGCGGCACAAGAGCCTCCGATTAGACACGAGCAGGTGACCGGTCTTGGTAACGCCGAGGAAACGCGAGAACAATAAGTCAAAACGCTCATTGTCCTAGGCAGCCGAGGAGGCAGAACGGAGTCCGATCGGCATCCACTTCCAGTCGAATCCGCCTGGTGGACGAAGTATGTTTCGTGGTCTCTGCATCGATTACCTACCAATGCCGCTCTCGATGAAACCAGACAGTGAACTCGACATCGCAACATGCGCGCATGTACATCATATTGAACGTTTCCTTCGCCTTCCACTAGGCTTTGTCGTGGTCCCTGGCGAGGGGGATTAAGTTTCTGTTGGAGCGATTCACCGGGAGTTAATCGGCAGCAAATGCCGGAGTAAGATGTTTTCGCAATCAAGATCATGGATAGCTCCACAAGTCGAAGAGGCCCGGAACAAGCAACGCTTGAACGATCGTCGTAAGAGATTATGTCCTCAATCTCCGTTTTGGACGGCGGATTTCGATTTGCGCAAACATATGAAAGAATGGAGAGCAAGTCTGGAGCGTATCAAGAGAAGGCAGGAGGTTTCCCGGGCCAGGGAAATTCGCGCGCAATCCAACTTAGATATTCCCACTGTCCCAGCAATCAAGCCGGCCTTACAGGGCAAGCTGTTCGATACGAATCATTCTGCTGTCTTGGCATTGCCGACAGTCTTTACTCATTCTCTCGGCCGACGGAGACTCGCGCCATGGCCTTCTAGGGAGGAAATGAAATATGAAGGCGACGACCGCGTCTCAACCGATCGTTTGCATGGTCGTTTCTTACCCGCGCCGAGAGTCGACGATGACGAGACAGTTCCCTGGATGCACCGAGCAATTATTGCACAGGAGGCGTTGGAGAATTTCCACTATCCTTATCCATGCGAAGTGGAAATCTTCCTGCGCATGCATTGGGTCCCAGACTTGGAAATCACCGACCTAGAGGGGCGGAACATGCTTGGGCGAGAGCTGATGGATCTTCTAGATCCCAAAGAAGTGTACTGAGTAAGTAAGCAAGCAAGCTTTGCGAAGCTGCAGGTGAGCAAGCAATTCGCAACCTGATGAGGTTAATTCGAACGCCTTCAGGAGTGGGTGTGAGTAAAGTCTCATGGGGAACGACGCACAAAGCTTGTGCAGGTGATCTTCGGAGGTGAGTTTCACGTAGACGCCTGGAGGTGGGAAAGACGCTACGACTTTATTATGTCACACAGTATGGCCCAGTAGCGCCGCGCACGTGCTCACTGCAAGGCTCTCACATGCCGCTGACACGTCGGAGCTTTCGGACGTTCAGCAACTTTCGTCCGACGCGTAATGAACAGCCTCCATGGGCTTGTTGGGGGTCATCTGGGATGCCAGGCCTCCAGTGACAATAGACCTCGGGATTTGTCGAAAAGCTGGCAATGCACATGCACGCACAATGTACAACTGTGTCATTGCCTGCCCAGGTGGTTTTGATACAGCTCTCCAGGGCTGCTTTGTATACCCATTCAATGTAGCTGCACGCCTGGTTTCACAGTAGAAGTGTGTGGCACCTGCGAACCTTGTCTCTCTTCCGCTGATCCTTGCTGGTCGCTGCGACTCTTGATGCCTCATCCATCACTACCACCAGATCGATTTTCGCGAGGGCCGGGGCACGAGAAAATCCACGCCGCAACGCCGTCACCTGCACTCAATCCGTCGAGGCTCAGGCCCCACCCCGGTGGACGTTCATGGGCATCTCATCGGCCAGATATAGTGAAATCATAGGCGCTAAGTGATGGCCCGCGAGGAACCGCGTGCAGAAGCGATTTGGTCCTAGACCCATATATAGTCTCCGCGCACAGGACATAAAAGGCACGATGACATTTAACTCGTATGCCTCTCACTTCCGAGCAGACAGCAAACAGGCGATCGGCCGCTTCACTGAAGATCTCTCCCACTCTGCAAACACTCCATCGCAGTCGGTCTCCACCATGAGCGCCGGCTCAACGGCCACGACCACGACCACTCACAATCACACCACCCCACAATCGTCACCTGCTCGAGGGCCCACGTCGATCCCGATCCGAACGAGTTCAAGTCGCGCGATACTCAACAGCGAGTACAATTCTGGCTCAAGCCACAAATCATCCAAAGATCGTCATAGTCTGGGTTCAACCTCCTCTTCTCGCCAGCGTCTGCCTGAGCCAGACGAGCGCGAGTGGATGGCCCAAGGCACTCGGAGTTCGCGCGCGCTTTCGAGCTTTTCACAACAACCTTACACACCGCAGTCGCCTCCTCGACCACTGGTGCCCAACGATGTTCACCGAGACGATGCAGAAGCGGACCTGATGGACGGCCATAAAATGCTATGGAATAATGAGAAGGAGAACATTCTGCGCGGGCCGTATGACTACCTGGAATCGACGCCAGGCAAAGACGTCCGATCACAACTGATCACTGCGTTCAACGCATGGCTTCAAGTGCCTGTCCCTTCGCTACGAGTCATCACACGCGTTGTAGCCATGCTACACACTGCCTCATTACTCATTGACGATGTGGAGGACAACAGTCTTCTGAGACGAGGGAAACCTGTGGCGCATAGCATATTTGGCACAGCTCAAACAATCAATAGCGCAAATTATATATACTTTTGCGCACTCCAAGAGCTGTTGACCTTGGACAACCCGGAGGTTATCCGCATATATACTGAAGAGTTGCTAAATCTGCACCGCGGCCAAGGCATGGACCTCTTCTGGCGTGATACTCTGACGTGTCCCACGGAGGATGACTACCTTGAGATGGTCGGAAACAAGACTGGCGGTCTATTTCGTTTAGCTATCAAACTCATGTGTGCCGAGTCTCCTTCTCAAAATCCACCTAAAACCGGCAGCAGTGGCAGCGATCAGAAGGCACCACTACAACAGCAACCAGTCGACTACATACCGCTTGTGAACACCGTCGGCCTTCTATTCCAAATCCTCGACGATTACCGAAATCTCAGCGATACGACATACACACAGAACAAGGGACTTTGTGAGGACCTGACGGAAGGCAAATTCAGCTTCCCCATCATACACGCAATACGCTCAGAGCCCGGCAATTTGGTCCTCATAAACATTCTGAAACAAAAGACCAACGACGAAGATGTCAAGAGATATGCTATCAGTTATATGGAGGGCACAGGTAGCTTCGCATACACTCGCCGTGTATTGCGCGGCCTTACGAAGAAAGCCCTTGCTTTGGTCGATGAGGTCGATCGCAGCACGGGCGTGGAGGCGCGAGGAGGCGGTGTCCGAGCGATCTTGGAACGCTTGCGCGTGGACAAGCAACGGGATAGGGCAAGCATGGCTGAGATATCAGAGGACCGGGAAAGGTGACTTGAATAGCTTGTAACGTGAAAGAATGATGCCGAAGTTCATGTTCAAGCCGACTCGTGTGTGTGCGATTCGAGCAGTACGCAGCGTCGGTTCATCTCGAGGTATCTTCTACGGCGCATATGGAATTGCTCTCGCAAGCAGCCGAGCGCGGAGGTGCCATGCTCTCCGGCGCAAAATGCAGCAGTGACTGTTCGAAGCGCGGCGCCGAAATTCCTGCCCGTCGATTGCAAGAGTCTCCAGTCTGAGCATCGCTGTCCATTCGTGTAGTTTACAAACGTACATCTCCCATACAGATCAACCTCAACGTCATGAAACTCCCAAACGCCGACTCAATGATCCCATATTGCGCAAGTGGTATCTCTATACCTTCACGGTCTGGCCCATCTTGATCGCCAGCTTCCACAAGTCATTGTAAGCCTCGGTCCATTCCTCTCCTGCGTCCTCACCGTCCTTGTTCTTTCCGCCCTTGTTTGCAGAAATCATGACCACACTTGTTGGCCTCTTCGTTGAGCCAGCAGCGCCCAGTTCCGCACGACTCGGCACGAACAGATACGGAAGGTTGTGGTCCTCGCAAAGGACGGGAATGTGGCTGATGACGTCCATCGGTGAGATATCAGCAGCGAGCACAACGATACCTGGCGGCGGCGCTGATGATGCGAGTGTTGTGGGAGTAGCCCTGGGCGACTTTCGAATTGCCTTGACGCATTCTTTGACACCGCGCTTGAGGGTCTTGTGTTTGGCGGCTAAGATTTTATCGTCAGTATCATTGATCATGGATGCACAACTGAGTCGCAGCCGGCCTAGAGAGATCAATGTGTCCTACCTTTTTTCACGCCCTTCAAAACCTTTTTCTGTTGCTTATCATCCGCGAGAGGATTGGCGAAAGGAACCAGCGCAGCAAGCGCCACGGCTCCAGCAGCGGCAACCACGTCATCGCCATTGAGAGTTGCGTCGATGTCCATGATTGAATCCTCAGCTACATCTTCGCCAGCTTTTGACTTTTTCTTGTCCTTCTTTTCCTTCTTAGCGACATGTTCCTCGACTTCGTCGGCAGGAGCAGCCTCGCTCAGCTTGCGCTTCTTCTTTTCCTCCTTGCGCGCCTTCTTCTCTGCGTCAGATTTGTCCTTGGCCATTGTGTCTGTTGGTTTGAGCAGTGATGTAGTTTTGATTTACCCTCTTGTTCCTGTTGGAAGCTTCGGCACGAAATTTGAGAACTAGAGAACCAAGTGCTTGGTCCGTGCTCTACACGAGTCGGCAGAACTCCGGCATCCATCGCAAAGTGTACGGACAGAGATAGATACTAGGTACCTAGGTATGCTGCAAATTGAAGATCTTATATTATGATACCAGAAGCTGCAATGATAGCAATGATCGAGTAAAGACTTCATTCTTATCTGCTCGTTTCAAGGAGGGTAACACGGGCCTTCAAGATGTGGATCACGACAAGTAAACGCATTGAACGACGAAACGATCCTCGCGCGCGCCTCAAATCGGGAGCGCCAGAACAGCCCGAGTCCCCTTCCACCGTCTCATTTCCTTCCACTGAAAATATCAGCTATTCGTTGCGCCCCAGCACTTTTCTTTATGCGCCCGTGAAGAATCATGCGTAGATGGTGGCGCATCTCGCAGACATCTGACAGTTACAGATCTTTCGTCTCCAATGTGCAAGGCACATGCTCCATAGCCGTCTGCAATTCCATGTCGACCATAGCTCTTCGATTAGACCGGCGCCTTCGTCTAAAGACCTAACTCTCATACTGCTACTGGTTATGCTGACGAGTGATTCTCGAGCGATCGAGAAACCGTCGCAGTGATCGTGATTCTGGCACTGGTGCACCGTCATGGATGCTGGAAAATCGGACTGACTATGCACCATCGTGCTGGAACGGCTTCATACAATGTTGAAGTCCGACAGCGGGCACAGGTTTATCGCTGATTGGAGATGAGCTCTGCCGATGGGCTGCGCGCATTCGGATCTTTTGACTGGTCGCAATTGTGGTTCGTCATGTATGAAACATCGCGGACGTGTTTACTGCGCTTTGTTCGCAGCTCGAAGGTCCTGAACCCGAGTTTCCACGTAGTATCCAGTCTCGGGTCGCCGTAAATCCTTCATCTCTTTCGGCGTCAGGGCCTTGTCGACTTCTTGAACTTCTACCAACTCTTTCACCGCGAAGATTTGACCAGCAGTCGCGGGCGTGACTGGATGATAGACTGTTGCCATGCGCTTTCGGAGACCTAGGGCTCTTAAGACACCTCCGACTTTGGTTGGCAAGCCGATGGCAGAGCGTAGGAGGGTTATGCGGAAATAGTTCGTTGACATTTTGCAGATGTCGTGCCGGCTCAAGTCTTGGGTTTCAACACCTGACGCGGACTTGGAAATTTTGTGGTGTATCGATGGACGTCGATGAGAATCGAAGTTGAGATGATGAGATGTAAATCGAAAATTGAGCGCGCGAGTGACCGCGCCTCCGCAGCGGGCTTCACCTGCCAGGGTCGTTTGGCCGCTAGCTTCGCTTTTACGCTACATCAACGATGCGCGCATGAAGATCCCACATGCTGTACGGCCACTCAACCCTTGAAAGAAGCCAGATCAGCCGCTGATTATGAACGATGGAACGCTCGACGACACCGCATCCAAGCTCGCCGAGCTGCTCAAGCACCCGGACGACTTGGACAAGCTGCCCTCACTGCGCAGCGAGTTCACTCGCAAGAAGGCGGCCATCGACGGCCAGCTTAAGCATGGCCTGAAAGAGCAACTGGAGATTACTCAGAATGGCATGACAAGTATCAATGAGGGCCAAAAGATTGTGGCCCTCATCAAAGAGGAGATGATGAAGATCGACAAATTATGTACAGAGGCGCAAACCATGATCGAGGACTTTCCAGAAATCAATCGTATGAGCATCATGCAGCGTAACTTTGCGGCAGTCGAGAGTGTCAAGGCGAGCATTGACACTTTTGCGCAACAACTTGCGGATCTTGAACAACTACTGCGCGAGGATGACGAAGATCTCAAGAACCAACCAAACCTACTTGCGATTCATTCTGGGCTTACAACGCTGCGTGATGTGAGAGACTCGGCTATGGAGCAGGTCAAGGGAAGCGTAGATGGCGCCTCAGGCTTGGAACTCATTGAAAATCTCCCCTTGGAGTCCGGGATTACCCTACGAGATCTCTTTACGAAGCTTGATGATGTGGTCGAATGGTTTGACGAGCATGTTGGGCAAGCGTGCTTGAACCTGATAGGGTTGGTCCAAACTGGGAACAATGGGCTGGTCGTCAGGCTTGCACTGGTGATTGAAGAGGAGGAGAAGAAAGACCGCCAGACAAAGGCCTTGCAGGATGCTCAGCGCGAATTCCAAGACGTCGCGTCTCGCTTGCAGAACATCAATGTCCGCCAGAGAGATCTCCGAGGTTACAAGAAGAAATTCCTGCAGGCAGTGGAGCTGAGCGCACAAGCACAGTTCGGAGCGGTTCGGGAGACATTTGACGAGGACTCCGATAAACTCGAGAAGGCCTGTAGATGGTTCTTCAACGATTTGAACACTGTCAAGCTCGGCATGCAGACCCTAATGCCGAAGAAGTGGAAGATTTTCAAGACATATGTCAACATCTACCACAAACTGATGCATGATTTTCTTGTTGAAAGGCTTGATGACGATTCAATTGGACCGGTCCAAATGCTAGCCATCTTGAATTGGGTGGAAAAGTATTACGGCAAGATGAAACGTCTGGAGGTCAAGGTTGAAGACCTCAAACCTCACGTTATTGATGAGCGAGAGAATGACCTAGTCAGGGAGTATCGCAACGTCGTTACTCGCGCAGTCGAGGAATGGATGGACCGCATGGCAGCGGCCGATAGAAAGACGTTCCTGTCCCGCGCAGAGGACAGCCTGGACCATGATGCAGACAATCAATTACATACGAAGTCTCTCAGTGATATGTGGACGATGCTGCGGGAGCAGTTGTCGGTTGCCCAATCCTCAGATCGGCCCGATGTTGTCGAGGGTGTGATCGACGCCATGATGACCGCGCTCAAGGGTCGCCAGCAGATGTGGGAGCAACTTATCACGGAGGATTTCCGCAAGATTGAGGCCGCGCCAGATCCGACACACTTGGAGGGCGTCAACGCATTACAAGACTGGCTTGTCGCCATCGCGAACGACCAGATCACCATCATTGACGACAATCCCGAGACCGGAGCAGTATCATTCCTCACGCGCTTCCGGACCGAATATGAACCCCTCGTCACACCTGCGTATCTCGTCACGAGTCAAAGCGAGCACGATAACCTGCAGAACGGATACGTCGATCTGGCCACCTACGGTATGCACTTGTTCGCCTCGGTCATCTTCGCAACGGATATCAAACCGGTGTTGTCAGAATTTTTCACGCCGGCGTGGTACGGCAAGATGCCGGGCACGATGGCGTCTATCACGACCACTTTCGAAGACTATCTCAAGGACTACACTTCAGTGCTACACCCATCGCTCCGTGACGTTCTTGTCGAAGAGCTTTCCGACGCGCTACTCGTGCGCTATCTGGGATGCGCCAAGAACAAGAATGTGAAATTCAGGCGGCAGGATCCTTTTACCGACAAGATTCGCGACGACATTGTCACCGTCTTCAATTTTTTCAACCAATTCGGCGCGACATTCGACCTAGTAAAGGACAAATGGAGAGCGGTGAATGCGTTTGAGAACCTATTGAGCGCGGACAAAGGCGCCGGCGTGCTCGAGGCGTTTACCAGGCTGAAAGGACAGTACTGGGATGTGCAAATCGGTTGGTTAGAGGCAGTCCTGCGCAGTCGTGATGATTTTGATCGGGCCATGCTCAGTGGAGTCAAAGCCAAGGCTGCCGAGCTCAGTCTGGAACGCGGCGCAGAGGCGACGGTGATGAGCAAGGTGAGATGAAAAGCCCGCACAGACGTGTAGCTTGTGGCCTTCCGCTTCGGATTTGTTCGGGCATCGATCCAAGTGCGACAAGATTAGATGCGACATTGGGCTACTCGACATCGAGACTGCGCCAACCATGACCTGATTGAGGACACGCTGTTGTCGCACAAAAGCTGTGTCATACTCGCATCAAGACGAGGAAAAGCCCAACCCCGAATCCAACGTGGCACGACAGAAGCTAGTCAGTCTCATCCCAATTTCCGTGTCGTTGCGCAGAATTATTAGTTGTTGAGTGTGCACACGACAAGACGCGAAACGACTGGTCAGAAGAAGGAAGGGAGAGAAGAGTCATCACAACCTTTGTGGGTAACTGTTCAGCATGTGCTAGGCTGGATCCCTCAATTCAGAGCGAGCCATTCTTACAGCACAACTAACCATGGAGTTGGTGATTGGGTGACAGCTTGTGGCAGCTTATCGTCACCTCTCACGCAAGGATCATAGCGTGCAAAATCCTCACAGTGCCAGCACACTCAACGACTTTGCTTTTTTCCAAGACCATGGGACATTATCACCTGGTGACGTGGGACGTGGAATGCGGCACAATTTCAGCGGTGAGGATCACGATCTCTACGGGACCACAAGAATAGCATCGAGCTGGAAGGATTATTTCGGGTAGTGCGAGAAGCGAACACGACATCGCGGTGAGTCGCACTGAGGTTGCCTGTGATGGACGAACATGTACTGCGGCGCATCCAGCATGACCAATCGAAGCGCACTCGTTTTGGCGCCGTCTGGCGGCAGGCTGGTCAGGTCCACAGCAGGATTTGAGCAGCCTGAGCGAATGGTTGATTCTACAAGCTTTGTCCGAGTAACTAGAAGGACTTCCGTGCGTGCAATTGCAATTGCGAAGATATGTAATAATTTACCATCAGGGCTGGGCAAGATTTCTCATGAAGATCTTCGACTATGCATGATTGATGAATGTGCTCTCGGGTCCCAGACAAGAGCATGTACGGTGTCGGTCAAGCCGGACGGGGTACTCCGACTGCTGAATAAAAACGACCTTGGAAAAACCTCTGCATCGCAGCATAACGAGTGGGCAGGTCATGTATTAGTCTTCCATGAAATGAACTATCTGATGATTCATCCGTGAGCCCCGTCTGATTTGACCGATGGCTGATGCGACAGACGATAGGCATGTGCTGTACTAACCAGACCGAAGGTGCATCTAGACGGTGTATTTCTGTTTGTCGTGTTAATGACAACTGCAGCATGCACATGCATGCACGGTGTGTCCATAATCACCTCACGCCTGCATCAAGTCCAGCATGTATCGGCACGGCGCATGCATGCATGAAACTCTGACGTGGCACTCTCGTGTCGCAGAAGAGTGGCCGACAGTTCACGAGAGGCGGACGGCGACGACGGCGAGGATCGTTGCCAGATCCAATCGCGTTTCAGAACACAAGCAATGCACGTTCCCGGCGGGCTCCGATCCTGGCATAGCGCGGAGTTGAGAAGCAGAAAGGAGGAGGCCAATGCAGAGATGCGCAGCTCATCACACAGTATCACACAGTCCGCCCGTTCGGCTTCGTAACACCGCTGCACGGGTGGGTCATTCCGTGTCATCATCGGTGGAGATGCATTTCCTGGGAGGTTCTTGTCATGCTCCAGCATCACACGGTGAAAAATTGTCCTGTCTGGCCAGTTGAGCCATCAGATGATACAGTGGCATTGTCCGTATATACATCTCTTTGTTCTGGTACATTTCAGTATCAACCAGGCACCTGGGTATACAGAGTATACAGAGTATGGCGGCAATCTCGTCACAGACGAAGACATTATGATCACACCCGTGCACAGGAGGAAGCCACGGAAAAAAATCTTGGTGGTGCGTAAAATTGGCGGTCTCTCTGCGCTGTCCCCCCTCCTCAAGCAGGTTTTTGGTTTTTCTTCCTCCACCACCACGGCGGGCACCACCCACACTCCACATTCCACACACACACTAAGCTTCCACACACCTCACTGCAGCGCCCGGATTTCCCCCCCCCCTTCTCCTTCGCTCTCTGTGCTCCTTTCCCTCCCATTTCCCATATGAACCGTCCTGCCCGCGACCGCCCAGCTTTTTCCCTTTCGAAACCTTCTTCTCCTTTCCCACTGTACTCACACACAAGAAGAACATACTACATACACACACACTCGTCTTGTCCTAAGCAGGTTGACGAGTCTATCGCTCCCCTTATCATTCCTCCCAACCCTCGAAGAAAGAAAGAAGAAAAAACATCCCCGAGGACCAAAAGTCTCCTCCTTTTCGAGCCATCGTCTGCTTTCCATCTTTGGAGTGTCTTTCGTTGCGTCTGCGTGCCATCTGGACCCGGATTCTTTTGCTTTTCTTGCTCCTCCCGCCACTTCTATTGGATTGCCCGCAAGGACCCGTTCTCCATTTTCCAGGATGACATTTCGCAACCGCGACGAGACTTTTTCCCCTACCAGGTATTCCTTTTTTCCGTATTCTCATCGCGTTGCGTTTCTCGTTTTTTGCTCTTCTCTCGGTCTTTCTTGCTTGCTCTGGCATCTGCGTACGTCTATTTCCTCGGTCATCTGGCGTCGCCTGAAACAGGATTGTCCGCCGGCACCCCTGGAGACAGTTCTGGAAGGACTTCGCCCACCACTATTTGCCAAGGCTCCTGGACCATTGGATCATGCCGGATTTCGTAGCAGCTCTCCATTGAACCTGCCTGCGCATATCCACCGAACGAAGGACCTCGGATTTCATGGACCTCCCGGATCGAACGTTCTTTGGGCCAATGACCAATTCCTGGGTCTGTACTTCGGTACTCGTAGGCTGACTTGAAAGTCGATAATCTAAGCATGATTGTTGACTGCTCAATGAAGCTCATCATCCAGGACGGAACGGTGATTTCCGGATACCCTTGACTCTTTGGACTCCTGTGCTGCGTCTTTGCTCCTGATTCGGTGCCATCGTTTGCTCTAGACTTTTTGCCCGGGATCGTCCACACTTCCCGTTCGATCATTCTGCCTGCTTACGACTTCACCGCCGACCGCGCGCATGAGACTGACTTGTCATGCTCTTCCTCATGCCGCCATAACTCCTGGAACACGCTCGGCCCTATTCGGATTTTTCACCTCGCCGGCAGCTAACATGATCCAATTTGTTTATGCTTGTTGTTTCTCTTTGCTTACAGCACTTGCAACACTCACTGTATTGTGGACGATGACTGACTCTTCTTATATTCAGTGAGGTTTTTTCACCATTCTCACCTGGGTCTGTGCTGTTCTCTGAGCCCTCAGAAGAGGATCAGTGGTCACGGCCTGTGCCTTCACATCTCCCTCCCACGCCGGAATCTGATTGTTTCCTTTCCGATTTCTGCCAGGATTTAAACCCGGAAATGAGCCGCGACATGAGCCTCCCATATGACTGGACCCCGACCACATCGTCAGAGGACACATGGACCACCACATCTGCACCTGTAGAACGGAATACCATGCCCTACGAGACTTCTCTGTGGCCCACTTCCGGATATGCTGCCTACCAGGACTTGCCTTCATCGGATGACGCCGCATGGTATCCCGCCGTTCATGGATCTGTAGTAGGCTTGTCGCCTGTTCTGAGTCAAATGAGCCAGAACTCGCACACCCTTCATTTCTTTCCCGAATTGGATACCTTCCCCACCGGACATAAAGTGGACCATTTCCCTCTGCCAAGTGAGGCCCATCAGTGGAACTTATCGGACGGCCTTGCTCTTGGAAGTTTCTTGACCCCGGATGCGTGCTCGTCTTTGTCCCAAGGCCTGCCTTCGTCCGAGACCACATTTCCTGATCTCTCCGTGGACTCTCCAGCGCTCTGCGCCGTGCAGCAGCCGCTGCTCTTGTTTCCTGATGGCCAGTCTTGTGAATCCCGGAGATCTTTCTCCGAACCAAATGTTGGCCACGGACGCCGCCTTTTGCCCAGGACACCTCAGGCCCTACCGATGTCGCGTTCACAGTCCAGCTCACAATATCGCGCTATCCAGCCGCATTCAGTGGTCGCCTCCTCCACATTTGCTGAGACCGAGGGTAACATTCCGGTGCTGCCGAAAGCTCCAGCGTCTCGGGGAGCGACCCTCTCAGAGCCTCTCGCTGCTTCCGTGTGCCGGCCGACAGCTACTTCCGAGGTAGCTTATGCTCAGGATCAATTGTCAGGCCCAGAGGTGTCGTCTGCCATTAATTCTGGTCTTCCGGCCGTTTATCTGCAAACTGCGGACTTCGAGGACTACCGATATCACGGTGAATTCGACCAAACTTGTGCACAGCCGACAAGGTAAGAACGCAGAACGAATCAGTCGAAGCAACGCCAGACACTGACCATACCAAAGCCATATCTTTGCATACAATCTTCCCCAGACTTACCCGATGAGCATCTCGGCGGGCAGTGCACAATCTACCTGTCGCCTTAATGTTACCACAACAAGCCTATCTACGGAGGGTGACGAAGGTCGCTACCGCACAAACGCTCTCTACAAGGAAGGCCCGAAGGCAGATGGTCTCTATCACTGCTACTACGAGGGAGATGCGTCGAATCCATGCACCCACAAGCCAACGAAGCTGAAGTGCAACTATGAGTACGTTCATCGTCTACCAACGAAGTGAAAAGCGCGACCCGTGCTCGCACATGTAATACAAAGCTAACCTCTTCCGCAGCAAGTACATTGACTCCCACCTCAAGCCTTTCCGCTGCAAGGACGGTGCCTGCTCAAAGCAACAATTCTCCTCCATGGCCTGCGTCTTGCGCCACGAACGGGAAGCGCACGGTCTGCACGGCCACGGCGATCGCCCTTTCCCTTGCCGATACGTTGGCTGCGAGCGCTCCCAGCTCCGTAACGGCTTCCCGCGCAAGTACAACCTCTACGACCACATGCGCCGCGTACACGGCTGGAAAGAGGACGAGGCAGCACAGGAGCAGGAGAACGGCAGTCTGTCGGCCGCGAACGTACGGAAGAACGCTCCGAGGAAGCGCAAGGCTTCTGCGAGCTCGTCGCAGAGCGAGCCGCCGGCGCGCAAGTTGAAGAGCGAGTTGGCAGTGTGAGGCAGTCTTGAGTAAGGGAACTCTCCCACCCCAGCTACTCAACACCATATGCCTCGCTCCGTCCTCACATATCTCGGACGTGAGCAGAAACGCCTGCCACCTCCCGCCGCCTCAGCTCCGCCGGCTACGCGATTACACGCGTTGAATTGACCAGCATGGTAAGCCAAGCGTCCAACAAGCTCCTTTACTTGATCTTTTGCTAACATCAGGTTCCAGATTCTCATTATGATTGCACAATCGAAGACGTCATTTTTTCGGATTGTACGCGCGAGTTACCGCCTGAGCTTGCAAAGGCACCAACGGGACGAGCTCTCTATGATTCGCGACAGATCCCGCTCCGTGCTGCTTCTTTGCGCGGAGCGAGATCTCTCGCCATTCCAAGAGCTCGGCGAACTTTGGTCCCCTATTGCTGTGCTCTAATGGAATCAGCTGCTGGTCACACACAAGTCCTCGACGGTCTCAGAGCCCTGGGCCTCGCAATGTTGATCCTTGTGCAGATTGTTGAAATTCCCTTGTTTTCTATGTCAGCAAAATTGCGACGCGAATTTTGTTTCGTTTTGATTTTAGACACTTGACTGAGATTTCTGTTGTTTATGAATGAGAAGTTTCCAAACTCAACGCGATGTTAAATATCATTTCATTCCCCAACACAACAAGGACACTCGAAATCTACGACCTGCCCGAGGATGCAACCCAATGAGAGGAAAGTCGTCGGAGTGACAGGTATCAAATCAATCATCGGGTGGTCCATTCGATTTGGCCGAGACGAACTGACTTGCTGCGCGAACCAGCACCTGGGCAAGCACCTTTACTCGACATCTTTATGATACAACTACGGTTCTGCGATGCGACTTTCTTGAAATCACAACGGTCCGTCGGCAAAACAATAAATATTTTAAAGATAAGTGTGATTTCACGGTAAAGAGAAAGCAATCATTTCCGCTCGTCTATGTCTATCTACTTGTCGCCAAACCGCCCCACTACCATATCAGCTTGAACACCGCAAACCACGCATATACTAGAGGTGTCATTAGCCACGATACCGCTGTCGGCGACGGCCCTCGAATCGCTCGGAGCATCAACGGCTCGATGCAGGAACGCGGCGCGCCGGGCGTGTTGAAATTGTAGTTCATCATGTCAAAGGTCATCTCTTGCGTGGCCGTCGCGCGCTCGAACATCTCCTGCTCAAAGCGGGAGACCCCTTGGTCAAGAGCTTGTGAAATCAGTTCCGCATCCGAGGCATGCGAGGCCGCGGAGATGATCGCATCGGATAGCTTCATGGCATCTTCCAGGGCCAGATTGACACCCTCCCCTGCAAAAGGCGTCATGACGTGTGCTGCATCTCCAATCAAAGTCACGCCGCGGCGGTGCGGCCAGCTGTGCCCGATGGGTAGCATGTAAAGATCTCGCGCTGTGACGTGGTCTTCGCTGGCGTGGATCAGCGCCAGCAAGTCGGGGTGCCAGCCGGCAAATTCCTCCATGCAATCTTTACGCACGGCGGCAATATCCCTAGTGTTGTGGGTGGCTTGCCAATCGGGTTCCCGCTTGCTCCATGTGTAGACTTGAATGCTGCCGTCGCCGTTGTATTGGCCCATGAGGCTCTTGCCGTCGGACCAGGTGAAAAGACTGCCACGATTCACGACCTTGTGTAGTTTCGGGTGATTTTCTTCTGCGTTTATGATTGTCATTGCGTAGCCTCCGATCCCTGTGTAGAAAGGTTTGACCGCGCTCAGATACGGACGAGCTTTGGACCATGCCCCATCTGCGCCAACGATGAGATCAAAGCCGCCCTGTGTGGTACCGTCCGCGAAGCAGATGCTACGATCTTCGTCAATATTGGTGACCTTCTTGTTCCATTGGACCGTGCCTTCGAGCAGGCTGTCGAAGAGCAGCTTCCGTAGCACTGGTCGATCAATCTCAGGTCTGTTGCCAAGGACTCCCGCTGGCTGTGATGATGAGTTAGAAGAGGTGGAGCCGTTGATTCGAACATAGCATAATAAGTTCTTGTCTGCGATCTTGAGTGCTTCGCCGTCGTAGCGTGCATGTTTCAGAAATTCGTCGCGAAGTCCAGCTTTCCGCAAAGCAGCCTGGCCAGTCTCTTCGTGAAGGTCAAGGGATCCTCCCTGAGATCGGAAATCCAATCCCGCCTCTCCTTCGAAGATTGTGACTGAGATCTGATCGTTTCCTTGCTGTAGCAAGCGGGCGAGTGTGCAACCTGCTGGGCCGGCGCCGAGGATGGCAATCTTCATCGGCATTGCGGGTGCGTTTGTTTAGTATTGTCAAAGTGGTATGTTCAAGACGTAGAAGCTCTTGCTTTTCGTTGTGAATGTTTCTGACAAGGGAACGAATCCCTCCTGGAGATCTGGTCATGTTATACACCTGCGCTCCCTACAAACCAGATCTTCATCCTGCGTGTTTTTGGCTTCGGGCTGACACCGCCGCATACACCGACCGCATACCTCCGATGATGCCGTGAGGCTGTGGTTTAGAGCTACAAAAAATAGCGGCCATTGAACTTCGTCTTCGCACATTCGGGGTTATATCAGCGAGAGAGCGATCTGACATGTTTATTGTTAGGTGGTGGTGTGGTTGGCCTGTAGGCGGCGGTTGGCGGAGAAGGCACGTGCACGAAAGGGTCGGACCCACGGTGTCTAAAACGCCGACATCAAATCCTAAATTTATCGAGAATAACTCTGCTAGACACGCTTGGGCTGATTTCTGGCTGTCCTTCAAACGTTTGCCCTAGAATGAGCATTTAGCACAAGTCGTTCCACATGTGGAAGCAGAGAAGCAAGTGCCCACATCATGGCTGGCGGCGTGCGTTCGAAATCTAATCAAAATGTGCGCTCGAAGACGAGCTCGACGAAAAAGTCGAGTAATGCTACCACGCAGAAACCCAGCGTAGACCGTCCGCGCCCGCAGGAGGCGTCTGTCGTCGATATTCCGGCATATGTGCAACAGGCCGCGTTGAATATCTTCCGCGATCATCTGCATCCGACCGACGAGGATGTCCAGCTGCTCCAAGAAATCAAGACGCATCTTTTCAATCGAGACTTCGCGACTACCTTCTCCAAACAGGAGTATCTGCGCGTCTATGCTTCTCGTTGGAGCCCGAGCCGTGCCCTAGGGTATCTAGAAATCTTTTCAGAAATAGCAGCTCATGTTCAGGTACCTTCAACAGGTGGCGAAGATGGCGAAAGGATCAGTACCAAGATTGTTTGCCTCGGTGGCGGAGCAGGCGCAGAGATCGTAGGCCTTGGAGCGTGGCTCAGCCTAAGTCCTCCTGGTGATCTCTACGCACAAAAGTTCGAGGCGCACTTCATTGATATCGCTGCATGGGGCGAGGTGATCAATGCATTGCACAAAGGCATTGTGGAGCCGCCGCCTCTCTCAAAGTATGCTTCTGCGGCCGTGAGAGAGTCGAATGCCGCTCTGCTCCTTGGAGATGTCTTCTCCTCGAGCTTTTCTCAATTTGATGTGCTATCTACTTCGGACGGCCCCTTCGCCGCTCAGATTCAGAACGCAGACCTGGTCACTCTGATGTTCACTCTGAATGAACTATATACGTGCTCGATTTCGAAGACGCAGTCACTGCTTGTCCAGCTGACAAAGAACATGCGCACTGGCACACATCTCCTTGTTGTGGACAGTCCCGGAAGCTATTCTACCGTTTCCATAAACGGGGCAGAGAAGAAGTATCCCATGCAATGGCTTTTGGACCATACTTTGCTGGACAGCGAGCCGCACAAGCGAGGGTCAGATGTCTTGCCCAAATGGTCCAAGGTCTTATCAGAAGAATCTAGATGGTTTAGATTGCCGCCGGGTCTGGAATATCCAATACCTCTAGAGCACATGCGTTACCAAATACATATGTACAAGAGAAACCAAGACCAAGGAGAAGAAGTCGTTACATGAGTGACCTTCATCACAACACATCCCACCCGAGGGAGGGCCAATTTGGCCGCTTCATCGCCGTCGGACGCTGAAGCTCATAGATACGTCCTCGCCAGGCTTTGGTGCCAACTCGAGTCTCTCAAACTTTGCGCCTGTCATGGTGACATTGACATCAAACTCAACATGCATTTCATTTCCGATTTCGGTCCAGAATTGTTCCCAAGACTCTGCAGAATGCCAGAACTTAGCTGAAGGCCCGAATTTCCCGGTCGTGTCGCCTGCAACCACCTGTGCTCTATGACGACCGACTATCAAGCTGTTAGCTTGTGGCCGCAATAGCTTGACACACTGCCTCGCGATCTGCAGTTGCTCATCTCGAGTGAACAAGTGGAAGAAGGAGCTGGCGTTGATGACATCGATTTTGCCGTACAGCTGCGTGAGCGGGCTTTCGGCGTCGAAAACGTCTGCTGCGATGAATTTGCTGTGCAAGGTCTCACGATCGCGGAACAACTCATATCCCAGATCGATCAGATCAAGTCGGAGATCTGACCCGTAGCACTGTCGACCATCCACGCCATCAGCGACCAAGCGGCGAAGATCTTGCGCGAAAGCACAGCCGAGATCGAGCAAGGTCGCGCCGTCTTTTTTCATGCGTGATAGGATCTCTGGATAGAGCTTGTGGGAACCTATGGCGAGTTGGAGGAAACGACCTTCGCCGATGCATGGGTAGGGATGGATAGCAAAGGCTTTGTCCCGCTATTGTGAGTGTCAGCTGGAACGATCAATCCTCATGGAAGTGCCATGCAACAAACCACGGCGTAGATATGTGGCTCCACCTCTGCCGGCGGGATCTTGCTATAGTTCTCCAATACTTGGCGAGTACTTGGGCTGATAACCTGGCTCAGATCCTCGTCGTAGCGAAGATGTCCATGTTTCTGCAAATGCTCCCGTATGTCAGACATGGCGGCTAATAATGGACTACACAAGAGCGGGAATGCTGTTTCTCAAATGGAGACGAGGAGAACTGTGGTGATTACAGGCCTCTCGCGACAACACATTTATACTACAACGCTGGTGTCAACGAGCCGCAGAGATGACAAACGCGTCTTCAAGAAGTGCCCAGGTGGTATACGTGCGTCATGGACCAGCGCCCATTGCCGCCAGATCTCAGACACACGAGCCGGTCCGACATTGGTTGAATAAGAGTCGACAGCAGCTCTTTGATTTTTGCTCAGATATAATTATACATATACATATATGAACATAGAACATACACCAGTGGTGATATATCGTTACTGCAGGTCCATGTGAAGTTTGATTGTGCATTCCCTGCTCTTCGGGTGACAATGTATGGCCAACGACCCCCACCATCAAATCCCATTGGGGACATTGCACCCATTGACCCCACCTGTGACGTCCCTGTCTCCTCCGCAACGCGACGAGAAGGAGGGCAAAAAAATCTTTTGTTTTTTTTGATTCGAAGCTTCCCAATCAAGACTTGGGCATCCGCGCGATGTGACAAGGTCGGGCGCGCATGAATTTTCTGCGGGTCACTATTACATGCCGACGGGCAGTGAGCCGGCAAAGACTTGGCCAGTTCGATCATAATAATACCGCTGCTGCTGCTGCTGCTGCTCGAAACGCTAGACTGTTCTCCTCCCGAATCAATCCCTACTCGTATTGCTTGGGTCGTCCATCAAAACGACCGTTGCTTCCTGTGACCCCTCCTCTGTTGCGTCTTCCACTGTCATCACACTCGACATATACCACCACCACCATCACCACCACCATGTCCACCGAGATCACCCACCCCACCATCGTCGATGGCTGGTTCCGCGAGATCAGCGACATGTGGCCCGGCCAGGCCATGACGCTGCGGGTCAAGAAAGTGGTGCACCACGAGAAGAGCAAATACCAGGACGTGCTGATCTTCGAGAGCACCAACCACGGGATGGTGTTGGTCCTCGATAACGTGATCCAATGCACGGAGCGGGACGAGTTCTCCTACCAGGAGATGATCACGCACCTGGGGATGTTCTCGCACCCGGAGCCGAAGCGCGTGCTGGTGATCGGCGGCGGCGACGGCGGCGTGCTGCGCGAGGTGGTTAAGCACGAGAGCGTCGAGGAGGCGGTGCTGTGCGACATCGACGAGGCCGTCATCCGCCTGAGCAAGCAGTACCTCCCCGAGATGAGCGTCAGCTACCAGCACCCCAAGGTCAAGGTCCACGTCGGCGATGGCTTCAAATTCCTGGAGGACTACAAGGACGCGTTCGATGTCATCATCACCGACTCGTCGGACCCGGAGGGCCCGGCCGAGAGCTTGTTCCAGAAGCCGTACTTCGAGTTGCTGCACGGCGCCCTCCGCGAAGGCGGTGTCATTACTACCCAAGGTTGTAAGCCCTTTCCCTAAGACTTCTCTGCATTTGCTGAAGAAAGGAGGTGGCTCGTTGCTGCTACTGCTGCTGCTGCTGCTTCTCTTGTTGCTGGCAATTCGGCTCTCGTGATGGGCTGCTAGCTTATTCCCTCCACCTGCTATAAGCCAGACTGTCCGCGAAAATTGCCTCTGCAAAATCACTGACATTTCCCATTTCACATAGCCGAGAACCCATGGCTCCACCTCAGTATGATCAAGAACCTCAAGGCCTCGGTCAAGCAGGTGTTCCCCGTGGCCGAGTACGGCTGGACCACCATCCCGACCTACCCGAGCGGTCAGATCGGCTTCATGGTCTGCACCAAGGACGGCAGCCGCGATGTCACCAAGCCGCTCCGTTCGCTGAGCGACGCTGAGGAGGACCGCCTCTTCCGATACTACAGCAAGAAGGTCCACGAGGCCGCTTTCGTCCTTCCCAAGTTCGCCGAGAAAGAGCTGCGGTGAGGCGCTGGAGGAGAGATGGTAGGGGCAACGAACGCCCGCGACTGAGGATGGATGCATGGCGAGTAGCAAACATCGCAAAGGACGGGTCTGCACACGTAGTCGATCAGTAGCGGCAGGCCTGCATGGCTGGCTCATAGGATAGAAAAATATACCAATGCGGTGTTCGCCACAGTATGACCACGCAGGACGATGTAACCTGGTAGATTTCCAAGGTTCGCAACGACTTCGTGGTCGCGCGCATAGGTCCCACACACGACCCTTTCTGATGTGCTGCATTGCAAGCATGGATGAGCGACAGGACTTCACGATGGCACAGGAATGAAGTATGGTCGTAAAAGTTCTTGGTTTCAAGCTATGGTATCAGAAGGGGGTTCACTGATCGCGATCCTCCTGCTTTCCTTCTTCCTGACAAGAGACTTTTTTAATCTGTCACAAGAGACACTTCACCAGCAACCTCACACAGCCCCATCAACGTCGAGTAAGCATTGAATCTTCCACACCTATCTCCTGCCGAGCTCGGACCACCGTGTGGACACGATTGATCATGGCGGCGTTGGACAGAGCGGAGCGTCTGGTCAAGCGGACACTCGCATGACATTCGGCTTGCGCGAGGATCGCATGACTTCGGTGTAGATGTGAGAGGTATTCGACATAGGAAAAAAATCGGCTCGCGCAGCGATGAAGCAAGATTGGGTATCGCTTGGAAAGCAGAGGAAACAGGTGGATATTAGGTGAGAGGGAGGTCCGGTCGCTTCATTCAGTTGAGGTCTGCATCTCTTTGGCTTTGACTAGAGACGTGTGCGCGGTGCGGCGCGCGCGCGTTGCGTCGTCTAATACTTGAGGATGATGTAGCTGCGCGACAAGTCAGCATATATATATTGGCGCATGGAGATTTCTCGGGACAGCGCGCAGGCGCGCCTGCTTCGTAAGGCGTTCCCGTGGAAGTTCAGAGGTGAGATACGTACAGCGCGTGGATGATACCGGGGATGTAACCCAAGCAGGTCAAGATGATGTTGATCAAGAGATCGGCGCCGCAGCCGCGCTCGAGGAAGACGCCGAGCGGGGGCAGGAGGATGGCAAGAATGATCTTGATGATGTCGCTGGAGGATTCGGTCAGAAAAGTGTTCGGTTGCGCGGGCGCAGATCCAAGCTTGATAGGAGAGGAAACATGACGAGTCGCTTCTCGCGCGACGCGGAGCTTTTCGACAGCGACACGCCGCTCCCCTCCCAAGCTCGGATCGCGCATGAATCGCAATGCAGGCACGAGACTTACCTTCCGGTGAAAGGCATTTTGGCTGAGGTTTGGGGGGTTGAGGATTAGGTTGTGGGAGTGTTGTTATGATTGTTGTTGAAGTTGTGGTCGTTGGTGATCGTAGGAAGAGGAAAGAGAAGCAAAGGAAGAGCAGAGGGGTGGTTGGGCGATTAATATTACTATGACGAGGAAGGAAGACGTTAGATCTCGTCACTAGACTGTCTTGGAAGAATGCCCTATTCCTGCTCTGTGGGTAAGTACCAGTCTACCACTTCTACTACTGCTGCTGCTGCTACTGTACTGTTCTGCGCTATGCAAGAAGGTGGTCGGTGTATGCCTCTGTGCATTCTATTACAGTATCTCTCGAAAAGCTTGTGCGAGGGCGAGACCGGAAGGCCGCCCGAATCTGCAACAGGACCACCATTACCACCATCATCACCACCCTACCACCATTCTCAGCTGCGAAGACGCCCAGGCCAAATGAACCATGGTGATGACGATGCGCCCGCTTGGGATTCGTCACTGCTCTCGAGGAAAGCGAGTCGGTGGCTTGGTTATTGGCTGCCCACGAATGAATGTCAATCATCACATGTGCAGTCCCGCACCATCATCCGCTCGTCATTGGGGAGAAGCACCACCCATAGAAACATCATCACCGCATTCTTTCACTACTACTACTACTACTACTACTACTACTACTACTACTACTACTACCACCACTACTACTTCAGACATACGATTTCTTGTTCCGTATGATTACTTCCAATGTGAGTGGTATCCGCTGCTGCCGACACTGCCGCCGTCGCCTCTACTACAAGGCATACTTGGACATCTTGGCACCTGCGTACTACTTACAATTCATCGGTCTCCGGCACTATGGTGACACACTGAACGTCACCTCGTCTCGACGACCATTTCGCTACGTAACTGGGCAGGTAGGAAGGGAGGAGGAGGTACATGTGCTGTATGTATCATGTGTACAATCGCGATTGCGGTGGTAATCATCCCCCAGCGACGATGAACAGTAAATAAATAAAGTTGGCAAGAAAGCCTCGGACAAACATCGGATTGACGTCATCTGCGCGCGTGCGCCCCGAGCTTTTCTCGGTAGGTGCCGTGTAAACTTTCGGCCGTTGGTCTGCATGCAAACATTGGCGCTTCCAAGATTTCTCCCTCACACACACACACTCTCTCTCTCTCGCTGTCTGTCTACCTAGGTGTCTCTCTGTCTCTTCCGCCCGTTGAAAGTCACTCATCATGCCTCATCGTGCCTCACTTCATAATAAAATAAGTCTATACAATGACCACCTGGCACACAGTATCAAATCCTACGATCTCGAGAAATTCGAGAGGCTGACACACACCACCATCCACTCGACACTATACCTGCTTGGCGCTTGCGTGGCCACGTTCGACCCACAGCGACATGATGTCTGCCATGCGTGCCTAGCGACATGGATGGTCCCTCCGCACCAAGTGACTACTGGATGACCTGTCCAGCGGCGAAGAGTGGTGCTGCTCCAATCCACCTGGTGCATTTGTGCGAGTGCGCTACAGGCATCGTTTGCTGTTCACGCTTGCAACGCGATACGTATCATGCCCAGCACTGTATCGACCCTATCTAGAACTGCCGACATACCTAGGTAGTCAAGCAAGTCCATCGTCGCCGTCCTCTTCGCCCAGAGATGTCCATGGCGCAATCCAAACAACTTGTCGCATACGGACTGGAGTGATGATCGATCGAAGCACAGACAACACGCTCATCATTGTAGATTGGCACGAGCGTCGGCGATGACGTCTCTCCACCGTTGCTGGTTGTATGCGTATACAGAGTGTGGCAGTGTCCATTACGCCAATTGCTCCGTCTAGCTAGGTACGGAGCAGGTAGGCAAGAGTGCGCATACAGGCGATGTCGTTGCAGTGAAATTGTAAATGATCTGCGGATTGAAGGACAGTAAACAGAGTGGAAATCCATCCGGTCTGTCCTCGGACGACCTGCGCCACACAGCACACACGTTCATGACGCGGCGAGCCAGTCATCGCGCGGTATTGTACGCAGCACCGCCACAACCACCACGACACGCAATTCATGGTGGTGCAGCAGGAACCGTGGATAGCCGTGTCGATCAATACCCACTACAGCACGTGCATCCTTGGTGAATCAACATGGGTAGTAGGGGAGAGACAACTCCACCATCATCCCGTCTCGTGTTCCACCCCAGGTCGGTCTGCTACAGTAGAACATCACAGCGATACATACGCCCTGAGTACTGGTTTACCTGCGGACACACGTGTGCACGCCCCAGCCTCCTTTGACCTAGTCTACCGACCGAAACCAGATGCCCGCAAACACGTTTCACCACTTCCTTCACCTCGAGTGATGGCTGAGCGCCAGCACTGCAACCCCTCTTCCTCTACAACGCCTCACTTCTCCTCGAGAGGACCTCGAGAGGGCAGACACATTGTGGATCGTGAGCGATCAGCAGACCGCGTAGCAGGCATTGGCATCATGGCTTTCGTACAAGAGCATACCCGGCAAGGGTGTCGGGAAGAGCGACGAACGAGCCTCTGTAGCGTCACCATCTCAGCAAACATCGAAAATTGGAGAGGATGGCAAAGGGAGGGAAGCCACGCGAACGTAGATCGTTGACCGGCTCCGACTGCCAATCATTCCCCCGTAGGAGAGACATCCGAATCAAGGTCCGAGATGTTGATCTATTTCTCATGGGCCTCCCGCGAAGCCCGACGAGGAGCTCCACGTGTCGGCACCAAAGACCCCGTAGAACCGTCTTGCCTCAGGGGGAAATCCACATCATAGGAACTTGGAAGGGGCCGTTTTCGGTGAGGCGCGAGCACTCTCCTTTCACCCTTGAGAGGATGGGATGACAAGTCATGTGAAAAAGGCAAAGGTGTTTTTTTTCCGGAAGGGATCGTAGAAATCAAATGACATTGTTGAATTCAAGGCAGTACGAAAAAGAAAGGAAGAAGAATCTCTATGAGCCACCGAACCCAAACTCCATGCTGCCTCCGAAACGCCCGTTGAAATGGAAGAGGAAAGAAAACGATCCGAGCAGGCCCCCGCCCACCCTGATGCCAGCAGGGTTTCCGGCGCGGAGAGTAAACCTCTCTCTCTCTCAAAGGAGGGGATCGAACAATGTATTACAATTATGTTGCGTGCGCCATCACATCGTGATGTTCCGCCGCTCGTGCCAAACGTGCCCTCGCAAATGCGAAAACTTCAGAAGGGGAAGGAGACTGACTGGGGGCTTTCCGTTGCACACCAATGTGCTAATCTCCAAGATCGCACCGGGGAAAAGAACGTCGATAGGAAAAGAATGATGAACGAGAGTTGTAGTGGTGGCTTCAGCATCGAGTCGGGACGAGGATAGAAGATCGTTGAGACGCTTTCTTTTGTCTCAAAAGGCGAATAGTCCGGATCGTTTCTTGCCGAACGGATAGACGACGACTGCGCTCAGGAACAGGCCGACGGTGATGCCGATGGCAATTTGAATGACCGAGGCTGCGACGTTGAAGATGACGGCATTCAACCCGCCTTGTGGTGATCCGAAGGATGTGCCGTTGATCACATTCGGACTGATGTAGCCGTGACCCGTGATCTGGTTGGCCGATGCGATTCCCGAGACCAGGGAGCCGTTCACCGACAGACCTCCCGGCACCTGCACAAAGATTGCCGGCAACATGGCAGCGGCCGCAAGACTGTAGCCAATCTTCCGCACGCGGGTCACTGGAGTGTTCGTCGTCGTCGTCGCGGCCGCGCCTTGTTCCATCGCGCTGGGTGTGTCGCGGGTGCTACTCCTCTCAAACACGAGCTTCCGCATTCCCTGCCACCACGGCAGCACGCGGTCTTCGAAGACGTCCAGGACCCAATTCTCGACCCGATGCCCCATCCTCGAGTAGACGTTCGCCAGGACGCCTATGACAAAGGCGCCGAGGGTGCTGCTGATCTGCGGACTGCCCGCGAACCGTTTCGAAGAGAAGAAAGATGTGAGGTAGCCGGCAAAGGCGAGAAAGACCATGACAGGAATCTGCCGCCATTTTGCCTGGTTGATGATTGAAGAACAAAAGGCAAAGCAAGGGACGAAGAAGAAGAACCAGTAGTTGGGTAACGGGTGGTGACATTTGGTGGCCGACGTGGCGTTTTCGTCGATGATGCCGTAGAAGGCCGTTCCCATCGTGATGCCGAAGCCGAGGAATAAGGAATAGATTATGGCGTATACCATTCGCACACTTCCCGCGACGATCGATCGCGATTGTAGCTCCAGCGATGCGCACAGGACCACGTATCCAGGTAGGATGAGTGCTATTGACGACTGCGCGAGGGCGGAGAAGCAGAAGAGGTTGCCACCATTGATGCTTCCGAACGCCCGCGCCAGGAACGAAGTGATCATCGCTGCGACGACCTCGAACACGTTGGCGTAAAGAGGTGACCGCGGCGCCACAATGAGCTGGAGAATCCCTAGGATGCAGCCCAATATAAAGGCGATGGGCAGGTCAATCAAACGCATGCCGAATCCAAAGGGACCGACGCACATGGTGGCGATTCCGTAGAAAAGAATGCGGAACCATATGCTGTGCTTGACTCCCCTCGATGTGATCTCCTTCAGCCTGAGCGTTGCATCTTCAACGCCGACGTGATCATGAACCTGATGATTACGTTAGCATTCCCTGTGTGTGTGACACAAGCCGATAAGGGTCTACTCACCACTTCCTTGTAGATCTCGTGGACGTCTCGCAATTTGCCCAGATCTAATCCTTGGGTGACTTTGACAAGCTTCACTTCGGCAGTATGCGTGTCGGTGTCGTCGAATGAGATGATCATGGCGCCTGGAATGTACAGGAATTGAGCATCGATCTCAAGCACTCCCGCCGTCATCATCATGTACTCTTCCAGACGGTGAGTCGGTGCTCCGTAAAGCATTAGCGCCTTGCATAAACGTAGCAAATATCGCTGTCGTTGAATCGTCTGTGCGATGTGTTTTGTGATTCTGACCTCCTCGTCCGTTCGTAACCGAGTACTCAGACGACGATTCAAGGCAGCAAGGGCAGCGTTGGCGCTCAACGAGCGCTTATTGATGCCGGACTTCTTTCCTTTCCTATCCTTTCTTCCATCATCGATTAGTCCTGCCGAACTAGGCTCTCGCGAGCCGATGAGCGTGCTGCTCGCCGAAGCCACGGAGAATCTGCGGGTCCGTCCATGTGAGTACCAATGGTTGCCCAAGGGAGTGGTCGTCTCTGCTGCAGTCGGGGAATGCGGAGGTGAGTGCCAGCCGTGCTCGGCGGAATTTGTATCTACGCTGAAGTTTTGCGTCACACGGAGCCTTCCGAATGGTCTGCTGCTGCTACCGCTAGTGTTGTTGGTGCTGCTGTTGCCATTCTGCTGTCCGTGTAATTTCAAAAGAGCAGCTAGGATACCGCTGCGGTAATTCTTTGGAGGTTCAGAGTAGTCGTCGACATCGTCAGGAACCGTAGGACCAGAACTTGACTGCCTCCGTTGCTGCTCCGGAGCCGGCGCCGGGTCTCGGCCCGCACTGGGCGGTACGGCATTCTCGTCGCCTTGCGTGATCTCTGTGACACGATACGTCGTACGTCGAACTGGTTCCGGCCTTGATGCACGCTGAGGTGAGCCAGATCTTGAGCCGGAATGTACCCACGCTCGTTCCTCGCGCTCCCGTCTTTCGACCTTCTCCGCAGTCTCTCGTACTCGATCAGCGATCAGTGAGCGGTAGCTCGTGTCACCACTATTCTCTTCATCGACGTTTGGCTCTATGGTCAACGTCACACTCAGACTCCTTATTGCAGGTCTCGGTCTTGTGGATTCAACGGTGCGGGATAGCGCTTGGTGAATTTGCTGGGTGATATGGGCGGAGAGCTCGGGAATGTCGCCCTGGTCGTCGAGAGTGGCGTCGAAAGGTCGCTCCGGAGAACTGCTGCTCTCTCGAGTCCGCGCTGGTGATGAGGTATGTATTGCGGTCGACCTTGATTGTCGATCTTCTTCAATGTCTGCGACCTCTGGCTCGTCATCAGAATCGCTCCTTTGAGGGTTCTGTATGCCGCTTGCAACACTGTTCCGCCGGCTGATCACGGTACTGGGCGATAGAGCATTGTTCTGATCTGTTATTGTCCGTTGTAATCTGGGCTCTGTAGATGTGCTGGCGAAAGGATCCGCAAATTCGATGACTGGAGAAGGCATGATTGGCAAATCCAGTATTGCCACTTAGCAAACCACCGTAGAACTTCTCGAATGGATGAGCGGTAATAACATCCGGGTTGATATGTTCCAGGGAGCCAGAATGATTTGAGAATGACAGCGCTCGCTGCTCACCGTTTAGTAGCTTGGCTTCACTTCAGGTCGCGCGTGGTCGTTGACAAGATGAGCGCAGGACTTCCAGGGAGATGTTAGCTGTATTTTTTGGTGAGAATCTCGGCCGTGATGTTGCTGTGAGGTAGATGAAAGCGTCACGATCAAGGGATCGTCTATTCTTTATTGGACGTTCTTGACGTGAGATCTTTGACTTCCGAAAAACTCGTGGGGGTGGGCCTCGACAGACTTGGGTTCGGATCAGGTAGTATATATCGCTCTAGTGATTTCGCGTCACGTAATAGGACGAATACCGCAACGATTGTGTCGTAGCCCTGAGACAGAGCAAGGAAAATAGTCCGAGGGGCTGGAGCACCCCGGTATATGTTTCGAAGCGAGCAGGCACTTGACGAGAGCAGGCACACCAGGGGTGCAGATCACATCAGTCGGGTAGCTTCGAGGGAGAAGAAGAGCAGATCGGTCCTCGTTGCAAGCAACGGCACGACCAGATCCGACACAACGTATACGGCACACCTCGCGGGCGAATCCATCGTAGACATGTCGAAGAAGCGTCAACATGCATGCCGAGCGGTGCCCTCTCACAGCGCATGTGTCGAGTTCATCGCAATACGAAGCGCTTGTTGTCGCAGACAGAAATCATGTCAATGTCACCTACCGTTGGAGACAATCGCCAGGAGCGTACGGACCGTTTGGGTACTGTCTGTCATTTCCTACCGGTATCAACGGAGCGTCCGACTCTGCGAGATCCCGCGCTCCCGGACTTCGATCAGCGATGAAAGCGGATCACGATGTCTGACACATGCGGGCCGGCCGCAAAACGGCATGTCAAGGTCAGATTGCAAGGCAACTCAGGAACCCCAGGTCTGAGACGAAAACGTGAAATGATTCAGAGCCTAAAGTAGTGAGAAGTCCTTGAAATGGCTCAGTCTCAAGCAGTTGGATGTGTTTTCCTGAAATGAATTCTGAAGTATCTGTGAGTTTGTATCATATATTTCAGTTCATCCCACTTCGCGGATGAGGATGTTCGCAAAGCTCTGCAGAAGATCGTGAGTACAGTGATGCTTCACGAAGCCGGCGCTCGTTATACCGTCCCCAGCGGGTGAGCCGTCGGGTTAGCCGGGACCGTCGCGGGAACCTCCAAACAGGCCAAAAACCTCGCTTTCTACCGAAGCCGTGGGTTTTGAGTGACCGCCGTCCTAAATTTGGGTGTAAACGAGCCAACCTTGGTGATATGACCTATATCATAGAGATTCTTGAAATTTGTCCTCTTTCTCGGGGACGAAGACGTCCGTTTGCCTGGCGCTATAGCTCACGTGACCCTCAGCTGGCCGGCGCCCTCGTATACACCGACGGTATGGCTGGCCCCGAGATGCCGGCCTAAACAGGGTCTTACTGACTGTATGCACAACGGAAAGCGATCGACCCGAGCTCGATCTTGTTGAACGTTGGAACGTATGCGGACCGCAATGCGTGGAGGGCGGGAGGCAAGGATGCGCTGGCATGCGTATGAGCGACAAAGAGATGGCAATGCATGAGCACATAGCGGGCGTGCATGCGATATGATCAACTGTGTTCGCGTCGCGGGACGCGCAACCCGCGCGCGCGGCCGATCTGACAGGCACGCCGATTTCCCGCGGTATCCCTGTTCATCATCGGGGCGCGGCGTTGAGCGTTGACAAGCTTGTGCAGGACGCAGAACTGGCCACAATTCGTCGACGACGACGGCGACATGCATTACCTGTCGCTGCCCAGGTGAGCAACGTCCTATCGGCTCATCATCGTATCCCCGTTCGGGATCAGCCGAATCAGGTGATTCGCTTCACAGGCCGCCCCTGCGTGACACAGTCGGCTCAGGTGCGATTGTCGCGCTGGACTCAGGCTGACTCCACTTGTAGACTGGAACGAGGCAGTAGAGGCAAGAATGTAAGTCAGATTATAGTCATGTTGCGAAGGAATACGAGTGATGTACTACAGCTACACGTAGGGTTCCATGTCTCGGGGAACTATGCGGGTACCTCTCTGCCGCCGCCCGCGCAACGGTCGGTGGTGCGCCATGATAGCCCTGGAAGTGGTAACTTGGAATAGGTGGCTCTGCGCACACGCAATGGAAAGTGTGTCCACGCAAATGGCCACCAGATGTAACGACACATGTGCATATGTAAATTGCAGAGAAGCGGTCGCACCTTGCGGCTCTTTTCTATGCTCATCCTTCTTGCCAAACTGGCGGTTCTTGCGAGCATGAGATCATGCACCCCTGCAACGTCTTGATCGACGCGCAATGTTTTCACGAGCGATCCTCAGACACGGCGTGCTTGAAACATGCCGTTGTGATCACCGGCCGAATTATGACGACACCAAGAACTACGGCGAAGCCGACCCTCGCGGACTCGTCCTAGGAAATCTCTCCCTAGAATGTGTGATCGTCCAGCGCGGACATTGCATGGGCAAGATTCGCCTGTCCGTCGGCGTCCGGTTGCATCATCATAGCGGTGTCGACAGATGATCAACCAGTTTCTAATTTCCTCTCACCGCCGTGGCTCGGGTTCGTGCCGCACCCGTGATATCTCAACCTTCGACAGACATGCGTGTAAACTCCGAAAGACACATACCTCACTTCTTGCTTCTCGAAGGGGCATGCCTCAAGTTTGAGGTCTCTCGTGGTTGCCGCCGCGTTCGGAATTAGTGCCTCCATATCCACTGATCATCTGGTAAGCGCACGTTCGAGTATGACGAACCTGCCGAGCATGACTCACCTGTCCTTCGTGCTCACGGTCTCGGCATCATCCTCAAAATCGATGTCAAACTCGGGATCTTTGTCGCCGCCGGCTGTGAGCTTCTCCTCGCTGTCCAGCTCGGCGCTCGTCCCCTCAGCGTTACCAGCCCACCCTTTCTGCTCTGCAGCTCTTGTGTTCCAGCGCAAAGTGCGGGAGATGCTATCAAACCACTCTAATGGCTGACCCATGACGGTAGGAAATGGATACCGTGACGCTCGAACGACGACTTCGTCTCCGCGACCTAGCTCGACCCGACCCTTGCCATCAAACGAGACGAAAGCGCTCCCTCGTCCAGTCGAGGGAATGGAGACTTTGAGCGCCATGTCATCGTTGAGTAGCATTGGTCTGAAAGACAAAGTGTGCGGGCAAATCGGAGTCAGCAATATAGCTGGTATGTCGGGATGCACCAGGCTACCGCCTGCACTCAACGAATACGCGGTGCTTCCCGTTGGCGTACTTAGGATGATTCCGTCGGCACTGATGCGTGTGAGGAGACTGTCATTGGCGTAGAGATCAAGACTCGAGATGTAGGAACTCGGCCCGCGGTCGATGACTAGCTCGTTCAAAACTTCATGTGATTCGCCTTCTATCTTGGCACTTTGCGGTTCCGGGTGAGATTGCGCGGCAATGGTCGAAAGGCTTGTTGTTGACGACGCAAGCGACATATTTGAGCTCGTGGTAGAGAAGGCCGGTGCTCGGTACACTGTGCAGGTAAACCGCATCCGTAGATTCACCTTCATCCCGCTGTCACCCATGACGTGGTTCAGCTGTTCCTTGTACCTCGAAAAATCAAAGTTCGTAAGGAAACCCAAGGAACCCAACGAGAAAGAAAGCACAGGCGGGACGATTCTTTGAAACAGCCAAGATGTGAATAGGACGGTGCCATCACCTCCAAGGGTAACGACGAGGTCGAAAAGTTCTGGTCGCTCCAGGCACAACGCAGGCGTCCAGAAGTTGAGCATGTCCTTGAACTTGTCGTTCTGCGCTAGTAACCCGTCGACATCGAAACGCTTCGATTTCTGCAATTTCGAGTCCACCCACACATTCACGCCGACGTCTTTGCCGTAACGAGGCGTGGCGAGTAGAAATTCTACCAGCTCCCTGGTGACGGTCACGAGTGTGTTATCACGGGCCTTTGTGATGACCATGACATTGCGCACAGCACGCTTCAGTGGCCGTCGTTGCAGCTGCCTCGAAACTTCCCTGACACTTGCAGCCGTTTGCATTAGTCGGCTGTGTGACAATTGATCGTCAAGACGGATCTCCTCCAGGACTTTCTGGATGTCCACTGCGTCACCAAATCGCTTGTGGAAATAACATGGACTTGTGAGCGCCGCAAGTCGCGCTATTGAGGGCGTGTCAGAGCGCAAACTAAACCGTGAAATGGCAGCGCTGATATCATGTGGCTCGCGAGGCGACTTGCTCCTCTGTTCATCCAACTCCGCTTCTACAGCAGCCTGAGCGGCGTACACCTGTGGTGCAGGCATGGGTAGTTTTGCAGCGCCGGTGGAGAAACGACGAGGTGCGGTATCGGCGTCGCACTTGGGAAATTCCCCATTCACTCTGTCAAAAGAGTCTCTCCGTATGGGAGGACGGGACATGGCCTCTGCCATGGCAGGCTTCCTTTCGCGAGTCGAGGTCGCATCTGGGTGGTCAGGTGGTGGTCCGCTTGAGCTCATTGTAATCTCATGAAGTGGGACGATTTGTGAGCGTCGGCGATGACGCCTATGATAAAGGCGGTTCTAAAATAAGGATGTCGCACGGCGGGACAATTAGCGACGGATTTACCGGAGATGTCCACGCATAAACATTCTTGAAGTGATGTAAGGACGCCGCTTCAGGCCGATAATGCCATGGGCTGCGCAGCGCGGACATCAGCTGGCATGAGTAATGGAAGAGCTCAAGGTCATGGTCACACGTTTGATTTACTGTGTAAATGAACCTGGAAGTGGAGCGGCGGTGTCCAGATAACCGGATTGCACGAGTGCTTAGAAAACACGGCTAAATTAAATGATTATGGGCAGGTCCACCGGCCGGTGGCTGCTAACCTTGGAGGGTAGGGTTGCCATCGAGGCTGCTGCCTCTTAGGGTTCTGTTTGGGGTTATCTTGTGGAGGGCACCGTGTCTCAGACATCGATGCTCAGGCTCGCCATGGATAAATATACTATGGCTATAGAATCAGGCACTTATGAAGAGCACATCGTGCCATGAGGTGAAATGGTTCTGCGTTCGTGTTCTTGCGCAGGCGCAATCACGATATCTTTCCTGGCATCATCACAACAAAAATAAACTCAACACTCTCCTTCGACCTCGATCTGGCTTCTAAGCCCGGTCACCCGTACCATCCATGTAAACCGGATATTAGAAGTGGATCCGACATGCAGTCTATTTGCCTTGGGCAGCCTGGCGTGCATCGGCGTCCGCTTGCGTTGTGATATCTGCTTCGGCTCCACGTTGAAGCGTCTTGCCGTGGTCGTGCTGTGCTTGACGACGCTCCTGTTCGGCGGCATCACCAGTCAAACCGGCGATAGCACCACCTACGGTACCAGCCTGGATTGATGAGTGTCAGTTTCGAAACATCTTGGCTCGATATCAGTGTCACTATGCTTACCACACGCTCCTGGATACCAGTACCGTAGTCCTTGAGTTGGCCGGCAGCCTCTTGAGCCTTGCCTTGCTCATTCTGCTGTTGACCCTCGGTCTTGAGGCCCTGCAGACCTAGAGTACCACCCACAAACTCCTTGCCAGCTCCTATGGTTTGATTCCAAGAGCCTGCTTGGCGGTCAGGGTGATTCTCGGCAACGCCAGAAGCAGATACGGAGTAACCTCCGACACTGGCGCCGGCGTGTGACACGTCATCCTTGGCCTTTGCAACATCTTGCTTCTCTGCGGGCTTTTATCAGACGCCTTGGCAAATTGAACGAGCAGAATTCATGAATGACGTACGATCGCCTTCGACCTTTTGTTCAGTCAGCGATACACTCTTTCATATCAAAAATTGGGTCAGTGTGACCTTATCGGCTTGACTGCCAGTCAGAGATCCGAGGAGGCTTTGAGCGGCCCCGGTGGCCTAGCAAGATGTGTCTATGGTGAGTTGGAGCTCGTCGGGGATTCATATAGCAGAGACTGTCGTACCGAATCAACATATGACTGGAGAGTAGAGGTATTCTGCAACGATCAACATGAGAATCATGAAATTTCCGACCCGAGCGAACTTGGAGCAGTACCTTGTCCGTCATTTTGGGAATTCAGACGAAATGTGCAGGGGGTTATTGTCTATTTGGGTATGAGGCTGCGGCACTGGAACTGTTGGAGGGAGTCGCATATCCAATAAATATGTTCACGGCACATGGGCATCACGATCGCAAAGTGCCCAGATAGGAAAGTGGGATGAGAGGGTTTATCGGACTAAAACGTCATCTCGTGATAGGCTTCACATGTGACAGCCCTCCGAAATGGCCACATGGCTCGATGATTCGTCGAGAGCAACACATTTGGGTAGCAATACTGAAACGAAGCGTAACTCGAAACTCTGATCATACTACTGATTGAAATTGATGGTACTTTTGCTTTGTACATAATGCTTTTGCTGGAACGAGAGACTGGATCCTTGTCATCAGGCCGCCCTCGAGCGATCGGAGAGCCAAGGCCTCGCTGCAGCGCCGCGCTGCACATTTCGTGGAGAGATCGTGACTCGCGCAATTCGATCTTCAAGCAAAGATCAAGCCGAACGCCGGCTGTGATGTGGGCGATTAGCTGTGCCATAAACCCTTTCTGCTCGTAGTTGTCGTAGTTCTCAGACGAGCTACTAGCACGACGGTTGTCTACAATGCCAGTACAGTATCCAAAGTAGTGTTTTCTGGATGTGCGAACTCGGATAACATCATGGGATTGTACGTGCCGTCTTCGTGACAGCTGCTCGCACTCGCCCATTCTGCTGCCAAATCCTCACCGTTGCTCAAGCAATCGTCTGGTGAGAAGGACATGACGCTGTCAGAGTGATCCGCATCGCTGTCGAACTGATGATAAGCCCAAGATGCATGATGCATTGCCATAGATGGATTGGCCATGATGCTAGAATGAGCGGGCTTCAGCTCCGACCCCTCTAGTAGGACATCAACGCGCGGACCTCCGAAGGCTTCGTTATAGACTGTGAGAGGTTCACTCTCTGCATCATTCATGAAGTTCCCCCATCCGCGAAGTCGAGAGTCCGATTTGGAATGCGCGAACACAGGAGCTCCGTTTGAGTCGTTTCCATACGGAATGTAATTCATGTTTGGATATAGAACGCGCTCCGGCTGAAGTGATTGAGACGATAAAATGCCAGACACAGCCGATTCAGCCGACGTCGGCAGTCCGAACACAATACTGGGTGATCGTGCTACCTCCGAACGGGGTGTCGGATATGTGAGCGATTGCTGTTGTTGTTGTTGTTGGGCGATCGAATCCCGGAACCGCGCGCTATTTGGAACCTGGTCGGCGCTCTGCATCGACGGCGTTATCGGCGCCTGATCGCGCAGACACGGATGCTCAAACGCAGTGTTGAGACGAGCCGGCGCGGCCTTGCGAAGCTTGCGAGAATGTTCGAAGCCATGCGTGGGTCCAGACCACGGCTGTAGCTGGTCTGAGGGAGAGGCGGTTGGCTTTGTAGGAGGAGAACGTGGTGAGTGCGGCATTCTGCTCGCATCAGGCTTCGCTGATGGCGCTCTGATTTGTTCGGCAGATTTGTTGGTGGACATTGCTGCGTGGGATCGTTTTCGAGACTCCGAGCCTTCTTGAGTCAAGGGCAAAGGTTGGCTGTGAGAAAGTGAAGCGATCTTCTTGTTTTTCTCGTCAAGCAACTCTCTCAGCTCCCTCGTTTCAGCCTCGAGGACTCTGACCCTTTCTTCCAACGACTCGGTGTAGCCTCTCGGAAACGCACGTCGACTGAGCTTATCACTGGTCCTGCATTCAAAACCGACAGCAGCACACTGCGAGCAATATGGACGAACGCCGTCACATTTTATTTTCTTGCTACGGCAACTTTGATGGCAGCACGTCAGTAATCAGGACATTACGCATTGTCATGAGATGTGACTGACCGATCGCAGGCTTGCGCAATGCGGCATTGCGAATTGTTGCCAACTTTGATCACTTTCATTGGAAGTACGCCTGGCATGATTGGATACGGTTGCGTTAGGTCGACCGGAATTCAAGATGCGAGATGTATTGCCAGATTGACAACGGCCTGGGTTGAGAGATGGTTATGGGTAGTGATCTGAGACAATAGAGTAGGCAAGTCAAGGTCGGAGAAGGCAAGAATATCCAAAAGGTAAGAGCTCAAGGCCTTACGTCGTACATGTAATCGCGAGGTCAGGCTGGGCCGCAGAAACCGCATTCGACATGGGACTTACGACCATGACAACACCCTCTCTGGGGCAATCAAGGCGACAATCCGGGGAATACCAATGGATGGTTCATGGAGAGTGCAGGGCGGCATCGCGTCCTACTCGTTCACACGACCACTGCAGTGATAGAGTGGGACCCTTTACGACCGCCGCCGCTTGGCGGATCGAGGCAGAGTAAGCAAGTAGGTACTGGATGTAGAAGGTTGCGACTGACGAGCGTTTGCCAATCAATTTTAGCCCTGGACCGTCTTGACGTCTGTCACTAGCCTTGAACAAGTACTGTCTGTTGCGGCCAAACACGGTTGTGCGCCATCTCACGATCTCTACCCGCGTGAGTACATCCGATGTGCTATTGGTATACACGCTTGCAGACGTAAGGTGCATGCATGACGAGTAGCTCGCATCTGGCTCGAGGTCATCCGTGGTCTCGCCGCGCGCGTGTCTCCTACCCCTTCATCGCAATGGGCTGAAGCAGCACAACCTCATTACGTGATATGAAGGAGGGACTCGCAGGGCTCTGCAATGTGATGATTCTTGACGAGGATGACTGGTGGTGGCAAGCCTTGGTCACTATCGTCAAGGACCAGGCGGGCTATTACCCAGTTTCAGCAGCTCAGTGGATCTCGCTCGAGATCGCAGACCACGAGACAGAGGGCGCTGGTCTCACAGCCTGTCGAGTCTAACGACGATGATGGAGGTCAGAGAACACTAAAACAGGCATGCAAAACCTGGGGGAGGGTCGCATGGACGCCCGTCCCGTCGCAGCCATACGAGCTCTCTGTTCGGTTGGGGCGGACCCGAATTTTTATTACAATTTGCGGGGTCGGGGTCGGAACCCGGCAGACCAAGCAAGCGGCCAGCCAGCTCCAGTGATGATTTGATGAACGAACATGCCTTGTAAAGTACTGAGAGAAAGGAAAACAAGGAGATGCACTTACCCTATTTGTCAATACTTGTATATTTACATGGTTTGTTCGAGCAATCTCCTTTGATTTCGATGTGCGTTCTCGAGCGGAGAATCCGATAGACTACACACTTTACTCGTCATATGAGACTCTGGGTGTGTGCCCCAGACGTTTGCCTACGCCGTGCCGCTGTGGGCCCGTGTCTTCCGCAACTACTGTACTCTTTATTACTGATGGAACCGTGTGCGACGCGGACGCAGTTGATGCACAGTCTCTGCATATCGTCGACATGTTATCACATAGGTACTACTGCATCCGCCATAGGAAGTGCTGCTGCAACATGCGGTAGCATCGCGCGCGCATCAAAAGCAAAACGGAGTCAAGCACACGCCTCCCACCAACCATTGCTGCCACCCGTGGACTGGATGGATAATTACTTTTGATGAGGTAGGTAGCTTGGGGCAGGGCGGGAACCGGGTCCGAAGCCATCCCCTCAAGCCGCCTATAGCCGTCTCCTTGCTAACTTCCCTACCTACCGACCTATGTATTGGAGTTGGTATCGACAAGACGGAGCCACGAGTTCCACAGCCGATGGTATATGATCACGGCAAGAGAAATTCCCATAGATCCGCTATAGATCCACAGGCCTATACGGAGAAGCTGCCACTTTTGAGCATCACCATGTGCATGCGTATCCACCAGATGCTTAGGCTATTTGCTAGTGTAGGGCGAAGAGCGCAGCCACACGCGCGCGATATTTGCCCAGCAAAATACATTAGAAAGTATTGTTGGTACCTAGGTAGGTGGTAGTCTGAGAATTGGGGAGTGCCGTGTGCATGCTTTTTTGATGCTGCATTGGCACACACACACGCATACACGCACACACACTCATACCTGCCAACCCACCCATCCACTCCGTTATACAGTAATTGTGAATTCACAGTAGCCATGGTGCCACGCACCCACATCCACAAGCACGCACACAAGCTGCGCCAAGTCTCTGAGACATCGAGCCCGCCCGATAGGTACAATGTATACATTTAGATATGTTATGATTGGAGCGCATCGTATGTAGTTTCCCATTTACAGAACGAAAAGAAGGCCCTATAATTTATTCCAAGGTTATCACCTGCAGAGAGTCGGGTCCAGGGCTGTCTTTGTGGCTTTTGTGGGGTGCTTGATTAGCGCAGGCGATTTTAGCCCAGCTGGGCAGCCATGGCGGCATGCGGTTGAGCAACGCAATGCCCTGGTTGGGCCCGCGTGTCGTCCTCTCCTGCACCATGACGGACCCATTGCTGCTCAACCTTTGCAAGATGCTGCTCCACAACCTGACCACCTGACGTTTCTGCGCTCGCCACAACATATGGTACGTGCATGCTCGCACCTCAGTGACCTCCTTCTCGGTTCTGGCATGATCTCCGATTCTACTGTAAGCCTTCGCTCGCTAGTCATCATTCCGTCCGATTCATCTCTGTCAGATATTCTCGAACCACGGGCGAGTCAGCCAGCTCAATTTTCTGTTCGTCGATCGAGTCAGCCATAGTCCATGTGCCGCGTCTAGTAAGAAACGGGCCAAGTAGACCGTCGTCTTGCTCACCTGAGCCTCGAATACCTCGTATGCCTTTTCTAGAAGCTCGAATTCAAGCCTTCGCAGCTTCAACGCTAGGTCCCAGGGTCCGGTTCGAATCGGTGTTCCGTCGCCATGCGGCGTAAGTTCAACGCTTTCCTGCGTCTCAAACAGTGCCTGGAGCTGCTCGAACACACGCTGTTGCAGAATGACAATTGCCCGCAGTCTAAAGACATCCCACAATTTGTCCTGTGCGAGAAGTCTCCGTAGTCCGTCGGCACCCTCAAAGTCCTGGCCCCGAAAGTTGGCGCAGATTTCTTCTTCCCCATCGATAGTTTGAGCGAGCTGGAAGGAGAGACCGTCGTCTTCACTCACGCAGAGGAGCCAGACGAAATCGCCCTTCCAGTCGATCTCTGCGTGTGAGTTCGGAGTGGCAGCCATCGAATCGTTGGTGTCCTCATGCGCATCATGTGCATGGTGGAGCCCTACCTTCGTGACACCCTCTTCCGCATTGGCCTGCGCGGCAAGCGACCCTGCATCTTCCATCGTCATTGACGAGCCGTCTCCCGCCAGAGTGGGTTCTACTGCAATGTCTATTAGCTTGAACCCCGGAGCGCAATTTGCGACTCTCGCTTTCGCAGCTCTGCTTGCGTCAGTCATGGGGATTGAAAGGCTGAGGAACAGCGTTTCGGCGGTATCCATCGCATGGTCAATGAAGCCATAAGAAAACAACATCTCGCAGGCTCCCTTTTCGTCTCCGTACGTAATTGCGATCTCTTCATCCTTCTTCACAGACTTCCCGTGAATTAACCGCAAGACATATGAATCCTCGGTCTTGTCATATGTCACGTTGGTCGCTTCGCCAGGTGCATGGCTGGCAAGGTCCATCCCTGTCATTGTTAAGCTCTGACAAACTGCAAGTATCGTCATGCGTACCAGGTATCATGCAAGAGCCATGAAATTCAAGCGCTCTGGAGCGAAACATTGCATCCACTTGCATCCAGTCGTCAAAATCGAGATGTGTCTGAACGAGCCGAAACCACTTGGTGTTTGCAGCCATCGCGCATAGTTCATCGTACTCTTTGTGCAGGCGAATCATCTTGGAGGAAACGGCTGGTGCGAGGGTGGTGCCATCAAGTAGGTGCAGTTCTTCTGCGTTCCAGAACGTAGGAAGCATTTCGCACGGCAGCGTCTTGACATATTGAGTGAACTCACATCGCACGCCGATTTTCTCAACGATGCTTGGGCATGACAGAGAAGCTTGGTATAGCAAGAACGTAAGTATCGCTCCTCTGGCAGTCTAATGTCAAATCAGTGTGGGATTTGCAGCATGCTTAGATACGTGCGACATCATGGTAAGGATCTCGAATATGGAGGAACGGAGGCAATAATCTGAACGAGAACGGCCGTCCATGAGATGGCATATACAGAATTGGCTAACAGGCGTGTGCAAAGAAGGACGAACACACCCGGCCCCAATCACCAAGACTCTCAATGACCTGCCTCAGGTCCTGATCGAACAGGGCATGATTGTTCACAGTTTCGCTTGACAGAACTAGTTCTTTGGGAACAGTCAAAATTTCCCGTGACAGCGGCGAGAGAGATTCTATATCTTCGCTCGCGACCAGAGCAGTTCCTCTTCCGTCTATCACTCTGGGACCGACCGCCTCGAACTTGACTCCGTTGTGCCGCAGCCACGCATAAGTGGTCCCGAGATCGGCCTGCAGCCATCCTTCTTGTTTTCCTTGTTGAATGAACATTGCGATGAAGGAGGAGTCTTTCAACGAAATCTCGCCAAACGTGGAGCCTGTGCGCCAAAACAAACAACAGCACAAGGCGAGGTCGGCAGAACAGAGCTGAACGCACGGGCCTAAAATGTATGACAAAGGCGTCAACATGGGCGGTTCGGCGGGCGCAGCGGCCCGCTCCTCTGTTGTTTATTTTGGCATTCAGTTGTTTATGGCAACAGGCTTATTAGTCTCGTCCTGACGCCAAACAAGAGCCCTGCAGCATAAACAGCTATCACTTCGCTGTGATGGTCCTTGGAGCATCTTCTTATCAATCCTCTTCTCGCCCATGTTTTTGCGCATTCGATATTGCTCTTCGTGATTGACAGTCCTCCCTCCTCGAGCCTCACGCTTGTACTCTACCACCGGCTCCGCGCATTGCTCTTCCCTGTTGGCTTGGAAGCGGGCACACGACCTCCAAGCGCATTTCTTCCGGAACCTCAATATAGATCAATTGCGAACATTGTCTCCCAGCGCTCACATCAGAGCTTGTCAGCGCCAACATGCCTCAACCGGCTCGACAGAGCCAGGCCGATGTGCCATCGGTGACCAGCTATGGACAAGTGATTGAGTATATCGAGAGTTAGTGGACCACGTGGGCTCGGCGTTCGAACAGCTTCCTGACTCTGTCCTACTAGATCGCCTGTACCTGGCATCTTATACCCATACACCAGATGACAATACGCCCTTCCCTTACGTGGGCAAAGAAAGCCGGTCGCCATCTAAGAAATCGTCGCGCGCGCAATCTGGACCACAAGCGGCGCCCAAGGCAGCGCAAGCACTTCCACCCGTCTATTTTTCCATCGACCACAGCTTGCTTTACAACGCATTCCATGCTGATTTCGGTCCGCTTCACATTGGACATCTTTACCGCTTTGCAGTCCAGCTTCATGACGTACTGGGACATCCTGACAATGAACACCGTCCGATCGTATTCTGGAGTGGCCCAGACTCTAGGAGTAAGTCGTTGATCCATTGTTGCTGTTGCGATTTCTGCACTGGACTGTTACTGACATTACAATAGGTCGAGCGAACTCCGCTTGCATTCTTGCGACATACATGGTCCTGATTCAACACTGGCCTCCACACTTGGCGCTTGCGCCCATCTCACAGATGGATCCACCATGCATGCCGTTTCGCGATGCAGGCTACAGCCAAGCCGATTATTCTTTGACTGTACAAGATGTGGTATATGGTGTGTGGAAGGCCAAGGAAGAAGGACTGGTGGGACTTAAAGAGTTCAGTCTCCAGGAGTACGAGACATTTGAGCGTGTTGACATGGGCGACTTCAACTGGATATCGCCCAGCTTTCTTGCCTTCGCATCACCCAGCCACCAGCCCGTGCACATCATCCAACCTAGCGAACCCATGTACGCACAACTCCCGCGATCGCTTTCAGCCGTGCAGCGCGACAAGACACTCCCGATGCCCTTCAAGAACATTTTGACTCATTTCGCCGAGAGAGGAATCGGCCTCGTTGTGCGATTGAACTCAGAGCTTTACTCTCCAAGCTACTTCACAGCCCTTGGCATCAAGCACTTGGACATGATTTTCGACGACGGAACGTGCCCACCACTCAAACTGGTGCGGAAATTCATTGATCTAGCACACGCGGTCATCAATGTGAAGCGGAAGGGAATCGCCGTCCATTGCAAGGCGGGTCTCGGACGTACAGGTTGTTTGATTGGAGCATACCTGATCTATCGTCATGGATTTACGGCAAATGAGGTGATATCATACATGCGATTCATGCGACCAGGAATGGTTGTGGGTCCTCAACAGCACTGGCTCCATCTGAACCAAGGGACCTTCCGAGAGTGGTGGTATGAAGACACCACTCGGGAGAAGATCTTGGCTTCGATGCAACCCACAACGCCGACCAGACTGCACCAATCTGCGAGCCGCCAACGTGTGAACAACACTCAAGCTTTCACTCCTCCAAATGCCGACCGTCATTCCAACAGCCCTCGTAGGGCTCTGGGTGAGATTACCAACAACGAAGCCTCACAGTCCTCAGTAGCCACCAACTGCACAGATGATTTGAAAGGCACTGGCGTCGCAGATGAGAATCTTCCGGCGCCAACACCCGGTCAGCCACGCAAAACAAGCAAGATCTATGGCGGGCGAAGGAAGATGATGGAAAACCAGCCATTTGACTCCGCGCCTAACACTGAAGTAGTGCAAGTACAGAGGTCAACGGTGAATGTATCCCAGGATGACAGCGAGGAAGAGCAGCTGCTCCGCTTGCTTGGGCGCAAGTCTAGCCTGTCCCCGGCGAGCCGAAGCGGCAAGCGAAGGGCCGTATCCTGCACCACGACTACGACTACGACCACCAAGTGGGATGTGCCGACGGACGGTAGTGATGTTGAGAATCAACTTCAGGGCCTCGATGAGCTCGATCTCCCCATGGACGAGTATGCGGCCAGCCCCACCCGACCGAAGACACCGAGCTCAAAGACCGGCAGCGGCATTGGTAGCATAAGCGTTGGCAAGCGCTCGTCACCGCTCCGACGCAGCACCGATGGCAAGACCAGCGTCCGCAAGACCAGCGGTCGCATTGGGAGCGCAGGTGGGCAAACACTACGAGTACAAAAGAGCTCATGAGCGCTTTTGATGAGTGATGTGAACGCATGCGTCCCGATGGAGTCTGGAGCGATCATTCTCATGATGCAGCAAGGCGTTTGGAGGGTTGGATGAGCAGGTGCACTTTCGTATCACTGCTCCATGTTTCTCGTTCTGGACTGTTTCAATAATCTCTTGCATATGAGCCAGGGGTTTCATGCGCTTATTTCATGTGCACAAGGCGTGCTGGGGTTTTGGGGGCACGGGTCGGATGGTGTTTTGATTTTGCTCTGGCATGGTCACAGGCGCAAAGGAGTTGCATTTCACGTACGATAAATCCATCGACATTTCTATCTATTCATTAGAAACCAACCTGGATCGTTCGCGTGCACGTGAGTTTAGGAGAGGAGTGACTTGTAATCGGCACATTGGTGCATGCGGGACCTTGTCCCGCAGCCGGCCGTCGGCGTTTGCGTTTACCGGACCTGGCGTAAGTTTACCCCCCAACAAGTCACTATGTGAATAAACTTCCGAGGCTCAACATTCGGCTGCCCCGTTGGCGATAGGATATCATCAATCTTTTCCAGCTCTGACGACATGTCTCAGTGAGACAATTCCATTCCCAAAATGTACGACGAGAAACCATGTGATGTAGAGTCACCGCATGCCAAAGTCGCGAGTTGCGATGCACGTCTGTTGCGTCTGCCGGGCGAAGTCCTAAACATCATTTTCGAATTGAGCGCCCCAACCAAATCTTTCGTCGCCCTCCACGCGTCTGGCACGCGCAAGCAGACCATTGCGTTCCATCCTCGACAACCGGCGCTGGCGTCGACATGCCGAAAACTACGAGATCAATTCCCACTCGAGCAGTACTATGCGACTAATTTATTCCTCCTCACGGAGAGCATGTTCCTACCGGGACGACTCGAGGAGTTCTTCGCCGGCAGGCCGCTGGCAAAACGCTACCTCCGACATGCTCGGATCGATCTCTTGGGGATACCCTGGATCGATCCCTCCAGTCGTAAATTGTTCCTCTCCGCACAGTCCCGCGTCCGCTTCACGGCTCGTGTTACAAACGACGGCGAAGTCGTCATCAGTCGGCTGAAGACGAAAGTATGCTGCTGTTGGCTCCATGCTATTGCCAAGCGAGCTTCAATAGGCAACGACCACGAAGGCCATCTAGCGGAATTCCTCCTCGGATATGCCGCGAAAATCAATGGGCGCTACGCCGAATCACGTCAGACGTGCCCGGAATGTGGTATGGCAAAGACGGGATCGAATGCAGAGGACCTGAATGCACGATTTGTGATTTTCTTCATTTTTGGGCTCTTCTTCGTAGTCTTGGGCATGTTGCTGAAGACGAGGATCACGGGCTGATTGGCGGGTTTCAAGGCGTTCTCGAGCAGGGGCGGATGTTGCGGCACGTTGAGGATATCGATATTGCTCAGCGTCCGACCCATTACAGCGATATGACTATGGTTTGCAGAGCATCACATATAGATATAGACTTTTTGAAATTCTCGTTGACCTTGCGGATCTCGGGCTGCCCTTGCTCCACCGGAATGGCCAAAGCAGCAACTTAAGATTCAGGGATTGCTGCCCATCAAGATAATGCTCGTCCGAACGCGTGGCGGAGTTTGCTGTTGGGGCACGTCGGATGACCAGAAGACAGATCACACCAGGCCGCAATCTTCAGGAAGGACAGCCTGTGCTCAAGAGGCGTCCGGGTTACATCGACGTACCTGACGAGGTTGGACATTACAATGCTCTTCACACGAAAATGAAACAGGATGTCTCGTCCCCTCCGTCATGCGCAGCGTAAGATGCCACAACGAGCGAACTCAACAACGGAGGGGGCATGCGCTTGGATGTGACCCAAGTTGCGACACAAGGATGCGTGACCGGCCGAGATTGAGCGAGGCTACTGCGCCGTTGTCGAATGAGTGAGAACGTTAAGCACTCCGCCTTGCACAAAGGGCAGGCGGAGCAGCAACGTGTTTGCGCGCTCCAATCTCAGCACAGAATTAAATGTGCGATGCAACATTAGTTCCGAGACACAGCGCAGTGACTGTCGCGTGCAGTTCGTGCATACTCGGACAAGAGCGATGCGTAGGCAGTGAGGTTGACATCGGCATGCCATCGGGTTATTTGACTAGCCCAGAAAGTGCCTGGAAGGTCCTGGAACGGGCGGGACTGGACTCGGCTGGGCTGTTGAGAGGGAGAGGAGAAGGATGATGAGGAGGCCAAAGAGGCTGAGTTGGCGGCAGACCGAGCGCCAAGCCGCCCGCCGGATTGTCTCTCTGCCCAGGTGCCTACGTGCCTACCTAGGTACGTAGGTGGGTATGCTGAGATCGAAGGGTCCAACGGGTCTTCCCTAAAGCCATATCTGATGGCGTGAAATGATCTGCTGCGCCACCACCTCTGCTTGCATGCCTACGTACAGTCGGCATGTATGCACAATATATATCTAGTCCACCTAGAGTCTCTCTGGTATCTCTAACCATCTTTCACCCTCAGAAGTCTACACTCTAGTAACGTCGACTTCCAGGATACTCGCCAGAGATCAATACAACAGCAGTCATACACAACAGTGGATCGTGCGTCCGGCTTCATACTGCCAACAAAGCAATGGCGGTCGATATGCAAACTCTAGTGTCTCCAACACCGCGGTCACCCAACTTGTCCCTTGATCTCTCAGACCTCCCAGCTCTCTCACAACCATCACCACCGAGCAACACACTCCTCATAACAAATCTACAGTCTCTGGAGATCTTCACCTCCGCCGTTCTCGAGAACATCACTCGCGCCATCAACGACCAAGCCCAGATCCACACATTCGCGCCACTCAAGTCCTTCCGCCGCATCGTCGTCAGCTTCTACACCACCGAAGATGCAGTCAAAGTCCGGCAACTCCTCGACGGTGAGAACGTGCTTGGCAACCGGATCCGCGTCTACTTCGGCCAGAACACCCGCATCGACCTGGAAGACCAACATCTGCAAGCGCCCAAGAGCCAAAAGCTCTTCTTCATCTCTCCGCCACCGAGCCCGCCGATGGGCTGGGAGATGCGCAACGAGGAGCCGCCGAACAAGGAAGTCCACGCCGAGGATCTCGCGGCCGCCCTGGCCAACCTCCACACGCGGCCGTCCCCCCACGAGGCGCTGCACGTTGAGACCGAGCGGGCATCTGCGGCGCAGTTGGCCCACCGCCAGCGCTCGCGCAGCTCGACGCTGGTCTATCATCCCAGCGACCATGGCGATTCGCCCAACTTGCCAGCGATCGCGGTCGAGGACACCAGTGAGAGCCCGGGGGACATGTCGCCGGTAGAAGGCCTCGAGACTAAATTCCCTCACACTGCTCGACCGCCGGTTGAGCTCATGGCATTGTAAGAGGCGGAGGCATTGTTTGTAGATTATTTGATATACGGAACGTTGGCGTGCATGTGCATTGAGCGGGAGTGTGGAGCATGGGCACGCAACATTAAGAAAGATTGCATGGGTTGTGTAACACAGTAATGGGAGGGTTATTCTTTGCATTTCATAAAGGTACATTTATCGTATTTCTAGAAGTAGATAGGATTATTCCCCAACGACCTAGTATTCCCTTCAACTCAACGTTACAGCGGAACTGAAAGGGTGTCTGAAGCTTCCCTCTCACATGTGGTTTTGGTATGCCCGCGGATCAAGAATCGAGCTAGAATGCAGAGCTCGTCTCAGATCAATCCTTCCCTTTCCAGATCCTGACGAAAGTAGCATCCGGCAGCCGTGCGGTGGAAATAAGCCGCCGGCCAGGGCTGGTAGTGCCTGCCGTCGGAGACTCGCGCGCTACGTGTCAGCCGTTGAGTGTCCCCACCAGCACTTGATGGAGCACTGGGTGCGTTCAGCTCTTCTGGCTGTATAGACTGGTCATCAGAATTTCTGAATCTGCTCGGGATGATGCCTTCGAGTCAGGTGCTGCTCCAAGTCTCGGAGAATTGCGGGTCAAACGCTAAAATTTGGGCAAGACAAAATTCTTAGCAAAAAGTGTCTTTGAGAGGCTGGCCGAGTGAGTGCAGCATCACTGCGACCCTTGAGTCAATGTACCCGAAGAGCCATACAGCATCTCGGAGAGCGAGTTACTCTGACTGGGGGAGATGGATGGGCGTGATTCGGGGGCGAACATACCGACATCATCCGCCGCCGCAGTGCGCGGTTGTACGTACGGACCAATCTCCTCTGCCAAGCCCGGGTCGTTCAACAGATTGACCACATCCTGTCCGTCCTGCACCCCAAATCGACCGTCATCGTGATCCTGTTCATGGTGCGGAATCCCGTGCTGAGCGTTGCGGCCGTCAACACTGAGAGGATTTAGTGTGGCGCCCGCGGAGGAATAGGTAACAGCGGCGTCCGCCTACCGAGAAGAAACATGTCAGCGCTTTGTTGAATATGAACGCTCGCGATGGAGAAAATGTCATGGAATTCATTCGTATGGCGATTCCCAATGATCGAATTTATGACGAGCGAGGTCTGCATCGGGGTTGGGCACGAAATCGACAGGAGTGTAGTCGGGGAAATAAGAGGCAGCATCAACGGGTGGCGGTGTGTGCGCGTACGACGGTGCAGGTTCAATATCAACAGCAGGGCTCGCAGTTGTGGGACTAACTGTCTCGACCATTTTATCGCCTTCCACTCGGACCTGGCGGTCCGCCAACTTTCGCATCAGGCCCAAAAATTGGCTGTTCTTAAATTTGTCCGACTGGTTGTGTTCGACTTTCTCCAGTAGCTCCTGTGCCGTAGCGGCCAGGGCATCATCGTCGTGCTGCGGCTGCTCGATCATCGATTCCTGCAAGGGCAACTCCTGTGATACTGCCGGCAGCTGTTCCATGTGCGAGAGTGGTTCGTAATCCATATCCATTGTTGCTGGTGGCCGTTGCGAGAGAGGCTCCTCGAACCGTTGTACATCCACTGTTGTGGATGCGACCTGCTCAAGCACTGCCTCGACAGGCTGTGCCTGTACTTGCACGTCGGCGTCCGCCATCATATCCTCTCGAGCGAGATCAAAAGCTCTTTCAAAGGCGGCCTCGTCGAAAGCATCCACCACCGGCGCTTTGCCTTTCGTGGATAAGGTCTCAGGAACGAAGCTGGGCTGCGCAAACGAGCTCTGGTAACCTGTGGCTCCATACCGGGCCATCTGCTGGAATGCCAGAGGAGAAGGACTGGATGCCCGCGGCACACTCTGTTTGAACTGGTCGCGAAAGCCAGTCGCCCAGCTCGAGGAATCAGCGCTGGCCGGGAATAACCCCGACTTTTGCTGTTTCAGCTGCGGTTGTGCAGAGATGGACATGCGCTGGAAATCGCTCGCCCATGACGGCAGTTGTGATGGAGGCGCGAAGCGAGAGGCCGCTTGATATGGCTGCATATGGTCCAAGACTGGAGGTGTGCTGCGTCCAGCTTGGAATGCTTCGAAGTCAGGGTCCAACAGACCAGCGTTTGCGTTGGCAGACCGAAAGCCTTGAGGTTGATGCCGCCGACTTGTGAAGCGATCCTGTTGCAGGGAGCGATCCAACGACGTCTGCTGCTTAAATTGCTGCAGCGCGTTGGAAGGTCCACACACTGCTTCGGCCATCTTGATCTGAGTCCTTGCGATCTTAAGGTACGAATATGATGGAGCAGACTCTGACGGTGGAGACGGTGGCAACGACGATAGCGGGTCGATGGAGATCGGACGAGCGCAATGCGAATGAGACGTCGAATATAGGGAAGAGGAGGCGCCGCGGTAAGTGAATAAAGAACGACAGTGATGAGACGGTAGAAGTGGGGAATGTGAAACGGTGCAGTAGTTATTAGAGAGGTTCGGTCAAGACGCCCGAGAATCTGTGATTAGTGATCGAGTCAAGTGCATCGATCGGGGGTCAGCCTCTCGCCGTTTGTTCCACCCAGCCAGAAACCTCGGCATCCCCAAATTTCGCCCACGTGAGTTGATGATACCGTATGTTTGCGGGCCACCGTAGTGGCGGAGGCTCTTTCCAGAACTGCCGCCGCATTTTCAGGGCTTTGCAGTGACTTTTGCAAGATAAGATGATCTTATCGTGTTCACAGGCAAAGTGCCACTACGGTGTGCCAAAGCACTGTGGACCTCATCAATTGCCCAGGTGTCGAATAGAGCTCGCAGGCACCACGAGAGGCAGACGTGCGGCTACGGGAGAATCTCCACCACACTGTCATTTATAACTTCCGCCGCTTGTCTTCAAGGTGCCATATTTGCTGCCTCGACCACTCCAACATGGTATGCACATGGCTCGCAGACCAGACAATCGGTATCTGAACTGACGTGATCCGTAGGCTCAAGTCATCTCCAACTCTGGTCACGATGACATGATTGTACGTGTTCAGCTTCAGAAGCATTCCGACGATTGAGCGCCGTAGTGCGCATGCGACAACTTTGGCTGATTCGTTCGCGGGGATATAGCACGATGCTGTCCTCGACTATTACGGCCGACGGCTTGCGACGTGTTCTTCAGACAAAACCATCAAGATCTTCGATGTTGAAGGCGAGACACATCGGTTGGCCGACACATTGAAAGGGTACGCTCTATCTTTCGGACGGATGTGTGCATGCGCAGATGCTGACGGAGCGAGGCATGTGTAGTCACGAAGGCGCAGTCTGGTGTGTCTCTTGGGCGCACCCCAAATATGGAACTATCCTGGCTTCGTCCTCATACGATGCGCGCATCCTGATCTGGCGGGAACAAAATGGACAGTGGCAGCGCATTTACGAGTTTTCCAACCACACGGCATCGGTGAACCTGGTCGCATGGTCCCCACCGGAGACCGGATGCCACCTTGCGGCCGCGAGCAGCGACGGCCACGTCAGCGTGCTCACTTTCGAGAACAACACATTCAACCACGACATCTTCAATGCCCACGCTCTCGGCGCCAATGCAGTCTCCTGGAGTCCCGCTGTGCTCCCAGGCCAATTGACAAACGCACAGCCTGCGGGACAACCTCCAGCGCCTGTGAAACGCCTGGTCACCGGCGGCTCAGACAACTTGGTCAAAATCTGGTCGTACAACTCGTCGACGCAGCACTTCGACAACACCTGCACGCTTACCGGACACTCGGATTGGGTGCGGGATGTCGCATGGTCACCTACGCCGCTTTCGAAGACATACATTGCCAGCGCATCACAAGACCACACGGTACGGATATGGACACTGGCGGCCGGCGCGGACATCAACGACCCGAGTGCTTGGAAGAGCGAAGAGTTGAACTTCGAGGTTGTCGTTTGGCGCGTGAGCTGGAGCATGGCAGGAAACGTTCTGGCGGTGTCAGGCGGTGACAACCGTGTGAGCTTGTGGAAGGAGAAGCTAAAGGGTGGATGGGAGGTGGTGAAGACGATCGAGGAATAGAGGTCGGACAGGGAGAGGGATGTGGCTGCTCTATCTATGGATGGATAGAGAGCTTGGACTTGCAAAGGTCGCTCATTCGAGCCGCGTCCAAGGCGACAGGCAGCGAGACTGGCGCAACCACCGAGCTTGTGGAACCACGGAGCATCGGCGCCTTCCATGCTTTCCGGCCTCTGTGAGCAACACGAGAGACGAAAAGCAAACCAATCATGTCCTTTAATGAGAAAAGAAAACCATCAATCAATGAATGCCGGCGAGGCCCCAAAAGCGTGCGACAGTGGACTTAGCTGTGCAGCAATCGGTGCAACCTCGATGCCGTATAGCACCCGCTTCCAGTGGGACCAACTAGCACAAGTGAAAACACAACGACCACGGCTTGCGCTGATCAGGAAGGTGAGACCGGACATATCGTGGCTGAAGCCTGCTTCTTTTGCATATCAGGGACGTGACTGCTTGCCCATTTGATTTCCGTATGATTTAGTTTCCACATCGCTGTTCCGAATCATTTACCATCGTCCTGAGTCCGCCCTATTTGACAAATCTTGGAAAGAGAGACGGAGAGAAGACAGAAAGCTACCAGAAAAAGGAAACTCCCAACTTGAAGAGATCAGGAAAGTTTTGCAGTACATTTTGATCGCACCGGATAGACAACCTCAGACGCCTTTTGCATCGAAGAACTTGCTGGAGACACGCAGATTCCAATCCCGATGAGTTCCAGCCGAATTTATCGCGAGAACATCCTCTTCTGGAATGCCGGGGTGAGGCCCGGATCCAGCGGAGAGCGCCATCATGCATGGGAGGAGCCGTCTTCATCTCGCAAGAAATGGCGGTCCGGGAACCACCAGAAAGAATCATCAGGTAAGCCATTTGCATTTCTTTCGAACGAGAGCATCTTCATGTCCGCTCCGTTTTCACATATGGCGCGAAAACAACGAAAGGGGAATTGATGGGATGTTCTTCTCTCTCCATACTACAGGGCGACCGTCCTCATCTTCACACGAGGCACGAGCACATCGCGATCAGCGATCGCCGGATCATCATCATCAGAAGAAGAAGGTCTCGTTTGCACGAACCTCGAGCTCGGAGCACGGGAGGACGTACCTGATTGATCGCAAAACGCCACCTGTCGCGATCAAAGAGAAGGCGTGGCAGACGACTCGAAGGTTGGGTTGGTGGACTCGTTGAGGGAAGGGGATGTCTGTCGTGTTTGTATGTGGTTCTGTGGTCGACTTGATGTGTTTGTATTTTGCTCACAGGGTCATCCTGGGGGAGGGTTTGCAGTGCTGGTCACCGCTGCTGAAATTGTCCCGAACATTTCTTGCTTGTATACTCTATGGTTTCTCTTGGATATCGGCATACCGATCCTCTGCCAGGGAGAGGAAGGCGACGTTAGTTTGCTACTTGTAGCAAATATTAGCATACCTGGGAGGAATTCCAACGCTTTCCCCATTGGCTTTTTTGGTTGTGATGAAGGCAGGCGAAGACACCATGGTTCTCTCTCTCTCTACCTTTCAGCTCGAAAACCTGGGACATTTCAAATGTCATTCCAGCACAGCACCAGCGAGGCTGCCCGAGCGAAGGATCGCATTGGGAAGTATGCTGGACAATCAAACGTGGCACCAAGTAGCATCTAACTCGATCATCTTGGATCCGAAGAGATCGAAGATCACGGCGGCGCATTTGCCGAAATCGGGACATAGGCGGGAAGCGTACACGCTCCCTGTACCATAAATGCGTCCTGGGTGCTCAACAAGAGAGGCGCTCCGTCTCCCGGTCTGACTGGAAATGGACCAGACCGCCCGCAAGCTCTGTGAGGCCGCCGCGATCAGCCCAGGCGTGTGCGAAACCACGGAAATCCTCATAGTTGTGGCCCATGGGAGAGAGGAAAACAGTTGATCAATCATCGGGATCCGCGGCCCGCGATGCACAAAACGAGATGACGATTCGACATAGATCAGGCGCCGCCGCCGAAGGGGTGAAGCCGTGGGCGAGCCGCACCACGCATGTCATATGGTCCCGTGGTACAGGGATAGCACTCGGAGCTGTGTCTTCGTCGAACAACAAGTCTCATCGAGCCGCTGCTATGTATTAAAGCCACGTACGATAGACGAGTTGCGGGATGGAAAAGTGATGAGTGCAGGTGGTGGTACGCGGCGCGTAATACGTCAGCGGAAATAATGGTACATTTCCCTCGAGGCGGGGATCCGATGTCACCGCGATCAATCTGAGCAAGCCCGAGGTCAGAGACTCGCGGGGGGAGAGAGAGAGAGAAGATATAGGCTCGACGACGATGATCGCGATTGATGAATGCCGTGGAAATTCGACATGCGCAGATCATCTGGAAAATATGTCCAGAGTGCCTTGTTGTTCTGATCGGGGGGAGAGGTGCGGTGCGGTGCGATGCCCGTCCACGGGCGATGAGCTCACAACGTGGAGGAGGGCAGACTGTCCTGAGGCTTTTCGGGAGCCGCAGTTTAAGCTTTCGGCAGCCAGCTTTTAGCCTCCAGCTTCCCTCCACCTGCAGACGGTGTGACGCACGAGACCGGCGGCGATCAAGAGCTACAGCTTTGTGATGGCATTCGATGATGACAAGGAATAAAACAAAGACATGCGTGAACGGACCACTGAGTCCCACCGACTTTGGCAATGTAGAATGGAAATGTGTACACATGACTTGGATAGAAATTAAATTTTTGCAGGGAAAAGCATCCTGAAATGCAGCTGGGAAAAGCTAGCTACTCGATCCTAATTCATTACAAGAAGGGGACACGCCCACAGGGGTACATGTTCATTTCTGGGGGGGAAGTGGTATCATAGCGCATCAAAACGAAAAATGGGAAGGCGGCTCGCATCCGCGTTGGCTCGCCTTCACCTCATCAAATCTCTCCTCCTCTGTCTCTCTCACACCGTTGAAGGTTTATCCAAAACCCATCTGCACACTCCTTTCGTCACAGCTCGCTTACAGAGCAAGGACGGCAAGGGCAGCGAGACCGAGGAAGGCCGGCGCAGCAGTCTTCATGGCGGCGTTGGGGCTGGTGGTGGAGGTGGTGGCAGGGCGGTTAGAGCTGACCGGGCTGGTGGTGACGGTGCTCTGGCCGGTGGTGGCGGTCGAGGTCGAGCCATTGCTGGTGACGGCAGTGGTCTGGCCCGAAGTGGTGGCAGCACCGCCGGCAATCGGGGTACCGTTGTAGCCGGAGATGGTGGTGGAGCCGGTGGTGGTGGTGAAAGCCGAGCCGTTGCTGGTGCCGACGCTGGTAAGAGCCGAGGTGGTGATGGCAGTGGTAGTGGGAGCGCTGTTGGCACCAGTGGCACCACCGACGGCTCCGGCAATGGGAGTGCCGTTGTAGCCGTAGATGGTGGTCGAGCCGGTGGTGGTGGGCACAACAGAGCCGCCATCAGTGGTGTAGGCGCTGGTCAAGGCAGAGGTGGTGATGGCAGTGGTGGTGGGAGCAGAAGCGACCGCGCCAGTGCCGGTCGACTGGGCAGTGCCGTTGTTGCCTGAGCCTGCACCAGCGAGGACACTGGAGCAGTAGGTGATGCCGGCAGCGATGGCAGCTTGAGCATCGGCTTGGTTCGGGCAGCTTTCGTTGGAGCAGTCACGGATGCCGAAACCGTAGTTAGGGGTGTTGCAGTAGCAGACCAAGTCGCCGGCGGTGCAGCCGAGCATGGGAGCCTTGTCGTTCATGTTATTGATGCAGACGGTCTGGAAGAGAAGCGAGATCAGTCGATCGGTTCAACGGTACCATGTCTCAACAGACTTCCTGGCTTCAAGAACTTACACCACAGGCTGGGATGCCGGCAGGGATCTGGACCTGGGCAGCAGCGGCAGCAGCGCCGACGATGATGAGACCGAAAGACTTCATGATGATGTTTGAAATGGAGAGGTGGTAGTTGACGTTGGTTGCGATGGAGAGAGATTAATGGTGCTGAGTCCTGCGACGAAGAAGCTGTGATTAAACGTTGTTGTTGTTTGTTTGGAGTAGGCGATCAGGTTGTATTGTATATAGGAGCGCGCGTGGTGGATGAGAGAAGACGTTGGCGGAATCGCGGGGCGATGGAAATTATTATATCCACGATGCAGATGAGCTACTGTACGGGTTCAGAGAGATGGGAACGGGCGACGATGACCACCTACACCTGCACCTGGGCATGTGGTGACATTTTGGGAGGGCAATGGATGAATTGGGTGCAGCCCAACAAGGGGTGGGCAGTCATCACCGTAGAGAGTAGAAAGAAACCTGGGAAGTCTAGAGTGCTGCTAGCCCGGCTGCGTATGATTGCAGTAGGAACCACCTAATAACAACTAAGGGATGATTGCAGTACCTGGGAATCCACCTAGCGCGTCTCTTTGGCGCAAGAAGCCGGGACCATCCAAACCCACACCACACCCGGGCACACCCATCCGTCGTCACTCACCACTTGCCCGTCACCATGCACACACACACACACACACACACACACACACACAAACACACCTTTCTCGCTCGAGTCGGTAGTGGTTCATACTCTAAATGAAATACCTGCAAGCGCTACTGTCTGCCAATAAACACTTCCGAAATACCACACCATCCAGGCAGGAGGAGCAACAAGTACTGTACAGCACACGCAGTACCACCATCATCGTACCTTGCTTTCCAGTTTAGTGAGCTTCGTTACGGTGCGGCTCCCCATGTGTGGTGTGAGGTGAAGAAGGGAAAAGAATCCGGAATAGCAAGTGACTTCCAGACTTGTCTCCAGGTATGAGTTTGCAGGCTCAACAGGCGTGTACACGCGGCAGGCGCAGTCAGCCCCGGCATTGAGCAGCTGCAAATCCTCGTCAATTATCCGGGCCATCCAGGGCCAGACCTGGAGGTCATCATTCACATGCGATCAGGAGTTCTCCATGATCCCCTCATCTTCGCTGGCAGAGGCGACGAGTCCGCGGTGCGAGACACATGATGCCTCCATCAGAACCCGATCGAAGAGGACAATGTGCATTGAGACAAGTGCGCGGTTCGTGGCTCGAACGGTCAGATTCTCACGCAGTTGACGCGACGACTCCACTCCTGGTACCGACAGCAACCGTTAACAATTCCCACTTTCGCATCAGTAAAATCCTTCCTTTGCCGTGTTGGCCGCAGGTGTACATGCGCCGACGTCAACGCTGAAATCTTCAATGGATTTTGCCCATCTGTAGCAGAAAACTTGTTCGAAGCACCAAACGAGGGCTCAGAGAGATTGGACCGGCAGGAGCCGATTCTGGTGGAGCTCGGCTTCAAAGGTAGGTCAAATCGCAACCGCCATAGCAACCATCTGCAGCTCCACAGCATGGCCAACTCACCAGTCGGCCTTATTATGACGACCATTTGCCGAGCTACTTTCGATGATCTGGCACCCACCTGCAATTCTCCTCGATCGTTTGACATCATAGGGTGAATGGCGATCCTTCTTCAGAGATGTTTTCCACCGTGATGACGAGACCTCATGACGCGCCTGTGTCAATCACAATCCACTTTTGTGAGCATGTCGCACTGCAGCAAACACTTCACCTTGCCGCATCGGTCATGATTTGTGGACAGAGCACACAAGCACGAGACATTCACAGTGACTATGTCATCAGAAAGCTGGCCCGAATCGCATCCTCGATGACAATGGGTGGATCGTGACTTCGATGACGGCTCGGACGTTGGTGCTATGAGGCTGCAAGGCCATGTGCTATCGAGAACTACGGGTTCAGGCGTGGGATGCATATTCATCCTTCAGGTGCCCATGTAATAAAATCGATGAGTGCCAATGCTTGCTGTCCAGCGCTGTAACTTGGAAGTCACCAAGCTAGTGCGAATCAGATCTGCACAACCATTGACGAAGCACTGCTGCCCATGAATGGATGAAGAAGACAATGATCGGTCGGCGTCCTTCCTACTGCCAAGTTTCTGGTGGCTGTGGTGTGTCATCAAGTTTGCGCTCCAGCCACCAATTTCGCGCTTCATCGACATGATCATCCAATCGTCCCTGTTCCCTGTTGGCTCGCTGCCCGAATTCACGCCCAGTAAAGCAAGTTTCTCGTTCCGGGTTCTGTCAATTGTTGCCCGTGTTGTGTTGCAGTAGCTCCACCTGCACGTATTATCCCACGGACAATCTGCACGATGGATCGCGAGAAACATATGACTGGACAGGGCGGCGAACTGCGAGGTAGCAAAAGCGTTTGCATGTGCCTACAGTCATGTCCTTCGATTCGCATCCTCGCTTGTGGCACTGTCGCGTCACTGTCATGCGCCCGTTCCGATTTCTTTCCTTAAGGTTCGTTGACACTGTAAGATTCATCACTGCGCAAGAGCGCAAGCCCGTCGGCGAAAACCGAACAAGGGCTTCCTCGACATCATTCCACCAGAGTCGTTAGGCCCCCAATTGACATCGCCAGTAATGTCATTGAAATTTATGCATATATCGTGGTACCTAGGCAATGGAAGAGTCTGCGTGCGGGCGCAAGCCAATGACCTTGATGACACTCCATTGGCGTCGCGTGGGCGAAACTCGACAGATGAGCCTCTCACCTCGATTCGCCCGAGACTGAGACATATCATTTCCCTCCAATCGCATCGGACGCGAGCTTGCGGAATCGACCGTGATGTGGTGATTGGATTTTAAATCGCTCGGGATGTACAGTTACTCCACAGCGCGGCACAACCCCATCGCATCTTCTCCTCCTCCCATCGTTATCACATGTGTCGACTCCTGGAAATTTTCCTTCTAGCCCCCGGAGCGAGTGCTCATTTCCCAGAACCTTGGTTCAGCGCTACTAGGAATCGACACAGATACATACATACAGCCCGAGGTTTATCATATCACCACGAGCATGCGGGCCGGACGCCGACCCGTCGTTTCAGCAACGCCCGCTTTCACTCTAGTTCACTTGACGATAGAAGAACAGATGGCGACAAGACGCCGTTTCGTCAATAGTGCCTTCTCTCCTGGATTGATCACTCTATTCAAACCGCGCACCCCGATCCAGGTTGGCGGGCGTCAACACAGCATAGTGATAGCACGTCGCCCTCGACTCGAGCGAGCCTGTGCTGCCCATGCGCAGTCCACAGAATGTACTGAAAATCGAGCCTTTTAGGTACGATTTGCGTGATAATCGGCGACTGTCGGGCAACCGCGGCGCCGCGTAATGAGATGTATCCAACTCGATCCATCATGGCCACTCGTTGAGGCCCTTGACAAATACAGTGCTCTGCCATGTGCTCCAACTCGTACTGTTCATTCCTCTGCAATCAATCAATCAGAGGAAACCTGCAAGCGACGTGCACGTTCAAGCTGCACTCACACCGCAAGTGCAAATCCCCAATCAGGGAAAAAGCCCATGCATGGTTCATCGCGTCCGCGTCACTCCTTCTCAATAGCTCACCGTCGCGTCGCATAGCATGATAAGCCTCGCCCAGACCCGATTCCACGGGCATTCAGCTGTTTGCAACCTGCAGCAGATCATCAGCCACATTCGTGCCACAGTCCAGACCCCCAGCCACGTATTTGTCCTCCACGTTGACAGGGAAACACATCGGGAGTGCTGAACCTTCCTGCGCCTCGGAAGGTGGATATGCTTGTCGACCATGATGAAGCGACCAATGGAAAATTCCAACGAACCGCTAGATTAGTGCAACAGTCGATCCGCAGCTAGAGTTTACGAGGACTCAGGTATCCACAGCACAGACGAAGCGAAGAAACGGCGAATCGTGATGCACCTTAGACGGCGATTGTCAGTCGCGCTCCCTCGCGTCGATCATCTGCTGAGAAGCCTGTTCCCGCCTATAGGGTAAGACTAACGACTGCGCAAGATTGATATGATGTGCCAAGATAGCTCCGAGCAACAAGTCAGGTCCTGCATGTGAAGCACAACAGCAAAGTTTTGGGAGTCACACGGTATTTGTAATCGTCAGACTCGAGGATCTGGCTGCAAAGGACAACAAGTAAACCTGCGCTTCTGGACTTCGACTCCGATGTTGGCACCCGTGGCATCGAAAGCAGATGGGTGATTCGTCCATGCTGATGCATGTATTTTCCCTGCATCGTATGCGGCCATGATTCTCCCTATCCAACGTTCCACGAGGTCATACATCGTCCACTCTCTTTTCGACAGCCCGTCGGCCACAGCTTCGAGCTGGTAGGGCTACCATCTACTCCTCGGCCGGCCGAACGACGCTTCCAGATCCGTGGCATCCCGCTTACATCGGTCCCAATCGATCGAAACACGGACGTAGTTCCAGTATTCCTCAATGGCATCGTCCCATGCCGGTCCCATCTCGTTTGCATTCAAGTAAACGATCTCGCCGGCGTCCTGTTGTTTGATCTCGCTGCAGACATCGAATTCGATCCATCGGCCATGATTGAAATGGGCGGATTTGATGGTACGCCGGAATCGTGAAGGCGCGATGGCGTCGTTGATGGGACGATCGTACGGTTTGCAGTGCCGTCGTCGCTGTTCACGGAGCTCGGGGGTTGATGTCCACTATTCGTCAATTGCGGCTGTCCTATGGTGGTCGATATGCGATCAGCATCTTCGCCCGATACCGAATCAGCACAGACGAGGAGCAGAGCTGGCTTCGCGATGCGCTTCACCCTGGTTGAACTCACGTTGCGGAAACACAGAAAGCAGAACTTACCACGAGCTGCCTTCCAATTCCGTCGCTTCGACCCATTCCCATCCGCCCGTAACCTTCTGCACATGATACTCCAAGTTCCTCCCCATCATTGTGATCCTCCAGCCCAGGATACGGCGGGCGACGGGCCCACGGGCCCATGCCACACCGTCACGCCGCCACTCCGGCTGGAAAGCCAATGCCATGACAAGGTGGCTTTGAAACTCATATCGGTGTAGAGCGGACGACTTGGAATCGAACAGTTGTGCCACGGCGTCGGGACTCTCGCCCTAGAAGATTCCATCCGCGATCATTCCGGCGCGGTCTTCGGGTCGTTGGCTCATGAACATCCCCGTCCTGTCCAGCCACGCGAGGAAAGACTCTGCGGGCGAGTCACGATCAGCCACTATTCGTATTGGTTGATCCTGTTCCGATGCTTCATTCTCCCTTCCCGAACTAAGCAGCGCATCCGGTTCCGGAGACAGTTCTCCCACCCAATCCCCAGGATCGGCGTAGATGCTGAAATCCCCCTTCCGCGGCGGCAGGATCCGAACGACTCTTGGTTTACGTTTCGACCGCTGGGGCGAAGGTTCGGTATTCAGGCGCTTTCCGCGATTGAGCTCTGCGTCCTTGTGAGTCTCTCCGGAGCCTGAAGTCGGCGGTAGACTCGCAGGTGTCCGCTGCCGTGACCCCGCTGGCAACGAAGGAGATTTCACACGGTATTTGCGTAGATCTACTATACTGACCTTCTTTAGAGATCGCGAAGTCGCCTTCGGCTTCTCCGGAGTCGGTGGGAGGATCGGAACGTCGCAGCCGCGCAGCGTGTAATCGTATTCCCTGACTCGGGTGGGCGTCGGCACGCGAGTACAATGCCGCGACGAGGGACAGGCGCGAGCTTTCAGGCGTGCTCGCTTGCCGTGATAGGTGCCCTTGGCATCCCACTAGAAATTCCAAGAATGCTGCATGCGCTCTTCGCTGATCGCCTGTAACTGTGCCCCCAACCATTTCGAGCTGAGTTTCCCCGAGTGATGCTCGATCAGACGGGTCGAATCCAAGCGGCCTTTGCTCGGAACGATGTAGGGTTTCGGTCTCCCCTCGGGGTCGATCCGATAGTGGTCGGGGAGGCTTTCTTCGAGGGTGAAATCGTTTCCTGGCTCTGGTAGTGGTGGATTGCTTCGAACCTGCCATTTCGGGGGTGGTGGTGGTGGTGACGGCGACGACGGCGACGACAACGACGGCGACGCTGTTATTTCGCTGCTGTCGCTGCTACTGATGCTACCGCTTCGCTCCATCATGGGCGCCTCGAGCGCTTCCACACCCTCGAATATTTGAATATGCTCTGCTCCCCCGATATCCTTCAATAGGTCTGACAATAGCTCGCGGGGAGGCCAAGTTGGCGGCGGCATGTCAGAATCGGCGGTAGTCCCTGTAGCCAACGTCGCAGTGACCTCCCCATCGCCATCTTCAGAGATGCGATGACGACAGTGTTCATCGCGAATAACGAAGGGCTTTGGCACCGGTGCCTCGGCGCTGAATTCCTCCTCTTCGAGAAGCTTCTGCCACGCAGGAATTCGTGAAATCGATGCCATTATAGTCGTACTTGAAGCGAAGGATATAAATCTATCTGATGTGATAATGAAGCAGCGAAGCGAGCCGTGGCAGAAGATGACGAGAGCTCAATGTTCGGTGCCGTAGGGATGCCCAGGTGAGTTGTATGTCTATCCTGGTGTTGACTCAGCAAAGGCTCTTGCCATTTAGATTGTGTGCTGTCATTTGTCCGTATCAGTATGGCAGTCACCTGGAGGTTACCGGTCACTACTGCTGGCGATGGAACAGCAACGCTGGCTAAGAGACTAAGCCTGGATCCATCGTCTATTTACAACAGCGTTGACCGTAATTATTACATACAACGTTCAGTGAAGCAGAAAGCAGCACTGGCCGTGATGATGGCATGAAGCGCCTGCGCCTCGTACCCACCTCAACACGATCGAATTACTTGTTACAAGATGGTATCACAAAATTTTGTCCATCCACCTATCATAGAATCCTTTGCCAAGGAAAGCTTCTTCCTCGTCCTCCCAGCGCTTTCTCTCGATTCGCTGACGAGCGTTGAAAGCGCGCACAAATTTCCAAGCTTCGGTATCAGCCAAGTTCCAACCTTCCACAGCACGACGAATTCGACCAAAATCTTCCTTGGCAGTCTCATCGACATTCTTCTTCTGGCGCAGGAGCGCGAACTTCGTGCGTGCGCTTTCGAGCAGCGATCGCTGAGCCGCAACATCTTTCTCGTCGAGTTTGTCGCCATCGCCAAATTCGTGGCCTTTCCGGGGAGGCGGCGGTCGACCAGGGGCGGAGACACCGCTCTCCCCTTTTTCGGCCTCCTTGCGACGAATCTCAAATCCTAGTACCCAATCGAGGTCTTCGAGAACTCGACTGCTGTCCTTCTGGAACGGCCGCTCCGCCGTCAACCATATCGAGCGGGCGTTACCATCATCCGATGCCACTGCGTCTTTCAGAGTAGGCAGGCGAGCGAAGGATGATCCCGATTTACCCAAGATGTCCTGCGTCAATGCCCGGATCCACAGATCGCGGGACGTCTCGCGACGAATGAAGCTCACGTTCATATCCGACTTGGATTTGACAAGGGTGGCGATCGTATAAGGATGAGGCAAAGTGCCGATGGTGAAGATTTTGCTGTCGTTGCGATATCCGCTGGGTGTTGTGATGGCGAAATGATTGCTGATACAGTGTTCACACCTTGCACGGTTCGGAGGGCAAGACGCTGGGATTGGACTGAACGGACAGTGTGTGAGATTGGTCGCGATCGACATGGCAGACTCGATGAGTACCGAGGCCTTGTCTGGCATCGGCTTCAGCACGGCGATGCCTTTGGGGAAGCTGTTCTGCCAATTCGAATGTAGATGACTGTTGATCAAGGCCGGAAGCATCGCCAGAGCATCTCCCACCGTCGACGGAGTATCTAGAAGTTTCCGGATCGGAACATATTTGGATTTGATCGTGTCTGCGCTGTAATATGCAATAGAGCCGGTGCCTGGCTCGAGCTTAAGGTTCTGATGCGAGACTGCTTCATACATTGACTTGACGCTTCCAATGGCTCGAGATGCGAGTGCTTCCTGGATAGCGGAGTCCACGCGATCCTTGGACCCCACATAAAGCGCTGTTCCGAGATCTTCATATTGGGCAAGCTCGGGATATTCACCCCGTCGTAGAAAGGTGAGCAACGAATCGTCGTATCGACTCATTGGGAAAGCAAGCCAGCTGGCCAAGATTCCTGAGCCCATGTTGCTCCATGCAAGCCATCTCATCAGTTCCTGCTGCATCTCAGGCTGCAGAGACAAACCTTGCATTGTCTTATACAGTGGGTTGTGCGTCGATTCTGCACTCGTCAGAATGACGGGCTTGAAGCCTTGCGCCCACCAAGCGCGACGCCATGCGATCAATATGTCCTGTTCTGCCTTCTTGCTCTTCTCGTCTTTTCTCCTTCCACCAGGGTCATAGTAGGTATAGATGGGCGGTCGTGGGCGCACAGGTGGCAACACAGCGCGATCTTCGTCAAAGGTCACACTGTCGCTGAATGGATTTCTCCACTTCCAATCAGTGTACCACTTCGCCTCGCCACTGCTGCTGTTGGCCTGCTCCGGAGGCGGCGTATGTGCTGACGGGCCGAGAAGAATTGGAACGTGATCGACTACGTTCTGCGCAGCTTCGACGGCATGATGCACACCGGCTTGAAGTTGAGACCCAATTTTGGGCACCTTGTCCAGAAGAGGGTCGAAGTCATTTGTGTTTGATGTCCCGAGGAAGAAAAGTCCGAATAGGAAGAAGAGGCTGAGGCCGAGAACGAATTGGAAACGGCGTGGGAGCGATGGCAATCGAGCCATCATCCTCGATGGCATACTGACGATGTGAAGACTGATCTACTGTCCACAAGCACTGCCAATATCTTCGTGTCGCACGTGTACCTGCCTGTCGTCGTTTCGGAGCATCAGGTCTTATGTCGCGATCGCAAACTCCGTGCTATCTCCTGATGGAGCAAGTCCTGGGCATTGTCTTCACACGCCAACCCTGGAACGCAATTTCGCCTTTGTGTGTGCCTGCTTTGATCTTCAAGCTTCACATGATGTGCTGATGATCGGCAGACTCGGCACGTGTACGGCGACACTAGAGTCAGCGTTGTCTGCCGTCGTTCATGATTCCCGAACTGAGGAATTCAGAATCCGTGGATGACGTGGTCGTTAGGGTTCCAATGAGCCAAGGGGCATTGGCAATTCGAATGCAACCACTCTGGAGTGCTGATGATCATATTCGTCCATGGCTGGATATAAGACGCAGGACTGAATCGCTTATTGCTGTGATTGTCATGCCGTCCTCGACTCCGAACCCATTGCCTGCGCCCGTGATCCACCAAAGCATCGGACGTGAGTAGTGACGACGAGCGGAAGCCGTGGTTTGGCAGACGCAAATACGAACGCGGCTGTGTGACGACCAAACTCCAATTGCAGCCGTATCTACACGTTACGCGCGACCACAAATGTACCGTCCGACAATATTTTCTCACTCTACAGCACCTCGAATACACTTGCAGTTTGTTCCATGTGATACACCATAAGCATCATGGCTTCCACTCCCTCCGCGCACCGAGGTCAAACACGGAGTCCTGAATCATTCGAATCGCAACAAATGCGGGACAACGCAGCCGAAATCCTAGAGAGCTATGAGAAGTTAAGTTGGGTGTCCTTCAACCGTCATGAGGTATGTCACACGGACTAGGCGAATTATGACCAGGTTTAGATGATCGGGAATCGGGAATCGTGACCTTGACGTACTTACATCTGCCCGTTCAAGAGCATACCTCAAACGCGTCTCTATCTCCAAAAGATCATCGCAGGCTTCGACCCGGCTGTAGCGGGAAAGGCCTACTGGAAAGAAGACTTCACTCCACATCCGTCCAAAGAGAACGAGCAGCCGCAGTCAAGCAGGAAAGGCAAGGAGCGAGTGAGCTTTGCGACCAGTGGAGAGACACCCGTCCAAGCCGAATCGAGTACTCGGCGGGTATCAAAGGGTAAGCCACCGACATCAACAGACAACGGGGCTGTCGGCTCGTCGTCTTCCTCGTCGAGAAAGCGTCAGCATGGAAGTGAGATGGATATATCTTGATATTGTCCAAACTTCATTGTCATATTGATCAAGTCCACGCTTCATCAGCCACAGACTTCCGCTTCTCTGAATCGTACTAGTTTCTCGAATACCTGATGCTATTGAGTTTGGAATGACTCAACGCTACCTCACTATGCTAACAAGCTTTCTGGGATTGAATGATGTGCTACTTATACAGGACCTAAATTTCATAATGTGTCGATCGGCCGCTACACGGGGAGCTGACCCATGACCAAGTATATGCCTCGCTGGTCTGGACGTGGTACTGTCAAGGTGGCTGTGTTTTCGCAGTGCCCGATGCATCGACAGTACCATTCTGTACTCTTTGCGAGGTATCAGATGGCAATGGTGATACTACACAACCCACAAGTTTCCCTCAAGGTAAGCCAAGATCGAAGCGGCACTGACTCATCGCGTTGACGCCAGTGGAGCCACTCACTTCAATGTGATGAAGCCAGCATGGTGAATCAAGGGAAACTCGTCTCCAGCGCTACTATACCGATTTGGCCATGCATGAGGACCGGTCTCATCATTGATCGAAAATCGCTTGATTCCATCTGTCTCGTGTGCTTGGGCAATTTTTGGATACGCCATGGCTGAGCCCTGGGGTGCGAAACTCGTCGCACAATCTTCGTATCTGCTCCCCAAGCTGTAATGTTCAGAAGTGGTCCCGCCGAACCATCTGTTGCAATAGGAGGACAGATGCTGCATTTCGCCTGGTGTTGGTACGCCACGATTTACCAACCGGGCAAGATCCGCCAAGTAAGAATCGTGACTCGGACCGTTCTGTGTCTCCATACTGGTATAGACGTCGTCAAGTTGGAAGCCCCAGCTGCTATTCGCGTCGAGCATGATCGGATGAGGGCTCATAGAGGCATTTGTCATACCAGGCATTAGTCGTAGATAAGCCTCAACATTATGAGGCCTTTGCCGTCCGTGACTGCTATTGTCGCTTGGGCCGAGAGCTGGTTGATCCGGAGCAGGGTCAGCAATGACACCACGATTGACATCGAGCTGCCCATGGTGCGCGACTGCAAACTTTCGACCAAGAGCAACGGCAAAGCTATCCTCAGCGGACTCTTCCAGATCGCTCTGGTAGTCTCCATCGCCATTGATCTTGCTCATTTTTCCCGGACTTTCGGTCGGCTTGTCGATCCCGGGCGATATTTGGCCATTCTGACGAGCGATGTTGTCGATCATTGCTTGCATGTCGCCGTCACCATACCCACCGCCCGAATGCTCCTTACCGCTGGCGGTCTCGGACAATCGCTTTTTCTCGATTAAGTCCGCGATATAATATCTCATTGCGATCGGAAGAGATTGCAAAGTCATTCTGCCCTCTGCAATGCGTTGCATAGCGCGGATGGGATCGTGACAACCGCTGTCCGCGGACTGCGATAGAACACTGCCATTTCCGTACAGCTGGGGACAGCCGGTACTTCTAGTCACGTCATCGTAGATCGAGTCGTCCATGGCTATTTCCCTAAAGCTGACTGTGCGACGCCGTCCTTTGCAATCGACTCCCAGTTGCGCGTGATTCAAACTCGGCCCAGTGAGATCAGAGGAATCGATCTCCTCGACCTCATCCGTCTCTTGCACGCCATGCGGCTCAAGCTCTCGGGTCATGTACCTCGCTCCTGTCCTTTCATTCGATGTAGCCACAGCGAGATGTCGATTCGAACCGCGCGCCTGCGTGGCTGATCTGTCGTCGGAGCTATCGTTTGTTTCGTGACCTTCGAGTTCCGGGCTATGCCGGGCGTCCTCGTTGGCTGCTTGCTGTGATGATTGTGAGCGTAGTCCTATTCCCGACTTCATCCTCGGATTTCTGATATTCTTGAGCTTGAATTTGCGGGCCTTGTTGAAGCTTACGCCTGTAGGGTGACATTTATCCCTTAGAATAACTATCAGTTTCGTGAGCTGATGTGCACGCAGGGTACTTCATACCAGCCAGCATCAATTACAAGACCTGGAAATTTACCAGATCTCACGTGCGTCTCAGCATGTCGGCGGGTGAACCAAGCATGTTTCCAGTCCTTCTTCGCTGCGGCACCTACACACAAGCCACATCGTGTCTCGCAACGTTGGATCACCAGGTTGCCTGACTTTGGCCATATATGGCGATGGTCAGGGTTGAGACAAGGCATCTTTGATCGCCACCATGTGTAGCGTCTAGTGCTTTGCAATAGATTGTAGCAGTGGATTGGCTAGCTTGTGGACCAATGCTCATGCGGCCGAAGCAAGTGAAGGCAGGCGAAGGTTGGACAATTGGACGATTTCTTTACATTCGACGTGGTACCAGTCGACAAGTGAAATCAAAGAGGGTGTTGCTGCGCGTAGAGCAGCTTTGGCATGCAGTAAATGCACACAATGCGAGCATATGGCTTACTTTCGGATTCTGGAGCAGATCATGGGTCTGCTCTTCAGGCTGTTTGCGTGGTGCTGGCACTGGGTATGTTAGATTGACGTTGATGTCGCATCTGAAACATGAGTTTACGTCTGTGCCAGTTCAGAATAAGATGAGTAAGAGCTGTAGAGGAAGTGAGGAATGCTGTCGTCCCTGTGGGCTTATGACGGAAGCGACGTTGACTTTGGCAAGTGAAGCCGCAAATGTTCTCAATGGATAAGCGCACTTGCCGGTTTCACTTTGTCGTCGAATCACATGCTATCATATGGTTCGCGCATTTCATCTGGGCAGTTCGCAGAACCAGCTGGCTCTTCATACGTGCACATTCCGCACAAGTTACCCATATGAGATGGAACGTGGATGGCTGTATGATACGATCTTGCAGGCTATGCAGTAGATGCGCAAATTGGATGTCACCTTATGAGATGTCGGTTGTAACCGCAGGCACAGATGCTCATTGGCAACGGAATACATTGTGTGTATGAGCCAGATACACGATCTTCCACTGTGTCAGCGAATACCAAGCGATCGATGGGCTTTTTCGCACGCAACGATGATACATCGCATGATGAAGACAGTGTTGAAATTTCACAACCTTACACCAGCAGAACGACAATCCAGATAAGACACAGCGCCGACGAGCGTCCAAACCTGAGACGACTCTTACTGCAGATTTATCAATACGCATGTTGAGCAAGGATGCAATGATGTGGACTGCGACGAGGAAAGCAGAATATTGAAGCCCGAAGGCGACCCGTCTCAGAGGCACAGAACGCGTCCAGCTTGCGTCCAGCTTCATAGTGGACGGTCGAGTCATCACAACTTGTTCATGTCCTCGAGTAAAAATCGAGTGATGAAAAAAAATGAATGCATGATCATGAAAGAATAGAAGCATCTTCACAGTGACTGGTGTTTTGCGATGGAGAGGTGAAGTCGTAAGAATTTGGCAGCCGACAACGGTATGGTGTCCCGGAAAGCTCCGACCAATCGGCAATCCCTGCGCCCTGGACATGCGAGAGTCTGGTCAATTAGCACAGCCAAGCATCCTCAATCTGCTTCGGCTGCTGGTGAGCTTCAGATTGACAACATCGGGCATACCATCCGCACATCACCACCATCGCAATCATGTTGGCCAGCCGTGTCGCCGCCCGGTCTGCCCGTGTGGCAGCACCGCGCATTTCCGCTGTCAGCGTCCGCTCTTTCGCCGACGTCAAGGCCAACACCAAGCCTCCTGTCCAGCTGTTTGGTGTCGACGGCACCTACGCCAGCGCCCTGGTAGGGCCAATGCCACCGTCGCCGAGTGCAATCACCATATAGCATGCTAACTTGTTTGTCAAAAGTACACCGCCGCCGCCAAGACCTCTTCCCTCGACAGCGTCTCCAAGGCAATGGAGGCCCTCGCTCAAACTTTCAAGAGCGACAAAAAGCTTCAGGCCATCCTCAGCGCGCCCACCCTGAGCGTCGAAGACAAGAAGCAGATTGTGGCGGAGATTCAAAAGAGCACTGGTGTCCAAGACAAGTCCAACACCGTCCAGAACTTCCTGGCTACGCTTGCCGAGAACAACCGCCTGAGCGTCCTCGAGGGTGTCACCACAAAGTTCGCGGAGCTCATCAGCGCTTCTCGCGGCGAGGTCGAGCTGATCATCACGAGCGCTGCACCATTGGAGGCCAAGGTCATCAAGCAGCTTGAGAACGCCGTTGGCAAAAGCCAATACGTCGGACAAGGCAAGAAGCTGAAGGTCGTGTCAAAGGTGAGATCATGGCTCCGACACGCGATAGCAATTACGAAAGTACTAATAGGACGCAGGTCAACCCTGAGATTCGCGGAGGTCTCGTCGTCGAGATCGGAGACCGAACAATCGACCTCAGTGTGTCTTCCAAGCTGGCAAAGATGAACAAGCTTCTCTCGGATGCCCTGTAAATATATAGCGATACCAAAAGATCGAAAACTCTCCTTTGTCTGTTCAAACAAATCCGATTTTCGCCTTGAAACGATGCTGTATATAATGCACGGGGCAGATGCGCTGAGCAGACCATTATGTGGGATGGACTCGCTATGCTACTTTAATGTCTCGGCCGCATTTTCTGAAGTGGTGGGCGAATGTTGTATGTTTGAATGAGTCGATGCTCCCGATCCAGGTCGAAACCTCCGCAGAGATACCAGAAAGCATGAGGCGATGTTCAAAACAAAGTCGGGTCGTTTGATAGAGAGGCCGCTCGCTTGTAAATCATGACCACGGCTCTTCCAGTGGTGAAGAGAGCAGCATGGATGCCAGATCATGGTCTGCTATGAATGTGCGAGCTGGATCGTCGGTCTTTCCGGCTACCGACTACGTCGACTTAATCCTTTACGATGCCCTCGCGTCACACCACTGTGCCAGGGTCTATTGAGAGGCTGTAGCTTCATGATACATCACCTTCCCGCCCAAATGCCCTGGCCTATGCCCGGTCTGCCCTCATTCACAGGCCGCTTCGCGACTCGACCTTGTGCCTTGACACCCTGCACCACCTTTTCCAGCGACGTCTCTACCACCACCCCACCTACTATCATCTCCCCCAGAACCGCGTGTAATGTCTCGAAGTTGAAGATCAAGTCTAATTCGCACACATTCTCGAACAAGCGATCGAGAGCTTCGACGAAGACTTGGATGAGATCGAGCAAGGCCAGTGGAGACTCGGTCGACGTGGAGATGACAATGAAGTAAAGTGTGGCATAATGTCGGTAGGTCACGAGGGACGGCGCATCGTTGTGCTCTTGGGACGCTGTGGCGGCCGAAGCTGTTGGGCCCGCGAGCAGCGGCGGGAGCGGCAAGAAGTTGCAGCTGCTCGCCGAGCGGGCTGAGACGAGGGTGAAGATCTCTGAGATCAGGCGTTGCTGCACGGCAGTATCCTATCAACCAGGAAAAGCGAACACCGCTGTCAGTCTACTGCTCTCGTTCTCTCCGTGACCGAAGTGTCGAGCAAACATCGCTGTGGACGCACAAGCTGCGTGTAGAATTTGGTCAAACGTGGTTGCCCATTATTATTGAACACCAAGACAGCATTGATCATATCTTTGGTGGGGCGGCGAATCTGCCAGCGAGATTGAAAGACGGTGGTTAAGAGCGAATGGTGCCCTGCCTGATGTCCACGCTGGCTCCCTGGGTATGCTTAGACTCAGATGCTCCTCAGATGTGTACGGAAAGTGGAGAGAGAGCTTGCTCAAGGCTGGTGTGCCCGATCAAATTGTACGGAACTTGTTCTGCTCACATGAGATCAATCCCATGCGCGTCGCCTGCGAGTCAACTCTGTCATCGGAAGTGCCCGGGGTAGCGTCGAGTGCCATTAAGCCAATGATAATCTGGGTCTTTCTGTCATTGGGTGCATGTGTGTGCCCTTAGGGTTTGGGCTGGATCATGTCATGGAATTGTTGCTTCATCAATGGGCTGGAAATATTACATCAAGATTCCAGTAACATCTTTTCTTGCAGGAATGGCCATGTGGTCGAGCATTCGACACGCGGAGAGGTGTCTTGTGTTCGAGATTGATATTTTCCCCAAGGACTCGGAGGCCTCATCAGAGGTTCCATCACCGACATCCGATCGAACCCAGATAAGACCGTTGGTGCACGTTCATAAAAATGTATCTACATGTGGAGTTACGAGTGATGTGGAGCTCGGACAGCGTGTACCCGATCCCTTCATACACTGGTCTAGCGAGTGATTGCCGCATTAACCATCGGCAAGGCTGTGATGTAAACATGTAATGCACACTTGTAAAGCATGATTCTTTGTACAAGGCTCTCCTTCTCCTGCGGGAAAGTTGCATTTCGGAGCAGCTCGGCGCCGGGTCGTCTGCCGAAGTCTATGCAGACATAGACCAAGGAGTCCTCCATCGAATGATCCGAATGAGCTCTCGACATTGAGTGCAGTGGATGTGCGCCCGCATGCAGTGCGGACCGGCGCGATGCCAGACCGTGTGCCTGTCTGACGGGACGTCAAATCGGTTCGGAATCATATCGTTTCCAACGCTGGTCGACTGCCAAGAGCGTCGAGGTACGGACAGCCGCCCCCACGGTTGTCAACATTATCTGGCAGCCTTTGGGCCACAGAAAAAGGAGACTGCTTCCATGACGTGCTGTACCCTCGCTCTCCCTCACCCGTAGATTCCAGCCAGGATAAGCGCATTGAAATTCTGGCCAGAGAATCGCAAGTATAGTCATGGTTGCTGCGAAACGATCCGAGCACCTGTCATGTTGCAGAACCAGGCTGGGACGCGAAGCATGTGAGCACGTTCCGCAGAGAAGCGAAATTCCCTCAGGCGATCGATCTGCCTCATACCCGGACGGTGTATTTCGATGGTGTAAAAAGTTGTTCCTCCTAGCTCTTCACAGATCGATGGTCCTCTGAAGGTCTCTGCTGCCGCGATGCCGAAAGGGCGCCGACTTGCTGATTATACCAATCGCGTATCTGAGAATGTCAGAGTAATGCTTCAGTGACCAATCGTAGCCCGAAAGATCTTACCGGTTGGAAGGGAGAGATCAAGCGCTCATCCACCTCCATGTACAGGACTCCGTAGAAGACGAAGCCAGTAATCATACCCCATTGAACGAGCTTGGTGAACCTGGTCCATACTGGACGCGCAAATTTCAATTTCGTCCGCCGTCGATACCGTCGCTCAAGGCTGAACTGATGAGTATTGGAAAGCTTCGAGAACTCGGGAGGCCAGGTCCGCTTGCATTGGTAAGGATTGGTGTGAATGTTCCACGCGTATTCAGGCACCTGGACGGGGGCTTTCGGCGCCCTTCGAAAGAGCCAATTGAAAGCGGCTGATGCCATCCGGAGGATATTTGTCGTGGACAACTGATGGCCGGCGAGGTCAACTGTGGTGAGATTGAAGCGACGATGCTCGGCTCGCCGGTTGCGAAGGTTGATACAGTAGTAATCGGTATGATGATCAATCTTCGCTAACTGTTTTCTAGGTAGCTCATGCACGTAATAACACTGCAGGCCTGGGGTGCTTTACGTGTGAAGCGCATCAATACCCCGGATTCCTTTGGTTCAAAACCCCCGCGGACCCAGTTCGCTCTGCCCGCAAAATCTGGCGACAAATCATCAAAATATTGGAATGGTGGAGAAACCTGAGCTCCCATCCATCCATTCATTGCTAGCACACATAATACCACCACCACACCATACCCTGCATCGACGCTACTGAAGCACCTCAACCCACTTCTCTACGGAAAAATTCACTGGTGCTCCTTCTGACTCACAACCACGTCGTTCCCGATATTTCGATCATTGCCGCGGCTGCGTGGCTTGCGCATTCGTTCTGCAACATACGCGACCATGGCAGCCGTTCAGGCCACCAAAGAAGCCCTGGCTCCTGTACAGCAGGCCGGCACTCTCAAACTCGAGAACACCGACAAGCGAGACACTTTGATCGCCAGCGAAAAGAAATATCAGCAGCAATGGGCCGAGAAGAAGGTCTTCGAGCAGGATGCTCCAAGCCTCGAGGAAGTGCCATTTCATTCGATCTCGCCAGCGGAACTTCGGAAGAAGCACCCCAAGTACATGGTCACCATGGCATATCCCTACGTCAATGGTGTACCTCATGCCGGTCACACTTTTACTGCGAGTAAGTTGGAATTCGCTGTAGGATGGGCAAGGATGCAAGGCAAGAGGGCACTCTACCCTCAGGGGTTCCATGCCACTGGAATGCCCATCAAAGCATGTGCAGACAAGTTGATTCGCGAGATTGAGATGTTCGGGCAAAATTTCGAGAACTGTCCTGTGGACGCAGTCAAGAACGAGGAGACACCTGCTGAGGAGACACCTGCACCTGTCCAAGGTGCTGCCAAGTCGGACGTGACCAAGTTCACCACCAAAAAATCGAAAGCAGCCGCGAAGGTAAATGTCGCCCTCAAATACCAGTTCCAAATCATGCTTGCCATTGGTGTCCCTATCGAGGAGATTCACAAATTCGCCGACCCTCAATACTGGTTGCACTACTTCCCGCCGCTCTGGAAGCGGGACTTGACCAATCTGGGTTGCAGGGTGGACTGGAGACGCTCTCTAATCACCACTGATGCCAACCCTTACTACGATGCGTTCGTTCGCTGGCAAGTCAATCGCCTGAAGCAACTTGGAAAGATCAAGTTCGGCAAGAGATATACGGTGTACTCTCCACGCGACGGACAAGCTTGTATGGACCATGACAGAGCATCTGGCGAGGGTGTCGCAGTCCAGGAATATACGGCGATCAAGTTGCAGGTGAAGGAATGGCCTGAAGCGGCCAAAGTAAAACTCCAGGGTGCTATCCCGGAAGGCGGCGAAGTATTCTTTGTTCCCGCAACGCTTCGCCCAGAGACGATGTACGGCCAGACCGCATGTTTCGTCGGCCCGACCATCAGCTATGGCATCTTCGAGGTGGTCAAGGGCAAAGAGTACTACTTCATTGCCGAACGCGCAGCTAGGAACATGGCCTACCAGAACATCTTCCCCGAGTGGGGTGCGTTCCCCAAGGTGGCTGAATTGCAAGGAGCTGATGTCATCGGAACCCTTGTAAACGCGCCCCTTTCTGTTCACAAAGACGGAATACGCATCCTCCCCATGGAGACCGTCAAGGCTACCAAAGGAACCGGAGTTGTCAGCTGTGTTCCGTCTGACTCTCCAGATGATTACGCCACCATCACGGACTTGTCGAAGAAAGCCGAGTACTACAAAATCCAAAAGGAGTGGGCAGATCTCGAGATTTTGCCCATCATTGAAACGCCGTCTTATGGCAACCTCACTGCCAAGCACTTGGTGGAAACGATGAAGATCAACTCACCAAAAGATGCCAAGCAGCTGGCAGAGGCGAAGGACCTTGCTTACAAAGAAGGTTTCTACAAAGGCAAGATGATCCATGGTGACTTTGCAGGCCAGAGCGTTGCCGATGCCAAACCACTCGTGCGCCAGCAGCTTATCGACGCGCAAGAAGCTTTCGCATACGCCGAGCCCGATGGACAGGTAACAAGTCGCTCTGGTGATGAGTGCGTGGCTGCCCATCTTGACCAGTGGTTCATGAATTACGGCACTCCAGAAGCTTCAGGTGACCCGACCTGGCAGCCGGAAGTGCTGAAGCACGTTCAGAACGAAGATGGCGAAGGCCTCAACTTGTGGTCCACCGAGGCCAAGAACGCATTCGAGAAGGTTTTATTCTGGCTTGCTCAGTGGGCGTGTGCAAGGAGCTATGGGTTGGGCACAAGGTTGCCCTGGGACCAATCTCAGCTGGTGGAGAGTTTGTCCGATTCTACCGTTTACATGGCATACTACACCATTGCTCATCTTTTGCACAAGGACTACTTCGGTCAGGAACGAGGGCCTGCAAATGTCGGGCCCGAGGATCTGACGGATGAGATGTGGGATTACCTCTTCTGCAGGACCGAGGAGATCCCCGCAGACACCAAAGTGGACCACGAGACCCTACACAAGATGCGACGAGAATTCGAATACTGGTACCCGCTTGACCTACGTGTTTCGGGCAAGGATCTCATTCAGAACCACTTGACCTTCTTCCTCTATGGGCACGTGGCCCTGTTCCCACGCGAATACTGGCCTCGAGCTATTCGTGTCAACGGACATTTGCTGCTCAATGGAGAGAAGATGTCCAAATCTACCGGTAACTTTATGACTCTTGCGGAGTCCACATCGAAATTCGGTGCCGATGCCACACGAATTGCTCTCGCCGACGGTGGTGATGGTATGGAAGACGCCAATTTTGACGAGACTGTCGCAAACAGTAACATTCTGCGAATGTACGAGCTACGGCAATGGTGTGAGAGCGTGATCGCAGATGCTCGCTTGCTCAAGGAGGGCGAGAACTATGCTCATGTCAAGGACAGCGAGCGACTCAAGAACAACGACTCCATTCAAAGAACTGGCGAGAAATTGTTCTTCGACAAGCTTTTCGAAAACGAAATGAACGGCCTGGTGAGAGAGACCGAGCAACAATACGATCAGACGAACTACAAATCTGCGATCAAATCTGGTCTGTACGATTTCATTTCTGCACGAGACTTCTACCGTGAAGCAACCAAAGCTGCAGGAATTGGCATGCATCATGACCTGATCAAACTTTACGTGGAGTTGCAGACACTCATGATCACGGTCGTCGCGCCACACTGGGCGGAATACATTTGGCTCGAAGTGCTCAAGAAGTCCGATTCGGTCCAGAACGCCCTTTTCCCTCAGGTGTCTGAGCCCGACTCGCATCTCACTGCAGCACGCGACTACGTCCGCAACACCTCGAGCAACATCACGAGCGCGGAAGGCGCACAACTCAAGAAGATGCAGAAAGGCAAACAGACCTCTTACGACCCCAAGAAGGACAAGAAGTTGTCCATCTACTGTGCTCTGCAATACCCAGCCTGGCAGGATGGTATCATCGACATCGTCCGCAACAATTTTGCGGACCTCAAGCTCGACGTTGCTGCTATCTCCAAGTCGATCCCCAAGGCGGAGAGCAAACGCGCTATGCCGTTCGTACAGACCCTGAAAAAGAGCCTGGAGTCCGGTATCGAGCCCACCACCGTGTTTGAGCGCAAGTTGGGTTTCGACGAGGTGTCGGTGCTGACCGAGATGGTCCCCGGCCTCCAACAGACCCTTCCCAAATGTCTGAGGGTGGAAGTGATCGCGATTGACGAAGGTGGGAAGTCTGGCAAGATCGTGGCGGGGACGTCTAACGTCCAAGTGGGCGAGGCCCGCAGCGACTTGCCGCAGACGGCGGAAAACGCTGTGCCCGGACAGCCTACCTTCTTCTTTGAGAACATCGCGGCCGCTTGATGTAGATGATGTCCGACGACGCTCGATGATAGCTTTTGCCGTATCCGAATTGAGACATGGCATCATGGTTGCGTCTTGTACTATGGCTCTTTCGTTTCATAGACATTCTCTTCTCGACCAGAAAATTGATGCGATAGCTTGTAGAATGCCCACCCATTTTTGTGCGAGGCAGAGTCTCCCCGTGCTGCACTCGAAAGGGGCGGTGTATGACGGCAACCCAATGTGCCCCGCCTAGTATACATCAGCCATGATACCCCTCCGTCGAGATTTATCCCGCCCCCGGGCCTGAATTATTCAAAGGGTTCCAATTGAGCATCTACCGTAATTCGCCTGCGCTTCGAAGGATGCTTAGCGGAGTGGCTGTTTCAATGGCGTCAACCGCAAGCGCTCCGCAGGGCTACGTCAGTGCCTCCAGTTGCTGCCTCCAAAAGTTGGCCTCGCATGTCGATGAAGTCGATTGACTACAACACCGTTCTCCGCCGCAACCCGTGAACATCACTGCGACTTTGTTTCAACAACCTAACGTCCGCATCCCGGTCCCTCCTGCAAACATGAATCCCGCCCTGGCGAATTTCATGCTGGCCCGCACGCCCGAATCGATCCTCCATCCCAAAACCGGGGCTGAAGAGACCTTCACTCTGAACACCGGCGCCAAAATCCCCGCCGTCGGGCTGGGGACCTGGCAGAGTGACCCCGGACAAGTGCAAGCTGCCGTGGCGCACGCGATCAAGGTCGGATACCGCCACATCGATGGTATGTCATGCAGCGAGCGGTTTTGATGGTAGAGTCCGCATCCATGCGGAATCGAATGTTCGCTGAAACAAATAAAAACAGCGGCACTCTTGTACAGAAACGAGACCGAGGTTGGTGCAGGCCTCAAAGAAGCCTTCGCGTCTGGGATCAAACGGGAAGAAGTCTTCGTCACTTCCAAACTGTGGAATACCTTCCACCGTCGCCCCGAGGATGGTCTGGACCGGACCCTCAAAAGTCTTGCCCTCGATTATGTGGATCTGTACCTGATGCATTGGCCGGTGCCGATGAACGGAGCAGGGAACCATCCATTGTTTCCGACTCGGCAGGACGGCTCCCGCGACTTGGACACGGAATGGTCATTTATAGATACGTGGAAGGGGATGGAGAAACTCCTCGCGACCGGCAAGGTCAAGGCGATCGGCGTGTCGAATTGCAGTGTGCCGTTTCTGGAGAGACTGCTGGAGAAGAGTGATGTGGTGCCGGCAGCGAACCAGATCGAAAACCATCCTTATCTGCCCCAGCAGGAGATTGTAGATTTCTGTCGGGAGAAGGGAATCCTGGTCGAGGCTTACAGCCCATTGGGAAGTACGGGTAGTCCCCTGTTCGAGGAAGAAGGCGTGGTGGACGTGGCCAAGAAGCACAACGTCGGCCCGGGGACCATCCTGATCAGCTATCAAGGTGAGCACGTGTGGGCGGCCGCGAGGCTCTTTAGTGGTGCATAGCTGACACTCTCTCAGTCGCGAAAGGTCATGTCGTTTTGCCCAAGTCGGTGACACCGACGCGGATCGAGGAGAATTTGAGGACGGTCAAACTTGATTCGGCTGACTTGGAAGCGCTGGAAGGCATCCACAAGACGAAAGGGCTGAAACGATTCGTCTACCCGCAGTTTGGGGTGAACCTCGGATTTCCCGACAAGCAATAATTGTCCGGCATGTTGGAATTCAAATCAGACAGAATCAGGAGACACTGCAGCGGTCGTCATAAATAGAACAGGTTGCTTTGGGATTTGTGAGCCCTCTGCGATTGAGGAACCATACCACACATATAGACTTGCTCATCGACGCTTTGAGACATCTTGTTCGCGTGCCTGCTTGGCCTGTTCCTGCAAGACTCCTCTCAAAAAATCATTGTTCCGACCGAGCAGGACCACATCCTTGGCATTGATGACATTCCGATCCGAGTTTTTCGCAAAGGCCTCGAGGTCGGTGGCGGCGCTATTGATTTTCTCGTAGACGAGCTCACTCAGACTGCCGATGAAGCGAGTCGACGCATTCATCTTCTCCGTCATGGCGATGGCATCAACAGTCTGTCCTATTGCATGCCAGAGCGCGGCTTTGAGTCTTTCTTGCTTTTCGTCCTCGGCCGCATCGATAGGAGCCATGGTTGCTGTTTGAAGATGGCAAGTTTCTGTGAGACGAAATCACAGGCGATGTCGATGGCTAGAGTGTTCTCGCCTGTTCACTCCAAGATCGATGAATGCAGATTGAACGAGTGCACGGGCCACCGGAACGCGATCACATAGAAATCTATCAGTCTTTCTCCAACTTCGAGTACAACACCCAGCAATGGTTACCTCACGACCTCGCCAGCATGATTTGCAGTTGTATCACTAAGGTGAGTTGAAGCGTGGATTCTACCTTCAATAGGCTTTGAGGACTATATCAACTCGATGCGCTATCAATGATCACCTTCAGCACAAGCCGTCCATCGCTGTCCTCCGTCTTTCCCGCCATCGCGAACGCATCCTCGGCTTCCTCCAGACCGCGGAATCGATGGGTGATCAGTTTCGAGAAATCAGGTCCATCTGCGGAGGTCAAAGCCTGCTGGACGATCCGGATGCTCTCGGCGTACGTGTTTGCGTACCGGAACACGCCGACGATGTCCACCTCGCGCAAGGCCGCGGCGCCGAGCGGGATCGTCTGGATGGGATGGCCCATGCCCACCAGCATCAGACGCCCTCCGGGTCGGGTGCACTAGATTCGACGTGACGAGTGTCAGCATGTTGTTTGCCCTTGCACGTGAGGGGTGTGGAAGCCTCCGATCGGATGTGCCGAAGCGACTTACGAAGATGCCTGCCTGCACGCAGGAAGGGACACCGGTGCACTCGAAGACGACGTCGACCTCGCCCACGCCGTCGACCTGACCGATCTCGGCCGCGACCTCCTTGGCTATAGCGAGGCTCTCGTCGATATCCTTCCCTCTGCGCGATGGCACAGTGTAGCTGCTATGTGCGAACGCGTTGTCGACCGCGAATCGGACCCGTCCCGCATCGATGTCCGCGATGATCACCTTCCGAGCGCCCCGTAGTCTCGCCACGGCTGCGCACAGCAGCCCGATCGCTCCGGCACCGAACACGACGACGGTCGCGTTTTCAGGCATGAGGCTCCTGCGAAACGCGTGCAGCGCGACGCCCAGCGGCTCCAACAGAGCGCCGACGTCGAGGCTCACCTCGTCGGGCAGCTTGTAGCACCACCTCGCCGGATGATTGATGCGTTCTTGCAGCGTGCCTTGGAAATGCGGGAAGGCCTTGCCGCTGCTCCGGAAGCGCACGTCTTTGCAGATGTTGTATCGGCCTTGCTTGCATCGTTGGCATTGCTCGCACGGCAGACCGACCTCCATGGTCACCCGATCACCCGGCGCGAAATCTCTGACCTGCGACCCGATCGCGGTCACCACGCCGGAGGATTCATGTCCGAGGCTGAGGGGCTCCCTGACGAGGATGTCGCCGTTTCGGAAATGTGAATAGTAGTGGAGATCGCTGCCGCATAATCCGGTGGATGCGATTTGAATTTGGATCTCTTCGGGTTCGGGGAACGGGAGTTCTCGAGACTCCTGCAAGAGGATGTCAGAGGAGAGACCAGCGAAGTTACGTCGAGTCCATCAATGTCCGTCTCATCGAGGTAGATATTTCCTTGTCAAGTTGATAGCACGTACAACGCGGAGGTCCTTGGCCGCATGGAGGACAGAGGCTTTGATGTGTGTAGACATGATTATATCGTTGCGAGTCGTGTCTGTTTCCCAACCCTGGGATGATTCACAATGGTAATTTCAATGGTTATGACTATTCAAATCTCGTGATGAACACACCGGGCGCACATCAACCTTCGTGTTGTCCAGCTTGCAACATGGAATAAGCATATGCAGCAAAGTCGACAGTCGAGCATACGCGTGTGCCATGAAGCTCTCGCGATTGGGCGGGGTCGGCGTCCTTGGACTCGGCGGCGTCTGACGGAATTGATGGATCAGGACCGCCGAGATGCGCAGGCGATGGATGAAGATGTGCAGCGATCTGCGTTCGGGAGCTACACTGCTGCATCGGCTCTCCACCCGAGGTGACTGGAGGACCTGATACATGTCCACCAACATCGAATGCCATTCCGCAGGAAGCTCGCCACAACACAACACAACATCACGAACACACACATACACGACCGACGGTGTCCCCAAGCCCATCGATCCATCAATCTGAAGAATCGCAACCGCAAAGCTGGTCATCGCCGACTTTCGCGACAGACAGACAGGCAGCAGAACGACTCCATCGACATGTCGTCGTCGTCGGTGCTGCAGCTTTTCAGCCTCGAAGGCCAGACGGCGCTGGTCACGGGAGGGACACGAGGGATCGGCAAGGAGATGGCCCTCGCGCTCGCCGAAGCAGGAGCCGACGTGCTGCTCGTTCAGGTATGTCCCGCCTCTCCGCTCCACTCCTCTCCAACCCTATCCCCGAGCGAGAGAGAGAAAGTTAAGAAATAGAAGAAGAAGAAGCGACACTAACCCCCACCACCTCCCCCTCAGCGCGACGAGACCAACCAAACCACGCACCAGGCGATCCTCTCCCTCGGGCGGCGGTCCCAGATCTACACGGCGGACCTCTCCTCCGCCGGCTCGGTGGCGGCGCTGGTGCCGCGGATCCTGTCGGACGGGCACGAGATCGACATCCTGGTGACGAGCGCGGGGATCCAGCGGCGGCACGCGGCGGAGGCGTTCCCGGCCGACGACTGGGCCGAGGTGCTGCAGGTGAACCTGACGGCGGCGTTCACGATCAGCCGGGACGTGGGCGCGCACATGCTGTCGCGGGCGGCGCCGGCAGGTCCCGGGCGGAGGAGGGGCAGCATCGTCCACATCGCGTCGCTGCTGAGCTTCCAGGGCGGGCTGAACGTGCCGGCCTACGCCGCCAGCAAGGGCGGCATCGCGCAGCTGACCAAGGCGCAGTCGAACCAGTGGGCGGGCCGGGGCATCACGGTGAACGCGATCGCGCCGGGCTACATCGCGACGGAGATGAACGCGGCGCTGCTGGCGGACGACGCGCGGAACCGGGCCATCCTGGAGAGGATCCCCGCGGGCAGGTGGGGCCGGCCGGAGGATTTCAGGGGCGCGGTGGTCTTCCTGGCGAGTGCCGCCGCGGCCTACGTCAGCGGGGAGGTGCTGACGGTGGACGGCGGCTGGATGGGGAGGTGAGTGGGCGAAGGGGAGTGGTTGGAGGGAAGGGGAGGGGAGACGGCTCTCGCGGGGTTTCAATCCTAGGATGGGACGTCCTTCGCAAAGTCAAAGGTGGGGCCGGAGGAGGGGAGATTTTCTAAGTTGCGAGGTGGAGAATAGGGGGGGAGAGAGGGGAACGGGAATGTGACGGTGGAAATCTGGACAATCTTTTCTGAAGATGATGGGAGGATTTGAATTCTTTTCACAAGAGAGCGATAGAGAAGATCGCACAGCTCGACCGATGGGACGATCCCAAGTCATTACGAACTAGAGAGAGAGAGAGAGAGGAGAAAAAGAAAAAGTCAAAAAAAGGCAAAGTTGAACGTCTTTTCTTTTCCGGTAGTAGAAGGCGTTTCCTGTTCTCGCACGAGGTTACGTTTCCACATCGCCGCGTCTTGGAGAGGGACTCCGACCATATGAGGTTCGGAATCCCCGGCCGAAAGGACCAGAAAGGTACTGGGCCGATGGGCCCCGTGACGACGGCGGCGATACGCGCTGCCCTCTCTTCCTTCCTTCCTCTCTCTCTCCCTCCCTCGCTTTCGTTCTCCCTCTCTCTCTCCAAGCTACTACTACTATACAGTACTCAGTCGCGTTTAAGAGGAAAAAAGGCAGTCAAGGATCTTGAAAGAACGCTCGAAAATTCATGTTGTGCCATTCGCTCGTCCGCTGCTCTAGGCGTGAGGGTCTGGACTTGGATGGGCCCCTGTGAAACGACCCTGTCCGTCCTTGGGATCCACCGTGACTCGTTCAGTCCAGGGAGGGGGGGAACATCTCATTCGTATAATCGTGACGCTCATACGCATGATTCTCGCTCGACCTCTGGCGCGTTGCGCTTCGGGTTCGCCGTTTTCCGCGACGGTCGTCGTGAGGTCTTCGTTGAGCCCTCCGGTCATTGCCGTAGTACGACCATTGGCACCGACGCCCATGCGGCTCGGCTCATTCCTCCTCGGACTCCTCGCTGGCGTCGTCCTCGGAGCTTTCGTCGGCACCGCTGTGTGCCGGTCCACCCAGGGCAGGGGATTGACCCCCGCCGGCGCCGGGATGCTTGAACGCTTCGAGCTGGCTCTGGATCTGTTTGATCGTGTCCTGCTGCTCCTTCTTGCCCATCGGCTTGTGTTTCTTGCGCTTGCCGTCCGCGCCTTTGCGGGCGCCGCGCTCCGGCTCGAAGTCGTCGTCGTCCATGGCGGCGATGTCGTCGGGCGAGACGGCGCGGACCCGGTTGGGGTTGCCGAAGATGCCGCGGACGAAATCGAGCAGCATCAATTGGACGTTGTTGGGCAAGTCGTCGATCTCGAGCTCCATCTCCTCCATCTCCGCATACTTCTGGCAGTTCTCGGTGATGATGCTGGTGAGCTTGTCGAGCTGCGGGCCGTCGAGGTTCTCCACCGCCGAAGAGATCTCCTGCTTCTCATCGTACGTGACTTGACGCGGCTTCTTGGGCAGCTTCGGCTTGGATCCGCCCTTGATCTTGGAACCGAGCGCCGACCCGGCCGATTTCTTGCCCGGAGGCTTGCCGGAAGAGGAGGGCTTGGGCTTTTTCGTCTTGACGGGCTTGTTGAGCCCGGCGAGGGCGTTTTGCATGTCCGACAATTGCTTCTGCAGCGCTCGGATCGTGTCCGCCTGGGAAGCGCTGGTGGCCTCCTCGTCCTCTTCCTCCTCCTCCGCGCTCTCCTCCTCCGCGGAGGCCGAAGCCGCGCGCTGCGTCTCAGCCTTGCGCTTCTGCACGAACCGGTCCTTGCCGGCCCACAGGCCGTCGAAGTCCTTCTGGAGTTGCGCACCCAGCTGTCGGACGGGGTTCCCGGGAGGGTTGAAGGTCATGCAATTGGCCACGATCAGCTCGAAGTCCTTCTTGAACTCGCTGGCCTTGGCATATTCGCCGACCTTGAGCTTCTGGCGCATCGTGGAGAGGTCCATCGGGTGTTTGATCACCTGGTGATAGTTGGGGATGTTGAGGGCGACCGGATCGACCGGCACGAGGAATGGGTTGTTCTGCGGCTGGAATTTGTTGCTGGTGATCTGGTTGAGGACCATCTCGCAGAACTTGAGCTCCGGTTGGTACTCCTTGCGCTTTGGTTTGCCGTATGCGATCTCGCGGTTCTGCGGCGGCTTGATCGCGCGGCTCGGCCGGTTGATGCTGGAGTCGCGGCGGATTTGCGGAGTGCCGTCTGGCTGGAGGGCGAACGTGTCAGGCGCGACCGTGGGACTCGTGGCCGTCGCGGAGGGGGTGGCGACGACGCGCGATTCCCGGCGTGGTGCCGGGGCCTTTTGGAAGGCGGGAGATTGCTTCTTTGACGGCTTCGAGGAGGCAGGCTCGTTGGTGTTCGGCACGAGTCGCATCATGTTATGAAAATACGCTTCCATCGAAAACCCGGCCGTCGTCACGGCATGCGCGTCGCCGTTGAATCGCCGCGTGTTGCTGATGATCAGGTCGAAGTCGTCCGCAAAGTCCTGGACGCTGCCGTAGTTGTCTGCCTTCAGTTTGGTCTCCATGGTGCTGAGGTCCATGGGACGCTTGATGATTTCGATATATTGAGGGATGTTCAGCGCGACCGGATCGACAGGCTTGTTGAAGTAATGCGAATTCCGGGTCTTTTTGAGATTCTTCATCTTCTCCAACAAGAAGCCCTTTTGCGCAGTCGTCATCAGTTCCTTGCTATACGATGGCTTCTCGGCGGCGGCGGCGGCGGCGGGCGCAGGCGCAGGAGCGGGAGTGGGAGCGACGGGTGTGCTGGACGATTCCACGGTTGGCTTGGCGTCCGGTGCGACAGCAGGCTCTGCCTCGGATAACGGCTTGGTCTCTGTTTCGGTTTCGACTGCATCCTGTGATGGTCGAGGTCGTGCGACGCTGATCGAGTCCGAGGCGGTGCTTTCCGGCATGGGCGTGTCTTGATCGTCTTGGTCGTCCACCTTCGTGCGCTTGGCGACGGGTTCGATGTCGTCCTCAATTTCGTCCTCACGAGGGCGCACCAAGCTCGTCTCGGTGGGCTTGGGCGTGAGGATGGGTTCGGGCTGAGCGATGGCATCTTGATCCGGCATTTCCGTATCGTGAGATTTGACGTCGGCGTTGATGGGGACGTCGTCCGGGGGAGGTGTCGGATGCGACGCCGCCCGATCTTTGGGAAGAAAGTCGGCGATCGGTGCCAGACCTGGAGCGACGTTTTCGATGGGCTTCATCTCTGCCGTCTCGGGGTTGGTTTGCGCCACATCAGAACCGTCCGAAGTCGCCTCTACTTTCGTCGCAGTTGCCGTTGCGTCTTGCAGGGAAATATCGTTCGTTTTTCGTTCTACCGAATCATCGTGACTATTTCAGAAAGAAAAAAAAAATCAATCATGTTAGCAAATGCGCCGGCGCGTGATAAAAGATCAAACGGGCCGACCAACCCGTTCACAAGTCGCGATTCCGTCGCAGGCGCGCTCGCAGCGGGCGAAGTGTTTGCGAGATCGAGTTCCGATGACATGGCGATGGAGGATGGGGATGAGTGGAGGCGACAGGCCAAGCCCAGGTTGCACGTGACGACGCGCCCAAAATCCCGATTTCTGCGGTCGGAAATCGATCACGCGACAAGGTCTGCGATGATATTTCTTGGACGCTTCCGAATGTCAGTCTTGAGCTCGAAACGCGTGTCGTTCAAATGTGGTGGAAATGCTGATGTCGTCGATGCTGTCGTCGATGGCGATGGCGACGTCGTTGAAGGAGTATGTTGAGGATAATTCTGATGATGATGATGACGACGACGTGATGTTAAAATGTTTTCTGATCGTCGATGATTCGCAGTACGACACCCGTCCGAGAGGAATTGCACGTGATCGATGCGCAGTCGCAACGCGATCTGTGTCGCGATTGGTGCGCGTCAAAAAGACCGGAGGAGAATTGCGGAGGAGAGAGGGTTGGTTGTTCGTGGCCGTCCAAGAAAGTGTCGACGAAGGGCGGTGGTGAGATGGATGCGCGCGCGCGAGAATTCTTCGGGCGGGATGGGTGGGCGCGTGTGACTGGAGGAGGGATGATATTTATATTGAATGGAGAGGAGAGAGTCCAACGCGTGTCCGCGTGTGGTGTAGGATTGTGTGTGGTAGCGCGCGAGAGAGAGAGAGTAGAGTGTAGAGTGTACTGTATGTAGAGGGGAGTGGTTCACTCAGGCATCCATCGTCGTCGAGATGGAAAGAAGCTGAAGGAGGAGAGATTTATACATTCCAGTAGCGTGTCCGGGCTATTCCTCCCTTTCCATTAGTTGAGAGAGAGAGAGAGAGAGAGGGAATGTGCAGTGTGTGTGTGTGTGTGTGTGTGTGTGTGGTGTTGTGCAGCAGTGTGCAGTATAGTAGGCAGTAGGCGGTCGGCGGATAGGACGACGGAGAACTGGAAGTATGTATGTAATCAATCGTCGCAAATTATTGTCATCACAACAGATCAGATCAGGGAAAGGGTGAGAAGAAAAGAAAAATGATTTATGAGATGTGTGGCCCGGACTCTAGCGACCCTCTCCCGATCCCACGGCCGCTCCCGGGGCTAGTCCTTGAGACACCAACCCACACTCACTCCACTTGCACTTCTCTTCCACCATTTCCCACCTCTTGAGCCCAGAACGCCTGGTCTTCGTTCTTCTTCTTCACACCTGGGCAGTCCACGGGGTATTGTTATTATTATTATTATTATCATCATCATTATTGTTACTGCTACTGTAGGTATGTGCGTGGATGTAGGGATGGGCGGATGATGGTGTGAGGCATCCATGCACACACTCTCTCATACACTTCACTCCCAGCAGCGTGTACCGTGCAGCTCTTCTTCTTTTTCTCGTGTCTCTCTCATCACCCATACCCTCATCACCTCTTCTTCTTCTTCTTCTTCTTCTCCTCCTCTTCCTCCTTCTTCTTCTTCATCACCTCACCATATAATGATACTGTAACAGGCACACATCAGGCATGACACGTGAGAAATCCAAAGACCCCTCCGTCTCCGTCTGTGTGTGTGTGTGTGTGTGCGTGTGTTCTGGGTTATGAAGGCGAGGCAACAGCATCCACAGATCTATCAGCCTCGAACTTTCCCTACCTCCAGGCGGATATTAGTCACTTGTCGCGCCACCTGCAAAGAAAGGAAAGTGGCCATGGTCATCGAAACCCTTTCACATGCGCGCCTTCTTCCCTGAGTGGCGGATCTCCTACCCACCTACTGTAGATATCTACTGCATATACCTACCTCGGTGTACATACATCTATTTCACCCGGGAGTCGTGCGCATCATCACCGGGTATCCACGGGAAAAGGTCAACGCTGGGCAGTGGAGCTGGAGGTGGCCCCGATGGTGGTGGTCGTCGTCGTCGTCGTAGTTGTCGTGGCCGAGATGGTGGTGGTCGTGGTTGTGGTGGTGGTGGCGGTGGTATGTACTACTATGACTGGAACCTTTGGGCGAACAAAGAGACACCGGGTCGCCGCATGGGTCGCGCTAGGCCATGATGACGATGACGATGACGATGAAGATGAAGATGAAGATGATGGACAGTGAATGGCACTCTGCTCTTGCCCTCCTCCATCTTGAATCATCATCATCGTCGTCGTCGGCGTCTCCTGCGACTGTGCCCGCTATGATGGACAACGACATATTCCGCCAAATAGGTACCCGTGTGACACTCCCTCCTCCTCCTCCTTCCTGTACACGTTCCTGCCTGTTGGGATCGCATAATCGAGGAAGCACACATGGACCTGCACACACGCACGCGCACACACACATTCCATCCATTCACCCATTTGTTCACTCGATCATTCATTCCATGGCGGATCCCCTCTCCCTCCCGCTGCCGGCTGTGGGAAAGCGAGAGACGCGGTCGGCAGCTGCCTGCCTGCCTGCAAGCCCTGAAACGATACGATCCCCCGGGCGGCGGCTTGGGACTGGATCACCACGACAGCCTGGAGTACATGGACATTTGCACGCTGGAACTGCAACGATCCAGGCCCACGATCCTCCGGCCAGTATATACACATCTACAACATCTGGGCATATGTCCCAATCGACAGTAGTCGGGTTTTCTGTAATGGTGGATATCAATTGAAAATCACGCCCTCGTGACCTTCCAGCATCGAAAACATCCCCCTGTAGCCAAGCGATCTCTCGTGCAAAGCGGATATGGCGGTTTGCGGTGGACGACCGTTCATCCAGAGCATGGGAAACTGTGAGGAATATACTATAAGAGAGAGATCTCGCAAAGGACGTCGATATCAGTCCATGATGATGATGATGAGGCATGAGGCATGAGCAGGGTTCGCGCGGTGAGGGCAAAGCCAAGACTTCATCGAGCACGGCCCGTGCGCTCCGCCTTCCCTTTGCGACCAGGAAGGACGCTAGGGCATTCCTGTCAGAAATTTTGTCCCAGGAATATATCGACCGACCGACTCTCTGGAACTGCACACGGCTCTGAGAGAATTGGAAAAAAAGCCAGCGGTGTACACGATCGCACGACGTCCGCCTTCTCACACACATATCCTCAAGACGAACCGAGCGGGACATGTCTTCAGTATGAGCGCCGCTAAGCGCTCCCGTTCGGGGCAGTCGGCTGCAGCATTGCACTCTGCCTCGCCGTTGCCCAAATCCAAGCGACAAAAGGTCTCTCCGGACGGTCACACCACCCCCAAGGCGAACGGTCTCAAATTCCTCGTCGACGAGGACCTCAGGGCAGGGAAAGAGCTCACGGCGGAAACGACGAACGGATTGTCCACCACCCGAGCTCCGGTGGTAAACCAATCTCGCGCCAAGGTGACAGCCGAGCTCGCTGGAGATGACCTCGGCGCCTCTCAGCAGCAGGCTCACCGCACCAAATCCGTCACCCGTGCAAACGGAACCGCATCCGATGCCGAAGATGCTTCTGGCAGCGATGAGGCGGAGGCTTCCGCCGGTAAACGTGCGGTGAAGCTTCAGGGCCCGAAGGCGTCGAAAGGACATGCTACATCACATTCAAACGGAAAGAGCGCAGGTGCGAGGAGTCGGACCAACGGTGAAGCAGAGGATGGTCACGGAGACATATCGATGGACGACGCGGCGGAACCAGCGTTCGGAGAGCTACTCTTGGCCCAGAACGCGGACGCTATCGATGTGACCGGTTCGGCCGATCACACGAGAGACCGGCAATTGACGAATGCCTTTGGCGAACAGAACGTGGAAGGGCTGTCATCGGCCACACTGGGCACGGTGCTCACACAAGCCCTGAAGACGAACGACCAAGAGCGACTGGAGACATGTTTCGCCGTCGCCGATACCGAACGGATCCGCGCGACCATCCAGCGATTGAATTTCCAGAGCGCCACGGCGCTGCTGCAGCGCGTCTCGGAGAGGATCTTCAGCCGGCCCGGTCGGGCGGGGAACCTGTTCACCTGGATCCAGTGGACCCTGGTCGTGCACGGCGGCTACCTCGCGACGAACGAGGAGATCATGAAGAAGATCCGCGCCCTCAACCGCGTGGTCAAGGAGCGAGCGCGCGGCCTCGCCCCGCTGCTGCACCTCAAGGGGAAGATCGACCTGCTCAGCACCCAGCTGGAGCTGCGGCGCGAGGTCCACCAGCGCACGACGGCGATGAACGCCGACGACCAGGACCACGAAGACGGCGTCATCTACATCGAGGGCGAAGACGACTGGTCCGACGACGACGACGTCGAGGGCGGCGCACAGCGCAGACGGACCGTCGCCAAAGCCTCCCGGCGAGCACGCGAGCAGGCCGGTTCCGACGACGACAACGACGACGACGACGACGACGATGATGACGACGACGAGTTGCGTCTCCTCACGAACGGCGAGGCCAACGGCACGGGACACGGCGACGATGACGACGACGACGAAGACGGGGAGTCGGACGAGGACAGCGAGGGCCTGCTCGACGTCGAAGCCGACGAGACGTCCGACGATGAAGGCGACGACGGGTCCGAGGAGGACGGCAGCGACGGCGACGACGGCGCGGAGTCTGTTGATGAAGAAGAAGAAGAAGACGAGGAAGGTGTGAAACCCCCCAAACTGCAGACGCTGAACCGCCGACGGTGAAACCGCGTGTGGAAAACGATGCGATGTCCCCTCCACATCTCATCTCATCTCCTCCCCGGCGTGGCACGATAGGAGAAAGTCGCATCTTCGAAAAAGTCAAGGGATGAACATCACGCACCCACCCATCTCTTCCTCCTCGATCGCCCCTCTCTCCCTCCCCTCTTCGATCTCGGGTTTCGATTTATTTATTTTACCCGCCGACTGTAGATATACTACTGCTGCTGCTGCTGCTGCTGCTGCTGCTGCTACAAAACACAAAACAAAACCCCCATCCTATTCTACAATCTCCCAAAAAGGGGTTCTCTCTCTCTGTCTCTCTCTCTCAACTACTCGAGAAACTAGCCAATACGTAAATCCCAACGCGACAACCTTCCGCACGAACATCCGTCGGAAACCCGCCCTTTTGATGATCCTCGCTAGATCCCTGCTAGATCCCCTTCCATCACGTTTGCACCCCATGACGTGCATGTGGATGTGTATACCCCGGACACAACACACACGCCCTGCCTGCCTGCACAGTAACCATGACACGGAACCGTGATCGTCATCGGAGACCAGTGCAGCGAGACATGACGATCCAGGCTCGCCGGGTGCCCCGGTGGAGGGGGGAGAGAAAGGAAGGCTCGTTCCCGTCTCGTCTCGACTTTTCGGTGTTGTGGTTACTTGTTACTTTATTACAATCATTATTATTGTAGGAATATAAGGTGTGATCGGAGTAACAACAGCATGATTCATACAGAGAGTACTGTAGCATAATAACAATAGTAGTAATAATAATAATAACAGATGCCCGACGGAGAAAGTTTAATCCAGCCCTGCCTGCCAGGAAGGAGTGAGCCCTTCGCTGTGGGAATTGATGATTTATCGCGTGCGCCGTATATGTGTGTGGGCGTGTGTGTGGGCGTGTGTGCGTGCGTAATTGCTGTCGTGAGTCTCGCTCTCTCTCTCGCCCAGGGCGTTGATCATTGCCCGACGGAACTTTCCACTGCCGGACTGAGGGAGAGAGGGACGGAGGGAATCGATCACGTGCACGCCCACGAATTCCCATCGAGAAAGGTCTCACGTTACCCATGTGCTGTGTTCACTTTACACACACATACACATACACACACTCGCGCGCGCTGTCCTGACTCTCAACCCAATCTCTCCCGAGCACTCGTCTTCCTGCTCCTCCCAGTATCTGACCGATCCTCCCGCTGTTCCTCCTCACCTCTATCCAGCAGGAGCCTCCCTCTCCCTCTCTCGCGCGCGCCCAACGGTGGGGCGTAAACGGTGACGATCCCACCCACTTCCTCGAGCGGAAAACTCCCCACGCCCACCCGGTGGTCCGGGGCGTGAAACAGCCACCCACGGAACCACCGCTTCAGAGCGCCGCAGACAGGTGGGCGGCGCACGCGACAGACCCGCCGAGAGGAAGAAGAAGAAGAAGAAGAATAAAAAAAACACACAATGGCCATCCACCTCAACATCGCCGGGACCCATGGCCGCAGCCAGGAGCAGCAGGCCGAAGTGCGCGAGGCCAAGCGCATCCTGAAAGAGAGGATCCGCTGCGATTGGGAATACGGTCCACTGCCGCAACATCGCTCCAGCGGGATCCGACCGCCCGTCGTCGACGACAGCCGGCCGACCACCACCACTGCCGCATCGCTGGTGCAGGACGTTCGCGAACCGATCGCCGGCTTCCGGTTCCATTCCACCACCACCAGCGTCGGCGGCGGCGGCGGCGATGGCGAACCGTCATCACCGCATCCTCCCGGGGGAGTCCTCGGGCTGACCTTCGACCCGACGGAGTGGCGCGATCGGGAATACTCCTCCATGTCGGAGAGCAGCGATGAGGAGGAGGAAGTCACCGCCGAAACCGTCATCCTGGAATCCTTCCGCCTGTCGCAGAGGATGGAACTGGGGCGCCCATCCGGCGGCAAGACCGCCGGTCCAAAAGGCAAACCCTTCCGCTTCGACGGGCCCGACAGCGTCGGCGCCGAGGTCGCCGCCCGGCGCCAGGCCACGAAGCGGAGACGCCAGACTCGCCTGGCCGAGGAGTCGGGGTGGAACGACGGTCTGGCCCATTGGCTGCGCCGGCGGGACGAATGGTGCGGCGCGCGCGACGCCGACGCCGTCCTCGCGCTGCAGAAGCGGAAAGCCGCCGCCGCGGACGCCGATCCCGATCGCCCGGCCACCAGCACCTCCACCTCCCTCGCCGACGCAGAGTCGGAGGGCTCGACGCCGCGCACGTCCGTCTCGTCGTCGCCGAACACCCCCGGCTCCCCCTCGGCGACGACGCCCGAACCCAGCCTCTCCGACGTCCCGCCCGCGACCGTGGCGCCGAAAGGCAGCAGCACCACCGCGACGACGACGACGACGGTCACGCCGACCGTTTCGAGAGGAACATCCGTCCCCGAGAACGCAGCAGTCCCCGCGATCCCCACGTCATCACAACCTCCGCCGCCACCGAACCCACAACCGTCCTCCTCCTCCTCCTCATCGCCGCCACCTCCCACCCCCATATCCTCCCACCCCTCCTCCCTCCTCCTCCCGCTCGCGCCCCCGCTCCTCCCGGCCAGCCACCCGATCCGCGCGCGCATCACGCCGCAGAGCTACCCGGAGATCTACAGCAAGATCATCCTGCAGGCGCGCACGCCCAGCGTGCCCATCAACCTGCGCACGCTGCTGGCCGCGCTAGTCGCCGGCTGGAAGGCCGACGACGAGTGGCCGCCGAAGCCCTCCGCGGGGCTCGCCGCGGAGAAGTCCCTCGGCCGGAAGAAAACGGCGGCGGCGGCGGTCTCGAACGCCAGGCCCCCGGCCAGCAGGAGGAGGGATCCCGCCGCCCCCGCCGACAGGGAGCCCGAGGGTTTGAGGCACGGCGTCAAGGCCGCGGTCGGCAGGGTCCTGAGGCTGGGCGGCGCCCTGTCCTCGTCGCACTCGAGTTCCGGCGGCGGCGTCGGGGGCGATGCGGCGGCGAAGAACACGTCGAGGCGGAAGGAGGAGGGGGGATGAATTGGGGGGGGGACAGAAGAGAGAAATCGGGAGTTGGGGGCGAAACGGCATAGCGATTTTCTTTCTTCTCGTCGTCGTCGTCGTTTTAGCGTTTTCGGCCATCTCTTCATCTCTTCATCTTTCCAAATGATTCTCATTCTTGGTTGGTTGTCTTTCCATCTCGTTTCGTCTCGTTTCGTCTCGTTTCCTTTTCTTTTCTCTTCCGTTGCTTCTGTCCACCGATGATTCCTTTTCTCGCCTCCCTCATTTCCCATCTCCGTCGGGTGAATCTTTCGCCGCTGCTCTGGCCATCCCCATAGTTGCGGACATGCGCGGACGGGAGTCCCCGAGGCGTTGCATGTCCGGAGCAGGCGGGCATGGGACATGGGGCATGTCCGACTTGGCACTATTGGCTGGTTGGAGGAACAAAGCCGAATGTTTCACCTCCCGGATCCGGCCTGGGGCTTCCAATCCGTAACGGGAAGGACAGATCTACGTCGGAGGGTAATGTCCGAGAAGAGAGAGGGATAATAGTCCTAGGAGAGGGAGAGAGAATGATCCGAGAAGAGAAGAGAGGGAGAGCCGTGGAGGATTTCCCTCCGAGGAAAAAAATCTCGCCGTCGACGAAGTTTTCACGTTTCTCACGCCGGCACTTGGGAAGGGTAGGTATCTGGTTGGTTGTCTTTTTTTCTTTTCCATTCGAGGATTTCCTCCCCAATTCCTCGATCCTAGGTTTCTTTCCCCCTCTTGCGGGAAAGTCTGGATATCCCTATATATTCCTATATATGTAATGGATCTCGCCCAGATTCCCCTCAGAGGGTGAATGAATACATATATAAAAGGATGGAAAGGGAGTTGTTCCTCCGGTGAATCGATTCCTTCCGCTTCCAGAATTCCATTTCCTCTCTCTTCTTCTTCTTCTTCTTCTTCTTTTTCCTCTTTTCCTTCGCGGAAAAATTTCATTCCCTATTCGTACAGCACAAACCGATTTGTGGAGATCCGTCGGGGGTCATCAAAAGGGGGTGGGTGGGGGGTGGTCGTAACGTCATCAAAAAAACCAAAAAAACACAATTCCCCGGTCCGAAGGGAAACAAGTGGGGGGTGTGAAAAGAAAAAGGAAGAAAGCCCGGCTGATCAGGGGCGCCAGAAAAAATTGCAGGAGAACAAAAGTGGTCGGGTGGATGCGTGTGCTCGAGGCAGGGGAGGTGAAAACCTTTTCTCCCCCAAGGATGGGGGGGGCCGAAAAAAAAGGAACAAGTTGGAAAGGGAAATTGGCGGTCGCGGTGTGCTGAGTGAGGGTGGTTGGTGCCCGGCGGAAAAATCGAGAACAGCCGGGGACTTCCACCCAAAGAGAGGGGGACCTGAGGGATGGGGTTTGGGAAATGTAGGCCCTTGGCCGCCGGGGCGAAGGAAGCAAAAGAAGACACAGAAATACGAGAGATCCGGGGCGGATGTGCGTTGCGGGAATGTTGGGCGGAGACGGAAGCGGAGGAAAACCGTCTCTCTCTCGCTCTCGCTCGCTCTCTTCTCAAACCGGCGAGAAAGACACCCCAATCGTCTCCCACTCAACAGAGCACGTCCTCGTCCATGTAGACCTGAATCGTCTGGAGCGTCTGGGTGGAGTACCCGCGGACTTTCTTCGACGGAGGACTGGGAGGGGGAGGGGGAGGGAGGGGGATTGACGCGAAGCCGTTGCTGTCGCCGCTGTGGCTGTGGGGGGCCACCGTTGTTGTGCTGCTGGCGGCGCCCGTGCTGGTGCTCGATCTCGTGGTGGATCGGGCGAGCGATGCGCCGGGTTTCTTGACGCAGGAGACGAGGTGCTCGATGGGGAGGGGCGGCAGGGGCAGTTGGGGCAGGGGCGCGTCGTATTTTCTCGGCGGCGGAGGAGGAGCTGGGATGTTGGAGGAGGAGGCGTCGAGAGAGGCAAGGTTGGTGGAGTCGGTGGGTTCATCGGCGCTGGCGGGCGAGGTCGGGTCTTCGTCGTCGCTGAGGTAGATGCTGTTGTCGTGGTCGCCGATGAGCTTGATCATCGCCGCGGCATTGCGATCCGAATTCGCGGAGTGCACGAGGTGCTCGATGATCCTGGCGGCCTTGGTCGCGTTGATGCGGATCTTGCGGGCTGGCGGGGCCGGCTCGTCGGTCATCAGGTCATCCGAGAGGATGGAGGTGGCGCCGGAGCTGAGTCGAGTGCCCCGGTGGGAGGACGCTGCGACGTCGAGGATCGACTCGCCGGCGCTATTCCGTCGACGACGGGATGAGGGTGTGGTCGCCATGCTCTCGGGGACGGGAGTGAGCGGGAGATCGCCAGAACGATGTAGTCCCTCGGACGGTGCGTCGATGACGACCAGGCGATCCGGAACCTCGAAGCCGAGACCATTGTCGCTGCCGATGGACAGCTTTCGGATCTGGCTCAAACGCGGGCATTCGGAGGTCTCCGAATCGCTGTAGTAGGAAGGGAGCCGTCTCAACCGTACACCGTTGGCGAGATCCCCGAATTCTCCCGTCAGGCGGCCCGTGGATGGTCCCATGGAATATTTGCGCGAGCTGGTCGATGCGTTCGAGATCAAAGAAGGCACACTGCTCGGGACATATCTGCGTGGGACGGGAGCGGCCGCTTGAGCGATCAGAGCCGCCACCAGATCTTCCTTGCGACAATCAAGTGCCTTGAGCTTGGCGAAGCAGATATCCATCGAAGAGCTGACCGCCGCGAGAGACAGCTGCTCATCCAACAGGAGATTGTGGTAATGCGGTCCCGGCTTGATCTCTTGTAGTTTGCAGACGATGCTGGCGGACAACGCTTGGCGATCCGTTCGAAGACTTGCGTATCGGAGCTGCAGTGCCTCTGTCTGCTCGGTCAGCTCCTTGAGGGTGGCAGCCGGATCGGTAAAGGTAGACATGGACGGCCTCCGACGCAGCGACGCAGGAGTGGTGGCTCGGCTGTGAGTTGTCGCGTCGCCGATGACGGGAGAAGGGTTTTCCTTCGCGGGCGATTGATCAGGTATGTTTGGGTCGGATATGTTCAGCGCGGCGATGCGCGCTTTGGCCGCCAGCACGCGTGAGATGGAATCGGGCAGATCGGTTCGATTCGCCAAACTCGACGCTGACCTGGACATCGGGGGAGTGTCTTGAGCAGCTGACTTGGCTGACTCTGGTGTCTCCTCGGGCGAGACCGTCTTCCAGGTGAAATTGTACGACGACAGCATCGGCTCCGATGTCTTGGCCTTCAGCTTGGTGGTCACACCGGGTGGAAGTGCGATCGAACGCGGCGCGTCAGCATCGCCGCTTCGTATTTGATCTTGAGCGACTGGCATCGCCATCCCGAACGGCTTGTCCCAGATCGGTGGCATCGTCCGAGGAGTATGCTGGAGCTGAGACGACGTAGAGATGGCGGGGTTCGCAGTGGATGGACGTGGCGGGAAGCTCGCGGTGGGCAGTGAACCAGCGCGAATCGGATAAAGACTGTCAACAGACGAGTTCGGTGGGAATGTGGATTGGCCCGATGCTGAGAGATGTATGGAAGGGAGTGGTTTGGCTGATCGACTCCTCTTCCGTTGATGCGCGGGTCGATTGGAGTCGTCAACAATAAATTCCCGATCACTTCGAGACGATGTCGACCTGGCTCGACTGAGAGGAGCATGACTCGCAGTCTTTAGTGCAGGTGAGGGACAGCGTCGAGAGGGCGGATCGACATGACTCCCCTGAGCGACATGATCACCACCATCCTGTCTCGAAATGGCAATCTTGAGATTGGGCCCGGGCCGGGAGCGAAAGCGATTAGCCTGGAAGGAGGGTGTGGGAGGCAGATCGAGGTCGGCCCCATGTTGCAGGAAACGATCGGAGCTCTGCTCGCTCTCGTGGTCGTAAGGCGACGATGATGTACCTGCCGATGTGTCCAACGTGACAATAGTCCGAGCGATAGATTGGGAGGATTCACTATCGAATTCGGAACAACGGCTGATCGCGGCCGCACGGACCTCGCTTCCTCTCGGATGGGAATCCTGCACAGGCGACGACGCATGCGAGTGAACCTCGTGGACGGTCGACATCGCTGCCGAGCGGGCATCTCTCGTGTATGTGCCTGCCGCAGCATTGGGCGGTGAAAGGAGCGTCTGGGCGATGCCGGTGTTGATCGAAACCGGCCGCGATGGAGTTTTCCCTCGTGCCACCGAGCCCATGGACGACGAGCGACGTCGATGATGGCTTTCGAGGGCGGCGCGCGAGAAGGCGGCCTTCTGGGAGAGGATTGTCGGCGATGTCGGTGGAGTGGCCTCGACGGTCGGGAACAGGCTGTAAGAGTGTCGAGGTCGGCTGCTCGCGTTGTAGCTGCGGTCGGAGAAGGTCGACTCGGTGGGCGACACGAGGCTCGCCATGATCGCAGACGAAGACTGTGGTCAAGTGAATTTCCTGTCGAGAGTGAATTGAGATGTCTCAGATCATGGCGCAAAGGGCGGTGCAGCCACGGCAGCAGCGTCCGCTGTTCAGGATGGAGGACAGCAGGCTGGGAGAGGACGAGGATGGAAAGCAGATGACGAGGATGAAGCAGTGTAGTCGAAGAGGAAAGTGATAGAAGTCGCTCGTGGCAAGTGGCGCACCGGAGGAGAAGGCGGCGGCAGGGTGTCGTACTATGCAGCGATCCTCGTCTTCAGTCGTCGGGTCGCCCTGAAGCCTCGAGTGCAAGCGTGTACAGGCGAGGAAGGCAGAAGGTGTGTCTCGGTGTGGGTGTATATAGGGCTGGACTCCGAGCTGGGACACGCACTCAGGAGCAGCAGGCGTGAAGTCTAAAAATGACAACGGGTCCCGGGATGTACGTCGACGAGGAGGGATATCGAGGACAACGATAAACGACGATGACCACACGCAAAACCCGCGAGGACGAAGCCACCGACGGGACGGGACAATGTCTGAGATATTCTACGATGCCGAGAGGGAGAGGGAGAGGGAGATGGAGGGAGAAGAAAAAAAAGAGGTCCAGTGTGTGTGTGTGTGTGGTGAGGGCGGAGGAAGAAGGGTCACGAGTATAGACGGCAGTATAATAGCAACAGTACAGTACAGCATCACGAGTATATGATATGGATCGACTGGACACACTCGCCTAGCTCTAGGCATGCAGGTGGTGTGTGGTGGTGGAGTGTAAGTGTCAGTGTAAATGTAAGTGTGGTGTGGTGTAGTGTTGTGCATGTATGATATGGGACGGCGACGAGGGAGCGGGCGAGCATATGCCGAAGTGAAGTCTGTCTGTCATGATGTGTGTAGGTAGGTGTGTGTTATTGTCATTATTACTGCTGGTTATTACTACTGCTGCTGCTGCTGCCGTATATGGAATATATCGAAAACCCCGCCTGCTGCTGCCACCTCATCATCATCATCATCATCGTAATGGTTAACGGTAGCGGTAGCGGTGGTGGTGTTGCTAGCGGTGGTGATGGTAGAAGTGGTGGTGATGGTAGAAGCGGTGGTGGTGGTGGTGGTGAGAGAAGACTGGACCGTCGTGATGACCATCCACCTACCCGTAGCAGGTAAGCATCTGGAATAATAGTCTGGATGGTCTCGGGCTGTCTGTCGCAGGGGGGGGTTTTAGCGTGCTGAGGGTGGAACGATGCGATGCGATACGCTGCGATGGTGGGCGTGGTGACTGTAGAGGAGGGCAGGCACTCATTGGAATTGATACTGGAAGAGTGAATCGATTGATGATTGGAACCCACCACCTCGGAATGCCGCAATGGAGATGTAGAATGATAATAATGATATGCACAGTACAAGACAGTACATGCACAAGCAGAATCGGCATCGATCCTCTCTATTCGCTCGACCTTTGGAATTTCACCTGGACTTCTCCGACACGTTCGGCACTCACCATCTACAGGACTACATATATACCTAGGCATATGGAGAGCCTCAACGGCCGGTCCAACTGGATTATATTATATACCCGAGTCTCGGTCCATCCTTGCAACCCCATACACATACGCACACACACTCTCACACACACACACACATCCAACGGCTGTTATGCCCAACGGATGGGACCCCCAAATATCGCTACTTGCCATTACAGTGATGGATTTACGACCGTCCCGCCGTCCTGGAGTAGTGTAGTGTAGTGATACAGTGTACTGGTCGATCCACGAGAAGGATTATACCGCACAGCACAGCACAGCAGAGCACAGGAGATATCCCGTTCCCTCCTCCTCCTCCTCCACCTCCTCTTCCTCTTCTTCTTCCCATCTCTCTCCTGATCCTCGCTCACCACAGAATCTGGCCCCGCTGTTTGCGCACACCGCATGCAGACTACTGTGGCTACTGCTGCTGCTGCTGCTGCTGCTGCTGCTGACATGCCGTGCGTGCGTGCGCAGGTGCGTCCGCCTAATGTAGGTACTGCCGCAGCCGGCCACCCCGGGCCGACGTGAATATCTCAAATCCCCAGCCGACCCCTGTCGAGAGTCGATCGAGTGGACGATGGGGCGCCCGTCCGCGTCGCGTGGTGTGCATGTGTGGGCACGACCGAGCAGGGATGCGCACATCATTTAGACTTTTGCGCCGCTCTCCCGGTGCTGCTGCTGCGGGGGTTTTCTGCTGCTGCTGCTGCTGCTTCTTCTCTTGGCCCTCTTCGTCGTCTCTCTTCTCTTTTTTTTCTTATGCTCAGCGTTGTGTGTGTGTGTGTGTGTGTGTGTGTGTGTGCGCGTGTCGCTAATGCGCGTGTCATCTACGACCAGGAAAGGGCAGGGCTGATGATGCGCCTCTTCGCTCTGCCCTGACTGTGTGTGATTTCCACGATATCTCTCATCTATCCTCTTCTGCTCCTCCTCGTACTCGGAGATTGGTCGATATATTATAATTGTGTAGAGGGACATACATATGTACATCTGCCGTCTCTATAATTACCTGTATATACATCCCGAGATTAATCTACACAGGCGACCTCTCTGTTCACGATGCCCGTCGATCCCCTCGTCGCATGTCGACCACACATGTGCACACCAGTCACGCATCTGACCTTGGCGAGAGAAGAACCCCCTGTCAAAATTCTCATGCCCGGACCAGGATCTCTCGGACTTCTTTCGGCCAACGCATTGCGGGCAGCAGCCGTCGTACTGTGGGAAGTAGTGCGCACGGCCAGATCAGCCCACACTGCCTTGGGCGCAAACTCTACCGCAGAGCCAAAACACCCGTGGCTTTCTGGGGATGAGATATGCATCACTGCACACTGCTCTGCACAGGATGGACCCCCGACCCTCCTCCCTGCAGTCCCCACTCCCGGATCGTGTTTCGAGAAAGCTGGTGGCTGGCTGCCGAAAGCTCGCTGATCACCACTGCCAGAGTGGAGCCAAGAAAAGAAAAAACCACACAGGCGGGGAGGAGGAGCGCGCATCGGCCAGGAGAGGAGAGGAGTTCCACCACGTCGGGACTCATCGCATCACATCTCATTGGTCTTTCTGTAGGCTGCGTGTACAGTGGGTGATACATGGATCTACAGTAATTAATATATCGATCTCCGGTGCAGCAGCAACATGTATCGGTGTACAGGTACTACTGTACAAATCAATGGTTGTATCCTGTACTCTCTGCCGTACTCGAGAATCAGCATCATCACATACGTTCGACTTCCGTTCGCATCCCCTTTTCCTTTCCCTTCGAGAGAGACGGGTGTTGAGCGATGACTGGTTCGCACGAATCCCACGAGCGTGCGTCCGTCCCACGGTACGCTCCATCCACTACACATGCCTCAACCAATCTTCCCGCCTCCTCTGACCTCACTCCGAATGCTCCTCAACGAGCGAACAGGCCGGGAGAAGTGCGCATCAACCCTCTGGCAACTGCGTGTCAGCCGTCGCGGTGTTGGAAACCCCGGTCGGTGAGGAAGTCGCTCGTCTGTTGCGAGACGGAAAGGGCTGGGTGGATGTCTTGGCTCCTGCGGTTTTCGTCCTGGCGTGTGTGCCCGTTCCATCTATCTCTTATTGTTATCATCGTTGCGATGGGAAACGACGCCTCGGCAGCCACGCGGTGCCTCAGATGCCTTGACTTGAGTCACTTGATGATATCCGTAGGGCTGTGTGAGCTCGTGGCCCCCTTGGCATGGAATGATGATGGACACCTATACCCAGACACGCACACGCACACGCCGGTCGTCAGATACTGTAATTTGACCGCCAGAACCACTGGAGTATGTACGCCAGGGACTACTAGCAACGCCGTTGTGGCTGCACCATGGGGCCGGGTTGCGATGTTTGTTGTACATGCGAAAACGCCACACGCACCAAATGCCCGCGACAGCGTCCCAGCGTGTGACTCGTGTCGTCGCTGCCGGATGTCACGAACTTCCGTTCACTTTTCCACGACGCCATAGAGTCCTTCCACGCAGGACACACACACACACACATCTGCCCCGGACAAGGTCGTCGGTCTCCTCGTCTCATTCAGCCGCGTTGAATGCCAAGCTAGAGGGTCGCGGGCTGTACATGTGCGATGGAGATGGGACATGGCAATGCCCATGACTCCTTGCTGTAGAATGCCGACACTAGGGTTGATGCTAGGGTTTGGGTAGTACAAACGCATATGGTGGTGAGATGGTTGAGAGAGAGGCGAACGCGGCTCGTCACCAAACACTGCTGTGGAAACATGTCGGATTCTTGCAGGCTTCGATCCGAAAAAAGACAGTTCCATGTCGTGCACTCCAAAAATCATGGAACTTTGCCATAAGCACAGCCACACGCAGACACGTCACGACCAGACGGAAAAACTGACCTCCAAGCTCTCAACGTTCGAAACAATCCCCTGCTCGATTCCGCCGTCAACACCCCTCTCCCACCCTGTTCTCCGCTATAGTCTCTCACCGATCCACGCCTCAATCACCCTCGTCCCCTCATGCTTCTCCTTATACCCCAACAGTTTCTCAATGATAGGGTCATCATGAGCCGCGCCCGGCTGGACGACCAGTTCGACCTTCGGGTGCGCCGTTTTGAGCTTCTCGGAGAAGTTCACAATGGTCGTGATGATGGCCTCGCCGCCGCCGCCCCAGACCAGGACGTCGCGGACTTGTCCCTCCAGACCGCCGAACCACTCCGGGGGCGCGATGTGCGGGTTGTTGTAGGAGTCCTCTTCCTGGAGACCTGGGGGTGACATTGTCAGTCTCTCAGATCGGGATCGTTTCGGGAATCTGTCGCTCTTTTTTTGTGCTTTTCTTCACTTACCTAGGTACATGGATGACCATCGCTGGCCGGCGCTCGGGATGATCATGTCGCTCGTTTGCTTGTAAGTATCCATGGAGCTCGGCGAGGGGAACAGCTTGTTCCATGGCGAGATGAGGATGGCCGACGCCAATGGCTCCGCGAGGGTGATCTTGGTCGCAGCGGGATGCGGGTGGAGTAGATGAGATAGCAAAGAGATGGTCATATGGCCTGCCGGGCTTGTCAGAGTCATGTTTCCCACCCAAAAACACCCGATCGCAATCGTTCGGACGTACCTCCTGCCGAGTCGCCAGCGACGATGATCTATGAGACAAAGAGTCAGTCAGGGTAACACGAACGCGATCCAATATGGCGAGGGTCCGTGAAATGGCCGGCATACGTCACTAGGTTTCTTGTGCTCCTTTTCGATCAGCCAGGCTAGAGATTCGGCAGCCTGCTGTAATTGAATCGGATAACGCCCCTTGGGCGATGGACGATCGGTCGTGACCTCGTACGCCGGCAAGAAGACGCTCACGCTGTGGCCCTTGGCGGCGAGGTCCTTCTGCAGGTCATGCAGCCATGCGAAGTGTCCCGGGCTGGCCGCCTTTGCGTACCCGCCACCGTGGAAGAACAGAACGATCTTGTCCGCGGATTTGGGCCCAAACCAGAACGCCTTGAGACCGGAGCCGAGGACAGTCTCGGTGGCGGGAAGTTTGTTTTTCTTCACGAATGACGCATACCCGTCGGCGGTGGAGATAGAGAACAAAGTATCTTGGGCGACATTGACACCGCCCAGGAAAGTGCGGAGGATGGTGAACACCACATCCTTGAGCAGTGTTCGGGGTTTGGGACGCTTGGAGAATGGACGGATGAGAAGCCGGGCAACGACGGCAAGGAACATTTTCCCGAACAGAGGCAGCAGGAGGATATAATCCAAGGCTGTCGCATTGTAGCGCAACTCGATGTCTCCCCGTCGTTCAGCCATGATGGGTGTCTTGTGTCTTATTGTTCTTATTTATTTCTATGTTTTTTGAAGGGAAATGAAGGCGAGCATTGAGCAGCGCGACCTTTTGAGGAGATGCCATATATCTGCCTAAATCGAGCTGTCGCCGGCGCGGTGTGTTGTCAGGAGCGCCCATCGGTCCTCGTATAGAGCGGTTCCGCCATCGGCAATGCCCTGGCCTGAGAGACAGAATCGAGTCGGCTTCGGCGTCTCGGCACACGGTCGGGTCCGTGCAACGGTCGGGTGGTGCTTGTGTGGAGGAAGGAAACAATTGCGCGGGCGCGGGGTCTCTTCTCGTTCAGTAATACAATCAAAGATGGGCACGGAATGATGATTGATCGCGAAGGATAATCACAATAGAGGATCGATATGCATATATGCTGAAAGACCGCATGTTGTGTCTCTCCACAGTGCTGACAATCTGTACTGTACACACGTGACGTGGTACAGTATGCTTACTTGCCCAGCTCCCTCCACGATGATATCATGGACATACAGATCGGGGTGAGGTTCTAACCTCACGTCCATTGCGGTTCCAAAGACTTCTTCGCTGACCTGCGACCTGGCGACTATACAGTAGCAGACAGGCAGATGGCACAGGAGAAGACCATGTATAATATAAACGAGATGGGAAGTGTAAATATATGTCCATACCTCTGGAAATAGCATTCCAATGCGTAATCCACGTTGTGATCGAGACCATTACTTCTCGTGATGGCGCGAGGGAGTTATCGCCTGTCCATTGGTCGGCATCATCATCATCACCATCGCCATCAGCACCGCTGTCGTCAATATCATACTCACCATCGAGGACAGCATCAGCATTGTCATAGTGACCGTCGTCGCACACGTGTAACTTCCATCGCCAGCTCGGTACAATTGGGCGACCGTCAATGATCAATCAGTGTGCAGACTATGATCTGATCTGATATCTCACGGCAGCTGTCCATCAGCGCACGGCGTGCTTACTGCCCTCATTGCCAGAACCTCCCTGTCGATCATTGTCAGGAAGCCGTCACGAGATCGCGGTCGTCGGGTCGCTCTTCAATCAAACATGGCTCGAGTTCCATTCAATCACCTCCCCGAAGAACTTCAGTTATACATCTTCCAACTTCTCGACTCGGCGCCACCGTCGGAGCAGAAGAACCGACACGAGCCAAGCCTGTCGCTGACGACCTCCACGGGTCAGCTCAACCTCAAGAACATCTCGCTGGTCTCGCATCAGTGGCGGCGCATCGTACTGCCGGTGCTTTTCCGACATGCCCGTCTCCATCTGAACCCGCTGCCTCGACCTAAATGGGAGAATTGTCCAGCTTGTCTCGCCTACGCTTCCAAACACTGGGCGACAAGCCTGAATCAGACATCACCTCAATCAGATATCGCTTCGTATCACCGCTCGCAGCCAGCCAGCGACTCGCTTCTGGATGTGGTTACAAGTGATGCATGGAACAACAACGAAAGGCTCGGTACGTTCAATGCGCTGACCTGGGAGAGCCGATTCTTTCATCGTTCAAATGACTTTACCCAATTCGTCCGCCGCCATGACCTCGTCATTGATAGCCTCGTCCTCTCAATCGGCAAGCTGCTGCTGCCCCGTCGCGACCTCTATCGCGTTCCAGCGGCTGCCGACCGCTTCAAAGCCTCAGCCGTCCTTTGGCAACGCATACTGTCCGCAGTAGATCCTGGTCGAATAGTTATCCTAGCTCCACCAGTCGAGCTCTCTTACCTGACCAACGTCGCCGTCGATCTCTCCAGCGAATGGGCGTTCTCCGACATGGATTTTCACATCCTCGAGCTGGCCACCTCCTCCCCGCTGGATGCACCCGACTCAAGGAGGCGGAGCAGTTGCGGCCTCTCGCCACTGGGACGAAGGATGACCGAGGAGGAATTCCAGCTCGACAACCTCTGCTACGTGCCACCTGGCGGAAATACTATAGCCCAAGCCAGCATTATGCGACTCCGGCCCTGGACCCATCTTGGACTCAACGAGGGCTCCTTCCTCCGAGCTTACGGAACCTATGAGTATTTCGAGCGTGGACCGCCCTCGATCATCTACTCGATCAAGAATTGCCTCGCCTCGGCCGCCGCCGCCGCCGAAAATTCCGATGCCCATGAACAGCAACAGCAACAACAACCATCCAATCACGACCAGGACCAAACCCCAAATCCCGGTCCATCCAACCCCGCTGCGTTGAATCTCCACCCTCTCCACGCGATCCGAAGTTTCAGCTACACCGCCATCCTCCCATTCGCCACCCACCTCGACTTCACCGGAATCCTCCCACAGCTAACCAGTCTCGACGTGCAGCTGGCACCACACCCGACCTCCAACATTCTCAACGACAAATCGCGGGTCGGCCGCGCGGAGCTGGAAGATTGCTGGCAGGAGTTTTTCGCTGGATATCGCTGGCTCACGAGCGTTTTCGCGACCTATGCTGTAGCCGCGCCGCCACCGCCAACACAGCAGCAGCAGGCGGTCCCCACGCCATCGGCAGGTCGGGATAGCAGCAGCGGCGCTGGACCGTCCGTGCCGCTGCCTCTGCTGAAGACTTTCATTTGCCGGGACAAGGAGCATACGAGGAATGAGAGCTTCCGGGAGGAGCTTGACGAGCTGTTCATCCCGCTCTGTAAGTCGTCCCCAATCTGTGAAGCCTCGCCCCGGATTTCGGGCGTTCAAAGGCAAAGAAAGGTCTCCGAAATTGACAATCTTTCCGATCTGATCCGGGTTCGCATCCCTGCTAACGGCTCCGTCCGATACAGGTCTCCCCGTGTGGGTTGAAATGGAGGAAGGCAAATTCATCCGCCAGACCGATCGTGCGCCGCAGATACACCATAATGCATTCGAGCCGGTATGAAAACGATAAGCGTATCGACTCTCATGACATTGCGCTCACTTCTGAAAAATATGCGTGAGGAACACGCTCGGGCACAGTGGTCCTTTACTCGGAGGACTTTTCCTCGCTCACAAGGGTCCCGAGGACCTCGATTAATTTCTTTTCGCATCAAATATATGTAATTATATATGCACCTTCCCCCCTTTTGGCCCGGCATACTTTTGCGACCGCTGCGGGCAATCTTGTGGCGCTGGCAAGTAGGCCGACTGAAGCCGTTTTGAGCGCTCTCGAGCTCAAACGTGAAGACAGATCCTCCTTCTGCGCCCGAAAAGGAAAAGAAGGCGATGTACAATGTGACTCCGGTCGTAGTCGGATCGCAGAGCTGGGGTATCCAAGCAGAGAGGGATAAACATCGCCGAAAAAGCCAGCAAAGTCTATTGTTACAAGGGCTGAGCCAGCCGAGGCGTGCGCGCGCACCCACACACAAACACACACACATATTTGCACGCATACCCATGCGAACTTCCCATGCACGAGCAAAGTCGCCGAAGCTGAGCTTCCACTACGATCTTTGTTGCTCGTCTGCTAGGTGGGGTTCGCCGGGTTCGAAAGCACATCTCTGACTCGCACGAGCAGTGGCAGCGTCATGTGTGCTGAGAGACATGGGACTTCATGGTCCGCGTCCTAGTCACGTATTGAAAGCCTGGAGCAGACCCGAGCCGTGAGCGAGGTTCGTATTGCAGGTTGAGTCGAAATTGCTGTGACGAAGGGCCGACTGTGCCGTCCGCTCCTCGTCTTGCTCAGAAGACATCCGAGTTTTCTGGACTCAGGGCGGGCTGAGGTGGCCATTAGGAGCAAGTGGTGCCACAGCAGCTCCATTGGTCGGACGTGCATGGAGAGGAGGACGAAACCTGATAATTGCGACCTAGTGGTACAATATAATCGTTAGCAATTGAATCGTACATTTGCGTTACGACGCTCGCGGTTGCAAAGAGACCGAACCATCATGGTCAAAATGAACAAAGCTTTGGATATCGTAGAACCGTAGGCATTTGTCATGGACGAGATGTGAACTAACCTGTTTGTCGGCAGCCAGGGCCAGGCTCTCTCCATCCGCGCTCCAACTCAGACTTGGCTCGGATTCAAGTTTCGCATGGTCGTGTTCCGAGACACCATTAGGCTCCCCATTCACAGGCAGCGACGCCTTCATGCCAGATTCCAGCGCGCTGCTCTGTCCCGCCACCGCTGTCGACGTAGAGGGTGACGATGACGGCAGCGCACCATCGGCTGCGGCAGGCGCTCGCCATGTCAATAAAGCTTCGCTGCCACGAATTCCTCGAGGAGACGCGAGGGCATTGCTATGCCAGATTTGTATGAGGTCGGAATTGCCGGCAGCAAGATACTGACCTGTAGGAGCCCAGGCGAGCGTCAAGGCAGGGCTTCCGTCGACCAATCGTGGAGTTGAGACACGCTCACAAGCGGTGATTGTGAGAGATCCCGCAGTATCCTGTGCAATATTGCTTTTGTTTGCGTCCGTGGTGATTCGGTAAATGTGTAGTGCACCACTGCCAAGAGCGACGGCGAGTAGAGCATGCTGAGATTGAGACGGACTCCGCTCGACCTCCATCGCATCTCCATCTGCGTCTGCATCCGCATCCGCATCCGCGTCGGCGTCGATACTATTGTCTTGGCTCAAATCTCGTGACCCCGAGTGTGGCTGGAAGGCGAAATTGATGATGTGGTCAGAGGGATCAAGCTCCAAGGTCTGTTCTCGTAAGTGACGCTTCACATCTGTGTTTGTTGTTGTGCCGTTGGTGGATAATGCATTTCGTCCTCCGAGCCCCGTGCGGAATATCAGTCGAGCATTCTGTTGTGATGAAATAAATGCCGCCACATCGAGTTGTTGATCATAGCATACTTTATCCCATGGCCCGGGAATACCTTCCAGCACGTCCTCATCGATCGACGTCAACCCACGCATCGATGCTACCCTCGTGAAATCAGCATCGAGGCCAGTGTCCAAGCCGCTGCTCTGCTCCGCATTGACCCGATACGCGGCTGAAAGTTGACTGCCACATACGATGAACGTGTCGTTGTCGATCCATGTCGCGTCCAGCACCTGATTAGCGAAGACGCGCCATGCAATCGGGCCGTAGGGAATCTGTGGCGAATCAGAGGTGAGGTCGGCTGTCACCCATACTTGGACCATGCCTCGATTTTCGCTATTCGGACTGGTGTGAACGGCAAGGAGATATTTGCCGTTCGTGCTGTACTTCAGACAAAGGATCACGCCCGGCGGCTGCAATAGACTGGGTCCTAGCTGATACGAGATGCTGTGACCGCCGGGACTATGTTCGAGGATCACTTGCGATGTCGGACCGCCAATAGACCGCTCCGGAACATGCTCGAGGACACATGCTGCCGCGTCACCATCAGGTCGCCATGTCATGGCGGTGACCACGCTATCGGCTGGTCGAGACGGCTCGTCAATATGCGTGAACTAAAAGCGTGTCAGTCGCGAAATTTGCACCCCATGGAGTTGGAAATCGGAACCACGTACCTCTTCCGTTTCGTCAATGCTCTCAGGGATGTGATAATAGCGGCAGAGCGACTCTCCCACTGTCAGAAGGGTGCGGGAGTACCTCGAGGCGGTGCTGGGGTTCCATTGACTGTGAAGGATGCAGGTCCCTGGTCGATCTAATTTCCATAAGGTCGTGCTCGTTTTATGGCCGGTCTTGAGCTCGGTCTGGGTAGCGACGTCGAGGCTGTCATACCTTTCCATAATTCCCGCGGCTTCGGTGTCCGATCCATTCGTCGGTGAGATGACGGCCGCGTCCTCTTCGAAATCGGCACCAGACGCGCCATCCACGCCATCCACATCCATCGCGTCGCTACCATTGACCTGTGCTTCGCTGCCTTCACTTCTCCGTGGCCGTTTCGGAGCTGGGACGGGAAATTCCCCAGGCCGTCGATTCGTTGTTGTGAGGCGATCTCGCCTTGGTTCCCGTGGCGACGATGGCCTCGATCCCTCTTCGTTCTCATCAATCGGGCTTTCAACGCTATTTCGCGCGTCAATGTGAGTCCACTGGAAGCGGCGCTTGCTCTTTCGGGCGCGCGCCTGGAGCTCGTCGAGGTATAGGCCATTTTGGATTACCGAGATCAATTCATTCCGGGGCACGGCGCGCGCGAAGGGGAATGTCTCGGGTTGGCAAAATTCAGCCGGCCGATTCCAGTCGCGTAGGAAGGCGTTTGCTGCATTTTCGTGCCCAAATTCCTGTAGGTAGCGCAGGATCAGGTAGTTGACGTGATCCGAATGTAATGAGCCCGCCATGGGGCAATGTGCGAATCCAAAAATGCTGCCACGGTGTTGGAAAGCGCCAGGAAGAGGATCGCCAGTACGGGTAGAGGCGGAACGAAGAGAATGGCGATAAAAATTCTCGCGGCGGTGATTCGAGGAGTCTGCGAGCGATTCCTTTGGATTTTGAACTCAGCTGCGCAGATGAGTGAAAAGTCTGAACAGGGACGCGCGCGCGATCGACTTTGCAGATGATGGCGAGAAGTGTGATCAGCTGTAGATACTATGCATGGCAATGTACATGAGACGAGAATGAGGCGGCGGTGGTTGCGCTGTGGATATCATACATCCAGCGAGAAAATCTGCTGGGCCACGCGATCGATGGCGATGGCGACGATAATGGCCGCCGGTGGTGATTGCTCTATAATTAGTGATATTGTAAGGCGGCGGAGGCGGCGGTGATGGCGGTGGTAGTGGTGGAGGTTTTGGCTGGGTGGTGTCGATGGATGGATTGATGGATGAGCACAGACTTTCTAGGTACTGAAGGGTTCCAACCTAGGAAGGAAGGGTTTTGACTCGCATGCTTAGTAACAACAACGTTCATCCATTGATCGTGCCGGCTCCCTCTTCCACAAGCTCGGCCGTCGCCTCCGCCGTCACCGTTTGTGGTGGAGTTCGTCTGCCTGCACGCCCTCATCAACGAGTATGTGATAGGTGTCTGCGTGCAGTATGTCCGTGGTTCCAATATGCCTTCTGGTCACGTGAAGATGTAAATGAACCAGATGGAAACTCGCTCCGCTCCGCTCCGCCCCACTGCGACGGTACGGTGATTACCACCTGGGCACCCTACACTCCCCAGAGATCTCGCAGGTGGGCCGAGCGGAGGCCGGGACGATCATTGCAATCTTGGAAGCCATCGGCATACCCTAACCAATTGCGGGAGCTCCATGTTGCGTTGTTCACTGTGAAGCTGAGCTGATCATCTGTTACCATGTGATCGAGAATACCCAGTACCTAGGCAATATTCTTCTATCAGAGACATCTGCAATACGGCGCAGCCAGTACCTTGACAGTCGCACCGCGTTGCCAGGTCAGGTGCATGATTTCGAGTTCGGCCACTTCGACGGGCATTACTCCAGAGGCCGTTCGAGCTATTTCACGCTCCGCCCCGACTTCAGATTCTCCTCCTGGGCCCCTTCCAACCGCTTCTGCCATCAAGCCACCGTTCTACGATCCTCACAACACCAACCTCAAGCACAGGAAGTACAGCACAGTCCGGGCATGTGTTTCCTTTGAAAAAAAGGTGACATCGGAAACTGGCATCGATGGCGCGCATCAATCTCCCGCCCTTGACCCGAGCGCTGCTGCTCACCGTCCTCGGACTGTCCACTCTCAACGCCATCTTGCGCTCTCGCAATTGGACTCCTTCCCTCGAGCGCACGCTAGCTGCGACCAGCTATCTCGCCAGTCCTCGCTGGGCAGTGCCCTACCTCGTCGCCATTCCCACCAAAAGCTTTCGATACCCCTGGACCCTGCTCACGGGCGCTCTGATCGAGAACAATGCCGTCTCGCTCGCGGTCAGCGGCTGCGTCATCTACTTCGTCGGCCGATATCTAGAAAGAGCTTGGGGAAGTAACGAATATGCGAAATTCGTTGTGTTTGTCGCCGTTGTCCCGAATGTCGCGGCCTTCGCTTTGTATGCTCTGTGGCACGCTGTGACGGGATATGCGCCAGAATTGTATGAGAAACCCCTGATCCTCAAGAAGCCTCGCGGCTTGCGGAGTGCTTGTCTGAGTGGAAAGGATTCAATGCTGACTGTGCGCCGATAGTCCTACTCCGCTGAACGGTCTCGTCGCCCTCGAAGCCGGATTCTTAGTCTCGCTGAAACAACTGGTCCCCGAACATACCGTTTCGCTCTTCAAAGGAGTGGTCCGAATGCGCGTCAAGCACTTCCCGGCCGTCTTCGTTCTGGCAAATATGATATCGGGTCCCCTTTTGGGCACGTATACCGCCATGTGGTTGGCGCTGTTCGGCTTTCTCACTTCGTGGATCCACCTGCGCTTCTTCCGAATCTCCGAAATCACCAGCGCCGCCACGGGAGGCGAGGGCGTGAGCATGGTCGGCGACGCTAGCGACACGTTCTCCTTCGTCGCCTTTTTCCCCGATGCCATGCATCCATATCTATCGCCTGTTTGTGACGGGATTTATTCTATCTTGGTGCAGCTGCGGTTGTGCACGCCATTCTCCGACGAGGCCATCGAGGCAGGGAATGAGGGCGCGGCATCTCGATCGGGAAGCCTCCCTAACATTATGGACTCCCGCGGCGGCGGTGGCGGCGGCGGTGGCGGTCGGCGTGCCGAAGCGGAGAGGCGTCGTGCGCTGGCCTTGCGAGCTCTCAATCAACGTCTCGACGCTGGCGCGTCAGGCCGGGGTCCTGGATCCGCCGTCACAAATGTCCAAGTCTCGCTCAATACTGAACCCAGTTCTAAAGCTGCGAATGAGACTGCCGGTTCTACTCCGCCAGCGAAGGAGACCCAGGCTTGAAGGGCCTGCCACTGGCTTTGATCTTCAAAACTCATTCATCGACAAAACCTCGGACTGCCCGAGCAGCGATCGCCCATGCCTCGTCCTCAAGGTCGCCTGGCACTCCAGGGGATCTGCCAGACCAGCCGAGGAGATCCGGATCAGGAGCGGAGGAACCAGTGCCTGCTCTTATTTCACGCTTTCGCGTTGACCGACTGGGTCCGGAATATGCGGAACACTCGCCAGGACGTCTCTCCGGATGGCCTGACACCTGTGCGAAGCAGCCTCGCTCTGGTCGAGCGTCCGTTTCCAAGAATCTTCTCGGGGAAAAGGGCTACACTAGTCTATTTCAAGTCTCGCCATCCGCACCCTTGCCACGTCGCACCCGAGCGCAGCCTGGAGATAGCCTCTGACGAGGCGCTCGCGGAGTCACGCGCATGTGGAAGCCTCTAAGGATAGCTCCAACCTTCTAGGAGGATGCCATGAGTAGGCAGGACACGCCGGGCCCCCAAGCTCTGTCGCGTGAGTTCCTGGCATTGAGTGTGAGAAATATTTGGCTTTCGCGTCCGGCTCTGTCACTGGCCCGCGCTGGGCAGTGATGTTCCTTTATCCCTGTGCGCGCCACTCGTCGACACTTTGAAAACGGATAAAGCCCCAGACGACGTCGATGAGCAGTCGTCGCGGGGTTGCGCGGATGCGGTCGAGGCAGCTTTGTAACGACATCGCGAGAGGGCTTCGAGAGCGTCCGATGTCACAGCCTAGGAGATGTACCAGACACCGCGTCGACTGCTCGAGGAAAAAGAACATGTCGGGCACGCGAATGGGAGAGTACTCCATGTACAAGTATGAGTCCGATTCGTACAATGTTCTATATATACAGGCGCCAGATGTGAGAGGATTTTGCTACACTTCTAATCTTACAACCCCATGCTCCGTTGTCCTCATTCACGCCCCGATGCGAAGTAGTGTGAAGCGAAAGCTATTTTCTTTGTTTTAGTTCTCCCGTGCTGCCAGAACTGTCTCCCAGAGTAGATCCGGAAAGACCCTGTCCATATGCAAAGGAGATGATTCCGCTCGCTCTCCATATACAATCGTGTTCATGCGGATGCAAGTCGATAGGACGGAGTTCTGCTTTCACACGTCGACGAGATGAGCCCACGCAAGGTGCAACTGGAGATGACCTGGGTAGGGCATCATCCCTTTTCCAGATCTTTCATCCAGCTTCTACCTGCTGCGATTTCACGAGTTCTTGACGACGCCGACCTTCGCTGCCTATTGAAGTGTACATTGTTAATTAGTTTTATTGGAAAGACACAGGGAGAGAATCAATGGCCTCTGACTGCCGGTGACGAGGTTTTGCGAAAACGAAAAGTTCCCGTGTAAACGCGGATGGAGAGATAGATGTGCTTACCCGAATGACTCGGCCATTGTACAAGAAACCCTTGGACTGGGTGAAAAACACAGATCCATCCTTCTTATCGGGTTGTGGAGTCTGGAAAGTAGCCTCGTGGCGGTTCGGGTCGAACATGTCGTTGTTCTCGGCGGGATCGAAGCGCTGCAGGCCGTTCTTCGCCAGCGTCTTCATGAGGATGTCCTCGGTCATCTTGAGACCGCTGTGCAGGTTCACGAGGTCCTGGTTGTCGCTGTTGAGCTTGTCGGCCGGCACGGTGCTGAGTGCGCGGTCGAGGTTGTCGACGCTGTCGAGCAGCTCCTTGGCGAACCGCTGCAGGGCGAAGTCCTTGGCCGCTTGCACTTCGCGCTTGGTTTGCTCTTGGAGGTTGCGGTAGTCCGCGATGGAGCGTTTCAGTCGGTCCTGTGAAGTGTGAATGCCGGAGCCATCTCGTCAGTCAAATAGATCCTTTGCGCTTCTCGGTATTCACAACGCGACGCAAGGGGAGGTGCAGGATGTAGGATATATCGTCGCTGATGAAGGGTTTGTCTTACCGTAACCTCTACAGCCTCCTTCTTTTTCGCATCCAGTTCCTTCTGCAATGGGTTTTCGGCGGAGGCGGCATCAAGCTTCGCCTTGTCCTCTGCACCAAGCAGCTCTGCCTGCTCTTTATTTGACTCGTTGTTGGCATCTTCCGAGATCTTCTCCGAGGAGTACCATCGCCGTGCGGCGAAAGTTTGTGTCGCAACGGGTCGCGCGGCTCGTGATGAAGCTGTGATGAATGGCGCTGTCGATGATCTGCACTGCGAAATACACTGTCGGGTGTAGCCCGGGATAGATCGTGCGAGACGTTGAGAAAGCATTTTGTATCGGTGCGATAAACTGCTGATGGCGATGGAATGGATTCGAGGATCAAGGGTGCACTCCGGTAGAGATTTGGTAATACGTCAGGTAATGATCATAGAATACCGCCTCTTCAAGATGTAATAAAAAGTTATTGGAGACGAATTAGGACAGCCCGGACATTGCCGCAGCGCGGAGGTCCGCCGAGAACCCTGAGTCGCGTGCCCTGCCATGCTCTATGTATTTCTAGAAACACCGTCTACTCCGGACCATCATCGGCCCATTTGCTTGCAGGTTGTGACATGTACCGGGCGGGCAGGCGGGAACTCATCGCCGCCATGTTGATTCAGTTCTCAGTCAGATAGGTTCTCTTATCATTGCACTCGGAGCTCCCTCTTCATGCAACGATCATGCTTGCCGCGTCAGAGAAGCAGAAATTATCATACACGATCGCGAAGTGTTCCACATACTATACGACGCCATGAGACAATCGTTTGAGTGCAGGTTTGCGTATGATCGACGTGGCCACGGTGGAGCAATAGTATCTCATCTGTGATGGTGGTCCGGGCAGAACGACTTCATGTATCCTTTCATTGCCTTTCGTAATCCCGGCATTTCAAGGTCACAGACTATTGCCGATTGAGATGGCCAACGGAGTGAAGAATCACGCGCTGGCAGGAACCGTCTCGTCTTGTTCCTGCTCCACGCCGATCGGCTCGGGTCGATTTGCGAACAAGATCTTCTGCGTGATGATCTCTACAATCTCCAAGTCCTGCGATGATGTCGGATTCTGCGCCGTCCCTCCCATTTCGTGATCGTTAGAAGTAGGACCAGTCACGATGCTGCCGCGCCGCCGCATCACAGCGATGGGTTTGGCTAGTTTCTTTACTTCTCCGGCGAGACGTTGGTGTTTGCCGACGAAGAGGAAGACGCGGCGGCCGTCCCATTCGGCCAAGGAGTGGGAGTCTGTGATGTCGTTTGCAGCCGGAAAGATGAGCCGGCCGACCGTGAGGGCCGACTGAAGATCTTCGTCGAGACCGTCAGCATCGTCGACGAGGATTTTGCCTTGAAGTTCGATCAATGCTAGGCCGGATGGCGTCTGAAGTGTTGATGGTAACACATCTGCCAAATCTTTAGCCGGCCCCGCGCGTTGGGCCGGAGGGTGGATAAGTGTGCTGGGCATCTTGACCGATTTCTGTGGACGAAGGTGCACGGCGTGAATGCTGCGTGGATTTTGCCCAGATCCGTCAGGCGCCCCGCTATGAGCTTGTTCGATATAACATATAATGAGTCGTGTATTGATTCAATAAGTACGTAGATCAGGGAGTCTGTCAGAAGTGGACTATTCGAATTATGGCACAAATTTTACAAGCAAAATCTCAAAATAGTCAGACGGGCGTGTATAGATCAATCCGATGCTGTCCGGGTAGCATATTGTCACGTCGGTGGTAAGACTGCCAGCACCCGTGGACATTAATACACTGTTTTTGATCTTTTTTTCATTTCTTTTGGGGCAACATCGAACAAGATCGGCCCTTCTTATATACATATAGATTTTCCTTTCAAGCGTTCGTCTGCGTCTTCCCTGGCCTGGCAAACGTGTTGTGGTCGTCGTAGATGCTGCTAGCTGGAGGTCGCGCTGTTGAAAACCGCAACCAAACAGCTCTGCCTCAGATCATTGCTTTTGTCGCCAAGGCCGGCGTACATTGGGTAAAGACCACTTTTGTCTCCACAAAACTCCGAGCATTTGCCACAGAAGTTCGTTCAATCCGGCTGGTCTGAGGAGGTGCTTCTCGGATTCATGCCCTCGCGAGACGAAGCGGGGATCCAGAAGGTCTGTGTGCCCGTGGAGTCCTTTGCTGTCGATTGTGGTGCGCAGTTCTTCATAAAGCTCTTCGTCGCGAAATACTCCGCTGTGGGTATCACCAGGAGTCTTCCACCCGCCATCAGCATCCATCACTGATGTGCATCCTCGTCCACTTGTTCTTTGAGAAATCCGAGGACTTCCCTTCGTATGATGCAAGTCGTTACGATACCCGCCACAGAACGAGATCTCTCCAACCCCATTCCTAGATTGATCGATCATGAAAGTGGCTCGCTGGAGGAGCTTAATCTGTTGAGGTGGAGGTAGACATCCGTGCCGTAGCCCTCCATCGAGATCAATTTGAGGTCACCACCGAAGTATCGTGCATAGAGTCGTGAGATCGGGAGTCCGTACCCGAACCCTGCCATTGGCGCCTTAAAGTCGGATTTGTTGAAGTCCGGGTCAAGGCTGGGTGTTTGGTCGACGGTGGTGTACATATATGTCCATCTATCAAAGTTTGCGTTAGCTTTGGCTGACGGTCTGCATGCGTTTTGCTTATGCACGATGCAAAATCGTATTCACATCACTTACACCAAGGGAATGCTCGACCGTGGGATTCCACCACCTTCGTCCGAAATCTTGATGGTGATGTCTTCGCGACCCTCCGAGACAATCACATCTGTGACCGGGAATTCTTCCTTATCCTGGCCGTGTCGCTCCACCACCGCACGTAGGCTGTTCTTCAATGTCTCGAAGAGCATGTGTGACAGGTGGCCCGGAACGTACATGAAGTTGAGATCCTTTGGACAGACAAGTCGAATTTTGGGCGCGTCGAAAAGTCCATAGTGGTCCTCGCAGACGAAACGGGCGTTCTCGATGGCTTCCTCGGCAAGATCCTTGACATTGGTCTTGGTGCAGATGATCCCTACATAGTTCGGATCATTCTGTCCTCGTTGGTCGGTCAAGGCGATGTGTTGGCCCAACAGCATGCGAATACCGATACGCGACATGTAGAAGCGGTCGAGGAAGGCCTGTATGTTGTGGTCGATCTGCATCCGCTGCCGCTTACGCTTGTACTCCAAGATGCCCTGTGCGATCGTCGTGACGACGCTGTCATGCCGCCTCTTGATCTTGTCGAGAGTTTGTGAGAATCTAGCATTGTAATCCTGGAGCTCCGGTGGCCAGTCACCGTCGTCTGCTGCTGTGAAGTATCTCCTCGAATTCGGCGGTCTCTTTTCATGCTCCACCCCGGAAACGTTCGATCGATACTGCCCGGGTTTGATGCTCGGATTCTCGGTGGTCTCGCTCAGGATGCGTTTGCCGTTGGTCTTGGCGGGCCGTAAGAGGCGCTCCTTGACCTCAGTGCTGAGTGTGGGTTTGGGTAGAGTTGTGATTTCCTAAAAGACGAGTGAGTCGTGCATGTCATCGTCGCAGACACGATATCCCTAAGCGCACCTCGAACGACTCCGCATACCAATCCTGCACCCGCTTGATGCTTTCCATCTCATTGAGGCCGTCAGGCAGGTCTCCTAGCTCTTGCACTCGATGTGCTAGTCGTATAGGCAGCTCTTCAGACAAGAACTGCGATGCTCGAAACAGGGTACCTGTCACCGTCCATTTAGCGAGAGATTCGGCGAGTGTCTTCTCCGGTAATGTTGCGGCTCGCGAATCACATACCGGTATTCGGGTTACTGCCAAATTGCACCATCTGCCGCAAACTAACTCCAGTCGCCGGGAATCCGGAGTAATGCTTGATGGTCTCCTTCAGTTGTGCTGGGAGAACAAGAAAAGCGTCAGCGAATATCGGCGACACGAGAGGTCTTTCCTGCGCTTACCGGACGCTTTCCACGACATCTTGGGCGACTGTGGAAGGCAGGGCCGACGAGCGGCCCTGCTAAATGTCGGATTGAGGGCGCAACGCGCGCGCGCAAACTTGAATTCACGACTGACAGAAGCTGTTCACGAGAAGAGCATAACGTGGATTGCGGGAATAAAAATAACAAGGTGACGAGTGAAGTGTCAGAATTGGGCAGGTCCGCTCGTGACTCGAAGAATCTCAAGAAACGGGGCGCTCGGACTGGCGTTGACAGCGGTAGTAGTGCAGATGATGGTAGTGCGACTGGGTGGAGGATGAAGGACGGAGGTACAGTTGTAACGTCCAAAGCTGCTGCTGATCCTGACGCACAATATGCCTAGTCGTCTCATATGTGCTGTACATACAGTGCGCCGTGGGACCCAATGCAAAGGAAATTGTATTGCACCGGATTGGCTGTATTACCGAGCGATGAAGATGCCGACAGCCATCCTGCCAGCCCGCTATTAAATACACCAATGTCCCATACGACCGCACTGCATTGACAGACCGGATAATAGTACTGCAGAGGGATGTGGACAAGACCTACTGCACATCCCACGTAGACTCTTACTGAGTCCCATGTTATCGTCATCCCGTACTCAGTTTCCTCACGAAATGCACAGTACTGTATTGGCAGCGGCCCAGCCAAGCCCCAGAGACGTTGTTGTTTCTCCCCGCGGACTTTGCGGGCTGCTGACGTACATGTGGATCTCTGATCGCTTACCGAGGTCGGCGAGTCTAGGTGAACGGGAGCAGCCGAATGATGACCCACAGCGCATCGGTGCGATATTGTCCGGTGCAACAGCATGTGCAGAGAGACCACGCACGTATATATACAGTAATACAGTGGTGGGACACGATGGAGTCGTGTGTGATGCTTGTCTCATACGGCACTCGCATTTGCCAAGCGACGGCTTCTGCAATCCGAAATCCTGGGGCTCTTCATCACTGCAGTGCGGAGATTGATGAAACCGGGGCTGGGCTGGCTGCGGGACCGACAACGGCAGCAGGAGGAGGAGGAGTTGCTAGACCATGCTGCCTCGTCGAGCATTTCAAGGACGGTCTGGACGTCCATTGGATAATTGTTATTCACGCAGTACTCCTGTACGGTAATAAGTGTACTATAATGGACTCGCAAGCCTGCAGCCACGCTATTTACGCCCCGATCTGCTGATGGACTGTCAAGGTACGTCGGCTGACGTGAGGGGTTTTTCCAACGCGCCTTCTTCAATGCCATGGCGAATGGTAACCATTTTTATACACCTGGGCAGACTGTATCAGCGCGCGATCAGCAAGCCCGGGGTCATTGGATCATCATAGATACAGTACTCATATTGATTCTGTATGATTCACACGCCCGTGCAGTCTACCGTTTGGAGATCTCGCGGGAGCTCGGACTGGCTGCAGGTCTCATCATTTTCATCATCAATGCAAGCAACATCTCATCGGTGGATCTGCCCCAGATTCTGCCGTTGGTCAGCATCCATGGCCCTCGCGAGATCGGGGAAAGCTTTGAGCACGCACGCGCGCACTCCGCACAATGGTCGGTACAACATCCCGCGTACCTTCCCGTCGGAAATGGGGTGTCGCCAGTCCTCCATCCCGGAGCACCTTGGTCTATCACCTGCACCTGCACATCTTTACCAGCCCGGAGGCAATGGGAAATTTCATCACGAGTCGAACGTCTCGTGCATGTCTGTCATTCTCGACGTCACGGCTCAAGCATGTAGAAGGTGCCATCTCATGACCAACGTATGGCGAGAATACCGCTATTCCTTCCATTCAGGGGCTGCCGGATAGGAATCATTTCGTGCGAATTCTGCATGGTCACCGAGAAGATGCGTCTGGTGGTATCGGCGGGTCTAAAACATTAATGGGAAATATAAATGCACTACTATCGTATCATCGGCATGAATCCGTTTCTTATTTTCCTTATCCATTCTCTGTACTGACTACGGCCGGATATGAACAACAAAAAAGCAACAGGCGGCTGCACCAGACAGCGCTCCTGTGTATTTGAAAAGAACACGACATGAACCAAATCTCTTGACTTCTATTACGACCAGAGCTGCGACACATCGAGCTTGGTGAATGCCCTGTGGAGGAACCCGCTGCTGTTGTGATCCTCGTCGGCGAAGACAAAGTCCGGCCGCGCATCACGCACCTTCTTTCCAGAGCTGGCCGCGGCGGCCGCGGGTGCGCCATTCGTCAACAACAAAGTGCCGTCCGCCAGGGGCCGGGCATTGTCGAGGATCCACTTCTTCATCAGCGCTGGGCTGGCGGCGAGCTCGGGATTGCGGGCCATGAGGTAGGCGACGACGCCGGAGACGTGAGGGGTGGCCATGGAGGTGCCAGAGAGGACATTGATGACGTTGGGCGCGCCGATCCACGAGGAGACGACGTCCACACCGGGCGCGTAGACGTCGACGCAGGAACCGTAGTTGGAGAAGTCGGCGTGCTTGAGGTTGACGTCGACGGCGCCGACGGTGATGGCGCCGCGGCCGTTTGCACCTCCTGATGAGGCTGGCGAGGCGCTGCAAGCGTCTACGCCCTCGTTTCCTGCAGCAACGCAGACGTGGATCCCGGCGTTCACGCAAGCGGCCACGGCTGAGTCGATGGCCGCGACGACCGTGCCGGAGGAGAGAGACATGGAGAGGACGGAGCCGACAAAGTCAGGTCCTCCGCGACGAGCTTCGTGCTGTTTGAGGACGAAATCGATTCCGGCGATGACGTTGGACGACCAGCCGCTGCCGTCACCTGCCAGACCCTTGATGCCCCAGATGTTGGCATTAGATGCGATTCCGAGGATGGAGCCGGCGGCAGTGCCAGCAACGTGCGTACCATGTCCATCATTGTCGGCGACGTTGTCGCCCTGGAAGCTCCACGCCATCTTGGCTCGACCGCCGAAGATGTTGTGTTGCGTGTAGATGCCAGTATCGAGAATGTAGACATCGGAACCCGCGCCGAGTGAGGTATCGGTGTATGAGTAGGTGTAGCCCAATTCAGCACTGATGCTACTGCCGCGGGGAGGCTGAACAGGGGAAGCGAGGCTCTGCAGACCCCATGGAGCGCTGGCACGGGAGAAATATTGCGGAGCCTGTCGGGGCATGACGAGGGCGCTGGACACTGTCATGGCCTTCTCGACAGTGCTGACATCGCTCATGTTGGCAAGCAGACCGAGACAGTGGCTACCCATCGAGGCGGAGAAGCCCGTGAAGGCACTGTTGTTGTAAATCCATTTAACATCGGGATGGTTTGGGTCGAGGGCCAGTCGGTTCAGGACTTCGGCAACCGCAGGCGGAGCTGGATGAGCGCTGTCAATGATGACAATATGTTCTGCGCCTCCACTCTGGTGAGCTTGAACGTCTCCATCCGGTACGGCGTAGATGGGATTGACACATATGGCGGCCAGCGCGAAGAACGAGAGGATAAACTTGGCCATCTTTCAAAAAAGTAGTGGGTGGATTTGACTAGCCGTGCCCGTAGATCGATCCTCAATCGAGCAGTAGATGTCCGTAAGATTTGACCGACGGATCAGTGATGAATTTATGCAGGTGCCGACAACTCAATTGACGGTCGATGCAATGAATGGTTGCGCCGGCGCAACAAGGAAGCGAAAGGATGAAAGGAATGAGTGCAGTCGGTCGATAAAACGACTGACGACCAAGCAACGAGCGACAGTCCGGGCCGATGATGGAGAGTACAGAGAAAGAAAAGGAAAAGCGAAACAAGAAAAAGAGGAGCCGTGTGTTGTTGAGCAAAGAGCCGTGTAATGAAGGGAGAAGGTGAAGCAGGATGAGGGGAGCATGTTACATATACTCAAATCGCACCGCATGGGTCAAGGTACGAGCAGCAATCTCAACCTACCTACTGTACATGCTTTCACTACACAGAGCCAATTTCATTGTCTCTTCTTCCGCAAGGGGGATCGGGTGAAGAGTAACCGACGTGTACAGTGCAGCACGACCTCGTCAGCACTGACAACTATTGCATTGCGAGGACTAGACTCGTCAACACCAGCATTCTCACAGACCACTACGCGTGTGCACCACGATATCTCAGTCTGATGGTCGCTACCAAACATTCCGATGGGAAGACATGTCGAAACATACAGCACGCCAGCATTGCCAAGGGTGCAAGTCCCGGTGCAATTTAGGCGCGGTGGACGAATAGACCGGTCCCAGAGGCACAAGAGCGAGATCCGATGGTCCTGGCGCTGCGGGCGTGTCGCCCTCTTGTGGCCTACGATTTATCCCTAGCTCACCGGCCAAGATCATCCGGCAAGGTTGAATTGTCTCTTGGTGCCAATGAATGATAGATATGACAGAAGACAAAGAATGTGCTGTCTCATTGAAAAAGCCCTACACAGAGCTACACACATAGTGACAATAAGCTTTCAACGTTCCTGGCGGCTGCACCGCGACCGATCCAATCCAGCGCGTACAATGCGCAGCGGCACGCAGGCGAGATTACCTGAGCTCTTTTGTGACGAGTCTTGGTACTTTTTCGCCCCGACCTGGATTCCATTGGATGAGAGACGATCTGAATGCGGAGGTCTGTTTGGAATTCATCTAGACAAGACATCTGCAACTATTTCCGTACTAGGTAGTCAGCACAATGGCATACAATTCTACAGTCCACGGGTATCAGAGAAATGAATGCACAGGTGCCTGTGGACGAGTGCGTAAGCGCCGGCGCGCGGCCTGTTGACAATTCCCCCATGGCCCTGTTCTGTCCACGATGGTTCCGAGAAATTTCCCCACCCGCCCACTCACACGCCTCCGGTCCACACGCCGGCCAAGCGGCTGAAACGTTGATGAAACGCGAGTGTATACAGTACCCAGGGAGGTCCCCTTATTACTTCCTCTTCAGAGCTCTTTGCATTCCTCCTCTCATCATCAATTGCCATCTTGTTATATGATCGCAGCCATTGTCGTACAAGACCACGAGTCCGTCCTTGAAATTTCCAACAACCAGACTACATTCTGGCTGGGTGTCGCCGGCAGTAAGAGCATCACTAATCATCGTCCAATGCATGAATGTGGATTGCTTCGCTTTTCCGCATGTTTGCCGGTGACGAGCACACATGAACGCACGTGAGCATGCTGCTATACAACATACGTGCACGTGCAACGACCTTCTATATAAATATATACATATGTAAAATGTAAAATCCCATACCGATGGAAGTGTCACCAGTGCATAGGAATTCTATCCCCAAAGAAGCGTCATTCCCCTCATTGGCAAGGGCCAAGACGCGTGATACGGGATTCGACACGAAACAGGTCGATGTGCCTGTTACTTAGAAGCCTGGACAGGCGATGAAGAGAAGCATTCCAAGTTTGTCCAGCGCCGTACATATTGCTATGCTACCATGCAGCAGCAGTGTCGCCGACAACACAACACCTGGGCAGTGTTGCGGTCGATGGAGAATCCCGCTCACGGCCGCTCCACATCCGCATCAGCTCCGCACCAGCCGTCCTCACCTCGACATGGTAGATCCAACCTTGGAAACAAACCCGCGGCGGTGTGATTAGTCATCTCATCGTCATACTCGAGACACCTTGACAGGTCCATCCGTCCATCCCACCTGCCATTCTGATCCATGCATCCGGCAGGTGACCGCCATGGGAAAATCTCCCGGCGATGCAGCGCCTTTCGCCCGACGTGCGTGGTGTTCTCTTCGCTGTCTCTCTCTGCTGCTGTCCACGGGCACAGTACTCTCTTGGACAGTCTAAACACTCGATGGCACGTGTCGCGTCGTCTCCTGTGCTACACTAGCGAAACTCCTCCGCAGTTCTTCACTTCCCTAAGGGCGGCGATAGTGCGGAACCCATTGCGCATACCTGCATGCTTACCATGGATCTCGCGTTAGAATGCGCATTCCGCGAGCTGACACACACACATGGCTCGTGATCAGAGACGGTCATATCTGAGCTGAGGTCAGTCAGAAGCAGAAGTCTTCTGCACAGGTAAGATCCTTTAAAGCATCGCATTGACTGTTCCACACGAGAATTCCCCTCCCGCAGCTACCAAGGCCGTGATATTTACACTTTACTGCTACTGCGATTACATCATTCCTGCCTGGCCCATGACAGATTTGCGTGCCTTTTCCCTCATCATTTCGCACTGCCGATAACATTCTGATCCCGCCCTGTCGATCTGAGATACTCAGCCTCTCGACTTCAGCTCCTCCGTAACATCGCACCGTCTCGTCCGCCTACGCCCGTGTCGCTTGCCTCTCCACTGAGATTTTCATCTTCGCTTCCACGCCGTCGACACTGCTAAAGAAGCACGAGTTGCTCATTCACAATGAACATGCCACCAGCGCCCGACGCTCGCGAGCTCCTACCGCCACTACTCGCGTGCTTACCCACCGCCAATGTATCTTCGCGACCTCCACCCGCTTTACTTCCACTGCTCGCACCCGTGCTACGTCAGAGAATAAGCTACCTGTCAGAGAGCACCGATCGCAAGAGCTGGCTACAACTGCTATCATGGGATTCGAGTCGCGCGGCCAAGCTACCCGCCGCGGTCCAGCATATCGATCTCGAGCCTCATCCCGTCTCAGGCGAGCTCGAGCTTGATGACGTGAGACCAGCCAAGTACCAAAGATTGGATGAGGAGACTTTGCACGCTAGGCTCGAGGTGGAACAATTTGGTCTGCTCCCAGTCTACGTCTGGTGTGAGAGCGATGAGCATGGCGATACGGGGCCCGGGTGGAAGCTGGCTGAGCTTCGAGCGTTGGAGGACCTTGAAGATGGCACTGAATGGTATCATTCGCCATCGGATGCAAACTACACAGCAGCGCCTGACGCAGGAGCGCCAAACTCTGCACCAACACCTGCCGAAGAGGAGGAGAACGATGATTACTGGGCAGCTTACGATCGGACACCAGGCCAGACACCAGCACCGGACGTCAAACCCAACCCACATCCTACCAATGGACGTCAGATGGCAGACGCCCAATATTTTGCGAGATATGCCAACGAAGTGCAACCCGCTCTGGACTCGCATGACCCAGACGAATCCTCCGGCCACATCGGTGAGAGCACACTACGCGGAGACTCGTTATTGGACCAGACGAGTTTGGGCTTTACCTCCCCTCCACCACAGCTCGCATCATTTGACCACGCGAATTACAACCACCCGCAGAGCAATAATCATTTAAACATTCCGACTGCAGACCAGGACCACCTCTCGATGCCTCGACCTATCTCCCCGACTTCCTCACACTCCAGTGTCGAGCACCTGGAGGAGCGAGCCGCCGCCATGAGCCAGGAGGACACGCAGAAATCATCATACAACGAGGGCGCCCTCCAAGCCCAACGTGGCATCAAAATGCATATCAGTACCGACATCAAGAGCCTCTTCCGCCTAGCCAAGAGCTCGGGAATGGATCGTGCAGAATTCGAGGAGATCATCCGGCGGGAGCTGGATGTACTCAGTCTACTGGAGCAGGACGAGTGATTCCGGGGTCACTTTGACGAAAGTGGGCTGTTGTTCCGAGCGATTTTGGGAAAGCGATGCTTATATCGAGCATGCGCTGTCACGAGCTATGTTATGACGTGAGCGGGTTTCTGTCTTCTCTGGTCACGGCTGTTTGTCCTTCTTTTGATGTAGCGTTGCATAGCGTGCGTGGGCGGGAGGCGTTTTTCCATGAGCATAGGATTTGGTTACGATTTGTGTTTACCTAGGTAGTTATCGAGCGGGTGCATCTCTGGGAAAGGCGCGAAATGGCTATAGTATCGGTACGCAAACTCGATTTTTCTTTTTCCATTTGAGCTGAAGCAAACCTGCAAGTGTAATGCGATAATGTGTCACAGCTCGTGGAATGCGATCATCTTTCACGCCTCCAGAATGCCCGGGTGTTTCTCCTACGTACCTGGATATGTTGCATTCCACACCATTACCCAGATACGCGGGTACATCACAATTAGCCATGTAGCACAAATCGACCTCACCTCCACTAGACTGAGAATCCCTTTCATACACCTATGCTTACACACTTGTCCATCGATCAAAAAAGTTTATCATACAAAAAGCCATACTCTCATAAGATATCAGTGGGTATCGTCAAAGTCATCACACAGCATCCGTTCCTTCACACCAGCGCGAAGTCGAGAATCTTACGCCCCGCCGTCACCACGGGTCCCTCCATGAATCCATGCAGGTACGTGTCGCCGACCAAAGTATAACAGCCATCCGCCGCGGGCCGGATGGCGAAGGGTGTGGTGCCGTTGTGCAGCTCGACGATCAGGTCGCCGGGCCGGAGAAAGAAGGATCCCAGGCCGATGTAGCCGGCATGCGTTCTGAAGAAGGTCCGGTTGAAACACGCTTCGGTCATCGCCCGATAGTAATCATACAAGACGAGGTCGGTGGCCGACCATTCCGCGTGGTTCTCCGTGAGGGAATGGGTTTTCAGCCAGGCATGCAATGTGGTGAGGAGGTCATCGCTGGTCGTGAAGGGTGCAATGGGTGGTGGCAGGCCCAGTACTAATGTCTGTGCGAAGGCGTCGATCGTGGGCGTACCGTCGGGATAGAACGCGCACTCGACGGCGAGCTTTCGCCATAGGTAGAGATAGACGCGGGCTGCGGATTTGAAGGTCTTGCGGCCGCTGGACCGGATGTAGGACACCTGGTCGCGAACGAGGCCGCGGATCGCGAGGCGCTTGCCGTCTGCGGAGATTCGTGGCGAGGTTCCGGGCAACAAGAAGGCATCATGTTGCGATCCGCGCTCGAAAAGGTTCGGGTGATAGTCCATGACCAGCCAGTCTGCGACCCATGACGGAAGACTTCGAGTCCTTCGCCAAGCCGCATTACCGGCTTGGTTGAGGAGACCTGGTCGTCCCGCGTCGAAATAATGCTGAAACACATCGAGATATATCGCGTGCGGATCGCGATCGTAATCGACCAGATGCAAGAAGTCGTGGCCGTCATGGGCGAGTCCGAGAAGGGCAAAGACTTTATCTCGGGAATCAGAGACTTCGCAATCGAGAGTCAGCTGGAGGAGTCTCCAGAGCGAGCGGTCCCATTCTCGATATGGTCGAACAACCGCAACGATGAAAGCGAGCCCCGATTGCTCGAGACCCAACGCGTAAGTGCCGACTGTAGCACAGAGGGTATGAGAAATATTGGCGAGTGAATCCCAGTCGCAACTATGCCCACCACAGTGTAGCATTGCTTTTGGGGAGAGTGCGACCTCTTGTAAGACCCAAGTACGATAGAACCACCCCCGCTCCAACAACGCAATCAACGCCGATCGTTCAGCAGGTGTGACATCAAACAAGCCCGCCTTGAGGGCTAATTCGAAATGTCCGAGTGATCCATATTGTTCCTGGATCGTTTGCGATGCACGAGCTAGGCGCTGAATGGCGGAGAATGCAGCTGCCGTCTCTTTGCGTTCCTTGCCAAGCCAGATCAACGTGCGATCTGCCTGGTGGTAGATAGATCTCATGATTCTGACCTGGGCGTCTTTTTCGGTGTTATCGGCTTGATTGATACAGATTGAATCAATCCACAGGCAGCGGACGACATCAGTCTGTCGGAACTGTTGCAACGCTGCTGAGATCGAGCTTGAAATTTGCAGGTGACCTTCAGGAAAGGAGATTCTTGCTCGAGAGCCTGGAGGCCCCCAATGATGCGACACTGCTTCGTAGTACGAAGGGCGTTGCATGTTGACGATCTTCCATGTTGCTTCCAGTGGACTGCCATACTCACCAGGCGCCAGCTCGATCACGCGGATTTGTGATGAGGCCTGAATTGTTTCGTACGGGAATGCCTCGTTTGAGTGGAACAGGCCGCGATGACTCCCCCGATTGCGAGACTTGTCGAAGTGATCCAGCGAGGACATTGTACGCACTGCCCACTCTCGCACTTTCCTGCGTATTCGTCGTTCCTCGGCACTGACAGTCAATTTGGGGAAATCCATTGGGCATCACTGAATGCGAAGGTTTCTCGATAACCTAGTGCTAGTACTTTGGTGTTTGACCTGTGCGGTTTGAAATCTTCGACCGATCTTTCACGCACTCTGGAGGTAATATCATATTCGCTTCGAGACTGCGTTAGATATGCAGTGTCGTCGTCGAACACCCATGCTGCCTGCCAGCGGCACGCACGTCGCAGCCATGGGATAAGGTTTCTCTCAGCGCTTCGCACAGCCCTGTTCCTGCAGTGCTGGCTCCACGCCGCCCTCAGGTCGCAATGCTGGACGAATATTTCCTCTTCCGGGCGCAACGGTGCTATCAGATACTTGCTGAAATTTCAGTGGAGTCGAATCCATCCAGCATCCTGAAGCAGCTGCGCGAGGGCGATGAACATGCCATGATCGTTGCACAAGTCAAATTCTGGCCGGTATGCAGCATGTTCTGTGCTATACAGGTTGGCGCCGAACTGTTTCGTAAACCGTCCAATGCCAGGCGCCCCAGCTAAGCCGACACGGGAGTGGTCATGTCCCTCGGACATTTCGGGCCTGCATGTTAACAACATCTGATAAGATGGATCAAGCCCATGAAGATCTGGACGGACAATCTCAGCTGCAAGAACCGTCAGCCGCTGTGGCTGCAAATGTGAAGTTCTAGACTGGCGGCAATGAAAAAGAATGCATGGGGCCACGTCGACGGCCTGGTCGGGAGTGATGATTGGGCACTACCCAGGCGGTGAAACCCAGGTATAAGGCATGGATTTTGAAATAATTCATTTTGGTTTGATTGGGCATTGTTTGTCCGTGTTTGGTGCAAAGGACATGCATCATCAACCATCAATGGTTTGATCGCGAGATACTGTAGAAACGAATCTGATCAAGGCCAATTGAGGGAATCCGAGGCCAGGCTCATTGCACCTCCGAGCACTAACAAACCCTGAAGAACTGCGCCTGTCAGATGTAACCTCCGTTCGACACATGACGCAGACAGTACCGTGAAAACTACTTGTCAGCAGTATGATCCATACTTACTCACCTGCTATCATGCTGCTGTATCGGGGAAAGGGTCGGACTGCCCGGAAAGCCATTTGATTCGGGGCATCGCCGCGGTGCTATTGGTGCGCATTCATGAGACACGGGGCGGGCGGGCAGGCGACTCTGTCGTCCTCTGTCTCTCTGTCTCTCTGTCTCTCCCATCTCTTCCAAATCCGCGGTTTTCGCGTAGCGCGGTGTTGTCGTCATCCCAATCGACTTCGCAAAGCCCCGACCGAGCCGCGTGGACATCTGCGGCGCCTCGCTTCTCCCATCACACACACCACCCCCAATCAATCCATCGCCAGCAGCGTGATTTTTATGCTTTCCCAAGCTTTGCGAAGCTTTTCTAAATTGACCCTTTAGGCCCTCGACTGGGTTGACTAGCTCTCGATCTTCCTGTTTCCATAATCGTCCAATTCAATCTTACCTTCTTCTTTTCCTTCGACCCGTTGCTTCTTATTTCACCCTCGTCAACCACACCAACAGCACATAATCACATCTCCCAAAATGTCGGCTCAGGGTTACTACCAGAACCAACCTCAGTACAAGTATGATATACACCCTGACCCATGAGTCCGAGAGACGGACAGTATCGCTGCGCGCAAGCATTTGCTGAACTCTCTCTCTTTCTTCACAATAGCCAAGGACCGCAGATGGGTTACGGCGCACCGCCGCCGCAAGCACACTACCCTCAGCAGGGCTACGGCGGCCCACCACCGCCACAACAATACTATGGCGGTCAGCCGCAGCAGGCTCCCCCGAAGCAGCGCAACAACAATGGTATGTGCAGCAGCGCCTCTCGTTACCTGTGGAGCGGACATTGACTAGTTTGGTAAATCCTAGGCTGCCTGATGGCTTGTATCGCCACGCTCTGCTGTTGCTGCGTGGTTGAGGAGACGGGCGAATGCGCGCTGGAATGCTGCGAGTGCTGCTTTGAGATGTGCTAGAGGGAGAGCTGGTTTCTCTCTGAAGCTATCATCGTCAAAAACAATTCATTCACCGCCCAACACCGAGCGAATTCTCTTTCATGTCTGATTGTGTACTATACGACTGTCTACAACGCTTGCATTTTTCCAATGGTTCACCGAATTTCGCGAACGAGGTTGTGTTACGATACCATGCGACACGTTTTTTTTTCGGATACCAGTTGGCAGCATGATATCGTGCATATATCGGCCCTCGAGACTCTCTCTGACCTTCCAGCATGACGAGTCTGCATCGTATCTCGTCGCAGACCCCAGCGCCACAAGCGTGGATCTTGCGCGCGTCAAAGTTGGCCATCGGTTCATGGCGCAACAGACTGTGGCCGTCTTTCGTCGGAAATCCGTTTGCAAATCCACATCCTTCCGTCGCCAGTGCTAGATCCCCCAGTGCGCGACATTCTGTGCTCCGAGGCTTGCGATCGCCGGAAATGACACAAGACGAGCCGAGATGCAGAATGGCAGGACCAAAAGTGCATGGGTGTACAAATCTATAGATGCGATCTCGTCGAAATTGACTTCTCGAAGCAGCAACGTGAGGTCGCCATGTACCCATGCTTCGCAAGGAATGTGAAGACGTTCCGCTGCGTACCGCACGAGCAAATCTCGGAGTACAGTCCGCCCGCGATAGTTCCCCACTCAGGTCGGCCGTACAAGGTACGCGCCGAGTGCGCGGTCGAACTTCTCCACGCGAATAGGCATATCTAGGCTGTAGAAGGGATTCTTCATGACGAAATCCGCATAGAACTCGTAGCAGCGGCGTACCACAACATCCGTGTTGGGTTGCTCCGGGCTCGCGAACAGCAGAAATTTGACACCGGTCGGTGTTTGGAAGCATGTCAGTCGGAAGTGACTGCTCTCCAGACTTTCGATACCAGTAGTCGGCGGCTTGCGGTTTCCTGGCGGTGCCGGTGTCGAGGGTGCTGGGTTGATGCTCCTTGAGATGGCGTGGATTCCGTGGAAAGTGCCCGCGAGCATGAGATACTCATTGGAGTCGAGCTTCTGTAGACCCGGCGCGAATGTACGATTGTAAATCAGACCACCTGTGAATGTCGGTCAGCGGCGCTCGAGCGTGCAGAGTGTGCTTGTCTCTCGTACCGGCTTTGTTTATGACGAGCAGAGCAAAGACGACCATGTTTGCGGCCTCGCACTCGCGGCAGGTAGACGTATGTTGAGACGGACCAGAGGAGATTTGTATGTCGACGGCTCGTGTAAGATGTAAACTAGTATAACACTTCGTGGATTATGAAGGAGGATGTGTGTGTGGTCACGCTTCTAGATGCACAGGTGCCCGGCGTGCGCGGCACGATTGTTCTTGCAGGGCCACACGCGAGCGCTTGGCATGACACTGGACGATTCAGTCGCAATGCTTTTATCGCAATGTCTTCACTGGTCAGGCTGTTGGGTGTTTGTCTTGTAGAACGGACCGAACCCAAGCTGGTATAATCGTCAGATGTCTGTGAGAGAAGAGACACCACTACGGGGCCTGAAGTATAAACCCTAGACTTTTATCACCCCGGCCTGGCTGGAGGTGCTGCGAAGTCATCTTCAACCGCCACACTGTAGTCTCCAAGAAGGAGCGCCCGGTGGGCAATTACCATGTGAGCCCCGCAGATCTCAATGGCGCCCACTTGGAAAGTACTGCATGTTTGCTCGAATACCTACCTAGGTAGTTACTGGGGATATAGGCAATCGTGTTGATGACTAAAAGCGAGTGGAGACAACATGTCACTGTGCACCTGCAGCATTCGACGGGCGAGGCTGTTGCGAGGACTGAGGCTGTTGCGAGGACTGAGGCTGTTGCGAGGACTGAGGCTGTAGTATCATTATTGGTACTGTCACAATACAATACCTAGTATCATGGTGTATGTAAAGTAGTTCAAGGAGCTAGTGCTGTGAGGTCATCGTCATGACGAGGGCGATCTTCGATGGGGGTTTGTTTGGCCCATGTGTGTATTATATATATATATATATGTGATAGTCGCCCAGTGCCTTCCTGCTTCACTTGTAGCATACATACCTACCTACAGGTATGTGATTTATTACTGCGGCGTCACCACATGGGCTCATTATTATCATTCCAGCCTGGAGTCTTCCCACCTGCAGGTTCCAAGGGCGTTAGCGTGAACACCCTGCATGTGGTGGCCTGCTGAAGAGAGCAATCGCGACTCCCGAGACCTCCAGCCTTGCTTCCAAGCTTCCAAGGTCGCTTGACGGCGGCGCAGGAAAGTGCTCCTCGTGGTACCGCGCTGCCGTGACTTCACGGCACAGACAACAGCAAATGCATGTGAATGGCGTGTCTGCCTGCGCACAACACCTTTTGCACTCTCTTTGCTCAGGATCTGGTGTCATCTCGTCGTATCATCATTCCGACGCGTTTGCAATCCATCGGCTGTGCAAGCCTGTGCCTGACCATGTGATACATACTCGTCCAACACATATCCATTCCGTCTTCCAACAACTCGTCAGACGTTCCCATCTCGTGAAGGCTGTATTGTGGTCGACGCAAAAATGTCAAAGGCGGCGAGTGCGATCGCTCGCATAACTCGTGAGATTTCCCAGGCCCAAAAGAATCAAGACCTGTCTATCGCCGTGGCCTGCAGGGATAGCGACGTGCGACATTTGCGTGCACTCATCATCGGTTCGTTCGATGTCTTGAGAGCAGTGACGGGTCAAGGAAGGTGGCTGACCTGCTTTCTAGGACCTTGCGACACTCCATATGAGTTCGGCTTCTTCGAGTTCGACCTGCATGTACGTCACGAACGGTCAAGTTGCACGTGGGTCCATGGGGAGTACCAACTGATTTATGACTTGCATAGTTCCCGAGGGACTATCCTATTCGCTCCCCCGAGGTCCGATGCATCACCACAAACAGCGGCCGCACTCGTTTCAATCCCAACATCTACGCCGAAGGAAAAGTGTGTCTTTCAATCCTAGGCACTTGGCGCGGCGAGCACGGTGAACAGTGGAGTAGTGCCCAGGGACTGGAGAGCGTGTTGCTGAGCATACAAAGCCTCATGAGCCCCAACCCATACGAGAATGAGCCAGGCTTTGAGAAGGTCAAGAAGGACGCACCGGAATCAATCGCGTACATCGAAAAGATCAGACACGAGTCTCTTCGAATCTCAGTGATTCAGCGCATGGAAAAGCTGCTACTGAATCAATCGCGAGATGCGGACAGGGTCGTGAAGAAATTGAAACTTGAGGACGATACAGATTCGCAGAGTACAGAGGACAACCTGGTGATCGGGCACAAGACAGCCCAGACAGCGTCTGATCTTGAGCCATCAGTATACGAGTACGATGCAGAAGCCGCATTCAATTCACTAGAATCCAACCATTGGGATCCGTTTGCCGACCTTGAGAAGAGACGCTTCCTCTGGTACTACGACACTTATCTGAGCAGCATCGAGACACATTCGCGCGAGCAGGACGACGGGACCAAATTCACCAACACCCAATTCGAAAGCCCCACGAATGAGATGGGCGGATATTTTGACTACAAAGGTCTGCGCAAGCGCCTTGAAGCCATCCGTGAGGCTCTAGACCAGGAGTTAGTCACCTGGGAACGAGATGGACGTAAGCAGACTGAGGATGGTACTCAGCTCCCGACTCAGCTCCTATTCGTTTACAACCAACTGAGGCCTAAATGGAACGATGCGCGCAGCTCTTCCGGACCCAGTTTAGAGATCTCGCTTCCAGACGCGAAGAATCCATTCTTGTGGAACCTGACGCTGTACGGCGAACCCATGACAGATCTAGACGGCGGCGTCTTCAATATCAACTTGCACATCCCCCCAACGTTCCCTAACGATCAACCACGTGTCATCTTCCAGACGAACATATTCCATCATCGCGTCAGCACTCGTGGGTTCCTGTGCTATTTCCCTGAGAAGACAGACGAGATTGAATCTCACCTCAAAGCGATCGTCGCAGCAATCGCTGACACGAATCCGCAGTATGATCCACGTGCGATGGTCAATGCGGAATCATTCAATCTCTACTGGGGGGGTGAAGCGAAGCGCAAGATTTACAATCGTAAATTGCGCCGCAGTGCACAAGCGAGCACAGAATGAGAATAAAGGCTGCAATTCTCAGTCCCACGCGATTACGGGTCATGTTCATCGTCGTAGGCGTGATGCAAATGATCGCAAGTGGTGGCTTCGAATTTGTCTTTACAGTGGCATCGCTATGGTCAACTCGGCGCATCACATTTTACAGGAGCTCTGGGAAAGGCATTCCAAGTCTTTGCAGGGCGTTTCAGTCTACTTTATGGCGTTGGGAAGGCCTCTTTACAGACGGAGCCAAGACGGTGCGGATTGTGGCATTGAGCCTTTCATGAGCATGCTTTATTATGTCATTGCGTTGCATTCGTTAGTCGTACATTCGTGATGGGGAAAATTGATCATTCAAATCAATCCTCGAGATCCTGTGGCTTCTTACGTCCCCACACCTCGTCCGCATCGGCCTTGCCCTTGGTCTCCGGCACCCACCACGCCGTAAAGGCACCGAACAAGGCCGCGAATCCCGCAAACACGAAATACACCTGGCCCTTGCCGAGCTTCTCATTCACGATCGGGAAGAACTGCGCCACAAAGAATGTCGCAGTCCAGTTGGCAGCCAGGGCCCACGATTGTGTCGCACCGACCGCCTCGGAATTGACGAGCTCCGAGGCGAGAATGAAAGGTACCGGCCCGAGACCCAGCCCGAACGCCGCGACGAAGAAGAGCACCGCGACGGCGCTCAATATCGGGATGGAGTTCATGATCCCGAACCCCAGCACCAAGGAGCTCGCGCCCATGCCTCCCATGGACATGAGCAGGCAGGTCTTACGCCCGAGCCGATCGACTAGCGGCGCGCCTGCCACGGTCACGACGATGTTGACGAGTGCGACGATCACGTTGAGCATCGCGGAATTCGCGGCGAGGAGATCCGAGAGGAGCGCTACGCCGTACATGACGATGCTGTTGATTCCAGTCAATTGCTGCGCGACCATGATCGTGGTTACGGCAAAGACCGCGGGCCAATAATCTGGGTGCACCAGGACGGCAAAGGGACCCAGAGCGGTGCGACTTTCCGACCGTGAGCCGCTAGGCCGGTTGTCGTTCGGAGGCAGGGTTTGCGAGGAGCGCTCGTCGGCGAGTAGATTCTCCTGCTCCTCCTCAATATTATGCTCGTTCTGCAGACCCCACCCGGTCGTTTCTGCCGAGATGTCCACCCGATGTCCACGCAACTTTTGCAGGATCCTCCTCGCCTCTGCCGGCTTGCCGTTATCCACCAGCCATTTCGGACTCTCCTGCCCGCCGATCACGAGTCCAGCAATCTGAGCAATGGCTATGACTCCTCCTGTTGCCAATATGATTCTCCACAGCTGTCCTCGGCTCAGGAAGAGCCCCATGACCTGTGTGATAAGGATTCCCAAGTTGATCATGACCTGTGTAAAACTCCCGAAGAATCCTTTTTGGCTAGGCGGAGCTATTTCGCTGATGTAAATGGGCGCCACAACCGTCGCAGCCCCGGCACCTACACCTGAGAGAAATCTTCCCACCGCCAGGGCACCGAACGAGGGCGCCAGAGCTTCGAACGTAGGTCCTGTGACGGCAAAAGTAGCAGTAAGCGCCATCGTCGGTAATCGACCTCGTTTGGCAGTCATGGGCCCAGCCAGCAGCGCACCCGCCAGTCCACCCAACGTGAAGAATGATGTGACCATGCCGAATTGGAGCGCGTCCATGGGTATACATTGTGGAAGTCCGATCGAGCGACTCTCGAGCCCATCTCTTATTGCTGACGAGGTTCCGCGACCCTTCTTGACGCAAGTTATAACTTCTTGCGGAGCATTCAATTCTGCGAGATGGAATCCGAAAAGTAGAGGCCCGATCGTGGCGGTGATGAGTAGATAGATGAACGTTGGCGTGAGGTTCTTGAACACCGCTGAGAAGGCCATGTTGGCGAGATTCACACTCTGCCTCTGAAGAAGCTGAAATATGGACTGACGCGTGTGGAGCAGGGACGCGCAGGGCTCGTTCGAATCTCTAGTTGAGAGGTACGTTATGCTTCACGCGCCGATAAATTCGGGCGTTTAGATCGTCACGACGTCAATGTTCAAACGAGCGCATGCCTATGCACCTTGTATGTGCATGCTCAGCGATGACCTGGCGAGGTGTAGAAACTGGAAAAGGTATGAATGCAATTGCGCTCGACCCAAGCTCAGCTTCAGCATCGGGCAGCTCGCCCTGCATATCCGTCCGCGCTGCCCCAGACATCCCGCCTTCTCCACGTGTGCAGCGCAAGGTTCAGGGCGGCTTCAGGATGAGACATGAGCAAGCGCAGAGGCACAACAAGCGGACAATCAGCCCATCCCCTCTCTAGTCCAGCATTGGAATGGTTCGGAGGTGGAAACCGAAGTCCCGAAGCACCCGGTCAACGAAGCCAAAGCACGATGATGAGACGTTGAGCGCGGGCCATGACTGACCGATCATCAGACCCTGCAGTGGAATCATGCAGACCGCCGATGAGCAGGCTTCTCTTCAGGCATCACCACAGAGCTGTGAGAGCCTCAAACGCAAGGGTGAGTGGGCATTTTTGCTGCCAACCTTGGAACGTTGCACTATCGGGGACGCCACTGCTCTCGCTGCGGAGGGGCCGGATTTCACCAATACGCATATATGCAAGAGTGCCTCCAGTGTTGCTTTATAGCATCACTTCCGCATCCTACCAGTCTGTCGCGAATCTCGTGAATGCTGAGAAACCTCAGGCTGAGGTGAGCATGCGGAGCGCGCGCATATTATCTCGACGTCGTGATCCTGTTGGCGCACAGACTGGACTGCTTGGCTCACACGCTCGCATGTAGAGGCCCTAGAAACACCTGCAACTATCACTATGAATGGCACGCCGTATGCCCCTCAAAGGCACATAAACGACCACTACAAGATCGTCGGCTTCATCAGTAGCGGAACATACGGACGCGTCTACAAAGCAGAGGCCAAGATACCTAATAATGCCCAGGCCAACAATCCCGCCAGGCATCCTGATGGCAGGATCATCGAGGCATTCGCCATCAAGAAATTCAAACCTGACAAGGAGGGCGAGGTCCAGTACACCGGCATTTCTCAGTCAGCGATTCGCGAAATGGCCCTCTGCACGGAGCTCAGTCATCGAGCGATGATACACCTGGTCGAAATCATCCTCGAATCCAAGAGCATTTATATGGTTTTTGAGTATGCCGAGCACGATTTGCTTCAGATAATCCACCATCACAGCCTGGTCCCACGAACGCATATACCCACGTCGTCCCTGAGGTCGATCATGTATCAGATCTTCTCCGGTCTGCTCTATCTGCATCGAAATTGGGTGATCCACCGCGATCTCAAGCCCGCCAACATCATGGTCACGTCCGGTGGGGCGATCAAAATCGGCGATCTTGGCCTGGCACGTCTCTTCTACAAGCCACTGCACCCACTGTTCTCTGGCGATAAGGTCGTCGTTACCATCTGGTACAGGGCGCCAGAACTGCTGTTGGGAAGCCGGCATTACACGCCAGCTATCGACCTTTGGGCTGTAGGCTGCATCTTTGCTGAGCTACTTAGCCTCCGGCCAATGTTCAAGGGCGAGGAGGCGAAACAAGATTCCAAGAAGGCGGTTCCTTTTCAGCGCAGCCAGATGACCAAGATCGCAGAAGTCTTGGGCATCCCGAAGAAGAGTGACTGGCCGCTGCTATCGGCAATGCCAGAGGTCGGGAGCCTCGCAAGTGTCAGCTTGCATGCCCCCTCCACAAATCGACCGCTGGGTTTGGAGAAGTGGTACAGCAACATGCTTCAGAATAATGCATACGGGCCGTCATCACCGGCGCCAGACAACAGCGCCCTTGACCTGCTCCGGAAACTCCTCGAATATGATCCGCTGAAAAGGTTGACTGCAGAGGACGCGCTGAAGCATCCATATTTCACGGGCAGTGGGAAGCTGCCTTCGTGGAATTGTTTTGAGGGCTTGGAGACAAAATATCCACCTCGAAAGGTTACGCCCGAAACACAAGAACTCAGCAACGGAAGTCTTCCAGGAACGAAAAGAAGCGGACTACAAGATGATTCACTGCTTCGTCCACCTCAGAAGAAACTGCGCGACGGTTAAGTTCACTGCCGAGTCACAGATTCATTGAGCTTGAGGGAAACTATCACACAGATCTGTCACGTGCCAGCGGACTGCCAGTGACGCTGAAACAAGCAATTGGTATACCGCCAGTCTGTCTGACCGGCGGCCGTACGTACTACTCAGCCGGCATGTGAACAGTTTTAGGCTCTCAGTTACTAGATATCCTAGCGAGTCTGCCGGTCATCGACTACGATTGCAGGCGCAACTAACTTATCGGGGAGGCTTCCTCTCCGTTGACGGAGCAGACTTTGAGAGCGGGCACAATCATCTTTCCGATCATCAAGTTTCGTATTCATACGCGTGCCTTTATTGGCACAGTGGAAAAAGTATGCCAAAAGTCTCTACCATCGTAGCAGCGCCCTAGAGCTTCCATGCTACGAGGCAACGCATGCACGCTATCTTCTTTCAGTAGCTCATAAACCCACTTGGCCTGCTGGGATGGTTCTCGAGAGACACTGCCTTCCGTGTCCTTTCGATCAGCCCAACCGGCAAATAGCGACCACCAGTCGTAAACGAAGCCATCGGTCAACATGAAGCGTTGGCCATGTGCTAATCTCCAGTTGCCTACCACAGCAACAATACCTCGAGCTACATCCAGTCCATGTATCAAATGCAGACTCTTCTTATTCCGAACATCCTCTTTCGTCTTTGCAACCCTTTCTACCCAATCTGCTGGGTTGCGTGACCCACCCCACAAACCTGCCAGATTGAGCACACAGCCTCCGAGCGAGAGCAATTCGTCCTCGGCGATCGCTCGCTTGTTTGAGGTGTCATAAGGGCTCTTCCGGCTGACCCAAACGGAGGGCTGAGGAATCTGCCAGATACCTGTGCTGCCTAGCTGAATGAAATGTACATCGTGTCGTTGCTTGCCATGTGCTTTCTCGTAGCCATCGATCAGCTTTGCGGAAGGGCCAGCACCCGTCAGAGGAAACGTGACGAGAACGAAGTCGGCAGATGGGAGCTTGCCGAATTGGCTCTTCTCGCCATCATCGGTCGAATCGGGGTCGAAAGACCACGCGATTGTGTCTGCGCCGGCGACCATACGCCCGTCCCTTGTGGTCGCGGCGAAATTAAGCTGGCGTTCCCGAAGGAGTGGAATCAGGAACGTTGCTGTCCACCCTGCGCCCAGGATCAATATTTCGACGTTCGGCATTTTCAGGTGGTAAGCGGTACGGAATGATCAATAGGTTTTCTTCCTTGCGCAAGCAGCACAAGTGCATGTGAGTTACATCGTATAACCCCCAATGCGTGGCGGCGTGAGTTCTGTAGCACCGAAAACTGCGGTCCGTGTGTTTTAGCTGTCGTCATTGAAGCTCAGGGTTCGCGGTTTCAAGCCGAAATTGTCGGGAGGCATCATTTTTCATCCTTCCACAATCATCAACACATTGAGCTACTGGTTATCTCAGTCGTACCATCGCCAATGGCGCGTCTATCGGGACTCCAGCGAGACGTTCTTGGTCTCTACCGTCAATGTCTCAGGGCCGCACGAAAGAAACCTGCCGAGAAGCGCCCTCATTTTGAACGATTCGCGCGTCATGAATTCGACAAAAACATTGCAATGGACAAGAAGGATTTCTCGACAATCGAGTTCTTGTTGCGCAAAGGCAACCGGCAGCTGGAGATCTACTCAGCACCGAACATTACAGACATTGCTGGATAAGCTTCACATGCTCTGTTGAGACTTTCACCCGGCACAAGTACGAGTTTTCAAGCCGCATACCCGACCATGCTGTGACGACGATGCCATAGAGCAGGATTGAATAAAGAGAAGGAACAAAACAACAGCCTTTCGGATATTCAAATGATTGCGATGCAACGATATGAACGCATCAAACCATATTTCTGCGATGTGCGTTGGCAGCTACTTTGCGCCCCAACGACAGAATCCTGGCAACCGTCCAGGCTACATCTATGGTAAGAGTCACTATCATTTCTCAGCTTCTCGACACAACTTTGTGATGAACATAGAGAATTCTGCAATGCTGACGGTTCCTTCGGAAACCGAATGCCGATTATTCCAAAAAACTACACTTGATCTGAAAGAATGTCTTCTCACGTCCGCACTTGTACGTCTTGACTGATCTTCACCACTTAACTGACACATCGGTCCCTAGGCTATCTTTGCTGAAGTTAGTCACAAGTTCACTTGCGTTCGATACTGGGTCGATACAGCTGATATCTCTCGAACACCCTTTTGATCGCTCGCGAAAAGGGCTGGCCGACCTCTCACTTCCAGCTTGATTGTTATGCACTACTCACAACGGAGTATCCGGAACAACCGCCCGTGTAATGCCGTCACAGCAATGAATCCGCGGTCAAGCTGCCGACCGTGCGTCTTCCGTCATTCAGATGTTAAAATACTCGGCTGGAATCAATCATCACGAAGAACTCTCGAGGGAGAATGCAATAATTAATGATTATTTATCTACTCTGGGATAATCAGGGAGATCATAACGACATCTTGTCAGAGCCGAGAGGTGCTTGCTAATTTGTTCAGCCGTGGGTGACCTTGGTCACAGTGCCATCAGCTGAGGTGTGGATGTTGAGACTAGGCACGGACATCAGTCAGCTCGTCGTGACACCGTGGACGAGTCTATTCTCTTTCTCACCGTTCGGGCTTGTGGTCCGCAGTCGAGAAGTCGCCCTCCTTCAGTACGCGATGTTCTTTGGGCAGGTCTGTCTTTGCAAAGGTCTAGTATACAATCATTAGTGACCGAAGGCAATGGTCACAGTATTGGCGTATCACAACGACTCACAGTTTCGTTCGAGGAGTCGCCAATTTTCTTTCCGGCGAGCTTGTTCATCCACTCGGAAGTCTTGTCACCACCTTGGGACATGATACCTGGAACGACCAACGGCATTTTGACAATGTTTTGATTGAGTTGAGGGTGAGAGGAGTTGTGGGTGACGCGAGAAGATTGTTTGCAAGGAAGAGGTTGTGGTGGGAATATGTTTATATATACCTATGCTTTGTAGATCTTCCGTGCAGCTGAGCGACCTCCACCTTGCTCACAGCAGGTTCTGGCTGTGTTTGGGTGGCGCCAAGCAGTGACGTCTTGGGCTACCAAGTTGTGGAAGTCTGACGATAGCTCTTTACCGAGATAGGTATTTGCTCACGTGCACGACATGAGACTTCAGAACCACTCCAAGTCGTCTTCCAAAATATCCTGCACGTTGTGGATAAAGTCTGGACATTCAAGGCTATTTGTTGCAAGACCGCTCGCTGCAGAAATCAGAAGAGACATATCCATACCAGCAAACGACGAATTGATGAATACCTAGGTGAACTCGAATCGATTGCCGTTTGTGCGGAAATGCTTGTTCTGATGCCACGGAAGTATATGGACCGTGAGCGGCATGTGCAGTCGGCCAACGATTGACAGCACAGGTCGGAAGCACAGAGGAAGATGAATTGCATGGGCGCAGACAATATTGATGTCCGCCTAAGACGCTCTAGAACATGCGAAACATGCCATCGTTCACGCCATGTGCACCTTCGAACAGATCATCGGGCGAATTGTTCCTCGCTGAAGCATACAACCAAATAACGGTCGATGTTGCACTATCACGTTGCGTAAGAAACTTGGACAGGCTCGCTCAGCCGTCAATTCGATATCATGATTATTTGAAGCAGCGACATATTTAGATAGCCGCATCCTTGGCAAACGTCCTGCTCAATGCCTCAACGCTATCTGCGACACGCTTGAACTCGTCCTTGGTCTCAGCAGCGATCTCAGTGACCTCGTTGGCAGCAGCATCATCGTCCTCATTCGACCACTGGATCTCGAACTACGATCAAACAGTCAACATAAGCTCTGCAAGCGTTCACAGGAAACTCTTACAGTGTTGAAGTCGAGCTTCGTATCGAAGCCGTAGACGTCCTTGGAGGGATGACTTGGGAAGCCACGGACCGCGGAGATGAGGCTAATAAGCTCTTTGACATCGTCTCTATAGTCGAACAGGTTAGCTGCTACATTAAGCTGCCTGCTGATTTAGCATGAAGATGACTGACTTGGGAACGTCACCGGATTTCTCGGTCGAACTTGAGTTGCCGCTCTTTTGTGTGATCTTGACAGTGGCCGGACGGTTGGGTTCACCGATGATTTCCACCACGTGTGTAGGTGTGCCTGTTAACAGTGTCAGCCGGCTACATATCTGAGATAACTAGGCATGTGCTTGAAATGATTACCAGAGAACGGCTTGCTCAAGCGGACGGTGAACGATTCGCCTGACGGCGGCGGTGCGATCTGACGAGGCATCTTATGATTGAACTGTGTTGAATGGGTTAATGAGGAACGGGAGAAGTATTGATAATGAGGAAAGGAGGAACGCTTTGAAAGACAGTTCAGTGAACGTTTTGTACCACAGCAGACCAATGCCCAATGGGAAGTTTCGTCAATGACGAATTTTTTCTCAATTTGTCTTTCGACACTTGTACAGCCGTGGACGACAGTGGATGCGCATCGTCATTCATTCGATATGCGGCACAACTAAGCGCGATCGGATCTGACTTGATCGGAGCGGTATTGCTGATGAGCATGAATGACTTCAACACTGTTGATGACGCTCGTTGACGTAATCCATCTTTCAACAGACCTCCAATGGCCTCACATCAACAGAGGAGATCTTGTGACCTGGATGGAGAGGTAGAAGCAGCTGTATTTTAATATTTGGAGCAGCAAGTGCGATATCGTTCTGGATGCTTTTTACTTCATTCGCAGTGGCTGATCATGGTAGGTTCGCAGATCTGCGGCACCATATTCGGACCCTTTTGTCGGCGTTCTGCTGTTTCAAATCGCTCCCCGTAATAAAGGCTCCAATAGACTGTTACCACAACATTGTATCCTCATGCCAGAGACACGAAATCGTGAGCAGGACTCCAATATGCCCCAGCCCGATCATCCCAAATACTTCTATTCCAGTCTGTGAAGTCCATGGATCTCGTACATCACATCGCGAATATGCATCGGCGGCAGAAGGATTTAGGCAACAACGTCAGCCGTCGTGTCACTGCACGCACGTATTCGCAAGTAACCCGGTTCTCAAATTTACTGTTGGTATAATAACCACCCGACAATTCCTGCCTGTAATCGTCCACGGATATCATAAGTCCTTTTTTACCCAGGTATCGTTCCGGCTTTCAACAACATGACCGCTCCCTGCCCCCAGCTTGATAGACTGCCTCGCGAAATCATTGCTCACATTGCGGGTAACACGGATGCGCCGACCATATTAAGTCTTTCGTCGATCAACCGTTCACTCCGCCTTGCCTGCTATGATCCTGTGGTCTTCCGAACGATACTGAAGCTCGCTCAAACGAGAACGTGGCCAAAACCGTTCGTTGACGTCCATGCCATCGCCGCTCGTGCCCAGCTGGATGTAAGATGTTGGGCGCGTTACGCCGTTGCTGAGCACGCCGCAGCCATCGCCTCACAAAATGAAACTTTCCGGCAAGCTTCGAATATATTGAGGTGGTTGCCAGAACTTCTGATGGTCCTGCATCCGGACGCGAAAGGCTGCTTACACTAGATCTACGACATACGACGTTCGCAGAATGTCTCGAGTAGCGAGGAGCAGTTGCTGTCATTCTGTCTCGCATTCGTAGAGCTTGCGCGAGTGGAGAAAAGGCCTCGAGCCCCCCGGGCTGAGCTTCAAAAATTCATAACATATGGTCGCTCTAGCCCGACCGACCTCGTTGCAGGCAACAGCATGGTAACATGTCATATCGCACTGCTTCAGATGGCCAAAGCCGTACGTTGGGACACTATTGCTCGGAGATTCCCCTGGCCATTCCACAGCGATAAAATCGTTCTGCGTATCAATCCACCACGCTTCTCGGCTGCCATCCTGCGATTGAGGCCAGGAGCAGAGGGGACACTGCCGCTACCACTGCAGACGTACCACCACTCAACGACCGGACGAATGCATGCAAGTAGCGAATGGCTGGATTGGTACGCCCTGCAAAGCCAATCGCTCTTGCGATCAGGAGGTACCTGGTGTGGCTACTATAGTTACGGGAGTTCCATCAGCGATCCACCAATGGTAAAGATTGAATTCTCGATCGAGGAAAGCACTGATGAGGGTAATTCTGAGCTTAGAGCTGAGCAGTGCTCGGATGGTTATGGCACGTTCAGCATAAGTGGTAATGTTGACTGGGAAGGATTATCCTTCCGTGGGCGCAAACGATACACCTCCTCCTTCGGGTATGGTGATGTTAATGGCGTTCGCTGGTTGTGGGAGTTGAAATTGACTCCATTTGGACTGATTGGTGATTGGCGTAACGATTCCGAGATAGCCAGACAGCACGGGCAAGTGTGGCTCTGGAAGGAGGATTGGTCGATTTGAAGTGCCACGTGCAGCTGTCAGAGGCATTTGCAAAATCTCTGCCAGGCCAAAGAATCTATGACCTTGCATATCTTGGTACTATTGAAATATGTCTCGCTAGCATCCATGGATGTCTTGCAACTTCATAATTCTTCACAGAGCCTATTGCCAATTCAATGACTTATTCGCAGCATCAGCGTCCCGTGCTGCAACATTCTCGCGCGCAGACTGTGCGAGCGTGGCGCTCTGTGTCTGCGCTTTCTGAGCATCAAGCTGTTTTCCCAGATTTCCCTTTCCTTGCGCCGCTTTCCGCCTCTCCTGAAGCGATTGATGATCAGTACGATCGCACCCGATAGCAAAGCACTCCCGCCGACTTACCTCCGCTGCTCTGGCAGCCGCTGCGCCAGGTGTCTCGCTTTGTGCTTGACCTTGTGTGCTGTCTCCTAAGGTCCGCCCGCCGCGAGACACATGCGTACCGGCCGGCAGATTTGCACGTGTCGCTGACGGAGTAGCACCAACAGCTGGAGTTGCACCAAGCGTTCGCCCTTCACCTTGGAACGCTTGCTCTCTTCCACAGCAGTTGCCCATGGCAGGTTGACAGGCGGGGATCAGGGAACGTTTTTCCAAAGAGACAGGTGGACTTCAACGCTCACAGCGCTCACAGCTGGCGAGACGAACGATGGATTTCTGCAGCAATTGTAGCTACCACGATAGGAAGATAACGTTCGATCGAGTATGTTCTCCAGTCTGTGCAACTGCAAGGATCCTCAGAGACACGAACACACGAGCAAAGTGATGATCAACGGTTTCTGCTAGATGACGACGAACTTCTGCCGTGGCGCGGCGCGCTCCGACCACGTGGATCTCGGCGAAACTTCCCAAGATTGACGTGGAGTCATGAACCCTGTCTGATGGACACGCGCTTTGCAGTGTCTTTCCCTGACAACGTCGGCATAGTGCTCCGCGAAAAACTCACGTCGTGCAGAGAGCATCATCACCAAGCAGAGCATCAATTTGAACGTCGACCCTCGCATTTTGCAGAGTTTTCTACAGCACCCACGGAGGATCTGATGATGGGAGCATGGAACCATGAGACTATGCCGTTTCGAAGAATTTCTGCGGTCGCCCCCACACTCAAAATGGGAACTTATTAATCATGTGTGACCGTATATTGGCTGCACTGTTACCCCACGACATTTGTCCACGACTTGGCGAACAAGTCCATCAAGGTGGTCCATCATGGTGTCGACATCACAACGACTCCCACCGAGGGGTCCCTTCGACGTCAGAACCATCACCGCTTTGAGTCCAGATCCTGAAAGGCTGTACGCACACGGACTGTTCGACGTCGATTTGGTCTCCAAAACGTTGTTCGCGTGACAACATCGATTGTGCATACGACGTTGTATCTTCCTCGCCGAACGGAGTATTTTCAGGACCCTCGAATAAATCCGCTGCGCGACGCGGATCGACCGAGACACGCCATCGTAGCCTAGAAGAACAACAACGTTGTCTCAAGGCTGCACTAATCGGATTCTTCTCCTCACCGAACGTACACAGACTACGCAGCCTCTGATATCTTCCATGCGCCACGATCCATGGATAGGATCAACACAGCGCAAATATGACTCGTTTTCAGGAGAGCGCTTTGCGGAATAGCGTTTCAGCTCAGCCCGACAGCGCTGGTATTCCATACTGGCAGAATGATCAATTTTCAACTTTGCTAGAAGTTCAGCGCCAGGCAGGGGTCTCACAGTCCACCCTTCAACATGATCAGTCGCTCGACCCTGTTTTTGACAATCCAGGGATGCTTCAGGCTGGCGTCAATTCCACGATGCTTGGTCTTGACATGACGACTAACGGCTACCGACCCGTCGATTATCCTCAATACCACGACTTTACACAGGTTCAGCAGGAACTCTCCCAGGCTTTAGGGGAATTTGATCAGCCACCATCAGTCGCATTGCACATGCCGAAGCGTATGACCGTGAAGACACCGACCGGACCGAGGTCCATGCGGAGACCTGGTTTGGCAGGCGCTGCGGCACTCGTCAATGGTCAATATTGCTGCCAGTGGTCAAGTCATGGTGTGACGTGCGGGCATAACTTTGCCGATGCCAAATCGTTGAACGATCACATCCGCGCGCACCATGTTCGCGGCGCTGCAACTTTCCTCTGCCAGTGGTCTGGATGCGATAAGAGTGGATTTCCAACCGCAAACAAACTTGTGAGGCATGTTCACAGTCATACAGGCTATAAGCCTTATCCGTGCACACATTGTCCACAGGCTTTCGTCACCAAGGATCAGCTGGACAAGCATCTCACCACCCACACCGGCGCCAAGGACTTTGTCTGCACATGGCCAGGTTGCGGGCGGTCTTTTGCCGTGAAGCATGCTCTCGACGGACACACGAACAGTGTTCACTTGAAGGCGAAGAAGCACGTTTGTCCGCATTGTTCGCAGGCGTTCGACGATTCCTCAAATTTGTCCAAACACAAGAAGCAGGTCCACAACAAGGACACGGGTATACACTGCCCAGCTCGACACATCAACGGATGTTCGTACGTGGACAGTCGCAAGGATAAGATGAAAGACCATTGCGAAAAGGAGCAACACGGCCTGGAGATTGTTCGCGACGCGCATGCATGGAATTTGTGGGTGCAGCGTTTCAAGACATGCTCCAAGAAGCATACAGCTCGTCGCCATTGCCATCACGTCCTTTCGAACACACCGACATCGCAATTCTCAGAGGGATCATCGGTGATAACATATCCCGTGCCTATGCGGATGCCTGTGGTCGAGTGTAACAAACAAGGCTGTAACCTGCCGATCTGCGTTCCCTGTCCCAGCTTTTGCCCCGACATGCAAAGTCTGGACAATTTGCATCATCACGCCGACTTTCAGCATTTCGCAGACGACCCATGTGATCCGTGTGATCCGCACTGCGACCCATGCAGCACGCACTGTGATCCTTGTGAAGACGATTGCGATAGCGGTCATTGCAATGACGATCATTGCGAGCTGGCAGATGAGCAACAATGCGGCAACGAGCAGACGTGCACGATCCCAAACTGCCGGAGCGGGTCATCGACGCCATCATCGCGGCCTGCGACGCCGATCGAGATGCCATCCGATCCTTATTTCCCATACAATACTATTTCTGGCGCTGAAGGTGATTTATTCCAAGATCATGGGCAGCCGTTTCAACTCGCCCAAGGACGCTTGCCGGAGTACATGTTTACAGGGTAGACGGCGCTTGATGGTTGATTTTTTCCTTCAGCGGGAGGTTTCAAAAGTTACGATAGAAGAGAGGGGGTGGCAGGCGGGTCAATTCAACCAATTCACCCGTCATATGGAGATCATCACGATTTTACGACGTTCACACTCATCACGACCTTTGAAACGTGACTGATTCCAACATTGATAACAATGTAGCTATAAATACGACAAAAGTGATTATTCAGGACTATCTAAAATGGTGCTGGGCACGGTGATCTCCTCCGAGAAATATCAGCGGTTCGAATTTCAGAAACATGCATGACCCTCGCGTGACGTCACCGTGATCTCTACACACGCGAGCAGCTCCTGTGAATCTACTACCATTGTACAAGTAGACGCATCACTCGGCAGGATCTCATCGTAATCGCGGATGAGATCTTTCTTTCCTTTGAAAGGCTCTAAATGAATTCGACGTTCGCACTACCTTGTCGCATTTTCCTACAAATACTGCTTGTATCATAGATTGGTTCCAGTATTCTGAGTTCGCCATCTGCCGTTCATTCGGCCAACTTGAATGCTTTCAGCAACACGGCTACTCAAGCATTCACAGTCGCAATTCAGTCTGAAGATATTTTGTTTGCCTCGCTTTTTGATTGTGCTGCATGTCATGCCTGCGACAAAGCGTCAAAGATCTGCTGTTGCAGCACCGACAATCGCCCAGGGCGTTGAGAGCCCAGCGCCGCCAGCGAAACGACGAGCGGTTCGGCACAACGTGAGCACGGCTGCATTGACGAATCCCGAACTCAACAAGGATGTCCTAGACGCTCCGAATGCAACACGAGCGTCCCCTGATAGCGATATCAATGAGGATATCGTTCCAGGCCAAGTCAAGAGGGAAGGGTCTGCTTCAGAAAGTCCTCTCAGCGATGTGCCACCTATCAGTGAATTCTCAACCAAGAAAACGCAACATAGGAATTTCAAGAAAACGGAGAAGGGAAGCGAGATGGCTGAGAATCCTGTAAATCCAAAGAAGGGCAAAACGTCAGTAAAGAGCGAGGAGCCCACGAAGACTGCGACTCCAGCAAAGCGTTCGAGAGGGTCAAAGGCTGGGTCAAACGAGGGCTATGATCCGGAAGAAGACGGAAACGAGGAAGAGGTCGATGAGGAAGAAGTTAAAGAAGCTGTCTCACGGCCACCGCCAGTCAACAGCGACTATCTGCCCCTTCCTTGGAAAGGCAGGTTAGGATATGCTTGCCTCAACACTTATCTGAGGAACTCAAATCCTCCCGTCTTCAGCTCGCGCACATGTCGCATTCAGTCCATCCTCGAGCACAGGCATCCCCTCACAGATCCCGATCAGCCGGAGCATCCTACGAAGAATCGACCAGATCGCAGCAAGCCCGCGAGTGTTGAGCTTGGGCAGAAGTACGTAGAAAGTCTGTGCCTTGCCAACGTCAGAGATATTTCGAAGATGATACGGTGGAATGAACGATATCACATCCGATTTCTACGGCTGTCTTCCGAGATGTTCCCGTTCGCATCGCACTCGGAATACGGATATAAGCTTGCGCCTTTCGCAGCCGACGCTCTTGCGGAAGCCGGCAAGGTCATCGCACAATATGGCCATCGCGTCTCTACTCGTACGTTCTTTCATCGAAAATATAATCACTGCTTACTGAAAATTAACTGTGTATACAGACCCTGGCCAATTCACACAACTGGGTAGCCCTCGAAAACAAGTCGTAGAGACTGCTATCAGGGACCTTGAATATCACGACGAACTACTGTCGCTGCTGAAACTTCCTGAACAGCAGAACCGGGACGCTGTCATGATCATACACATGGGCGGAATGTTTGAAAGCAAAGAAGCCACATTGCAAAGATTTCGAGAGAATTATGCAACACTTGCTCAAAGCATCAAGAATCGAATTGTTCTCGAAAACTGCGACATGGGCTGGTCAGTACATGATCTGCTCCCGGTCTGCGAAGAGCTCAACATCCCTATGGTTTTGGACTTCCATCATCATAATATTGTGTTCGATGCGGATCAGATCCGGGAGGGCACGAAGGACATCATTGACTTGTTTCCTCGAATCAAGGCTACATGGGATCGTAAGGGAATTAAGCAGAAGATGCATTACTCTGAACCGACTCCTCCGGCTGTCACGAAAACACAGCGCCGGAAGCACAATCCACGGCCATTCACGCTTCCGCCATGTGCACCAGACATGGATCTTATGATTGAAGCTAAGGACAAAGAGCAAGCTGTTTTCGAGCTGATGAGGAACTTCAAATTGCCTGGGTACGATTCCTTCAACGACATCATTCCATACACTCGCAATGACGACAACAAGGCTGCTCTGGCCGCCATGAACAAGAAGAATAACGACAATGATGAGCCCGAGCCTGTTCTGATCGAAGAATACGAAGTTGGCATGGGTGGTCCGGAAGGCAGAGTTTACTGGCCACCAGGTATGGAAGAGTGGCTGCGACCTAAAAAGCGCGAAGTGAAAAAGAAAGAGCCAGACACAAAGTCGAAAGAACAGATCAAGAAGGAAGCGACTGCGGCTTACGAAGCGCGGAAAAGAGCCATCAAGGAGGAAGAAGAGCAGAGCGACGAGCATGAATCAGACGTCGACGCTACACCAGCAACCAAGAAAGCGAAAGCAGCAATGCGCAAAAAGGTCAAAGCCGATGCACAGAAAGCCGCTGTAAAGGAAGCCGAGAAAGTCGCAAAGGATGCTGCGAAGACTGCCAAAGTCTCTGCCAAAAAGAAGACTCCAGTCAAGAGAGCTCCTGCGGCAGTCCCGACACCAAGTGACAGCGAAAGCTTAGCTGGTGACCTGAAGTCCGAAAGCGACGAGAACGCTGTTGATGAAGACGACGATGAGACACCCCCTGTCACGCCCGTACCGAAACGTCAGACAGCCGCTGGCCGACGAGGCGCTGGTCGCTCGGCCAAAGGTAGAGTGAGTTACAACGAAGAGGAAGACGAAGATCTTTAGGAACTGATCCAGCTTTGATCACACTTTCAAAGAGGCATGGGTGGACATTTTGCCGACTTATGTCAGATCATCGTCGGATGTACATATAGATGTAAGATGTTGAAGATAGGGCGTGCTTGGCTGTGCCAGATAATGTTCAGCGAGCCTGTCTCGAGCATGATACTATAATTATGCGTGTAAAAGTGAATCTGCTACATTGAATACGGAATAAACCCTCTGACTTCGTTCTTGTCTACCCTTCATCAGCACTAATTACCGATCGAGACACCGCAGATCAACAGTGCTACCGCGTTACTACATGACCTTCTATCGACCCCGCATGAGATCAGACTTCTTCAAACATATACATTCCAAGGTCGTCAAACACATTGCGTTCCCGACTTTCTTCAATATAAGTAGCCCAACATGAACGGTTTCACTAAGGTATATCACAAGAAGTCCTACGATCGAATCGATCCGACGGTTCAAGCAAGTTCACAACTTGGACGGACTGTTTTGATTACTGGCGGGTCGGAGGGCATTGGCTACGGCATTGCGCAGGGATTCGCTCGAGCAAAAGCGAGTCGGATCATCCTTGTTGCGAGAAATGAAACCAAACTCGACGCCGCCTCCGCCCAGCTTAAGAGTGGGTTCCAAAGCACTGAGGTTCTAACGAGAGTTTGCGACTGCTCCGACGTCGGACAGCTCGAGGCGTTGTTCGCGCATCTCAACTCGGAGGCAATTTTCGTGGATGTGCTCATCCTGAATGCCGGAGCGACGAGCAATACCACGACTGCTGCCGAAGTCGCGGCAGTCTTCCATTTCAATGTCATCAGCAAGATCCATCTCCTCGAGCTTTTCCAGAATCAAAAATCGCCGAATGGCGGCTCGAGTCCGCGGAAGATAGCCATTGAGATTAGCTCGGCGTCAGTCCACTGCTATGGCGGCTATCCTCGCACGGCGTATCCATCGAGCAAAGCCGGCTTCGCCAACTACCTTTGCCACATGGCAGAACATGTGCCAGAGACCGAATTGCGGTTGATCTCATTGCATCCAGGAGCGATTTTCACGGCTGCATCTGCTGCGGCGAGTCCGGTGAGACGCCAGTCATGATGTATGATAGATATGCAAAGCTGACCACCTGCGAAACAGATGGGTGCTGACTCGCCGTTCTGGGACCACGGTAAGATTTTCTTTTGTCCAGATGTACGAGCGGGCGACTCGCTGACAATCACACCGTAGTTGATCTTCCATCGCATGTGGCCGTGTGGCTTGCGAGTGAAGAGTCGGCGTTCTTGCACGGTCGTTACATCTGGGCGAACTGGGATGTCGGGGAACTTGTCGCACTCAAGGAGAAGATCATTGATGACAAAAGCCTTCTCAAAGTCGGCATCATCGGTGTTCCCAGCTTTACGCTGCAAGATCTTATTAAAAGCGCCACCCCTCCTGCTAAAGATTGAAGGCTTGATCAAATTGGTCATTTTGATGGTCGAGATCCTGGAGTCAGAATCGCAAAGCATCGAAGACGTTTTTAGAATTGCGCTCTTCTCATCATATGGTCGTTCTCTGTCATCATGCCGTACTTTCTCGTTTCAACCTTGCCAATGTGGCCTTGCCGGCACTTGAACTATTCGGCTTGCCAATCTCAGAGGTGATCCACTCCCCAATCCTGCTCATCTCCTCCAGGTCTACGCCGGTTTCGACGCCGAGACTTTGCAGGCAATATACCAGGTCTTCTGTGGCCACATTTCCAGTTGCACCCGGACTGTATGGGCAGCCTCCTAAACCTCCCACTGCACTGTCAAACGTTCGTACGCCGCAGTCCAGGGATACCATCGTGTTGATAAGAGCTTGGCCGAAAGTGTCATGGAAATGCATCGCGATGTCTTCGGTTAGAATGCCGGCTTCACGGAGTGTCTGAAGCAGTTTGCGCGTTCGCGGAGCCGTGCCCATCCCGGTAGTGTCCGCGACGCTGATTTCGTCTGCGCCCATTTCCAACAGCGAAGCAGCAATTTCAGCCACCTTGTGGGGGTCTACATCCGGTCCTTCGAATGGACACCCCAGTGCTACGGAGATGTATGCACGGACGGCGTGCCCAGCCTTTTTGCTATCTGCTATCAGCGGCGCGAAGCGCTGCAAGCTCTCCTCGATTGAGCAGTTTGTATTCTTCTGACTAAACGACTCCGTCGCTGCCATGAATATGGATACCTCATGCCGAGGGATAGTGCCTTGTAGGCTTGCTGTGCCCTTCACCTCCTGATCAGCAGGCTGCTGCTCGTTCTTTGGTGATGCCGGTGGCGTCGGATAGCTGCCAACGTCCTTTGAGGAAGATCTCATCATCTTTAGGAAGCTCTCCAGGCCTTTGCTGTTTGGTAGTAGCCATTGATACGTGACCTGACTCTTTGAGCGTGGCGGAGTGGTCAGGACGGAGGCGAGCACCTCATCGGAAGCAGCCATCTTGATATCATCACTATCAGTTCGGTACATCGAGGAACATTGTTATACTCACTTGAGGTACCCATTTAGGATGTACAAAGGATCCTGCCTCAATCACACTCAAGCCAGTCTTTGCTAGCCTGTTCACCAACTCAATCTTGGTCGCCGCTGGTATACTTGTCTTCTCATTCTGCAATCCATCGCGAGGGCCTACTTCAACGATCCGAACATTGTCTGCTGAGACTCGGCAGGTGTTAGAGAATGAGCGGCGACACGAGAACGCCCTGAGTGATTCGTGCAATGGATGACGCATCCGCGGCATCGCCCTCGACGCGACAAACATCTTGCGGAAGAACAGGCGGAATATCTTGACACCCGCAACACTGTTGAGACTACATCCGCCAGGCTGGTGAACACTGCAGGTGGAAGTTGAATGTGCGATCCTCGGAGAACAAAGATGCTTGTGATGAGAGAGCTGAGACGTCACAGCGCGAGTGGGGAAACGGTTGTCAATGCTTTGCGCGCTTATTAGCGGCTCAATGGGATGCGCAGAGGACCGTGTTGGATAACTACCTAGGTACCTTGGACACAAATCATCCATAAGTTTGTGGGTACTTTAGGCTTCTCAATTCAATGCACGAACGCTTGATTTACTCGAGAGTTGTTGTACGAGAGACAATCATAGCTGCCATGGAGGTGTATTGGAGGCTTCATCGGCGACGCAGAGCGAGATGTTCTCGTATGCCAACCACAAGGACTACTAATGCTGTCTGATGCCATCCAATGAATAAACTTGGTATCTGATTTAAAAAATTGAGTTCTTTTGATTAGCACCCATGAGTATGCATGCCCAGGTGTGTGCCATTAGTCGACAGTCATGAAGTTGTGAATACTCGCGATTAGCCTTGACTCTGAGACGCGATCTCCTGCAACATTTCTCGCGTCGCAGCTAATGAATTCGAATCTCCATAAAGCGCTGCAATCAAACTGCCATCAATGCCAGGATATTCCTGCTGTAACGTTGCCACGTTACGATCGGCCTCACTCTCCGGTTTCTGCCGAGTCAATTCGAACTGCTCGATGGCCTCTCGCTGCTCTCCACGTTCGGACGCAGGCACGAAATCGGCTTCTTGAAACGTTGCAGTCTTGCGAGGAGCGGTCCCTGGTGGTGGTGGACCAGACGGTGGTTGATACCCGTGAGAAGCAGATGAATGTTGTTCAGATGGACGCACCCCGCCAACTGTATTGGTCTGGTACGGCGCGTTTGAATCGTACGGTTGATTGTAGTTTGGGTTGGGCATGTTGTGCTTCTACTCTCAGCTTTGCTTTGAAGTGCACCGTTGCTCGCTGGAGTAATGGTTGGCTAACGCTTTATCGTTGAGTCAGTGATACTTACAGAATCAAAGTGGACGGTGAACTTCTCTTTGTACAAAGTAATGTTGGCTCGCCGCATCAGGCAACATCCATGTTGCAGAGCACGAGTCCAAAGCTACGTCATTAGAGGAAAGGCACAGCACTGCCGAGCTCGAAACGCCGCACTGGATGGCCGCAGCAGCTTGCACATCTCACCATCGTGGATCCAACACCGGATGTAAATGCAGCGGTAGCTCACAGAACGCATCACATGCCTGCTGAAGTCTAGCTGTCTATCTCGACGCTTAATCCGATTTCAGGCCACCGAGTGCGTGTTCCTGCAGATGATTTGCTAATAGTCCAAGGTAGAATGATGTGATTTGCGCCGCTGCGGTGCTCACAAGCACAACATCAACCCTAAGAGGCATGGTTACGGCAACACCAGCTTGATCTACCGGCCATGTCAGCGTTCGAACGAGGCAATCATCTACGGGCAAGCTGACAGGCGAGAGAGAGTTGTCAAGTTTCATTGACAATGCTTCACACTTTCCGGCACACATTTATGATTTTGTAGCGCGTCTCAGACCAAGCACATGATGAAGACTGTGTGCATTGTCGGTGCTGGACCTGCCGGTCTTGTGGCGGCCAAAACTCTTCTGGGAACTAAGCAGTTTCAAGTCGTGGTATTGGAGAAGGCCAAAAGGGTGGGCGGCATATGGGCATTGGATCACAACACTCAAGATGGCTTCCTCAGCGCCGAGACACCTACAAACATATCCAAGTTCGCCGTAGGTTTCTCTGACTTCAGATGGGACAATCCGGATCTTGTGAGGAGCTTCATCGACGAGGGTCCTGAACGATCATCAAAACCTGCGGAAGTGTCCATGTTTCCAAAAGCATGGCAAGTAAATCGATATCTGGAGGCGTACAGGGCAAAGAACATTCCAGATGACGTGATTAGTCTGGGCATGGAGGTAATCGGCGCCGAGAGATTATGCAAAGGCAGTGAGGGCTATGCCTGGAAGGTGACGACACGAGATCACGATTCTAGAGAGGAGTCAAGAATCTTCGATCGCTTGATAATAGCTGCAGGCTTCTTCTCAAAGCCACGGCCATTGAGTCACAGCGTCAAGGTCGCGGCGGATTTGAACATCAAAGCAGTGCACAGTTCTGCGTTCAAGTCTCTTAAGGACCTCGCTCTGGATACGGTCACCCCGAAGCAACGAACAATCTTGATGCTAGGTGGCGGGAACTCTTCCGGTGAAGCAGCAGCAGCAGTGGCGCAGCAAATCTCTGACCTTTGGTATTCTCCTGAGTCAGGACGGGATCAAAAATTTAAGGATTTGAAAATAGTCCATGTGATTCCACGACCCTTCTACGCTGTGCCTCCATACGTGCCAGCTGATGGCGATGCCTGCTCAGTCATTCCGATTGACTTCCGGCTGTACGATCTTTCGAGACGTCCCGCAGGCACGATTGTCGGAGGAGGAGGCCGAGTCGCCGAGAAAGTCAAAGGATCAATTCATGACTCCCTGCAATCCATAATAGGAGGGAACCAGGCGGACCTAGGTAGTACTGCATTGTCGATTTCTCCTCACGAGCCGAGAGCGACAGCACATGTCGCGCTTAGCGAAAGTTACCCAGAATTTGTTCGCAGTGGTCTCATCCAAACCCTTCCGGGGAGAGTTGTGGCGCTCGAAATCGACGCTCAATGCGAGGCTCTTGCTCGGATAGTGGGTCCAACAGGCGATGCTAGCGTTGACAATATCGCAGCTGTTGTGTACTCCACAGGCTACTCTCCAGCTTCTGCATTGGAGTTTCTCTCTTACGACGTCAAGGCAATTCTCAAGTACGACCCAGACAACTTTCGACTACCAGTGATACTAGAAGGCTGGCAGACTATGAGTCACGAACTTCCAGATCTAGCATTCCTTGGATTCTATGAGGGCCCGTATTGGGGTGTCATAGAGATGCAAGCAAAGTTGATAGCACATCGGTGGACATCTGGTGAAGTTGCTGGCGCGCGGCCCCTTGAAGATGAAAATAAGATGCTGGATCTAAGAGAAGCCATGAAGCAGCGTGAGCTGGACGTTCCGCAGTACTGGTTTGGTGATTATCTTGGCTATCTCGATGAGATCGCGATGCATCTCAAGTTGGAAAGGAACGATAGACCCTTCAAGGCTCGCGAGGGCTGTACATCGCCAGCTAGATACCTATCGCCAGAGACTGACAAGACGGAAGCAGATTACATCGTGCAAGATCTGCACAAAGCCTGGCATGCTTTCCTCGAGCACGGCCGTGGTGTGCCTCGAGCGGCATTCCGAGCTCTGCAGGGCGACTGGGTCATGTCTCGCACCATCGACAGCGCACTGCCAAGTTTTCCGTCTGGAACGCTTGAAGGTGTGGCAAGCTTTCATCCTCGCTCCCCGTCCAAGGACAAGAGCAGTCTTGACTTTGATTTCGAGTATCTGTACATTGAGTCAGGCACTCTGAAGCTTTCAAATGGAGCATCAATGCCTGCCAAGAGGCGATATGTGTATCGTTATTCCGAGGCTCGGGATGAGCTTAGCGTTTGGTTCGTGAAAGCCGACAATGATCTCGAAGTGGACTATCTTTTCCACAACCTCACCTTCGCGCCGCCAGCAGAGGCGAGGCATGAAGGTGCTTGTGTTGCGAGAGCTGATCACCTCTGCGTCAAGGACATGTATTGGACAGAGTACCGGATGCCTCTAACGGGCATTTCGTTACACAGCTTCTCGAATAAGCATACAGTCAAAGGTCCGAGCAAGGACTATGTTGCTATGACCAGGTACAGTCGACATCCGAAAGACGTGTGATCACTTGAACTTCATATAGATAACTGACCAAATCTGGTCGTCTCCAATCATGCCAAATTCATTCGTGGTGAAACAACCACCTGTAGTCGTTTTCCATGTACAAGCGAATCATATTGGTCCCGCGTCCCGAGGAAGCATATTGTCATGAGAATGTGGAGCTTCCGATTCCATCATGCAATTCGACCTAGGTATAGCAAGCGTCGCCTGCCACATTCTGCCGAACCCTATAAGAACATATGTCGCTCTAATGGTCCGCCTGTACTCTTGCAACACGACGCATTCACAATGTCTCGATTCGTGTCGGGTGGCACTAATGACGAGGCTATCGAGCGTGATGAAGCATGGCTAAAAGCGCAACAGGCCATCGAAGCTGCGCATCGCGAAAAGGCCGAACTGGGCAAGCAAGAAGACGGCAAAAGTCTCTATGAAACACTTCAGGCAAACAAAGGTGGCTCTCTGCTTACATGAAAGCGTTGGCAAGGACACCATGTATTGACCATGCAGGTTGATGTCTAAGCCGCCAAACAGGAGCAATTTGAGGAAGCTCTGCGACTGCGCAACCAGTTTCGCTCTCTTGATGAGGACGAGGTAGCCTTCCTGGACAATGTGTTTGAATCGACCCGTGCGAAAGAGGCAGAGGTCAGGAAAGAGACGACTGAGCAGCTTCAGGCATTCCGCAAGCAACAGGAAGAGGCGGAAAAGTTCTCTCGGCAGGCCCTCGCGCCGACGAACCCGGACACGGTCGAGACAAGTTGGTCCACCGGCGCACGTAAGCGCAAGAAAGGCCGCTCTGAAGTGCTAGGAGGTGTGAAGCTCCGGAAGACTTCATCCACGGATATCCCAATACCATCGAACGCGACGGAGGCTGAGTCGCAAAAGGAGGGTGCTCCTGGTACACCGGACCTTGTGCGACCTCTTGCAGGCATCGATGAACGCACAGTAGGTCCGGATGACGGAAAGGCCGTCTCAGTGGAAGAAGGTGCAGAAAAGACACAGAAATCAGTTGATGTCCAGCCCACTGCGCCAACGCTACTTGGCCTTGGAGCCTATTCGTCCGACGAGGATGATGACTAGTTATACGTTGTGGAAGGTTAGGAGCGCATCAAGGCATGACTTGTGCGGTCCATGGAGGGTCTGCGAGCGTAGTGTTCTATCGCGTCGGGAACATGGCATAGTTGTAGCTCTCAAAACCATTCAGGCACGTCTACATCCTATCACTCACCAAGCTGTGAGAAGAAACTCAGGATAGCAAGCCAGACCAATTAATGTTGACTTTCAAGGGTATCACAAGCCCAATGCTAATGCAACAAATCTGTCCAAAGCCTCAACAACGCCAAGCTATGCATACATCTAAAAGACCAAAAGCTTCTCATTTGAGTTTCCGGCCATCGAATCCGTAATATCCTCCATATTTGCTCAGAATAGTGCCCAATTGAGGTACAATCTCGGCCTGGAAGGGTTCGAAAGGGACACTTTCACCATCGATGGAGATGAGACCGGCTGTCTGTCTGCCAGCACCGCCCAACCACTGGACAATCTGCTTTCGGAGGCGTCGGTTTTCCACCGGAGCGACGCGTGGCTTTATCCGGTAGGCTAGGACCTTTTGATATGCCACCTCAGGGTGATTGATGAGCGTTCCTTCTTCGACGCTCGTGAGCATGCGAAGAGCTGTGATGCTCGGTATATCTCCTGCTATGGTGAGAAGGTCCATCCGGCCATCGGAGGGTAGGGATGTGGAAAAGAATGGGAGGTCTGCGCTCATTAAGCACATATTCCCAACGTAGAAATTGCCGAGATTGGGCATGTCCTCGGTGGAAAATCCTGCCGGAAGATCGTCATTGACAGTTCCGTATTTCAGAGGAGGCAGCTGCGCGTCTTCCTGGTCTGACAACACTTCCGCCCGGCTCTCTGACAGTACATTCCGCAATCTATCGGCTTCTATTTTCTCAGCCGTCGCACGATATGCGTTTCGAATCTCGTTTTTGTCCTTGGTATCCACGAGCATCGAGACCTCAGCAGGGTAGATCGTCTTTCCCACAAGACGAACAAGAAATCCCCATGTAAATCGGAAGGAACCCATCCATCGCAGGGTCTCGGTCCCCAAATCACTTTCAGCTACGATGCCGACCGCTTGAGACAAGAAGCTATAAAACACCTCGGATCCCTGGCTGATCGCCATCAGATCGAGAGGCGCTCGAATGGCCTTGACCAACTCAAGCGCTGCGAGCGACGGAGATGCGGTCCCAGTAGTGTTCAAACTCATGGCATTTCCGCTGCCACATGGAATTTGAAACACTGCGATTTTTCGAAGCGCGAGCCTTGGACTGGGATGTTTTGCCAGCCCGTTAAAGACCTCATGAGGCAGACCATCACCGGAAGCACAAGCCACGACGTCGTATGCCTCGATATCCAGGTTTTTGGCAATTTCAATCGCGTGTCCGCGGTATGTAGTTTGCTCGACATCGATCTGACAATTGGCTGCAACCAGCACTGGTTCCACTTGTGTTGTCCATAATTTCTGCGCCTGACCCTGCCCTCCAAACGGGTTGATGAGCACCTTTATCCGCTTCTTCCGCATGACATTTGAAGGATACGCGCGATTCAGCAGTTGCTCCACCCATCGTTTCGCATGGTTATGTAGGCTTTTATCTGTGACCGCATAGCTGATCTGTTCCACTCGGCAAGATCCAGCTTTTCGCCCGGTGGGCTTCGTGTAATTTATCGCGACCTCGACATCGTCAAAGGCCGCCCAGAGGATGTTGTGGAAAGGAATGGCGCGAGTTGTCTTAGCGAGTTGTGGTAAGAGACCACCAAAGTTTGAGGCTGTACGTTTGTGCCGGAGTCCTTCGTCGAGAAGGATCAATGCATCGGTGCCCAGTGTCAAAGTAGCATTCCGGTCGACCGTCAAGACGGCTGTACTATCGGACACGGGGAGATCAGACGCGGCGGAGTCTTCGAACGGATTGCTGTTGTGGTGCTCTAAATTATTATTATCCATGACGATATCTGTATGAAAGAAACGACAGTAGGAAGAAAACTAGATAATGAATGGAATAAGAATACACTCAGGGTGAAAGAGGTGATGCGCGCGTGCGGATAGTTTCGTTGGCACATGATGTCGCAACGCGTATGTAGAGACGTCCAGCGGCTGCAGGGACAGCGACGGACCTTGGGTACCAAAGTGGTAGCGCGCTCCGAAATTATCTCGCTGTCCTTCGGTTCTGCGTCCGTGATTTCACCATTGTTCATACACTTCTGCTCGATCGCATTCGTGTAATGGGCAAGTCAGCGTTTCTGGGAGGACAAAAAAGAGCATTTATCTGTACATGAATGTATACACTTTTCAACTGCCACAGGCCTCTATTTGGTCTCGGTTGTTTCTTTCCCTTCCTCCTCCAACATGATTCGCCGCCCCTCAACTGTAAAGTACAAGCTACGTCCAGCAGATTCTAGGGTAGTCGTAACGCCAGCTCCGATTCCCTGCAAAGCCGCGACAAGCTGGGCGCGCAAACCGTCGAGGCCGCCCTGGATGGATCCTACCCATTGGACGCCTTCCGTATCAAACGCTTTGCCTTCAACGCGAGCACCTAGAAGCATAAGCTTCTGGAGGGCATTTTGGACTGGCGCCTCGTAGTAGCCCGGATTGGCCTTTCGTTTGGGAGCGGGAAAGGCGGGCGACGGGGCAAGAATGGATAGTGCAGCTCTTAGATGGGCGGTGGAAACAGTTGGCAGCGTGAATAACGCGATAGGACCCGAGAGCAGTGGCTCCAGGCCGTGCTTGGCCGTCTTGTTCCTTCTCCAAGCTGCGAGCCAGGCGTCCCGGGATAGTCCGTGGGTCAATTTGTGCTCCACAACCTTCTCTTGTACAAGACTTTGGGAGCTACCCGGAGCTGCTTGGGTGGCAGGTTGTGCTGATGCATCGGCATCAAAATTAGGATCCCAAAACTCGACAACCTTCAAGGCCGCCGCGAGAATTCCAGTTTGCACGACTTGTATCTTCGCTTCACTCCCAACATAGCTGACGTCTCCAACTTTTGCTTGTTCTTCGTCAACCTTACGCAGTGCTTGCGCCAGCTCCCTCCGTAAAGCCATGAACTCCGTTGCCTTGAGATTGTTGTGTTGGAATAGCAGTACCACTGGTGATGAGCGTAATAGCGACTGATATTGACGATTGAGTTGGGTCTTTCGGAATTCCGCAGGCTTGTAGGATGGCGGCTGTGTCGAAGGATATCGGGCGATCCGAGGCGCGTTCTGCGAAGGTCGTGGTACAGGCGGTGCAGAAGTCGGCGCTGTCGCTAACGAGGCATATCTACATTGTCGACAGATGTATTGTGTCCCCAACGATTGCAATTGTGCAGATTGCAGCCGCAGCCGAGGAGACATTGCGACGGCGCAGGAAGAGGCAAATCGATGTTCAAGACCAATGAGCCACTATGACAATGAACACTTCAGAATGCGGATCGGTGGCTGTTTGATGAATGGTCGTGTGCTTCGGATGGAAATTTGTGAATGCGATATGCACTCACTCCTGCGCCAGCATTTGAAATGGCAACGCGTGCAGCTGTGTATATCTCGCCGCGGAGGTGACCCCAGCTAACCCAAACCCTAGTTGGCCGAGCACAACTTTCCCAAATATTCGCATTGGTCCCGCGGTCAAGGATCTGTCATATGAATCAGACTGCCCGCCTACCTAGTTGAGGAGCAAAGTCCACCATTGTCTTTAGCGAAACAGACAGGCGGTGCTTAAACTTTGACATGGATGACTGATAGTATCTGTTCTTAACGCGCGTCGGCGGTAACCGTCCTCATCCTCTTGTTGTCCCAAGATAATACATTCGTTAGGCTCACAGTCTTCACAATGTCTTCAACGCCAGCCACCAATGGCGCAGGCCTTGTTTCCATCTCAACTCTGCTGAAAAGGCTCTCAACTGCCGAATCTGCCCGTGCTGTTCCACCACAAGAAGTCGCGGCGGCACTGGCATTGATCTTTGAGAATCGCATATCACCGGTGCAATTTTCTCTGCTTCTATGGGCCCTACATACTACCAATTTTGATCACCAGGCTGCTGTTCTTGCAGAATGTGCAGCGTCGATGCGAACGGCGGGCGCGCAGGCTGATAAAGCGGCACTGCAAGCCATTGTGAAGCGCAAGGCTCGCCAGGAGGGTGCATATGCTGGCGGATTGGTGGGCATCGGACGACCATTGATCGAAGATCGGTACTGATCGCGACTATAGTGTGACATTGTGGGCACGGGAGGTGATGGCCACAACACATTCAACATATCAACCACATCCTCCATCGTTGCGTCGGCTTTGCTCGTGATCGCCAAGCACGGCAACAACTCCTCGACGTCTCTTTCAGGTTCTGCAGATTTGCTTCAACATGCACCGACACCCCCGGTGATCGCAGCAACTACCGCAGGTAACATCTCTCAAATCTACGATCGTACCAACTATGCCTTCCTTTACGCTCGAGAGTGGCACCCAGGAATGAAGTATGGCGCCGCCGTCCGCAAAGAGATCCCTGTTCGGACGATTTTCAATCTACTGGGTCCCCTCGCAAACCCGTTGCATGATACCGGACTGGTAGAGGCACGGATTCTTGGCGTAGCACGCAAAGACATCGGCCAAAACTTTGCAGATGCGTTGCAACTCAGTGGCGCGAAGAAAGCAATGGTGGTGTGTGGCGACGAGAATCTTGACGAGCTCTCATGCGCAGGGCCGACACATTGCTGGTTCATCCACAGCAGTGATGGAAGCGTTGACGGGAGCGATCCGAAGACCACAATCACGACGATGACTCTGACCCCAGAAGACTTTGGACTGCCACGGCATCCCTTGGATGAAGTGCATGGTGGGAAGGGTCCGGCAGAGAACGCGGCCATTCTCATGAGAATTCTCCGGAATGAGATGCCTGCTGATGATCCGGTGCTTCAATTTGTCCTCCTTAACACCGCTGCGCTACTGACGGTCAGCGGAATTTGCGAGGCTGACGAGAGCAACATGGGACCCGGCGATGATGGAAAAGTCGTGCAAGAGCGTGGTCCTGGCGGACTTCGCTGGAAAGAGGGCGTGCGCAGGGCAAAGTGGTGCATCAAGAGCGGCAGTGCTTTGAAGCAATGGCAGGGGTTTGTGGAGGTCACCAACTCCTTGTCCTCATCCCTACCATAGATTAGAGGAGGTAGAACGAATAGATGGTTCCATGAAATGACAGTGACGACTATAGCAGAAAATAGACAGGCACGTGCACATTGATCGAGAACTGCAGGCGACGATGGTCAATACAGCAATTTCGCATCCCGACTCGTAGATGGATTCTGTGGTGTTGGCTATGTGCTCTGGACAGAAGAGTTCATATCAATGCAGCTGTGAGTGGAAGCACTTCGTTCTGCCCGTCTCTTTTGGGCAATGGCATTCCTGGAGGCCAGATATCTATGATAATACAATACTGTTGTCCAAGTGGTGACGACTGCGTATCTCAACTGTACACCGCAAGCACATCACTGTACTTGAGTAATAGAAACCTTTGAAGGACGCAGCGAGACGGGTTGTGATGTCATTGATCTTTGTGGACTGCAACCTGGAATAATTGGGATGAATGATGAAGGAGGCACGCACGGCACGGGAGGATCGTCAGCCCTGCCAAGCGCAATGTGGAGACGCGACGAGTGACCCGTGCAACGCCGTGTTTCAGGTTCCATTGATCTTCGACACTGGCATCAGCTGCGTCATGTTATGCCTTTTTTCACATTGTCTTCTTCCAAATCATCTCGAGGCTCGTGCAGATGGCGAGGGCGGTGTCATCGGCGATGGACGGGACCGCAAAGACGGTGCACCATTTTGTCGCTATTTGCCATTGTGTACGTAGCGACGTAGTGACGTTGTATGTACGTCTAGTATCTATACTGTATGTTGCATTGTGTGGTGATCTTCGTCGACTTCCGTCTCCTAGGTAGTTATTATCATATCACAAACCGCAAACCATAAGGACTCGGCCTGAACACCTGCCGTTCACAGCACCGTGCTCACCCACTCCTAAAACGGCGTTTTTCTGTTGTTGGCCAACAGCCCATCGTCGAAACATTTCTTCTCCTACGATGACGCCACGCTGTGGTTGTTTCATCGTACGCCTCCCAGCACCAGCCGGGCAGTGGACCCGTTCCATAGTTCTGCATCGTGATGGTGCTCCCCACGAGGCCAACGTCCAGGACCAGATTCGTGCCTTTCCATGAACATCGCACGTCTGATGCGACCTCGCGGCGTACATGACTACGAACGCCGCAGACATGTGCGCATGGCCTGATTGTGGTCACATTCATCTGAGGGCGGCACACGAAGATTGAAACTGACTTCCCAGGGCATATTGACGATATGCGACTCGTGCATGGTACCTAGGTCGTGATTCCTCCGTATCCTCGCTACCCTCATTTCTTGGCACTTTTGGCTGCGACCACGACGCGAATAGCTCGGAAGGAAGAAATTTCATGGTTGACAAGCGCGTCTTGGAGATGCGGTGATCCATATCTAGCTACCCGAGGGTACTGTCTGCCATGAACACGCCGTCACGTGGACGAATCTCGATCGCGGCGGAGACGTATTTGATGAGGATGAACATGCTGAAACTTCCTGATGGCAGCCATCCTGGTCGGGAGTATGAGACCTGGGAGATGCAGATGAAGTCATTACTCTCCGAATATGCGCCGTAATCTCGTCAGGGTGAGCTTCCGAGAGACGCATCCATCAACCTGAAGACGACCTTGGAATGATGGGGTAATTTAAAATTGAAAAGAGACTTGCGCGCCAACTACTCCTGACCAGCAATGGCAACGGCGGCCAAACCCTCCCCTCCTTCTTCCTTGCCTCCCCGAGTCCCCGGTGGGTTTCTCTCCTGTTTCCCCGTCGCGCCATTCCACTCTCACCTCGAGTCCAAGTGAGATAAACTCTTGCTATCGTACGTACATTTCTCCCATGTGTGAGTGATGAGTGTGGTTTAAGGAGGATTTTCATCCACCCAAGCCGTGCATGGATTTGCAGGCCTATCTACAGCATGAATTGGGTAGTGATCCACTCACATGCTGAGCTACTGTAGGTCGTAATTAAAATAACTTACTTCACCCGAGTCGTGCAGCAGGCTAATTGCCGGGCCGCCGCTGCTAACACGAAATCGGAAGCATAGCAGGGCACTTATCACTTAGTATTACCACCATCACGGAATATTGTGTTCTCATACCGTCTGACTCTCTCTTTCCTGGAGCAGCATCATTCCGGTCATCAGGCAGGTGGGAGTTCGATCGTAGGCAGAAGGAACATTTCGGTGTGGTAGTGGTGCATGATAACCTTGGAATGTGAAAATGAACATGGAAACCCACCTGGGCACCTACTAGGTACCTAGGTAGGTAGCGTGTGAAAAGTCGTTAATGACTATAGCCCTGGAGGTACCTGGTGCCTGACTACTGGGGTCGTATTGTACAGTAGGATGATGGATGGGATGCCCGCACAAGCCTCGTCTCCCACTGTAGTCTCTCTGCCTGTTCAAGTGTGTCCTATGATCTGTAGTCTCTCTCTCCACTCGACCTCGTATCATTGCAGTACGGTCTCTCATCCATCATCGGCAGGTCGCGTCACCAACACGAAACTTCATCCCTCGTTCACCATCGTCACTCCTTTCCACTGGCCATCAGGACATCACGTCGCCCGCCTCTCGTCCTCGCTGACATAGCCACATACCAACATTTCTTCGCGTGAGGTGAACATGTTCGGGACTCAGTGCGCATGAGGCGCGGCCGTTCGGACACAGCCCGTCTCCATCTCTGTACTCCATCTGACATTCCTTCTGGCCGCGCCTCATCGAGCCCAGTCACTCGTTCCTTACCGTCGTCACTCGCTCGTTGCTACCGTCACTCGTTCCCGTCCATCGGATACTAACACCTCAGTCCCTCCTCACTTCGCAAACCAATTCACGTCAACTATCGAACCCTGCGCATCTCGCATCTGTCTGCTACTGACCGAGTGCCGCCAAATTGTGCATGATTCTTTGAACAGGCGCCGCTGCAGCAGCTGCGCGCACAAAGCGCTTGTTTCTTCGCATTCCGATCTAGGAGGAGCTGTGGGAATTTCATTACACCTGGGCACCCTGCGCTTGGAAGGGCGACGCTTCGACGCTCTCGCGCCCTTTATTCTGTTTTACGAAATCAACGACCGCGATCTTCAGATAGACGGTACCGCGCGGGCTTTGGCGATTGCATCTCTGGGATCACCACCAAGTCGGTGCGCTTATATCCAACATACTCAGCTCGATATCGTGCTCAAAGTCTCCGCTGGCGGGTCATGTCGGTCCCCAAGCCGTTGTCGGCCCTCCGGGGTCGCTGCTCTACCATTCATGACAATTCTCTTTACGTCTTCTCCCCCGATGCCTTTCAATCAATACAACTTCGTCAGAATGCCACTTGGGTACAGATGCCCAATGGCACTGCGGTCGCCGGCGCGGCCTGTGCCAAAGTCTCCTCCGGTGGTAACGCAACCGATACAGCACTTTTCGTCATTGGGGGCGAAGCCACAGACAACACATACCGCGGACTTCAAAGATTCACCTTCTCCAGCAAGTCCTGGGAAACGCTCCCTGTCGTGGCAGATGTGCTGCAAGGACGGACAACTCATGGCGTGGCCTACTTGAGCGATTCTCAGTCAATCTTGATCTATGCTGGCTCGCAACCAGTCGCCCCTTCTGTTTATTCATCTCAAACCTTTTTGCTGTCAACAAAGCCGCCGTACAATATCGAATCCTATACCTCGGAAGCTCCGCCGCTGGCTGACCCGATCATACAGCCCTGGAACAGTAGCCACGCCGTGATGGTTGGTGGCTCGGCGTCCAACACAGATGTCTGGACTTTTGGACCCGTTGAGGGCTGGCAACGATACCAGACGGACTTGTCCAAACCATTGGATCCCGCGGATCGAGCGGTTGTATTGGACGGTAATGATGGTAGCAAGGTCATGAATATCCTTGACCTGCAAGCATCACCTAATACTGTTACTGGAGTTGTGCTGCAAAAAGCAGATGGCACTCCGGCCACCACCGGACAAACTGTTGGTGGTAGTGTCGTGCGCTCAAAGAAGAGCAAGCGTGATCTGACTTTGAGTAACTGGCCCGTGTACAACAGCACCAACGCTCCAACAGTGACGCGGGACGACAGCTCCATTGCCCGAGACACCCAATCGGGCCTGATAGCTATCGCAGGCGGAAGTACCATCTTGCCAGTAGCTCTGTTCGATCCGAACCAGAACAGCTGGCTCAACGCATCCACGTTTTTCAACGCCAAGAACCAGCAGCCGCTCATTCCGACATCAACCAGCACGACATCTGTATCAGCGACCGCGACACCAACGGCCTCCGCGTCATCGCCTGTTGCTCTGCCCGGAAGTGGTGACAATTCGGGCCACTCGGAAACACTCAGTACGGTGGGCATTGTTCTGGGCACGATCTTCGCCTTTGCTGCGCTCTTCATCCTGATTCTTATGTTCTTGCGCTGGCGCAGGCAGCAGGCGCTGAAGAACAAGGGCGCGGTTGACGAGAAAGCGAGTGCAGGCTTCCCAAACGATAGCGAGCGAGGGTTCCCACCTGCAATGATAGAAGGCGCTGCTGCCAATAGGGGACTAGTTCCACCAAACACAGATGGATTCAGAACGAATCATGATTCATTCGCAATTATAGCCAATAAATTCACCCCACCGCGGACAGCTGGCACTCATCAAACAAAAGACAGCTTTGACAGCACTGCCCGGTTGGTCAAGCCTAGAGATGAGATGACCACTGGCGAACCTTTGGAGATGACGGCCTTGCCCGGCCGGTCGCCCGTTGCTGGGTCGAACCTGGCGGTTCCTGGAGCCGGCCTGGACAATGGGGCTCGGGCAGGAAAGACGCGCAGCACCGGATGGTCGAGGTATTTTGCAACAAGCGAGGCGGCCAAAAGCAATCCTTTGTCGCACATTCCTTCCGTGTACATCAAGTCTCACAATGACGAGAACGCGGGCGAGGGCCTTCAATCCAATCGCACATCTCAATTATCTCGCATACCCTCCTCTTCGATCATGGCACCGCTAGATCTTGATTTCGCTCGGGACGGAGACGGTCAACGACTGTCACATGTTGCCTATAGTTCGCCGTCATTCGCCGACTCTCGAGAAGACCTCGCAAAGCTGGGCAGATCGATAGACCTGGAGCGAGGCCAAAAAGCGTCCATTGTTAACCCGACGAGGAAATCACACAGTCAAAGTTTTAGTTCTTATGGAGATCGGTCAACTCTAAGCAGCACCATGACCAGCGACTGGTACACAACCTCGGCGCACTCGGCTTGGTCACCAACCAGATCTTCATTTAAAGATCATTTGAATGATCGGCCTGGCAGCAGCAGCACCCACGCGAATAGCGTCTATAGTATTAGCGATCGGCCTAGGCCTTCTCAATCGCGCGGAAAGTCACCAGGCTTCTTTCCTGGTACTGGGACGTCCTATCGGCCTCCTCGATCGTCACACAAGGTCAAGATGAGCCACGCAGCAGGTCCCACATCTGCATGGGCTTCACATGACATCAACCATGATGCACCATTGCCTCCGCCGCCTGTTGCGAAGGCCGAAGATCGTGCCATCACCGCAAAGGATGCTACAGGTTCAGATGCCGCACCCTTTCAGCAGCACCAGCCATCAAAATCTGTTGCATCAGACATGAGCTGGGTGAATCTTGATCTCAACAAGCCAAACGCTTAAACACATTTCAGAACGCAATATCTGTACATAATCCTGCCTTCGCTGTCTTTGAAGCCTGCTTCGCTTCCTCTGGCCCGTTTGGATATCATGCTCCAAGCTCCGTCCTGCTTCAAACTTGCTCACCTGATGGTGGATCCGATACCGAAGCAAACTCGATCTGAAGCGATCAGGCCATGACTGCTCTCCTTGACGCCAGACGTGATCACGGCCTTTCCATCTCTCGATAGTCCGTTCAGGGCTTCTTTCAAACCTACTCATGCATTTCATTGTGGTCTGGGGCATTTCCATACGCGCATAGCCGAATCGTTCTTACGGCGGCCCCCCAAACGAACGCTTTCAGCCTAAGGGCAAACTTTTGTGTATCATTTCTCTTCCGCGGCATCTCCCCCGCTAATAACGATCATTCATCATGCCTTCATATCCAGCGACGGACGTTTCAGTGCCGTCGAAGCAAAGCGGGAAGGCAGCTTTTAGATTACACTCTGTGCTGTCAACGAGCCGGAGCTTTCCAGTGTAAATAGATAATGTTTCATACATTCGGCCATGATCAAATGGCGTAACAGCCTTGAGTACCTCTCGTACCGCTCTTGCTCCTTGGACTCTATCTCGAGTCGTTACTTCCTTCGTGCTTGACTCCAGCGAACAAAGTTCGCCCGACAGGCTTTGTGCGCCTCGCCTCCTGTCAAGGTGTGACGGACCGTACATTTATAGCCACAGAGACGGTAGCTAGCCCAGCACATCGATCCCACCTATTGCACCGGTGCACCTTGATGTCCTGCCCATGATCTTGTCGTATCTGAGATTTAGTAGATCACAAACTCCTTCCACACCACTTCCTCTATAGCTTCGCCTTATCACTCCTCTCCACCTCCAGCCGAATCGCCTCCCGCAACTGCCCAGCCAGAACCTTAGCCTCATCATCGTCCAGGTCCTCCCGCGTGCCCCGACCAAACATCTTCCAACTCTTTAACTGCTCCACATCGCCGCCCTTGCCCTGACCCTTGACCGGACGCCGTCGGTCCTCCTGATACCGCGGAATCAGGTGGAAGTGGATATGCGGAACCACCTGCGCCGCCCGGTGCCCGTTGTTCTGCACCACGTTCCAGTCCTCGACGCCCGTGACGGCGCACAGCGCCCGCGATACCACGGGTAGCCATTGGCCCAGTGCGCGCGCGGATTCCTCGGCGTCAGAGGGCGGCCGTCGCGGCTGCCAGAGCTGATTGGGAGGAGTGCTGGGAGGTGGCTCGCGGAGGTCGGAGAGTTTGGTGTAGTGCTGTCGTGTCGTGAGGAGGATATGGCCGTGAGCCATGGGCATGATGTCGAGGAAGGCGAGGACGTAGGGCGTCGAGAGGATGAGGTGGCATTGCGGCGAGAGCAGCTCTGGGTTGGGATCGGATGGAATCGGTGTGTTCGTGCTGGGTGGGTACGTCGCGCCGATGGTGCAGAATGCGCAGGTTTCGGCGTACCGAGGATCAGAAGCGGACGTCATTGTATTATGCGTGGACCTGTCCGGGACGAGACCCAGGGATATCTTCTTGATGCGGGCGAGGGTAAGACGCTGATTCGGACGGCGAGTCAATGGAAGAATGGTGCTGAGTGGCGGAGTTTGCGGATTTAGGATTGCCAAGTTCTGGATGGGGGTTTTTTACAGGGCTACCTAGGTACCAACCTTGGAAGGTATGACTTCTGACAGGCATGCCCGTGTGCACATAGGCACACTCGTCACCAGATCGCCAATGTCCCGAATAGTCGAGGTAGGGATGAGGCGTGATGCAAGATAATCTTTCCACATTCTGTCACGTTTGCCGGTCGACAGAAACGTGTAAATACAGGGAGTAGCTTGGGCGAAGCTGAATCATATCAACTTCAATAATCGTACAGAAGATCTAGGCAGACTTTTTGCTGCGAGAGACACAGGACGCATTATGTCACTGTCTGATAGTACATGATAAATCGACTGCATTCACCACAGCCAGCCAAATATACAAGTCCACTTCTAACCTTTCCCCTTGACACGTGCGCAGATTACCTCTTTGACGTCCTCCGCTTGCCGTGATTCCGAGGACGCTCTGTGACGACATATTTGTTCGGGTTCCGCTTTCTCCTCGTTTTGTAACCTCCTTTGGCCTGGATATTATGTTAGTCCGAAGATTTCAGAAATGTTAGAAGATCGCTGCTTACCGGAGTGCCCCAGATTGACACAGGGTGTACGTTACCCTTGCTCTTACCACGACCACCACCGTGAGGATGGTCGACTGCGTTCATTGCAAGACCACGGACGGTTGGTCGAATGTTCAGCCATCGACTGCGCCCGGCCTTACCAAGTTGTCGAAAGTGGTGGTTGGGGTTGCTGACCACGCCGACAGTCGCACAGGCGTCCTTGTCGAACTTTCGCACCTCTCCACTTTGCAATCTAAGGATGACTTGGAAGCCAGTGGATCGATCGCCCTTGCCAACGACCGTAGCGAATGTCCCAGCGCTACGACAGAATACGCCACCACCGGACACCCGGGTGCAGACGTTATATACTTGTGTGCCAACTGGAATCAAACGCAGCGGCAGACAATTGCCTCTGAAACAAGTCTTTGCAGCCAAGATTCCTGGATCGATGACACCTCCCATGCTCTGTAACAAGGCCTCCGGGATTCCCGATCGAAAAGATTCAACCACATCACCAGCTCGCATTCCCTCTGCGGCAATGATATAGCTCTTGACTTTAGTCGTTGGATGCTCGATGAGTGCCAAGTGCGCGGATCTGTTGGGATCGTACTCGATACGCTCGACCACATGTCCACCGGGTTCCTTTCGCTCGTAGTCCACCATCCGGATCCGTCGCCTGTGACCACCACCGTGGTGACGCATTGTGATTCGACCACTGTTATTCCTGCCTCCCTTTCCTTGCCCAATTTTGGGGAAAGTGAGCTTTTTATAAGGTCTGCCCTTCCATAAATGGTCGTTGATGGGTCGGCGTAGATGTCGTGTTCCAGGAGTTCGTGGCTTGTATGTCCGCATGGTCGCGCTACCTTTGGCCTCACGCCGGGACTGTGGAGACGTTGAAGGCATCCCGAATGTGATGCCTTCATTCGTGGGCGCCGCATCGAGCGTGCTCGGAGCAATGGTTGTTGCAGTGGCATATGTCCTTATGCGGTTTGTGAAGAAGTTCCGACATTGATCGCAAATCGATTTCTGCAGGCGCGCCTGCAGAATTGCCATCTTGGCTGTGAGATGCTGACAGCGATGCCCCGATCAACCGTGGATTTCGTGTGATGCCGTGATGAAATTCAATGCAACGCCAGCTGGGAGGTTCACCACTAATTGAGCTGGACAGCTTTGCCCGGACATTCGCTTGTCAACTAATTCTGGCGAGGGCCGCTCCTGATGCATCACGTGCCTGGCTCGGCACAGTTGCTGTAGAGCGCGAGGCGCGCGAGAATTCACAAGTCACGTGGCTCAATTCGACGCGGTTGCTCCGGACAACCATCGTGCGGAAGCTTGTTCGTCACGACGAAACGATCACGAAACCGGTCCGCTTCGGTCACTGGGAAGGGTGAAGGGTAAAGGGTATCAGCAGATATGGCACTCTTTTTCTCCCAAGGACCGAGAAATTCGGCGTTTTGGGAATCGTTCAACTGCCTCTGCCGATGCTCCTTGGATTGGGGGCCGGGTGCAGCTGTGCGCGCTGGACAATTTCCCTTGGAGGTTGACTGCGATGCGAGTCGCGTCCGTCGCGCGTGTGCAAATCATCACCCCAGCGTCATCGTCACCTGCCACTTTCTTCGGGCGTGCCCTGAGCTTCGAGCGAGCTGGAGTACAATATCGGCATCTGCGCGCCTGCCGTTGACGAAAATTCCAACCTCGCGGCATCATCGAGACTTCCTATCATGTATGTTCCTACAGTATGTCATGTAATTAAGAACACCTGGGCAGGCGTAAATAGCATTTAAGGATACCTACGTAGGCATGCAGAAGTGCGCACACAGGATTGTGCTCAATGGATAGACGAAAGAAACATATAGGAACTGGAGCCGTCTCCAGCTACGGTCTCCGAAAATCTCCACAAGATTGGATGCATTTCTCAACCACGTGTGATTGTGAATCGCAGTGCACCGACGGCCCGGAATGGAGACCCAGACAATCATAGCGGATATGACGGTTCATAACGATTGATCAGGGAAGCAACCTGCAAAGCTGGAATAACAACGATGAGTGTGCAGGTGTTCATGGATATGGTACCACCACAAAAACCTCGGAATCATTTAATCTGAGAGCGCATCGGGAGAGAAACGCGTGTGGTGGTGTTGAGTGGAGGACGTGCGGGCTTTGTTTGGGACGCAAGTATGATGATCTAACGCTCCATCTGCTGTCTCCCGTCTGTTAGGTGCAGCGGGCACAGACTCGTAGCGGAGAGGAAGAGGGAGAGGGAGAGACGCGTGCTTGCTTGGCTGTTGTTGTACGTAGAGTTAAAAATCCCGTCCATTCGCGTGTCATCGCGGCCAGTGCCAGCGCCAGTGCGCTGCCAGCCCGAACCTGCCTGTACCCCATAACAACCGAGACCTGCCTGCGTTCGTTCATTCATATACATACATCACTGTCCAGCTGCTCCACCAGCCTCGCAGCCCGTCCTTGCTTCCCGTCTCGAGGTCTAGAGTGACAGACAGAGCGAAAGAGAGAGCAGTTACCTTTCTATTCAGGAAAAACACCATCTCGACACGTCCGCCTCGTTGACATCTAGCACCATCGCACCGCTCTATCCAGTCTCAGAGCTGCGGCGCGTGTGTCATTCTACTACCTAGCAGCATCTCACATCCCGCTGCGAGCATTCACCAACCCATTGGCAGCCTTTGCATGTTATGTTGATATTTTCGCCAAACAACACCACCTCCGCAAGTACAATCATAACAATATCAACACGACGTGACGAGCAGGTCTCCAGCACGTTACAGGCATCTGTGCTTGTGCATACCTAACTGCGAGTGAGTGCAGCGACGCGATAACAATCTGTCACTACGCGAAAATGCCTGCTGACTAGGGCGTGTGCAGCTAGCCAAAACATACACTCGTCAACGTCAAACATTCAACAACACACGCATAACCTCCGATCATAATCTTCCCTCTTCACATAGGGTCACCATGCCTGCGGTATGTGCACGATCTCCGCATGTTATTGACGCGTCGACAGAAGGAATGTTACTGACACCACAGCAGGCAAGGACTGTAAGGCGGACCGTGACAGATGAAAATGCCGAGAATGTCGCTTCAACACGCCTGACGCGTGCCAAAGCTGCTGCTCTGACTGACGGTGCCGTCGGCGAACCACCAAAGAAGGCGTTGGCTACAAAGGCATTGACGCGTAAACGACCTGCACTCGAGAACATCAGCAATATCGCGAAGAAGGACCCTTCAGATGCTGGCAAGGACACATTGGGCAAGACTGCCCTCTCCAAGGCTGCTAAGCCAGCGGGTATCCAAAAGGCACAAGCCCGGACGACTACAACCCGCACCGTACTTGGTCAGAAGGCAAGCAACACAACTACTTCCGACACGAAACGACCTGCCAGTGGCTCCGGCGTCAATGTACAGATCGCAAAGAAGCGCAATACCTCGGCCACCAAGCCCAAGCGACCTGTTGAGGTCGAATTGGAGGAGGAGGACGCCTCAGAGAATGTACCGCCGACCAAAGCTAGCGTCAAGCCCGCCGAGTTAAAGGCGCACGTCAAACCTGACATGGCCCATGTCGACCTTTTCGACATCGAAGACGACGAGGCCAAGACTTTCGAGGAACTGATCAAGGAGGCCAAAGACCTTGACTCCGAGGACCTGGGTGACCCATCTATGGTTGCTGAGTACGTGCATGAGATCTTTGACTATCTGAAGCAGGTCGAGATGACCACGCTTCCTAACGCGGATTACATGGACAAGCAACCCGAGCTTGAGTGGAACATGCGCGGTATCCTCGTCGATTGGCTTTTGGAGGTACATGCACGCTTCCGTCTTCTGCCCGAGACCCTCTTCCTCGCCGTCAACATTGTCGATCGCTTTCTCTCGTCCAAAGTCGTCCAGCTTGACCGCCTGCAACTGGTCGGCATCACTGCCATGTTCATCGCGTCCAAATACGAAGAGGTGATGTCGCCACACGTGAGCAACTTCGTTCACGTCGCCGATGAGGGCTTCAAGGACTCGGAGATATTGTCTGCCGAGCGGTTCATCTTGACCACATTGGACTATGACTTGTCATATCCCAACCCCATGAACTTCCTTCGCCGCATCTCCAAGGCCGATAACTATGACATTCAGACTCGTACCCTTGGCAAGTATCTCCTGGAGATCGGGTGTCTCGACCACCGCTTCATGAAGTACCCACCCTCTCAGATTGCCGCCGCCGCCATGTACTTGGCGCGTCTTGCGCTCAATCGTGGAGAATGGGACGCCACCCTTACCAAATATGCCGGTTACACCGAGGCTGAAATTGAGCCGATCTTCAAACTCATGGTCAACTACCTGGCATCTGACGTAGTACACGAAGCCTTCTTTAAGAAGTACGCCAGCAAAAAGTTTCTCAAAGGTATAGTTGCATAACGCTCTGTTAGATCGAACATGACTAATCATTCACAGCTTCCATCGTCCTCAAGCATTGGGCCGAGCGTTGGGGAGCGAGACTCCTCGGTGCCGACTTTGCTCCCAGCAGGAATGGTGGCAAGACGCCTCGAGTATCAATTTGATTTATTTCATACTCGAAAGGTCTGCCTGGGTGCCACACACACCCAATGCCCATGTCGCTTGCCGCCTCATTGCTGCATTCGTGCACAGAAGTGGCGGCGACAAGGGAACCCGCAGAGCACGAAAGTCGAGGTGTCTGGACAGACAGCACCCAGGATCGTGCACCGTCCATTCCACCGAGCTGTGCGTGGCGGCGGCATGTCACCTTGATGCCGTCGTACCTATAACCACGATGATCGGATTATGAAAGTTTTGTATACATGCCATCTAGGTTGGTTGAGAGCAAGTCCGCTTGCGACGACCGTGGATTGGCCTTCAGAGTGCGAAGCGATGGCTCATGCGCTCGCTACTTCACCCTCCCAAAGGAGGTGTATGTCGGAGTTCAAGGCGTCAAAGGAGCGGGTGCTGTGTTCGTTCTCAGTGCGGATCAGCTCCCTTTTAATGCTGTTGCAGCCTGATTGCGTTATTGCTTTATTGCTCGCTTGCTTGATTGTTTGCTTTGCTTTGCTGCCTTTACCGGACGGGGGGCTTTTGGTTAGATAGAAAGTGTAGCGAGTTCCAAGTGAAAGTCTTTTTATTTGCTTTCATCATGTTGATGGAAAGTCATGGCAAGAATCCCGTCTTCATGGTTCGAAATATTTTAACCAACTTGTCGTTTCTTACTGAGCAGCATCCGCACATTATTATATATCTGGGTAGCTCTAGAGGAAGCTGAAGCCGAGATCTAGTCGTTGTCATGACATAATCCATCACGAAAACAGCTCGAGAACCTTATTTTAGATGGCGCGACGATCCTCCAGGCCTCCCAGAAGCCGCGCTCACGTTTATATACGCCCGCGACCTTTGGCACTGTATTTGACTCGCGCATGTCGCAGAACCTGAACAAATTTGCACAATCGGGCTGGAATGAACTGATATCTTAGCCTTTGAACGAAGGCATGTCCAAATCACATCACCATTGCGCACAGTAGCAAGCCGAAGTCTCGCGGCTTCTGACTCGAACGTCACCATGACTGCACTGCGGAGTTCAGACGTCGATGAAGCGTACTTCAACGACCTGACGCAGCAACCTCCAGGTCTTAACATTGCAGGCCCTGGCGACCAAGGCGGCACAGACGAGCGACTTGCGGAAGCGCCCAGGGCGAAGCGCATAGCCTGTGTGATCTGCAGGAAGCGGAAACTTCGATGCGACGGAGTAAAACCGTCATGTGGGTCTTGCTCGCGACTTGCACATGACTGCGCATACGACGAGGTGCGGAAGAAGAGCGGACCGAAGAGAGGTTATGTGAAGTTGCTAGAAGCTCGACTTGCCCAAGTGGAATCTTTGCTCTCGAAAACCCAGGAAGAATCGGCTGATGCACCGAACGGCAATACAGCTGCCCAAGATGTAACGACTTTTGATGACGATGTTAACTATCTCGACAGCGCACTTGGCCAGACAGAACAGCAGTTTCCAGATCAGCGGGAAGTTCATTACATTCCTGATTTGCGGTCTTTTGGAGCCGTTCCCAAAGTCGCTCACGATGGTGGGTTACAGCTGCCTATCGCTGAGACGCCGTCATGGGATATGATCGCTTTGGGGCTGGATGAGCCTCTGCCTGCTCAGAACATCATAGACGACCTCAACAACATTTTCTTCGAGCGAGTCTACCCGACGATGGCTATGATACATCGACCGCGTTACTACATGGCCATGAGTCTAGCACCTCACATGCGACCGGCAACTTGTCTTCGCTATGCTATGTGGGCTAGTGCTGCGTTGGTCACAGATGGATACCGAACATTAGCGGAACCTTTCTACATTCGTGCTCGCAAGTATCTTGAGCGGGACGAAATGAAGGGTCGTGGCGAAGGCATGGCCCTGCTCGCGCACTGCCAAACATGGGCCCTGGTGGCCACATATGAATACAAAAACATGCTATTCCCCCGAGCGTGGTTGTCAGTGGGCAGAGCATGTCGGTTGACTTCGATGCTGAGTCTGAATCGTCTCGATGGAGCCGGGCCTGAAGTGAGACAGTGTCTTCCCCCGGCCAGAGATGAAACGGAGCTGGAAGAGCGCAGACGGACGTTCTGGGTGTGCTTCGGTGCAGACAGATTTGCGAGTGTCGGAACTGGCTGGCCAATGTCAATCGACGAGGCTGACATCACCACGAAGCTTCCAGGAGACGAAGCTTCATTCGAGGCCGGTGTTCCGGCCGAGTCCATCACTTTGGCGGCAGCTTTCGACTCTGGTGGTTCGACCAGACTGTCTAGTGGTGCTGCTGTCTTGGTGCTTACTTGCCTTTTCGGGAGGAACATGAACCACATCTTCCGACCAGGATCGAATGATAAAGATAAGAATCCAAACGGAGATTTCTGGACTCGACACACGAACATGGACAATTTATTATCGACCATGACGCTGATGTTGCCAGATCAATTACGAATCCCAGCAGGTCTGAACGATCCTAATGTAATATTTCTAAATTTGGGTCTTCACACGGCTGCCATTTGCATCCACCAGGCCAACATCTCCAGGGAGGAACGTAGTAAATCGTCCTCCAGAATGGCTTCGGGAAGCAGGGCCCGCTGTCTTACCGCAGCGACAGAGGTTGCTAACATTATGCGCCAGATTTGCCATCTGGACTTTTCAAATGTGAGCACTTTCCTCATCTGCTCTCTCACAGAACATTACTAACACTTTGTGATCACAGATGAACGGCTTTGTCCCTTTCTTTCTATTCACGGCAGCCCGTGTTTTCGTTCACCATCTGAAGACCAAGCCTAATGATGTCCAACCCCGAGGCTCGCTCAAATTTTTGATCTCGGCATTGCAGGTTTTCAAGCGAAAAAATCCTCTGGCAGAAACCTTTCTCGTCCACATCGAATTCGAGCTTATGGGCTCGGGTCTCGAGGACCTTCGCATATATCGCGACAACGAAGCAGGCGAGACTGCTCTGTCCCTGGCCCAGGCGATCCATCGAAGTTCAACAGAGGTATACCTCCCAGGTCATGAAACGGATCCGTGCGGACCAATACCTTTCCCAGTTCCGTCCACCAGCAACGACAAAGGCGCTGAAGAGACCCTTGGATCCCACCAGTCGAATCAGATCAGATCAGAATTGCCCTCTAGACAACGAAGTCTGGATTCCTCTGGCATGTATCCTACACCTGACGGGATTGTTCAAGAGATGGACACGAGTCCAGATGGTAGCGGAGGTGATCAGCGTACGCCGCCATTCGGCTCTGGCTCGAAAGTCCATACCGTTTCGTCGAGTTCTGTCTCGCCCAATAGCCAAGAACCCGCGATCATGATGCAAGGACACCATTCGTTCCCTGGTCAAAACGTCGCGATGGACCAAAACGTCGTCACAAATGAATCGCTTCTAGCTGCGTATCAAGCGATGCCCGTGGCGGCGACAGCATATGAGCCACAGAGGTCTCTCCCGACATGGAAAAACACCAGCACTGGTCTGGCACCCCGTGAGATCGATGGCTTCGCGTTCGCTAATGCCGAAGCATTGAACGGTATATCCGATGCGGAGTGGTCGCACATGTTGAACACTTTCGGTAGTGAGCATGTCGACCAGCCTGCTTGATACGTGAACTGTCGCCAAGTGGACGAGCATTTGCAATGATTACAACTTGTTTTGATGATGAATGAATGTAAATCACGTCTTATGAATATCGGAATGACGGCGCAAAGGGGGAACACAGGCGTGGCAAATAGTCTTTTAGCACTTGACTGGCGCAGAATCGCTAGACTGAAGAAGTGCGAGATCATTCGATCTCATATAATACTACCTCAACTATCGAGATGGGACCCTCTTCATGTTATGAGAAGTGGATACACCCCTGGAGTATCTTACTAATAAGGTTGCCCACCTGGGCATGTGTTTTACAACCATTCGACGCTGCAAAGTGGGGCAGGAACTAACATGATCGATGACGGAAGCTGTGATCGAATTCCCCCCTCAATCGGACAACCATTGTGCCGTCGGATACCTGAAGATGCCGAATGGTTACAGCAAACTCCGGACATTTACTTGCAGGAATAGGCACAGAGGAATAGCTTCACGTCAAAAATCGAGCTATTGACGACCCGATTGCACCGGCGGGTTTGTGCTTGTTCTCATTGCATACCTAGGTACCGCGTTATATTCAGACAGAATCAATCCTCCATCGAGATCGACGGTCGACATATTACAGTCGGTGAAAGACGAGCAGAAGTAGACATGCCGAAACCTCAGCTCTTGCTCCTCGGAGCCATTGACCAGTGAGTGGTCCTACATAGTCATGGGCAGCTCACCTATTGAACAATCGAAAGCGCTCACGAAGCGTGGCGATCCATGTCCAACATCGCCGAGATCATCGAACCTCAAGCAAAGACTCGCAGCGAATTTATCGACGAATGCAAGTCCGGCAAGCTCGATTCCGTACACGCGATATACCGAACGTTTGCCAGCGTCGAGACCACTGGTCGGTTTGATCCCGAGCTCGTCGCGGTCCTTCCGAAGAACCTGAAATATCTTGCACACGTCGGTGCGGGTTACGACCAGGTCGACGTGAAAGCATGTTCCGAGCGTGATCCTCCCATCCGTGTATCGAACACTCCTACCGCGGTCGACAACGCGACCGCCGACACGGCCGTATTCCTCATGCTCGGCGCGCTCCGAGGCTTCAACGTGGGAATGACATCGTTGCGACAGAACAAGTGGCGAGGCGAACCAGCTCTACCCTTGGGTCATGACCCGCAAGGCAAGGTGCTCGGTATCTTGGGAATGGGAGGGATCGGGCGTAACATGATGAAGAAATGCACCGCGTTCGGAATGAAGACCATCTATCACAACCGGAATCGTTTAGATGACGACAAGTCTGGAGGTGCACAGTATGTCTCCTTTGATGAACTGCTTGCGCAGTCGGATGTGTTGAGTTTGAATTTACCTCTGAATGTAAGTGAAGCGCAATGCATGCAGCATCATCTCAGGAGTCGATGTATTAGCTGACTGATGGCGTTCCCGCAGAACCACACGCGCCACATCATCTCTACGGCAGAATTCGCAAAGATGAAGAAAGACGTAGTAATTATCAACACGGCCCGAGGCGCGGTCATGGACGAGGATGCCTTGGTTAAAGCGCTCGAAAGCGGTCAGGTTCGCTCCGTCGGCCTGGATGTATTCGAGGAGGAGCCCAAGATTCACCCAGGCCTCGTGGCTAACCCGAACGTCATGCTCGTGCCACATCTAGGGACGTGGACATTCGAGACTCAAGCCGCCATGGAGGAATGGGCGATGGATAATCTGCGCTCGGCGATCGAGACGGGGAAGCTGAAGAGTCCGGTGCCAGAACAGACAGATTTATAGACGCGTCCCGCTGCGAATGAGCCTTGCCGGGAAGACTAATATGAGCAGAATAGACCTGCTCTGTCTGACTTTCGAAGCTTCGGCCTCCGCTATAAACAGTAGTTCACGACACACACATACGGTACTCGTATAAATGCAGTCGTATACACGACAGAAAGTTCCATGAAACGTGAAGCTGCATGTTGGACGTATACCGGAGACCCTGCAGCTCACGTGGATGGTGTGCGGCTGCACCGGCCGATGCGTCGTTATATTACAGTATCACAGCGTGCAAACGCATGCCTCCCAGATTCCCGCACCATCTCTGATATAAATACGATATCTGGATGATCGAACGACGCAAGTTTTGTGGCATGCATTACATCGCGAACAATTAATGTCCTGCACGCAGACTTCTCGTCACACACCAGCAGGTCGTGATCGATGACTGTGAGGCTTCAAAGCTGCAGGAAAATCCATCCGCTCGCCTGATGCGCCCCCGGGCCTATCAGCCGAGGAATCTCGGCGGTATCATCGCATGATCTCAGGCCGTGCGGGCAAATATGTATGGTCGTGACGGGCTTGGTCATAGTCGCCAATTTCGACAATAATAGATATTACATATCGTACTGTTATCCTCACGTAGCTACTAACCATGTCACGGTCATTGTCCAACTCTCCGTGTCTACGCCTGAGCTGAGGAGCACGATTCTGCTTTCTCAATGGCCGAGCGAAACAGGAGCACCGACGACCTGATTGGCGTGGCTCCATGGCAGGTCGGCGAGGGTATGCCAGCTTCTTATAACCTTCGTGGATCCCATGGCGACCATCTCGTCGTAGAGCAGCAGCATCAGCAGCAGGAGGAAGAAGAAGAAGAAGAAGAAGAAGAAGAAGAAGAAGAGGATCGCGCTCGCGGACCAGCCCTGTCAGATCTCATGCAATATCATTACCCCCGAGACCGCGTGTTGCTTGCAGAGAGTGCGAGCATATCGTACCCGCCCCGGTCGATGATGCAACACGATGATCCTGGTTCACTCGCACCGCATCCGCCGTTCCAGATCGGAGCGCCTGCGTATTCCCATGTCGCCTCAACGGCAGCTGGTCTGATGCCGGGCGCATTGTTGCAACATGAGCAATATGCCGCCGCGCCGCCACAATCTCGACCTGCCACCATTCTGGGATACGGCACCACCGACGGACTTGTGCTGCCATCGGGTACCACGACATCGGCATGGAGTCAAACAGGCGGGAATCTCATGTCCGCCGGATTGGCTGTAGCATCGGCGTCGGCCACCACGCCGCGAAGTATGGCGGCCAAGCCAAAGGAGCAGAAAAGACGCACGAAGACGGGATGTTTGACATGTCGCAAGCGACGCATCAAGGTGAGTGAATCTGTTCCGCAGTGCTGTTGCCGATTGTCATTTTGGAATGTTGCGGGTCGCGTGCTGCACTGCACTGTACATACTGCACGCACGTGGTCGACGAGGCTACCTTCTCGAGTACATGCTGCCCCGTACAGTGCGCTGTAACGTACCGGATCATCATCTGCTGTGGGCTGCATCTCGAGGCCCGACAACACAAATATTTGCCCGTTCACTGCCAGGCTACCCGTCCCCGGGATCAATCTGGCAGCCGGGGCCGGCCTGGAGACCATTGATTAGCACCATCCAAGCGGAAGTTTGTTTCGCACCTCACCTCCGTCCGCGATCGCACACACCACACCAAACATCTCTACTCCACTGATTAGCGTTGACGGACCGAAGCTTTGTTGTTACTTCCTTTGCCTGTCACAGCGCCAAACCCCGTTCCCCTCTGTCTATAGCCCGCGATTGCCATAGTTCTTACTGACGATCCCAATCGCAGTGTGACGAGGCTTTCCCCTCTTGTCGCAACTGCCAGAAAAGCAAGCGGCAGTGTATGGGCTACGACTTCAATCGAACAAACCTGCAAGGCACCAACGGCAATACGCTGCTTCGACCGGCACCGCGGCGCGATCAACTACCGCCGTCTGGCGTAGCGTTCCTGCCACACGTGCTTCGGACTGCACCTGACGGTCATCTTCCACCACAGCGGCCCTTCCCCGTCATTCCTTCGTCACGCGTTGATGAAACCGCAAATTACCACGAATAACCTTACAGACATCCGGTTCGTCTCTAGCGACGCAGATGGCGCGAAGCTCATCTTCATCGGGCCTGCAGCCTCATCGGAATAGTAAGCTTGGCTGCACAACAATGGCAGGGTGCGCCATTGCCGATCACTGACCACCGCCTCTGTGGTAGTCAAATTCGTAAGCATCAATGACTTGTTCTCTCTCAACGATATTGCGGCGGCATACGTCGAGCGGGAAGCTCCTCTCGCAGGCGTTATTCTCGATCAGCGCGAGATCAATGATTACTATCGTTTGCAGTACGCAAGCGCTCTAGACTCGTTCTTCGAGACGACCTGGTACACGTCACATGGCCCGGCACGGTTACAAGCGACTCCATCACTTCTTGATTTCGTCTCACAATGTATCGAGAAGATGAAGTCCCCGGCAAAAGACAAATCGATCCCGTCTCTTGAAGCTCGTCTGGTCTGGCAGTTCGCCATCATGCCGCGGACTGTGTCGCCGACCTTTGTCACTGCCATCGATTCCGCCGTTCAGGAGCTACTGCCACGGATTGATGTCGCTGAACATCTCTTGACCGGTCAATTCCTCGCTGCCGACCGAGTGCCACCCGCTTCGCTCCTCGCGCCATCCCTGGTCGGTTTCCCAGATTTGACCATTCCATGCACCAATCCAGACCCAATTCAGATTGCGCAATTGAAGGATCAAGAGTTCAACTTCTGGCATCAACTCGGCCGCTTTGTCAGCGTTCGGGACGACGACTCTAGCAATGCGAGCGCCGTTCAATCAGTATATACCACGCTACAGACCCTTCGAACCTTGCTCTCTCGGAAAGAGTCGCGCGACGTGCTCTATTCCATTGCGGTCTTACGTCACATCGGCGGTCGTCTACCGAATTACCATCCTCGAAGGCCGCTCTCGGTGTCGACCAACGACCCGAGCGACTTTCCGGGTCAGGTCAGCGTCGCCCAATTTTTTCTCGAACGGGAGGAGCGTACAGCGTCAACTTGGGTCGCTATGCGCGTTGCTGGCATGGCGTTGCGAGGAGTGCTCCTGCAAAAGCAGTGACATCTTTCTTTACAGAGGGATCAACTTGTCAGACTAAGTGGCTTCAAGCATCATCTCGAGATGCACAATAGAGATAGCGAAGCAATTCTACGTGCTTGCAGAAATCATTAAATTGCAACTGGTAAACAATACATTGGTCCAGAGTTCGAAAAGTACATCCAGCGAATCAAGGCGAATGGTGATACAGCAGCAAAAGGAACAAAACAGGGGAGATATTGCCCAACAGCGCAGATCGTCGCGGCGCATATCATCGGCGCTGGGCGCCGTGAAGCACCCGAATTTTCCGATGCTTACCTCGTGTGAATTCTAGAAGCGCAATCTTTTCATAGCATTGGCTTCTCGTTTCACAAGCGCGCCGCCACTAATTCTCCCCAACGCGCTCGTTGTCGAGGTCCCCGGGATAGCGCCAGAGAAGGGCAGAGAGGGGCAAAAGTGCAACGTTGTTATCGTGCAAGGTGTGCTCAACAGGACGTGGGACGAGAGTGTGACTGTCAAGCCATGCGGCTGATGGCCAAACCTCCCAGCCGACCAGCTCGCGGTGCTCCGGGTTGCTCAGTGTTTGCGACTTGGATTCTCGAAACGGTGGCCTTACGCGGCGTTGGCCTCGGGGGCGGCAGGGGCCTTGCCATAGACTTCCTGGTAGACGCGCTCAAATTCGTGGCGCGAATCTCGGGCCTTGCGGTCATATACCTGTCCAATCACCTGATTAGTTATACCGCCTCAAAGTTGACTGGGCCGTGACGTGGGAACACTAGACTTACACTTCGCTCAGCAGAAGTCAGCTGCTTGAAATCGCTTAGAACAGTGTTGATCCTTTCCTTCACCGATCCAGAGCTTCGGGAGGCCGCATGTTCGCCGTAGTAGATAGTCCAGGCGCTCAAGGGTCTCTTGGGCAATCGTTCGTCGGGAATAGCAGGGTATTTCGCGCGCGATCCTTTTCCAGTGGGGTAAAGTCTGTTAAGACGAGCTCGAGCCTTGTTCGCAAGGCCAATTTCAGCGGCGCTGTGACTCTTAATCCATTTCTTGATAGCGACGAGGCGCATCGCCTCGAGCTCGGCTGCGCGCTCCTGGTAGGTCTGTTCTCCCGCGTTAGTAAAGAACGTCACTGAACAGCTAGCCGTCCCTCTATTCGCTTACGTACCTCTTTCTCTGCAGCGCTCAAAGACTTGTACTGCTTGGCGACATGGGCGAACGCGCTCGTCACATCCCCATTGCTACCCTTCGCGCCCTTCATCGCCTCCGCCACGTACACATTGTATGCATTGCGATTACCAGTGACTGGAACCGGCGGCGCGAGAGCCTGCTCCTTCAAAGTCTTGATCTCCAGTAGGTCCGCCTTCTTCTTCTCGCTTGTCTTCCGCTTGAGCAATTTGGCCTTCTGAGCGGCCTTCTGCTCTTCTGTCAATGTTACCCTCTTCGGCTTCTTCTTGGTCGCGGCCTTCTTTGGGGCGGCCTTCTTCGCTCTGGGCTTCTTGGCTGCCGCCTTGGTGCTCTTTGCGGTCTTTGTGGTCGTCCTCTTGGCGGAAGTTGTTGAAGTGCCCGTTGCGCGGGAAGTTGCCCGCTTCACAGGCTTCGAAGGCTCACCGACGACCGACTTAGGTCTCCCAGGAGTCGCATAAGTGCGAGTGGCATGGAAGGCGACTATGCGAACAATCGGGCGACGAATGTGACGGTGGCAGTGGACCAGGCGTGAGCCGGCCGACGACACTGGCAAACGAGCCAGCATCTCGCTCTCCGACGTTTATAATATGTAGTAATCGGAAATTCGATGTCGCTATGAGAATGACTGCGGCCCCGTGAATAGTTTGGGTGATTGTTGATGAATGACGAAGCTGTTGCGACGGCTGTCATGCTCACTCGCCTGCACAAGTTGTTGCCAGGACGGGACCTTGCTCTGTCAAAACAACGCCCGTGCGCGAGGTTTCCAGCTTCCCCAGTGGTCGCGTGTGCGGCTCAAGCCAATGGGTGAGTAACAATGCGATTCTGAATGCCAAAAACACGGTTCCACTCTACGAGCGTTTTGCGCGACGGCGATGAGGTTGATCGCATGCCCATGAAATACCGAACCTATAACGCACGGTGCTCTTACACGTACTGTCTTGCAAAATGCCAGGCAATAGCTCGAGCTCTTCCATCAAAACGCGCTCCAATCTGCTGCACAGTTGCGTCAGTGCCGACACGACTATGGTGCTCCGTAGAGAATTATCACGCCCTGTAGCTACTTGCGGGTGAAGCATCAGTACGAGAAGCTCAGCCAGTCGGAGGAGGGTTTCCGATCTTTCAATTCTAAGAAATCATTCCTGTCCAGTCCTGCTTTTGTGGTTCTTTACGCCTTGGTCAGCTGTTCAGGGTTCCCATTAGTCACGGCAATTGGTCCTCGAAATCCCAAGTGCACGCCTCCGTCTCCCGGACAAGTCGATTGCAGCACGGCAGACTCATCTCGATAAGATCTTCACAACTCCAGAGGGAAAGCACGTTTGTTCCTGTGAATCGATCAGGACGTAACTGTAGGCGCCAATACACCACCATTCGATCATCTCGGAACAGCAAAGGAGAAGGACATCATAGATCATTGCTACCATCAGCCCGAGAGTGGCCACAAGGTGTACGGACGAAGCACTCGGCCAAGCAAGATGGCCCGCTCACCGCAACGTAGGAGAAACGATTCGCGCGAACGTCGAGATCATCGCACCCGCCCGTCAGAACGCTCTCGGAGCCGCGAGGTAAGCAGACAAGAGCTTGAGACACTGGAAGGATACTGACAGATGTTGGCAGCGTCGATACGACGACGACCGACATCATTCGAGGCGCGACGATCGCCGGGATGACCGACGTGATGATCGTCGCAGCGACCGACGAGACTATCGTCGTGACGACCGCAGCCGACGAGACTATGACCGGTACGATGATCGGGAAAGAGATTATCACAGGCATGATCATCGCCGAGATGATCGAAGGGATCGGAATGACAGATCCTTGAACCACCCCGCTCACGATGATCGACGACGAGATCAATCAGCTTCGCGGCGAAGAAGCCCTTCGAAAGCAGATGATCGATCGGACAAAACTCCCACTTCAGTAAGAGATTCCAAACGGGGCGCTATCTCAACCTCAAATGACCTCGCAGATGACGAATCCATCGAAGGTCGTCCGAGTAAGCGTTTTAGGCGAGAGTCTGTCACGCAGGATCCTACGTCATTATTAGAAGAGGTCAAGGTATGTTGCTGGGTATCTCATATGGGCACTGAGTTTTGCTGACAAAAAAGCCTTCCCAAAATTCCGAAACAGGAGCAGAAGACGCTGCAGCAAAAGCCGCCAAACAGGAGCGCTTGCGTGCTAATCTGGAGAGGTGGAAGCTCAAAAAACAACAGGAAGACAATGCGACCGGTTCGGGGGAATCACCAACCGCATCACAGGACGGTTCTCAAACAGCATTTCACACTTTCGATCACAAGACTGTGAAGAAGCGGATCGAGGCTGCCAAGAACAAGCAGGAGAAAACAACCTTAGACGGTGATGCAATGGTCGCGTTGCCGAGCAAGACCATCGGAGGGCCAACTTCGTCCCAGTCCATAAATAACGGGGTTCGAAACGTGGCCCATGTATCTCAAAGTAAGTTCGAGCGTGTAAAGAGCCTGATAGTTCACTGACATTGCATATAGATGAACCAACAGTGAGCAGCAAGGTCGACGGCAAAATATCTGGATTTGGCATCAAACAATCCGCTGCCGAAAAGAACGCCGAAGAACAGGCTAGCAAGAAGACGGCGGTAGCACTGGATGACGATGAAGACGACAGCCGTGGTTTGAAGTTCAAGGAGCTCGATGATTCTGATCTCATGCCTAAAGGAGGCGACATCATCGAAGATGACGATGACGGAGATGACCTACGGAGCGAAGACGAAGAAGCAGAGGCCAACCGCGAAGCAGCCCAACGGCGTGCTGCAGAAGCGCAAGCAGGACAAGACGATGTCATTATGCAGGATGCAGGAGCGGCCAACGAGACTGCTGCGCAAGAGACGCCAGGAGATGAGATCGATCCCTTGGATGCATTCATGGCCAGTTTAGAGCAGTCTGCACAATCATCTGGTCGGAAGGCCGCGCCTGCGAAGAGACAGCAAGCCGAAGTGTTCGACAGCGATGATGAAGCGCCCGCCATGGAGGCCATCGGGTCTGAAGCCGACGCCATCCTTCAAAAGCCAAAAAGCAAAAAGAAGGCAATCACTCCATGGAGCGCTTCCAAAATACCGCACGATGACTTCCGCAAAAACTTCTATTCGGAGTCCACCGAAATCGCTGAAATGACCGTTGAGGAAATAAAGGCGATCAGAGAAGATCTTGTCGATGTTGAGGTCAAGGGCATTGATGCACCAAAGCCAATTCTAAAGTGGTCACAGGCCAGCTTTCCAGCACAAATTCTTGACATCATTCGTGTCAAAAATTTCGACAATCCCACACCAATCCAGGCGCAAGCGCTGCCTGCAATCATGTCCGGCCGAGACACCATCGGCATCGCCAAGACCGGGTCGGGCAAGACCCTGGCCTACCTCTTACCAATGTTCCGACATATCAAGGATCAGCCTCCACTAAAAAACCTCGATGGACCCATTGGTCTGATCCTGGCACCCACTCGGGAACTAGCTGTGCAGATTCACAATGAGTGTGGGCCTTACACCAAAGCTCTTGGACTACAAGCCGTTTGCTGTTATGGTGGATCGCCTATCGCTGACAACATTGCCGCCTTGAAGCGGGGCGCAGAGATCGTTGTTTGCACTCCTGGTCGTTATATTGATCTTCTGCAAGCGAATTCGGGGCGCGTCACAAATCTCACTCGCGTCACATACATTGTTCTGGATGAAGCGGATCGCATGTTCGACATGGGCTTCGAGCCACAGATTTCCCAAATGCTAGGCGGTATTCGTCCGAATCGTCAAGCCGTCCTTTTCTCGGCCACCTTTCCAATCAAAGTAGAGACGTTGGCAAAGAAGATCTTGAAGAACCCTGTAGAAATCACAGCTGGCGGCCGCAGCGTTGTGGGACCCGAGATCACCCAGATCATTGAGATTCGCGAGGAGGATTCCAAGTTGCTTCGTCTTCTCGAATTGCTCGGAGAGGTTCATCTGAGTGACGATGATGCGCGTTCGCTCGTCTTCGTGGAGAGACAGGAGGCTGCAGACGACATTGTCAGGAAGCTCGGGAAAAATCAATATCCTGCCACTTCTGTGCATGGTGGTCGAGATCAAATTGATCGCGACCAATCAATATCCGATTTCAAAGCAGGTATTTACCCTGTCATGGTTGCCACCTCAGTGGCCGCTCGTGGGTTGGATGTCAAGCATTTGAAGCTTGTGGTCAATTGGGACTGTCCAAACCACGGCGAAGACTATGTCCATCGTTGCGGGCGCACTGGACGCGCTGGGAATACTGGCACTGCGGTGACTTTCGTCACGCCCGAGCAGGAGAGATTCTCGCCTTTCTTGGTCCGTGCTTTAAAGGACAGCAAACAAGATGTGCCCGAGTCGTTGCAGGAAATGGCAGCTGCGTTCAAGACGAAAGTCAAGTCTGGAGAAGCACAACGACAGCGCAGTGGATTTGGCGGCAGAGGCATCGAACGTCTTGCTGCTGCACGCGCGAGCGAAAATGCTCGTGTCAAGAGTCAATTCAAAACCGACGACGAACCTGCAGATGCTGAAGCCGATGCAGCAGCTGATTCTAAATCTTCTGAGATCGAGAAACGTGTTGCTAAAGCAACTGGTGTCATTAAGGCCCGCGATGCCCAGCCGGAGGAGTTGCAGCTTTCTGATCGACTGGCGCAGCATCTTAGCAATGCGATGAAGGTGCAAAAGCATGAAGAGAAGGTCGAAGAACTTCCGAAAGATCCATTGGCGAGAGCTGCGGCAGCGGCTGCGGCGGTTAACAGCCGAATCGGTACCAGAGGTATGTCGAACGAGATGAACATACACCGAGTGAACAGAGAGCTGATTTATAACACAGGAACACGGCCAGGTGCACCTCCAGATAACCATGGACCAGATGCTGGTGCGCACTACTCCACGCTTGAAATCAATGACTTTCCACAAAAAGCGAGATGGAACGTCACCAACCGCACCAACGTCGCCAAGATTCTCGAAGGCACAGGCGTGTCTATCACGTCCAAGGGAAATTACTACGCTGCAAACACGAGACCTGGCCCCGGTGATCCTCCGCCATTGTACATTCTTGTCGAAGGCCACACTGAGCCGATGGTCTTGTCTGCGATGAAGCAACTTGCCGACCTGTTAAAGGCAGGCACGTTGGCGGCGCAAGAACAGGAGGCTCGTGCTGGCACTGGAGGTCGTTATAGTGTTGTGTAATGCTCTAAGATCTTCGAGGGTCTTCAGGCTCGAGGGCTGTCGTGCTCATTCATGCGGATCACAATACAAATGAGACGTTGACAATCCCTCATTTGAACCCTTGGAAGTACTGTGTCGTGTCAGCAGGAATTAGAACCAGATGGTGCAGCAGACCACACCTTTTTGCGGAAGTCATTCAGATCATCGGCCGAAAATTTCTGCCCATCCGGCGTATCGCTCTGTATCGCAAGTCGATCCGCTTTGTACTCGGACCATCGGGCTTGGTCAACTCGGTCTACGCTCAATCTGCGATACGTCAAAAGACGTCTCGACCCTGTCTCGATTAGTCTCGTCGTCAAGGTCGTGTCAAATACTCGCGTTACACTTACATTTATTGAAGTCCTGCTGGCATGAACTCGCCAATTCCAAGCATGGGTGTTCGGGTATCACATATTCAGCTTCGTCGACAGCAGGTGTGGTGGCTTCATCACCGGTCGTGTCCGCTACGTTTTCGTTGACCGCACCAGCCACGGGCATCCACATGCACAATCGTCCGCCCTCGACAAGCATCATTGCGCCAAAATTGAGTATATCATCTATCATACGTATGAAGCTGTAAGGTTTCCTTGGCGGGATATAGTCCCTCTGTAGATGCGCCGGGCTGCCGTCGGCGAGAAATACTTCCTGAAGTAGTGCAAGCTTGGTGCTACCTAGTACTTTCAAGCCCTCTCGAACGCCATACGGTGGATCGCAGATGATGGAATCGAGACACGGGGTTACCTTCAGTGGCGTATTTGTCAGATCAGCGACGAATCCATCCAGGTACAAGGACGATGTGCCATATTGCTCGAAATTTGCCTTGACGGTGCGTTCTTTTTTGCCGCGTATGCTCCTCCCGTCCAGGTCGCTTCCCCAGACAGTCGAGCCGAAGTGAGCGCACGCGAGAGGAAAGGAGCCAGTGCCCATGAATGGGTCATACGCCAGGGAACCCGGGCGAGCCAACGCCAGATTCGCGGTGACTAGGGATAGTTCAGCATCCATGGAGGTAGTTGAGATGTACTTCCGCTTCTTAAGATTGTACTTGCTGATGAATTTACGACCACTCTCGACGACAAGCTTGCCTAGAAAGAGCCTCCACGGGATCTTGACGTTCAACTTAAAGTCCTCGAAAACTGTGAGGTGGCATTGTGGGTTCTTCATAACGATCGGACCCTCAAACGCCATGTAGCTGAATGTCTCGATGATTTCGCGCTGCTGGCTTTGGGAACGACTGCCATGGAAACTGTCCAACTCAAATTTGAAGGATACCTGCTTGTATTGCTCCCAGAGGTGTGTTGTTCGATGCCGGACATCTTCATGTAATGCTTGGTAATCGTGCCCCTCGCCCCATAATTCGTAAATTGCAATAGCCAAGATTGATCGCGAGATGATGGCTTTGACAGTCTCACCATCATCATCCTCAGCAGGTAATTGTATGGTAGCAAATGGAGACTGTCGAGATTGCAAGTATCAGCGCTACGTGCTAGCCACAACGATGTTCTTAAAAAGGTTCCGTACTTGGTTCAGCGATCCACCTCGAAAAGCACTACTACATGGCATCTACATGCGGACTGGTGATGGAACATTGCTCCCTAGCAAATCGAGATCTACCTACTTCGTCGGAATAGTAAATCCATTCAAGTTGCAGGCCGTTCAGCTCCGCCAGAGAATCGATTTCTGCCTGCCGGAACGACTCGTGCATTTGTGCGAATCGCACGAGGTACTTCATGCTTCTCTCCGGCGTCCAGGCCACCCGCGAATCAAATTGATGATAAGGTTCTGCTGTAAGTGCTGTTCCAAACTGTCAATCGAGTCTTCAGCTCTTGATTATCACCACGAAAGAAATTTATGGTCGAGGATGATTCGATGTGTATGCTACAGCGGGCGCTAGCGCCCTTAAGAAAGCTCTTTTCACAATGATCTTGTGGAACATAATTTGGATTTCAAGCTCGAAAAATCCGGACGTCCATTTGAGCCTCACAGACTTCGAAAATAGAAGCGCATCAAAATATAAACCTGCTGTAGAAAGCCCGCAATCATTGTGCGTCCATCAGCACCGTAGTCCAGTCGAATTTCTCCCACTTCTTTTTGAACGCCCCTATCCTACCATCATGCTTTTCCCATCGTCCCTGCTTTTTGATGACCTCGTGACCCTTTCCGAGCATGCCACCGATGACTTCTCTCGCAAATAGGTCGCCCCTGGGCCAGCGGCGTTCGTCTTCGATGACATGGCCCATGCCGCCGTCGAGGGTGAAGAAAACATGGAAATATGGCATTTCCTTGACCATCGCTTTGCGAAAAGCCGCTTTTCCGTACCCAGGTCTCTGTACAAGTGCCAGGGTATCGATTATAGGTTTATGTTGCGACCATTGTTCGTCCGAAGCTAGGATTGCTTCCTTGAAGTAGGCCGGTGCGTTCTCTGCCAAGTGGTGAGGCAGTGGCACTGCAATCAGGGCTGCATGACCTTTCCGACTGGACATGAACGCGGCATTCTCGTAGAAAATGACGCTTTTGTCTTGCGCGTGGTAGAAGCGGGTAAGTGACTTCATGAAATTTCGCATCTCCTCCCATTCGTCGTCATCACACTCAAGCAGATTGAGGCGATGCTGTATAGGAACGATGACAGCGCCACCGCGAGCAACTTCGGGCTCGGTTGTCAAGGTCATGAAGGTCCGCGTGGCGAGGCTAATCACTGGCGCCACGGGTGGTTGTCCAGAATCCTCATGAGAGCAAAGCGGACAATTCTGTAAGATTTTCTCCATCTTCTGAAAATCACCGATGGCTGTGTTGCGGAGATTGACTTCGGATTTGACGACTCTTTTTGATAGTTTCGTGGCATTATCATCCATGTAGTCAAGGTCGTCGACAAATTTTCCGTCTTTCGCTATTCGCTCAGCAAAGGCTCTCCCCTCGCCGCCATGCGCGCCTCGATTGCGCTTCTCCTGTCGTACCATGTCCTCGATGGTCATATTATCATTCTCCACCACTAGACCACGCTCGCGACCACGTTTTCCTGACACTGCTGTCACCTCGCCGGCTCGGCCGCCTGTCAGAATTCGATTGTCCATATTACTCAGTACCACGACGTCTGCTTGAGCTTGGTTGGCGAGGCTGGCACTGGCTGCTGCGTTGTATGCTCTTTCCAGCTGGACCGCATCGGGTGCGTTGCGTAGTTTCGCCTTGAGCATCTGGGCCTTGAGCTTGTTCAGCGCGGTGGAATCCAGAGGTACCGTTCTCATGGGTGGCTCAGCTTCTGTTATCGACCTGCCTTGTAGGCGGTCCTGCTCATCATCTTCGTCGCTATGTGAGGGGAGGTCCCCGCGAGGCTCAGACTTCAGCATTCGATCTTTGAAAAGCTCTCCAGAAGGTTTCTCCAGCCCGATATAATCTTTGCCATAGGTGTTCCGCCTCTCCAACTCCCTTTCTTCCTCTCGTGCGTCATCAAAGTCTTGCAGACTTCCATATCTTTCTATGGCGACCTCTTCCACACTTTTCCCAGTTTCTTTCGCTTGCCTGTAGACCGCCTTCAGTTTGGTCATGCGCCACGAGCTCCCGCCGTCGCCGAATGTGTACGACACCTGCGCTGGCAATGCAACCTCCCGAGCGGCATCATCCGTTGCTTCATCCTCATCCGATTCAAAATCTCGTTGCAGGTCCGCCAAATTCTGACTGACTTGCGCTTCATTGACCCTGAAATCATGGCTTTCCTTTGCGCTTACAAACTGACTGGCTGGCGCTTTTGGCTCTTTGCGCTGAATGAAGTCCACGTCCAGCGCAGAGGGCTCCTGCATCCACGCATCGCGCTTCAGCAATGTAGACTCCAGATCTTTGTCCCTCTGATCCAATACGTTGTCGCTCGGCGGAGCGACCTGAGTCTCCTTCTCTATCCATTCGTCCTCCTGTGGAGATTCTGGTTGTCCCACCACATCTTCTCGCCTTCTCTTACTAGGTATATGCTCGGAAGAGCGCTGTGAGTCTCTTTCGCGTTTGCTACGGTGCCGATGTTCTTTGTCGTGGCCACGATCCCGAGATCTTTCCCCCGACGCGGTGCGATGTCTATGAGAATGGTGGTGACGGCGGTGGTGATGTTTATGAGGGCGCGTCTCGCTGGTTTGGTCGCGATCAGCCTCCTCTTGGGCCTTTTTGTGTTCGGCGAGCTCCTTTTCGAAATCGTCAAGCCCCATGGTGATGGTGGGAATAATGTTGGCATCCGATTTTTCCGTCGCAATGCTTGTTGTTGACTTTAATTTTTGTGACGTAGGTCCTAGCTGCGGATCCTATGCGCCGTCGTGGGGCTGTCTGTATGCACGACATTACCTCCGAGAAACTATTTTTGACCCTGCAGATATGTCGTATCCTAGAAGAATACTCTGACTCCCACGCGAACCTCACGTCTGCAATTTTATTTATAACGATTGAGAAGTTTTCAAGCAGTTGATACGATGGCCGCCTCTAGGCCACCCGTCGCCGTGGTGTGCGTCGGCATGGCAGGATCTGGCAAGACGACGTTCATGCAGCGTATCAACGCCCATCTTCACGAGAGATCAGAAGAGGATGGTTCGACCACGGCGCCACCGTATGTTCTCAACCTTGATCCGGCAGTGCGTAGTGTCCCGTTCGATGCCAACATCGACATTCGCGATTCGGTCAACTACAAGGAGGTCATGAAACAATATAACCTTGGCCCCAACGGAGCAATCTTGACAAGTCTGAATCTGTTCAGTACGAAGATCGACCAGGTCATGGGAATTTTAGAGAAGCGATGTCTACCACAGGAGAACGTCAAGTCAATACCGGGTCACATCATCGTGGATACGCCAGGTCAAATAGAAGTATTTGTGTGGTCGGCTTCCGGAAATATTCTTCTATCATCATTGGCTTCTAGCTTTCCTACTGTCATTGCCTATATCATCGACACGCCCCGCACGACCGAGAATACGAGCACGTTCATGTCGAACATGCTCTATGCCATCAGTATCCTGTACAAAATCCGACTGCCTATGATTCTTGTGTTCAACAAGACGGATGTGAAGTCCGAAGACGAGGCAGTGGAGTGGATGCGGGACTTTGAAACTTTTCAGGACGCGATTCGGAAGGAAGAGTCCGAAGAACGTGAAGGGAGTGGGTATATGGGAAGTCTGCTCAACAGCATGAGTCTGGTACTCGAGGAATTTTACAACCATCTATCTGTTGTGGGTGTCTCAGCGATGACTGGCGATGGCATCGATGACTTTTTCGCGGCCATTGAGGAGAAGCGAGAGGAGTTCGAGAAGGACTACAAGCCGGAGCTCGAAAGACGAAGGGCAGTAGCTGAAGAACAAAAAAGTCAGGTGAGGGAGCAAGAGGTCAGTCGCATGATGAAAGACATGCAAGTCTCGTCGAAGGCGAAAGGCACAGGCAAATACGCCAGCAACGCTCCGGAAGCGGCCGAGACTGTCAGCGATCTGGAGGCAGCAGAGGAAGATGACGAGGACGATGACGATAGCTTGGATGGCAGGCGTGCCAACGACGACGATGACGAAGATGCAGTCAATGAAGCATTTGAGGAAAGTCTAAAGGCACGATATGAGGCCGCTCTACGAGATTCCGGAGGAGCTGCAGCGACAGCACGAACGGGCACGGCGGCAGTAAATTACATCCGAAGCAGTCAGCGGTGAGATTATATGCTCGAGATGATACTGTAGTGCAGTAACAGAGTTCCTCGTATTGGAATAAGCATTGATATCCCTCGAGTGGACGATGATCAAGAGATATATTTCGCATGTGTATCGACAATCCCGCTTGATGACGCCATGACGATATGTTCGCCTTGCCGCAGATTTTCTCACTTTTCCATCGTGCGGAGCTCCGAAGTTGTTCTGATGAGAATCTGAGAGGGTGTTCACGAAAGGTCTTTGTTACTGCGTGCCTCCAAAATTCGTCACGAAGTATAGCGATTGGCTCGACGACGAGGGACCACCAGCGGAGGGGACTCCGCCATAGGCATGTTCTTTCACCCCGCACTGGACCGCATGTGTTGGACAGCACTCGACGTTGTATGGGATCTGCAGCACGTCGAGAAGACCTGCGGCGATATGGAATCATTAGAGAGACCAATCGTTGAGGATGATTAAACGTGCATCAGGTACAGCACAGGACAGCACGAGACGGAACGCATAGCCAGTCACATGACAATAATGGTTGATGCTCGAGTCTCCTGAGACACGAAAATCGCCTGCACATTCTCCTTTCTCTCGATCGATGAGACCTCCCATCCAGAATGGTGAGACGGGGCGGCCGTTGCATCTCGGGGATCGCATTGATGCAAGGTCACCACGACCGGGTTTCGAACGCGTGCGGCAAAGCTCGAGCTCGTAACTCACAGCTGTACAATTCCTGTCTCGAGTCCGACCGCTGACAATCTCAAGAGGGGGGAGGGTTGGCGCAGCGGCTGCCTCCTCCTTTCGCGGGCTTAATCACGATGCTCGCGGACCTGCGATCATCGTCAGACAGCATCAGCGATCGGACCGGACGCGTCAGAAACTTGGCCATTCCCGAAACATCTCGCCGTACGCACGTATTGTACAATGCATGCAGGATGCAATTGCCGTGTCGGACGACGTAGGCGGCTGACACCGGCACCGACAACAGATAGGGCTTGACAACAAACGGTGGACGGGACGAAATCCTGACGCGCGATGCGATGATGGCAGCAACGGTCCCTTCAATATCCCCTTTCCCGAATCCAGGCAGGCTGCAGGCCAGGCTGATCCTCGGTCGTTGGAAGATTTTCCTGGCGGCCGTTCACGCCTGCCTCATAATTACGCACATGCCTATACGACGTCACGAGCCATGCGGAACGTCTCCCCCGCCATTTCGAAAATAACCCTATTGAACTTGGAAAAATTTCCTTTCTTCGGTTCCGGACGGAGATTGACGATGATGTCGTTGACATTTCAGAAACTCGGGCATGCACGCCCGCCGCTAAAACAACCCACTCCGCCCAGGCACGCACGCAACGGTGGTGGGAATGATGTCGTTGACCACACGACTACCTGCAATTTTGGGTTAATGCAACTCTGTACATACGTAACTGCCCACCCGCGCCCACGATGCGCAAAACGCAGCATCGGGTCTGCGAGATTGGTTACATAATGAATTTTATTCATGTATGTCTCACCAGCCATATGCGATCGCGGTTTCGCCCCACGATAGAATCGGAAACTTCTATAGTGATCGGGGTTGTTACTGCAGCATGGCCCACTCGCATGTGTGAGGTGGACCAACAGCGCTGATGAGAAACGTTGCCGCGGGAACATTGGCTTTTCCTCTGTCTCGCAATTTTCCATCCGTATCAAGGGAAAGGTCTCCTGTCTCTGGGCCGGAAATATTGAGCCTTCGTGTCTTGGAATGGCAAGTACAGTATGCATCTACGGTCGACTTTTGTTTGGTTGATTTGTGTGTCGTCTGTCCCACACGATAACGCCAACAACGTGAGATGGAGGTGCAGGCTGGGACATGTTGGTGGAGTGAACATGGAGATCGCAGCTCGATATGCAGCTTTATTTCCGATCGATATGTAGAGATTCCACCCCACCATTAATTCAGGACATCGTTTCGGTCAGCAGCAGGAGCCACGGGAGTTGGCGCGGGCGGGCGTCCCTGATTGACCCTGGATTTGATTGGGCCGCAGAACAGTCTGGACTCTCGATCGAACGTACATGCGTGGCTTGGGAATAATTGGGATTGACATTCCCGCAGCCGACTACAGGATGCCGATATGAGTTCCAAACCGAGCGACACTGAATTGCAAATGGGCCGAGATCGTGGTGGGTGATGCGCTTCATGGTTTGAGGTGTGCGTGTACTGTGGCTCAATAACTTTTCATCATACCAAAATATGTACCATGAAGTTCTTTAAGGGCTTCAGCTTGCTTAACGCGACTTGGATGATACGAGAGCGAGAACAATAGGCCAAGTAGTTTAATATTTTGATTATTTACGTGGTGAATTTAAGGAATCAAATTGTGTACGTGTCGAGCCTTTGTTGTAGTATGGCATGAGACAGTATTCCTGCGTGATAAGAGTGCGCGCGCGAAGCAAATGCCAATCGCTTGCGCTCAGCGCAGAAGCGATTGGTTGACGACCATGATGCGTCTGTGTACGTTTCGCCTGGTCTCCATCACTGGGAGCAGGTCTTTGGGGGAAAGAGAGACTAATTTGGTCCTCTGATATGCCCTTTTGCGCTGGTATTCCGACCTCCTGGGGACGCTCTATGTCCCTGCCGTGCGTTCCATCGCTCGATTTTCATTTCCAGATCCAAAAACACCATGGGGTATACGCGCGAAATAAAATGACATGCGGAGTCTGAGAGTGGAGGAGCAGCCGTTCGGTGGCCTCCACTCGACGGGTCTGGGCCCACGAGAAGTTTGAGGTAATCACACCCCATAAAACTCAGTTCATCATCTTCATGGAGTGTTGCCTGAAGATGAGGTCTCGGATGCAGGGCTGCGTGATGGGTGCCTGGGCTTTTCATTCAGCCGCTGAGTCTCAGATGCGGCGAGCGCGAGGCTATTCAGGCCGTTTGAAAGTCCGGGAGAAGGGTAAGAGTAGTGGAGGCTTTCGGGGTCGATCATTGGAGCGGCAGGTGCAATGTAGCCAAGGTTGTCGGTGAAGTTCGAACGGTGGAGAGGCGGGCGAGCTGTGAGGTCAGGCATCGCCATGGGGAGGGCCGGCACTGGTCCGCTGTCCATGCCGTTGCCAAGGAAATATGGGCCGACAGGTGGCAGAAGCAGATTGTGGTCAACAGGTGGTAGCTGGATTGCCTGGGCGAGTTGAGCCTGGATGGCGTCGGCTGTCCGTTGGGATTGTGCGGCCTGGGCCTGTTCCGCCAGCTGCTGCTCGACGGCGGCTTCCAGTTGCTGTGGCTCGGCCTTGAGCGAGTTCTTTTTGGTGGCCTGCTTGGTGGCTTTCTTCACCTTGGAGTCATCGCCGGTGCTACTCCGGGATGCGCCGCGGCCGTTTTGGTGGGTCCGGCGGTGCTGCTCCATATTGTCCTTGCGGGTGAATGCTTTGTTGCACTCTGGGCAAAACGCATCTTTTTTGCCCGTGTGCTTCTTCGCGTGCCGAGCAGCGTGTCCTGAGGTAGTGAAGAAATCGGTGCAGCCGATTTGTTTTGCCATGGGACACGGATACTGATTCTTCTTTGGGGCCACCTTGCCAGTCGAGTTGGCAGAGACGGTAGAGTTCCGCGATGGCTCTGAGGATGGGGACGTTGACGATCTCCGGAGCACGGGCTGCACGTTTTGCGGCGGGACTATTTGTTGCATTTGTGCGGGCAGTGGGTATGCGGAAGACAGAGTTGCGGCGGCATCAGGGATGGGCGGATACATGGAAGCATTGGGGTCATCCATTTTACTGAAGTGGTGGTGGTGTTGGTGATGGAGGTGGTGGTGGTGATGATGGTGGTTGGGCAGGAAATATTGTGACTGCGGCGAAGTCCGCGTTGCGCTGTGACTTGACGCGCCGAAAGTGTAGCTGGGCGGCGTCAGAGGTGAGGGGGTTCTCGAGTCGGTGGAACTGTTGCTGCGGACCAGCTGCGGTGTTTGCGGAGAAAGGCTTGGGGTGCGACTGAGCGGCGAGCGCGAATGTGCGGAGGAATGTGAGGAATGCGAGTAAGAATGGCAGAGGGCGGCGGACTTGGCGGGCAGGCTGACGTGGTGATCGCTACTGTCGTTGAGCAGTGATATCTTGCGGCCTGTGCTATTTCTACCGTCCATTATGTGAGAGCCAGCCTTTCGTGTGAATCGAAGAGACCTAAGCGGTGCGGAGGAGATGCGAGTGGAGAAGCGTCAACACAATTGCGAAGTGTGTCAGACTGGCGAATCGATGACCAAGTTGTTGCCCACACGCGATGAGATTTTCTGTATATCTCGGCTACGTGGATTGAAGATGGTTCGACAATGTTCAGGTCGGGCGGTTTGTGTAGTGCACCGAAAGGTAACGATATGGTTCGGAGAACGACGAGCAGTGCGATTGGGGTGTATTCGGTCAAGGTCTGCGAGTATGTTGCGGCCGACACGGATTGATTGTATGTGAAGGGCAGAAGGTATTCGCCGTTGCTGAAGATAGGTATGCAGGGAGGAGGAGCGGTATTGTTGTCTTCGCTGGTGTTGTCAATGTTGTTGAGAGAGGAGGAAGAAAAGATTCGGGGAAAAGCAGCAATTGCGATCGGGAGGAGGTAGATACAAGAGGAGGTGTTGAGCGCCGCTTGTCGAGGACGGAGCACGAGACGAATCAAGGGTACGACATGGGAAGATTACTGGTTGTTCGGCAAGACAGTTGCGAGCAGACGGATCGCAATGATCTTCATTCCCAAGTAGGTGCCGAGGGGGGTCAGGCAAGGCGAGGCAGGGCAGGGCAGGGCCAAACGACGAAACGGCGGGTGGGTGAGGGGACAAGAGAGAGATTTTGGGAAGTGGTAAGCAGCAGCAACAGCAACAGGAAACCGGGCGACAGACCCTGGATGTGCCTGTGTGTCTGACAAGCTTAAATGCCGGCAGCAGCAGGAGGAGGACAGACAGAAAGATGGGTCGGCCAAACCGGACTGACCAAGAGGACGAACGAGAGAAGTGTAAATGCGAGGGGAGAAGAAAAAGGTACGGCGGTGGACATGGAAAGCACTAACTACCACGACGACTCCAACTACCGTGGACATGGGGAGATAGAACACGCCGATGACCAAGGAAGCCCGATTTGCGCCCATGCGCGCGCACACAAAAGCGATCAGTCCACCAGTAGCCAAGCCACGGACGACAGACATATCGATCTGCTTGGGAATATAAGATGAAATGTATGCATGTGTAGATGGGTGGGTGAGAAAGAGAGAGAGGGTGTGCGTGTGCGTGTCTGCGTGCGCGCGCCTGTGTGTGGGTGTGTGGATGTTTCAATATGGGTGGGTGTGGGAGGTAGAATGCGCGTGAGGAAAACAGCCCGAATGTGTAGGATGACAATGGACAGGACAAGATCGCCAATCGACATGGATGCATGGGCATCCGGATCGGGCTGTGTGGGTGAGCGTCGGATGTGGGTGTGGCCGTGTTGTGTGTATGGGCAAATGGCGGCGAGGAATGGCGCACGCACGACAAGGACGCAGGCAACGAAAGCTTGGAAGCAAATGCATGGGTTGGCCAAAACCGCGCGGGCGCAACCGATCGCCTGTGGCATTTTCTGCTAAGCCATCGCCGACCGGAATGGGCGGAGTGTGAGCAGGTATTAACGGGGGGGTCGAACTCGTCGCACGACTCGTAGCAGCAATCTGGCGATCGTGTACAAATCGTACAGGATTAGCGCCCTGATAATAGGAACGATCGGGATCAAGTTCTGGGGGGAGGGAAACAAGGGCATGACTAGGTAGCCGCTACAAGTGGGCGACGGGCAACGGGCAGCAACTGGTCAGCCGAGCCAAGTCGTAACGAATTCTGACAATTAATTATTCTTACAAGCCTGTAAAATATGAAACAGGAATTGGCCAGGATAATAAATCATCGATCGCAACCTTGAGACGGACTATTGTCCGGGAGAGCCGTTGGACCGGCCGACCGACCAAGTGAATTGCCCATCCTGTTTTTCGACTGCATCATTGTCGTCATAACCATCCACCACCATCATCCACACCATCATCCTCCAACATCGCGATTAGTCTAATGCTTGCTTCCAGCGTTCTTGTGTAGTCGGGAAACTCCCCGACTTTCTTTCCCTCTCCCGCTGACGACAGATACGGCAATACTTGCACAGCAGTAGTGATAAACATATATGCTAGCGTGTGCAGTGCTATCAACTGTCGACTTGGCTCCGATCACCGATCGCGTTCGCGAAGAGTACGAACTCCCCGGTCTCCCGCATTGCCTGTTTGAAATGATATATCGCCCTAAATTACGCGATCTAGTCCGCGCTTTCTTTTCACAGGACGGACCTTGAGTCCGCAGTTCCCGCGATCGTGATCGTGATGTGTTCGCTAGAGGGTATGCTCATTCGTCCGAATGCGGTTTGATTGGGAAGGCGAGCGCGGTTCTCTCCATGACCGGACATCAACTTTACCGTCTTCACGATCGTTTTCAGGAGCAGGGGCGCGCATCACTTTTAGCGTTGAAGCCGGAGAAGGTGAATTTACTAGCATTCAAACATCGTATCAACTGTGACCAGCCTGGCAACACAAACGCATGTGTGGTCATGTTGTGTATCTTGACGGCTGATAAAGCGACGGATGTACAGAAGCAAACGCAGCGGCGGCGCAGTCACGGTGGAAAAGATAAGGGAGTGTAGTGGTGAGGTGGGCGCGTGGTGGTCGCTGGCGGACCTGCGCTAGTGATGAAATTGTCATGATGTGACCAAATGCGAATTAGTGGCGGCCGCTTTTCTGCGCAGTCGAGGAATGCAAGAAATGCTAGCGCGCCTGAAAGACAGAGAAGCAGACATGAGGTCCGGGTCCAAGCTGGATAGAGGAAAGTGTCATGCACGACGATCGTCGATGAACTTCTCGAGGGTCTCTGTCATCGCAATCTCTAGCGGCTTCCCTTGCTCTAGTGCGAGAGCGTGCCTGGACCGGACTTGAACGATGGGCCTTGCAAGTGCTTGGAGACTCTGCTTGTTACATCACTGTCGTCATCGTCTCCACCTATCATCCCATCAGCCTGCCTCCCAGTCCCAATGGTCCCTCCTCTCCCCGTCAGCCCCAGGCCGTCGAATATACCTGCGCTCCTGCACAGTACCAGCGGACGGGGAAGGAAAGCTTAGGCGAGAGAGGGGCAGCTGTATATGTATAGCATCATACGTCAGCGGTATGTCCGTCCTCTGTTCCTGTAATCCTGCTCCCTACACATCGCAGGATACACGAGTGTCGCATTTAGACCGTACATACTACAATGGTAGCAGGGACAACATTTTTGATCAAAACTCCTCCCCTGTTGTCGACATCATAACAGGGAATTTTCCTGCCGCGGGTGTGCGCAATCTCGACACCGATTCATCCGTCTCTGTCCGACCGGAGTATACGCAGAGTAGGCTTGAGGTCGGCGGACGCGCTCCATTCTTAGTGTTGCGCAGGCGATCGAGATGCAGTGCAGCAATCGACGTAATAAATCCCCCCAAGTGGAGGCAATTCCAGGGCTCAATTCGACGCGCCGCAGCCAAGCCGAACTACACACGACAGGGTGCGTGCGGTGCTACCTAGGTACCCTTATTCTTTCCCCCCGCCCTCCAACACTTTTCTCGATCACCTCTCTGCAGAATGCGTACAGTTTGTTCAGTTATGGTCGTCCACAACGGCATGGCTTTGCACCCACCAGATGCGAGGGCATGTACGTATATATCACATGAAGACTGGTCACGGGTGGTGCCAACATGCTCCGAACGAGGTGTTTGGTGATATGAAAATACCTCCCAGACGTACGACCGGCAGCTGCCGCGCAGGCAGCCCACTTGGTCCTGTCCTGTCGTTCATTGATTGCGTGCGAGTCGTGGCCATGTACATAAGTATCTAACCTCAGATGATATCTGCGGCATTCAAACAATCAACGATGCAGCACCCAGCCTAGCTCGTCAGTTACTGACTGAAATTGTCGTCATCGGGAGCTTGATAATTTTTCTTCGGCCGTGGTGGTGGTTTCCCGATGTATATAAATGAGGTCAATAATTACCACTCTTGACAATGCGATTTCTACATCCAGGAACAGATCAGTCCCCGCCTCGGCCAGCTGATATATGTCCAATCTCAATAGTCCTGCATGCACGCCGGATGGTGTTTCGGTGCGAATGCAGCTGTGGTGATACGCTCGATATCTCGCAAAGTCCTCGATCTTGAAGGCGAATGAGCGATATGGTAGAGGGCCAGTTGTTACGCGAATCCTCATCTCCCACGGCCGGGTTTCAAAGCGTTGAGCTTGGCAATCGCGGCGGCGAATGTGATCTAACAATTCGGGTTTACGTTCCTGGAGGACAGCTGCACCAGTGCGCGCGTCTTACTTCCATGATCGCGATCGGAGAATTGCCTGATTATCACACCTCTGGTCGTCAAGCCCCTACCCTCAACCCGCGGGCAGTTCGTCCAAACGGAGACAGCCGCACGGGGTCTCAGCACGCTAGCACACCAACCTGCATGACCGATGACCCCGGACCATCTGAATTGTGTCTATGCGTGTATGGGTGCGAGTTCCTGACGATCACGAAACAAAGGACAGGGCTGACCCTGCCCGAGGTTTGCTTTTCTGCTGTGCAATACATTGCCGTCGGCTCGCAGCCAGCGATATTCCTCGAGCTCCCGTGAGGAAGCCGTGCACAAAAATGCTGCCCTGCTTGAAACGGAAATCTCCAAAACGGATCATGCTGCGGTGCTCGATTCGGAGCTGATGTTTCACTCAGGCGCAATTTAGTACGTCTCCTTCTCAACTGCGCGCGTCCGAGACACGACTACCGCGCCTGGTGATCAGACGGTCAATCAACATCTGCCACTGTGGAAATGGTAAGAGAGATGTGCATCAATAATATCTGACATTGTTCAATAGCCGGTCTGATCGGCCAATAGCCGCTCATGGTGAATCATCTGCCGTCTCCGATACGAGGTCGTGGCCCCGATCATCGTACTGTCTTTCATTGCACTAGAAGGGCACTATTACATACATCGCCTTCACCGAATGCGTCAGGCTCCGTACCATTGGCCGCGGGGCGGTCTTTGATCGTACAAAGCACGGCAATTGAAAGGTTGTGGCTTCACTCGCTCGCCGCGGCCGCCTATCCATCACTCGCCTGTCGCGAATCCGATAGATTGTCGGATAATACTGTATGCTTGACCACGGCCGCACTGATGGAGAAACATTGGCGCGGGTGCTGACAGCCTTTATTTGGTCGTCTCGAAGGGGACAGGAGAGGGCTCCGGCAACGTGCTGGCCCTGACTCTGTGTCCGGGTTGCACTAGTCGTCCCGAACAGTCGTCCCTCCCGCATGTTCGATCACTTTGTCATTCTCGATCCTTGAGTCCCCGGGACACACTCGTCAGGTTGCCGGCCTCTTGCGCATGTTCCTCATCACGGAATGATCGTCTCTCACGTCGCCCGGGCTAAAGCGGATAGAACTCCGGTGGTCGGCCGAATGAGCACGTACGACTTGAGGAGCGAGGAGGGGAATTGCAGCATCCCTCTCCCTGCGCAAGCCGAGGCCGTGCTTCTGCTGAGCGGCGTGAGACCCAAACTTCCGAGCTTATAATCCCTGTCCGCGCGTGGTGGCCTGGGACGGGCTGGCGCGAGATTCGGCGCAGAACGGACTCCTCTGTGACAACTGTGGCTTGACCGCGCGACTCCTGCTTTTATTTTGCATTCCCGCACTGGCCTGCATGAAGTCGGTACTTCAGCCTGTGACGTCAACCATCGAGCGATCGCGCGTTCACGCGGGAATCTTCCACTGCCAATTCTACATCATAGTTGTTATCGTTTGCAATGACGCAGTGGCGTCCGCGATCAGTCTTCAGGAATCATTTCAAATGATGAAATGGCTAGCTAGCTCCGAGCACCCCGCGATCAAACTCTCGTGAATCGTACGCACCGGTCGTAAACCTACTCGCTGGTCGAGAGGAGTCTGCGGACTGAATAGATGCCCGGGCAGATACACCCGTGAGGATGATGCACTTCACACCTTGTGACATTTCCTTACCCGTTTTAAATGAATCTCGCTAACCTAACAAAATGTTAGCTACCTAGGAAGAGGTAGTCACAAGTTGTAAGATTGGATGTCCTTGTGAATCTGGGAATGATTTTAGTCCGCAGAGTGGCTTCCCATCCCTGACGTCCCTGCCGATTTCATGTGCGTCCTTCCCTACTCAGTGATTTTCCAGGTAGTCGGAGCCACTCATAACGTAGGAGAACCGGAGAGCTGAGCCGACATGTTCCCTTGACAAGATCGTCGATACATACTCGGCAGGATGGTGCATCGCGTTCTGTGAATTGGGAGACCTGCTCGGACGCGCTCGTTCAATGAGGCCCCATTTCATCTCCAAATGGCAGTCTGTTCCGGGATTTTGCTCCAGCAGAGTGGATGGCACAGATAGCATTCAAGGTTTCATCTATTCGTATGTGCGGGATGCGGAGAACGAGATCTCGCACCAGATCTAGGGTGAAGTATGCCACGAACGCGATTAGAGAGCGCCAAACATGCAGGGCGCGAGAGATGAGATTTCTGCTCGAGCGCAATTGAGAGGCAGCAAGCAAGCACAAGCGCTTGCTGCTCACCTCGACGGGAAATGATCGAGGCGTGTAGCCTTGAAAGTCCCTCCGAGTGATCGTGGCGGAAGAAAAAAATGCGACTCGCCTTCCCAAAGGCGGCGAATCGCTCTCCGGAAGCCAGGCCAGCAGGCTCGGAACAGAACAGCACCACCAGCGGAGAAAAGGCCTCTACACAACCCGAACAATTCTCCTCCGAGAACCCGCGCGATCGCCGATTGAACTTTTTTTTCTTCCTGAATTTTCTCCCTCTCGTCACATGCCTGCCACCTTGCCTCGCTCGCCCCCGCCGGGTGCCATCCTGGTGAATTCCCTTTCGCTAGCGACGCGCGCGTTGCTATGGTCCGGTGCACTATGAAAGCGTGGAACTGGATGCTGCTTGTATGGGTACAGTGCATCCAGTATACATACACACCTTGACAAGCTCTGTGGTTACGTGGGCAGGTGGTGCCGAACGTGGCCTGGCACTGACCGTCTCACGCACTCGACAGCGACACTGACTATTGTGGCTGACAATTGAAGATTGCCATAGCAGATCATCGATCTTTTTTTCGCGTCACTGCGCGTCTGGCACATCCGACACGCCGAAAGGACGAATCTTCAAATGAACCATCGCATCACGATTGCCTTTACATACGAAACAGATACTGCAGTGCAGCGTTTGTAACGGCTGTAAATGAGTTCACGCTTTGACATCATCTATCCGCGGCCGCATGAAATTCTCGAATGTCTCGCATATCGCACTCCTGGTGTCTTGAGAACGCCCCAAGTAATGGCTAAATCTGTGAGGAGATGAGTGAATATAGCGCCAAGACGAATCAAGCTCGAGAGCAAACGTGACGTGCTCATCACCATATCATCCTATCACTATGATGGTCAACGAGACATGACTCCAGGTCATCACGATCACTGTACCCTACTCACGCCTTCAAAATCCGGCGTGGTGGCGAACGGTGTGAGGCTACAGTACCATAGTAGGTAGATCGCCAGCCCGCCCTGTTGTAGGGTGACACGTGCCCGAAAGATCTCCGAAGGTGGAAGCGTTAGCGGTAGTGCGTAAGGTTCGTGGACGTCCACAGATACACTGCAGCAAGACACAATCTCGGATAGTCCTAAAGCCAAGATGTCTTGCCGTCAGTCAATTCGACATCGACGATCTATGCCAGCATGAAATCTGCGATCTACTCATCCGTCGCCACTTGCCTATGTGTCACTACGAAGAGGCAATACACAAAACAAGGACACAGTATGGCAGATTATCGCCACGCTGCAAGGAACGGATCATTCAAAGAAATTTCCTGGCAGCAGACCGTTTGTACGAAAGCTTTGCAGAAGAAGAAGAAGAAGCGGTAGGCGCCGTACAATGCACAATCGTAGTGCCATCGCCCGAAGCAGATTCTTACCCATATCCTGTCAGCTCTCACGCGAGGCACTGGCTCAGCTGGATGAGAGTTCAGTGCTACAGGTGACAGCCTGGTGGTTGGACACATGGGCGTCGTGTCTCGCGATCACCCCATGCGGCTCAGATCCGTCTAGCAACGCGACAAGCGTGAGCATATCTGCCAGATACTCCTGTCGAACCTGGCGCGATCTGGACTGCTTTTTCCATGCAGGGCTCTTCAGAGTCTTCACTACTGCGATCATCGATGAGCGATTGCGATGAGATCGGTTTCCCTGCCTATCGAGAAATTCCACTGCCGGTAGCGCCCCAATTCTGTAGTCCTGCCTTGCCGTTACCGGGGAAGTCGAGTCGGCATGTGTATCTGTACTTGTGCAGATTGCGCAAGACACCAGATCGATCCCCCAGAAGAAGGTTCCGATGAGACCCTGGTGATCGCTCCGCATCGGAACCTTATGTTGGTATAACCTTTGTGAGATTTACGATGAACTGATTTATGATCGACAGGTACCGGAGCTGTGCCCGGTCGGGCTCAGATGCAATGCATGACACAACGCTTAAAGTGGCCTGTGGCACTTTGGCTGCTCTGGTCAACTAGTACTCAGAGCTTTGCATGCGACGCGAGGGTGTCTGACATAGTACCGAGTGAGGCTTGTGTAGTACTCTACCGTGTCAGCATGGCATCGATAGGATGTGAAGCTGGAGATGACTCCCGGGCAATTGACAGACGTGGTTCGCAAGTCAACCTTGGTGATGATCGGTCGGGTGTCGTCCTTTGTTGAGGTTGTTCGGGAGTTCGAGACCAGGCTGCAATGGCTCCGCGCCTAAAACAGCCTCATCGACCCTACACACCAATCATGCTGACCGAAAATTGTAGGAACGTATCGACCGCCGCTCAGGACGCGCTATAATCGACCAGCGATGATGGTTCTACACAATCGTTCTCCTTCGTCCTTGGGGAAGAAGACTTGGTTCACATCACTTTATGCTGAGTCTTCTCTGGATGGCTGTCTCGATGATCGTCACGTATCGAATTTCATGTAGGTGATTGCGCCACATTCTGAACGCTTTGAGTTTCAGGCAGTTTCCGAAGCACCTCGCTCTCGAGAGGCGCTTGGTGTTATCCATTTCATCACGAGTTGCTGCGTTGCCAAACACTCAATAAGCGACCCAGTGAGCATGCAGTTCCGCAGAAAATGCTTCGTGCTGTGCTTCCACGACCGCAGTGTCGAACATGTCCAAATCTTTCTCCAGCTACTGATCCTCTAGCGCGCGATGTAACCCATACCTCGCTATGGCTCATCGATGCGGCAGCCATGCAACAGATTCCCGTCAACACATCCGACAATCTCGCTTGGAGCCAGCGGTAGTCCGTACGCTTCCTTTTGCTGGTGTTGACCGCCAGGCTGCGCTCCCGAGCTTAGGTCGTTGACGACATTGCTCGCACAGACTCGTCGATCACGGCAAGCCACCTCCGGAATTGATTGCGTCCCGCACCTTCGACGTGTTTGGTCGGTTCTCGGCATATCGCTCGTAACTGTCGAGATACAATTGATCGCCGCTCGTGGTCTTCAGCACTGGCTCGCTCTCCATGACTGCATGCACCCATGTCGCCCATCGACCAGGCTCCGGCTCTGGCCACCCACGGTAAGGGGTCAAGACCTTAGCCATGCGCACAATCCAAGGTGCGAATTGAACATCCACAAAGGACATCTCTGCTCCGAGAAAGAATGGCCCAGTAGGGTCGGCGGCCTCGACGACCTTGGCAATTTGCTCCTTGAACTCATTTGCGAACTTGACTTGGTCGTCCGCGTCCTGTGCTTGGAGGTATTTGTAGAAGTTAGGGATGATATGTCGGTTGATGTGGTCAGACCACAGACGAGACTCCGCGCGGAGCTTGGGGCTCTTGGGAAGAAGAGCTCGGCCCTGTTGAAGGTCTTCGAGGTATTCCATCAACACTGTGCTTTCGTAGGAACCCCAGTCTCCGTGTCGTAGGGCAGGGACAAGGCCGCGTGGGTTGATGTCCAGAAGCAATTTCGGCTTTCGATAGACATCGACTTCGACATACTCGTAGTCCAGTCCTTTGAGCTCCAGAGAAATCCAAACACGTTGGACAAAGGGACAGAAACAACTGCCATAGAGCTTCAGTTCGCGGTCATTGACGTGCGCATTGGCTGTCTCCAAAGCTCTGCCATTGGCCTGTTTGTTGTATGTCTTCTTGTTGGGATCTCCGCCCTGGTTTGGATCAAGCTCATTTTTCTCGTCTTGGGACGTCATGGTCGTAGACAGGTTGTTCCAGCTTTATTGAAGACGGCGCGCAGGATGGGTCAGGATGGTATTTTCGATGCAACGATGGATCGAGTCGCCAAGTAGAATCCTCTTGTAATGGTTATATTTCGACCAGGAGTCGACAAATGTAGCTGACAAATGGCAGCGCAATGATGTAATGTGTTTCCCCGCGTCTGGCGTTCAGATATTCAGTGTCGCAGTCATGCTTCTTATGTCGAGTTCGGCGGGGGTTCCTCTTGTCCAGGCAGATCCAACCGATACAGTGGTTGATGTAGGTGTCGGACTGATCGTTTGGAGATTCATCGGAAAAGCCCCCCCCCGGGCGTCACGAATCTCACTCTGCATGAGTACTTTCTCCCGCCAGATGGACCGTCACACGTAACACAGCAGAATTTGAACATTGATCGATTCGAATATAGCGCAATACTTAAAGTCTCCGACCTCACTGACTGGACATTGTACGATCACAAATATTGCGTACGTCCACATCATTCCGCAACAAGTTTATCATAGATGGTGGTGTTGGGATAATACATTCGTCCTTGAATTATGCGATAGGGTTTGGGCAAAGCGACCCCGCGTCAATAGGGTTGTCGGGTGATCATCGGAATTTTGTCCCGCACAACGCAGGCCGAAATTGAGACGACACTTACATTTCGCGACTGGCGTGGATCGACCAGGAGGCATCTTGCGAGAATCAGAGGGCGCCGAACGTCACCAGTACCTCTACCATCATACCCAAAACATGGCCGAAATCACAGCAGTTAAGGACTCGCCATTGCGCGAAGTCCAGATCGAAGCACTGGTTGCCATGCGCATCATCAAACACGCCACAGCGACATTTCCCATACCTGCCACCGGGTTCCTCGTAGGAATGGATGTTGGATCACAATTGCAGATCACCAATACGTTCCAATTTCCCACAGTTGCACTCGAGGCATCAAGTTCGCAGGACTCATACCACCAGGCCGATCCCGCAACGATCGCCGCGGCGGCTCCGCGGGCCAAGAGCAATGTCGCATATCAGAACGAGATGATTAAGTTTCTACGAGAGGTCAATGTGGATGCCCAGGGCGTTGGCTGGTACATGAGCGCCAACATGGGAAACTTCATCAACTCCAACTTCATTGAGAACCAACATTTCTACCAACGCGCAGCTGATGAGAAGACCGTTGCCCTGATCTTCGATGCGTCAAGGAGCAGCCAAGGGAGTCTGAGCCTGAAAGCATATCGTCTTTCCACAAGCTTTATGGCCGCTTTCAAGGAGGGCAAATTCACAACCGAGACGTAAGATGAACTATGAGATGGACATTAGATCGATGTGGATCAGTGCTGACATTCTAGCAGTCTTCAAAAGTCAAATCTACGCTACCAGGACATCCTCGTGGAATTGCCAATCCAGATTCACAATTCTCACCTCTTAACAGCTTTCCTTCACCAGCTCCCACAGCAGCCTCCAAAGAAGTCTGCTCTGGACTTTCCGGCTTCGCTCGCTACGCTTTCCCACCACCCCGATCTGTCTCTGACCGCACTCGCACCCAACTACGATAGTCTCGACGTCGCAGTCGACCCGTTCCTCGAGAAAACCTGCGACCTGCTACTGGAAAGCATCGAAACCCACCAGTCTGAGCAAAATAACGCACAATACTACCAGCGATCACTTGCCCGTGAGCAGGCCAAGGTAACACAATGGCAGCAGAAGCGGAAGCAGGAGAACGCGCTCCGCACGCAGCAAAAGCAACCACTCTTGCCAGAGGACGAATGGCAAAAGCTCTTCAAATTGCCAACCGAGCCCTCAAGACTTGAATCGCTATTGGTTGGTCGACAAATCGAGCAGTATGCCCGACAGGTTGATGGTTTCTCTGCTGTAGTCAGTGCCAAGATGTTCGGAGTCAAAGGCAATCTGCTACCTGGTGGCCTGGAGTAGGGAGGCTTCGCTCGCTAGGAAAAGCGAATGAGCCAAGAATGCATGGCAAGGCGTTGGGTAAGAGGCATTTGGTCGGGCATGGCCGCAGAGGAGCATCAGGGGTGCCAGGCATGTTTACCAAAGATGACCAACGGCTGACATAGTTTTTTTCCGCGGGAAAATTGAGAAGTCAAAATGACTGTCTGGCGCCAATCCGGGTCAAGCGAGCCTCTGGGTCCGTGAAATCGTGTTACCAGGAAAACGATATGATCAATAGCTCGACTGCACGAGACACGACCGAAATGAACCGAAACCATCATAATGCGGACCACCACGTTAATTCGATGCCGAGAGGAAGTCGTGGCTAAAAATTTCTGAAGACGGAGGCGCGATTACATCGGTGTTGGACAGTTGTTCCTATGGTAAACCACTGGCGGCATATACTCCGAGACACTGCATGATTTCAGTTTGGACTTGTCATTCTAAACGCCACTGCTCCCTTTTGATGATGAAAATTTTTCAAGCCCGCATTGTGGAAGTCCATCAAAGTCATTGTGTTCCTAACGCCTCGTACTCAACTACAGTAAAAAATTCGAAATCACAAGGCATCTCGCACTTCAACTACATCCATATCAGTAGAAATGCTCTTTCTATTTGTCTCGTCAAGCGTCGTTGTCTCGTTTGGAGCGTGTTCCCTTTTCTCGCGTCCCTCTCTAGCGGGTCTCAGGTGATCGCTCTGTAGGCGTGGTCAGGCTCCGGCTCGATTTTGTGCTTCTTGGCCGCGGCTTGGATCTTGAGCATATTGCGATGACTAGTCCGCTTGCCAAAGAAGTCGATGTAACGGCTGAAGTCGCGCACGTTGTCGTCATACCAGTCCCATTCGTCCTTCGTGTAGCCTTTGGATTTCGGCTGTATTTGCTTTTGGCCGAGCGCAGCAGAGATACGCTTGGTGATGGTCGCTTTATCGCAGTAGCAGCCGTTGCCACAGAAGCGGTCTCGGACCTGTTTTTGCCGAGAGCAGAGAGCTCCGATTAGCTGGGAGTGTTCAAGAGTGGTAGGTCCACACGGTGGCACGCCTGGCGGCAATGAAGGTATCACTCACATCTTTGTTGCCTAGTCCGGCCTCGCTAGTCACGCGCAGAAGCATACTACGCCAGAGCATATCAGGACAGAAGTCGATAATGCACTCGGCCGCCCGACGCGTGAGGATTGGTTGAGATTGCAATTGCCGCCGGGTCAGTACCGTATCTCTGACAGAGAAGACGGCCTGCCGCAGATCTGCTGTCATGGCTTTTGTTCCAGGGTTCCAAGTAATCTTAACAGAGAAGGCATCGTTCAGATTCACCAAGTCTGCCTCCACAGCGCTGATGAAGTCATCCGGGTGGCCATATCCGAGATCTGCTGCCCTTTTACTGTCCCGGCTTGTGGCATACATGAAGTTACCAGAATGGTATGCGTCACCGCCTGTTGCGCTATCTTTCTTCTTTGGTCCATTCTGCTTAGCTAAGGTTGGCGGGAGATCTTCATTGTCAAGATTCTCGCCAAGTTCGTCAAGTTTCTTCTTCCGGGCGAGACGAGCAAGTCCTATCAAATCATGATCAGTGATCTAAATGAAGCGAGAAATGTCAATGTGCACACACTTTGCTGCTCTGCCAGCCTTGTATCGATATCTTCAATGATCGGACCGTTATGAGCCCTGATATCCTCCATCGCTCGTAAAGTCGCGCCATCGTATATTCCATCGTCCCAGCTTGCACGAGAATTTGCTGCCTTAAAGTCAAGCGGCCGACACCAAGGATATTCCTCAGCGTCAGCCATTCGACGCGCAGGCTTCTTGCTTGATTTGGACGTAATCTTGCGCGGTTCGATGATTGGTCTTGTGCGGACTTCGTACGGTGGCGTCAATCCGCGAGCAGGAAACGATGGGGAATGCAGTGAGGGCCCTTTGCCTTTGGCGATTCGTCCGCGAGGTGCAGGAGCTGACCACGGGAAGGAATTCGCATCATGTCTGCCTTCCTGATATGGCTGAGTTGCTGTATGCTGTGGACGACCTTCGGGGTCTAAAATGGTTTGATGCCATGAGGAACAGTGAGGCGCGATACCATATCCAACTGATGGAGTTGTTCGTGAACGTTGAGACTCTGCGAAAGCTTGAGCCGTGTTGACCCGTGGAGTCGCAGCTGCCAGATTGACAACATTGTGCCCTTTGTGTGCAATAAAATTGCTTGTATCTGATGGCATCATATGACCAAATATCGATAGTCCAAGTGACCTGCAGCGATCACGTTCTTGCAGTGCACTCGAAGCTTGTCTGGCGGCTGAGGGAGCAATCACCCAGCTATCGAGTGGATATTCCTCAAGGTATCTGCGCATCTCATTATCCTTCTCACGTTGGTAGTCTTCTGTACGTTCCCAGCTACCTCCTAGTGGAACACTCATCACATTTGCGTACATGGTTTCCCATTGGGAGCGCGCCTCTTTGTCAAATCCGGCCCATGGTCGTTGACAAAAAGATGACGGCGCGACGGCCGGATTCCCGGAGTGCAGAGACATGACAGATCCCGCGGCATCACCATCGAGATCATAGTCCGTTCTGTCGTCATCTGAGCTGGATTCACGCGCTTTGGCATGGTCTCTCTCCGTGAGTCTGTACTTCCGAGGCGGATCTTCGTCGCTCTTGTAAGACTGGGGGCTCTGAATTGATGATTAGTAATTATTTTCCGATGACGTTCTCGTAGACAATTCACATTGATATTTCTATCATTTCTCGCTGCGGAGATGCTAGGAGTTCCTGACATGTCGGGGTGAGGCTGATGGACTCCAACACTTTGTGAGTCAGTTATCTCCTGATGGTCGAGGTCTAAGATTCTAGTGCGGACTTCGATTGTCTCCTCTGGAGAAGAGTTTGATCGCGAACGTTGCCGCCTTGTACTCCGGCGGTTTTGTCGCATTTCGTTACGAGAAGGTGTGGGACCACCGAGTGGTGGTGTAGAGGCAGTTCTCGGGTCAATCATGCATTGACGAACCTGGCGGCTATTTGGTTGCACTTTTCCCAAACCAAGTCCTCGTGTACAACATTGAGTTTTCTTTTTATTTGTCGTTGAGCCACTCGCATGTGAGTCGTTGGCGAGCGATCGTTCGTGCAGATGGCATCCACAGGTGCTGCGGGACATAGACCGTCACGAGTCGCGGGCGACGGCGATGAAGGCCATACAATGGAGAGGGTGAGTCTGGAAGCTCTAGAGAATAGTTGTCGGAGCCATACCGGATCGATGCAGTCTTGAAAACGAAATGAGAAGATGGTCAGGTGTGATTTCACTGACACCGCAGATGACCTCCGACAACATACAGCAGTATCAGAGAGAGAACGTGGAAGAGACTGGAGGTACTTGTTCAAGGGAGCGAGTAGAGTTTTGACGAGAGATGGGAGCTTCAGGCAACTGGGTGTCGCATTCCATTGTTCCCGCAAGGCATGATCGTTTCTATGGTCGATAAGGAGGGACTTCACAATGGTTCGGAGCAACGACCTTGAATATGACCTATGCAGAAGTCTCACCTTGAGGCGTAGAGGTGTGAGGATGGTGGTGAAGATGACAATAGTGATGATGAATCATATGAAAAGTTACAATCATTCACAGTGACAATCACTAACAATCATTTATAAAGAATCAATGGTCACAGTAGGACTTTCTGGAATGTCAGGTGTGGATGGCGCTTGCCAAATCAGGGCTAGCTCGGCAGGTTCAAGTGAATTCGTGAGATACTGAAATGAGAGAGCTCCAGCTCGCCCTGGTGTACACCAGTTGTGATCATCGTGATAATCACAACAAAGGGTATGTGTCAGGTAACGCGCAACAGAGTCGTGAACCGTGAACGAGTGCGCATTGGCCACATCTATGCCTATTGCGCAACGCTGATTCAAGGTAGGACGAAATTTGACCGACATTCTTGTGTTTCGGGTCCTTCGCTCGATTGTTTGTCGTACGGGAACGTTGTACAAGCTGGTCAGATGTGCCTGGAGATGCCGGCATCCCAGTGGGAAATGCATTCTCGTCATCTTCGCTCGTCCTTGAAAGTGAGCAGCCAGGCCGATGCCGACGGAGTGTGTGCGGCAGATGTTTTGTGTGCAAAGCGCTACTTCGCGCACCGGCCGGGTCGAATGTGAAGAAAGTCCATAGTCGGCGAGCACAGCTACCACGTCTGCATGTTCAAGTCGTGACGCCAGCCATCACGACGGAAGACCTTCCCCTCACTGTGCGACACCCGCGAATCAATCACAGGACACCTTCGCCGATGTGTTCACCTTCGAAGCCCAGGTCCGCTAATTTCTTCTGCTTCACCTTGTCTGCTTTCTTCCGGTCGAGATCTTCTTGCTTCTTCAACGCAAAGACCTGATCAGGAGCCCCAAGCTCAAATCCGATTGGCACGTTGTCATCCTTGTCGAGGTCCTGTGTGGAAAATAGGTCAGTTCAGAAATCTTCTCACCAATGGCTCTCGACACGCACGATTTCACCGAGAAGCGACACATTCTCGCCTCGTACAAGAAACAGTCCGCGATCAATGTCGGCGTAGAGCTTCTGCACGAACAGACGTTCAACGGTGTCCTGGAGGATGAGGTTGCCTTGCCTCATTAGCTTCGTTGTTATTCAATCCTGGCGAGAAGCGAAATGTTTCAATACCGAATTGGTCCCAACTACGCAGGACGCCTATCAGCTTTCGGCCATCGCGCAATGCCACCATAAGTTTCTCTACATCACTCGGCAGTTAGTTGGTGTAGTAAATGGCGACCGGCCGGAACAGTCCCAACGCACTGTCTGTGAGGTCCAACAGCTGCGCGGCTGTTGTGAACATTTGCGGAGGCAGTTGTGGCACTGGCGGCGGCCCTGGAGGCATCTGCTGCTGATTCATCGCACCACCAGGCGGGCCTTGCGGGCCCGTATCATGGTATGCGAAGTGATCCATGCGCGAATCCAATGTGTGTCGCGCGAAGTTGACGGCTTGAGGTGGAAATACCAAGAGCTGCTTTGGTTGGCGGATATTATTCGCGAATTCAAACGGTGCACTCTAACATGACGTGGGGCGATCGATACATGCAAGTGTCCAATCGAAGGCAGCCCTGGAGCCCTAATATAAGCGTTGAAGGCACCTTGGAAGCCGATCTGTTTTTAGGCCTGAGGCGACTATCAGGTGGCAGACCAGCCGAGCCAATTCCGCTCCAGCTTCCAACGCGACTTTCGGCGCGCTCCAGCTGTCGTCACACCACCTGCAGGAGCTGGAGCTGGCTCCGATGTAATCGTTCCATCACTTCCATGACGTCCCTTTGCGATCGCGATAATTAGCACTCGGACTTATTCACGACTCATTCAATCACGCCGCAAATTCGTGGTGATCCTTGGGCCAGCATTTTGCACATGACTTGACACAGCACCGGCGGAATGTTGTCCGCGTTCCGAGCACAGCCCATCCTCGAACTCAAATCACGCGACAAATCCAAAATCGAAGCGTTGCTCGCCTATGGAGACCGCATCTTCGTAGGACTCAATACTGGAGCGCTACGTGTATATCGCACCGATGACGAAACCGCCGAGGTCAAAGATGAAGTTCCTCAAACCCCGACCAAGACCAGGTCGGCAGATTGTCTGCATGAGGACGAGAAATTCAGCAAAAAGCCCGTACAGCAGCTAGCTTTTGTCAAGGAAGCTAAACTACTTGTCAGTTTAAGCGATGGAGTTGTGTCGCTGCATGATCTTCAAACCTATCAATTGGTGGAGCGGCTCGAGCGGACCAAGGGTGCCTCATGCTTCGCCGTGACCAGCTCAGTCGTGACGGATCCCGAAACGGATGTCCCGAGTCTGGTGTCGAGGCTGGCAATTGCAGTGAAGCGTAAGTTACTGTTCTGGACATGGCAAGATATGGAACAATCTCCGGAAATCAGCGAGATCAGCATGGAAGCGACAATCAAAAGCATAATATGGGTGGACGGCGTGCGACTCATCGTCGGCATGGATCCAGGGTTCAGCACTGTCAACGTTCTCACGGAAGAGACAACACCGATATTGAAGCAGAGCGTCAAACCTGCGACTGACGGCAACCCTACCGAGCTTGCAGGGACTCGATTTGGCACAGTAACTAGTAGTGGCATGGGATACATGGGCATGGCGAGCTGGGTGCCAAAGCCGATGGCAACAGGAATGTTTGGAGATCAAGTTCTGCTCGCGAAAGACGTGAATACCCTGTTCATCGATGGCGAAGGTAATGCCCTGGACAAGAGGCAAATCCCTTGGGCTGTGGCTCCGGAAGCTATTGGGTTCAGTTACCCATACCTACTAGCATTGCAAGCACCAGACAAGGGCGCATTGCACATCCGGAACCCGGACACCTTGTCGCTACTACAGTCTTTGAGTGTTCCAGGCGCTACGGTATTACACGTCCCGCAGCCAAACATCAGTCTGGCTCATCTTGGCAAAGGTTTTCTGGTCGCCTCGGATCGGATTATCTGGCGAATGGGCGCATTGCCCTACCACACCCAGCTGGTAGAGCTCGTCGAGCATCAGCGATTCGACGAAGCCATCAGCCTGCTACAACTCCTGGAAGATACCCTGATTGACAATAAGGAGGATCGTATTCACGAAGTTATGACGCAGAAGGCTATAGCGCTGTTCCAGCAGCAAAAATATCGACCCGCCCTTGATCTATTTATCGATGCAGAGACCTCACCAGATAGAGTCATTGCTCTTTATCCGCGGGTCATATCGGGCGCAGGAGCTGATGCCGATGCAGCTGAGCACGAAGGCGAAGAGAATCGAGAGCACGATGGTGAAAGCCTCAACGAGCCCCCCAGAACGCCCGTCAAAGGCATATTTGGCCTGCTGAAAACGCCCAGGAAGCCCGAATCCGATTCAGCGTCGATCAAATCGCCTGCGCGGGCCGATGTTGATAACATGAGCATTCGGACTGCTAAGACCGTCAATCGGGCTCCAGACAAACCGCTGGAGGGAGAAGACCTCAAACTTGCAGTACGATGTCTATGCTCCTTTCTCGCGCAGGCGCGAACACAGCTTCAAAAATTTCTTAGCCCAGAGGGTCAATTGAAGGAGCGCCCGACGAAATTTGACGCTGAGACAGGGAAGCCCGCCTTTGCCAACTTGCTACCACAAACAGTTTTCGAGGAAGATTCTGCGGCCGTCGATTGGCAAGCAGAGTTGCTGAAGACGGCACAGCTCGTCGATACTGCCCTTTTTCGTGCTTACATGCTAGCCATGCCGTCGCTTGCAGGGTCACTTTTCCGCATCGACAACTTTTGTGATCCCGCCGTCGTACAGGCAGCTTTGTACGAAGGCGAGCGATACAATGATCTGATCGATTTCCTGCACGGCAAGAAGCTCCATCGTCAAGCACTCGAGATGCTCACGAAGTTTGGCAAGGGCGAGGCGGACGGGGAGATTCCGGCAGGCATGCAAGGTCCCGAACGGATTGTCGGATATCTGAAGCAACTCCCGCCCGAGCTTGTCGATGTGATCCTGGAATTTGTGCAATGGCCGATCCAGGTTCGGCCGGAAGTTGGCATGGAAGTATTTGTTGCTGACACAGACAATGCGGAGAGGCTTCCTCGGGATCAAGTTCTCAAGTTCCTAGCCGACCACGACAACCGATTAGAGATCCAATATCTCGAGCACATCATCAATGAGCTGGGCGAGAGGGCCGCGGAATTCCACCAGAGGCTTGTCGATGTGTATGTTGCCGAGCTGAAGCGAAAGGACGTCATCCAAGAGGAACAGGAGAGACAAAAGACGAAACTTGAAGAGTTCTTGGTCAAAAGCAGAACTTACAACAAAGCTAAGACCTTCAAACTACTTCCAGCACACGACCCGCTATTCTATCAGATCAGAGCCATCGTGCTCAGCGCCATGGGCAATCACAAGCAGGCACTGTCGATTTACGTCTTCCAGATCCAGAATTACGAAAAGGCAGAGGATTACTGTAATCAAGTATATCTCGAAGATCAGATGAGCCAACAGGCCTGTCTAGTGGACGGAGGCGTCTTGCACGAGAAACAATTCAAGCAGTTTGAACCCGAGAACACCATCGAGAAGCCGAACATCTTTGCGATTCTGCTCGGCCTCTACTTAAGCCCGCCCGCGGAGGAGCAGAAGCGATGGCCGCAAGCCCTCGACCTTCTGAGCAAGCACGGCGCCCGACTCCCGACGAGTAGTACACTTGAGCTCATGCCGGACGATCTGGCAGTGCAACAGCTGCACGACTATTTCCTGGGCCGCGTGCGTAACGCGACGTCGATGCTGCGCGAAGAGGCCATCGTGCGAAATCTTGAAGGCGTGCGGCGCGCCAAGACCGAGCGGCTGCTGGTTCAGGGCCCGGATCTCGGGCCCAGCGATGTCGGCCTCCCCAAGCCACAGGGCCGCAACCGACGTGTCCGGATCGGCGAAGACGACCATTGTCGGCTGTGCCACAAGCGGTTCACGGCTGCCACGGCTATCCGAGTGTATCCAGATGACGAACCTATTCATTACGGATGCATCACGCGTAGCGGTAACAGCCACAAGAGTGAGGGAGGCATGCAGACGGTCAGCGGCAGCGGCAGCCTGGGCGCTATGCGGCAAAGATCTGGCGCATGGGGAGATGTGTGAGGAGATGATGTTCCGAGGAGACTGAATGCCGCAGAGTGAGCTCTGCCCAACTCGCCGAGTTAGGATACCGGTCTACGTCTGCCGTCTACGAACAGTACGGAAGCGTAACATGGGATACATGAAGTTATTGTGCCGCACTTAGCCCGCTAATTGACTTATTCCTCGCCCATGCAGAACTCGACAAATACATTGCTGTTGCCCTGACCCGTTTACAGTGGCGAGCAGAGAGAGCACCCAAGCGGACGCGCCATCTCGCATGCACTGCTCAAGATGCATAGTGCAATTGCACCTGGACGCTGAGGAGCTCATGCCCTCAACGAAGGACTGCCATGACTACATTTCACGGCGTTGTGCTACGATCTGGCCCATGGAGCGCCGATGTGAAACAGCCGACAGCCGATGCCAATCCATATGTATTATGGCATGATGAACAGTGCATGTCGGACCATTCGTATGGACTGTTTCGGAACTTGACGCCGATTGCGAAAAGCTCCCAGAAGGAACTTGACTAGCATTGGCAGAGGGAATTTCTGACGTCATTCTCGCGTGGATAGGGCTGGTGGTCTACCACTGTGATAAAACGATGAAAAGCCCCACCGCAGGACATAGGACACAGCAGGTATTACGATACGTACCTAGGTAGGTAGGTTTTGGTTTTCGACCGGAATAAATACCCAAAAATGATAAATAATTGTACAAGAATGAGGACCACAAGGTCAACAATGACACACCGCAAACCCATATTCGCAAGGGCTCCGCTTGTGACGTGCATTGCACATGCTGTTTAGAGGTACAGTCTGATGACAGGACAGTACAGCATGCACAGTCGTCTCCCGTTCGCACCGCTCGCTTGGCGTGGACGTCATCGGTCATCACCATTCTAAAGTTGAGCCGCATTGGAGCAAGTGAGCAAGCTTGAGGAAGCGAAACACCACCGAAACGCGCGTAAAACCTGCACCTGCGCGTTCACCGTTGGTAATAGTGTTCTTGTATTCATAGCATCGCCGGTGCTATAGTTGGGGACATGGGCCTCGAAATCAGGATAATCAATCGTGCCGAGACATTGGCAACTGGACAGTAGAGCACACACAGTAGAGTAGGTGTTGGTTCTGCAGACACCTAACCTTGATAACTCCACATGGTGATCCCGCACAAGCGCTCCTGACGCAATCGAGCCGCTGCTGCTTGCTCCTTCTATTGCCTGGTCGTCTCTCGCCAAGGCTTCTTTGTTCTCGTGTCACTCGTGTTCAAGGCTCATTCCAAGCTTCATTCACTTTCTCTTCCTCCTCGTCTACAGTGCTCGTCCACTCCTCTCGGCTCCTCCTCCTTCTTGATCGCCATAGTCGCCCCGCCTTTGTCGCCCAGGATCAGAGCGACACATCTGACGGCTTCCTCGACCGCCGGGCTAGCGGTTCACGTCGAGTAAACCATGGCGGAACAACATCCTGCCACAGAATTCTCCCCACAGGGTATGCAAAGACTCGCGTGCAGCCTGACAAGCCACCGTTTGGCACATCGCCGCGAGAGTGACTGACAGCCGCAATAGCACATTACTCGGGCAAGAACAAGGTCCCCACTGTCGCCCAATTTATTCAGAGCTTGGACAAAGACAAAGCCGCTCGCGATGCCGCCATCGACAAACAAACCTCACAACCTGGAAATCAGACGACCAGCGATGCCGTGCCACATGTCAACGAGGTCTCCGCTGGGAAGGGACAAAAAACGGTGACAGATCCCACCACAGGCCGCCAGGTGGTGATCGAGGACCTGTCCAAGGAGCACATGAAATTTGCGACAAACCCCATCCTAAACGTGCCCAACGCCAACCTTGGCAAGGACACGCCCGTCAAGACTGATGCCAGCCAGACCAACCCCGAGTATCGAGAGAAGCAGGACATCACAGCGCCGCCGGACCCAATTGCCGAGGGTGCCACGAGCGACGTGCCCATTCACGGCGAAAAGACCAACATCCTCTTCCATCCGACACCTTCTGTTAGCTATGAGCCGACATTCAAGCGGCTGGAAGAGAGGGGGTTCTATCTGATCACGGGCGTCTTCTTCGCCATTGTGATCTTGGGCCGCGTGTTCGGTGGAAAATACATTGGCATGATCCCACTGGCGGCATGTGTCTCCAGCGGCATCTGGCTTTGGATCAAGGAGCTCGTACGCTCCGGCCGCGAGGTCGAGTGGTCGGCCGAGAAAGAGCGTGGCGAGACAGCCACGGCCAACCTCCTGCCCGAGTCGGTGGAGTGGATGAACACCATGTTGGGCATCGTCTGGGGTTTAATCAATCCCGATATGTTCCAGGCGGTCGCCGATACCCTTGAAGACGTCATGCAGGCCTCCGTCCCAGGAGTGATTGAAAACGTGCGTGTGGCTGAGATCGATCAGGGCAGCAACCCGATCCGCATTTTGAGCATGAGAGCCTTGCCGGACTCTCACATGCGGGAAATGAAACAGGCAATTCACGAGGAGAACAAGAAAACCAAAGATCCCCAAGAGGCTGCCGCCGACGAGGAGGGTGGCGACTACTACAACCTCGAGATCAGCTTTGCGTACCATGCGGCACCAACGGGCTCCCGCGCCAGTGACAAGGCCCGTAACATGCACATGCAACTTGTCTTCTATCTAGGGATCAAGGGCCTATTCGGTGTTCCGCTTCCGATCTTTGTCGAGCTCCAAGGCCTCGTGGGGACCGTCCGCTTGCGGATGGCCATGACCCCGGAGCCACCGTTCCTGAAGACGTTGACCTTCACATTGATGGGTGTTCCTCACGTGTCAGCTGGCTGTATTCCTATGGTAAGTTGGGCATTCGCGCTCTGAAGCCGCACGCTGACCATCTCGCATAGATCGAGAAAGGGCCTAACATCCTCAACCTCCCTTTGATCAGCCAGTTTGTCAACTACGCTATCGGGGCCGCGGCCTCGATGTATGTTGCGCCCAAGGTAAGCGTGCACGAACAGAGGTCGAAGTTCGATTTCGGGCTGCTGACGTTCTCATAGAGCATGTCCATCGACATGCGTGCCATCCTGCAGGGCGACGACATCACCAAGGAAACCCAGGCCCTCGGGGTGTTGTGGATTCGCATCCACCGAGCCGTCGGCTTGAGCAGACAGGACCGCCGGGGGTCTAAATGGGGCGGTAGTGACCCCTATATTACCCTCACCTTCAGCAAGTACGGCAAACCCATGTATTGTACGCGTGTAATTACCGACGACCTCAATCCGATCTGGGAGGAGACGACAGCGCTGCTCGTGACTCCGGAATTGATCAAAGCCGATGAAAATCTGAGCGTCGAGTTGTGGGACAGCGATCGTCACTCGGCGGATGACATTGTGGGCAAAGTGGAACTCAGCATGCAAAAGATGATCCAACATCCGGGGAAGATGTACCCTCAGGTGTCCCAACTCTCGGGCATGGACGAAGGCTCGGAGATGCCGGGCGAATTGCGTTGGGAGGTCGGATACTTTGGCAAGCCAAGCTTCCGTGAGGCTCTCCGTACCGATGGAAAGAATTCCACTCTTCCCAAAAACCTTCAAGACCACCCGCAGCTTCAGGTAAGTCAATGATGCGAGATTCCTGGGCGAGACTGGGCGAGAAACATGTACTGATAACTAGCGACAGGATGAGAAGGGCGTGACCAACACGGCCACGGACGATGCGGTGAAGCATACTCCCCCGGATCCATTGTGGCCTAGTGGTATATGCTCTATCGTTGTTCACCAGATTGTCAATTTGGAGCTGGAAAACATCAAGGGGACCCAAGGAAGTCGAAAGGGTCGCGAATTCGAGCCTGCCAAACCTTATGGTGACACTGCCGAGGAGTCTTCAGGCAATCTACCGACATCCTATTGCACAATTCTTTTCAACGACGAGCTCGTGTATCGGACGAGAAGCAAAGCGGTCAGTAGTCATCCAATTTTCAATGCCGGAACCGAGCGCTTCGTGCGCGACTGGCGCAGCGCCATCATCACCGTCACTGTCCGCGATCAACGCAACCGGCAGAGCGACCCCATTTTGGGCGTTGTGCCGCTCAAGTTGTCCGACATCCTGGACACAAGTAGCCAGGTTACTCGATGGTATCCTCTGGACGGTGGCGTCGGCTTTGGACGTATTCGCATCTCGCTCTTGTTCCGATCAGTCGAGACACGCCTCCCGCCTGCCCAGCTGGGATGGGACGTGGGAACGTTCATGTTCACCTCCGACAAGCTCATTGCCAAGGACTATAACCACCATGCTAAGATCAAGTTGAGGACGGGCGGCTCGACAGGTAAAATCTCCCGATCCGTCTGTCACTCGATCAAGGACGGGAATGCGGAGACGCCTACGTCTGGATTCTCCTGGGATCTCACCAACAAAGAGCATAAGCACGTCAAGCTACCCGTTAAGTATCGCTACCGGTCGCCAGTCGTCATGGAATTTCACATTGCTCAACAGCGCAAAGCGGACGCATATGCCGTCCTGTGGCTTCATGAGCTTCACGACAATGAAGAGACCGACTTTGATGTCCCCATCTACAGAACTGCAGCTCCGGCACGCTTGACTCAGAACTTTTTCACGCCTGAGATGATCGCCGGTGAGCAACTACCCGGTCTCGAGGACCTCAAAGAGGTCGGACGCTTGCAATTCAGGGCCATGTTCAAGGCGGGCATGGACGAGAGCCACGAGTCCTTCGTCGTCGACAACGACTCGCGGGAAACATTCGAGACCTGGGAGGCCTGCCTTGCTGAAGGCGTCCGTACTCACATCGTGGAGAAGGAGCTACCTGAGCACATCAGCACGATGCACGAAGAAAGTCTCACCCAAGGCCGTGACATTCTGAAGACCGCGCCTGAGGATGAGACCAAGAAATGGCTATCAAAGACTGGCACGGATTGGTCGGGCGCCTTCGGCGACGATCCTGCAAACTACGTCGATGAACGAGGGAAGAAGCGCCGCGAACCCGCCGCTGAGCAGCCTCCGAATGATGACAACGACGACGACGACGATGAAGACGATGACGACGACAGCGACAGTGACCTCGGTATCCAAGACGCCACACACAAGCGCCGCTCAGACGATGCACGCAAGTCCATCGGCACCATGAACTCCGGCTGGACGGCCGGCACCAATGACACCATCGACACGCTCTCGCCCAAAGAAGTCAACCGACAAAACCGCAACACCGAACACCGCAAGCACCGTGGCGTGATGCAGTGGAAACCCGTGCGTAACCTCAAATTCGCCAAGGACCAGAGCATCATCGGCGCGCGGAAGCTCAAGGGCAAGATCACGGGCGGCTTGGATGGTCGGCAGCCAGGTGTCGAGACCGAGACGGGCACTTGATTTTCCTGGTTTCGCTCTGGCGGGGGGTTATCGTGCTATCTGGTGGATTGTACCGTGTGTTTTTGTCTTGCCTTGCCCTGCGTGATATTGTTTGTTTGACGAACTCATGATGAGAAGCGAAACTTATGAATGATGAATATGAATGTTATTCTGCCTATCACATGTTGATTTGTAACGGGTACCTCACAGTGCTGGGTGAAAAGCACGCTGAAAAGTGTTGTCTCCGTCTAAGACGTGATCTGGTGCTTTTTACTGCTACAACCCACAACTGCTTCTGCTTCGCAGCGCCAGGCCCACCTCGCAACCCGAACTCCGCCGCTCGATGCCATTGACACTTGACGTATTCTGCAGCGCAGATTCTCTTCAAGCATCGCTTGCTATCGCGATTCGTATTCGCCTTCCTGCTTCGAATGCAGCGGCGCATTCCAAATGCGCCTAAGCGGCTCTGGTATTGTCTTACATTTTCTTTTCGCTTGACGATGCGTTTATGATACTCCAAAGGCAAGGAGCTTTTCGGCCTATATACATGGAATACGAAGAGAAGCGATGCGTCCGATCAGGTCGGTAGACCGTCGTAATCTATCCCATGACCATTCCCTTGAGGCCGGCCATGTCACCCTCCTTGGCGGCGATCTCGAAGTACGAGTAGATGATACTGTATGAATAGCGTGGTCAGCAGGATTCTTGGAAACGGAACTCGTTCAGAGTGCGAGCGACTTACGTGACAGCCATGAGGATACCAGTACCGCTTCCAAGGGCACCCATCAGATCACTGGTGATGGAGAGAGCTCCGATGCAAGCACCACCGAATGCAGCAGCGGTAGGGATGACGCGCTTGAGCTCACGGTACATGCTCTCGTCGCGGTGGCCGGCCATGACCAATCCTTGCTCCTTCAACTGTTTGGCAACATCGCGTGGGCTGGAACCCGAAACCTCGATCCAGGTCTTGCTGAAAGCAGCACAGGCGACAAGCATGTAGACGGCGAAGATGGCAGTGTGAATCGGGTCGCTCAGGGCGTCGGTGATGTTCAATGGAGGGCTCATGTAGTACACCAGACCGCTGGCGGGCAGGACCTGGGAGGTCCCCTCGCGAGCTTCCCAGACACCAAGAAGCTTGACGAGCAGGTTGTCAGGGAGACGGTTGTAGAGCATCTGCGAGACGAGGAAGACGTTTGACGACAGGGCAGATTGAAGCATGATGGGCATGTTCGAGGTGTAGAAGAGGCGGACAGGGTATGAGCCACGCATGCCGCGCTGGCGGGATGACTTGACAGGGATTTCAACACGGAAGCCTGTCAAAGATCAGCATATGATGAGTTGGCCAATTCCGAACGAACTTACCCTGAAGATAGATGACAACACTGAAGACGAGAATGGTTGCCAGCAAGTTCATGATGTTTGGCAGGTTTTGGCGGTAGAAAGCTTCGCGAAGCGCAAGCTGCTTGTTGGGCCAGGTGATCAGAAGGTGGACCAGGGCGATGATGGCACCTTCGAACTCGGGACCCCGACCGGTGTTTACAGTGGTGGGTGAGAAAGCCTTCCAGACGATGGACTCGCAGATGTTGGTGGCAATGAAGAGCGAGATACCACTGCCGAGACCGTATCCCTTCTGGAGCAGCTCGTCAAGCAAGATCACGATCAAGGCTGCAGTCAAGAGCTGAACGACAAGCAAAACGCAAATGCCGGCACCGAGGTCAGCCGGCAATCCATACAAGCCAGTGAGAACAAAGACACAGGCCTGTCCGAAGGACAAGATGATGGCGAGAAGTTTTTGGGCAGTCTGGTAGAGTTCGCGGTCGGACTTAAGGTCCAGGTTGACGTCGATGAGGTGTGTTCCGGCCAAGAGCTGGAACACCATTCCGGAGGAGATGATAGGTGTGATGCCGAGCTCCATCAGGGTACCTCGATTACTGGCCATCATCATACGAAGCCAGTAAAGCGGGTCGGAGGTATCTATTCCTTCGTCAAACTTCATTCTCTTTCGATTCTCCTCGAACGCATTGCTCACCTGAGGAGACAATGCCGTAGAGCGGCATCTGGCTCATCACCAAGAAGATGACGAGGGTAACACTGGTCCATACTATCCGTTGTTGGAATGGAACCTTGGTCTCTGGCACCTGCACCTCGGGGATGAGGGGTGTGAAGGGCTTGACGAGGTCGAGGAAGCGGACTATGAAGAAGAGACAAGGTAAGTTTGGGATCAAGAGTCGAGCGCGCATGCAGTTTGGATCAACGTCGTTGTGCTCGTTTTCACTCCGCCGCGATCTAGTGGATTGATACTGTTGTGCTGTTCGATGGTGTCTGCGCGAATGCGCTGGGCGCGGGCTAGTACATACGTCCACTCATTCTGGCGATGTTTTGGAGCTTCTGCGGCTCCTTCAAACAGTAAGAAAGTCGATGTCGGTGATGAAAATCTTCCGCTGGTGTCTCAAAATGAGAATGGGTTGAAAGAAGAGAACGAAAGAGAGTCTCGTGATGACATACGAGAAAGTGCAATGCGCGAATGTGTGTATTGATGACAGTCCAGCCTTATTTAGGAATTGCCCTCGAATTTCCCCAATGGACGGCGAAGGTACAGCTGGCGATTCGATTGCGCTGAGGCCCGGGCAGACTTGGCATCCATCACGTGCGTGTCGTCACCGTGTTCCCGCAGTCGCGCAGGACCCTGGCTTTTCTCCTACAGCAGAAACACAATCAGGGGCATGTGAAGAAGTGCCGCGTTGTTACCCATGTGAGAAACGATCCCGTATGCACAGATGCAGTGCTTATCAGGGCACGCCAACACACCTAGTATAAGAGCGATGAATAGTAACTCAGGTGATTGCCGTGTTATCGAGGTGAACCAGGAACAAACTCCACGACTCCAAGATGCTCATCTAAAATGCCCGAAGAAATCCAAATCTCCCCTTCTGCCAACGCCGAGCTGTACTTTCTAGTCCGTGAATATGTTTATGGTTTGTTGTCATACCGGGCAGCATTCGCATCTGACGCTAGTCCTTGTAATAGAGCTGTCTGTATATCTTCTTGTGTTGCTCCAAGAAGATGAACGTGGCGATGGTGTGAGGTCCCAACCGCATGAAACTGGGCACCCATCCTTTCCACATCCATCCGAAGCCCTCGGCCGCCGTGATTCGTGTCATCATGCTGAAGATGCCCTCGTTGGTCTTAGCGCTCATGACGCGCGTTTTGATTACGTCCATTGGGCTGCAGACCGTGGTGGCTACGAATCCAGCCAAGAACGAGGCAAGGAAGTGCGTCGATAGGCCATCTCCAAGAGTCGTACATTGCAGGATCTGGACCTTGAAGATGTCGTAGCTCGCTAGCTGAGACGCGGTCATGAGTACCGCACGCGCGCTATTGGGCCAAACACCCCGTACCAGACTCGAGTATCCTTCCTCTCGGACCATCCTGAGGAGGCCATCGACGGCATTTTTGTAGTTTCTTCTCTCGGCCGTCGGTAGAGACATGTCATTCTGCATCCGCACGTTGATGATATCGGCTGGCGTCCCAGCGATTCCACCCAAGAAACCCGAAGTCGAGGCCATTGCGACCAATGTCATGAAGGAGGGCGGTTCCTTTCCAGTCGAGACCAACTCTTTCATTTTCTCGTATACGCCGAAGCGTGTGGTGCTGTATGTGAGTTGGCGCATGATCGAAGCCGAAAGCTGTTCCCTTTATCAGTCCTGATCGGCGTTTAGTCGGCCGACCTAGATGAAACTTACTCCGCGGTAAAGTCCTCGTACTCCATCGCTCTTGATGATATGCGAGGCCATTCCGGTCATGTTCTTGCGCGGGCCTTCATGGCTCTGGGTTTGTAATCGGACCTTGGCCAGGTAAGCAGTGAACGTGACTACGAATTGCTACGTGGTTGAACCATACTTTGACTGTGAGAGACGATTCTTAGCAAGGGATGTATGGTATTCGGCGGAGTGATTCCATACTCAAATCTAGAGGATGGGTGACCGTAGCAGCGAAACAACTCGCGCTCCCACCGAACCAGAAAGGATAGTGGATCTTGGTAGGCGAGTCATTGCTCTTGACGGGAGCTTTGGACATGACGCCCAGATCGCTGCGTCATCCACAGGCGCGTCGTAGAGAATGCGCGCAGCAGCCGGGACGATAATCTGAGTCCGTAGCGATCATACGACGCAGTTGATTCGAATTTGACGATTGATGATAATTGACAATCGCGTCACGAAAAGTCCCGGCCCTAACCGGCGATGACATGCAAGGACCGGGAAGCTCCTGCGCTTTAGCTGTATGCAGACGCAATCATGATAAGCATCCGACAGGTCCTAGGCGCGACTGCCCCCGAGCTTTCCACCATCTCGATTTTGTGGACTCGATAAACAACGATGAGTCCTGGTACCCATCCTACCAGTCATATTACTGCACACTCAAAATCGCCGGTCGTTCTATTTGGTCGTTTAATGCATAGGATATATTCGCAGTCGCTTGGCTACACGTCGTTGGATGGGCATAGCGTGTGGATTCTACCTATAACAGCAGATACTTTCCGAACATTGAAGAGACTATAGTTTTACAGAGGCAATCATGTCATCTGGTTGTGCCGAAGTGATTCCTCCCTCAAGTAAACAACTTCTCCATTTGTTGCCAGAGAGGCAACGAACGACGCTGCTTGGGGGGAGTAGACCTCAAGGTTTGTCGACTCCCTTACAGTGTCCTGATGTTGCGCTCCTGCATTCCGCTTATTACTGTTCATGTACCTAGGTATGCATATGGAAAACTTCAGCCCAGCGACCTTGATCTGCGAACGCCATCGCAAGGTCTGCTCTGATGATCATCATATGAGAATGTTCAGGTCCGAGCTGCGCTGTAGAATTCTCTATCGCCTTCAAGTATAGCTACTCTACCTTGCTCAACTTTCCTCGCTCCCTATATGTGATTGCAAGGTTGTTAATGCTTGTTGGCATGTCAGGATGCTCTGCTCCAAGCAACGCTTTTCTCAGCTCAATTGTTGTTACGTGCAGCTGCTCTGCCTCGTTTTCCCGCCCCTGCCCCGAACATTTCTGCGAGATTGTTCATGCTCATTGGCGTATTTGGATGCTCTGCTCCTGGTGCGGCTTTCTCAGTCTCAATTCTCGTCACTTGAAGCTGGTCTGCCTCGCGCCAACGCCCCTCTTCAAACAATACCGATGCCTGACTGCCTTTGTCAGGAGCTGTTCCGCCCCGGGCCACCGACTTTGATCTATAAGAAGTGATGTATAATTAGTGATGCTTGAGAGAATGCTGGGATCATCGGGATCAAGTATTGCCTCCTTTTTGTTCAGTGCTGCTAGGCTGAACTGCTCTGCCTAATCATATTGGCCAGAGCCAGTGCACATCGATCTAGGGGCAGCACTCTCGAGAAGCTATGCTCCTCAATCACCCGTGTGGAGGAGTTTGGCATGGGGAAGCCCTCCATTTGCTCCTGTTCCCATCTCATCTCTCACCTGCGCCAAGAGTACATCATCGTCGGTCCATCTGTGCGATAGTATCGCATATGGCGAAATGGGCTTTCCCATAAAATCGATCAAAACAAGCCTATTGGCGGTGTTGAAGTGAAAGAGTCGTATCGCCGCGCTGATGGTGGGAATACGAATATACAGACAGTACGATACGGAGACGTCGGCCGCGCGATACACGGGATGCGACGTGTGTGAGCAAGGAGCAAGAGCTGCACAGTGGTGTACTTGACATGTGAGGCTTTGGGCGTCAACAAAAGACGAGAAATCCTTTGACTCCAGTCGTTTTTGTCGCCAATGTTGGTGAATGTAGATTACCTAGCTACGACGTTGCAGGAGAGGTCCTCGCGCGAGAAAGTATGAAGACCTCATGGCAATAAAAGCTTCGGTCGTGGAGCATGTTCGTGCTCTCGGAAGACAGTCGAGTGTGGTAAGCAGGAGGCAGTGGCGCAGTATATCGATGCTCTCTACGGTCACAATGAGGAGGGAGCACGACGTCGTGGTGGTAATATCTCCCTGTGAGTCTCCAGCTTCACGCTTGATACACCTGTGTGATGTCTGTCCAGACCATGTGCATGGCATATCTAGTCGGGGCAGTTCTCCAGAAGTACAGTGCGGCATCAACGCCGTCTGGACGTCTTCACGTCATTCGGAATTATGTGTCAGAGTCACAGCAAGTATGAATATCAGATTTGACATCGCGCAATGATGTCGTCTCATCTGTAGGTCCAGGTGGCGGGAATGCAGGAATATGTTGGCGATGACAGAATGTTTAGTACATCCCAAGGCTCTTCCAGGGCTGCAACTTTGATTCATCAATTGATGAGCGCGGCCTTGTCTGCGTCGGGATTAGCGCCCCCCGGTGCTCTCCTCCGCAGCGCTGGAGTGTGTCCGAAGGCATTGCACTAGCGATACGGATATATCAGGAGGTAGTTCTTGACTCCAATCAACATCATCGCGATGATCGTCGCAGCGAAAGCTAGATATACATGTCTCTCTGCTTCCGCCGTGTCGAACAGTCGGCACGCCTTCTTGCTCGTCAAACCTACTCGTCACTCACGATGCTTCACAAGCACAGGTTAGTATCATCCGAGACCCAGCCGACTAATAGCCCAGATGTGACTTTTTGTTGACGATTTGTATCGAGTATCCTCGGACCCACCGTCATCTACGACGAGGTACTCCATACTTGTTCTACGCTGATTCTGTACATCAACAGGCTCATCATTGCAAAAGTCCCTCTCCATTGATGGAAAGTCATATGTTTCCGATGAATGGACGAACGTCCCTTCGACAATCCTGGCGCATTACGGCCGTCGACTACACGTACAACCTGACCATCCGCTTTCAATAACAAGGAAGCTGGTTGAATCGAGATTCCCAGGATTCAAAAATCACAATGATCTTCCGCCAGTGGTGACTGTTGACCAGAATTTCAATTCCTTGGGTTTCACGGCGGATCATCCGGGTCGCAGCAAAACCGACACGTACTATGTCAACAAGGACACGGTTCTACGAACGCACACGACTGCCCACGAAGTCGATACCTTCCGCGCTAACCTGAGCAACGGCTACACCATCTCGGCCGACGTGTATCGTCGAGATGCAGTGGACCGAAGTCACTATCCCGTCTTCCATCAAATGGAAGGCGCACTGACATGGGATCGTAACGATTTTGCATCTCGTGAGGCTTTGACTCAACAGATCATTGCAGATCTGCAGAGCGTGCCGAAGCACGATCTGAAAGTGGAAGATCCTAATCCCGCATTCCATGCCGAGCGCAACCCCTTACAGACCGAATTTCATACTGCGGCTGAGGCAGAAGCTATTGCGGCTCACTTGAAACGCTCATTAGAGGACATGGTGGTCACAATATTCGCAGAGGCAGACCGAGCGCTCACCGCAGCTGGGAATGACGAAGCGAGGGAGCCGATAAAGGTCCGATGGGTCGAAGCTTTCTTCCCACACACTTCACCATCGTGGGAGATGGAAGTGTGGTGGCGCGGCGACTGGCTCGAGGTTCTCGGCTGTGGAGTCATTGATCAGCCCCTGCTCAATCGAGCAGACGTCTCATCGAGGGTGGGATGGGCCTTTGGCATTGGGCTTGAGCGAATTGCCATGCTTCTGTTTGGCATTCCGGATATCCGGTTGTTCTGGAGCCACGACCAACGATTTCTGAGTCAGTTCGATGCCGGGAAGCCCATACGGCGATTTCAACCATTCAGCAAACATCCCGCAGCGCCTCGAGATGTCGCATTTTGGCTACCGGCATCGGGGCCCGTCATTGCTGGTACGGCTTCATCCACAACAAGCGCACCGTCGCCCGCTGGCGGTCAATTGACTGCAGCGCCAGCGGGTCAGCAACCAATTTTTCATGAAAACGATCTCATGGAGATCGTTCGCGATGTTGCCGGGGACAATGTCGAGGATGTGGTCCTCATCGACAGCTTCAAATCTCCCAAGACTGGCAAGCAAAGCCTATGCTACCGAATAACGTATCGGAGCTTAGAAAAGACGCTCACGGGCAAGGAAGTGATGGAATTCCACGATCAGATCGGCCGCCAGCTCGTCAGCAAATTTGATGTCGTGCTGAGATAGATAGGCCGTGGGGACTTTTTCAATCGAAGCATTGTATAACATAGCTTGGGCTTCGCATAATTGTTCTCGGAGCCTGGCATGTATGTATGTAGAAAACGTATAGTGTGTCATTTATTAATCGCGTGTCATCGTGCAGGCCCGATGCATTTGACTTCAACCCGAGACACCTTTCCGAGAAAAGCGAGGTCGTTCGATTCTGCTGAAGGCAAAGCTTGGACTACAGCCAGAACGCGACTCAGCCCGAGCAGAGGCGGCGCGCCAGCGCAGCGACGCCCATCTCCAGCTCTTGCTTCTCCGCCTGGGCAAGTCGGAGTAACTTTACTTTTTGCATCCTTGACGCCATGCCGAGAATCGAGCATGCCCAGGTGCCTGTGCAGCAGCTTGGCCGGAGCCCGGCTATTTGTAGGGCTGGCTGTCACAGCTAATAGCACGCGCAGCTGCCTACGTCGTGGCAATTAATGATCAATCGTGGCGTCGCTCCTGGACCATCTTCCTCACACTTGCATGCACACGCCATCAGGATGCGCAGCCACCCTTCACTACCTCGTCAACAAATCATTTACAATGCGTCGGCCCTCCACATATTCTGACATTAACACTCTACCTTCAAAGACCGCTCTCGATCTCACACGCTTGCTCATGGCTAGCCCGCCGCACTGGGCCTCATTGCTCGTCAACAACCTCACATCGATCTTCCCAAGGAGCCATGTCACCGTGGGACGCGAAATCAATCAGGTTCCCGGAGCGTGATACATGACATCTCAGACCACACAAGGCTTGTCCATGTCCCTATGATAGCCGAGAGTAGCGATTATGGTTTCGCTTTTAGTTGAGAGCTGGACCTGGTTCGCCATTGTCATGGTCGTTGCAATCTGCCGAGCGTATGTATAGCTACTCCAAACCCCACGAGGCTGTGAGCGCGTTCATTTGGAGCCAGCATTAATCCTGTCGCAGAATTTCACGCCGGATGACTTTGGGCACGTTCAGACGCTTCCAGGTGGACGATTATGGAATGGTCGTAGTCCTCTGCTTCTACACAGTCTTCGTAGTCACCCTCAATCTCGAAACAGACACAGAGTCCAACTTGCTGCCGCCCGGCTTCGATGCCAGCACATTAACGCCTGACGATATCGCTAAGAGGGTATACGGCAGCAAGCTGATCCTTGCGGTCGAACAATGCCAATGCATTGTCATTTGGGGTGCCAAATCGTGTCTGATCATCCTATACCTTCGCCTCACATCTCTACGCATGGAAAACTATGCTGTCAAAGCGCTTTCCGTGTTCGTGGGATTTTCATTCGTCATCATGGAAGTCCTGTATTTCGCTGTCTGGTGTCAGCCTTTCTGGGAGTATTGGGCTGTACCGACTAAGTATGTATCGGCATATATGAAATGTGAAGAAACTTAACTAATTCCAAGGTTAGCAACATCCAATGCAGCGCCGCCATCAATCATTTGATCACGAACGCAGTCTTCAATCTCACTTCGGACTGCGTCATGCTGGCGATAGGCCTACCAATGTTTTGGAGACTCCATTTGCCGTGGCGGAAACAGCTACCCCTACTACTAATCTTCGCTGGCGGTGGTGTCTTTGTGTTAGTTTGTGCCATACTCAACAAACTCTACTCCTTCACTGAGCCATTCGGAGCTGCATGGACGTTCTGGTATGTTCGAGAGAGCTCAACAGCGTTACTGGTTGCAAATCTGCCTTTTCTGTCGACTCTCCTCAAACGCGTGTTCGGCTCGAAAAGCGGCTCGGACGAATTCGTCGGACGACCGGCAATCTCGGCACGATACGTCCTCGACGGTCACAGTTCAGGCTCGCCGCAGGCAGATCAAGACTACACTATTGAGGTTTCCTCGGAAAGCGACCCTCAAGTACACATGGATGGAAAGGCTCACAGGTCCTATGGGAATGTGATGCATTCCGGAACATTGTCGGATAAAGGTGTGCGACGAGGTTCGGGTGGTTCTCATGACACTCCAGATGTCCTGCTACAGGCATCTCGGCGGGCTATTAGCCTGCCAGTCGCAGATCTGTCGAAGCCCAGGTAAATGCATATTCACGCAGGTGCCAAGATTACCATAAGTCGGCAGATATAAAACTTACAAGCCAAGCGACGAAGTCTTGTCAAGAAACTGGCATCTTCACCGAACAGCGATAATTGATCGATATCTTTGTACAAGATGTTTCAAGACGCTGCTTGAAAGTTTTCGGAGGCCTACCTTCCTCAGCGGGTACGTTGACCTTATGAAGTAACTCGCGGTCGGAGCTTCGCTAACAACTCGGACCAACCTCTCGTATATCACAGACTCTTAAATACGATCTCTTGGCATGGGATGCTGGACATTGCGTCCAGCCCCATCCGATTATTGGACAAGGTCCTCGACGATTTCGATCAAAGATTGCTGCTGCTGCACGTGTGCAGGTACCGCATCGACCCGCTGGTGGTGTAGGGCCAGCCAACCAGGCTCGGAACATTCCTAATGGTCCGGATGTGATTCCGCCATCCGGAAACTCACAAAACATATGCAGGTACAAAGACTTGCCATGCAATCTACCAGAGAACATTAGCAGTGCAGCATCCGAATCGCTAGCAAATACAGAAGTAAGTATCGTGGTTGATTCAGAAACTGTATCCTCGACTCTCGAAGTCTGGCGACTCTGCATGCTGGAACATGCCCGCAACGAAAACGCTGAAACGTCCCCAGCACAGCGTCCTTCCGGGATGATCGTGGTCTGCCACGTCGGCCACCCATTTTGGGGGAAATCGGTGGAATTAAGAAAGCTCAAAGTCCCTGGATACATCCTGGCCCCCAACCTCATGCTCGTGCTTCACCCCCAGCCACATGGTGGAAATTCCGTCACGCACACCCAGCAACGGTCGCTGAAGCCCTGCATATAATAGCATACATTGCTTTCGACTAGTCTCACATTTCGCCCTTGTCAAGCGCACCTTCCATGCGAACCTGAGACTGTCTCATTCTACTATTGTTCTATTTCCACGAAGATTGTGCGTGATTGTGTGTGATCATGCTTCGCTGCCTGCAGAGCATTGCTCTGGCGGCTCAAGTCGTGTGGGCATGGTCGCCAGAATCCTGGGAACCGAAGGATTATTATAACAACAACGACTGGAATACCGTGTACAAGGTCACCGTGCCTCACATTGCTCAAAGAACTGCTACAAGCTCGACGCCTGGTCCCATGGATTTTCTCACGAAGCTGACACATGATGCCGACCCGGTAGCCGGGTCCGACCGTAAATTGGTACGCCCAACGGCGGTTCCGCTTTCTCCCAATGGTGATCAACCTTTCTGGCAACAATATCAAGATGCACTTAACATTAAGGAGTCGACAACCGCGACAGCAGATACTATCTATCAGACCGTTCAAGTGACGTTTGGAGCTCTTAGTGATTGTTTGAGTTGTGCTGTAAAAAGCACGTCAACTGCTCACATTCAATCGCAGACGCCGACAGCAGCACCCCTTCATGCTCCGAGTGTACACGATTCGCGCGTCTCCTCCTTAGGGCACGAGTCGTTGGCGAAAGGGACCTCTTGCGCTTCTCTCTCTACCGCCTCCGGTGTCGCCTCTCCTGATACAACACATGCGTTGCCCGCTACGTCTTCTTCTCTGTCTTCTTATGGACCGCCTACTGCCGGAGAGTACCTCAATTGCAGTCTGCCGACATCCCCACTCGCCAATCATCTCCAAGTAGGAGACTCGGTTCTCGGTTCTTTGTGCCAACCACATTTCCCGCATTGGCTCGGTGATTCACAAGGCAAACCATACACTTCAGCGCCATGGGGCGAGAGAACTCCACGAACGGCGGATGCGACCGTCGATAGCGATATACCGCGAACAGGGGTCACACGGCGCTACGAATTTACCATCAGCCGTGGTCATGTCTGGGCAGACGGCGTGAAGCGAGATGCTATGCTCGTTAACAACCAATTTCCTGGCCCGGCAATCGAAGCCAATTGGGGAGATGAGATCGAAGTGATTGTGCACAACAATATCTCCGCTCCAATGGAGGGTACTGCCATGCATTATCACGGCTTTCTCCAGCGTGGTAGTAATTGGATGGATGGCGTGCCCTCTGTCAGTCAATGTCCAATCGCGCCAGGGGCTTCTTTTACCTACCGTTTCACCGCTCAGCTCTACGGAACATCGTTCTACCATGCACATTATTCGGCTCAGTATACTGCGGGTGTTGCCGGGCCGATCATCATACATGGCCCATCGCAGCTTCCGTATGACATCGACATTGGGCCCGTCATGCTCACAGACTGGTTTCACATTCCGTATTTCAGCATCGTTAAAGATGTGGTCGGGACTGACATGACTAAACTACCACCTAAGAGTGACAGCTTGCTGATCAATGGCCGCGGCCGATTCGACTGTGCTGAACCTTCCTACTCAAGTTCAAGCGATTGGGTTGGAAGTAACATCGCGAGTAACCAGACTTGGGAGTGTGTTGACGGCGCCGAGTTGTCCAAATTTCGATTTCAAAGCGGAAAGATCCACAGACTCCGGCTAATCAATCACGGTGCTGACGGTAAGTTCGCCGCAAAGTACGTCACTCGATAGTTGCTGACACAATTCAGGAGTGCAAAAGTTTTCCATCGATGGCCACAAGATGACTGTCATCGCGACGGATTATGTCCCGACCGTGCCTTATACCACCGAGACTGTTACCCTGGGTGTAGCTCAACGTACGGATGTCCTAGTCCAGGCACTGGATACACCTGGCGCCACGTACTGGATGCGAGCTAGGACCCCTGGTGGCTCTAGCATGGGCGGCTCAGCACACGCCGAAGTGCTCGCTGCCATATACTATGACGGAGCCGATCCATCGCTTATACCAGCCTCTCAAGGTGTAAAACAAGACGCTGGCTGTGAGAATGAGCCCCTCGAAATCACCCAACCTGAATATGTCATCGCTCCTAGTGGCGATGCTTACCAGCAGAACCTCGTCCTTGGTCTCGAAAGGAATTCCTCTGGTAATTTCGAATGGCTGATCAACGGCCAGACATTCCGAGCGAACTTTAATTCGCCTTCTCTCTACCTCGCCGCCGATGGGAACACCACTTATCCAGATCCCGAGTGGAACATGTTCAACTTTGGCCAGAACAAGTCTATTATTCTCAATGTCACCAACGCCACACCATACACCCATCCATTCCATCTTCACGGGCACAACTTTTTTGTCCTCAACATAGGAAGCGCCGGGACTACCTGGGATGGCAGCATCGTCAATCCTGGCAATCCCATGAGGAGAGACACCGTGATCATACCCCCTCTCGGATGGGCAGCATTCTCCTTCGAGTCCGACAATCCCGGCATCTGGCCATTTCACTGCCATGTGGCGTGGCATCTCTCTGGTGGACTTGCCATGAACATCATGACCCGACCCAATGATATTCCGAAGATACCTCGAGGCATGGAAGAATCAACCTGTACTGCATGGAATGCGTACACCGACCGAAACACGGTTGATCAGATTGATGCGGGATCATAACATGCTCTCTGCTGGGGGCTTGCCATGTTCCGTTCCATCTTGCTTTTTCCACACCCATGATTGCGCTCTAATATGGCTATTTACGGCTTTCACGAATTATGACATTGCTTGTATTAATTGCCGTGCCTCTCAATCGGAGCACGGACTTGGATGGGAGATTTATGTCGGTTGTAGAATAGATTAGCGGAGCTTTTACATATGCCTAATGCATAATGCTTCTGTAATTTTAATGCAGGTTTAACATGTGAGAGTACCACATGCATACATCAGAAATTCATCAAAAGACGCTCAATTTTGGCATCGACGTGATTGATGGTTGACTAGACTTCAAAAAATGGTATTGCCAACGCTAAATTGACGTGAGAGTAGGACAAAAATGGTTCCCTGAACTGGCACTTCTACCAGGTCTGCAATGCATTCAGTCGTCTACTGATCATCTTCGCTGTTATACATATCTGGGACGACCACATATAAACGTGCCATTCGGGCGTCGCATCCCATCCAACCCATAAAATACACGAGATTGCCGCGTTGCACTGAAGACGAGTTGAACAGTCTGCACGAACTTCCGCTATTATGGGGGCTCTGTCGATGGCGTAAGGCTGCGCTGCCTGTATCGCCAACAGTGCCGTTTGATTTGCGAGGTCTGCTCGTTTGCCATCATCTAACGTGTTGGGCAGCGCCAACAGTGCAAGCTCGCTTGTGGCTTCTGACAGAATAAATTGGAGAAAGAGCTGCCTCATGAGATATAATCAGATGCTTGTGCCCTTAACTTTGAAGCGCTCTTTCCGGCGTCCCAGAACAAAGACGTAGCTTCCTGAATGTCGGCTTCGCTGATGTTCGTGTCGCCTCGCGCTCGTGCGAGGATGCTCGCGGGTGACAAGAGCTGTAATGCATAGCGCAAGGAAACCGTGGAACCAAGCTGGGTGAGTGCTTGAAGCGCATCTGCATGTAGCGTAGCAGACATTTTGAGCGCTTGTTGATTATCTGCCAGCTGTGGCGCTGTGGGTGTCGCGAACTCGAGCTTTGCGCGGGTCTGAATTATTGTCTGGATCTCAGTAGGGGTGTACGGATGAGTCGGGATGATCAAAAGTCGTGCTAGAAGATCAGGCGGTATACCGTGAGCTGACACCAGGCCTGCATCGTTCGATGATTGTGTTCCGCGAATGGTCGTTTGCCCTCGATTTGATGCAAGGATGACAATTGGCGAAATGCTTGATTCGAGCGCGCGATTCAAGTACGTGAAACATTCGATGTCGAGCATGTGGACCTTTCAAATCGTTAGAACTGTTAATGCCAAAAATCTCATCGTGCGTTGTGTTTACCTCATCAATGAACAGCACACCAGGGACCAGTTCAGCGATGCCCTGATCGATATACTTGTTGACGACCTTGTTGATCTCTCCTCGTAGCTTTTCAGTAATTTCGGTCTTGCGTGGTTTCATCAATTGACCCATCATGCTCATCACATCTTGGCCGCCCTGCGGTCTCGCATTGGCTACATCAAGGTCGTGCAAGGTCACATCTTGCACGATGTCCTTCTTTTTGTGAACCTCTCCTTTCGGCACTGGCACATATTCCTCGGCCTCGAGGTCAAATTCGGTTGAGAAAGCATCAGACCTGCCAACTCTCTTGACTGCTCCTGTGTTCGCCTCGATGTAAATGACATCGCCAAGACGCACGCGCTCTTTCTGTATCGCCTCATATATGCTGGGATCAAGTCGCAGTTTTTTGGTGCCTCTTGAGCTCCGCAGTGTGATGAGAAGATGTGAGATAGTTCGGCCATAAGCACCGAGTGGGTTTTCGCTCTCCTCCGGTGTCAGCTCAGTGACCTCGCCCTCGTAGACTTCCTTCCGTTCCTGTACCCGAAGACCAATCGCTCGTCGGAAGTTTTCCATGAGAGCTTCGGTCTTCTTGACTTCCGCACTGTACACTTCGCTTCCAGTCATTGGACAAAACGGCACTTTGGTGCCCAGCTCTTGGCTAACAGCGAGCGCTAGCGCGGTCTTTCCTGTTCCGGGACCTCCTGCAAGTAATATGGCCTTGCCTGCCATTTTCTTTGCGCGGATCAAATCGACGACGACACCACATGCTTCTCTGGCGGCGGTCTGCCCGACAAAGCCCTGCGAAGTCGCGTCTGCAAGGCCATCGCGAAGACCTAGACCTTTGATGTGCGAATGCGCGGCGGTTCGGTTTTCCCGCGAATTGGTTTGACGAACCTCCGAAATCTGTACAGTCGAGCCGTTCTCCGCCATCTTGAAAGTATAGTGGTGATCTTGCTAGAAGCTAGTTTACTCAGCTATCATTTGTTTCGAGGGAGACGCGAAAATCATTCTAGGGCTTCGCGAACACGACACCGGACCGGCACAGTTGCTGTCATTCACTACCGAGGATTCCCCGTGTCCATACAGGTCATCCGTAGACTGCTTATTAGGCTAAACGATCATTGGTGGGCGCTGCGTCATGCTTTGCAAGCAACTTAGAACATGGGTGACCCTTCGAACTTATTGTAATTACACTGATAATCCACGGACAGCAGCACCGCACTCCACCTCCCTCTTTATACGACCTAACAACGCCGATAACTTGCGTCTGTCGATTTTTCCCGCATTACCTGCGCCGACGATCCAACATATTACAAGGACAACACGATATTCGGAAATGGCGACCCTCAGGGCAAGCGGGCCCTCGGCATCATCTATTTTTCGCTTCACGTCACAATCGGTGGCGACGCGGCGATGCGCTCACTGTGTACGCGCACAGAGATGTCCGTTTTCGTCAGTTCCTAACCAGCGTCAATCGGCAAAGCGACCGCTCATGACCGAGTCGGCGCATCGAACGCAATCGATTGTCTCCGATGTGCCTCCACCTCGGAATATCGGAACTCCAGAAACATCGATTACAAGTTCATTAGGCGCACAAAAATGGCAACCAGCAGGACTTTGGCAGAAGTCAGATAGAGGTGAAGGTATCGCGATACGAGAAGGGGAGGCGCAACAGAGTCGACCAGTTGTGGAGAGTCAGTCGAAAGCTTCAAACAAAATCAATGCCGAGGCAGATCTTGCCAAACCTAAAAAGAGCAAACTGAGACCGAGAAAGGCACCAATCAAATTAACGCCGAAAGCTGTGGAACAGCTACAAGCCCTGTTCGAACAGCCCGAGAGCAAGCTGATTCGAGTTGGCGTCAAAAACAGAGGATGTAGTGGACTAGCATATCACTTGGAATATGTTGACAAAGCCGGAGCTTTCGACGAGACTGTGGAGCAAGATGGAGTGAAGGTTCTCATAGACAGCAAAGCCTTATTCAGCATTATAGGGAGTGAGATGGATTGGTTGGAAGACAAGTTGAGCGCGCGGTTCATTTTCAGGAATCCCAACATCAGTAAGTTGAGTTCCCGACGCATGATCTGAGCAAATGCTAACATTAAGAAGCGGAACAATGTGGTTGCGGTGAATCCTTCAGCATTTCATAGAGCGATTCGTTCCGGCGTTTGAGAGGAGCATAAGCATTTCCAGGCGTTTAAACCATTTCGAACAAATAGATGGCATCGGTGGCTAGACTTCTTCGCACTCATAGTACGCCGGGTTCAAAATCCAAAACCCGAACATTTTCCATCAGACCCTTAAGACTCGCGACAAACTCGAGATGCGCGGGGTCATTCTCTAGGTAATATTGCCTATCCTCCTTGTTACGAAACTCACTCACAAACCCGTGCGTGAGTCCACCCTGAGGACGATATTATTAAATAACTGAACGAAAGCGATAAGTCCGTCGTCCAGCAATAATGACTGACCTGAAGTCCCTCTGGACTGATGTCCTTGCCCCCACCATGCGATTTTACATATGTTTCGTTCGTCGTAGGATGCAAGCACTTGTCCTTCAGAGCCAGCATGCGTCCGCAGACCTGAATCATAGACTCAATGAGAACTTTGGCTCATCTGCCCGAGCTGTGGAGAATCAATGGACACTTACATCGTTCACCTGAGCCTGTGAAGTGCCAGGCTTGAACTCGAACAGGACAATGTGAACGATAGGCATGCTGTCGGTCTCAACGGGGCATCAATCGGAATATGTCTGCAGGCAATTTGATTCATGAGGTCGTGTGCAGCAGCGAACTAAAGTTGATTATGCGATGTCATAGACGTGGTGGTTCGATACAATTCGAACATTAGATTGGGATAATAGCATTCGCCTCAGCTCCAAAGTCCTGTCCCGAGGTCGCGTCCGCAACGCCTGATGACGTCCGCTCCCCTGAATCTCCACAGTTTATACACACGCAGCGCTTTTTGCTGGGTTATTGTGTCAGACTCCGAGTACTATCCTCGAGCTTCGGACATCTCGTACGCCAACCGACATGGATTGAAGCAGCACTGATATGAGCACTCATGCTCATCAATGCATATCACCTGAAAGATGGAAACCGCGACCGAGCGAACTCTGGACATTGTGGTCCGATTCTCCACATCGAACCCTGATCTCGTGCTTGCCATCGCGTCACCTTCGCGCACGACTGGACTCGCATTAAAGCAGCTGATACGAGCACAGCTTGAACAACCTGCGGCAACAAGTCGATTGCGGCTCATCCACGCCGGCAAAGTCATATCCGATGATGCGCCTCTATCCAGCAGTCTCACCCTAACGAATCCTCCGCCACTTCGCAACGATGACCCGAACAAGAGTTCCAAGGCGAGAGGGAAGCTGCCTGTACGAGATCACGAACCTCCCCGGACGAGACTATACATACATTGTTCAGTTGGCGATGTTTTGTCAGCCTCTGACCTAGCTATCGAAGCGAAATCGGCACAAGAGGCTATCGATGCATTGGACAGCAGCAGTATTCAACACACATTCATAGGCAATGAGCAGGGAGACGCATCAACAAATGCGAGTACAACGCCTGCGCCGCGCGGGTTCGACCGCTTGCTATCCGCCGGATTCACCAATTCTGAAGTCGCAGCATTGCGAGCACAGTTTCTGGCCATACAAGCGCATTCGCATACACCGGATACCTTGCCTAGCGGTCAGGAGCTCCTGGCGCTGGAGGAGCGCTGGCTCGAGTCTGGCTCTAGCCCCCTTGGCGGTGGTGGTGGTAACGAGTCGGGAGGGTTTGGACCCGAGGACACCGGTGCCTTGGAAGATCTGCTTATTGGAGACCTGATTGGATTTTTTTGGCCTATCGGGGCCATGTTTCTGTTCATGCGGGAAGAAGGCGTCTGGTCCCGTCGCCGTCAGATCGCTGTCTTGTCCGGCTTCCTGGTCAATGTCATGTTCGGCTTCCTGAGAGTCATGAATTGAATATGTCGAGGAGTGGGAATAAATTATGCCCACACGATCGTGCATTTCGGCCCACACAGGACTTCCCTAGCTCGACGGAATCGCGGAACCTGTACCCACCCAGGATGAAACACATCCGATATCTGCAATCCGAGCTGACCGTCCCTGTTCTCTCCAGCCACAAAAACCGCCCCGCTTTGTGTTATGACAGCGACGTGGTTCTCACCGATAGAGACACGAATCACGTCCTGATCCTCGGAATCGGTCAACTGGACAAGAGCTACCTCGTCCGGTCCCAGTCCGCGCAGGACTTCGAGCTGACCATCACGTCCTGGGGTATTGGCACCCCATAGATACAGTGCGCCATCGCGACAAAGTGCTGCAGCCATCCAGCCGCCTGCTGCGATCTTGGCAATTTGAAGCCCACCCAATGCTATGACTTCACCTGGCTGGTCGGCAGGACAAGCATCCTGGTCCGCGACTGACCTGGCAAGTGATTGGTGCCGTGGATCACCCCAGGTATACACTTGCCCACTCTGCATCAACAGCACGAACCCTGCAGTGTTTGCGACCAACTCAAGCGCTGAGCCGAGTAGCTCATTGTAGTGTGTCGGCGGTGTGAAATCCTCTAGCATCCCTCGATACCAGCACAAAAACGAAGACAGTGACGGGAACTGTACGACTCGGCAGATATCATTTGTTGGGCTCTGTTCTTGCATCACAGCGGATACATGGCCATTACTGGCCATCGCGATATGTGCAATAGGATGCAAGCCTTCGGTTTCTTGCCCTCGAGCGACGACGATGTGTTGGGACGAGTTAATATCTTCAACCACGTAGAGGCGGCCAAGGTGGTCGAGAACACCGCTGAGACCATTGTGGTCGCCAAATGCGGAATGCAACTTGGTGCAATTATCCGGGAGGGCTTGGTCCCATTTCACATTGCCATGACCGAAAATATGCGATTCAATATGAATGACTGTTGTGCTCCAGCCAGTAAATACAATTCGACTATCGGTGGTTGAAATTGGCAACTTGCGGTAGGCGCCGTCGCCCCTCACGTCGCTCAGCAGCTGGCCAAAGGCATTGAAGCCTGCTGCATATACGCCCACAAGACTAGAATCGTCGGCCTCGGCGTCGTTGAGCATATTCGTTGAGCTCGTGGATGTGCAGACATCGATTCCGAATGCCCAGATGTACGATATTAGGGTTTGGGTCATCACATAGGGTTACTAAGGCAGGCAGGCAATATTGGGGCGTTGATTGATGGGGATTAAGTAAGTACCACTACCTAGGTATGCAGATAATATAGACCGATTGGGTTACATATGATCGACAGAAACAACATCTGTATATAAGTGAGACTGATGTGTCGTAGGTGCAGGATCGAGCACGCAACACGACCTTGCCATGTCTCCCTTTACCCAGCATGTACGACGCTATAGATGCACGGAACCACAAAGGTGAGCCATAACAAGAAAACTCATGTGGTAAGTGTTTGATATGTGTAAGATTCATTGGTACGACATGCCGAGAAGGCTGTTCTGTGAAAATGCACTGCGCAGAAACGCCATTAAACCCCGAATCCCACAATTCCGGCCCAGAAAAGACATGAAGCAGATGTATTATGCCGATATAGTTCAGCGGAATTTGCTCACAACCACCGCGATGATGAGAATAACGAGGACAGTGATGATTGCTACAGTGATCAGCTTGTTTGTTGCCATTCTATTGCACTGTCAGCCATGCGCCATCATAGGAGGAATTACCAAAGACTCGGAAGATACCTTCTTGCCATGCCTCGAAGGGTCTTGTTGCTGCGATCCGTGTACCCCTCACTCTCGAGCAGAGTATCTCGGGCGTGCACAATAGTCTCCCGCTGTCGTCCGAGATCTGCAAGTGTGTTTCTGCCGATGTCTTCGGTCTCAAGCGCGATTCGCTGACTCTCCCGTAGTCGTCCACTCGAGCGCTCGAGTCTTTCTGTCCCGCCCAGGAGCTGCTGCCTCTGCTCCAGCTGGTCGTCTTGTGTTGGGCTGTCGGTATAGCGCTTGCCGAACAGCGCGGCCTTGTCATCCTGCAGCGACTTCAGCTTGCGCGCTGCAGTGTCGACGTCAGACTCATGGTTCCGGAGCCGCTTGGTGACATTGACTTTCGAGCTTTGCGGAATGTTCTGTTTTTCTAGTCGCATTGAGTCGAGTAACTCCCTGGCCTCCTCTAGCGCGCGCTGTGCCTGAGATACTGCAGCCTTGCGCGGCTCTCCAGATAGCTCTGAGATCTGATCCAGCTTTTGCGAAATATCCGCCTGGACGAGTTTAAGTTCCGCTTCGTAGTTGCTGAAAAGCTCGGAGCCGGCCTCGGTATCAAGGGTGGACGACATGATTATGGTGCTGTGCGAGAGAGACAGATGCGAGGAGTACTCTGACCGATGGAAACGTGACGGGATCGGTGCTTGCAATGTCGCGCAGTCGGTGTTGTATTCGCGTGGAATTTTTCAAGGACGATAGTAAGGTGAGCAGGAGTGGATGGCGCTTTTAGAGGGAAAGAAGTGGTTGCTGAACGTGGTTGCCTCTGGGAATAGCAGTTCAGTGGCGCGGATGAACTAGGTGCTGTATCCATGCGATGGACGTGCAGGGCGTAATGTGGTTCAGTCCGCGAGACCAGCCAGCCACGTGCACCGACTGCCTGGACGGGCTCGGGCTTCTCCGCTTTTGCAGCGATGACGATCGGGAATACGCCAACGGAGATAGCTTTGTAAAAACCTAAATTTCCTTGGTTCACAGACAAAGCATCTGCCTGGCCAGTTTGATCAATCCTTCAGCAGATCCAATCGAAGCAGATATTGTGCATTGCAACATGGAATATTGTCCAAGGTCTGTAGCTACCGTGTATGTACATGTGAGATATCTGGACATTGATAGTCCTTGTGGTGTGCGCAATAGGTAGACCGATGACTGTCATGACACAGCACCTAACCCGGGAGTTGGCGACTCCAAAAAGTGCCTAGGAGATTTTTAATACCGCGGTTTGTTCCACTGACTCCCCAGTTTGTCCATCCCACCACACGCGTGCGCGCCGCAATGGATAGGCTTTAGCTATACTTACGTCCAAAACTTGTTGAGACAGTCGTCGTCATAGGACCATTCGCTGTAATAATAAGCAGGTGAAATCCCGCGAAGAAGGTATGGCCATGAATGTTGGCCGCCAGCTTCTTACCGCAGTGCATGGAATCACTACCGACATAGTCGCCAGTCTCTCTGCCTGTACTGCATTCAAGCCCGTCACGTTATATGATCATTTCAGTCGCCGCTTGTTGAATGACCTTTGCAGCAGGTCAACAAGCCGCCAGTTAGTTTTCGAGAATCTCTCGGTCGGACCGTGGTTGCGATCACGACGTTTGCTGGGCCGAAGAGTCGTGTCGTCCATCATCCGTGCGCCGGCGTCGCGCGCGAATCGATAGCGGTCGATAATCATCTGCCTCCGATCCGTTCCATTGTCGTCAATCTTTGTCAAGTCGTACTGTGTATATACTAGTACACAAGCACTCCGCCGTGTGCAGTCCCAGTCATGAACATTTTCCGGCGCAAAGATCCCGCAGCGAACAGCTCCAAGAAGAGAAGCAGTGAGCAGCGGCGCACCAAGGTTGCCATTGTCGGCAGTGGCAGCGCGGGTATTGGTGCGTTATGGGCTCTCAAAGACAGCGACTACGACGTTCATCTGTTTGAAAAGTCGTCCAAGCTTGGCGGTCATACGAACACGCAGCCATGGCGCATCGGCGAGGAGACTGCAAAGGTCGATACTGGCTTCATCGTGCTCAATGCTGCCACCTACCCGAATTTCATCCGCTTCCTCGAGGAGATCGGCATTGAGCCCACGCCGACGGAGATGACATTTAGTGTTTCGCGAGACCGGGGAGTCTTCGAATGGTCTGGCGAGCCCCATGGAATTTTCGCTCAGCGCCGTAATATCTTCCGGCCTGAGCATTGGCGCATGATCTTTGACATTGTGCGATTCAATCAATTCGCATTGGACGTGCTCAACGACGACGATGAGACCCTTGGCCCAGAGCTATCCGACGAGCCCGCCAAAGCACCTCTCTATCCAGTGACGATGAGCATCGGCGAATACCTCGATAAGGAGGGCTACTCCAAAGTCTTCCGTGATGACTACTTAATCCCGATGACTGCAGCCGTTTGGAGCACGTCTCCCGACAAATGCACTTTGGAGTTTCCGGCGCGTACTTTGATTCGTTTCATGTGGAATCACCATCTCTTGTCAACTGTTGCTGAGAGGCCGAGATGGCTGACCATCGCGGGTGGCTCCCAACAATACATAGACGCGGTTCTCAAGGTGTTCCCTAAAAAGCGCTTGCACGTCCACAAATCTTGTGAAGTTGCCAATATTGTGCGACCAACAAAGCAAGATGATGCCGAGGTGGCTCTTTCCTGGATTGATGGTACCACGGAGAAGATCGAACATGGTTCCTTTGACCACGTCGTGCTAGCCTGTCACGGCGACGAGATCTTGCCGTTGTTTGCCAAACGACCCACCAATGGCGAGAGCAAGAAAAGTCGCGACTCGAGCAAAAAAGGCCGAGAGTCGAGTAAGAAGAGCCGTACGTCGACCGAGACTGCCAGCTCTTCCGCGAGCTCCCAGCATGCAGCCGATGACGAAGAGGAGGAGATCCTGTCGGCTTTCCAGACTACTGAAAATATCTGCTATCTGCACTCTGACCTCGATTTCATGCCTAAACGCCCGAACGTCTGGACAAGCTGGAACTACTTGGTGAACTCCAAGCCATCTGAGGACTCCCACCCAGCAGGAGTGAGCTTGACTTACAACATGAACATCTTGCAGCACATCCCGCGAGAGACGTTTGGTCATGTCCTGGTGACCATGAACCCAGAACGCGAGCCTAACCCAGAGCTCACGCAAGGTAAATTCACCTACAGGCATCCCCTCTACACCGCCGAAGCAGTGCTTGCGCAACAACGACTGGAGACAATCCAGAACGTGCGAGGTGTGAGCTACTGCGGTGCCTGGACCAAGTACGGATTCCATGAAGACGGTTTCAGCAGTGGCCTAAAAGTGGCCATGGATCACCTCGATGCGAAACTGCCATTCGAATTCGTGGACTCCACATTCAGTCGAGGTCGCCGACCAGTCCTCGTTTGGCAAGACTATGTCGCACGTGCTCTCTTGTCCGTGCTGCTTGTCGGAGTCCGACTCATTGATGCCTTTGTTGCCCTGCCGGTGATCTCCTGGATCATTGTAGTCATCGCTTTCATCGCCTCCATGCTTTTGAACATTTTGGAGCTCGTAGGGCTGCTGTGACCAATTCTCACGTTGGCCTCGGAATGCTGTTCTCACGAGGAAGAAGAGGGAGAAGAAGAAGAAGAAGAAGAAGAAGAAGAAGAAGAAGAAGAAGAAGAAGAAGAAGAAGAAGAAGAAGAAGAAGAAGAAGAAGAAGAAGAAGAAG